GCAAACTGGGTGCAACTTGTTGCCGGTAAGTAATATTAAGCCATAAAATTCTGCATTAATCTCGTACAGCGGCAAATTACCCATTCAAACGGCCAAAGAGATAAATGTCACCATAGAATTTTGCTTACAATGTGAATTTTACGTTCGCGGATTTTATAACCAACGAGACAAATGGGAAAATAGTTGTGTACATGACAAACACTTGCAAGTGTTTGCTTGTACTACTGTAGGAATTACTGTTGCCCTATATATGTAGGCAACTTTTGCAGTAAACAAAAATACCTCGAAGTACCTATAGCTACTCAGTAGGTATATTTTTATTATGTTTTTTTTACGGACGCAGCCAGTATACCTGTGTCAACACCAGAATGCCTAAATGGTACAAAGTACTACAAATAGCTCCATCGAAAGATTTTCATTATTTAGATGCAATTATTAAAAGTAATTTCTGGTACGGAGTTTGGTCGTCAACGTTTCGCGAATTGATTATAGAAACATGTTAATGTTTTTTAAGGTAAAAACATTGATTTGTTGTGTAGGTTTCCAGAACATGAAAGTGTTCATAGCACATGTACACGTGTAAAAGACACCGTTCTATGAGTAGGAGTAGACTATAAATAGACTTACAGATACATAAATATGCGTATTTTTTACTAATAAAGTAGTAACAATATATGCATATTTATATAATTTTGTTTTCCTACAAACTGTTACAAGGACGTAGGCTAACGGTTAACCACTTTCCTAGTTTGTAAATCGTTTTGTAAAATCTTGCGAAAAGAATTATATGGTTATCATTTAACCCTGAGAACAAAGAGATCAGCACCAGCACAACGCCTCAGCGCACAAACTGGAATTTTAAAGCTGGAGGGTGATAGCCGCCTGTATAACAACCATGGCTGGATAATATTGTGCGAACATTTGTGAACAGTGCCGCGATGTACCACCTCCTTCATAATTATCTGTTGAACTTAACATTTGCAAAACTGTTTCTCAAGACGACCAAGCACCGGGCATAGCAATACACACCGGCCAATGCGTTTCTCAAGGTGGCATTATATGAAAAGAATAATAGATACCTCATCATAATCTCTACGTCTCTAGATGCACCACAGACAAGACTCATGTCAGATTTGTAGCCCACTTTGCTTACGACCGTGAATAGAGTGTGGCTCGCATCTTTGCAGTACAGTACAATATACTTTATTATCAAAGATGAGAGTGTAGTGCACATTAATTATAAACTTGGCTTGAAGCATCTTGTACATGCCGTGCGACTCATGAAATACAGATATTGTAAAAAGTGTCAGAAACGGCATAGACAAAGCATCGGTGCCGTTCTGTACCTGGTCTGATGATGAGCCAGTGCATCCTACACAGCATTACAGACACATACATGTATCGCGGTTAAACCCGGTGTGACCCTTGCACAATGATGCCCATTCTTATTCACATGTACGACAATAGAGTATTGTTAATTCCATTTTGATAAAGCTAGAAGCTACTAAGAATGCGCTACATCTATACAATCTAAAATTCACAATCCACATTTGCACTTAAGATGGCTTCCCAGTGTGCTTGAATATCTCCTACATCGTACATGACAAATAAATTGTCAATGTTTTCAAGGACATCATTTGAGCTACAAGGAATGCGCGCGGACACTACAGGTAGATGCGCATTATATGCATAATACTATTCCTAATTATACAGGAAATGTTTATACGCGGTACGGAATTGTGTGGAATGTGTTCATTGAAGTCAAGATAAAAACAGTCAAACGATGCATATTCATTAAATCTAATAGTTTTCTAAGATGTAGATTTATAATTTCAACTCAATGATTATTTCGTTTTGTTGGAACTGGTGATTACTAATTAATACTGTACGCATAAAAAACCGGTAGTTTTTAGCATATTTAAATGTTACGCAGTTGTGCTTTCAAGGACGCGTTAAATTAACAATATGCTAATTATTTTAAAATTTCTTAAGTTCAATTAAGGAACAACGTCGACGTGCTACAGACATAATTCATAATGGAGCAAGATATATATATACGGGTATTATACACATGGCTTGATTCATGGATATCTTTAGCGTGGCTGTAATTTGTATTTTATTCACCGCATAAAGCGCTACAATCAAGCGAGACTAAATATACCTTAATTGAGCATGGCACACAGCGTCAATCATACTGTGAAATATGACCATACACAGTAATTATTCGCCACTTCGTCCACCTTAACAAGCCAATAAGTCATCGGACACATCTAACATAAGACTGATTACAGTGTAATAATGCTGTAGCGATTGCAGCATCATGCAAACAATAATCTTACTATCGTGGGAAATTGTCGCGGAATATACTATCCAATAAAACTCGATAGTTTCGTTACCCCGCGCCGGTTACTGGTGCCGGAACCTTTTGTATCTGTATCAAGTATCTATCTGCAACTATCTTATTCACTGGTAGAGAGCTATTTTCGTAGTTCAAAATAGTAACGTTATAAAATCTGAAACACGTGCACTGCTTTGCAGTCCACAGAATCTATGATGCTTGCGTTTTTTGCGCAAGGACGAACATTTTTTCGTCTAAATTTTTTTAGTTTGATACCGGCAAACACATCCGGCAAACGCATACTTCGATGTCGATGTATTGTGTAGGTGCCCAAAATGCAAAAAACGTTAAAGAATATTTACTGTACCAAAATTCTGTTACGAATTGCTGATCCAGGCAGGAATAGACTTGACGACTTGGATATATGAAATGCCAATAAATTGCTTCTACCATTTTGATCAACCATCGGTTGTACGCGTACTGTGCGCACGCATATGTACGAATCAGATCATCACAATTGGATTCTCCAATCAGATCATCACAATTGGATTGGATCATCACAATTCTCCAGTTGATTGTTCTGTGGTGTAATTACAGGTTTCCATAAGATTAAAATTGTATAACTTGTACTTATTACTTCATAATCCCTGCCACTGTACAAGATCTTAGTATGGGAAACATATTTTGTTTATTTTTGTTTGTTGTAACTGTCGTTAAACTTTGCTCTTTCTGAAACTGAAAGATGTGCGTTTTTGTGCAAACAAATAAACCAATAAACGCACCTTTCTCCGTTTACACCTGAACGGTTTTATTATCGCCTTATTCGTTAAAGGTGCTGCCAAGTATGGAAGAATCTTTTCTTGATCATATATGAAACTTGTTACGAGTCCAAACGCTTCCCTATAAAAATTGTTAGTGGCATGATAGCACGTTTTTTATATCTAGCTAAAAAAATTAAATTATCAATGCCCTAGGCACATATATCCGATTTTACCATAGCGCAAAATTAAAACAATGTGCATAGGAAATTAGGACGGATAATTGCGTTGGTAGTGGTACTGCAAAGATATATTAGCGCACTTTCTTTTTTGTAATAAGTTTTCGTAACTATGATTTTCTTTTGCCTAACAAAGAGGGCAAGAGGATATGCAAAATTGCACCAGACAGAAAAGCATAGTCATCTGTAAAAACTAGAATAAAAAGTTAATGTTTTCCAGAATTATTATCACAAATTCTGTTACATGCACATATATATATATAAGGAACACATGCTACAGGCCTACAGCAGGTTGAGAAAACCATCGTGTGTTCCCTATTTTACGTAATTGCGTGCCCTGGAAACTACCAATACTGTACGTCTAAAACAAGTTACCGTTGTGACAATTTTTCTGTGCGAGTGCATTTACCATTAGTGTAAACTGGAAATTAACATCGAAAAATCTACAATAATGTCTTTGTCACTCAAATACTTACTTAAACATTTGATGGTGTAAAAGTATAATGTCCGTTAGGATCTTCAATCTCTAAATCAATAGCGAGTCAGCGACTAACGAACAGCAGCTGACAGAAACGATATATAACAACTTATAAAGCGATAGGTGCGCCGACGTTGTGCAAATGCCACTTGTAAGGTAGATCAATTGTAATCATGGCCAGCATCAAATCTGCGGTGACCTTTATGTTACCGCTTAACGGGAACGAAATTATAACCGAATTTTTAGTAAAACGAGATTTTCACCAGAAATTCGTATAAAATTGGAGATTAATCGTATATGCATAGGCAGTAACTGGAAAAACGTTGGGGAGAACTGTGGAACAATAATCTTCACGGGTTCTACCGCGAGATGCAGCTGTACACAATACACAGTACTTCTACTCATACAATTGTACATATTGTAATATAAATGCTTTAATGATTCAAATTACATATCGGCCTCGCACACAGAGAAAACCAAACAAAATCGAACTGCTTAATACATAATAATGTTTAATTGCCACTACCTGCCGCTTTGATCTTTCTGTGAGTTATCCATTTTATGAGCATTTTGCGTTACACACAAACATACGTTGCCGGTTTACGGTTGTACGACATACAGTGGTAGGGACTAGGGATATGAAACTAATTGCTGTTGTAATAAGTGTGTCCTGTGTCACTGCCTGTTGTAATGCAACCAGATGTAAAGTGTAAACTGCACTGTTCTTCATTCCTATGTATTATTGGTATATTCTATATCTTAAGCTACAAGACTAACGTATCACGTAGTTTACGTTAGTATTCGTGCAGCGTATTTAAATGGTAGAAATATTATGATTTATTAGAAAGTGCTGTATTACAATACACACTCCTCTTACGTTGTGTACAAGTTCACTCAGCTTGAATTTTTATCGCCTGAATTTGTAAAATAATGGAGTCGCTCACATAGTAATAACTAACAGCTTCATGACGATATGTAGTCTGTTTAACTTGTCAAAGTAATCGGGCATGCAAAACTTATAATATTATTAGAAGCTAGGAGGAAACTTAGCGTGAGTTATAGCGGCTTGCAGCTGGAAGATAGAGACAAAAACCTAGTGTCCTTTACAAACCGCGGTTTATTCAAACCAAGTACGACTTACACAAAAAACTAAAAGACTTTTCCCCTTGTTCAACTCTAGCATGAAGCCCATTTCAGATCGAATAAAAAAACAATAACAACAGAAACAAGAGATAAAACAATATATACCATGAATGCAGCCTCCTGCAGATTAGTGTCGCTGTGCAAAACTATAGTACAAAATTCAAAAAAAAATGCACGCCACGTTCCTGTGGCCAATCTCATAGAACACTCACTACCTATACATACCACAATTCAAACCAAAAGTACGAGGAATAACACAAAAACCAGTCCTTCAATTAGCGTCGAACTTAATTCTCGCCTTCCTCGCCTGCTTCGACCTCTTCCATACCATCGCCATTGACATTGACTGCATCGTCGTGTTCGTCGACTTCGTCCATGTTTTGTTCCATGGTCGACTCTGGTTGCTGGCGCTTCGCCATTGACTTCAGGTTCCTGCAAGCAGCAACAGCTTCGATAAATGCACAGCGAACAACAAACAAACCAAAGCCGCTCGCCTGCTTACGCAAATTTGCGTCCGATCTCCTTATCTTCTGGAATCTTCACTTTTTTCGCCATGCAGTAGGTCTCCAGCAGTTCTGCAAAGAAAGAAGCACTGCCATACTTCACGGCAGGCGATGAACAACCTACTCTACCAGATTGCTTACCTTTTAACTTTTCCACACGCGTAACATCCAATTTCTGGCCCGCTTCGTTCTTGCGAGGACGCGCGAAATATCCGTTGATGATCTCGTCATTTGAGAAGAACCCCCGCAATCCAACACCGAACGCAACACCCCAGTTGTGCTGTTTCAGCATCTTCGTCTGTATAACATGGTTGAGATCATAACAAAATAATACATTTAAAACAGATAAACTATGCAGCAGTACCAGAACATCTCTCGGGTTGATAAATATTCCTTGGAAATCGTTCATCTGCCCATTGCTGGCTGGCTCAGCCACTTCTCTTTCCTCGACGTCCATCGCACTCTCAGCCGAGTTAGACATAGGCTTCGGCGCTTCATTAGCAAAGGCCACCGCACGCTTCTGTGAAATCCCCATTAAACATGCTTATAATACTAAAGTTCAAGTTACAACAAAGCAAAGTACCGCACACCAAAAAGCGGTACAAAATGTTGTTAAAGATTTCTTTTGTATCAAAATATTCGGCACCTTTTTCATCGCGCCTGATTTACGGCCACGGCCGCGTTTCCGTGCGGGCTGAGCGCCAGTGCCGTTCTTCAGTGCTGCAGCCGGACGACCCGGACCGCGTTTCACTTCCGGCACCGGCGCCGATCTGGCTTTAGTCACACCGGCACTCTTTTGACGTCGAGGAGCCTTCGGTTTCGTTGCTGAGTTTTTACCCGCTGCTTTGGCAACGTTAGCTGGCATTGATCTGCGTGAGAGATTTCGGCGTGCTGGAGGCGACGGTTCGGTCATGGCGCTGGCTGACACGGCATTTGCGGAAATGGCATTTGCTAGCTGTTCATCGGAAGCCGCTCCGTTCCCGCCATTTACGGCTGTTGGATTAGATTTGGGTGTCTTTGCGCGGCTTTTTTTCGGTGAGAACGTCTTCATCTGAAAACCACATTATTTATCAACGGGTTCATTTACGGATTCACCAGTTCGTCAGGGATTTTAACATTATATCAGCCCGGTTCAGCCGTTACGGTTACTGAACTTTCGGCTGCGAAAACTGAATGATGTCATTCTTCGAACACAACGCTAAAATGTGAAGACAAGAACATGCTGCTTTCCATAATTATGACGCAACAATTACACGGGTTGACCGTTGACGTTTCACATTCACTGTTTTTTTTCTTAAAATTATTTTTCTATTAATAGTTACACAAAGTACTTTTTGCAATGTCAAATTCACAAACGGTACAATTACTAGAAATATGAGTATTCACTATCCATCAACGGTTCCGTTTTGACTGCAGCAAAGAGAAATTATAATTAATAAATTAAGACAGACTTACAACTCAAATTATTTCTCGCAAAACAGAGAAAAGAAATGAGAGACCTATGTGAACTCCAAGTCTACTCAGACAACCGACAAAACGTCAGCACACGACGACGAACCTGTTGAACCTTGGATTCCTCCCAGTACTGACGGCCTTTGGTAATATAACGCTTCTCGAAGTGATTGTTCAGCAATTCCTGTTTCAACTGCTCTACGGTATCGTCTGCAAAAGCAGCCACCAATTAGAGTTATTTTTTCGAACGCAGCGGTATCTTCTGTCCTGTTAGTCGTTCGTGTGAAGTTCTACCTTCCGAGAGCCACACCAGTACGCAGGGTTCGTACTCCTGACCGCGAATCTTGGCACGGCACAAGGCTCGATCGGTCAACGTTCCATCTGCCGCTATGGGGGCCAGATCCGCGGTGCTCACGGCCGTAACGAACGGCGGATTGGGAGCATTTTCAGCGGGCCAGTAGATGATGGCGCTATTCGTGGAAGAACTCTCGGCTGGGTCTGGCTGCATGGTGGGGCCTATGATGAGGGTGTTAATGCTCTCGCTTTTTAACTCTGGAAGACTGTTCAAACTGAGAACTCAAACAACAAAAAACTAGCATCAAAACAAAGAAATCGGTGGCAGGTTGCACTACTGTTGTTGTTTCTTTTCTTTCAACCCTGGCAAATAAAGAATCAAGAGCAAACGCGAAAGACGAAACTCGTTACAGCGCGAAGAGTGCAGTGCCGACTTTTGTTAAAATGAAAAAGAACACCGATCCTAAAAGACACTTGCTGTGCTAGTTCAGCCGCTATTAGCGCCCTCTACGCACAGCAATTTTGCCAGAGCTTTGCCGCAATACCAGCCTGCTAACGCACGACCATTACTTGAGTTGTGACAAGTGTTCGTGAATCCTGCGGTAGATTTTTTTTGAATTTTTTCTGTTTTCACTTTTAGTCGTTACTCGTATTTGATTTTCCTAAACATCCAAACTTATTTAGGTCTGGAACATATTTGTATTGACTTCAAATGGCTCGGAAGCGAAAGGTAATGCTCCTGCTAAGTTTGGGGTATATCTTGCGATAACTCGAAATGTTATTTTCAGGGACGTGCGGCTAAGAACGCCAAAGCCAAAGCAGCCCAGGAACCCGACGAGCTGAGCAGAGCACCGCATACTTTCGTTATCAAACGCGGCGTAGTAGGGAGGAGTGTTAATCATCTCATGCTGGATACGAGGAAAGTGATGGAGCCGTTCACCGCCTCAGATTTGAAGGTTCGTGCAAGGGAAAATTGGAATCTAATTTTGAAGGGGTTGTTTGGCTTTGCGTATTTGCGAAAACTTCAGTGCGAGTTACCTCGCTCGCACTTTCTTGACACTCGCACTTACCGCTTACGCACGACAGTATTCTACCCATGTTTCTTTTCTTTAGATTGGTAAAAACAATGTCCTGAAGGATTTTGTCTCGGTTGCGGGCCCGTTGCACGTGTCGCATATGATTTCGTTCAGTCGTTCCGAAGCATCACCAAATCTGCGAATTATGCGTCTTCCGCGCGGACCTACCCTCACGTTTCGCATTGAGAATTTCAGCCTTATGCGCGATGTGGTGTCAAGTTTGAAAAAGGCTCAGAATCATCCCAAGCAGTATGATCATCCTCCGCTGTTGGTGTTAAACAATTTCACCACCGAGCAAATGCAGGATCGTCTGACCACGACCATGCTCCAGAGCATGTTTCCCAGCATAAACGTCACTAAGGTTTGATAATGCTTTTTCTAATTTTCCTGATAGTATGTTTCAATTTTTTTTCAGTGCGTCCATTTTTGAAACACTCGTTTGTCTGCCGGAGTAGCGAGTCGAGTTGCTGCCGACGTTCGCATTTAATTGTTTCGTTTTTTTAAAACAATTTGTGCGATTTGATATCTAATTCTTTATAGTTTATATGCTTATTTAACTATTCAATGTATTTTATACATTTTATATGTATTTCATATCCTGAAGTACGTATGAAAGATTGTTTTACATTTGCTGTTTGATTGCCTAATCCATTATGATACGTTTTTTTGCTTTTTTTGCAGGTAAAGTTGAATCAAGTCAGAAGATGTGTGTTGTTCAACCAAGATCCAGAATCGGGAAAAATTCAGTTTCGCCATTAGTAAGTTATGGACCTTTTACACTTTCTGATGTGTGTGCAACCATTTTCTTATTGCTTTCTTATTGCAGTAATGTGAAAGCGGTGCCGCATGGAATATCGAAAGTGATTAAAAAAATCATTCGTGGACGCATACCGGACATGAGCCGACATCAAGATATCTCTGACTTCATGGAACAGTAAGAGACACTAATTTGATATAATATGGAGCAGGTAGCTGCAGTGACTTTGTTGTCTTGTTTTTCAGAGGAGATAACATGTCCGAAAGCGAAGCTGAAGACAATGATCCCGAAAACAAAATTGCTCTGCCACAAGCCATCAGTTCTCGCGGCAATGCGCCAAATCAGACCAGTGCCATTCGGTTGACCGAACTAGGTCCGAGAATGAGCCTGGATTTGATCAAAATTGAAGATGGCATCTGCGACGGAGAAATCCTATACCATAAGTACATTCAGAAATCGGAGGATGAAGTCAAGGATCAACGAAGAGATCGGATTCTTCGACAGTAAGCCGTTAAAAAAATTACAGCAGTGTTGTTTCAATTCAGAATTCTGGAGTTGTTTATTCTGTTGTTTCGAATTAGCAAATTTTGCATGTACTATCGCAAACTGTAGCAAGCATTTACATTTATGTTTGGAATTTTTCGTGCAGTACTTAACGCGACTTGATTATCTTGTCCTTTTAGAACTAAAAAAAGAGACGCTCGTATGGAGCAAGAAAAAAATGTAGAACGGAAGAGGCAGGAAAAAGAGGAACACAAGGAGGAATGCCGTCGTGGAATTAAAAGAAAATTCCAAGACACTCCTCGAGAAGATTATGACGCTGATGGTTATAGAGACGAAGAAATGCCTTCGGATGATGATGACGAAGCGTGGTATGAAGAAGAGGTGGGCGAGAAACCGGAAGCCGGCACTCTTGGACGGCGAAATATCCGACCGAGAGGTGGTTTCGGCGTCCGCGGGGGACGTGGTGGTAGAGGTGGCTTTCGAAATCAGGGAGACCGCAGAGAGAATACTGGACGGGGATATCCTGGTGCAAGGGGCAGAGGATTCCACGGAGCACCAAGAGGAGGCAGTCGAGGAAGAGGTGGAAGGGGACGTCCACCGGGAGATCGGCCACCCATGGATGAAGGACGGAAACCGTCATACAAAGCAGTTGCTTTCCGAAAGAAATCTTCTTTCAGGAGATGATATGTTCGATTTTTGCGTTTGCTTTATGGTGAACCAGGGAAATAATGTTGCGCTTCCGGTTCAAGTAGTAATCGGCTTTATTGCACTTCATAAACGATTTGCGAAAATGCGAAGATAAGAGATACGATACTTAAATGATGTAAACAACCAAATCGATAAGTTTGGTAGTCTAGACACGTGTGCAGTAGTAACGCCTTTAGCCTTCTAACATTTTCCAACGAACCCTCTTGCAAATACAGTGGCTCGGACAAATTTCCACTTTGTTTGCTCATTGTACATATCGTGGACCAGTGGTTGAGGCTGTAGATAAGATAGGTCAAAATGGTGCGAGTACAACATTATTGCTGTTTAATTAGCATTACACAGGCTTCTTTTAACGTTACAAACTTACAAGTTACATGTAACTAACGACGACGACTACAGATAGGACTTTAAAACGCTTATCGATTTTAAAATTGTTTCGTCGTGCAGTCACTTTTCATCGGATGTGACAAAATATGATCATCTATGCACACTGAATTTCTGTTTCTGTAAAAACTAGCGAGTAGTATCAGATCACTCGTCGAATGGTTAATTAAAGTGACCGGATGATTCTTAAGTTATAGCGGACGAGGGAATACTGCAAAATCTTAACATGCTTTTTTGGAATCGGGGAAATTGTTGGATTATTCTGCGGATTGGTAAATATATTGAATATATCTATAGATAAAACTATCACTCGTGACGTAAGTTTTTCGTAATACTTTGTATATATTGAGTTAATGCCGACTACACGTATTTTAATTCAATTCTTCTATGCAGGAATTCTTCTGCTCTTGGCCAGCAGCTGGACTGCTGCGCATGCCCAAGAAAGTGTACCGGAACTTTCATCCGCATTCACAATACAGAGTTCATCGGCTTCAACTTCATCCCCTTCCACACCGTCTGTTCCAAACACCCAGAACAACACCACTAACACATCGGTATCCGCAGTGCCACTAGAGCCTCCTTCGAGCCCGGCAACCGATGGATCAACCACTCCTGCAACAGCCGAACCGACCCCGACCCTTTCCGGAAATAGTACTGCTATAAACAACACGGCCACTAGCGATGGCGTTGTTTCGCTTTCGTCTACTGAGGTTATAACAACAGAAGCCGCCAGTTTAGCTTCAAGCGAAGGCACGAGCACAGTCGTTCCAACATCACCGGCTACGAGTGCAACAAGTCCTCTGACCCGTAATTACTCCAATACAGTGGCCGTGCCCACAACAAGTTACGAGCAACGCCTGGAGGATCAGGATAGAAGGCTCAAAATTGCCCTTGGTTAGCCTAATTAATTATTGTAAAAAGCCGCATATTTTCGCAAGCCTAAAATACGTACTGTAACGCTGCACAATTCTTCCTGCAGAAGTAGAAATACTTCCAAGTTCGCGAATCTACTCGCATGAGTTTGCGTAAAATTAATTTCTTATAATAATTATTCTTGTGTGTGTGTACTGCTGCAAGGAAAAATTGAAAAAACCGGTGCACCGTAAAAGTCTGTAATTTGTAAAACTGTTTTGTTGATTAGGTGTCATAACGCCGGTAACGTTACTTCTGATTGTCGGAGGATGTTTTGCGTACTGCCGAAAGTAAGTCTTACTTGCATTTATTTCAGCAGTATCAACAGAAAAACTTATTGTACGTGAAGCAGCATATAGGCATTCCGTTAATACGCAAATTTGCAATACGGAAAATTTGCAAATACGTAAACACATTTACATGGAATTTACCAGTGTGGCAAAACAAGTACTAAATTCTTTTGCGTATCTAACCATTTGTCGGTCTTTATCAGCTTTCAATCTTGCCGATCGGCTATCGCCTATCGGTAATATGCATAATACAGTAATTGAAAATTATGTTTTGTTTAGCAAACGGGAGCGCGCAGGTCTGATCCTCTTGGATGACGATGATCTCAATATCACATGGAGAAGAAATTCCGGAAGTCAACACGGAGACTAAACACATGCAGAAACCACCGATCATCATGATGCAAACGCTTTCTATCAACACAGTCTTTATCAGGAATATCATTCATTTTTCCGTGACACTAATTGATAAAGCTTGTAAATCTCCTTCGAAACCAAAATCATATCGCCGCGTCCATGTCGAAGTATTGTTATCATTTATCAATGATACAAACAAAACCTGCTGCACTGGAAGTATAAAAATTAAAAATACCGACGGATTCGCAGTAGGATCAGAATGCTTGATCACAGTGCATCGTCACAAAGGAGCACAGAACCGCATTCAACGGAATGTCTCGGGATGAGGAATCGTAAATTTCCTTCAGACTGTCGTCTTTCGTACAACATTAATCGGTCCCACATTGTCACCGGTCTCCCTGTTGTACTGCTTGTGTGCTCCGTCGCAGTATGGGAACTACAAATATCAAACGTAAACTATAAAGAAAAATAAAAATATAATTGTGAAACTAAAAAAGAGAAAAACAGAAGTACAGCAATACACACACTACTCTGTACTGTTGCTGGAAGTGAGCAAAAATGCATTTTCATATTTTGCAAATTATATTCAAATGAAGCCTTGCAGCCAAAAGTGATGTTTTTCAACGAGATTACTTTGTACTATTCAGTTAATCACCAAAGTGCATTGCCAACGTTATACACTTGCTAATTATATAATACTTATCCCTAAAAATATTGCAAGTTGAAGAACTTATTTGTTAATGCATGTATTTAAGTATTTTGCTGCGCAGTGTCACCTAAACAAACTTTAAATAAATAAGAATTTACTACAATTATTACGTAATTTTCTGCAATAAGGCAGCTTCATAAAAACGGAAATTATGTAAATTCTGGCACTACCTTTGCGGATCTCCAGCAGCGGCACAACGACGCTTTCTTGCCAATATCTTCAATATCAATAACATGGTTGCATTTTGGTCGTTCTTTCTCAATACATTTATTCATCCAGCGATATTTTCCGCGGGTTAGCCGGCATGGGAGTTTGCTCAGAAAATCCTCCGGTAGCAATGTAAAGACTCCTCGAACAGCTACGAATCCAGCAAAACCTACAGCGCCAGTAAACGCTGCAAGACGCACCCATTCGCCAACTGAAATAAGAAAACCACGAACATTTTATCCATTCGTCTGCATCATAATATCCGCAAATACGCATTATGGTTAGAGTAGTCAGCTGCGGAATGCAGTGTGAAACCAAGCGGCCAAGCTATACGTTGCGACATCGCAGTGAGAATAACGCTTACGTTTAAGCTCCGCAAAACCCCCAAATGATTTTGGAACTGGTAATTCTTTCAAATAAGACGAAGTCCTGTCCGTAATAAGTCGGTTGACGGAGTCCATTTCTCACAAGAGTCTACGCAGATCAAACAATTTGAGTCCGTAACCACGGTTAACGATATAAAATACCAAGTTTTAAAAGCAAAGTGCAAGCCGTAAAAATATACAAGTAACGAGTAAGTACTGTACGTATACTTCATCAGTACTCATCAGTAGTCATTTCAAGACACAGAACATTTGTGTCTTCGGTAGCTTGAAGCTTCTTGCCTTCTTCCGTAATCCGAAAAATCTTCCAAGCAATACCCAGAAACACGATAAAAATACGTATAATTTATTATATAGATATGAAAGCTCAAAACGCAAATAACTTTAAAACCAGTTTTCCAATAAACTCACGAAAAATTCCTTACTGGATGTTGTAATTGTTGCAACCGTCCGCGGTGACGGTTGGTTAAAATTTATATACTATGTGTACATAATTTATCAGCAGCCAGGAAAGTTTAATAGCGTAGCAAGTCCTGTACTTGCACATGTGCAAAGCGATATCTGTAACCTGACCATATCACACAAAGACGACGGGTGGCCACTAAGATTTTATGGTATGTCTAAAAATAGGGTGAAAATAAAAAATCGTTTTTATATCTAAATCTTTAATAATGATAGTTCAACTCCCATGATATAATAGCTGACACCGAGTCACCGACCGCGTATTACGTACTCGGTTTCTCTGCAGAGTAAAGCCTGCAGATGCAACACCTGAACGGGAATGTGCGCTACATCTTTAGAACATGTCCGTAAACTTTATTTATATCTCATAAAACACTGTAGCAGAAAGCAACTTTCCTTCACATCGGTAAACAAGAATTTTTGGCAAACATAAGTAGCGGTAAGCCAAATCTTTCCATGTAAATCAATCTAACATAAACGTCAACTTTCCGACGATGAACCAGATGAAAGAACATCTGGATGAAATCTATTAACATGTCTGAGATATCTTCCTTTTATAACAAATCCGACTTCGCAGTGCGGGCACTTGAACGGAAATTCCTCCAGCAGCATCCGCTTTCGTGGCCCTACGTAATCTTTGCCTTGACGCTCCTTCGCACGCCTTTTTTGTGATTCAATTATTTTATTCCGTCGCGCAGTAGTATGTTTGTAGGCAACATGATGCTGGAGAGTGGAAGCTTTTCGAAATTTCATACCGCATACCTCGCACTCGAAAGAAAACCGGCAGGCGTAATTATGACGACTCTGCATGTGCCGAAACAGTGTTTCCTTATTTTTGCACATTTCCCCGCATACTTTACACATGGTAATACTGCGGATATCATGCCGCCTGCGGTGATGATTGGTCAGCCGTCGGAACGTAGCGGCAACAAAGTCGCAATTGCGACAGTGGAAACCATCGCCTTCTTTATGAATCAAATGATGTTTGCCCAACTCAACCCAGCTATCGAAGATTTCCGCACAAATCAGGCACTTGCGGACTTTATGCATCTGTCAAAAATTGAATAAAAAATTAGAAAGAGAACTCATAACAATGGCAAATAAAATTGTAAAAGATACCACAAACCTGAACATGTGCTCGATGCTTCATTTCAGATGAAAAGACTTTGCCGCATACGTCACACTTGAATTCTTCGGTACCGGTTTCCTCAGTGGGGGGATGATTTCCTTTAATGTGGCGATCCATGATATGTGCAGCAATGAATTTTTGGCAAATCTGACAGCGCTCTTTACCGAAATAATTCACTCCATGATTCTCAACGTGCTGATACAAAGTGGTTAAACTGTCGCACTCCTCTCCACATTCTGGGCAAATTTTCTCGCACTGATCGTTCTCTTCGATAGATACATTCGACGATTCATGGAACTCAGTATGCAGTTTCCACAGCGCTTCCGATTTGAAGTGAATTTTGCAGATTGTGCAAGGATACTTAACAGTTATTGCAGGATCGACAAAAAATTTTGACTTCGACGGTTTCTTCTCAGATGATCTCTTCTTTTCCTTGGCAGAAGCGGGGCGAATTTCATCTTCAGATTTGGGGGAGGCTTTCCTCTTGCGTTGTTTCGGTACTGTAGGAATATATCTGTAGCTTGAGCGATTCTGCGTAGCCGTCTGACTATCATGAGTATCCAGATCACTGCAGGAAGATGATAGCTCGGTTCCCGTTAACCAATCACACTGTGCGTCTGCTGTTTTGTCAGTACCGGTCAAGTTCATTAACTCATGCATCAAGCCTACGTACTGCCGGACAATATCACATGAAGATGGATACTGCTGCTCCAGTTTTTTCGCATCCACTTCCAAGCGTCGCCTAGCAAACTTCTGCAAATCGTGGGCTGTCTTCTCCAAATTATTTCCAGAGTATATTTCTTCCCCCAAAAATTCTAAAGCAACTTTCCGCCAGGCTTTTTGGTGATCATCAGTGTCCGAAGGAAATTGATATGGATTAACTTTTATTATGGCCTGCAGCTTATTAATCGTATCAGGCGGCACCCGCATTAACACCTTTTCTCGATTCGTTAGTCCGTTTTGGGCGATCTGGATGTACTTCTCCATAACAGAATAGAATTTACGAGATACGTTATCATCATTATCCGGATGAACACCAGTAAAGCAGTACGGAAACAACTTCGAATATTTTTGAAGCATATTCCGAAGGAGTACGGCTTTCTTTTCTACATCCGGCTGCGGCAAACCCTTACCAGAAATCTGGCACACCGCTATTTGAAATGCTTTCATTCGTCTTGGACCCAAGGGATACTGGAACGGATTAACAGACAACACAGCTTCTATTCGTCGAATTGCTTTACGTACGACCCGTCGGCCAACTTCAGGAAAATCCTCTTCATCTGAAAGAAGTCTTTATCGATCACAAAGTATTTGAAAATGACATGCTGAAAATTTACCGCTGATGACTTGCAAAACTGTACTGTCAGTAATTACAGCAAAGGGATCATTCTGAGAAATTTTGAGATCTTCGGTGTTTTCATCACAACATGTCTCCACCACCGAAGCAGCACCTAACGCCACCGAATCTTCACCAATGGATATCGGCGAAGGCAAAGCCGATTCCGCTTCCGTAGTAACATCAGAGTCCTGCCTTTCGCGGATTTCATCGCTCTGCTCAACTGCATAACATAACGGAACTATAGTAAGTATGTTTGAATTTCGAAATTCGTTTTCGAAGATTATTTTTTCACGTGCAACGTACAAGGCATGTCCCCTGGAGGAAAGAGAAGTTTGGCATAGCTTGGGGAATACCAGACCTTCAGTTCTGCATCAGCTGCAATTTCTCTGGTTGTAGCGAAATACACTTCTCCATCCGAGATGTAAGACATTAGGTTTTGCTCCAGATCGTCGCCTGCCAACTGAACGAATTTCATCCAGTTGCAGCCATGGATTGATTCCAAGTGAAAACATTTAAAACCGTTGGCAGAACAGGGATGTGGAATCCCGTACAGTCCCGGTTGCTCTTTCACGAGGGAGCAGACTGAGCCTTGCATTGGTCCAAATACAGTTCCGGTGGGAACAGACTCTCGGGTGCACACTCCGATCGGTAATTCTGTGAGCAGAGGAAAAAGTGTTACAGTACAGTAATTTAAATTTTCAATTTACCGTGCAGTACGATACGAGTGCAGCACAATACAATACAATACGACTAGAAGTATACGAGTACAGCCAAGATGCAATTTAGTACAGTAATTTACAGAATGATAATAATTTACGTATCAAGCAAACAGTGACAGCACAATCGAAAACGCATACATCTAAATACCCTGCAGAATAACAGAACTGAAAGAACAAAAACGCCCGAGCTTCATCGACCGAAGTTAAATCAAAGTTACCATTAGCTAACAAGTAAGGTCCAAGGAGTAATTCTAATGCATAAGTTTAATAAGCAAGAAAAGTTTATGATTACGATGCGACAAAAGGCCAAGTAACTTTTCAGGCAGTACCTAGCCGAGTTCATTATCTCCGCAAAAACACTGTTACTAACTTACTACGCAATTATAAGTAACCTTAAAGTTTAAGCACAAAAACCATAAGCTACGCTATTTTCATCTCGCCTTAATGCATTTTTCAAAATTTACCACAGCAGGCGGTTATATGTATCGTTGCACGCACTAATAAATATGCAATAATAAATAATCACTCTGTATAAAATCTTTATGGCACTCTTTTTCGTAATATTCGTTATCAGACTACTTTTTGGCTTTGGATGAAAACAAACATAACATTAAAAAGATACTAATCCTTTACAAAGCAATGCAAAAACTGTGGAACAAAATTTGTTGAGAATCCCTCACCCTCAGGATTCCGACGCAGAAAATACAACGAACAGGGTAAGGTAGCTAACGCGAACGGAAAAGCCTCCGTATCCTGGATGCGATGGGAATGCAGCGGACAAGGCTCTCCTGGAGCAGCACCTGCACACCGAATGCAAGCCTCAGCCACTTTCACGTTCTCCTTGTTCAAGACGATAGATACGTAGTCTCCGGCAGCCACATGATCCACTAAAACGCAGTAGCGAATCAAACATGTATTCGCGCGCGCTACTTGAGATTTAAATAATGATAGTCCTTGATAATACTATGCTGCAGAGACACCCCACTGATTCAAGTAGTGAAGAGAAAAAAATGCCTACAGCTCTAGAATTTCAGTCAGTTCCTTCGAGCAAGTAAGACGAAACAGCTGTTCGTACACTGAGGAAATAATCTACAGGCTAATCCAGAACATACCTGCATCTTCGGATCGCGGTCGCACATCTGCCTTCGACGATCGGTTTGCGTTGATGTAGCGCGGAACCGAAGAGCTTATAATCGTATACCGATCGGGTGAACGAGATACTCTGTGCTCAACTGCCTGACGTCGTGCTTCTTTAATGAACAACGGGTTTTGGCTAACGATGCCCGTGGCAGGAGCAATCTTCCTAAACTGTCGCATCCCTCCCCTTGCGCAAACAGGATCTGGACTTGGAGTGATGGGTACCGGTGGACGAGATCCATCCTGCTGGGCGCTTACGGGCGCCAACACTAGGTAGAACGATGATTGTGCAGCTTCCGGACTAGAAGTACTCATCGTACAACTCTCACAGTCCTCTGTGATATTTTAACAGGCATTCGAGAAACTCCGCTCCACTGTGAAATATTGTCGCTTTAATAACCACCCATGACGGCATCGGACTGTTTCAGTGCAAGCCAGCAAAAAGTGAACATGGAAATGTTTTGGAATGAAAATAGTCATTCATAAAATAAGTTCAAACGAAAACACGAGTGTATTAATAAAGCTGTAGCATAGTGTAAAGATATACCGTACAGATATAGTGTAAAGATATACCGTACCGAACTTACCGTACGTAGTACGTACGTTAAGTACTGTACATAAATTGGCTGGACAAGGCTCAAATAGACGTTTCTCGTTCTATTACATCGTAAGACAGCGATCCGGTTATGTTCCACGCTGGGTGAGCCATCGTACAATGTACATTGATACCACACCAAAGTTTTTGTACGAATTAGTGCGATAACTTCCATTCGAATTTTAATATGCCGGCGTTGTTTCAGATCAAATACAAAATAAATAAATTTACATAAAAGTTGGTGGTTGATGTTATCTCGCCAGCGATGCACATTACGATGCCCAGCCCGCACTCGTTGGTGCGTGGCGGTGACTGCGTGCTATAAACCACGAAATTACTGCGCTTTTCTGTGAATCGGAAAAAGCTCTGGATTTCGAAAAGGCGGTCTCAGTTGCCACTTCACGCCGAGAAAAGTTACACAACTGCGCAGGATCATATCTAATGTCGTATTAATTTTATCGAACACTTTTTTTATTTTTTTCGAACTTAGTAGATCTTAATCCAGAACATAGCATTCGCATTTTTAGGCTCCTATCCGGTATTCCTGAGAATTCGTAACGTTCGAACGTTACTATCTGAACTAAAAAGCGTGCCGTGATGTCATTCACATTTTTTTATGAAACATTACTTTATTTTTCGCAGATATCCCGGAAATCGCGTAAGTTTACTGCCATTCTTGAACTATTCATCGCTTCGGTAAATCGTGCATAAAAAATCTATTCTTCATCTTCATCGTGAATGCCATTTAATTCCTGAGCAGATTTATCACAGTTTATGTTCCGACTTCGAAATAACTCATCCAAAATCTCGGGAATTTTCGTGATAGCATTTTCCGCCCCGGCTGTCTTGATAGCCATCAAAGGCTTCATGGCGATTTTGAGGGAATCATATAGACCAGGATACAAAAGCTCCTGTGCGGCCAGCAATTGCTTCACTCTAAATCGTTCCTTCGGGACTTCAAAACATGCAGGACAATTTTCCGCCACAACCGGTAAATGTCGACTCTCGGCGAAGTGTCGTGTATCTTTTTCTCTGACGAACACTAACGGCCGGATCATCCGAAGATCGCCTTCTATCTGTAATGCATTCGTAGAAACTAGGATGCATAACTACTTATACGCACCGGAAAATAAGCCAGCTGGACTCAACTTACCACAGTATAAGCGGCCTTCATTGTTCGTAACCGGCCGTTGTGAAAAACCGACATGAAAAAGCTACAAACAAAATTAATACTGCATAAATACCGAACTACAAAATGAAGTATCGCCTGAAATACCTTTCGGCCAGATCATCAAGATGTTGTCCGAAGGCTAATACATTGTAGCCTTCTCGACGAGCGCAGCTGTAAAGTCTGCCACGTTTCATGCGACTGCAAGGTAACAAAAAGGACTTCAGTCTTAAAGAACTTTAGTACGAATTCATTAAACGACTCCATGGACATTCGAGAATTATTTGACCAACCTGCAAAAACTGCATATGGAATTACATTCTTCCAAGGCGGCAGCTTGGTCCATAATTCCTGTAAAAGTTAGGCTATAAGTATGCTTTTTTACAGTTACGCCACGCAATTTAATTTACTGTACCTTGTCGTTCGTAAAAATAAGGGACATCAAGCGCCTTTAAATACGGAATAAGGGAGCTCGGATCATAAGAGGAAGTAAGCGGATCAACAGTTACGGCACCCACTTCGATTCTCAAACCCTATCAACGGAAATGTAACACAAATAAATACAAGCAAATACAACTCATACAGTAATACTTTTTGTATTTATTGTTAACGTTAACTCAGCCCGTCCTGTAAGTATAAACTCTTACGCGGACATTTTTCACATTCAGCGCGTCAAGTACGTACTTGTGATTTTCCATAAAATTTGAACTGCCGCATTGCGTGAAGTAAACTGAGAGAATCCTTTCCTCCTGTTTCAATGTGCAGTTGTAATGAGTTTGTTAACAAGTATCCGCAATATATCTAGTTCTATACCAATGACATACCTACAGCTTACTCATGCGGTCATACCTGATAAACAAACCAAAACCTTGTCGCCGTCCTTAAGCATACCGAATTCGTTAATAGCCTAGAATACATTACATTCATAAATTAATCGGCCGATCATGATTACTTCCTGCTCTTCCATATTTTAAATATGGGAGGTTCAAAAACTCACCGTCAACATCGGCTTCCATATGGCTTTCGTGGGGCTGTGCCATTTTGCAGTAACGGAATTCGATAAATAACTGTTATCTGTTTTAATTTGTTCATTTGTCTTCGGTCGAATCACACAACAACGATCTCGTTTGGCATCAACGGATGCGCATTCAAGAGATTGATCACAGCAGGAAGATGATCCAAGTTCGCCAGACCGACGAGGCATAAACGGCATTTGTGCACGCTGCGGCAGTGGCATTATGTTGCACAATAATCGGCGCGCTTCGCTAGGTAAAAGAAACCATCGCAAACTGGACGCTTTAGGATCAAATGCAACGTCCTGATCGACCAAATGTGTGCGGTAAGCCAATTTAACTGCGTTCTCCAATATCTCTCGCGCTGCAGCCAACACGGCGGCATAATTTTCAGGAGGATCGGGTTTGTATGTGAAGTTTGGATAGGACAATCCGTCAGCGGTAAACTGTATACTACTGAGCCATTTGCGATCTTGGAAGAGAGTGTTGTCTTGGTGCCGCCATTCTCCTGTTTCGGGATTGAATCTATACAGAGGCAACAGTTTCCAGCCCACTTGGGCGACCATTTTCACGGCCTCGCAGACAAAATCGATTTCCTCGTCGGTAAAAAAATACGGCAGGTTAATGCGTACAAATCCTGGACGCAGTACTTCTCGCTGTGAAAATTCCACTTCCCATCGGTGCATTTCTAGCCGAGGATCTTCCAGCAATGTTCTTTCAATCTCTTTGGAAAGCTCGTTGACGATGCCAAGAAGAGACTGCGCGTAAGGTCCAGCGCAAGCCTAAAACAGGAAAAAATTTACGACTCATACGAGTACAAAGAAATAAGATATCTGTTATTTATGTATTAAACCATTCACCTCCTTTCATTTAGGTAAGAATCACAATAACAGTGGTTATTTTCAGAGTTCGGAAATTTACGTTGACAAATTTTGGTTTAACATAAAAAACCGATCACACGACATACACAGCCTGATCGGGATTGTAGCCCAAAAAGATCGTTTAGGACAGCGCTGACGAAATTATGATGTAACAAACGATTCGTACTGGCATCCTGGATAACAAACGAGAATATCGGTAGTCTAGGCGCTCGCATATTTCCCAAAAGAATCAAATTCTCAACACCGCTCCAAGCTTTGAAAGCGCGCTCCACAATTTCAGAATCTCGCTTCATAATTACAGAAGCAGTAATAGCATCCTTCAGACGAAATACCAAGCCGGCTCGAATCGATTCCACTATCGCGGCAGTGCCACCTTCTTCACGATTTTCGATCTCCTTCAGATAGCGATGATTCTCAGAATCCACGAAGAACACCGTGCCACCGCCATGGTGCTCCGGGACAGGATTTTTAAAGAGGTGCTTCTTAGCGATCAAAACTCCAGGTGTGCTTACTCCTCCGATAAATTTGTGAACGGAAAAAACAATGGCATCTTTATGGGCATATCGCTTTGGATCATCCGGAACAAGCGGATTCATGTCGATTTCGTTGTAAGGAGCAGCTGCTGCATAATCCCTTTAAAGATATATAACGTCTGCCACAGGAAGACGACCGCCACGAAATTAACGAAGAAAAAGCACAACAGAAAAGTACCGCGAAGATCTTATAATCTGAGCATTTTTAATAAAATTACAAAAGCGATAAAGAATTTTGCTTTAACAGGGTCGGATCAAACAAACTGATGTTCGTTAAGCTTAAATTTTGAATCAGTTTTACTGTATTATAGTCTGTATATACAAGAATGAAGGAAACAATACGTACTCGTATAGCCGTATATCGACGCAAAACTATATCTTGTTGCCGTCTGAACAACAAAGTATTAAATAAAAATACAAAGAATCAACAGGTGCTTACCAAATAGCTAGCGCACTATAACGATGGAGCAAAACGGTTATCAGCGTGGTATCCGACATAATTCCAGTAATATTGGAAGCCGCGGAAAAGCAACCAATTAACTGACGCTTGCTTCCCGAATGCTTTTTCAATGCATCCTCCAGGAATACTGTATCAATCGTTCCTTCCTCATTTTCCGGAATTAAAATAACTTCGCTGCCGCTCTCCCGCCACGGAAGTAAAACAGAATGGTGCTCAAATGGGCCTGGAATAAAAATACTTAAACCGATCGGATCCACTCCATAACGACTACAAAATTCCGAAGCCGAGACAAAATGCTCACCTACAAAAACAACCGCTGGCTCTTTTAAATTCATCGCTCGTATGAGCTTATGCATGGCGCCCGTGCATCCCGAGCCCACAAACAGGACGGCATCGCTTTCCGCAGCATTCACGGAATTGCGTATGATGGAGCGCGCTTCTTCCCGAAACAGTGTGGTTTGAAGGGATGTCACCGAAATGGTAGTATGAGTGTTTCCATAATGCGGCTGACGTAAAAATCAATTACAGAGCATCACAACAAAAATAAAAACGGTAATAACTGACTCGTAGCGGATACCATTATAAGAAGTGCGTCTACTCACCAGTATTTGATCACGGATATAGTCCTCTATGAAAGAAAGTGATCTGCCCGACGCAGTGTAATCGCAGTATACAACACGACGATTTCCGAACGGAGAACGGAATACCAATTGGGTTCCAATTACGCTCTTGCTGATCACGGGGAACAGGTCCGAACCTTCGCAGCGCTGAGATTTTTGTCCACTTTTTGAATCTAGGTCCTTCTCCGGCTTTTCAAGGGAAGGACTTCCATGAAGTTTTGGAATATCATACAACTTCCGGTGCCCAAACGATCTTTCCGGTTCTGGAGCAGTCAGAATAGCGAGATTATCCATAATCAAGTTCAGAATGCTGAACGGATTGCCGATCATCTAAAGCCTGAGACAAGTTCGCTCAATCAAAAGGCTCAAGAGCCAAACATTGTCATCGATATAGGTAAAAGCGGGTGGAACGGAAATGGATCTACTAACTTTTATTTGACAGAAAAAATCCAAACCTCTGCCAGTTAAATTGCTGAAACCAACCAGACAGTCAAAATTTCACAGAGAACTGTAAAAAATTTGTAAACGTTTGCGACCACAAACCGCGGATCGTGACTAACCGGGCGGAAGCAATTTCGGCACCTCATGAATGGATGCCAGACGGCTCCAGGGGCCAGACTCATTCATTACGAAAATGGCAGCTCTAGTGTACTCCACGTTGACACCATTCTGATTGAAGTTTGCCGCCTAATCGCTCGCTCGTTCATTTGACTTTCTTATCAGAATCAGAGATCTGTTTACATTTTAACTTTACCACAGATGTTTCGTTTGAAACTTCCGTACGAATACAGAGCAAGCGTTCGGTCCTCATGGCACGTCAACGGTAGATATGCATGAATTATGGCTCCATAAAAAGGTTAATGGATCTTGTCTGGTTTGACATGTGTGCAGCTTCTTTGTTAGCCGTGAAATTCCTGATCGTAAAACTTCTATGATCACTTTGATGATTTGTCTGTTGCTTCTGATAAACGCTTACGTTGACGCTTTTTATCCTACGTGAAATCCTCTACGAATTTGGCATTGAACCGGAGTGAGAGCGTATTCACCTTAGTGATGGATGCCAAATATGGCTACGATAGGCTGGATGCAGATTTTGGATCAGGTGATCAGCAGCAGCATTTCGACTATTGGGATCTTAATTTGAATCAGCTTTCCGAAGGCCGAGTGAGCGATGTTGCGGACAAAAACTACCCGGGCATGAAATCTGGAGATCTTCTTGCGTTGGGATCGTTTGGTGACGAAGAATTCCGCGATGCAGCGGAGGTCCTTCAAAATCATAGTCTGCAGGATCTGTTGAAAGCGGACGTCGATCTGGAGAATTCGGGCGTTCACACGAGTTTCAGAGTTCCGCGGACATCCTCCATGTCAACGGATAGTTCAGGCAGTATATCGGCTAACAGTTATTTTTTCCGTCGATCACAGCTGCGAGTGGATGGGTTGGAATTATTTTCCGCAGAGAAACTCCAGTTTCAGGTATGATCGATGTTTATAAAGTTAACGGTGTCATCCGCTTCGGCCTTCTGATCTCACTGGACACTTGTTTCTTCAGCGATTTTTACTTTGCGTTGCTGTTGTACTGTAACTTGTTGTACATTCTCTCAGTACTTTCTTTCGTAATAGTATTTTGAAATAGTTCTTAAATTGGGTTTAAAAATTCAAATTTTTCGGAGATTTTGCTGATCGAGTCGGAAAAATTATGAAAAATCAAAATTGTGAAGTTGAGACAGGACTGCTAAGTTAACGAAATTATTCAAAAGGTTGGAGAAAACGAGTACTGGCACAGACTGGCACTTATAATATATTTTGTATGTGTTATTTGGACCCTAATCGGAAAGTACACCATAATCGCCGCACTGTGATGAGGATGTTTCTGCAAATTTCAGGTATTCCATGCGATCTGACGGTGTAACAAACGACTTTTGCTGCTTGTAGGTTGGCGGATTACACGAATCGGAAGAAGAACTGCACGAAAGCGATTCTCGCCGATCAACGCTGACGAAGAACACTTTTCCGGTCCATGAACCACTTATACAGCTTCACCAAAAAAATGCTCTCGGTAAAACAGTTTCCTGATATTTGCAACCATAGCTTGTAAGTTTCCTTGCAGGCTCAGTATTCGTTTGTTTTATGTTTACTTACAGAGGGGGATCGTGTTTTGAAAAGTCGACCGTCATCTGCGTCGAGCTCTTCTTCGCGACGAAGCAGTATCAGCACTCATGCTGCGCTGGAAGAACTCAATCGCATCGTGGCAGAATTCTCCGACGATGAGAGTGAGGACGCTTCTTTCCGCGGGAGTAGGGGTTATAAACCACAAGTGCAAATTAAACCGTCGAACGAAGCTGATGTCTCCGCACAGCAGATTCTGCGAGATATCGAAAATAACGCGCGGCGAACTTTGATTCGTGAGTTTTCCCCGGAAAAGCCGGCAGTTTTCCCCTCACAGTCTTTGTTGACGCCCGTCTCATTGCCGCACACCAAAGAGAATTCCGTTTTGAGGGAGACTTCTTGTGATAGTATGGGTGGTCGTCCGTCCCGAAAAACTCATCTGATTAACACTGCTGCCATGGAACGTCGCAAAGAAGTGCTGATCGACAAAGCCCGAAAGCATGATACTGCAGTGGACATGCAAGTGAAACGGTTGCATGACAGCGAAATGAAAGCCAGTCACAGTCAAGCGGTGATGCAGAAAGCTGATGCCATTCTTGCCCGCCTACGTCAGAAACACATTCAAACACAAAACGTTAATCCCGTACAAATGCAAAAACGCGCTGATCCAGCTCCCCGCATGCAACGCAGTCAACCTGTTGTCCAAGCCGAACTCGAGGATGATATCTTTGATCCACGCTTTTCCTTTACGTCTCAGCAGATGATTCATGAGCCCCGCTTCCATCCGATCCCTCTTTCCGAAAATAATGCTGACAAGTCAATTCAGACGGATAATGTACCATCAACGGGGACGAACAAACTGGAAGAGTCGCTGCTTGAACAGTCAATGTATCCAGTTGGAAATTCCGAACCGCCGCGGGATATTGTTTTGGCTACGCATCAGATTTTCTTCCCCCCAACTGAACTAGGAGAATCATCTACGGCAAAACTGCAGATCAAAAACTACACTCCCATTACACATCAGGTAGGAAATTTGCGAAAACTGTTACTGTTGGTTCGCGGATGTTGTTTCTTCCATGCCATAGTTTTTGTCAGTGGCTTCTGTAAACTGCTCATGTTCCGCAACATTACTTTTTGCAACTAGAATGCGTAGTGATAGTATTTGACTGCGGCTTTAATTTTTGTGTGTTGTATCGGGGTTGTATCGTGTGGGTGTTTTGTGTGTTGTATCGCAGTTGACCTTTTCGCCGCTGACCTTGCCCTTTCAAAAGAGATACGAAACTTTGAACGTCCAGCCGCGCCGGTATGTGAACATTCCTTTGCGGTTTTTGCCTCGTGCTACGGGATACTTTCAAGCAGAAATGTCTGTTACGGCTGGATATAACGGGAAATCCTATCGAGTACACCTAGTTGGAGAAGGCATTCCAAAACTGAGCGGCTGATAGGCATGTTGTCCACTTCCGCAAAAGGGACCAGATATCCTTGGCGATGCTATTGCATGATAATTAAAATCTTTTGGTGGACTGAAATTTGTTTAAAGTATTGCTGTTATTATGCCCTGCAATAGTTTTTTTTCGCTGCTCTGTTTTCGAAATGGTTAATGGGGCTTTTAGAAATTAGTATAATGCAGTGTAAAATATGGTTTAGAATGCTGAATGGGTATCAATTTGTTTACATTAAATTTGTGTTTTTCTTTTTTTCATGTTTTGAATGTTTCGAATTTGTTTTAGCTAGAAATCGCTGATTCAATGAAAGGGAAAAAAATCATATCTGGGAATTTGTAACGTTGTTTTAAACGTATTTTTGTATGGTTATCTTGTACGTACTGTATGCGGGCGCAGTTTTACTCATACGGTACTAACCATACGTAAAGTAGTATCTGCCCAAAACACACCTGCAGTGATGCAATCGTCTTTTACCGTCTGTTTGAAACACTCGCTGTTTTGACTGATCGACAAGGAAACAATTTTAACTTGCATCCTTGGTTAATTGTCCACCGCTTTTGGTTATCTTTTATCTCTGTGTTTATTATTAGTGAGAGTGTTAACCATTTTGCGTAATTTTCATTTGACCATGTTGCCAATCTCACCACAGCAGCAGTCCAAGAATTTTCACATTCGCTGGCAGAGCCGCGAGTATGATCACGGACAGCGCCCTTGCTTTCCGAAATCCCCGGTTGATGTCAGTTATCTTCTGGACAAACAACGCATTGTCTGCTTAGAATCTCTAAAATGCCCACCAGAATTCGGATACTGTACGGGAGCGGCGTTTGTCCATGACAATCACAACATGGTGGTGATGAAAACGGCCACGGGCCATTTGGTGTCCGCCAGTGTCAATCGCGTTGGCAGGTCCAGAGTAAGAATCGAGATTCTCTGTTACGCTATCAGTTCTTTGCCAACCTTTGCACTGTTGTTTAATTTGGCAATGACGTTTTATAATATTAATGTTACCCTCGTTTTAATTGAATTCACACTGGATCGCGAACGTTTTGTAGATTTTACATTCCCAGTGCTTTACCAATTTCAACTGTCGTGATACCAATCTGCAAGCACTGCCAACGAATTCCCACCGTGTGCTGTCCTCGTGCCTGGGTTGTTCATCCAGTTTATATGCTACCCGGTATGACAAGCATCGCGCCAGAATCTGGAATGTGTTGCCGAATGGCCAGTTTGAGGCATTGGTGGTGGTCAATAATTTCACGCTGGCCCAAGCCGCCAATGTGCATGAAAATCTCCTGCTGGGCTGCACCAATGTTCAGCATTTGGTCAACCGATACTCTGTAAGTGCAAGGTTTATAATTTTCTATCGGATAAATACTGGTGGTGATTGGTGAGCATTACTTAAATACTGCATAATTATATAGACGTAGCTCAACTGACTAATACTTAATTGCATTACAACTAATTTTGCCTATTCAGTTTTAGAGACAAAAATTAGTTGTTAGAAACTGGAGCATTTCTTAAACACAATAAAAATTATGATGAATATTGACGAAGGAACAGCGGAAATGACATCTTGTGGACAAAACTGAACAGACATTCTGTAGAGTTTGTGCATCTTGTTTTTGTACAAAAAAGTCAAGCAACGGAAAATAATGGAGTTCTTGTATTTTCATTGGCAGATCATGGATTATGTGAGCGGTCAAGAAGTCATTAATTTTGGAAATATCCCTGCGAGTATCGACTGGCCCGGTTTGCCTGCTTGGAGTCCACTGGACACCACGGTGGCGTTATTAGGCGGTTTGTGGGACACTCGCAGCGGTAAACTCGCGCATCAGCTGGTCATGGTGGACTCTATGCTGTCAGCACGAGCACCGACTGGTTTGGTTCATGACGCCAAAATCGGGGACTGCCATTTTTTCCATCCCGGTGGGACGACGGTTGTTGTTGGGCCAAAAATTGTAATTATTTTCAAGCATTAATGATGCTTACATTTTCATCACTCGCTTCTTTTTTTCAATCCTGTCGATGCATTTGTCTGTAATTACTAGTAGTAATTAAAGACAAAGGTAAGAAAAAGAAGCTACACAAAAAAAACACTATAAAAAATTATCGCGTTACTGGTTAGTTATAACACGGACGCAGTTCTCACTGTACTGTACCATGCTCAGTCTGATTCTAAATCTTTTTGGAGTCTCGTATAGCGTCCTTCTTTATTTAGTGTACGCATTCTCCCTATGAGAACATTCAGAGAGTATTCTGCGTGAGATATTAGGCACTGTTGAAAGAGTTTTTAACAGATTTGTCCGTTTTTAACAGATTTAACATTTAAATTATTTTGCAGTTTGATATTCGGACATGCAGACTGCTTGCCACTTGTCCCGGGTTTGCCGATGCATTTATACAGTTCACGGAAATGGGCAACATCGTGTACAGTTTCGACATGATTGAACCGGCTCCCTTGCTGATGTATAACGCTAAAGATTTCACCAAACTTGGTATTACAGGAACCTTTCTGGCAATTGTACGATAGTTAATTAATTAACAGCTGAAATAAATCCATGGCTGTTATTTGCAGGGGCATTTACAGATTTCATGTTGCATGTGGCGGTTGTTGACAAGCATGATGACCGTATCCTTGCCCAGCCTAGCAATGTGAAGTCTCCTGTGTTTTTGGGTCTGCGGTCCGTCGACAATCCAGCACCTCAACGCGAACCATGTAAATTGTTCTTCCGTTATAATACCGGCATTAGTCAAGTGAGACTAGTTAAAAGGTTTTATTTTCTGTCGTAGCGTCCGGTAATAGTTCAGTTCGATGTCAGTGGTCACACCTGCCAAATTCCGTACCGCAACAACCGCCTGTCGTCTTGGCGCACGATAGCGAAGACGAGGACGACACTGATCTTTCCGTTAATTTTGACATGCTGGTCGATGAGAGCAGTTCGGCGGAATCGCACGATAGTTGCTTTGATGCGGACACCGACGAACTTGACGATTGATTTTTGCCAAGCCTCCTTTCGGTTTTGTTGCGGTGAATTTGAGCGTTTACACGTCTGATTTATTCAAGAGTTTTGCGTTGTGGTAAACCCAGTTTCCATTAAATCCAGATTTCTGTTCGTGATAGTAGGCAAGCCGCAAGCCTGATGATGCTTTCGCCCTTTTAGAGTTTTCACAATATATGCCTGCCGAGTTTTAAGAGAGTTTTTAAATTTATTTCTCGCTGTATCGAGTTTTGCCGTTATTATGGTCAATACGACGTTGCATGCGTTTTTTAGCCGCGCGTTATCTATGTCATCCAAAGAAGGAAGTTCCAGAATTGGCGAATGTTTACCTAGTTCTGATCAGTTACTGGGATAAACAAACAACGTTCGTAAACAACGTTTATAACATACCACAAAATACAAAGTGCACAAACGGTAAAGCAAACAACCCTTCGTAGCACACCATCATTTTGTACAATCGATAGATATCTGCAGTAGAAAACGGAAAATATTTCAAGTCAGCTCGGATAAAATAATGTACTGTAAGTATTTCACCGGATGCATCAACGGCGGGAGAAAACTAAAAAATAGTCGGATGGCCGAATTTTTCTACAAAATAAATTACAGATACAATTAAACTCTAAAAGCACCGGAATACAAGCAGCAAATAATGTATCATGATCATGGAAACTGCTGAGTGCCCATGCTATGCATCACTTGGCGGAATATCGTCGAAGCAGCAGAATGTGACAATTATCGCACACCCGCACTGGTTTAGGCAAGGACGGCGCAAGACAAAATATGCAACATTTGTTCTGGATTGCAGCGTTATGGCTTCTATCACCTGTTTCCGCTTCAGAACGCTGACGGGCGTCGTTCTGCACAGGGAGCATACGAGTACTCATCGTCGACTTCGTAGTTCCAACAGGCATTCTTGAAACGCTGCTAGACTGCAACATAGCATAAATATGACTAACCAGTTTAAATTAAAAACTTCGAAAAATAGGTATATCCTTTTTGTACAGTTTTACGTTTTTATTAATTAACAAATTAATTTGAAATTTTCAGTCATAAAATGTCTAAAGTGATAAAAGCTCTTACGGATCACTCCTATTCGCAAATCGCAAGTGCTCAGATTAAACTGCACATAAACCATGGTTTATCTACAATATGTATTCAATCTACATAATGATGTATTCCAGTTTTTTTCTTCAATATAAGTACTATATATTCCAATCTGGCTATTCTATCCCAGTCTAGGCATGTATTCCAACCTGCGCCAACTCCACAAGTTTACAAGAGTGTCTCGTATAGCTACGCCGCTTTGTTTCCTATCTGATACCGAATTAATAGCATTTCCAGCCGTATGAATGACTTTCGTTTTCTGATCTGAAAGATCACCTTAACGTTTGTAACTTCCATTATTGTTTCTCGATCCAAATATTCTAACATTTGTGCACATTCACGTTTCAAAAACGTTTCAAAAAAGCGAGTTTGCAGATTTGTGTGGACCATCTGAAACAGTTTGCCCATTTGAATCCGGCATATGCGCGTATGTGGTGCATTATTACTTACAATATAATTATGTTACTGACTAAACACTGATTAAAATATTACTGCATAAAAACAGCTTCTCTACGACCGATGCCGTCTTCCCCAAGAAGATGCCATCGGTCTACGCGCATCGTGATTTGGAAGCCTGTGATGCGTAACTGCTCACAATCAGGTCTTTAATGAGAAAACGTTTGTTCCTACATTAATATTTGTTAGGCTTGCAGTCTACCTTGATCGTGAGCAACGAGGGTGAACTGCGATGTTTTGTTTCAACGTTTAAGTTTGGAGATTATGCGTGGTAATGCTATGAGTGTATTGTGCACAGTCCCTTCTCATGTAATTTGGGACAAATTCTTCATTTGAATATAATTGTTGAGCGAAGCTCGCTTTGTACATATTGAGAAATAAAATCATATCTCAGTTCAAAAAAACTGCGATTATGCTACAAGGTTTTTTGCATGCCGTACGTAAATACTCGTACAGTAGTAGTACTTATCGTTAATTAACAATAATCACTACTTGTGCAGTCACTACGACCGCTGCTATCACGTAGTGTAGTGTAATGCCTTGCTAGTACCTAAACCAGCGTCCCAATTTTTTATTTTATTAATTTCCCGTTTATAAAAACTGTGCACTGTGCACGCATCCGTCAATTTGTACAAGCAGAAGCCATTTACATTTATTAAACTATAAAAACCCCACAATTAGAACAAGTACTAGTAAAATAACTCCTCTAACTTTCGAGAACATCCAACCGTGCCCAGTACAGAAGCTGCGTTTCCGCGCTGAATTTCCACGCTTATTCGCTGCCACAAAATTCAGTAGCGCGCGCTTCTCCTGTTTCATGTTTGCTCTTTGATACACCGGCCGACATCACAGATGAACTAGTACTTAAATATTTTTTACTTATTGGCGTAAAGAATTTGTATGTACTAGTACTTGTACGTTACAATACTGTACTGTACTAGGGCGTGCTATCCTCGCTTTTTGCAGTCATATCTACATACGATATAGAATATTCTAAATTTTTATAGAAGATTTGGAAACCAATTCAGTAATGGAGGGTAGGAAAAATGAAGATAATCCACTGACTCACGCCCATTGCGCAAAAACTAGGAAAAGAACCCGCAGTCCAGGTGCAAGCAGCTCACCGTCAGATCTTAAAGCGAAAACGATGCCGACAAAGCTTTCGAATTCTCCGCGACTCGTGTCCAAGTTTCTTAAAGTCTACAAGGGTGTGGATGATTGGCATATCCCGATTTTCCGAGCGGTCCAGTCTGCCGTAAACGCCCGCAAAGTCTTCTACCCTGGCTGCGACAAACACATCACCGCATCTTTAATTTTTCCTGATGTAACGTACCTGGACATTTCTCGTGATATCGCGCCGTAATTCGCCGATCCGGGTATGCTCGACTGGGTGGAGCAGCATAAAGAATACACCAACGAAACCACAGTGAAGTTTTTGTGTGATAATTTCCAGTCGGATTTTGGCGTAAGTTGCAATTCTTTCGACCTGATGATATCGGCATGTGCCGGTATCGTATCCAAATCCTGCTCCAAGTATATAAAAGTGGGTGGTCATCTCCTCGTTAGCGATGCGCATTACGATGCCCGGCAGGCATTCGTCGATCCCTGTTTCAATTTAATTGCGGTTTATGAAGAACCGAAAAAGGCTCTGGACTTCTCGGAAGACGGCCTCAGTGGCCACTTCACGACGACAAAAGGCCACACGATTACGCAGGATCATGTTCAGGAAAGCATCGAAAGAGCCAAAAACAAACGCTCGTTCAAACTTATTAAAGAGGCCATGTTTTACCTGTTTGAAAAAATCATTTGATAACCACTGGCCAGTGCTTACCGACATTTTGTCTGCGTAGCAAAACTATTTGGCGCTATGTCGCTTTCATTTTTCTATGACTATGTTGCTTTCATTTTTCTTTGTGCATACTCGTATAATATGTAATGTTATTTATGAACAATTGTACCCAGTACTTTCTATAATGTGTAGAAATAGTGTCTATATATAGCATACTCGTATAGAAAATGCCTAAGTGCATACTTTGATACCGGTTAATAAAGTTTAATTAATGCAATAAAGTTTAGCGTATGTCCTAGCAATGTGAAGTCTCCTGTGTTTTGGGTCTGCGGTACGTCGGCAATCGAGCACCTCTACGCGAACCATGTAAAATTGTTCTTCGGTTGTAATACCGCTTAATTAATGAGCCTGTCGTCTTGGCGCACGATAGCGAAGAAGAGGGCGACACTTGACCTTTCTGTTAATTGTGAAATGATGGAATGACGAGAGCAGTTCGGTGGAATCGGACATAGTTGCTTTGATGCGGATATTTTTGCCAACCCTCCTTTCGGTTTTGTTGCGGTGAATTTGAGCGTTTACACGTTTGATTTATTCAAGAGTTTTGCGTTGTGGTAAACCCAGTTTTCATTAAATCCAGATTTGAGATTTCGGCTCGTGATAGTAGGCAAGCCTGATGCTTTCGCCCTTTTAGAGTTTTCACAATATATGCTTGCAGAGTTTTAAGACAGTTTTTAAATTTATTTCTCGCTTGTATAGAGTTTTGCCGTTATTACGGTCAATACGAGATTTCATGCGTTTTTTAGCCGCGCGTTATCTATGTCATCCAAAGAAGGAAGTTCCAGAATTCGTGAATGTTTACCTAGTTCAGATATACGGAAATAAATTTGTAAACGACGTTTATAACATACCACCCACAAAATACAAAGTGCACAAACGGTGAAACAGACAACGCTTCGTAGCACACCATAATTTTGTACAATCGAAACATATCTGCAGTAGAAAACGGAAAATATTTCAAGTCAGCTCGGATAAAATAATGTAAGTATTTCACCGGATGCATCAACGGCGGGAGAAAACTAAAAAATAGTCGCATGGCCAAATTTCTCTACAAAATAAATTACAGATACAAATAAACTCTAAAAGCACCGGAATACAAGCAACAAATAATATAGCAAGATCATGGAAACTGCTGAGTGCCCACGCTATGCATCACTTGGCGGAATATCGTCGAAGCAGCAGAATGTGACAATTATCGCACACCCGCACTGGTTTAGGCGAGGACGGCAGTGACATTTTATTGTCCGAGCAGGGATTACAAAAAGTCCCTCCGCAATGACGACAGTGGTGCTGTTAAAAAACCGAGTTGCAAAACATACAATAATCGTGACCAAACGTATTTCCGAAATACGTATCATTTTGATATTCCATTCTATAATAAAACGCACCTTTCTTCTGGCAACCGTGAATGCTGCAAAAAAGTAAAACCATTAGCAAAGAGCAACCAATTAGAATAACGTACATAATGATGCAGGGGTGCATTTTGAACATAATTCGAAACTTACGCTTTTCGCATAATTTGCAGCTGGTAGCGTCCTTCTCCCATTGTGATGCTGTCGGGTCCAGCTGCGACGTGACCTCTTTCATTTCGGCAACTTTCACTTTTTGCCTGCAAAAGTATTCGGGTCATTAAAGCAAATCCACCGCGTTGTTCTACGACAATTTTTGGAACGCTTCCTGACAAAAGTAGTATCATACTCGCTCAAATGTGTGCTAAGTTCCGCTAAAGTTTCCTCTTGCTCGTGGCTCATCTGCTGCAGCACGTCATGTTCATTGCGAAGTTTTTCATAACTCTGACTGATATTCCGAATGCTTTGAATTTCGCCCTGCAGTTTTTGCAGTTCATTCTGCTGTTCAGTTAAGGAACCCCATCAAGTTGGCTTTTTGTTCCTGTTCCATGCGAAGATCTGTTTCTAAAACCGATCTGCAGAAACCAAAGCATAACAACTGCACTGCTTGTTCATACGCATCGAACGATCTTCATACCTAGTCACATCCGTTTCCGCCAGTTGCATACTGAGCTTCCTGGCTGTTTCTTCCGCCGCTCGCCGCTCACTGTCTAGGATCTGTATACGATTTCCGAGCTGCAACATTGTATCTCCCATCTGCTGCATTTTCTGCTCCATTCTTGCCACTAAATCGGACTGAAAAATTCGAAAGTCTCCACATTATGCTAGGCATGGTAATCACAAAACTCACGAAATTACCTTATGCTTAAGAGCATTCTCAGCGGTTTGTAATTTCTGGTACATTTCTAGATTAACAAGCTTCAGGTCATCCAACTGCTTTCTCCACACAGAAAGCAATTCCTCTTTCTCCTGGATATCTCTTTCCATTAACTTCATAGCCGCCTCCGTTTCCATACGGATATTTGTCTGAAGTTTTAGCTCGCGCTCCAAATCTTGCTTCAAAGCTAACTCGCGTTCCAGTTTCAGCTGTACACCGGACGAATTCGAAGGATCGAAACCCGCACGCGATGCTTCGCCTGAATTATCATCCCGCCCAGTCTAAAAGCAATAATGTAAAACAAACTGTTGAAATAATAGTGCTAGGGTAGTACTGTGGCAGAAAATGGAAACGCGCTGCAAACAGGATTCCTGATTACTTTTTTGTTTAAATTTTATCAGTACCACTACCACCATACCTTTTGAATCCGTTCATTTACTAATTTGAGATCCTGATTTTCCAGCTGCGCGGTATTAGCTAACTTTCTCGCATCCTCCAACTCTGTGCTCAGTTTTGTATTCGAAGTAGTTAAAGTTTCACATTTACTTTCCAGATTATCCAGCTGGTATCTGCAATGCAGTGATTGTGCATTGAGCAGGCACAGACATTATTTCTGCTGCACAAACGGCATTTTGCTGATTTCTACAAATCTAACAACAAAATATAAAAAATCCTCATCTATATAGAATGTAAAGTGGAAACAGCATTCCTTATCCAAAGAAATTGCAGCTAGTAAACGTTAGAACAGTAACGAAAGAAAAAAATTCGAGATGTAGGTGCTAATATTAATTTTTCGTAATTCATCGCAAAAATCTGCTGTTGTAAGACTACATTGTATATATACTAGTAACAGCAATTAGGAAATTAGTTTTTTCGCGTTTGCAAATGGTCATCAATGCTTCGAAACATTTCAATAAATTCTTAAACTCTCAATCCTAAAATTCAAACATTAAAAGTTCGCAACAAAAGAGTTCTGATCTTACTTTAAATGAGCATTCAATTCCTCCAGATAATTTTTCTGATCCAAAATCGCTTTCAGTCCCATTTCACCATCGCTGGCCGGTGGCTCCTGCGCAGGTTGACTGCGTGTCTTCAAATACGGCAACAAACAAATCATCTGAAAATCCCGATCCAAATCCTCATCCTTCACGCACAGATTATAGTCAATGAAATTCAGTCCAACCAACAATCCCGCCACCACACTGCTCTCGTCGTTCATCAGCATGGCGCCGTTCTCGTAGCAGTCAGCCAGCAGACTGTCCCGATGATCCACCAATACTTTGAAGTAATCCGGGAGTTTCTTCTGCATCAAACTCAACCGAATCCATGCGCGCACCTTCCCCATGGGTGTCTCAATGTGCGATAGATTCCGACAGGATTCCGTGACTTCTTTCGATTGTGGACAGACGGTCTCGAGACTCTCCAGAATATTCCAGATATCTTTCGTGCGCGATGACAGCAGTCCTTTCGGTTTGGGTCTGAAGCCATGTTTTAAAATCTGTTCGAGAATGCTGAAGAGATGCTGTAGTGGTTGGAACTGGCCGGTGACGGTACGATCCAGTGGCATGGATGTTTCGATAACATCCTTGACGATCAGCTGCGTTAAGCCCAGCATGTTTTTACGCTCGATCTCCATGGTTTTGTCGCCTGCAAGACAAAATATGCAACATTGTTTTGGACGGCTGCGTGATGGCTTCTGTCACCTGCTTCCGCTTCAGAACGTTGACGAGCGTCGTTCTGCACAGGGAGCATGAAATCGGGGAGGATGTCCAGAGAGAATCCGCGCGGAACATGCACCAGATGCTTGCGCTGCTCGGCGAATGTCTTCGTTATCGGACTGGTGAGGGCAGCGTAGAGCGATGGGCTAACAGACTGCCCCTGGTCGCTCATGGTGATAGGCTTGACAGATAAACGCAAACCGATAAGCAATCAAATGAGATATCTCGACGATATAGTGGAATATTATGACGTAACGAACCTCAGGCCCTAAATTTACAGTGGTTCAATATCAGATTGTACATAATTTTTAAAAATTAAAAATATCTCTGACGTTCGCGAAGCTTATCACTTACGTTTTGCAAGATTCAATAATAAAAGAGCTAATTTTAATATGCATCATCAAATGTGCGCATAGTCATACCACTGGGATTATAGCACAGCTCTGCGTCACACGGTCTCAGCCTCATCGCCACAAATTATTTATGTTACCGTTGTTACGATTAGTATGCAGCTGTTTAGGACATTTGCATCCAATGTTTTTCACCAAAATGCGCACGAAGTCAAAAATTGGTTGCAAAATACTTGTTGTTATTGACCACCCAAGTGCGAAAAACAAGACGACTTAAAAATTTTTATGCATATATTGAAATGTAATGAACATTTATAAAGTCAGAATAATACCTCTAACAACAAACTAACAAAGCTAAAATAATTAGTAAGCTAATTGTACAGTCCTTAATATGAATTTTGACATTAAGAAGCTGTACAGAATTTTTTAACAAATTTCCTGATGGGTAAACATCAAATCTGCTTTTTCAATAAAATAATAACACAACAGAAGCCCGTTCATAAAATTAATGTAAGACAAAAACAGAATGATCGGCATTAATTTGTATTTTTGTGATCAGTCTGCTCCAAATCAGCCTAATTTACTTCGCACTGGATGTGTGCGTTACTGCATTGTGTAGCAAAATATAAATGGCTATAGCAGCAATTGCACATTTTACATTTTACTGGTGACATGTTCATAGAAAACTGGCTCAGAATTTGTAAATGCATTGTTCTGTGTGCAAGCTTTACGATTTCTTACGATCAAATGGCAGGATTATTCTCAGCTACAGTACGAGTTCAAGCTTTGCCGGTACATGATCAATCTGCAGCCGCTGGCTCATTGCCTACACGCATATCTGTGGCTGTACGTATCGAACATTCGGACTTACACTTAAATTATTATAAAAATTTAATATTACTGGCGTGTGTAACAACGGCCGCCATTTAGGAGAAAATAAATTTTTAAAATTTTTATTTACGCTGTCTTAGGAGTTTCAGAAACGCTAGAGCCTAATTGTAGATATTTGCCGATTCGAGAGCAGATTTTGATTACTCGTAGTGCCGATATTCTTAGCGCAACTGAAAAACGGTGCACAAAAAGCGTGCGAAATTAAGCAGGGGCGATCCAAGCTTTAAGGTGATACAGCAATCTAAACGGTGACCTTTAATCTGTATAAGTAATTAATTAGCACTCTGTACGAAAGCACATTTTTCGAAATCTTGGCAGCAGTTGTTAGTCGCGCGGCAACTTGTGGTGAAGCGGTGACTTTTTGGCGATGACCGGAAGTGCTTTTCCTTGCAGGTAGGGATTCTCCTTGGCGAAGGGTTTTGGATGGATGTGTTCGTTGGCAAAGCTCACGGAACGCGGGTGACGTTCATTATAACTATGAGACGCTCCGTCGCCTGACTTCTTCTCGTGAAATTTCTTTCCGCGAACAGTCTGATGAGCTCCATCGATCGAGACGCTATTCATTCCTGTGCCGGAGTTAACTGAGCAGTCGAACATATGTTCCGGATCACAGGGACAGTTCTGCTGGCTTTGATATTCCCGAGAAAATTCCGCGGTGTTCGGAACATCTTCAAAGCATCCGTCCGCAGAAGTGTACCTGGAACATTCTGTATTATTATTGCAATACTCAGTATAATGCACAAGAAGGGCATTTAAAAGTTTGAATCCACGAAACGCTACGGGATTTGCGCATAAAATAATTGGAAATAACCATCTTTGCAAAACTGCAAAAAGCTGTTAGTTATACATGTCTACAACACGTTTGACTGCTTACGGATAATTTAATTTTGTTGTAAGGTGTATACAAACTGTACAGTACAAAAACCTTCCTTAGTTCAACAATTGTCAGTAGCGTAACTGTTTTTATATCCGTGCATTTATTTGTCTTACTTCGCATAATCTGTAAAACTTCGCTTGCATGCTAAAATGTTTGCGCTCACATTACGAAGTATCAAGCAACCCAAATCACATAATTTCTTGTATACTAATTTACATTACACACACATGACCTTTAGGACGATTTGATTAGCCGTGTGCGCTGTTAACGTTTTCGATCGATGCGCTAAAATAACCTTGACTTACCCTTCAGGACACGGGTTCGGTGGATCACAATACGCGGGCAGTACGGAATCCGTCTTGACCTGATGGATGTTGGGGATGGTGCCTTCCGGTGAGAGAAACTGTCGACCTTCGCCCGCACCACCGGACAGGTACTGATGACCCCACAACGGATTATACGGAAGGTGTTCTTCGTCGCGGAGAACGGTGGAGGGAATAATAATGTCGTCCTGCACAGGCGCTCGCATCGCACCTAGTAATTCTTCCTCCGGTGTTTCCTGGTAGTAGTGACCCACTAGTTGGTTGAGGACATCCTGGAGCTTATTAATATTCTCCCCGTAGACCAGTGGGGAGAATGCGATGGTCAAATAAGAAAAGAAAAGGACAGACAGCATTTTTCGGTGTAAGCAGATGGTGTTGATGTGTTTTTAAATTCGCGAGTCCTGTAAATGGTTTTCTCCGCTGAGGTGGATCGACATGCCACAGTCGATGCATAGGCTTCTAGAAGCTGGCTCCATATGGGTATCATGGATGCCCGTGAATGGCGTCCCGGATACCATGTGATGACGCACAAGGAAAAATCGATATTGTTTTGAGCGGTCCGCGCGATGAATGTACGATAATGCCGGGACTGGCAGCGTTGTACCATAGAAAAGGAAAATACAGTATTTTCCTTTTCTGTGGTTGTACCGTGCAGCTGTACGGTGCCCGTCCTTTAAACAGGGGTATCCGTTGATCCTGGGTTCCGGGTATATCTACGGATACCACGGTTGTAATTCATTGTGCATAAGGATTTATACAGTACCATTCGCGGTGATACCGGTCTGCTTCGAAATTTACTCATCCTGAAAACATGTAAACGGCGCAACGCATGACAGTTACGTAGTGCTTGGAGTCCAGTGCACTAATGACTGCTGCTGGTGGTTTTGTCAGCCGTCGTTTCTTACATTTTGTTTTTTTTTTGCTCAAATTTGATTACGAAATAACAGAGTAGCTAATGCACCTTAAAAGTTAATCATAATTACATTGAATGAGATCCGTACCAGCTAAAATACCACACTTGAAAAAATTTATGTTGCCGTATCGCACTTTGCTTCGTTGGTTTATGTACGTATGCGGGACTCAAAAGCCGGCATTTTGACATGTTTAATTATTTTTACTTTTTTAACGCTTCTAGGCGTGGAAGTCGTGCGCATACTGGCACGAAGTACAAGTATCATCGCCCTGCTTAATCTTTCAAAACAAGTGTCATTTTCGCGATGCGTATAATCACATACCTCGTAAGTAGTTCGTACAAGCGTCGAAAGCCGAAATTTCCAGCAAAATAATTACGCTCAGTCGATCGTAAAATACAGATATAGTGGCAAAAGTGTTTAAACGCGTTTAAATTTAAATTAAAGAAGCGTTTAAATTTTAAACGCTCTTTACATTTGGCTGCCCGCTTTTCTAAAATAGAAATACTTCAGTACAGATATTTCAATACTATGAGTATAGTACTCTACCGCGTTTTATGCTAACAGTAAGAGAATTACGTATTTCATCGATCGCATCCAAAGCTGAAAATTTTACTCGTGCATTTTGCAGGCTCCGTAGAGCACACACATTACTTTCTAGTTTCTACTGATCGTCATTTATTTTGGGTGGTGAAATTTTATCTACAGAAATGTATCAGCAGGTTTCTTGTCGCATTCGTAAATTTCATAACACAGTTTTCGTATTTTCTAAACGCTTTACCCTGGGACGACCCTTCCATGCATGTTAAATTAATCGTGTTCAATTTATACGCGTCGCATCTATGTGTACTACAAACTTAACGATTCGCTGTCTTTAAGTACAAAGGACGCTCCAAAAGTAAGTTTCGCTATTTTGCCTCCCCGCCATCTGAAGTAATATACATCTGATATGTTTTTTGGTAGATAAGCAATTATGTAAACAAACCAGGAAAATAAGAATCAAATGGTTTGATGAAAAACGCGAGAAAGGGGAAATAAAATGGCTCGTACCGCTTTTTCAGTTTGTCCACGGTCTTTTTAAAACCCGATTCATTTTTGCATCCCTTCCGCCCCAGTCAAGTTTTCGACGGTGAATTAAAAGTGTTAATAGCAAATAGTATGCTTAATATTTCCCTAGTCGCAAATCATCTTGGAGAGTTCAGGAGTTTGAGTAAAAATTTTTATACTCGAGACACCAAATTTTGCCTTATTCAGCCTTCTCGCTCCTATGAATTCAAGATTCTTTTCATCAATAAATAGAACATTTTATGCGCAGTTATGCGCATCTAAGATACCAATGGACTTTTAAGTTACAGCGAGGGCAATAAATTTTTTCATGAAATTTGGATTTTTTCATCGTCTGGAAGTAGGGCAGCTTTGTGGGTTTTGCTCCTAGTCATCGATAGTTTCTATTTTCCCAGAAAAACAGTATGAGTAATTTCCTTTGTTTATTGATTGAGATTAGAAGAGAGAAGAATACTTAACTTGTGGACGCTTAGTGCGTTATAAAAAGTTTAGAGGATGTTTGAGAAAAATTGCAAAAACGGTCCTGGTAAAATCCGTGGCACAAGTGCGAAAAGTGGTCGAACGTTTTTTTGGCAATTCTTTTCCATTTGATTGTACTTAAACTGAGTTATATTTTTCTTAAGTTCCTTAGTAAATGGCATTTATATCTGTATTGATAGTAAGAGCTAAAGGCCTTTGTGCTGGGAGATACAAAATAGGGAAACTTACTTTTGGAGCGTCCTTTGTATTACCCACGACCTTTGTTTTCCACGTGTTACGCCGGACAGACTAAAGCATAAGCAAAGTCGTACGTACCTTCCATGGCCGAACAAGAAACCAGAGAAATGGTCACAATCGACACATCCGATGAAAAATGTATGCGGATTTCAGATACTCGTAATAATGTATTCGAACTATCATAAATAATTATTCATATGTTAAATACTGTTTGTATTTCTGGTAGTGTTGCCGGAAGTGCTCCAAATTGCATGTGAAAGAATTTCGATACCAATTCCGAATAATCGGAATTCAAATTCAGGTATTTCCAATTCCGAGCAATCTAAATATTTTTTATTAGATTTCCAAATACAGTACTCGAAATTTAAAAGACCGTAATTTGAATTCCGATTACTCGGAACTCGCACTGCCACATTTTGAATTCCGAGTAATCGGAATTCAAAATGTGGCAATGCGAATTCCGAATATTCGAAATTTAAACTACGGTAAAATAAAATCCAAATATTCAGAATTGAACGGGACTTTTCTGAATTTCGATTTCTTTGAAATTTATTTAACACTAACAGAATAGAGCAGAATCTTGAGATTCTTACAGTAGATGTACAAGTATTTTACTGTATACGTCTAACTGAGGGCGGTGTAAAAGGGAAACCGTTACTAGTATGTGCACACCTCGCGACCAGGTAATTATCATAGCCACATAGGCACCCTTTTCACCCTGTTTATTACTTACAGGCTCAGTATAGACAAGTTTTAAGAATACATTGATATACGAGTTTTGCATTATGCGAACTGTTGAAATCCGTTATATCTGTACTATAATTTTACTGACTAAATTCACATCTAAAGTGACTCAAGTAAAGCTTAAATATCATCCCGCATTCGTTTCTGGTTGGTACCCCGGCCGGCAGTTCTTATGAGGTCCTGGGTATATTATAAAACAAAAATAAATTACAATTATTTCCATATACGGTTTTGCTTTTATTGCTGCACTTTTTTAGAACTATTCTTTAGTACTCGTACTATAACTTTTCTCCCAAATCCAGGTCTATTAAAACGAAAACTTTTCGCACGCCTGTAAAGAGCTAAGGGCAATTAAATGGTGTGTTAGTGGTCATTTTAGGAGGCTTATATATATAGGAGGCATGCACTTTCCATAAATTCATCAGTCAATACTTTTGCGGACTTGGCAACCGTTAAATGAGCAAGAAGGTGTTTGTTACGACTTACGAGTAAGCAGACTAGCTAGGCAGAACATATTTGCGCGATCAGGGTAGAGATCAGTGGCACTGGTAACTCGAACCTCGCACAAAATCTAGAATTAATGAAGTGGGTCTGTCATGAGGGACCAGTGTGTCATTGGGATGTACATCCTGATGTATAAATAGGAGAAGCAATGCGGATGTGGTACAGCGATAGTGCATTTGTGTTTAATGTATTTAAGTTGCTGTTGTATCAGGTAAAGGTCATAATTCAATGTAACAAGTCGTTCTTCCCTACCGCACACACCCTTCTGTGAGGAGGGGAGACTCGGAATTTATGAAGAACAACGGCGCCAGTTACTCCGATGCCCTGTGTTCCGGTGCTAGTGTCATCACCCAATGCCCAAATAAAAGCTGGCCAAATCATTACTGTACACGTCGGCGCTGTAGTAGCCGCACCGGCCCGCAGGCAGCCGTAGACTGCGCTAACGCTGACCGATGAGTTTTGAGCCAACAACGCTAGATGAGCATGGATCAGTTCATTTGCGACGGTGAAAGCCAGAATAATGTCAATTTAAACGGAAACCTGTTTTTTGTTGTTATTTTTGCTATAGAAAGTTTATTGTACGCCGAACTGATAAAGGTACATCAACGTTTAATGACCACGCCCTAAAATTTTCCGAGCGCTCGAAATTAAATTCTGCTGTCATTTAATTAATAAAATTATTTCGGTCATAAATACGTAATCAGTATTACTACTTCTATGTAAGGTATCGCATCAAAACTTCCCGTTCCATAGTACGTAGTTTGATGATAAATTATAATCAAAATATTAAGTAAAATTTCTTTTAACAACGGATTACTTAAAATTCATATGATATGCATTGCAATTCCGAATATTCGAAATTACAACTGCGTCCTTTTAAATTGCGATTACTCGGAGTTGGAATGCCTGCAATTGCAATTCCGATTACTCGGAATTCAAACGGTAGTGTATTTGAATTTCGAATACTCGAAATTCATTTTAGATTGGAGCACTTCCGGCAACATTAATTTCTGGCTTTGTAGCTGAGGGCGATGACGACTATCCGGAACATGAAAAACTGGTTTATCGTAAAGTTCAGCCCATTTACCAGCACGTTTGGCTCAATTTCGTTCTTTCCACTTTCAAATTCCTCTTGGAAAGCGTACCTTCCGGATGGGCAACACACAAAAATTTGATAACAGACCATGCAACGCTGACTGCTTACGCCACTATAACAGTAAGAAATTAAATGTACCAGATTAGAATTTTACTTGTAAGTATGTTATAATATAAATATACGCGTAATGCTGGTACATATTCTGTTAATACTGCAGAAAAACGATACTCATACCGACACTACAGAGTCGGATACGGACCCCGTCGGCTCCAACTGGAAGCTGTGGTTTTTGTGGATAAATATGTGGATTGGACTCATTACGCTTTGGCTGTTTTCTGTATTGCAGTTGCATATACAAAAGGAGATTCCAAAAATAATTTTCCCTATTCTGTCTCCCTGCGATTTTAGGTTATACACAAATGGTATAATTTTTGCTGGATAACCCATTATGTAAACTATGTGAAGAAATAAGAATCAAAAGAATCGAAGAAGAACTTGCCAAACGAAAAACGAAATGGTGAATGCTGCTTTTGCACTTTTTTCAGCACCTTTTTTGAAAATTATTCTTTTTATTGCAACTTCTGACCTGGCAATGTTTTCAACAAAAAACTTAAAGTGTCAACTGCAAATTTAGTACTTAATATTATTGCGATGGCAGGACATTTTGAAAAGCTCAGGATTAAAAGTAAACATTTTTCTTTCGTAAGACACCGAAATTCCCTTATTCCAGCCGTTTCGCTTTTACAAATTCATGATACTTCCCATCGATAAAAAGCACATTTTATGGCCAGTCGTGCGCATCTCAGATACCAAGAAAGTTTGCATTCCACCGACAACAGCAAATGTTTTCATGAAATTTTCTGTTTTTTACCGTCTGGATGCTGCGATGCTTTCTGATTTTGACACCTAGTCCCAAGCAGTTCTTATTTTCTAGAAAAGTGGTTTGAATAGGACATTTTGTTCAAAACTTTATTTTGTAAGAGGAAAGAATTCTTAACCTAAATATATTTTATGCATCAAGGAAAATGAGCAGAAAGATTGCGAAAAGTAGCAAAAACTGTCCGGGAAAATCACGTGAAAATCTTTGAAAACCCTTTGGTGTTTCTTTTGGTATTTCTTCCCCATTTGATTGTAATTAAACAAAATAACTTCTTTATACAGTTTGCTAATGAAGGACGTTTGTAACAATATGGATGATATTAGCTGAATGCGTTAATGCCGGGAGATACAAAATAGGGAAAATTATTTTTGGAATGTCCTTTACTAATACAGATTCATAAGTGGCGTCCGGGCAAAGGAAAATCACAATTTCGCGAGGTCATCTTGTCACTAATTGCAGTCAAACGATCGCTTGAGGGTATAGCGGTTATGATGAACTGCTTCGGGCTGGTAATGGCCCTGGTATGGAGCGTCGCAACCTGGAAGGAGTTTTTGAACGGATGTCCGGCAGGGGCCATGCCGGCCGTCGAGCCAATTATTGGTCTGGTTATCACGCCATGGACCATCTTGGCCGTTACGATCGTCTGCAATGGACTCTCATGTCGCTCAAAAATTTCTGATTTAACAAAAAAATTTATAAGGCCAGCAGTGCCAGCACAACTATTGATATAATTAAGTTGTAATCCCACTTTGAGGAGTGAATTCGAACGATTTCCGGTCATAAGGCGATATCCATAAATTTCTTGCGCGGAAGTTTTTCCTTGATGGTCGGCACCTATCTACCTTCGAGGCACTAGTTATAAGTACAATGTAGGACTAAATGGTCGCATAGCCCCATACCCAGCATTCTGTACGCAAGCGATGCAGTGCACTTGTACGAAACGGATATTTTGAACTCAGTCGTACAGTGCACTGCGCTGCATTCGTACTGAATGTGGAGATGTTGGGTATGCGACCATTTTGTCCTAAGCTGTACCTTACAATTTTATCTACTGTATGTACAAGGGCATTGCCTTGATTGATATGCCTTCCGATAACCGATAATTATAAGGTGTACGTACGTTACGAATATTTCTTCTTTCTTCGAGCCATCCAGCGACCACTTTATTTAATAAATTTAATACTACATATAATTTTGTTCTGTTTTTGTTTAATTCAGCGTGGAAAGTCGGCATCGTTCTCACAGGTTAGCACAATGGAAATACTGCATAAAACAATAAATCTGGTTTTTGTCATAGACTAGATCTGGTTAACTGATGTTATAACTTTGTTCTACATCTTAAAATTTATTATGTGTCGTGTGGCCCATGGGCCCCACGACACACAATCCATCTCGATGGGACCGCCGACCAAGCTTGGGACGCTACAGTCAGCTTGCGCCTCGGCCCTCGTGGCTTTTCATAATAATATTTCAATGCCGTATGTGACATACTGTAATTACGTGCTAATTGACAGTAATTGTAATTAATACAGCGACATCAGCAAACATACCTAGGCTAACCTATTTAATAAAATTTTACTAATTAATTATAACTCCCCAACGCAATAACTCGAAATTCACTGAACAACAAAAATCGCAATACGATGGAAAACAGACTCCACTTTTTCTACGGTTTCAATAGAGCTCTTCGACAGAAATTTATCAACAATATCAGAAGTCTAATAATATCAACAATGGACGCGATTATCGCTATCCTCCCGACTTTTTTGTTCGATTTCTCGTATTTGTCACAGTAATAAAACCATCTTCATCCGGTTCGTTCCTCACATGTCTGCTTGTGGGAGAATGAGAATCATGCGACGCTTGATTTCCAGGAGCAGATGCAGAGGAATGTGCTGCCGCAGATTCTGCTGACGCGCCAATGCTCAGCTCGCCCATTTTATCTTCCAACATCTCGTCATCACCGTCCGACTCCATTCCGTCATCCTCCACCGGCGGAGCTCCCACACTGCCGTTCACTTGTGCGACGGCGGGCAACCGGTTCAGTTCATTACGGAAGGCAGTCTCGTCGCCGTTGCGTACGAGATGATAGAACATGAGTAATTTACGCGCGATCTCCTCAATGCTCCCGTCCTCCACCAGCGTGTTGAATTCATCGTTGAAGAAGTTCTCCAGACAACCCTCCACATCATCCACGCCGACATCAGTTCGGGCCGAGGCGAAAAACGCCACGGTGTCGTTTTCCAGCCAGTTCGCCTTTTCTTCGGCGTTCCCGCGGCCTTCGTAGTGCTCTACTGCCAAACGCAGTGCTGTCCAGCCTCCGTACAAACGATGCACGGCTTGCTGGAACACTTCGCTGTTTCCAAACATAGCCGCTCTAAATGATATGCGTAACAAGACAGCAGGACGAACTTAGATGGATGCTCTAATGAAGTGGCTTTAAAACTGCAACTAAACAACAAAAAACCCAAAACTTCAAACAAGTTTTTTTAATAATTTAAGGGCAACAAAACCTCCTGCTAACAGCTAACTGCTGGCACTCTCGTTACGTAAGGCGTATTAGAGCCCGGCACGAGCCGAGCAGCTCGGCTCGGCTCGCGAGCGCTCGGAGCTCGCGAACACTTCGAGCGAGCAGGCGCTGTTTTGTAAATTTATAAACGAGCCGAGCAACAAGAAAAAAATATGCGAGCGAGCCGAGCGAGCGGGATCGCCGGGTGCGAGCGATCACGAGCTTACAGGCTGACTTTATGCGAACTGAAAAAAATGCGTAAAAAATGCGTAATTCCTGCGTAAAAATTACCTTGACCAAGCTGAATAGGGTCGTAAATCACCGTCACCTTCGCGCTTCGCGCGAACTAGTTTACTGGGAGTCGGGAGTCTCGGGACTAGGTAACGATAATCCGTAAGCAACAAAGACATTATTGAACCGAGCTTGGTAAACAATTCAGACATTTTTATTGCATTTCAAAATACACAATAAAACGGGAATCAGTTCAAATTTCAGCGAAAAAACGAAGTTATAAAAAATGAACAGCCAATGTGGAAGAGAAGTTATTTTAGATATCCTTTTTTGACAAAGTTTTTGCTTTTTGGGGAGACTTAAATTTTGGAATACGTAAATAATTTGCGCAAAAAACTTGAAACGTTAAATTATCTCCGCTGACGAGCGAGCCGATTTGCAAAAATAAGAATACGAGCGAGTCGAGCGAGCGACAACAAAGTAAAATTGAAAAACGAGCGAGCCGAGCGAGCGGCGGTTCGGCCGCGAGCGAGCTGAACGAGCGGAAAGTTTAGGCAAATGAAAACGAGCGAGTCGAGCAGCACTTTTCCTGCTCGTGCCGGGCTCTGAGGCGTATTAACCAACGCGAGAAAAAACATTTTTCAAGTTACCAATCGCGAACACGTATGTAGCTCACGTAAGCAACGCCCGGCGAGTTAGACCAGCTAAAATTTTTGAAGTGTTGTTTACGTAAGAGCGGTAAGACGTACTGTAAGTATATTTCTAGTGCAGTTGTGATTTTCTGTTTTTCACGGCTGGTTTACCTAGTTTGGATATAAACCGTAAAAATGCCCACTGGAGTGTGTTCCTTTTTCATGAAGCACACTTTTGCTTCCATGATCACGTTATTTCATTGATCCATGTATTCAGTAACAATTAACAAAGCACTTAGCAGGTAAGCAGCACAACGCAATCACAACTTTCGCATCAATTTCTGGTTTTAAACTGATTAATTAACAAAGTACGAACGGAAAAAGTCAGAGAAAAAAAGCCAACAATGCAAATGCAATTCTTATAGAAGGCATACAAATCGAAAGAGAAGTAAAAAACCGGCAAGACAGGGTCGACAGAAAGACTTTTGGCACACCATGCCGCATCTAAACCATCAATGAATCACAGCAAGTAATCGGGCGCGTTTATCATTATTTTCAAAAAGGGCTCGGACCAGTTTCTTTAATTCATCCGACGCGAGGTGCTCCGCCAACGGGCCATTACCATCCGCCCATCGTTCCATAATCTGCGACATGGACGCGTCCAGCACAAATATGACTTCCAGACAGCGCAGCCATCCCGAAACGTATTTGAAGGAACCACATCCGCATCTTTTATCTATTAACATTTATGAGTTCTAAAACTCAACACAACCACCATTTCAAATCGAAATTTCCGCAGACCTACCTTGAGCAGTTTTTCAGATTCCGACATGATCCACTTAAAATGACCACACAACGTTGCCGAATCCGATGCATTGATATCCTCTACTGCTATAAGTTTATTAAACACGTCTGTCAATACGGCATCTATAACTTTCCGGTTGCTTGCAGGAAAACGATTCAAAGGAAGTATTTCACTCCAAACTGTTGATAACCGCTGCACAAGATCCAGTCCTCGCTTTACATGCGAGCGGTTCAAGATGTCATCAAATTTTCGGAACTGCAATTTTGGATAGCCCTAAATACGAAACGGAACTTCTGTTCAATATAGCATCCACATCACTTTCTACTTGTCATGATTTACGATTGTCCCAAAACCATTCTATAGCTTGGTTGCTTACATGCTGTCGGCCCGGCATTTATCGCTTCTTGAATATCTTTGCACGATTTCGCAACCGCAGCTTCTAAAACCTCGTACGCTTTGGCTCGGAATTTCAAAACCAAATCGGCAAATGCTGTGCAATGTTGATATTCCTTCGATCTATGGTCGATCGCTGGATCATCCTGTTAAGAATGTACAAATGCAAAGATCCATGAATGCAGCTGCTGAAATAAAGCGCTACAAAAAACAAAAAACACAATTAAATCACTTCCTTAAATAAATGCCACTTTTGAATTCTCACCACTAAGAACAGGTACGGTAATCAAGCGTTCCTGAAAATGGTAAGGCACAAGCTCCAGCCAAAGTGAAAATGCATCCTTATTGCCGGAAGGGACACTTTGGTTAAACCACAGGATTGAGCGGTTTGCAAAAGTTTTGCAGAGCTTTCCATGATTTCCGACAGCGATCGACTAAATACAGAGTCAACAAATACATATATCACGATCAAACAAACAGAAAACGTTCTGTTTGGAATGAGAACTTCGAAAAAATAACCACCTGATCGACATCGGCTGCAAAATCCGCAAAATATCTTCCTTTATGCGGTATTTTTTCGTCAACCATAACCGTCTATGGACTGCGTCAGTTTCCGCATCGAGTCGATGGTTCCGCATAAATCAGATTTCACCTCATTAAATTGTTCGAATTCAGTAGGTAATCGTAGAGCAACCGCATCATTGCGGATGGACTGCGTCAGTTTGCATCCAGTCTGGTTCCGGATCACGGAAATCATATCCTGATTCAGGGATGACCCCAATACAAAAAGATTCGTTTGTAAAAAGTCCAAGATCTGATATACTTCATCCAAAATTGAGGCGCTATCCATCTGTTCCGCAGAAGGACGCCACGGCACAATGAACAGGGTCTGCGTTTGCGCAGCGGCATCGCAGACCACTGAAAGTCAATATTCCACATTTTAAAAAAATCTCGCATACATTACAATAAAACATTATTCATTATTGTGATCTGTCACAAATGCACAGAACAGTAAAAACGTCATGCAACAGACACCAAAACAATGGATAAGTACTGTACAGTACAGCGTTAAATATCAGCAGTGTGAAATAATCGGTCCAATGAAAGCGATACGAATGCACGAATTTAACAAAAAATTTTGGCTTAAGGGAGTACCTCTTATTGTGGCACCATTGATTACTGGAAGGAAAACGTACTCCATCAGATTAGTGGCCATTTCCGATATAACACGGTCAAAAATCCTTAAAGTCTTCATTGATTGCAACAAGTCGGTAAGCAGCGTACCGAACGGTGTATCATCCAAAGCATACTGCAGTCGAATTCCCACAATATCTTTATCAACTTCTTCGACAGACTGCCCAGACCGTACATAAATCAGCCCTTCCAATGTTGCTCAATAGCCAGCGTCAGAGCGGAATTTAACTCAATACGACGTGCTTTTAATCCACTGATCATCTTCAATCCGTAGCGTTCTTCGCGGGCCAAATCGTTCAGCTGGCGTTTCAGTTCTACCAGCTCGTTCGCCGTCTCGGCGAATTTCTTCTTCGCTAGCACGTCCTGACATTTTTCCAGTCTGCGGCATACACTCTGGATTATGCGCAACACACGGCATGTTTCTTCGGCTTCTTGCAATGCTAGCACAGCTGTCTGCCACTCGCTTGTCGACTGCTCGGGTTGCGTCTGAAAATTAAAGATGGTAAAGAAAATAAGCGTTTTAAAATCAGTTGCACTGCAATAGTGCAAAATCATATGCTGTACTTTTTTCCGCAATATCCAGCAAGTCTTCCAGTTTACTTGTCGAACTGTACAGCTCGCTGCGGGCTTGATACCATGTCTTCGGATCGACTTTAGCTCCATCGTCAGCGCTGGGCTTCCGGAGCTCGGAAGTTGTTGGATTAGTTCTTGCTGCTTTTTTGATAACTCAGATATCTGGCTACGGATGCGCGCACGATCCAGCAGGCTGTCATCAGAAATCTTGCTGGCAGAAAACATGGCGCCGGGAAGATAAACTACTAAAACCGAATTGCACCAAATTTTCAATGAAAAGCGAAATACTAAAATGCTGAAAAAGTCAAAAGAAAATTTAAGAAATTGAAAAGACTATTTTACGTACTTTAGGTATATGAGAATACGAGCGAAGCGATTTCTACGACTTGTCGCTAATCACCACAACCCAGTGGTCCAGCCCGTAGAAGCACTGCAGGAAACCAAAATCAACTTTTGCTGCTTACCTGTGTACCTGTTTACCACAGACTTACCACTTTACTTGTATATCTGGGAGTTTTCGAGTGCTGTACTGTATATATTCACAGTTTCACACGTATTTTTGTTGACTTCCATTATGGTATAAATGAGCCAGTAGTCAAAACAGTACGATCTGATGTTTCCAAGTTTTGTATGATGTTCCTTTAAACTGGTTTTTCAGTTTTTGCTTGACGGCCTGAGAGCTATACTATTTGTCATAAGTGAAACATTCTCGATCATTTTAGTGGTCTGCCAGCAGTAATCTGTAATCATCACAGCGTAAAGTTTCGCGCATACTCTGCAAAGCCAGGTAAATCGTTTGCTTCTTCCTTCTGCTTCGGGGCGCTGAAAGTGTTAAGAATATAACGAATTGATTCCACCGAAAGAAAGAAGGAACAACCAGTCTCCTGGTTTTTGAATTGACGGTGTCATGGGACTGATAGGAAACCACTGATCGTAGCATTCTTCCTTTGGAATACTGCTGTTTTATTCGTGTCTGTGAATTTACGATCATCCAACGGAGAGAACGATGAAGTTTTGTGTCGTGCCTATAAACACACGGCTTGTTTATGTGATTATACATTGTTTCCTCTGCTTGTTAACCGATGGCAGGAAGCATCGTTTGATTCTCGAGGTTAGTGGCAAACCCTACAAAGTAAAGAGTAAACTCATTAAAGTTCAAAACTGGCACAAATCTCAATTAAGACTTTCTCCTACATGATACTTTATAGTTTATGTTCTTATCGCGACATAACAGTCGTAATTCATATCACTACGGCCAACAATACACAATTAAGAATTAAAAAAACAACCGAAATCAGTATTATCCATCAGTTTATTCTTGCCCGGTAAAGTTCCTAAAACGGCAGCCGCATTGCCTTTAATAATTGCGAGGCTAATACGCTGCTTTAAAAAAGCCGTGGATCTGCATTCCCCGGACCTCTCCTTCGTTTTCCGTCCAAGAAAACTGACCATTTCTCTGGCTCCTTCGCCGAGCACTCCCAGGGTTTCCACGGCAAAGGATAAAACCAGTATTCTTCGCCCAGCTGCCGATATACACTTCCGACATTCTGCTTGGTGTGCCGCTGCGCCTGCTGCTTTTGCTGACCGTTTAACGTACGACTGTGCTAGCGTGTCCGCAAAGTGGCGTCCCATAAGCTGCTTTCCGTCTCTGCACTGGCACCAATGTCAATCCGTCTGGACGCTTCCCGTTGTCCCTGAATATTCCTTTCGGTTCCAACTCGCAAGGTATACCCGCTACACATCCCCTTTCCAGTATACTGTTCAGTTCCAAATGCTGGCTCCATCTACCTTTGCTATACAGGCAGGACAATCCGTGGTGGCCATCTGAAGTTACCTGGAAGCCACAACCCGCGCATTCATGTGGTGCCACTACTGGCAAACCAAATCGTAATCCCACGGCAATTCTTTCTTGTTATCTTGTGGTCATAATGACAACCTCACAACGATGGTTGGCCGCTTCCAAGAAAGCATTTTGTCTAATATAGATATTATTATGTTAATATTATGGTAAAGTTATCTAGAGGCTAGAATTACTCAGTTATTTTTTAATGTTTTTTCGTGTACCTTAATGAAATGATCTGTTCTCAATCCAGAAAACCAGTTCTTCCTTTCGTTTGGTGGGTATCTAATCCGTTACGGTGTTACCGCATTTTATCTGCATTAATTTTTTCAAAGTTTCAGTGTAGAGAGTATATACGATATTGTAATGTTTATACAGTTCTGATCTTTGTGGTTGTTTTTCTAGAATGATGATCGACACTACATTCTGGCAAGTTCTTTTGGATTCCAACGTGGCGGACTGCTGACATTGACGGTTTCTGGATTTCATGCATTTAGCGCGAATTCACCTGAACAGTTCAATGGCACTACAAAGGGCAGAGTAAGCGGAAAACCGAAAATCAGAAAATAAACTGAATATGGACAGTGCAAAGGCTTTTGTAAAATGTGATAATAATGCGGTGGTGTTCTTACTAGTGCTGAATGGAAAAATACGAGGACAGTGATTAATGAGCATGATATACATATGTCAACGATAAGTAATTATAATTATTTTGCAAGTGCGAAATATAAAAAAGGTTTTCGTGGTGACTGAGATTTTTATGTTGACATTACATTATGGTAAAATTCTAATGTTTTGGCGAATAATCTACTGATTTCGGATTTTAATTTTCAGCATGGATTCACAATCGACAAAAGCCGTAACTTTGAAGTTGCGAATTATTTTGAGAAAAATCAGGAAGCATGTATATTTGGGGAGAACGATAAACCGCGCTTGGACAATTCCACAGCGATGATTTTGGTGGAAATTATACCTGATGGGCCCAATGAAATAGCTCGTGTTATTGTGAATAAACAACCCCAAGTGGAGGAAGTATCGATGGAGTAGACATATTCAGCTGCTCGCAAACTTTGGTAGAACTAAAACTCGTTGACCACTTGGTGGACGATGAAAAGGGCCAAAGCCTGTCCGTATCACAACAGGCTCGAGATGCCAGTTATCCTGAACTGCATAGCTGCTCTGCTCTGGAGAATGGCAACAAGGCTAAACTGATCAAACGCGATTTTAAGTATTACTTTAGCATTGCCATTTGGCTGGGCAACGTGGAGAACGAAGGAGCTTACAGTGTATTCTACCACAATTGTCCAAATTATGAGAACCGTAAAGCTACCCGGTCGTCATTGACGGTAAGTTTATTAATTTAACTAATATTGTAAGATACGAACGATAAACGCAGTGCTCAGTGCTCACTACCGAGAGAACCAATTTTTTTGTGGAGGTCATGTGAATGTTTCCCAGTTTTGTTTATAGATTGATATAGTCGAAAGAAATGGGAACGATTATCTTGCTGTTGGAGAACGTTTTTCTCCAACTGTGTATTTTATTATGGCGTTCCTGTTTTTGGCGACGGCTTTTGTATGGGGCTGGATCTTGCACACGGCGAAACGAGATGTTTATAAATTGCATTATGTGATGCTGATTCTCGTGTTTCTGAAAGCGGCTTCGCTGCTCTGCCACGGAGTAAGTTAACTTTATAGCGGTTTCATAAACATTCAGTTTGGTTTATCTGTTTCGGTTACGCAGTTGACGCCTTTGGTTTTTTTGTAGGTAAATTATCACTTCATTAGCGCTTTAGGAGCACCCCTTGAAGGATGGGCGATTTTATTCTACATAACACACTTGTGCGTATTTTATTCTACATAACACTATTGCATATGCGTAAAACTATCGATCCAGCGTGTTTCCGGTTGAGCACAAATACGACCGTGTGAATTACTTATTAATTGAACTTGGTTACAATGTTAGATTAAAGGGTGCGTTGCTGTTCATCACACTTGTTCTTATTGGGACCGGATGGGCTTTCATAAAAAATTTCCTAACCAGCAAGGAGAAGAAGATTTTTATCATCGTTATACCTTTTCAGGTTTGTGTTGAATCCTCCTGACCATTAGCACTGCATTATGTGTTACCTATTATCAAGTAATGAAAGCGTTAGGAAAATCCACAGAATTGTAAATTGTTTTAGACGGAAAAGTTGCACGATGGTTAAATGAGAAGACTGGCACGTGTATAAAAATTTTTCAATGTGTTAGGTTCTGGCAAATATTGCTTACATTATTTTGGAAGAGTCTGAGACGGGGGATTACCGGTATACCATGTGGGGATATATTTTTATGCTGGTGGATTTCTTTTGCTGCGGATGCATCCTGATTCCCATAGTATGGTCAATTCGGCATCTCAGCGAAGCGGCCAGCACGGATGGAAAAGCTGCATCGAATTTGCAAAGAATGCGACTTTTTCGAAGATTTTATATGCTGGTAGGCTACGCAAATGTTTTGAACTGAATTTGCGAAACCGTTTTACTTAACGTCTTACGTCTTACAGGTTGTCTGCTACATTTACTTCACAAGGATAGTGGTTATGATTTTCGACATGACCGTGCCCTTCCGTTATACATACCTGAACACAGTCTTTCGTGAAGGAGGAACATTTATTTTCTTCCTTCTCACTGGATACACTTTCCGCCCTACGTTGGAAAATCCGTACTTGCTACTTTCGCAAGAAGATGCTGACAATGATAATGATGACGTGGAAATGGATGATGTTGTGGTGTATGACCGCAAACACAATTCTGATCAGATCACACTCCGCAGCTCAGCAAAAGGTGACGATGCCGAATCCCGAGCGAATTTGATAGTATGAAATCAAGCATGTGGATTGTTTTAATTTTGTAGCACACTTTCTCATCGCCGTGAACGTTCTGTTAAAAATGACTTGTCTGAATGTCTTAAAGCATATAAACTCTTGAATAGTTTACGATAAAAATATCGTAATATGAACAGTTACAGTATATTACAGTTTTACACGTGCACCAGTGCCTAGTTTGAATGCGGTTCGTTCGTCGTTTTATCTGTGCGCTAGTTTTGTTTCAGCATCCGTGATGATAAACGGAAACGTACAGTAGCTTTCAGTCGTCAGGAATGTATTTTGGAGTAAATGTAACCATATCGTGTACGCTGTGGTTTCGCCGCATCTAAACACGAAGTTGCACATTCCCTTTGCAAAATTATGGCATTAATGCCGCTTATACTAGTGTGTGTGTGTGAAACTAGTCTGACAAGTGCTTGACCGCAAATCAAAAGGGCTTTTACTATAAATTAATCGTTTATACCTTTTTATGTCCATGAACTTATCACTTATGTCATAATCGGAATTAATGGCATCAGTATGGACATACTATAAGTTCCAAGCTGAACTGAAAAATTTTGATTTGTACTGCGTACTACCGAAAAGACACAGACCGAGGAGCGCGCGAGTACTTTCAAAGCAGTTACACAATTTGATAGGTTGAACCTAATCGTACCAGAGTATTTACAGACACGCTGGTATAGGCGTATTGCGAATTATTTTATCGATCGCATCCAGAGCAAATCTGCCGACTCCCGTTGACCGTACCCAGTCGTTCACTTCCGCGGCGAAATTGTGACTGCACATACAACTGTGTAGCAGGCCTAGGCTTTCTTGTCAGATTTACAGATTTCACTACATATACAATCTCTAAGGTTTCTGAAGTGTTGCATCCTAGATCGTCCATCCCATGTTAACTTATTGAGGTACAAACTGCACACATTTTACATTTTACTGGCACCATTAGTGCATTATCCAAGACGTGACCTTTGATTATTATTTCAGTGTGTCACCCGAGGAAAGTCAAAAGTAACAAAACCTCCTAACGTGCCATGGCTGAGCAGGAATCCAGTGAAATGATCACAGCTCCTGTGAAATGTAAGAAAAATAATAAGCACAGCCAACTACTTCATAATGATATCCGTCTGTCTGCAAATTTGTGCCTTTAATTTAATTGTAGCTGACATTGACACTTGCGACGACTATACGGAAAACGAGAAATATGTTTATCGCAAAATTCCGCCCATATATCGGCAGATGTGGGTGAATTGCGTTCTTTCCACTGTGCGATTCATCCTGGAAAGTGTTCCTCTTGCATGGACAGCTTACAAATGTTTGAGACTGATCCTGGAACGCTGACCACCGACACCAGTACAACGGTAAGCTTTTAAATTGTACCCAGGTAACCGGTACTTTTAAACTTGCAAAGGAATATAATCGTATAAGTACTAACGTGACAGTCTACATACAGATGTTTTATGGTTCTGCAGAAAAATGAGAGCAACAGTACGCACACTGTGCCCCCTGACTGGATGTTCTCGCATTCGTGGGTTTTTATATGGATAATGCTCGCCTTGTTTTGGCTGATTGCTGCAATCCAGGTTTTTACGCTACGAGAGATGCAACGATGGCGTCCGGGCGCAGGGCAAGAGCAGTTACGTGGCATTATACTGTCACTGATTCATGCCGGTCCCTCGCTTCCAGTGATAATGGCACTGAATTGCTTCGAGCTGCTGTTTGCTGTGCTATGGAGCGTCTTCACCTGGAAGGAATACTTGCACGGGTCGGGGTGTCCAACCAAGGCTGGCCTGGACGCCGATCCGATCATTGGTCTGCTGATCACACCATGGACCGTCTTAGTCGTTGCGATTCTTTTCACTGGACAGTCGTGCCGCTCGAAAATGTCTCGTTTGACCAAGAAATTTATAAAGCCAGCAGTCCCAGCGCAGTTGCTGATATAACTCCACGGTCCGCCTTGAGAAATTCGAACGGTTGCCGGTACTTCGCGTACGGAGACAATCATAAAATAAGTACACCCCACCAGTAATTGTCGGTAAAGTATTTTCCATATTGTTTAGTGGATCCTTTATTATTAGTTTATTATTAGTTCTTAAGACTCGAAACCCTTTCCACTTAATTGGTTCACCTTTGGTTGTCCCATATTTTGACCTTTCTTTCCCTCTCTCTCTCTGTGGTCCGCTCCTGTGTATGAAACTCAATTACGTATGAAGGTCTCTTTCTCTGAGATATTAAGCTAGAGCACTAAATTAAATACAGTACTCGTATTGATTCTTAATTGATTGATTGTTGATTGATTGTTTGTTTGTGTGCTCGTAAAATAAAGAACAAAATTATGTATGCCCACTGTTTACGAGGGGGCCAGAATGTGCGTACATCGCGAAAGGTTGAGTCATTAAATCATTGATCGACCAGACAGACGACCATCTTTCTAGTTATAAAAGTACTGTAAGTTAAAACAAATGGATATTACAAAATTAAAACGATTAAATTGTTTTAATATTCTGATTTTCATATCAATAGATTCATATATCCTTACGACCTTATTTTTTGGAAATTATCTCCTAAACGAACATTGATTTTTTCAAGAAGTTATTAATTTCATAAAATACAGGATCACACAAACGTTCCTACCATTATCTTTAAAAAAATCACAAGTTTTGGAGAAAGTCTAAATAAAATTTTTGAAAGTTGTAGTACTTAAGGGTTTTTAATACTTAAAAGTTGTTAGTTTTGGAAATTATCTCCTAAATCACCATTGACCTTTTCAAAAAGTTATTATTTTTATAAAATTGAGCATCACACAAACGTTCCTACCTTTATCTTTAAAAAAATTATCAGTTTTAAAGCAGTTCTTAAAAAAGTTTGAAATGTTGCAGTACAGTACTTAAAATGTCGTTAGTACTTAAAGGTACTGTACTACTAATTAAATTACTTATTTTGGCAATGCGTGAGTACTTTACAGTACTCAGTACGTAAGTTGTAGAAATTAAATGTAGTACTACTAGCACTTAATCGCCAGCGTATTAATACAATAATATTAAAAGCTGTATTACAGTACTGTATACTGTACAGTATTACAGTTGTAGTACTGTACTATACCGTTGTAGTACTGTTGTAGTCTGTTTCGCAGCTTAGCAACCTAAACTACAGATCTGTGTATGTTATTTAAATTGTCAATTCCATCAAAATTATAACTTTTTTAAATTTTGAAACCTCTAAGATGTTTTTAAAACATGTTCGAATACCTCAAAATAACTATTAATTTTTCCAAAGTCGGCTCTAAAGCTTTTACATTTCCAGAATTTCTAAACATTTCTAAATATTTCGACTTGCCCAGCAGCGGGCCGTTACCTCTAATTTTCTGAGCCTCCAGAGTTTCGAATTTTGAAAATGTCTAGAAATGTCTGAGTACTCGCGGTCTTAAGGGTTTGGCCCGGTACTTAGCACCAAATCTGAATGTGTATCCAGTGACTAACGAGATTCCATCGACCTCGGGACTTTTTTAGAGCAATCTGACCTCGGGATAATTTTCAGCGCATTTTTCTGATATTGAAACCATTTTTCAAATTTTTGAAAGAAATTCTTTGAGGCCCCTCTGATTGCATGATGCCACTAACAAAACTTATTTTGCATTTTGAACACTTTTTCTAGGTGAATCGATGTCGCTGATTCTAAATATGCTGTCAGAAAAATTGTATGAGTTATCTGAAGAAAGAATTTTTCTTTTAAAGTTTCAGGAAAATTTTGCAAAATTTTGTTTGTATAAAATTTTTCTTTCCTTTGGCTCAAACAATTTTTCTAACAACATATTCAGAATCAGCGACATCGATTCTCCTAAAAAAAGTGTTCAAAATGCAAAAATAAGAGTTTTGTTAGTGGCGTCATTGCAGCCGCCCAAGGTTGGGGCGTATGGGGCCTGGCAGTCAGAAATTTTTTCTTTCAAAAAAAAATTTGAAAAATGGTTTCAGTATCAGAAAAATGCGCTGAAAATTATCCCGAGGTCAGATTTGCTCAAAAAAGTCCCGAGGTCGATGGGGGTCTCTAAGTTTAGCCACTGTCCACGGCAACTTCCGCTGTCGCGCTCCCAAACCCTAATTCTCATAACGGTCCTCATACTCATAACCCTATTCCTAATTCAGAATTCATACTCAAAACGGCTTTCACAATCATAATCATACTTTGATCCTACCGGTTATCATATTTTTGTTCATAATCATAACTCAAACCTTTACCGCTACTCATACCAGTGCGGTACTGCGCTTATTGTTATTAGCAAAAGCATTATATTGTTTATTAATCGTAAAAACCGTATTATTGACGCTAAGTAGTAATTGCTGTTGCGCAAATTGTGCACCGTTCTTGAATTTTTTAAAAATTTTTTTAATATCTGCTTTTGTCCTGGCTAGCAACGATTAAACTGCGTTATTACTCTTCCTGTGTTCTATTGCTGCACAGTGTACACGATGCTTTTGTCGAAATTTAGTTTTATGGAAATGAAAAGTTAACAGCCCGTTCACTTTTTGTTTGGTGGAAGCTACGTAGTAAGCCCATTAACATTTCAGGTTTTTTCATCATTAGCACTACTTCAAGTAGTTTACAAAAGATGGACGAAAGTGGACAATGGTAGATTTTTTTGCTCAGGTTTTATATGCAGATTAAACTACTTAGCTTTCGTTACCCAGTTCAAGTTTGCTAAAGTCATTTTGTAATGAAGCCATTTTCGAATAAATATTTTTTCGCTACTAATTATGATGAAATAATTTTTACGAGTGGACGAAAGCGGGCGGTTGAGTAGACTTACATGAACACATAGTTGTAATTGAATATTACATTTTTGACACACCAGCATGAGTAATGGTTAAGATATGAGCTATAATTATGAATAAATTAATATGATGACCGGTAGGACCAAAGTATGATTATGATTATGAGGGCCGTTATGAGTATGGACTCGAAATTAGGAGTAGGGTTATGAGTATGAGTATGAGGGCCGTTATGAGTATGGATTCGGAATTAGGAGTAGGGTTATGAGTATGAGTATGAGAGCCGTTATGAATATTAGGTACATACCTAGCCATGCAAAAAAGTGTCTAGGATTGCGCGACAGCGAAAGTTCCCGTGTATGTACCCGAATTTGGTGCTATGTGCCGGGGCAAATCCCTTGATTGTCTAATTTATATGTAATTTCTAAATATTAGGCCTCGTCCCCAATCTGTAGCGAATCTAGCTACGGTACAGGACACCACCGTCCCATAATAGGAGTTACGCGATACGGTATGTCGGTTCTCGCTTCGCATATCTGGTTATCAGTGCAAAGATTCGGGACGGGGTGCTGCGTATCCGAATGCGTCCCGTTTCCACAACTCTCAGATACGGTATCCTGCGAACCGCATCTCAGAACCCGTACCAAACCCGCGTCTCACATCAACCAAAAATTTTACGAGCGCTTTTTACGCATACCCTGAAATACAAAGAAAAACGATACGGTACGCAAAGCCACCTCCAGAGGTGGCTTTCCCTGGTATTTTTTTGTTGATGAGCGAGCATTTTTTAGTATTGCCGTTGTGTGACGATTTCTTTTCGTGAGTTATTTACGTTTTATGAAATTCCTAATCATTTTAAAACCCAACTGAATGCACAAAAAACTGAAACAGGAAATGTGACCAGCTCAAAACAATAAAAATTCTACCAGATAACAACAATTAAGTACTACAACATCATGCGGCTACAGAGAAGCGGAATGGTTTCGAAAAACAATGGTTTCAAAAAACAATTATTAAGACCGAGTGTGTTTTGGAATACGAAATTGGTTTGTATTCTTTACCATATAAAATACTGAATAGGAGCGCTCGGACAATGAAGATCTAAATTTCAAATTTTGATCCGTATGTACTACTTATGTAGCTGCTCTAACGCTATTACTATACTGCAGCATGCTGGCCAAAATAAATAATTGCGCGGGTGGTGCGACTGATCTGACTCATCACCAGCTAAAAAGTAAGGACAATGATGCCAAAAACTTTCAATCCAGTGAACAACATCTAGCAATTCAGACTAGGAACTAACTAGAATGAGGGCATAAAAACAGCACAAGAATACGCAAATACGCAAATGCAGCGATACGGAACCAAAGCTGAAGGTTCGATACAGAAAACGGAGAGTGAGCCCAGTTTCGATATGCGTAGCCTGTGCTGCATCTTGGTGATGCGCACCAAATAGTGTCCCATTTTTGTACTGTAGCGAAACTAGATACGGTGCTGTATCGCAACGAGATACGCTTTAGAAAGGGGACAAAGCCTTTAAATATCTAAAAGCCGCGCCGACGCGGACGAAGCGCTTTAAATATCTACAAGTCACTTGGGGCAGTAACCGAACCGGTTTAAGTGACTCGTGCTTGGAACCGTTAGAAAGGAAGTGACTTCGATGTCAAGTCGAACCACATACGGAACCGAACCGGTCGAACCGTTGACATCTCTACTCACATGGCGGCTCGGTGATACTGGTGGTAGCTTGGGCATTCTCTAACCTCGAAATCTAATAAACATGTATTAATTTTATTTTAATAAATACTGAAGAGCTTGACTGATGGCTGAAAAAATCTTACAATTAGTATCTAAAGATGCAGCCTGCAAAGACACCTTGGGCGACCGTTAACTGTTCCCCGCAAGTTTCCATTAATTCTGCGCTAAAAAATGGTATTTTATGGGCATCGTGTGCAGATATATGACCCCACTCAATCCATTTTATCACCGTAAAAATATTTTCTGTGGTACCAAAAAAATCAAGTCTTCAGTTCGTTAGATCTGTAATATAAAGTTACATTAAAAACGCGATAAAGAACCATGAAAAAAGAAAAACTTACGGGGGCTTTCACAGTTTTCAGAAAATGCTCGAATTTAACCGGAAAGCTTGAAAAAATTCCGCATTTCCAAATGTTTAAAATATTTTCGTAGCTGGCCTCGCTGGGTTTCATATTTGAAATATTTCTCAAAATCTTTTTTAATGCTTTACGAAGTATATTTTGTATTTCTTTAATTCTTCCATACCTCAAACACAACTGGTCGCGCGCTAGCGCGACCGATACTTCAGCAGTGTTGTATTTACTATTGGTCCAGCGGCTTACTTACTTTTTACTTTTCGTCCTGTCGTCGATTTTACTATTTACTTTACTATTTACTTTTCGTAATCTTCCGGTATTACTATTACTTACTTTTTAATTTTCCGTCATAGCCTTACTTACTTTTTACTTACTTAGTAATTACTAGTAAAATAGTATTTACTATTCGTGTAAGGTTTTTACATGAACCGCGTGCGCAGCAATTTCTTTAACATATGCAATCTTGTTTTCACAGAGCGGCAGGTAAAAAATTTATTACTTGAACTACCATTTTACTATTATGCAGAAAATTTGGTACTTCGACTAGTGCATTTTTCCCTCGAAACGGTTTTGTTTTGCTTAAAGTTATCGTGTTTGACAAACCGACGTGCATATGTAAAATATTGCATGGTACCCCGATAGCAAACAAAATCAGCAACATTTCATTAATAAGCCAATGCTTACTATACGAGCATTATATTAGAGCCCATCTGACAGTCACGTAACTCGCGCATCAAGTGCTCGATAGCGTCTCCGCTGCAGCGAAAATTCAGCGCTGCAGAAGGAAACCTGTAGTGCCAAACGTAAATCTTACGAAAAATTGAGTTTGACAGAGTTTTGGTACTGTCGGCCGCGTTATATTTGTTGCTGACAAATAGTAAACTAAAATATTTACTAATTAAACTTTTTCCATTCGGTATCTCTTACTGTTACTTACTGTTTACTTTTTCCAACTCGGCTGCTCTTACTTTTACTTACTATTTACTTTTCTGTCTTGCAGTCTACTTACTTTTTACTTAATTACTAAAACACAAAAAAAGCTTACTAAGTAAGGTTTACTATTTACTTTTACTAAGTAAAGCAACACTGGATACTTGTACTATGTTTATTGTGCGGTCGGATTCCATGATTTGCCATGAAAACAACACCCGCAGCGGTTGCCCAAAACGTCACTTTAATGATTTTGAAAGAAAAGCCTTCCTAGGGGCACGCTACTGTCACTGGCACTGCCTTAAACCGTTTAAGTCAAACGGTCTCATTCTGTACCCTCTCATGGGCTGCAGCTACAGAGTACAGATTTTTACAGAGCTTTGTGGGGGCTTCCGCTTCATCAGTTCATGTGAATTCATTCTGATACACACTGTGACGGTAAAAAATGTGTAGTTTATACAATACTTTATAGTGTACACTGCAGTTCAACAATTTTTTGCTTGTTAAAATGTTACTTTAACTTGTTAGTTCGCATCTCTTATGCACTTTCGATCTGGATTTTTAGTTTGTTTACTCGCTTCCATCGTAATCGAAACATAACCTGTAACTGATTCCAAAACTCTGTTACTGCCGATACATTATCATCCCCGGACTGCATCGGCGCTGCAAAGAACGCCATGCCTCGCCAGAAGCAAAAGGAGCCTAAACTATCGAAAACACCACGCAAAGGCATCACCGTTCCTCCTCGTGTTATAGGAGGACGGCATAGCGCTCGCGTGCGACGCGAAGACACACCAGAGGCAGAGGAGTCTGCATCAGGCAGTGAGAGCGGCAGTCGTTCTGCGTCGCCATCCGAATCCCCCGTTGCCTCCACTCCGTCGCGTTCTCCATCACCTCCGCATCGTCGCGCTCCGCGTGTTCGTGGAGTTAATACCGTTAAGGCAGTCAAAACGGTACAGAAGCCCGAATCTAGCCGTCGACGACCACGTCCGGGACAGGGAGTCCAGCAGACCCAAGCCACTGGCAAGCGACAAGCACAGGTATGCCAATTGTGAGCCTTGTGTGTGTCGAACAGCGCTTGTGACGGCTTGTGACGCTTGTGACGGCTTGTCCTTAGTTTTTCTGGGGTGAAAATTCTCATGGAATAGAGTCATCACTCGCCTGTAATTTTGGAATGTAAAGTTTCATGGAAAGAAAAATTAGATTTGGAAAATTACGAGTGACGAATTGAAGGTGTCGAATGGACAATTTGAATCTTAGTTTGTTGGAAATTTCCACAATTTATTAGTTTAATAGCAGACTCACAGTACGTGATTATTGATGGATTTCTCATTTGTTTTCTGCATCATTTTATTTTACGAATGCTTTTAGGTGGCCAAAAAGCCGCGTCGTCGACCCGGAATTCTGGTGCTGCGAGATATCCGTTTTCTGCAGAACACCACGCACACACTCATTCCACGCTCATCCTTTGCCAGACTGGTGAGGGAAATCGCGCACAAACACACACCAGATCTGCGCTTTCAAGCTGTCGCCCTGCAGGCGTTGCAGGTTGGTAGTTTTCACTATTTTTAGCCTAGTTTCTTAAAACCTTGGTATATTTTTCGTCTGATCTAGAGGTATTGGGTTTTTGAAGCTGAGTAAGGCATTAATCAGTTCTTATTATAGGAGGCTTCCGAACATTTTCTGATTTCCCTCTTTGAGGATGTCAACCTGTGCGCTGTACACGGCCGCCGTGTAACCATCATGCCACGGGATATGACACTGGTTCTGCGATGTGAGTCCACGTCTTAGATGTCGTATTGTCCAGGTTGCAAAAGCCACGTATCGAAATCAGTGTTGTTGAAGCAGTTTTCTATTGTTAAGCGATTGTATGTGATTAGTAAAGTAGTAACGCCAGTCAGCTGAAAAGACCCACTACAAAGTGTGTCTTTTTAGTTGACTGGCGTTAATTGGGAACACGGATTGTTGTTGACCGATTTTGTTTTTGCAGTGCGTCGTGATGCCCGATATCGTTCATTGGAGGAGCAAGGCCGACATCGTGTGCGCATGTAAATTACACATTTCGGAACAAGTGCAGCATGAAAATGCAGTTGTGCTGATTGCTATGATGGCTTATTCCTTTTTCGGAAGACCGGGTCTTGTAAATTCAACTTGCATTTTTCCCTCTCACTGCTTGTAACTTGTACATAATTCGTGGCACATCCGTGCATTGTGGTTTACTTTCTCTTACGTTTCGGTATTTTGTATTATTCATGCCTGGTAGTTTCAGTTGAGCATGTTTATTTACTTTGTGCTCTGCTCCGTGAACCGCAAGGAGGTTTGGATTTATTGTTATCGGAAGTTTGCTATCCGGTCAGTATAGTTGCACGTTGATCTAACAATTTTTTTCGTTCTCTTTATATATAGATACTGTATTGTTACAGTTGGTATGTTATTTTTTTGCCTCGGTGCATGTTGGAATCGGTTAGCATTGCTTTGAATTTGTGTAGTACTCGTACAGTACCTCATTTATAGTTCTCTTATTTTGTTTCTGAATAAAGTTGTCGCATCAGTGAGCTTTTTGGGTGCATCCGATAGCGGCGATCATTGTCCGAAATATATGTATATATATAAATATATTTTTTGTTCATGTTCTTTATGTATTAACAGATTTCGATTTCATTAATAAGTGGGCTAAGCGTTCCAGAACATTTTATAAGCTGACTTCAATGTAGAGGCATTATGGAGTAATACATTGTTACGTTTGTCGATTACGAAACTAATGGTGAATTAGCGGAAAGATAACCCTGATTTCACGAAATGGGAGGCATATAAATCTAGCTGCACAAAAAATATGTCGGCATACTGTATAAGATATTCCTGCTCTGGTGTCCCGACAGGTTAATGTTTAACTACCCGCTCGTCTGTGCCCGTCTTCCGGTCTTTGGACGCGCACTTCCTTTATTCGGGGTTTTTGGGTTGAACTCTGACCAGCAGCGTTATCGTCCACCCACACCCATTTGCCGTGTTCCGTCGTGGTTGTGATCGGAGCTGGGGTGGTTGTCGTTGTTGGCGGGGGTCCTTGGTTAGGTGTGTCGAACAGGACTTCGCTGGTGTATAGCCGACGATTGGCAAAATATTCGTCTCGGATGAAACTGAAAATAGCCATTGTAAAATTTCAGTGCAATACTGGTCTCCATAAAAGGCCATAATGTGGTGACCTTTCTTACCCAACACAGTCCACGTTAAACCAGTGGTCGCACACCAACGTTATGGGATTGAACAACGTCCGGTTAACGCAGATATAGCTGGTCATGTTTCCATTAATGTCACAACGATGGAACGTCTGGCACTGAGTGGCTGGATCTGCAAAACGATAGTGCAAAAAAGAAATTTTGCGAGTACGCATATTTGGTCGAATTCAGCATATCCATGCGATCCCGAATTCCTGTTCACTCTAGAGTAGCTGGTAACAATTTTATATAAAATCCATATACATGTAAAAATGAACTGGATGAAAATTTTAAAAGTCCATGAAGACGCATTGTCAAACATAGACTAATTTTGAATAAAATGTTATAGAAACATTTATTTTGCCATGAGATTAAAAGGTACAGTACATTACGAAAATACTTTACCTGCCCACGAACAAGGCATTATTGTGGACAAAAATAAAATTTTACCGGGCTTTTAATGATTTCGCACCTGCGTAATAACCGGGAAATTCTTTTTCAGCGCAAGTGAAACCGGGTGCAGGAATGTCGTAGTCACCCCGCTCTGGCCACTGTCCGACCCGCTGTGCTAAGAGCGCGTAGATCTCTTGGTTAGTCAGCACCTTCATCCAATCAAAAACATACTGATGGGAAAACGTATTGGATGCGGCAAGTGTACCAACCAAAAAACACGAGAGAACTATAGCGATCTTCATCTTTAAAGAGCGATCGAGTGACCTATCCTTTCCAAAAATTGTATTAAGCCGAAAACATGTGAACCCGGTTCTTACTGTTAAAAAATATATGAGCGTTATATATATAGCCACTGTCTTCCTCCTGTCATTTTATGGTTATCGTAGCATTGCGCTACATCTGCCAAAAGCCAGTTCTCTGGCACATAAAGTTCAATTTTACTTACCGCAATTCAGGTGACTACATGTCATTTACTATATAACATACAGTCTCGAGATTTTACTGGGGCTGCCGATAATTGTATTAAATTTTATTGACCTTTACGATGTTATAAAACACTTTGGAGGCCAGTTTGGTAATGATGACTTTTTACAACTCTTTTTGTTTCGTTTGTCCGTTCCTAATGCAACATGCCTGTATAAATGATATAACTGGAGCATAATCCCGTCACGTCAAGTTCGAAGCCGATTTCCGTCTTGCGAATGCTAATTATGCACGAGACTACTTGTGGAGTATTTACTTAACGCGAACTTGAGATCATTTTTCTCTTGCGCGCTCAAGAGATATGTACCAGTTTGAAATTAAACACCAACGGTTGTGTCGCTTGTAGGTCCACTGTAGTACTGTGTCGATGACAAATTTATGGATTCTTGCAATATATGCTCATTGTTGACTGGTTTAGATCCTTTTGCTATCATGACACTGTAATTTCGTTCATAGTTCGAATAAAACGAGAAAATCCACATAAGATTTGATAAAGATCAAGGCAAAGCATTTTGTGACAAAACAGCCTTTGGTAATTATTTTCCTGCGTAATACTCACATGTGGTTTTTACCATTTTACTGGCTGATTTTCCAATATCTTTGGAGTAAGGGATTTTATTCAGGTACTAGTTCACAGTTGCATAAGTGTTATAATCAGTTCCATAAAAAATTATAACAGCGGAGATATTGTTTGCATACTCTGCATTTATTTAAAGTTTATCGATCGGCGCTTATCGTAAATGTTACAAACTAGTACCCTATAGATTCTATTGCTAAATAGCTATCGATACCAGTGATAAATAATTCATCCTGTACATGCTTGCAATGTTTTTGCAAGCTTTCATTTTGCCTTAAGAACTTCCAACCTAATTAAATTAACAAAAGTTCATTTTTTTATGTTGCACATGTTATAAAAAAAATCACTAGATTTTTTTACGTAGCACATGCTATAAGCTGCTACCAGTGTGCTACCGATCAGCTCCCATACGATGCCGACCGCTGCGGTGCTTCTCGGAAATTTCAACCGGAAGAGCACGCGTTGGTAGACTGTGGATCCGAGGACGCTGTTTCTCCTGGAGCTATGTGTCTGAAATATACGCAACTCAGCCCGCGAGCTTTTATATGTATGGGAAGCGGAAACACCTTTATATTTACTCATTTTATTTGTTTTACAATACATATTCGTTTGCAATTTGACTTGGATAAGCATTATTTTCATTGGTTCGTGCATAATCTCATTTGTATGTTTTAGTTAAAATCCTTAAACAAACGCTTTTGCTACGCTGCATCTCCGCATTTGTTTATAAAACAGATCCATACAGTATGTCTTATATCGCCTTTTTAGGGGATAAGCGATGGAAAAGCGTTATTCGACGATGTGCCCAAATCTCTGCGCATGGTCATATCCAAGGCTGCGAATGGGGTTTTGACTGTATGTTAAACCGGCGTGCATTGATAAATTTAACAAATAAATAATAATTCAGACGTCAATCGATATCACAGGTCAACTTTTGTATTTTGCTTCTAGCTCGCGGAACATATTGGGAGCAGGTAAGCTTGTGGTCCGGACGGCTATTTTACATTACTGTACTTCAATTCAATAACTGCTGCAGTCCACTGGTGTAAACGCGGCAGTTAAACTAAGTTCAAACTTTTGAAGTAGCAAGCACAATGATTAGTAATAATCATACAGTAAAAACTCACATGTTATCTTACCATGCCGAATTACATATATTACATTTTATCGGTGGCCAAAAAGTAGCGTCAATATCTATATTAACAAAAATACAACTGGTACTGCAACGGTAATGATTTCATTCGTTCCAGTGTTATTGTACGCGGGATGGATGTAATGCAGCAGCTGCTCCGGCCTGCTCCCGATTGAACTTATTTTGCGGTTTTTGTATTTATATTCTGTTTTTAATTTCAATGTAATGTTCAATGTGGTTAATCGGTTTATTCCACCCAGATCAACGGAAACATTAAACAGCAACCGAAAAATCAACACAACATACGTACATACATAGATTACATTTATATCGGAAAAAACCGTCTTTCGTTTTTCCGTTTACCCAACAGTTATAATCTAGCATCAAAATTATATTTTCATAAAAGCTGTCCGTAGATCTCTCCCGACAATTTTATCACAGATATTTATCTGGAGGGTCAAGGATTTGCTGCAATAGTATCTTCGATCCATTTCCGGTATCTGCCCACTACAATCATAATCTTGCTGTACTCTGTACTTTCGAAGATGTGAATGTTTTCAGAGACGGATCTGCTAATACTGTATACGTACCTCTGACATATACTCCAGGTAGCTTTGGTTGTGCACATCTAATTAAAGATGTAAAAATAAATATACTGCCATCGCAGTTTTTGTTTGCACTATAAAATCTAAGAGGTAACTGCAACGATTTACACATAATACGTAAGTGATTCACCGGCAAATCCATATTAGAAAATATTCAGTGCTTACCCGAATCCCCAACTAGTTACTCCCATCAAGTCGAACGAACCATCCACCATGAGACACACTAACGGACCTCCTAACAATATTGGACAACAGCATTTATCACTTTGTAATTTCGGTTGACACCCTGACTGCATCGCAGAATTTAGTTCCCTGATTACACGCATTATAAATATTCGTAAGTACCGGAATCTCCTTGGCAAGCATCGATGCCACCTTCGCGATATCCGGCACAAAACATGTTATCCGTAATCGCACCCGGGAACAAGTTGCGGCACATAACATCATCAATAATAGGCACGGTGGCCTGCCGCAACCGATCTCGGGGATTAGCAGGGATAAAGTTTCTCTGTTGTTTATCCTCGGTATTGGCATCGCCATTGCCACTTCCCATGCTGAGGGGTGCCGAAAAGTTCACGAAAGAAAACTTGAATCCGGCAAATCCTGAATGCATTGTAGTGTTAGAATATTATTACGTGCATAAGTATTATCAAATTTTTGGCTCGGACTGATGCATAAAATAACACTGGTATTCACCGTTTTTGCTTCCTTCAGTTGGGAATGTCTCTCCCCATCCAGTGATGTAACACATGGTTCCGGGAGGTAGGAAAGTATCTTTGGACAGGCAGGCAAATCGTTTAGTATCGTCGTTATTTAAGTTGGACACTGTCTACAAAAAATCCGTTCACAGAATCGTACTACCGCTTCGGACAACCTTTAGTTTGAGATTGTGACGGCAAACCTTGTCAATTTTTATCAAAGCTAAATCACTGTCGACTGTATCTGGACTAAATTTTTCGTGGATGATGATCTTCGTGATTCCGGTAATTAGCTCTGTTCCTTCTTTGACTGATAAGTCATGCTCACCAATTCTTACTTCATACTGGTGAGCGGAAGTTCTACAAAGTCGCATTTCATTTTAACTTCAAACGCATTTGTGCTGTCAACATCATTCGAAGAACAACGAATAACAAGACTTGTACTTACGCTAAAACTGGGTAGTAACAGTGTGCCGCCTGAAAAGCACAAATATTAAACCAATATGCACATTAAACTACAATTGTTCTATTAGCCAACGGCTAGTTAAATGCATACCGACAGCACCCAGTTCGGAGCCACCAATGTTCCTAAAAAGTGCAACATCCATTTAGTACCGTATAATTTTTATATAATTATATTTTTATATAATTTTTATATAATTAGCACGTGAACGTGCGTGCAAAGTATAATGAACAATTTTAACGGGTACGAAATTACTGCACACTATCAGTTGTTTCTAAACTGGACTAAGGGTAATCCCAATGACACTAGTGGTAATTTGTAACCTCGTCATCTGGCACCGGGACTACCGGCACACTAAGCAAAGGTATTATGACACTTCTACAGACTACAGTTTACTTATGGTTTGTTATCATACCTCCGCAAAATACTCGGTCCGAGCCACGGGTAAGAATAGCAACCTGCCAGGGCCAGGAAAATGGACGCGCTTCACTTCCCCCGACGATGCTAATTCAAAAATACATCGTAATAACTTATTAATAATATTACTCAGATTAGAAACATATTCGAGTTTTACGCAGTTACAGGCAGTGCACAGTGAGTACTGTACAAAAATATTTAACCAGACTAAATCAATTTACTCTGCACTCGATGACTCGACCAGAGCTTGTGCGGACTATTCAGCAATTCTACACATCTAAGTTGTCTAAGGAATAGGATATACGCATACTTCCAGTAACGTCAGTTACAGTAGTTCGGTACTGCAATAAGTTCAGCTGTATGACAATATTCTGACCACCAAAAATAAGGCGACTACAAATACGTACGACTTCAAATACATATTTGGTTAATAATAATTGTAAAACATGCTGTAGGTGGTTATTTGAAAATTCTAAAATTGTCAAGATTGTTGCTCAACTTCCCGTCACAAAGCCCCTTACCTGCCGAGTTGACCGGATGACGCCAGTAACGGAGCAATCGGTGGTCGGCCACACTTAAGCGTATTCGGCTGCGGTGGGGTGAATTCCCACGTGACATTGAAACCCTTTTCGTTGTATGTTGGATCGGATTTAAAGCGCAGCCGTACCGTTCCTTTCGTGGTTGTCAACATCTGCGGCCCATTCTTCCCACAAAACCAGGCCACTTCCTTGTAGTCGCCGGTGGACACTCGCTCCAATAACTGCGCGCGTGCACGTAAAATTTTAATTCGTAATCAACACAACGCATCATCCGCACGTTCAACTGTCGTGCGGTAAATCCTGGCAGCTAAAAGGCTAAATAATTCACCTACTGTTAATGAGTCAAATGCACATCGTCCGTTTCGGTCACCAGCCTCTAAATTGAAACTCTCCGAGTTGAAGCGCACGACCATACCGGCTGGTGCGTTGAAGTTGAAATCACAGTCCACCACATTGTCCGGATAGTTGCGCTCACCGAATCCCGGGGACGTAACGAAGCCCCTTTTAAAGGTAGCCGAATTGAATTCCTGTTAACACAGTTTCAGATATCGTATATGTATATCCTCACTACATGTGTTATCCATGCAGCAGATGATTAATGCAGCGCTCATGCATGCACCATCCCAGCTGACAACGTATACTTGTGTGCGAGTATAAATAGTTTTAATTAAGAAAGCCTGGATTATTTAACAAATGTCGGTGATTGTGAATATTGCGCTATACACGTTGCTAATCGTTACCGTGAAAATGTTTAACAATGTCTGATGCGGACATAGCCGGAAAAACTAGTACTGACCTGGCCACACGTTCGACTAAGAAACAACGTCTCGCTGACCATCCACGATATCCTAGCGAACGGAGTGGACGGACCACTGGACGCCGCATTGCGCCTGAAGGAGCATACTTCTATGACGGCATTGTTGCCCTCGAACAGAAAAACTGTCGGTGTTGCTCCTTGGCAAAATTTTGCTGAAACCACAACGAAACATAAAATTTCTGTGTTACATAATGTCGCGTATAACCTGCGCAAACGAAGCCGCTGATCTACGGTTGTTGTGCTTGAAATGAAATTGTTCAGATTCGGTAGATAGGCTTATCGTAATTCTGATACAGGTAATCGGAAAAATATTTTAAAAAATTTCCATTATTGTGCAATAACGAGTAGTTAAGTTTAAATTTTATTACATTAAGTCCATGCAATATAGCGGTACAAACAAGTCTATAGCGTCACCACACTACATTTTTTACTAATCATGCTCATAACTTTGCTAGCAGTAGCAGATATCTGTGCGAGGAAGATCAAACCGCAATACAATAATCACCGATAGGTTCCACAGAGTCCTTTGACAAGCCGACTTTTTAGCATCCACTTTGCCATCCAACTTGGTACCATCATATAAGGCCACCCATTCCCGTGTACAATCAATTTGCGACTGTCCAGGCGCACTGAATACTGAGTTTTGTTCAAAACGGAACTCTATATTCTACAAGATATTAAACTTTCATATTACGCTTGTCACAGAAGCAAAGACTGGCGTGCATTACTAAACAAATTTATGACCTGGCATGTCAGTAAGAAACAATCAAAATATGAGCAAGCCTCGAAATAAAAAAAATCATTGCAATATTCTGTAATATTGATATATTTATTGCACGTTCGTACTTCTTATGGCGACAGAAGGTCACTAGCGCTGTCAACTCACATTGCCTTGTTTGACGGTAATATTCCACCGGCATCGAATACTCTTGCCCCGACTGCGGGATGCCGACATAACCCCGCGTATACCAGACTGCGTATCCGGTCCGGCGCACTGATTATCTACGAGCATCCCCATAAAAAGAAGCTTCAACAGAAAAAAACACACACCGGGTAACGGTCACTGTATCCAGCGGCGACGGCGCATTACCTAATGACTCAATGGGGGCTATGTGATGAAAGAAAAATACGCGTACTTGGTCGTCGAAGCTGGTGGCGTCCACATGACCCACACAGTAATACACACTGAGCAATGAGCCGGCTATGGACAACAATGAGATCAGCCGGCTGACAGTTAAGGAGGAACTCATCCTCCCCAACTGGACGCGCAGCGGAATGACACCGGCAAAACGTTTTTCGGGAGAGTGACTTATAGGGGGATCAGCTGTACCGCATGGAACTGGAAAACATGATGATGATGACAAGTATAATGCGCTAATTCCTCCACACTGTCACAATAGTGTCAATGCGCGATGACTGCTACAAACCTGATCACGCGGCTATCAGTGCCGTTGTGTGTGTATGTGTGGGGAGCGCGCGCACAACGTGTCGCAGTGATTAATCGGCTAAATGGGACAATAGCAGGTTTTTAGCACTCTACAAAGATCAAGAGTCTATGGCTCAGTGTGTATTGGGTTAAACTCTACAGCCCCTTTATGCCAGGCTAAGGAATCGCCAGAGCCAGTATTATAACAAAGAACAACGACGAAAAAAAACGCTTTCGTGGGTATGGCCGCCTACATGTGGCATGAAAGACGCGACGACGTAATGGCTGGGAAATGCCTTATCAATTTGATTGACCATTTGGACAATGGTACCGGACGGACATAATTCGTATTGATCAATAAACCGGTGCTTAGCAGGTCGACGTGAGTTTATAAATATAAATTGTCTACACTCGGCGCGCACATACACGGCACGGCACTGCATTTCTCCGCTGTGCACATGTTTGGCATACATTATGCTATAATCCATCCAAGACCGTATACAATCTACATTTCCGTAAAAATGGAAATGATTTAATTGCACAGGAGCTGTGTCGGTGCGATCGTCTCTCGCCGCTCGCGGACTTTCATCTATTATATGCATGGTTGGTAGTTTTTCTCTGCCGTTCTTCTCTCTGTCAAACACGCTGCATCATCCGATCAAAAGATCGACCGCGAAAAACAACGACTAACGGAGCTAGAAATTTGTATTTGTCAGAGGGAGATCGCGAGCCGCTGCTGCGCATGGGTCAATGGACGGCAAGTATATGCAAAATTGTGATTTGTTTATTGAGTGTGGTCAAGCACCACATACGTACTGCACATGGACCCGATCATCAGTGACATATTATTGTACTGTATGCAGTGTGTAAGTATCGCCGCTTATTGGTGGCGCCACCACGAGTATCCCAAGTTCCTGATCTGACCAGTGAGGGCTATAATACTGCAAACTATACATCTGTGATTATATATGCGCAGTCTGTTGTTTGGTATATGTGCGTCGGGCGGGAGACTGTTGGAGGGCCTGATTAGGGAACATTATGCACGGTAATAGCTCCCCTTGACGAGTGGAAGTGCTGTATTAATCTTCCGGCATCGTAACGACACGGACGTGAAAAATCGTTTTCGGGAAAAAATGTGACAAGAAAATGGAATGTGCATAGATCTGTAACATATTCCTTCGTATTGCCGTATGAAATTTAAGTGAATACAAACAGTTGATATACTGGAGATCAGTTCGACAGGATTTTACCATTTTTCGAGTACTATTTTATTATTGTACAGTACTTGTATACAAGCATAATTATTTGTGTGCTGTACAGCCCGTACTCGTAGTTAGAATTTTGCATCGTGAAGGGAAGCAGCTTAACAAGTAACATTTTAGAAAATGCATCTACATTAACGTTGCAATTCTAACAAACCGAAAGTAAAAACCAGAGTGATTAATGTTGGCACAACAAGAGTCCCACTATTACAAAGGTCACTGGTGCAAGTGAATATGCACGCTCGGAATTCCAGCGGTTCGTTCGGACGCTGCAGATAGTTACACATGTTGCCCAGATTTTTTGAGCTACAGAATCTGCGAGTGCCTGGTTTCCCTGGAAAAAATATACACATTGTTAATAATTATATAAGCTACTAAAGTAAAAAGAAATCGCCAAAAAAAGTAAAACAAAAGTAAAGAAAAGAGAAATCTTTTTCATTTTCTTCGACTTTCCAAAGCTGAATGTCAACTGTATTCTTTTGCCAGGCATATTAAATACATTAATTAGCTCGCTTGTTTTTTGCCTATTTCATACTGTGACAGTAATGTAGACATACCGCCATACATTCCCGTAGTTTTAATGCAGTACTTTGCCTGATAGATCTGTTCAGAACAGTTGACAGCCTCCAATCCCGCTGTTGTGGAATCAAATTTCTCTTGACAGCCGGAATCAATTGTCGAATCGCATTTGTAACAAAAAACGGCTTCGCCTAACAAATTAAAGGCCCTCTTCACAGGAGAAAAGTGTGGCTAAACGATAGTTCAACTTACAGGGTTTTATCGCCGTCTGTGATATCCAAACTGCTAAGGGTAAAAAGAAAATCTTTGGCGTAAACATCGGGGCATGCAGCATTTAATAACGCGCTTCCTGTGATAATCGTTTCTTCCGCTTCGCTCAACTATTATGTGTTTCCACTCGACTATCATGTGCCGGAAGGGATCGAAATAGATAAAAAGTAAAACAATTTCTGTAATTAAAATGCTACGTGGATGTGCAAAAAGACAGCTTTTGTTACATTAAGATGTACAAAAAATATGGGTATAGCTTAGCATTGGAATAATATATTCATTGTATCATAAAATCTATCTAACAGTTTAACATGCAAATGGCGCGGCTGTGAGCGATTAAAGCGGCAATCATAATAATACGATTTACCGTATATTATGCATAAAGGAAATGCAAATAGTTGCTCGATCCTGATTTGGCAGTAAAATCTATGAGCCTCATGTCAAGTTAGGTCAACTCTTGCTGTTTGCTCAAATTAATGCAAAAATATTATAGAAAACTAGGAAAGCTTTCCAAATGAGGTTACAAAAAACTTAAGTTGGTAGACGTCAATGTCCAATCCATCGAGCAAAACGCTTCAAAAATACAATTGCTTGGCTGAAGTTTCCGTCATTTGGGTGACGGAGATTATCAGTAATTGCAAAAGACATTACTGATAACTTCATAAAATGTGCACGCGCGGCAAGTTGTCGGCAGCAGCCAGAAACGATGTCAAGCAGTTAACATCATTTAGAACAGGTTTTGTGACTTATTGCAAATTCTGGGCTGCATAATATAATACCATGTAAAGGAGCTAATAATAATATTCAAGTTCTGTATTATTGTATCGACTTTCGGAAACTTTGGAGGTTTTATCGATCGAACTCATCGATAAATTAATATGTAGGCAGCCATTTTTTAAAACATTAGACATACACAGACGTCGCAGCAAGTTATTGCAGTGCTACAAATAAATCATTTGGCAAAATGGTTTTTTTGAAATTTTCAAATAAAGTTCCATACTATCGGCTGATCGAGTTAGGCAGACATAAACACTGTGAGTACGGTCGTTATTAACACAGCAATATGCATGCTCAGTCCGCCTTTCATCAACGAGCGTCTGCCGGCATTGCATAAATCTTTGGAGCAAAAATATGAGCAAACTCGAAATTCTTTCTGCTTGTCCACAGTCTTCCCGTAATTGGCAATTTGATCAAGATTTTCCTCTGCCGATGATCCCTTTAGGCAGCCTGAATGCATAGCCGTATCAATGCAATCCCGCGCCAAACTCATGAATGTCCCTGTAATCAATATCATTCTTGTTATAAAATGCGAACTTTAATTAGCACTGGCTACTGGTAATGGGCTTTTTCACTGGGCCATTTGTATGTACCATTGGGAAAATAAATCTCCGTCTTCAGACAGAAAGATTTCTGACAGTCCGCCGCATATGGCAGCGTTTCCAGTCCCGGATTGGTTACGCAGTGGTCGTTGATGTTGGTTGTGGAACAGAAGTAGCAGCGCATACAGTAACCTGTAGTAATCACAATTACTCGTATTTTGTTACTTACTAAAATTAATATCTAATGTTGTATTCAGCTTCCCCCTAAGCGATTTCATGTATGAACAACAAAAGTTTATTGGAATTCTCTTTATGACACAATAAAGTAACTTCTATAGTATTAATTTTTAATTGCTCGTAACACATTTTTATCACCTTTTTTTAATACGAGTAAGTAAATTGTTGCACGGATTGTCCACAGCTATGTTATTACGAACTTCATTAAGTACAGTCTGCAGTTAAATGTTAGTAATAAGAATTAATTATAAACATCACCCATTGTGTTTTCCGTACTTATGTAACTGTTCAGAACAAACATCGAGTGTCTCCAGTTGTAAGGTTGTAAGCTAATTAATCGGTGCTCTTAGCGATTGAATATCGTTTCGCTTTGCGGTTTGTATTCATCCTCACCTTCATCCTTACATCGATCTATGCAAATGCTACCCTGCTTGGCATTTGCTGATGAAACGAGTGTACATGTCCATGCAATAAAACAAAATTATACGGTATTCGCAGAAGCCGACTGAGTTACTGTTGTGTTAGTAGTTAATCTAATTGCAATTGCAATCAGATTAACTATTGCAATAGTTTAAGTACTAGTAAGCATCGTGTGTGGTTACCATTCAAGAAATACAATCACTATTAAAATAAAACCCACTACACTGATTAATTTCGTGGTAAAACTATAAACACAAGAAAGATAACATAACACATATGACCTCAAACAGTTAAACTGTGTGATTTGACGAAGAAAAAACGCGCTGATACATATATAGTAACAAATTTAGTCCCAATATGAACGTAAAGATCGCGTTTAACAAAGAAGCCGAAGAGTTATCAAATTTTATACTCTAGTCCTTGTAGGAGTTACTCACCGAATGGAATATGAAATAGAAATATCCACACACTATATTTCCACAACTGCAAACCGCAACCGGAAAGCATAACTGTTCGGCACACATGAAAGAGATCCATTATACCGTAATAAACGCCTCGTTAACTGCCGGCTCAATCAATGAACTGTCGGGTGCATGATTGTACCCCGCAGCCAGAATCCTTCCATCGTTTACATGTGTAGGAACATTGGTGACCTTTGCAAACGGTATCAAAACAGTAAAACGCCAGACGTACCGCAAGATGCGTTGTTCACTCTCACGATGTAGCAAATGATCAATTAGCGAATGATCTTGCATACACGAGTTGAATATCTCATCTATTGATTTACAGTTTGTTTTGGTTATTCAGATTAATTATATCAGTGCGGCGGGCAACAAATGATACCACCATAAAATTTGCCAACGGAAGCCTAACGGCATCGCAAAGGGGAATACAGCCGAGCAAGATTGATCTTTGTGTCAGCAGCGGTCTGTCTCCTAACAGCTGCTGGAGTGTATTATACGATAAAAGATTGGATGCGGCGGAATGCGGGAATCCATAACTGGAATAAATGCAGAGAAAGTGTAGCTGTACGCTCGCGGTACGTACAGTTTTTACATATCTTGCACTGGGACTTGTAAAGTTGTATTACGCTGTACTGAAAGAGCTGAAAACGCTAAAAAAAAGCAACTGGGAATGATCCAGTAAGTAGTCCCATATCGAATTACATATACTCTGGTGTCGTACCTCGTCTGCCGCTCGTACTGCAACTATAGGCCAGTTGGAACTGATAAATTAAGGTTACTTAAATGATTGCCTCTTAATCTGATAAAAATTCATACTGTAATGTCACTTTCAATAATATAACTTTATTATGGAGAAGGATGCAGTTATGGGAACGCATTAAAATTTTTAACGCCAACGCTCCGTATATAGGGGGCAAAACTAAGCGTGTTCCAAGGTTCCCCTGTATTGCTGCCGTCACCCGCCTGGAGTGTGACGTTGCGGTAGTACATACGGTTAAATCTGGCGCGGTACATAAGCGCCATGTTTAGCCACAACGTAAAACTCCAGCCGGGTGACGGCAGCAATACAGAGGAACCGTGGAACACGTTTAGTTTTGCCCCCTATATGACCGGCATATACAAGATACTCTGCAACTTCCAGATCGTGTTGCAGAAAATCAAAAGGTGCAAGTTTGCAATGCATCCACAGTCAAAACTGAATTAGGGGAGCATCAATTCTTTAGAAACATGCTAGTTCCACAAAAACGTAATTAATTTCCGTATCGGATGACGATCTAGTACTGTAAGTATGACACTGTTATACTTATTATAGTATAAGCATACTTGTTTGCCTGACGCCTGATACGTAATTTAATTTAATTTAATTGCAACCAGAGCAGGTAGCCCATTTCCGGCTAGGTTGACAGTCTAGCATGGGATTGTAAACCTGGCTGAAGTCAAACATCAGACGGGTAGTAAGGCATATCCTAAAACTAATTTTAATGAGATATCGGAACGAACTAAAAATAATCAGATTAGACTATCATTAAAGTACGAATGTTCAGATTTGGAATGGTAGTACTAATTTGTATAAAGGAAATTCTCTATCATTACCATAACCATACACCTTGGTTATTGGTAGTATATGGTTAATTGGTTATGGTTATAATTTCGAGAAAATCATAAGTTTTTTTTTAAAACTGACAATCCCGAACAATCGACAAATAAAAGAATGCACCGAACACAACGTAAGAAACCTTCTGATGGGCTCCATTGACTTATCTGGTATTCATTGTTATAAAACTGTCGACGACTCCACGCACGTACTCCATACAGTGTTCAATATAATTAATGTCTTAAGCGTGTAACCATGCTGTAACTTTCGACAAATAAAATTGTTGCGCTTAGCAGATGTGGAGTTGTATTCGAAACACAGAACTTTAACAAAAAGGTTTTGAAAGAAATGTTATACAGCCTAGTTCTTTTGCTATACAGCCTAGTACTGATTCACCAGCGCGTAAGGAAATCGAAATCTTGAAAACGCCCAAAAACTCGTTAGAAATGTTATTAACTACACGTGCTGCAACTTGCAAATGGTATTTGCGTGTGAGTGCACATGTTCAAATTTTCTAACGAGCGTAGTGCAAAATACAAACTCTACTATACTCTGAGAAAACACAACACTCGATCACATTTTAGCTTTATGTAAAACTTCCTGAATATATTGAAACTCCGCCGAACCGGGATCAAATTTAGCACCGAAATCTTGCAGTTTGTCAAACTGTTTCAAAACAGCCAACGTATCAATTGTCACACTATGGCACTTGCTCTTTCGACTCAATTCCAGCCGCAACTCTGGCTCATCAATTAATCGCAAATAATACGCTAACACATCCGGCGGTGTTCCATTGCGCAGCAGCACATCCACGACACTCTCGAATCCAATAGCGGATTTCGGTTTGGGCGCCCCGAACCAGCCGGTGCGATCCGTCAGCAGTGACTGGATATCGTTCCATTTTTGTGCCTTTGAGAGAGCGCTCAACGCCGTCCACAAAAACTGCTTCTCCGGAATGGCAAAAGCGCGGCGAATGTAGTGCGGACTACAAAAATTGGTTTCCGGTTTGTCGAAATGATATAAACAGCAGTAGTGCAGCGTGTCAATGAGGGATAGACCAATCACAGAACGCAAACGGGGAAACTGTACAAAAAGATCATTTTTAGGGTCTTTTGAGGCTTTCTCGTCATGGTCGTCGATGGGACGCTGCACCTCCAAGAGAGATTTGTAAGTCCGCAAGCGGGTCAACTCCGAAGCGGGCGAACTGGCAACGGTTAGTTGGCGCTTTATTCCCGAATCCAGCTCTTTCAAACGGTCCGGAATGTGGTGCTTTTGGAGCGATAAACGAAGCTGCAACTGGGTTGCTTCATCTACGACATAAGACAATTACGAACAATAAATGATAACCAATCGCAAGATTAACGCGATCCAAAATAATTTCGCCGCCCAGATCTTAAAATTAAATTCTAACAACGAAAAGGTGCGGGCGAACGTAAAATACGACCCCAAAAAAAGAAATGATACAGTGACTAAAGAACAGAAAGGCAGAAAAATAAACACAATGCGAGCTTGCAAAAACTACTTAACAAAATACGGAAAGTGTGAAATTTACAATTATCTTATTACTATCTTATCACAATTATTTGTAACTTCGATCCAGCTAGAGCAGCTTTCTCGGATACTGACCATCTAAAACAATTACACAAGCAGCGAAACTAAACATAACTTACCAAATCTTCCAATGTGCTCCAGTATATCAAAACACTCCTGCAACTTCCCATCACCGACGAGAAACGCCACGTACTGGTCCATGGCATCGGGTTTATTGGCCAACTCCCGTAGAAAGATTTCCCTGTTCAGGGTATGCTTCATGTGAAGTATCACGATAATAATGGCATTATTGTCGTATAAATTCAACGCTTGATCCAGCAGCGCAAGCTTTTCCTCCAGATTGCGATAATTTTCCAAACCATACGGCTTGTTTCTTACTATCCGCCACACCTATAACAAGAAAACCAGTCTGTAACAAAACGCTCAGAAAACTGAAAAAACGTAAAAAGGTTAAAACTTAGAAGTACAAATAGTATCTAGTATCTGAGGTATACGAAGTGCAATACAGGAGCAGTACTTACGTATAACAGCTATGGATTATAAAACAAAACAAAGTCTGCAGAGCGCAGATCACAAAACTAAACACGACCACACGCGCACGATTCCGCATAAGCAAAAGAATACGAGACGCACAGTAGAAAGATCGTACAGTTACAGACTTACAGAAGAAAAAATATGCAACGTACCATTTCTTTTGCAGAGAGCTTAATCCACTGGTCTTTTCTGGATACTTCCAAATTTCTCCGCAGATACTGCACTTCAGACATAAGCTGACTGCCCGACTCATCCGAATCACTGCGCGGCCGCACCACGATCTCCGGCGGCTGGATGACCTGGGGCTTCTTCGGCGAAACTTTTAGTGGAAGGGAAAACGTGGGCGACACCGACGAGTGGTGCGCCACACTGCTGCTGTTGGACGCAGCGGACACGATGCTGGTTTTGCTCAGTGTGCTGCGGGTGCGCGCCACCAGCGAGCGGGCGAAACTGGTGGCTTTGGGAATATCATCGTTTGTGCCGTCTGAGCGCACACTCGAGGCATCGTCCGACGCGGTACTGCGGAGATCCACATCGTCGGAATGCCCCAGCGGCGATGACGGGGGCTGCAGGGAAACAGCGAAGAGTTTGAGAAGGTTTTCGCTGTTGACGCCATGCGGATCGTCGTCGAAGTCAAAACCGCGGACTGCTGATGTTGAATTCCAGTACGCTTCATCGTCCGCCATCCCACCATCGAGAATTAATTCACGCCCGCAAAAAAGCTCATCAAGGAACGATTGCTAGTTTTAATAAGGCTTGTAGATCTGCCTGTCCAGATGACAAGTTCAACTTTTCTGCGCATCAGTTCAGTATGATCAGTTAGATACGACTCATGCGAGTGCACGCAGTAACGCGCTACACCGCGCTAGTAGCGTGGCGCTACTGCATACGTTATAGATCTTCAATTTTGTAAGTACTTTTGTTATTAATAAAAATTTATAGAAACCAAAATACAAAAAAAACAAAATCTAAAAAAAACTTGGCTTGTGAGTCATTGATATGCAGCTGGCAGCCAAATGTCTGCCAAAAAATAACGACGCACGAAGCGCACGGCTGCGTCTTGCCAACTGCCCCCAGCGTACAGGGTTGTACTGGTGGTGATGCATTGCACAAGCAATACAGTTCATGTTTACGTTATTATGACGCTGAGTAGCTGAAACCCTGTGATGCTGTACCTTGCCAGTATCGATGTGAGCCACTCCCGCCGGCTCAGCCGCCCCAACAGCAAGTGCAACTTTTTCATTTCGCCACTTTTGTCGTTTTTAACTTTTACGGGGACTTTTAAATCGTGGTGACTGTTCTTGCGGTGTCTGATTACCGCGCGTAATATTTCTTATCAAATCGCTCTGCTTTAATTCATCTTATCGTTTAATAAACTGCTGAATAACATACGGATATTCACTACTTCGGAGAAAATCTATCTAATCAGTGGGGTCCGATGAGAAGATACCATTGATCAGGTTTGTGACCGTTTGTCCGTTGGTTGCAAAAATAGCTCCTTCGACAACGTGCCCACTCTATTTTGGGTTCACTTCGATCATGCAGCTTCTACCCTCGGGATCGCTCTCGTCTTCCTCACAAAATCTCCCCAGTTACTCTCTAATATGCGAGTATGAGCCGTTTAGTAAAGGCTTTCTTTGTTCTGTTTCTAATCTAACCTAACGCTACGACAATCGTGTTTACGTTTAACTACAAACGACTGATACTCCGTTTCAGGATATCGATTTGATTGTTTTAAGAAGCTCGGTGTTATGACAATTGTGTGATTTGACTTCCGGTTGAAAACAAGCTGTTGTTTTGTTGATTTTTGGGTGATTTGGAACTAGTCGAAATACTGGGAAGGCGTGCGTTACTTATGATTATTTGGTAATCCTATTTGTTGTGAATCCACCAACCCGGTTTTTTTCTCATTGTATTGTTGGATGGCGATCATCAGATTAACCATTCCCAGCATAGTGTTCATTATCGCGTATGGTTTAGCCGGGAATTTTCGGCTGCGGCATAACGTGGGCGCTGAATCGGATCATCAGTATGTCGGTGTGCGACATTACTCGCGGCAGTATCGTCGTCAGGCGGTGTCCGATCCGCTGACTCCCAGCGGCACGGCTGTAACGGCCAACGATTCCTCCAGTCCGATTATTCTCGGATTTCGCCTGAACAGCGGCGAGACAATACTGACGGAGGATGGCGCAGTTAAGGTGTTGGAGGATACGGAATTCGAGTTGCGGGTGTTTGGGATACACTTCGGACCGGAAATGTCGCTGGCCTTCACAACAACGCATCTGCAGTGCGACAATGATTTGACGGAAAGGTATCAGCCGCGGATCGCATCCAACAATGTGGCGGTTTTTACCATTAAATTCGCCAGCAGTGCCAAGCATGAAGTTGGTAAGAGAAATTCACGGATACACTAAAACGGCTGTTTATTTTAGTTTATAACTTTATTTATCGTTTTATGGTGTTTTCACAATTGATTTTGGTTGGGCCGGTTTGGGAAGTTTTTGTTAAAATTGTAATGCAGTGCTTATTATCTTTGGTCGTGTTGTTAAATTTGCCAGTATAGACGGTGCTGAAACGTTGGCTTTAGTATTCGTATTTTGTATGCGAGACTTTATCATCCTTCGTGATTTTGAAACTACTTAGGCAGAAGATCATTTTATGACAGAGTAGTATTACTGCTCTCTGCTGAATACGCAATTGTCGTCGTATTGATTAATTTATTGATTTTTTGGCTGAAAAAATTTACGCATTCTTGTCATGCAGAAAATTAGTTTGACAGTCCAGTAGAACGTACAGTTTAAATTTTGTAGCTCATTTCATATCAAAAAATGAGAAGCGCTGCAATAAATTTCTAAAGCGTTGTGTTTACAAATTTACCGCATCCCGTTAATATGCGTAAGCGGTAAATACTTTCGTTTTAAGCATGTTTGATTGTAGATCCTTATTATTGTCTCAAATTATATGTCAGTCTCGTTTTTAGTATTGATTGCTGACTGTTTTCTCCTGTTCCAGATAAATATAGTTTCTGTATAAAGCTGACGAACAACCATAAATGGACAAGCCAGAAAAACGATAGCTGGATGCAGTTACATGCGTATCCCAAGCCTTCGCCCTATCTGTTACCATTGTGGCTGCAGATCCTGTTAATTATGTTACTGCTGACGCTTTCCGGTCTCTTTTCCGGGCTCAACTTGGGTTTATTAACCCTGGATGTCACTGAGTTGAAAATTGTCTTGAAATTGCGGCTCGCCTCGTGAGCGCAGTTATGCCAAGGCCATCATGCCCATCCGCAAGAAGGGCAATTTTTTGCTGTGTACGCTCCTCTTTGGCAACGTCCTTGTCAACACGACATTAACGATATTAATGGACGATCTGACGTCGGGGCTGGTGGCCGTCATCGGGTCCACCATGGCCATTGTGATTTTTGGTGAAATTGTCCCGCAGGCGATCTGTTCGCGGCACGGAATGGCCGTCGGAGCCAACACCATTTGGTTGACGAAGTTTTTCATGTTAGTCACCTTTCCCTTGTCGTATCCGATCAGTAGAATACTGGATTATTTCCTCGGCGCGGAAATTGGCCATGTCTACAATCGTGAGCGCCTGATGGAGTTAATTAAAGTGACGTAAGTGACGATATTTTTGTTCAGCACTATGTAGTGTTTCTGACAGTAAACATAATGGAAGCGTGACGCGCAGTGCATTGCTTTCAGGCATGATTGGCTAAATGTTAGAAATTGAGGGTATTTAATTAATTGAATAGCTCTGTAGTTAAAAATGCACTTGCTCACTTGATACCAATTTTTGCATTGTACGGAGCGCAGCAGGGCAGTTGCAGATTTCCTGGCAAGAAATGGTTCATTTACTCGGGTGCACTTATTGATTTTCTCTTAGGCATGGAATGAGCGACCTTGAACAGGAAGAAGTGAATATCATCTCTGGGGCTTTGGAGCTCAAGCGAAAGAATGTCGCGCAGATTATGACGCCGTTAAACGAAGTTTTTATGATATCGTACGATGCCATGCTGAATTTCGATACTGTTTCGGAAATTATGCGCCAAGGTAAAATATTTTATGCACGATACAAAAGCGTGGCTAGTTACGGGTGATTAATGATTCGCTTAACCGGCTGATTCTACTTGTATAACTTGTAAATCAGGCGTAGAGTTATGATTGACATGTTGTTAATTCGGCCCTAACGTTACTAATTATTGACAGTAGTAATTATTGTGTTAATATGTGTATGGTTTTCGTGAACTGAAAGACTGGCTTTTTCTGACATTTTTATAGGGTGCAGTACCGTATGAACATAATTAAATTATAACAGTGAATAAGTACGTTTTTATAGTACGTCCCTGTTTTCGCGTACTTACAGCCGGTTTTAAGTTTCACACTAATGTACGATAGCTGATCGAAAAACAAAACTATTAAGAATATAATTTTGTTTAGGTTTCACTCGTGTGCCTGTTTTTGATGGCTCCCGTACCAATGTTGTTGCACTGCTGAACATTAAAGATTTGGCTCTCGTGGATCCGGATGATAGCACACCGGTGAAAACGTTGTGTAAATTCTACAATCACCACGTTCGAACGGTTTTCGATGATACCACTCTCGATGTTATGCTAGGTGCGTTGTATTCAACTCGTTTTCGTGTGCTGCATTGTAAAATCGTATCGATTGATGCGTTTACGCACATACAATTCATCAAGCTGTTAAATTTTATTAGTCGTGTTTGTGTGATTGCGGAAACTGTTTCCTGTAGTCCGAGTCATCTTGTGCATTAAGATGCCGGATCGATATGGTGCTATTTTATTTGTCGATTGTTGTCATAATGCAGGCGATATTTTCCGTTTTTAACTCAAAACACATCTTTACATAGAAACTAATGGGTTTAATATGGATTTTCTTCTCTTTTCTGCAGAGGAATTCAAGAAAGGCCGGTCTCATATGGCTTTCGTACAGAGAGTGACGGCGGTGGGCGATTTGGACCCGGTGTACGAGACGGTCGGCGTGGTGACGCTGGAGGACGTCATTGAGGAGATTATACAATCGGAAATCGAAGACGAGATGGATACAACAGCGGAGAATCGGCGCCGATTAAAGCGCCGTGATATGGCGCTGGCCCAGCCGCAGGCTGAACAGCCCATCTTCAGCGGAGCTTCGGCGCCGCAGTATCAGTCGCTCGTTACCCCGCAACTCCAGCTCGCCACCTTCCAGTTTCTCAGCACGACACTGGATCCCTTCCGTGAGGAGATTATTACCACGACTATTCTTCGTCGATTACTGCGTCACACGGAAGCGGCACGCTTCTGGAAGCTGAAAGACGGCACGGAGCCGCCGCATCTCTACACAGCGGGTCGGCCGGCTGACTATTTCATCCTGATTCTGGAAGGCCGCATTGAAGTCAAAGTGGGAACGGAGCATCTGCTGTTCCAGAGCGGCCCCTTCACATACTTCGGCATATCGGTGTTGAATACGTTGGGCGAAGCGCCGCCGCTGCTGCACAGTCCGGTATTGTCAGACCGTTCCGTGGCCACGCATCCGGAAATGTTTATCCCGGACTTCACCGTGTATCCGGTGACGGATCTGCTGTATCTGCAGATCAGTCGTGCGCAGTACATTGCCGCCTATCGAGCGTCCATTGTGGAGCGCGGCAAATCGGAGATCATGCGTGATGATGGGCAGGGAACAAAGCGTCACTCCATTGCCACGCTGCCCGAACAGCCATCGAATTATCCCAGTGCCACACCGATCCTGCAGAAATCGGTCCTGGCCAATTCGAATGTCAGTCTGAATAATGTTCATCTTGTGACCAGTGAGGCAACCGCGGATGGGGCGCTGCCGTCGTATAATTCGCTGGAGATGCAGAATATGCGCTCGGGATCGCTTACCGGTGCGACACAGTCGAATGGTCCCGTAAATAGTTCCCAGTTGTAAAACGAGTCATTTCATCTGTTTATCAAAATTAACCTATGTCAGTAAAGGATTCTGTTATCACCTGCAGCTTCGTATAATTTTGTACGGTTGGGTCGTGTTGGGTTTTCGACAAATGATTAGTCTTCCCCGGCTGTCAATCCAAAGGATGCGTTTTTATATGTTTTATTTCTGTGATACGAGCTGTTTGATTGTTTTTTGTCGATCATAAATTTTATTTCTCAGTAGGTTGAATTTGTGGACATCATATTAACCACCTGGTTTTGTGTTGTTGGTGAACGGTGATTGTCCAGACCGCTGGACTGCGGTAATAAACTATTGCGCTGTGTCGTTTACTTGCATTTGGAATGGCTTAACAAATGCGAAACAAAAGCAGAGGCAGAGGTATACATTATACACATAGGCCTGCATCACATGCTGAAGTAATTTAACAAAAAGAAAAACTTCGAGAAGCATAATATGTATTGTAAACCACATTTACTGTGTAGACGGTAGATTGATAAAGATGCAGCTGTGGAAGGACACCAGCATTTCATTGATGAAAGACAGAATACGATGACCTTAACCGCGAAGCCATAGGAATGGCGATAAGTTCGAGTTTCTTTTCCTGTGACCCTGTCACTAAACTTGTGTGAACGACAACGGAAATGGCGCGCGCAAACAGGGAGTGGACCATTTGTACTGTGTAGTGTGTACAATACTACCATCGCAAAAGTACATACTACATACCATCACGGCTGGTATAAACATAAACCATACCTCTCTATCCAATTATATAAGCTAAAATAATTTACTGTCTAATAAATAAATTATGTAACCAAATTTCTCATAGACGTAACTACCGGTACGAAACCACATGCGGTTTCAGAAAGACATAACCAGACATTCGACATCGATCTTGTGATTCGCGTCTTCACACATTCGCCGATTCCGCACTTGCTGTTCATGGTTGGCTGGACCTCCCGATTCCTTCAAACACAACTTCCACAATTTAGACTCACGAATCCGTAATACACTTTACTATAACTGTTTAATTTGTTAATGCGCTTTGTTTCTGAAAGCGTCCTTGTATCAATAACGTAAGTACAAATGTGTAATTATTTCGCTAACATATTATTCAATATTGTAATATCTATATTGTAATATTGTATACTATTGTAATACTGTTTGTTGCAAAGTTATTTTTCGACTACTGATAATGCTGACTTCGATCGTGTTCGTAAAATTGTAGGTATACTCGTATTATGATTTCTTCTTTCATTTCGTGATTCACAAAATTTTTATTCCAGTTCATCCCACGCTCGAAACGTGTGGTAAGAACAAAGCACTACCACAGGCAAAAAAATGTATCTACTGTTAAAGAACGTCACGGAAAAGGTCACCCGCTCTGCAAAAGGTAAATCGATCCTTACTAAATCTTTGTCATGTAATTTATACTCCTAAAATTAGAAAAGCATTCCTAGAATTAAGCAGTTTTAAATTTCTCGATATCTCGTATTATGTCTGCCTGTTTCAGCTGATTGTCGCCATGATGATCCAAAGTACGGGCATGCGCATGCTATTCGTGGCAGAATTCGCGTCATTTATCATCAACTGTGGGCACATTTCTTGGTGTTTACTTCGCGATTTATTCTGGAATTCGTCTATGTGGGATATACAAATTCAGGGACAAACGAACAACCACAAAATCTGTCAGTCGTCGATGCAAACGCAACGCTTACGGTACATATATGCTAAGCTATGCGCTGCATGCATTGCAGTGAACTATGGGAGAATAAATGAAATATCGCAAAAATGAAAAATATTATGTGTATCTGCTGAGAGCCGCTACGGGTTTTTCAGAAAAACGAAACCAGTGCGAATACGGACGGACATCGGGGGTCTACGGGCTGGGCTCTTTGGACAGTTTATTGGCTTATGTTTCTGATTGCATGGGCAATGTCTCTATGGTGCATGCTGATATTTAGAAAGCTTCGACGATGGCGTCCGGATACAGAGCGGGCACAGCTACCTGCAGTCATTGAATACCTGCAGGATGCATACGTGCCGCTTCTGGTGACGATGTTAATGTGTTTTAGCACACTGCTGCCTTCCAGTATGTCGTATGGTTGTGGCTGGAAAAGTGGCATAGACTCAACAGGTTGTGCAACAGTGGAAGCAACAGAAATCATCACTGGTGTGCTGGTGACGGCATGGATGGTCGTGTCGGCTGCCGTTATTTTTACTGGATGCTCAACTTGGTTGACAGTTTACTGCTTGACCAGGAAACTGAAAGCGACCATTTCACGTCGTGGGAAAATTACATGCATCCCCACTGTGTGAATATGGAATGTCCCAACTGTCCCACATGTAAGCGAGCAAAGTACAATAGATACGTTTTGCAGTCCCAATACGACCGGATCGTTTACTCCAACTAAACTTCTCCCAAATTGTGCAAATTGCTATATTGGATCCTTGAGGTGCTCCAGGACATGTTGAGGATCATGGCTATCGAAAGTTCTAACGTATCGTGAAATGTGATTAATGTGATGTGATTAATGTAATGTAATGTAGTTAATTAGTCATAATTTTGCAAAGTCTAGCGTGGAACAACGTGAAGATTTGGTTATAAGTACACTATAGTACTGTATTATATAATAAAAGCTCTTGCGTACTTGTAATTGTAAAATCTGTTCACCAGTTTCACTTGCAAAGTTGCACTATAGCTATTATTCCGTTTTTCAAAAATAAAATACCTTCAGTTTTCGACTGCAATTCGCTCGTTGCGGTCTCGGAATAGCCGTTACTTAATCCACGTTCTGGATGTGACCTTTAACCGGCAAATGGAACGGTCGAGCTGTTATTACAGTACTGTTTGCGCTTACTTAAACCGAAATCGAGACTGTGCTCGATTAGATTTCGGTGCTGTAACACTCGGGACTTCTAAATTAACGAACTTAAACACTCACACCAGACGCCACAGCTATTAATTGAAGTGCGGCGTCACACGTAAACACCCACCCTAAAACGACCGCAAACCGGTGCACTAATTATGAAATTATGAATGCATAGTATTATCTGTACAACTCTGCGCTCCTTGTTGGTACTTTGTGCTCTGTGGACATCGATCTACTGAAACTACTTTATTTCTGTCGTGGGTCACACGCAAATGACCAGTACATCAAAGAGAAAAATTAATACGACAAACTTCACGTAACTATAAAAAACGAGATTCTCTTCAATTAGATTGCTTTATAACATCAGTAAAAATAGTACTAACTACAAACTGAGAACCCTAACTTATTTTACTGCTTTTTGCGAGATCCTGTATCTTCATTCTCGACTGATCGTTTTGCGGGGGAGAAAAACGCCTCCATCGTTTTCTGTCCTTTAGGTAAAGGCTTTGGATCCTTTTTGGCACCAGTTTCAGCCACGCTGAGAAAAACAAACGCAGTTAGTAGCGCTATAATTTTTGAATTTTCATCTCATATGCATGCATTTAAAGCAGAAAAATGAAAAAATCTGCAAAAGCGCAAATAAGCAGTCAGGGTGTAACAAAACTCACTTTATCGGCTTCGTTGCGTCCGTTTCCTTATACCCCACATTCCCCACCGCAGTCGAAACCGCATGAAAGGCCAGATCGTCCACAGGATGGATCAATTCCAGAGCCTCTTCCGCCGACACATCCTTACTGTCCAACCAGCGGCGCAGATCGTCATCCGTGCGCAGAATGCCCGGCATGCGGTCATGAAGAAACTTCAACGAAGGAGCCGCATCCGTCGTGACAATACTGTAGCTGTACACTGTCTCTCCCTAAAGATCCCCATCAAGTAACAACGGCATAAACAATAACAAAAACATATTAATTCGTGTGTACCAAGTGATGTACTCAGAAATAGCTGCCAAAAACAATATTTTAAATTTTTAATACTGCAACAGACTGAACCATTGACTAACTTCTTTGGAATGCCATTCATCGAACACCGCAGCAAATTTCAACGGAACAAAATTATCTTCGTGATTCTTTTTCGCACTGTCCTCCGCGTAATACTGTTTATTTTCAGGGAGATAGATCAGATAGGGTTGTTTATGCTTGTCAGCCAATTTTTTCCATTCATAAAACCTGGATCAAGAAAATAAGCCACATACTGTAAGAAAACTGTTAAAAATAATAATACTCGGGAAGCATTCGAGAAGTATTCCGGAAGTAAATGTGCCGACATTACAGATATAACCCGCTGAGCAAGTAGAACGGGCAACTAATTTTGCAAAAACAGTACTAAACCGTACCCTTCTGCGAGCACCGCGCAGCGTTTCCCTTTTTTCAGCGGAACAGAAAAGGTTCGTTTGGTCAGCAATCCATCCAAGCGGCAATTAATCGTGGAATATGGAAGATTATCGTCGCCTACAATGATATAAAGTACCAACTCTATCGTTCGTAATAAACTGCCGTAAGCGAACAAACTAAATTTGTACTTACCTTTATGCCATGAAGGAATTAATCCGAATTTCATCGGTTTGATAACGAATTCATCGCTCTCCGACGCAACAGCAGGAAAATGCTCCGAAGACACCAAGACGGGACTACCAGAAAAGGATCTTAATTACGACGAGCACTGGCGAAGAACGAGGCACTTTGTAAATCGCATTTACCTGTAATTAGTTGGCGCGATATTAGTGGAAGGATAATACTCGCCCAGCAGCGGAGGCTCTTTCTGGGTTCCGTTTGACGTTCGGTAGCGACACGCTCGTCGCAGCGCCCCAGGATCTAACGCACTGATCGAAAAGAAAGATTCTGCATTTTCAAAGCACAAACGAAAGCAACAAAGCACGATGTTTACAACTTTACAGTTCTGTTCTTACCATGCAAAACGACCACACATGACTATTATGAGCTGGAAAATGCAGTAAACAGTGAACGCAGTTGGAAAAGACAACGAAAAACCAGACTGATTATCCGTAGAGCTGCAAACACAAGAACATTTCACGTTTCGTGGATAAAACTGGTGTCACGTGCGGGCCCGTTCCGTGTTCAGACTCTAAACTGACAAAGTTTAGAACGACTCTAGAGCTGATTAAAAGCAAAACAGTGGTAACAAAGAAACGAAACTTTCGAGCTGTCGAGCATTCACAGAGTAGTACCGTAACCACTTTGCAGTTTTCGAATCTGTTTTATGCTCACCAAGTGGTCCAAGTCAGCTGTTTGATATTATTAAATTTTTGTCCTCTGCTAGCGGTTAGCCTGTTACCCACCCACAGACGGTAGTTACCAAATTCTCACGTTGCAGTGCAGACAGGAGTAGACAGATTTTGTTTTAAAATTGCTGTACTCGTACTGTATTCATACAATTATTGACCCAACTGTTCTAACTTCGGAACCGGAAATTTGGGTGCGTAGATTTTATTGGTAAGAAACAACGAATTCTTTGTAATCGCAAAACATAGCACGAACTGATGATGTACGTTAGTCAAGAGCCACAACAGCGGCCATGCCGGGCAACAGAAACTATAATGATCGACTAAAGTAATATAATCTTTTCGGAGTGAGGTTCAAACATCGGCAAGGTAATCAAAACAGAAAAACATAATAAATATACATATTACAATAATGTAAACATATATACAACACACAACAAACATCTCAATTGCAAGTCGAATATTGTCTATACGGCTACTTCGTCTTCAACTCTAAAGTATACCACAAAACCAGGAAGTAAACAATTCTGGCATGCTGCCGAATACCACCGATACGGAATAAAAGTAAACCTTTGTTATATAATTGTGCTTTGCAGCCTAATAGCTTATTTTATAAAGAAAATGCAAAACTATGTCTTGTTTAATTGATTCGCTGGACAAGGTCCAGTTGTCTGTCGTGAGGTTCGTGGCTCCTTCACATGCGTCGGACACCCAGACCGCGTTCGTCAAGCGTACGATATCGGCGACTTTGATTATAATTCTCCCGCACTAAAACACCGATCACCATTATATTATTAACATACATGAAAAACACACTAACCCAATTTCACGTTTGCAAAATTTTAAAACACGTTATATAGTATTTTTACGTATTGTACATACTATCCGTATAGTAGTACTCTGCACTTCAGTAGTGCGGTTATAATTTTGCTCTAAACGGACAGTTTATTCCGCCTATAATCCAGTTCAATAGGGTCCCATCAGCTACCTAATTTATAATTAATTTGCAAAAACTTACAGCGCAGCACTAGAGTCATATCCCTCGGCATGATCGTGACGCGACGTCCATGGACGGCGCACAAGTTAATGTCTTCGAATAGGTTGACCAAAAAGCATTCCGCGCCTTCCTGAAGCATGCAACCGCAAAACGTCAGCAAATTTTAAATATACCCAAGTTGTACAAGTCTGTACCACCATTCACCCACCTGAATTGCCTCCAGAGCATTAGACTGGAATCGGATATCCGGCATGAATTTCTGCGCGATTTCTCGGACCAACCGCATGAAGGACATACGCGGAATTAAGTGGTGCGTGGTGTTCTAGTTCACGGCAAAAAATACAATTATGTAATTACATATTATGTACGTCTGTCTTGTTGAGGTTAATAAAACAACAAACATCGGCACAATCATTATCGTTATGTAACTGCACGCACATAACTGTTCTTGTCGGAAAGCAAAAGTATACAAGTTACAACAAAGCTTGCGCGCGAATTTATCTGTATCCAGTTACCAACTACCAAAATAATCTTCACATAAAATACCTGCAAATAGCGGATCTCCTTCAAAGCCAGTACTCCCGGTCGTCGACGGCGTCGATTCGGTGTCTACAAGAAAACGCCGGGTAAAATCGATCAGGTCGAACAACGCAATGGGTGCCGGTGCCGGCGCCAGTAAGTACTGCCGGTGTCGGTGCCGGCGTAGCGCACGCCGTGTATGAATGCCTATGGCAAACTGCAGTAACGGACAGATAGTCATAATATTATGGAGCCGGAAATCGTTTATGAAATTTTGGCAGAGCATGATTCTAAACTCTCAGTACGAGCTGAAACTTCTCGCTATTCTCGTTATAACGTAGAAATTAGCTATTCTGCAATTATTTTTGCCTCGTTAGCCTTTTTATCTTAGGCCTACGATTTTAGTGAAATGTAAAACATAATCGGCGATTACGGTAAGTACTTGATTTGCAGTGAATTTACTGTACTTCCGTGAACGGAATCGCTGGCAGACTGTGCTCGTATGGTAAAATTAAAAAATCATAAGTTAAAGAAGTTATCCAAAAGCACACTTTCGAATTTTTGACGCGTTTACGAATGCATTACAGTGCATCTTCCAACTGTATCATATCTTATATTTTTTGCAGTCACCTGGACGGCTGGACTTACTGTTAATGATTATTGCTAAGCTTAGAATACGTAACGCAGCATATGTATTTTTCTGTTAAAATATTTTGAATTTTCGTGACAAATTTGCCCCGTATTACCGCATTGCACTCTGATTTATTTACCTTATGTTTACGTGCGGCCTGAACCTGGCTCTGCACTACCGGAGGCCTTCCGGAACCTGGCGCTGGGCGGCTGCCAGTGGTCCTAGCGCGTTCATCCTGCTTTTGGCTCCGTAAAGGCGGAACCGCGGGAACACGAAACTGCGGTTGACCTCGAGGTGGCGATGCACTTGTGCTCGGCTCGGGAGTGTTTTCGCGACGGAAACGGACGGTATTTCCTGCAGCAGACGGGCGCATCGGTGGACCTCCGACCCTTCGGATGGGCTGAACGATAGTTTTTTTTGCCTTCTGGCTGACTGGAACAGACTGCTTCTGACGAGGCATTCTTCGAAGTAACAAGAAAAAATCGATGCAAATCAGCGAATGCAAAAAGTTGCAGAAGACTTGACAAGTGGGTCAATGCAACGGCTAACGTGGAAATGTGCGGAGAAGTACTTATATTCGCTGCTTCGTGGAAAGCTGATTGAAACTTCAACCCGGCATGCACAAAATGAAGTGAGAGGAAACCAAGCTGGTTTCGAGCAAGAAAATCGAATGCCGGTCGATCTACTTTGTATGTGCTTGGCACCATGTACGCGCGCTGTGTCTGGGTAACGAAGCCGGTACCGACTGCATTTCATGATGGGCGCTGTGTTGCAGTTCATCGCTACCCATCGTTGATGACGTCGTCGATGGGTAAATGGGTAACACTGCATGTTATGTGATTGGCTGCAGTGAGGCTAGAGCTAGAAGGGTCCAGTCGCAGCCGGCTTTATAAAAGCAGCATCGCAAAATGCCGGTATGGCAGATCGAAGAGATAACAGAAGCCGGCTGTGCCCATTTCGATCTTCGAGGATGATATCATAGTGGTAGCGTGTGCAAAAGTGTGGCGTGCAAAAGAAGGGTGGTACGTTCCAGTTTAACCCACCAATCACTGCTTTCTGTATGAAAAACATGGCGTTACCAGTACATAGAAATCAGATCTTGCAATGGTGATCTCAACGGTTGTTGCCTTAGTCGTGGACGTGTACCATACCATAATTATACGATGGTAAACTCACAAGTCACTAGTAATTTTGTACATAGTAGTATCAACATCACTAAGTACTTACACATGCACACCAAGCGTATAATGCCGACTGTACTATTTTGTTTGTATATGTACTGTGTTAAGTTGTCCAGGGTCGGTGCATTAAAGATTATGCGCAGTTTCTGTAGTTCATGATAGTTTAATAAAAAGTAAAACTACCTATCATTTCGGAAATCGTTCATTTCGGAAACCATTCATTTCGGAAACAAGAGTAACATAAGAAAACCTAAGAAACCCAAGAAAACCATTTAATTAAGAAACCTAATTAAGAACTTGAGAAAACCTAAGAAACCTAAGAGTCATTTGAATAATAACATAAGAAAGCATCAGAAAACCGAAGAAAATATTTCTGAAATATACGGTTTCCGAAGTGAACGGACACCCTTCTGGAAAGGTTGCAACCTATCTGCCACATACGCTGCTAATGCTTGTGGACGTAGCATGGTTTAGTATCCAGCAAGTGCAACTTTCTGTGACGTAATAGTGAGATTTTTTCGCTATCGCAGATTGCTAACGAAGCTATACTGTTTAATACTGTCTGTTAGTGGTAACCACTAAATCGTAGTGCATATGGAAGCCGAGTATGCACACCTATCTCCTTCATATGCACTACTCGGCAACTAAACCCCACCACCGCCAGCAGACGGTAATAAACCAGCGTCGCTAACGGTGACTAACCACCACTTTTTTATCCTTATTTTTATTCGGAATCGGTTATGATTTTTTTGGCTATACTGTAAGTACTCATAGCTAAATTTCTCTTTGGACAAGCGTAGAAAATGAACTAATCATGGTTATGGTTTGAAATTCAAGCAGCACTTTTCTTGTAATTACTTACTTCTGAAGTCTCCACTAACCAATACTAATCGTATTATTTTATATGCCGACCTACAAATAGAATTGCCTGGCTATTAAAGAAGTACCACAATATTTGCATTGTATCATTGTAGAAACCTCTTGAGAGTTGAGTCGGTGGCATTATGCATTGTTCTAGGGATAGCATGATGATTTTGTCCTCGGTAACAGAATCATCTTCATATATAGTATATTGTGCAAATGGTAAACGTTGCAATGACTTCACAAACTGCACTGCTTTGTAGCTGCGGTCCACATAATTTATGGTAACTTCCGGTTCGCAGTGCCAGTGGCTAAAAGAGTACAAATACTGATGGAATACAAGCATAGATATTTTTTTCTTTTTGGTTTACGCAGTTTTAGAACTATGCTAATGTTTTATTCCTCTTCGTTGCCCGGGACAAAAATAGATATGTGTGCTATGAAGCCGGAACCCCCAAGATTTCAGAACGTTGCGGCACAACTAATTAAGGCCGCAAAACTGCGCAAAACTCGTTTTCCCAGTCTTAAACGCTGACTCGGTCGAAATCGGTTATCATTTTTACTAACGCAGGAAAAAACATTGTTTGCCTAATTTCAAAATGGCAATGATCGTGAGACTCAAAGACAGCAAATTGCACATGCAAACCGACTATCGAAAAAACCGTCTCCTTCCGTATTTGGTATTCTCTAATAGTAACTTGTTTGCAAAGGAAATTATTTACCTGCAATCTGCAGTTAGCGTTCTAATTATAAAAAATACTTGAAGATTAGTATTCAGTGCTAGCATTGCTCAACGAAAACAAGCCATTGACGAAGCATGCCTAGCTAATAAAGTGGTCAATCCGCCATTTCATTTTCGGTATCGACCTCGTCCGGCTCTATAAATTTCTTTCGCACAATGGCCCATTTTGAAGCCGGCTGGCTGATCGGCACCGACTCTTCATAAGTCGATACACCGTTACCAGAATCGAATGATGTCCGTGCTGTCGATGACAGCGCATGATAATCTTCTCGAGGATCGCCGGATTTTATCCCCAAAACGGACATAACGCGCTCCACATAGGTGGGTTTTCGCGGATGGCCAGCAGCATTACAACGGATTCCCGCCTCGTTTGGCACTTTCAGATCACACAATGCCCTCGCTGCTGGCGCGTCGTCGCTCGTACTTGGTCTGTAAAATGATGTGGCGTGTTGTAGACCGAGTGACCTTTGTTGTGCTACCGACATAGTATATACTGGATGACCTTTCGAGCCCGTTACGCAGTCTACAGACGAAGGCCGTGAGGAGGCACAACAAGATAATGATTATAATGTTGGTAAATATAAGGAAAATGCGGAATCCTGTATCGTTGGCCAAAAAGGATTCATATGAACACACTAAAAGACATCAATGATGACTCAGTTTTCATATAAAAGTATCTGTGATCTGTGCTCGGGCTAAACCATATAAGCATGTTTTACCATTATTTGTTCGAGATTCACTTGTACTTTCGCTAAGGAGATTCGTTACAAATTCGCAACGCGATCCTTCAAATCCAACAGAACAGCTGTAATGGATAGCATTGATAATTAGCACTGCACTTACGGGCACAGCACTTAATTCGTAATGATTAAGTAATTCAATATACAAACAAAGTAGAGCCATCATATACAGGCACTATAATTACATTCAATGGATAAAATTAAGGACAAAATCATTAATTAAAGCACAGACGTTTTAGTCTGACTTATTGCCCAATATATGGACATAATATAGTATATAAATTTGTTTTTCTTCACTACGTACGTATTCAATGTATCAAGGTTTCTACCAACTTCATGGTCAGTGGCAAACTTCTAATAAAGCACGTATAAATAAACTAATTTTTGACAACACAAATGATTAATTAATACGGTGCCCTGATGACGATATTTACATGTACACTAGAAAACAACAGTTTAGAAAGGATCATTAATGGGAAATTGCTTTTTCGTACAGCTCTAATGAGCTATTTTGGCTTACTTGCACGCTTGAATATTTAGCCGAGGAAAATATGTACATGATCCTCCGTTTAAGCAAAACATGCGTTGCCGACATGGTAAACCTTGAAACGTCCAGTGCGTCACATCTAGCAAAAGGTTTAGAAAACGGTTGGTCAATCATCAACATTTCATTTTTAGTTTCTTATGAGGATAGATCGTAATATGTCATTTTTGGAATATCGATAGAACAAACAAAGTCTCGAATGGTGAATTTATTCGCATCCGACTGCAAAACTCACAAGTCAGTTGTTGCAGAGCGTGCTTATGTATTGATTCGGTAGGAGTACTGTCATAGTTGTAAACATTACCGAATAGCTGACAATAAACGCGGAATACATTCCTTATTATGTAAAACGAACATTTACATGATCACGAAACATCCTACCTGGAGACGTATCCATTGCAGCAAGCAGTATAATGTTGCGACTACGCGAATAGAAGGCAACACGAATAAGCGTGAGAATAATCTGAAAAATCCAAACAATGAGAAAAACATCCGAAAATCGATACTCTTCCGTTCTGTTAGCACAGTCCGGATTGCCATTTACCACGCTTTCGATCGTGTATGATTTAAAAGCAAGTCCCATTTGTGCTTTTTTTTAATTTAGGGAAACATTCCATAAATTAGTAGTAGCGGAAAAAAACAATCACCAAATGCTGTTTTCGTATAAAGGATAAATTATTTCTTTAATATTCACGTTCATGTGTATACTGGGTTACATAAATGCAGAAAAGCAGCAATATTCTTCGAATACTTGAATTACATCGGTACCTTAACAATGTTTCGAATGGTTTTCCAGCTTCCGGTTCAAGGAAATGTCATCTTCCGTACAATATCAACATGGACAGATTAAAACTCGGTGTTTCCGAAAAGACAAGTTACAATAAAGCAATGAAGTTCATATTTGATCACGCGATCCAGTGTCGAAAATGTCCATCAAAATTAGTAGAATCGAATACATCCTGATAACCATGCACTGTGCAACTCTCAGATACCGTAATTAATGCAATATCTTCAGAAACCAGTTACAGATGTTTACTATAGCACAGCATCCAGTTGTGGTGGATATGTGAGTGGACAAAGAACAAATATAGCGCAGAATTAAGCAACAAGATGCAAACTATAGAGTAGTGGCCAATTCTGATCAACGAATTAAACAGTACCACATACTATTATAGCAACAAAAACTCAATCGGCATCACATATTTTCAACGTCACCGTTTGATACAAATTTATAATAAATGTTTGCGCCGAATAACAAGAAAGCGCGATTCACGTGCGCCAATATGCAAGGAAGACAAATAAAAGTCAAGATCGCCTGCACGCTAATAAAACAAATAACTCGGGTGTTGGGCAAACTGACCCAACCTAAACGTTTCGAGTTCAATATTAAATTTGCGTCATAATAGCAAATGAGGTGTTGGTATATAAGCATTTAGCAGTGCCCACTTTACGACACGGCTCCACTGTAATCAAATGGAAAATGCGGATGTAATATCGAATGAGTAAACCCTGATAAAATATTTGTTTGAACAATCTAGCACAATAGACCTTTGATGTGGCCGGTATGATAGTTTACCACAAATTCCATTGAGTGTATTCCATACTACATATATACCAAACTCCACAATTACATATAGGTATCAAGCAATTAATAACGCAAAATTGACCTTTAGGCTTTATTTAATGCGTTAGTCTCTACAGAGTATATGAGCATTCGAACAATAACTGCATGTGCATATATGTACTTTTATTTACATTAGATAAGCCACTAAAGCGCATGTCCCATTGTCCACATTTTCAAACAATGCATGCGCATACGCAGTATACGAAAATTTGTACGGCTTAACACAAGCAAATGCAAAATTAGCTTTTCATTGCACGTGCTTGCATCGCTTTCACTTTTTACTCATCATTTTGTTAAAAAATAATTATCTTCTTTCGAGGTTCTAATTCCTTCTTCAAATTTGATGTACAGTTGCACGTTACTACAGAAGCACGCAATCCATGGTGAGAAATCTCAGCTCGAACCGGAAGACACTCCGTAATTTTAGCGCTTCGGGTTGTAAGATATGATTACGTCCATGGAATGCGGGAGAATTAAATTCTTATCACCAACTACGTGTATATATACGTGATAGGCTTCATATAGCAAATTTTCGAATTCTATGATAGCGCATTATTTCCTAGTAAGCCCATCCAAATGCACAGATTGCAGGCGAAGAAATTTTTTCCAGTTTCTGGTGTCACAGTGGTGTGTACGTATCTTGCCAATTTTCTTAACTTGCTTATGCTTAATACTGCAGTTTTAGTTTAGGTGTAAACAAGTTGAAAACCTCCGTTCTATTCAAAATATTTAATTTTAAATGAGAGAATAAACTTTGCACAATATTGACCTTGTTTCATGTTGTAGAGCAAGTGTCACACCTTGTTGTGATCATTTATGTGCCTTCACGCAAAATCGAGCATTTTTCTCAAACTACGTAAGAACTCACTATCGATCAGATACAATGCTGTCAAGCCAGGTTTTTTTGTTTTTCATAAGCGCAAACATTCTAACAACTTATAAACAAATATGCAGAATTTGACACACCGTGCAGTAAAATGAACATACAGCGAAATAAATAACAAAAAACGTGCTTGAAGGGCAGGTGACAAATGCAAAAGGCCAACTAAGTTAACACTAACAAAAAGTCGTGCTAAGTTAATTATTACACGAGTACATCCAGGCCGTCATATTCGATCTCGACTTCAGCTAGGTGTTGAAATTTGTTGTTCCGTTACAATGGTATCCATCTCGATGGTCAAAACAGTATCGGGTGGTGAGCTTACATGTTCCGGATGACCGGCTACCTTCCACGCCGTATTTTTTAATTTCAGTAGCGTGAGATTATGATCGCAAGACTTATTAGAGCAGTTGTGCACTTCAATACGATCTTTATCACAATCGGACGCAAGATTTCCAGATTTTGTAGGCTGGTCCGTCCAAATCGGGCTGTGCTGCAGCAGGGAAGGTAAAGGGCATGATGTCGATCGCTGAACAGGGGCCGGCACTGCGGCAGCTACTGTTTCGGACAAAAGAGATTCCTTTTCTTCATCCTAAAATAAAATTAGGCAAGAATTGCATATGAATAATAACACCAATATGGGTACAAAGTAGTTATAAAAGCGAAAAGCTGCACACAAACTGCGTGTTGCATACCGTATGGCGTATAATATAATGCAGTCATGCACATACGAGTATTTATCGAAGTACTACAAAATTTCAAAGCAACGCACAAAAACTAGAACTAAACGAATTTTGAATGCAATGTTTTTGTACCACAATCGCCCGGGGACCGGTGATCCCAGAGTGGTATGAGTTTGCAGTCGGCGCTTTTGCTTCTGGGGACATATTCTGAGGGGATCTGAAAAACCGCATATGTTGAAAATTAAGAGAAGCCATCTCGCTAAATAGAGAGCAGTTCACATACTCGCTGTTTGATGGAACACACTTTCCTGCTTTCCAGTACCGGTACAATACGCACAATAAGATGACAACAAGGATAATGAGAAAAAGGAAGATTAAGGCGAGAAAAAAACGGTAACCAGCTCCAACAACTGCAATACAACGTTCATGATAAGTCAAAAATTCCATCACAACTTCATACTATTTGTATATGAAGTATAAAGTTTGCTTACAATATTGCCAATATTTATGTGACACAGGCACGTTTTAATAATTGAAAACTTAAATAGTTTTTCTCCTTGCCATATATACTCTTGTTCTGAGCTCAGTAAAAGCAAAACAATTTTAAGTTTGCAGATAGTACTCGCATATTTTTCTTTTATGTACGAGTGCTGTACTCGTACGCATTGGGTATGCCGGTGATTGTCGGGTGCTTGACCATCTCATATTAAATGATAGAATTAATTACTGTATGGTAGTTCTGCATTCTGCAGTTAAACATTTCGTTCGAAACCTTCTTTCTGCTTATAGAATATCGAGGATCGGTCACAAATGGTCTTTGCAAACGTTGTCTCGAGTACCTCGTTGTTCACTACTTTCGCCGGTTTGTAGTTCGCATCGAGCACCTTCAAATCCATTTGTACAGCTGAAAAAAAGGAGATTATTGTAACTGCACTGACACATTTTAATTTGATTTGAAGCACTGAATACAGGTCTGATAACCATTCGAGCTTAATAACATGCGGTGATTACATATATAGTGCGTATTTGCATAACTGTTAATTTTGCGTTTCAAGAGCAAAGCACAATCGCAGTATTATGTATTAACATACACAAAACTGTTGATCAGTAGTTTTATTCTAATCGTTTTCTAAACCCATTTACAAGTGATCCGATGCTTAGGCACGCATGCTGCAGTACAGATAAAAGTTTGTTACTGGATTATAATGTGTTATTCAACGGGTGTTAATTTCTATAACTTTCAAAATATTCTACTGTTTTAGGCATGCCTAAAAGTGTATGTTGCATGTACAAATATACTTACTTGCACCACATGAATTTTTCCGCAGCATTGTGATATTGGTATGTACAGATTCCTTCATTTAAACAGTAGTAACGCTCCAAACATAAAATCCCATGCCTGATCCAGTTTTCTGCAGCTGAAAAATATGCAGACCAATGTAGGCAGACCTTATTTATATGTATTATGTGTATTTGGGAGGCTTATTAATTTTCTAATATTGACCGATTCAAAGAAATGTTATTCGCAATATTTGGGCAGCATAAAATTCAAACAGTACGATAATATTCAGATACATTAACTGTAAACACATGACTGTAACACGACATTATTTTATTCTATTCCGAATATACTTGCGGAAAGAATAGTCTTATTACTAAATTAAGAAAAGGGAAAAAGCGAAATTAAAACGGAGAAAGGGCAATCCGCCGTCATCAGGCTTTATTCAAAAATGCGGATCCGAACTCCGAAAACAGTGAACTTACTCGTCATTTTGTCTGCGGGAATCGGCTTTCCACGATTGGAGATTCTGGCACTAAAGGCTTAGAAAACGGAAATTTCTCAACGTGAGGTCACCCGATGCGGAGCACAGCTCACAGGAATCTGATTATTTTAAAATTTTCTGATCGAATGGACCAAAAAAGTAAGCACAAAGCAGCCGACTATTTTAAAATTGGCCAGTCAAGTTTGTACGTATACATGTGAAATCCACTACCCGTACTTGTCGACGTTGTTGCCATCAGACAGACAAACTCATGTCTCATGTAATTGTACCAGAGAGAAAATAGACTTTGAATTAAAACATTAAAACGTCAATTTTAGTAAATGTGAAGAGCAGACTGGTAAAAACTGAAAGTTGAAATCACAAGTTTAAGTATAGCAAGCGCAGTTGCAGCAATCATCCGGCATGCTTTGCTAACCAAAATATAACACACCTGTGTGATGCAGCGCGGTAAGCCACACCACGCTGTCTGTGAGATTAGATTGCCAATCAAGCCGCGAAGCCGATTGTATGATTATTTATGAGTAACGTAATAAATATGGATCACAATTATTTATTTTACAGGCCTAGGTATCGCACGATAACCGCTACTGCATCCAGAAAAGTAGCGCGACATTTCAAAACTGTCAGAATTGTAAGAGTATGCCGCAGGTGACCACACCGGTAGCGATTTGCACATATCTGTGTAATCAAAATAATCTGCAGAGATGCTAAATACGAAATGAAACCATATCGGCTCAATTACGTATTTTATTTTTCATATTTTTGGGTCACCTGGATAATGTTGTATTGTTGATAAGCGCATGTATTTATGGTTTTCATTTAGTTTTACGTTCACAATGCATGCGATCAGAATGACCCCGCATTCACATCGAATTTCGTCAGAAAACGTAGAATTAGGTTTTTCGTAAATCTGCAAAGTGCGGTAATCAATGAGCTACTGATAACTTCGGATAGACGCGCCACAATCGCTGTTATATTACGAGTATACTGTAGGCGAACACTGCATACACAAATTTGTCATTTTTTATTCATGTACCGTTCACAAAATGCATAAATGCATAGCCGAATTTCATTGTGTCGGCGGCGTTTTTGTATTGTACACCCGAGTGCATAAATTTTACAATAATGCAAACACCATCAATGCTGTCATGGACATTGAGAAAGAGATCCATAATGCAAAAAGAACAGAGAAGAACGCGAAAAACATCTTAACAACTCCACAAATCTTTTCTGGTTAAATATAAATAACTTGTGCTATTGCTTTGATTGTCAGCTACATATCCATATTCACCGGGAATTTGGTACCAAAAACGGTGGCCGTGCCGCTCGCAAACAGTTCCTTCTCGGCAGACAATGACAGATGAACGCGGGACGGAGTATGAAGAGAACGAAACATAGCGGTTTCCATTTCAGCAGTTTTTGCCTCTTTCCATAATTCATGCCGTCCTGACTTCCGCTACCGAGACGCGCCGCTGTACACACTGATCAATCTGCATGGCGACCAGCGTTTCCGGCGGAACCAGGGAGGTGGAGGTGGTGGTGACCTTTGTAGGATCGGCTGGTGGCCAGACCCAGCGTTGACCGTCGGCCGACCGCGGGATGCTGCGATCAGCGGATGTGTGGTTAACATGCTGATGATTGCATGTGGCCACGGTACTCCCGTTGCGGGCCGGAATGTCGAACTGGGAATTCCGGTGCGGGCGGACTGGTCGTGACGGTCCCGATCGCGAAGTGTGCTTTTCCGTGTGAACGGTCAGCAAAGTCTGTCGCTCATCAGCCTAAAATCAATAGTAAAGCTGTACATTTTTCGCTTAGTATATAAAACTATACATTTATCGCTTAGCATATAAAATCATTAAATAAAATTTTAAGCCGTAGCATATACATATACAGATGCCGGTACTCTAAAAAAACAAGTAACATTGTTGTCGCAATTTTAATAAGAACCCATTACAAAACAAGCGTACAGAAAAATTACACAATTAATTTTCAGCTGCCCACACACAACTGATGTTTTTCAATATGATAAGCAGCTAAATGCTAATCTGGATTTATGCTTCGGTTTTTCTGACCTGAGTCTGATGGATCGTACTGGTCCTGCTGGATTCGGTGACAGACTGACATTGTGTGCAAAAACTTTCTGAACCATTGGACGGCGTTGCAGCAGCTGTTCTGTCTGGATTTCTCGATCGTTCTGAACTGAAAACCAATATTACTCGTTACATAGTGTTAAGCTAATTAAAGCAGACACGCGTAATTAATATTGCACTTACGCATTATTTCGAGGCACATCCTTTTTCGTTGTTTGTAAATATCGATAGGCGAAGCAGAGTAAAATGAGGAGGAGAATAATACAGAGAAGATTGGTGATTACGGTAAGATAGGCACACACTTCTAAAGCTCCGGCCCCGGCTGCTGCAAACAGATAACTAGGAATTTGATTTCACTGGAATGTACAAGACTATCACAAAAAGATTAATTAGAATTAAAGGCAGAAGTTAACAATGCACATGCGTCTGTACTCACATCGTTCTTTTAATTCCATCGTAAATCCACCCTTTAATTCGCACCGCGCGCCCTCAAAACCGACGGTGCAACTGAAAGAAAGAAATGCAAGTACTAGTAAATTTTACTTACTTAATGCAAGTACTAGTAAATTTTTAGTTCACAGAAATTCAAAAACCTTGCACGAGCGCAAAAAAATTGGCTCACGCTTAAGCAGTAGCAGTATCGTACTCTAGCACGCTGATACGGCTTTATATAATAAGCGAATTTTGCAGACGTATAAGAAGCTTCGCGCACGCGCATAGTTTCTTTGTTTGCCTGAATATATATATCATGGCTTTAAAATCTGTAAATTACCGGTTTCGAAATTTATGAGCAAAACATAAATTACCGAAGAAGTAAAAGCTAGGATTTAATTGCTCTTTTTGTTACAACAAGTGTGTGATTATCATCTACATACTTTTACGCCTCCGAACCGTAAGAAAGAATGTCTCATCTGAAAGACTGGTGCGTTCACACCGGGTCCCATGGAACCCTACTGGACACCTGAAAAGTTGGCGATAATCTCAGCGATTTGACGCAGCGAACTTTAACATGTGCAGCTAAGAATAGTTTCGAAGATTCGAAGAATTTTGGGTTAAATAGGTGTGTTGGTTAGACGAAGGAAGATAGGGTTAGGAAGTAGTGAAACATGCCAGTGTGAAAAATTGCCTGATGCAAGTATTGGCGAGCGGTTAATGCAACTGTGGTAGATAAAGGTACACGGAAAGGTCAAAGTGTGTGTGCAGATCAAAAAGTGCAATAGCAAGCAGTTGTACCTGCATATTTGTAGGAATCCAAAATCTCGTTACCGATAAAAATATTAACAATGGACATGGTTGATCCATGAACACGCAATGTTAACTACAAAATACCAGCCTATTGGATTTTGCATACTTGTCAGATGTCACTTTCACTGTTAGAATTGTAAAAAATTAATACGAAATTTAATACGTATACAACGACTAAATTTCTCACATATCTGTCAATGTTAAAATTGTAGCTGCTTATAGCTAAACTTATTATTTCATTTGAACAAATGTTTAAAAAATCATATTATGTTATCAACTGCAGGATGTAAGGAAGGTGAGTCAGAACGTAGCATCAGCAGAATGCAGCAGAACTTTAAAGCAGCAGTGCCAAAGCCCCAGTAGTTTAAGCGCGCGCGAACTGACCAAGAAAACCAAGACATACGAGTACATAGCAACATGCAAACAAATACAAGAGCACACGAGTAAACTTGAAACTGACAAGCCATGCAGAGGGACCGTTTTCCCATGATTCACTCCGTGTGAGAACTTACTTGCAGGATCTGGCATTGATTCGAGGATAAAATGTACAAGATCCCCCGTTAAGGCAAAAGTGTCGCTCAGGGCATGGAACACCCTTGACAATCCAGTGATCTGAGTCCGGAGCTGCAGACACAAAACATTTAATTTACATACCACAATTATTTGCATGTCAGTTAAATCAACGGCAAATGGTCATCAAGAACTGCCGAATTTACTCAAATTTCGCAGAACACATGTTTCGAGCAAGCATAGTAAAAATTCAATTGATTTACAGTGTATTAGTAATTTAACAGACATGTGGAGATATAAATGCGAAGCGTGAGACATAGATGCGAAAAACCAAGAACTCTGTAAAAAAGTCCCCCAAGCGTCGTTTTCGCAAATGCAGTTATGTACGTGGGAAGAGTTTCGCATTTGCACTTGCAGTGCACTTACCGGACATTATCGTAACAGTCGTTTCCGACTCAGCAGCTCCCAGCACATTAACAGCCACACAGCGATACTTTCCAGCGTCTTCTACAGTGGATTTTTTAATCCGCAAACGGTGAATTCGCCTATGCAATCAAATGATAATATAAGGATTCCACAACAAGGTTTCGATTGCAGGTGCTAATTAGGTCAACGGCAACAGATGCACCGGTAGATCGTGCTGCGCAGTTTGTGCCAGTATGCGCCGAGGCAGTATCAAAAGAGGTTACCTGTGATTACGTATCGCTAACGATTTCCGCTGGCGGTGTTGGATAGCGATGCCGTCTTTGTACCATAGCACTCTGGGGTGGGGAAATCCTTTGGTCCGACAATGAAGAGCCAATTCTGCGCCTTCGGTTATATTCAAGGGACGGAGTTTGGCAACAACGGGCGGTTTGGCTGCAATATCAACAAACGCTATCACATATTCGGCAAAAATTCATCCTTCCTACGTCGACAGCAAATCAGGGCTATCTGATAAGATTAGTATATTTCAATACACTTCCAATGAATCAGCCAACCAGTAGGTGCTTGCGCGATTAATTAGAAGATGACTGGGTGTTGGTGTATGTAATCTTTGCTTACAATACGGGTACGTGGAAGACGGGGCACCGCGGCGCGACTGCCGGTAAACAGACAAATTTTACAGGCTGGGTTTTGAAGGAACCGATTTGTTGTTGTTCAAATATCTCGCTTATGATGTGTCATATTCAAACAATCCGGACCCATCAGTCAAAACCCGGCACAGACCCAACATCACGCTACACGTGTGTCAACATTACAATGCCCTTTTCAGGATACAAGAAAATTATTAATAAAACTGAAGTTAAAGTCAAGCTGGTGAGTTAGTTCGCGTTTTGGGAACGTTAGGAAGCCACGATAGAGCTGAACTTTAAAAATGTTGATTTACACATTACTACAATTTTTTTGCAAATGGTGTCAAAATTAATGCAGTATTATGTTTCGTGTACAGGAACAGAAGCCAGTAATTCGAGTATGCCAGAAATTCGTAATTACTGTAACGCAGCTAGTTTAATTTTACGTTCTGCCGCCGAGAAACCTTGTCGCTAAAATAAACACCCGGAAATTACAGTTTACTCAAATTGATTAGGATGGCCCGAATTTGTCTTACAATTAGCCTTTTCGGAAACTGTCTGGAACAATTAGACAGACACAGTTGCCATAATTCGTTGGCCACCTAGGCAAGCGTGCTGTACACACCCGGACAATTTCGTGTCGTACTGAACACAGTGTGCATGATGGAAATAAATACGCGGGTCTTGCTTTTCGGCCAGCATCAAGCAGCTTTCGCCAGTATTTTTCCCCCATGAAGACGACCCCGTCTACTGCCCTACTCATTAGCCCCCCGTGACGCATAGCGAGTACTGGCTTTCAATGAAAACTGTTTTTCCCATGCATCCAGTGTGTCAGTATTGTCTCAGGGAGGGATTTCGGCACCGTGATCAAGTTTCTCGTAGTGCCTTCCCTTCTCTCACCTGCAGCAGGCCGAAGCACAGTGCCCACTGTCCAGTTCACGGTGTGTGAGGAAGTACTTAATAGTCATCTTCTGATCAAAACGCCATACACACGCTTCCTTAAAAGCGTTCATTCATGAAACTGCTCGAGCACTGCACTGTCCAGAGGGGAGAGAAAATAATCGGGAGCAGCATCTCTACATATCGCCTACTGAACAATCCATCAGACACGAAGAACAACATGGACAATTTGCTATGCGCTGACAATCGGGCAGACATTTGATATGGCTTGAATAATATAACGAGACAACGGGATTTTGATTTGGTCTGCATCATTGTGTTTCACATCTTCAACGCTAACCGTTAACCTTTGACAAATTCATACACGTTGCGAGAAAACCACGCGGAAAATTTGAATTGACTGCGGAATATAAAAATTTTCAGTCACAAAATCCTTTCGGATAATAGTTGTAATTTTAAAGCAGCATTTAAATAGCCAAAAGGGTGGAGCACGCATTTCCGTGCAGTTACAGAATAGTATTTTCAGAATGCGGAAGTGCTTGTGTGGCTCGTGGCAGCATTTGCAGCCATTGCATGCGGTTATTATGCATGATATCGTACGAACTTGTTTTTCTTTATTACGTTAAGTGGTTTTCCACAGTAAAATAAATTTTCTGTTGTAAATTTTAAAAACTTAAGATGTAGAATTAATATTGTAAGAACACGGCACATGCTGTCCTCCTCCTTTTTGTATATCCAGGAGCGGATGCCAAGACTTTGAAATCTTCGCTATCGCAACCGAGTATTGCTACGGTAGATGTGCGTATTTCAGTTGTGGTTGTGGGATGCGAGGCTATCTCCTCAACTGACGAAGCTGTAGAATCGGACGGATATTATCAGCATCTCCCCTAACATCAACGTAAATTATTGTTCGCATTATCCGCCATGATCGGTTTATGCTCATTCAACACTCTTCCTTGTGGGCCTCGCCGCCACCACACCGCCGCTAACCGTTACACCAGCATACATAACAAGTCCACTAAATGGAGCTTGCAATCAAATGCCGCCGTCTTAAGAAGTCAATTTCTCCATCTGATTTTCTCGTCATTTGGGCGATAAATTCATTGATCGATTAAGCAACCGCGGTGCAGGGATCTTCCATTGTCACATGTCAGATTGTCATGTCAGTTGCGCACATCTTCTTTGGCTTGACCCTCGGCTCTCTGCCTGTCTGTGCAATGCATGTTTCTGTACCCGTGCACGGTGTAAGGCGTATGCATCCGGGGCGCATACACACAACCCATCAACACCCGCCAACCCGGGGGCTCACCAAGACGTACCCATTAGATCGAATTAGGATATAACACCATCTCATTAATGATTACTTGCAGGGACTGACCGTTGCTGGCTCCTCATGATCAGCCAGTTGTCAGGATGATCGCACTGATTAAGACATCGTTTGCAGACTGTGGTTGGTCAAAAGTCAAAACCATAAAACTGCTTGCGCTGTATTCAGGTACTCGTAAGTCGTAACTCGTAAGTATGCAGCGCTGGTCACTTTAATAATATCACTTTATTAAAACCGGCCGTGCACTATGCACTATACGGTATTCTTTTCTACGCACTTTGTAATTTTATAAGATCACTTTTTTACTGTAGGTTATTCAAACGTTACGTAATGAACTACAGACTTAAATAATAGGATAAATTATTTCACTATCTTTACCATAATTTTCATATGTACTGTTGGCGTAGCAGTAAAACTGATTCTACTCTGTAGTAAGTGCACGAGAAGGAATCAAAAGCAATTTTTGCAAGAATACATGTGTTAAAATATCAGTAAAGTTTCACACAAACTGACCCTGAGATTATTGCTGAGTGGATTTAGTTTGGCGGTATGAACTGGAAAGTATGCTGAATTTTGCACGCATTTTAAAGAGGCAAATAAATCACATGTTTAACAGAGCGTCCAACTTCTATCCTTTCCCTGCCACAGACAGCGGACTGACCGCAGATTTGATAAATACATGGAAAAGGATAGCCATCTGGCAGTATCTTTCACACTTTTGACTGGAAAACTTTCCAATCACTCAAAACGAGACGAGAAACAGTAACACAACAACAACTTCTTGCCGACCACTGATGTCCGGCCAAAATGAGCCTAGCAGAAGGACCGCTGTGGATGATCATGATGCGCAGGACGCGCTGGCATATAAGTGTCCATAGAGAAAGAAAAAGACAAATTTGTCACAAGAATTTTCCTCTCTTAAGTTACATCTTCATTACCCCTTAAAAGAACTGACTTCCACTGATTTGCCGCAGTTTAACCAGTTAAGCAGGCATTCCCCTCGCGCTCTGCATCCCGCTGATCAATCAATGCGCTGCTCATCAAAAAAGCCTAATGATGTACACTGAATTTCACACAAAAATCTCGTGACAGAATAATTAAAAATTCTTAACGGTCTGCACATGTTTTTGAAGGGTAACGTACGTCCAACTGGAAAGTCCCGGTAATTTTTAAATTACCGGGTGTGTTAAATGCAGTCTTATTGAAGAGAGTTTTGAGAAAGATTTTTTGCAAATAAAAATTTACCTCTGCAGTGATTAGATTTAAAAACCTAATTTTTTTGTTTTTGTTTTGTATAGTTTTCATTATTTTATTGGCTCTTTTATGCATTACATGTTGCGACTTGCGATCAGACACTCTGTACTGACGGTCGTTATTCCCTAACTGATGCCTAACAATATTGACACTGTCCTATCGGCAGTATGTGCAAATGAGTGGTTGATTATTACCAACACCGGTCTGGATTCAGCCGTCACCGTGCTGTAACCAGCCATAAACATGCCGCCGCACCACCTAACAATACCATTAAAATTAAGCAGGCGCGTGTCTTTTGTGTTTTCTGTTTGAGGAGTGACTCCTCGACATCCAGTCTATCCTGGGTACAAAAGGAAAATAATAGACTGCTTTGATACCATCTATGGCGTCTTAAAGGATTATAATATGCTCGATTATTCAACCGATTATATTCGCATAACAATGCCGGCACGATCTCAGTCACGCTATGCTTATTGCAACTGATATTAATTTTTACCATTATAGAATATCGCTGATTCTTTTGGCATAATTAATTTTGCATAATAAAAATATTTCTGCTGATAATTTTAGGCTAACGAAATCGAGTGCTATTGTTACGCGTGCCATGTATTCGATTGCGGGGTTAATTTTATTCTTCAACACGCGTGAAGTTTTACCATTTTATACTCGTACGCATTTTTAAAAGTGGCCAAATCGAGCCAGAACAGAGGCAGTGAATTAGAGCAAAAAAACCGCGCGGCTGATCTACGACATCAGGGTCGATCGAGGATCGGAAATTGGTCTACTCATAGTAAACAATCCAGAAGTAATATAAGGGGTGCCGAGTACATCTACACAGCGTTTGCTTATTTTCGAAAGGATACAAACTTGAAGATAATGCGTTATCCCGCTGTTTGCAAAATCGTCAGATCGGCTGTTAAAAAAGAACTGACCTAATTTTAAGTAAATGGAAACATGTTGAGATCTGCGGTTTATTTTCTAATATCCTGTTGCTTGTGTCAAATTAAACACATTTACCAGCGTAGTTATACCTATGTAGGTCTAGGTCATATATCATATATATAAGTTGTACGAAAATGACCGCAATTCGAACTTACAAATCCAAAAACATTCAGAGCACTTTCCTTAAACTTGAGATTTTTATTTTGTGATATGATCAGTTTTTCTTGAATGATTTGAAATCGTAAAAGATTAATACGTATGTGCAACACTAATTTCTGTTTGTGTTCATTGAAAGTATTACAATTCCTTCTGCAATCTGCACTGAATACAAACAACTACGTCTCATAGATTCTATAAGCGGGCGAAATAAAAACGTCAGTGATGTTATCATATGGTCATATGCATACATTTGTAGATGTAATTATGCAACGTCCGGCAGACATAAAATTACGTTAAGCATACACAGGAAACAACAATTTTTACAAGAAATTTTTGTAAAACATTTTTTAATACATTTTATTTTCTGAATCGCACTGCTGCAAATTTTTTATACTCGCGTGCTGCAAGCATAATACAGTTGCAGCTGTAATGAATTATTTATTCTACATTATTAAATTGATATTTGATAATACATCAACTCACCTCTCCTTAAAACTTTATGAGCATTTGTCAGTGCCGTCTCAGTGACGATTTCGGGTGCGGCGTAAATGCTCCATGAAATAGCCGGTGACGGTGTAATGGGCAGACTGTTTGATTCCATTTGCATATCCTCTCCTCCATCATTTGTGGCCAGGCCGCTCTCATCCAGGCCGTTGTGTGGTTGTAAAAACAGCAGATATTCTTTCTGTACATCCACTCTAGCAATGGAGCACACTTGATTGCGCAACAGTGATTCTTGTTGGATCTCAGCCGCGGTCACCGGCAACTGCGTCCACACGGACGGCATCCCGAAATGCAACTGTATCCTGGGATTCTCTTCCAGATATTTGCCGATATGGGGACCGCCCTTGAGGATCTTACTGACGTGAAAGGTGGCATTGAAGTGCGGGTGATGACTGCGGGAATACACTACCGTACACCAGGCCTTAACCACGACCGGCGCAATGTAGGCGCGACTGGCCACATCCTCGTACTCGCTCCAGCAGTAGGGCTGCTGTACGGTATCCCGCTTAATCCCATTCACGTGGGAGGCTGTCATTACCGTATCCAGTAGGACAATCACCAGCAGACACACCAGCCTGAAGTATTTGTTGATCCATTCCCAGCGCAGCGGAGCGGGATGGTAAAGGTCATGGAAATTGCCACCCATCATCTTGTGATTGTTGGCATGTTCAACGCGAATATGGCGAAATTTTGGTTTAACCATATAGAAGACCACAATTTCTGGTTGAGTGATATATTTTCAAAGATAAAAAACCGAAACCAAATACGGTTAAGAAACAGGACTTCTGATACAACGAGCATATACCGCTCAGCTGTTAACAAACGATGGAAAATGCGGATGCGTTTATATATAAGACGATTTAGCTGCCGTTGTACAACATGGCAAATATCCGTGAAGTTTCACCAACTAATCAAGCCAAGCCAGACACTGATTCAAATTAAGACAAGATGCAGTTGATAAGTTTCTCTTGAAGATGCTGCTGCACACAGAGGATTCCACGCTGTATAATATGCTTGTGGTAGTGGATGAAGAAGAAGAGGGGCGGGTAAACAGGAGATCTGGGCTGCTGCCGCGAACAGAGACAGAAGATGCGCTGATCTATATATCCACAGGATACGCCGGCCTGCGCAAATTATGACGTCGCAGTGACCAGCGCGTCTGCAGTTGTCAGCTAATTACCGGAAATCAAACCTTCCATGAAATCTTTCCACCGGCGCGCACACCGGTTCAAGCATAATGATCGTCCAGTGCGCTGACAAAGGTTAGGTTATATGATGGTCATAATCGAGCAATAAAGTCCACAAAAAACTAGAGACAAAAGTCGTAAGTTTAAAGCCGGCTAGCAACCCGGCGCTGGCTGATTGGTTGTTCGTTTCCCTCTTTCTTGGCGCCAACGTTAGTTAAAGGTTCTCAACATATCCGGTTCACCTAGTTTTGGAAAATCCAGCTGTAAATGACAGTTACCAAAGGAGGACTGTTCATGCGGATGGAGATTCTTAACTTTCAAGTGCGCGTGCGCCGATGAAAGGGCATTTATAAAGAAAGAAAAAAGATGAGTCAATATACCGCCATATATACCCGTTGTAATACAGGATTGATAAAAATCGTATGTACTGAACTTGATGATGCGGATAAATATTGTTGTGCGTACACGAGCCGGCAGATTGTTGTTTATGTAATCTTCATAGTTCTGTAAGCGATACGAAACATCTTGCTGATCCGCCAATTTATATGTCGGGAAAGTTTTAGTGAATGGAAGTCTGCGGATTTTATTTGTATCCGGATTCGTCATATTTAATCCACACACGCATGTAAATCTCAAAATACAACCATAAGGTTTTATTACGTTCACTGACGGCAACGCTTTACGCACGTTTATAACTGTTTATAACTGGCGTGTGACGATATCATAACAAATTATGATGATATAAGCAATAAAACGCTTAACACTGAGCAACCTTACAATTAAAAAACTGTCACACTTGATTCACGGCCGTAAATGCAGATACGCTTGGGAAAATAGTATCCCGGAATACCGCGATCACTTTGCATGCAAAGATTATATATACCGGTAACTGTCTTCCATAGCCTTAACAATTGTAAGATTTGCATGTGCAATGTGGTACTACTTATAGTAATTAGTAATCGTGATACATTACTGCTACTAGTATGGAATTATGGATATAATGTGCGATGTAGAAGCCTGTAGGGTACTCATATGCATACAATACGATTCGCACTCCGCATCATACTGTTAAGATTATTTATACCTTTGCCACGGAAGGTTTTTGGGCGCTGAAGACGAACATAATGCCTCATCAGCCAATTTTATTTCAATTTTAACCGACATAAAAGATAAAATTAATGGAAAATACATGGGGTGCCTGCGTGTCCTCTTCCTAAAGTACAGTAATTATAATTTGATACTGATTCTATAACACTGCCTTATTACATATTTTCTCGAACTGTTAAACTAAACATTAGCTACCGGATGAGTAAATCATATAAAAATTAAACAGCGAAATGCAAGCCAAAAATTAATAAATATATATTTACAAAAGTACAATTCAAAACGTATACAAAAGAAAGCAGAGAAACCAAAAATTACCACTTTCCTTTATCAATCCCTTTCCGTTTAAACATTCGTGTAATGCCACTACTATTCCAGATTAATTAGTTGCCACATTAGCCTTCCTAAGGTTTTCCATAAAATTAAAATTCACTTCGGTCAGTTTTTTGGATGGGAGGAATTCCAGGTTTGAATCGAATCCACGAAGCTTTTTAGCAGCGATAAAGGTGTTCTTGATGAGCATACACACAGTCATGGGGCCGACCTAGCAAAGACAAAAATTATTCTCATAAAACGCTCGTTTCTGCGACACTGTTCGGTGTTAAATATAAAAAAAATGGTAAAACTTACCCCTCCAGGGACAGGAGTTATATAGCTTGCCTTTTCACTTACACCTATAAACAAGTAAACAACGTTGTTACGGTGTAATCAAAAATAAACAACATTTTTACTATTTTAGTAAGAAACGACATTCCATAAGAATTTCCAGCAATACGTTTAATGTTCCATCAGAAGAAAATAAGTAATCAAAGCATGCCCACACCTTCGAAATCCACGTCGCCTTTCAAAACAAATTTATCGGATTGTTCTTCCCGAACTCTCGTAATCCCCACGTCGACAACAATGACGCCCTCCTTCACCATATCCGCGGTAATCAGACCCGGCTTCCCGACGGCAGTTATAAGTATGTCCGCCATTTTTGTGAACAATTTCATCTGTTCCGGTGGAGTATGGCGATGGCAGATGGTAGTCGTAGCATCGCCTAAAATAAAAGTATTAGTAATGAAAGTAGACATGCGCGCGATCGGTGCAATCACGCGTTCAAGGTGTCGCACGTAAACGCTGCAGCGTCACGGCCCATTCATAATACTGTAGTATACGATATTAAAATGGCGGTGATTCAAAGAAACATTGTCATAAAATACCGAGATAAAAATACTACAATTTACCGTACCGTGGCCATCAGCGTGCATTAGCATCATAATGGGCATTCCCACGTTTTTTGACCGTCCGCAAATAACAGCGTTCTTCCCGAAAGTCTCCACACCTGCCAAGTAAACAGCAACTAAATACTTGGCAAAGTAAAACAAGTACAGCAAGCAAAACTGGTACAGCAAAAATATACAAGCAAAACTGGTACAGCAGTCTATCAAAAGTGTACTTATTTCTGATTATTGATATTTGCTGTTCTTCAACAAAAGCAGGTCACAACCATTGTACGGAATACTACCCTTGACATTTAAAAGGCCCGGCAGGTAGCTTTAAAACAGGCAGCCAAACCCACTTCTCGAAGAAAGAATTTGCGGGAATTTTGAATTTACCGTTTCGTTTTAGTAACTCCATGACGCCAAGTGGTGTGCAGGGATAGAGCCCTTCCCGGCCCTGGACCATTTGTCCCATGTTAAGGACGTGAAAACCATCCACATCTTTGTAGGCAGACACCGCTTCACATACAGCGTGTTCGGATAAGTGCGCCGGCAAGGGAAACTGCACCAGAATTCCATCTGTATTGCGGTCAGTATTGAGAGATTCCACGACATTGAGGAGATCAGACTGGGATACGCTTTCCGGCAACCGAAAAGTGTTGCTTGTTACACCTGGTAATAAACGGAAAATGTCGAAATAGTCAAATAGTGCACACAAACATGTGAGAGTATGACGTATTAGTAGTATAAGTTATATACAGTTTCTACTCGTATAACCGGTTCATGTCATGCAAGAACCGGAAGTCCAACTAAACAAACCGGAAATCACACTGGATTTGAAATTTAAATTTGTATCTCTTTTTTAGTTTACGCCAGTTGTTTTCATGCATGCTGATAGCGACACTGAACACTAACAAGAACAATCATTACAAGAAACGAATTCCATACAAACATCTACATGAGTAGCTAGCACAAGTTTTTAAACAAATATTCACGTGCTGTTCAAAACTTTTGCAAATTTTACCACAGAGAAATTTACCACTAAAGTAAATTTAATTAACCATTTTCAAAACAAAATTTTTTATTAACAGGTTTAAAGAAAATACACAGCCCATTTTCTTAGCCGGATGTGATGGATTGGTGGTTGACAAAAACATTAAAATATAGTAATACCCACTTTATATTTATCGTTAGTTACTTTACATTTAGTTAAGTCTGCCAGTGACGCATTAATTTCTGCCAATTGCTTACCAACTTTTTCCGCTGCCTTCACCTTGTTAGCGATATATGCTAGACTCGCGGGATTGTTTCCAACCATAATAACGCTTAGATGCGGTCGGCGATTGCCGGCTTTGCTCCATACATCGATGTCAGATTTTAGTTCGCTCAGAATTTCTTTCGATAGTTTCTTTCCGTCTAATATCTGCGCTTGCGACCTGCGAGAAAGTCAGTCATCGTCAAAATGTAGTTCTCAAACTGCGCGTGCAAAAATCATGTACGAACGTCGAACGAAACTCCGCTCACCTTGTGGTTGTGGAATGCATATACCGTTTAGCGTGTATATCGAACACGATTCGGTGGCGAAAAAACTGCGAAATAGTATGCACACATTCCTCGCTGATCCCATGATGCTGATGTGAAATATCCTCCAAACTTGCCAACCACTGGTTATCACAATTTTAAAGATTTTCCAAAACTGCTGTTAAAGTACCTGCAAAAAATGAATCTCTGAAAAAAAACGTCTGCTTAATCGTGCTTGTTATTTTTGAATGAAAGCGGATATTCACGTATAATACAGTCTCAGACAGCAATGCCAAGAATTCGTGCATTACAAAAACGATTACAAATTACAACCACTCAGCAGCAGTCAGCACGTGTACAAAGTAATCACTTAAAACAGGTAGACTTACTGCTTGCTTTGTCAAAACAGGACGCACAGTGAGACACTGTCGGAATTATGGGAAAAACCTCTTGTTTGTCTCTGGGCAGCGAGAAATGAGTCAAAACTAGCACGATAATTATCAGCCGGAAGCATCAATTTTGCGGTTTGGAAGTTGACGTAGTAAATACAGTACGACTGTGTTACAAGAAAACAACAACAACCAGAACCAGTGTTGCATGTATGATGTACGACAAGCACGAACCCACGATATGGGATATTTCACAACTACGCTGATAGCGTCGACGGCTAGACTTGATTTCCAAGTGATCTCATTAAAAGCGGTTGCGTGCACTATGGACGAGCGCATACTATTCAATACAACCGATTTATCGTAGATTTGTGATTCGTCTACGCTAGCGGTGCTACGTGACGCTCATGCACTCCGCTTGTTGCAACCACTTCGAAAAAACATAAGCGCCGAGCAAGTTTGTCGCAACCACATGTCGAACGTCGAGCACGTGCCCCGGATGTGAATGGACAAACTCATCTGAAATGGTACGCGATAACTAAAACGCCAAATCACGCTTTGCCGGTTACAGCACACAAAAACTGCACAGCAGGCACAGGTAAACTTGCCAAACGTTTTCGATAAAGGTTACGGCCGATGCAATAATGCCCTTCTTTGAAATAGTATGCAAAAATACATTACAGTGCTAGAATAGCATTTAGTAACTACTCTTGTTTCAGCGGTTTATTTCTACATCCGGTATTTCACCGGGTGACGGGAAAACCGGAAGTACTAGATAATTAATTCATAAATATCGCAAAAAGCTCTGTTTTAACGCCTTTCTTAAATTAATTCTAATCTTAAGCGATCCGCTATAAGCAATACATTCGAATAAAAACGTCAAACGATATATATGTATTTCATATTTTTTGCAGCCACTAGCTCATAATTGCGTTATAAAGTTTTATATAATATTTACTTTTGCGAAAGGATGCAATGTAAAATTCCCAACAGGAATAATAATAAAGATGCTTGAGCGCATGAACAAAAGCCAGCAAGCTACAATATTACTGCCAGCTACAGTTTTAAGACCACGTACAGAAGTATTCTGTAGCCTGTAGGTCACTGACGTGAGAAACAGTAAAAGAACCACTAGCACCAAACAAACTATGAAAAACAGATTTTATTTTTTTATAAAAGAAATATCACTATTACTCGGACAATTAGTCTTTACTTTGTCTGCTGTTAAAGGAAATGTTAGTAGAGTGCTTTACCTTTTAAGCCCAGAGATTAATTATAGGTTTTCTTAGGTTTCTTAAGTTTTCTTAGAATTCTTAGGTTTTCTCACAGCCGAATCGAACGGGCGGCCGAAAATTCTGGCAGCCCAATTTGCTTGCTATTAAATTTTTACTGTACCAGTTTTAAATTTCATGTCGTATGATCGCGTTTGCTACTTTTACCAATTTGGTTGTTATTGCCTATTAAAGTTTCAGATTAAATCCCATAACGCTGTGAAAGTTCGATTTTAAGTTCATGTAACCTAATAGTAATAGCAAATTACTTAGTACTGTAATAAAATTACCAATGCAGCGACAAAACATTACTGTATTTACAGTATTAGACAAAAATGTCTATTTTTGTATGTCTTTGGTATTAGTACTTACTACAAGTACAGGTGTAGTACACTAATGGTAAGTACATTACTGGGCCTTCCGCCCTCAGACGGACGTTTGTACCGATGTGTTGTTTCCGGCCGCGTAAATGCACACTGCAGTGAATTTCAAATGTCTGATGTTAACATTGAACAAGATTCGAGTTTTTATACTTTTCTTTGGAGTCTTTTAACGTAGTTTACGTACCTACGAAGTTGAAGATGTCGCAGATACGTATTTCCTCTATCACAGCTTCTCAAACCCGCAGCACAAAGAGCGAGGCTTGGATGAATTCGATCCGCCAGAGTTCCGAAGCTCTTCAGGAGTTTAACCAGTTGGTAAGTGATGTTTTAAGATTAATTGTCAGTTACACTGTTACAGCACCTCCATCAGCTGTTGCGACTATTGCGTTTATGTGGCTTTCCGTTCTATAGTTCTTTTTCAGACTTCCGGTTTATAGTTTGATAGGCAGATTAAAAGTTAGCTGTTCGTTAAAGAAAGCAAGGATTTATGGTTTACGTACTTTCTGAAAGTATTTGAGAGTTTCTCCTTACCACACCACCCATAACGCTGCTCATTGCCAGATACCGTGGTACGTGCGCTTTCTTATGTTTTTTCTTCTTAGAATCCCAGAACGGTTTCCTCCGATGTTATCCTGCAGAAGCTAGAACTGATTAAGGACATTCTGCTGCAGATGGACCACGCTCGCAAGGAATTGTCAGCCGACGAAGTGCGGAATATGGTCTCTGAGCATTACTCTGATGTCTTTGCGCTTTTACTTGGGATTTACAGGTATCTGCTTTAAAATACCCGTATGTTTTATTTAAGTAATTGCATGCGAAATTCGTTTCTGCCTTTTTCTTAATTACGAAAAGTTACTATTGTGAAAGTTAAAATTGCTTTTTAAGCCGCAGTCCGGAGTATGTACTTGACTCAGTTTTATGTAAAGTGGTACTATTGTTTGAGCGATTTTAATAATTTGCTGTTGCAGAAATTACCCTCCTGGCATGAAATCCATGTTTTTTACGAGAGAAGGGCTGAAATTTTTTATGGATGCGTGCAAAGATCATGTTTCTAATCTGACCAAACCAGCGTATAATGATCACCAGTTTGCTTCGCACTGTCTGCGCCACAAAGTAGCAGATGATTCGGCTTTTCCCGTAGCCATAATTTTATGCACAATCATGGGCCACATTCCTAAACGTAAGAAATGTATTCGTAATTTCTTGTAAGAAAGGTGTGTTTATAAATTGTGTAGTAACTTAAAAAAAATTATGTCCAGAGCTGCAGGTGCTCCGATGCCATCCGCTTATCTGTGATTCTGTTATGATACCGGTCGAATATTTTACTATTAGTCGTCCGGTACGGCTTCGATACTGCGCCAATCGCCATGTAGGATATAGAGTACTTGTACATATACTGTATCTTTATTTGATACCAGCACATCCGTATTTAACACATGTCAGTTTCGGTCATGCGTGGTATAACAATTACCCTGTAATTTATCTGTGCACACAGGTACGTAAAAGATGCATAGATTGTGCTGTAGGTATCGGACATATGAACCACTGGCTGACCGCGGGATCGGATGGAGATCTTTTGTTGATGAATCAGATGTTTTCTTGTCTTGTCCATCTGCATCCGGAAATCTGTCTGCCCGCTACGATCAAGCAGCAGTAAGTGGTTTCGGTGATATACAGTTAAATCCTACTTCTATAATTCATGTGCCACGTTTGACTTTTCTTTTAGGGATTTCTATACATATGTCCTTACCGGTGTGTGCTCCATTATTCCCGTCTTGAACAGTCAGCAAATCGCCGAATGCCAGAAGTCGCTGCTCAGACATTTGCAATCAGACCGCTTTTTAGTTGCACTTTTTGCGTCTGATGTGATCAAATTTGTATGTCGGTATGTGTGTCGGTAAGAAGTAAGAACGGAGAATAGGGAAAAGTTGGCCGTGTGAAATATGACTTTGTTCGTGTTGTCGTTGTAGAATTTCGTCATTTGAGATTGCGTTCAGGATTACTGTCGCTGTGTTTCGAGGCTTTGTGGACGGTTTCCGTGGTGGATTTGGGAAAATGCACAATGCTGTTATTCGAAATCTTTGTGCACGAACGTTTGCAGAGCTCCCGGCATCAATGAAGGTATGTAATCAACAAATTTTGATTTTATAGCAGCTTTAAATTGTACTTTATTAACTATATTCGAGAAAGTATTAATTTCTTGACTTTAATTCATTTCTGAACGCTCTTGAAGTACTTTTGGATTTACTTGGGTTAGTAGCTTAGTACTAAGTACGTATCCAATATCCATTGTCTCAAATCCGAAAGGCTGCACAATAATAATTGTACCGGTCGGCCAGTGCATTGTTGATTGTACTCCTGAAATTTCTAGAAATAAGTTCAATGTGGCTTGATGGCTTGCTTTAACAAATGCCTGTGCTTTTGCAGGTGGAATTACTGGAGATGTTTCCAGTTAGACGGCACTTTTTTATTTGGAGTTATTTACCACTGGCTTCGTATTCGGAACTGCATTCCTCTTCTGTTTTTCAAGAGCTGTTCAACGAAAGCATGACTACGATTGACGGCGTTTTCGACAAAAATACCTCCGCTACATCGATGCAGATGCTAGTAGTGCGACTCCCTCTGAGTTTGCGTTGTCTGACGAATTTGCTGCCATTATTCGATGCGACGAAACCCGGTGAATGGGAGTTCTCTCCAGCGGGCATAGCGAAGCAGTTTATGCGGTTATTTCGTTTCCTCACGGTGGAACAGTTGTCACTTCTTCCTTTGATTCAGACCTCTTGTTGTGCGCTGCTGAAGCTGGGATCTGCGTTGTACCGATATTTATTGGATACTGAAATCGTTGAGGTAAATGATAAAAGTTAAAATGCATCAGCAGCTACTATACGCTGTCGGCCGCTATCGGTGATCATGGGATCAAGAAGAAATTGTTTTTTTGTCGGATAACAATGGACATTAAGCGCTTTTATGTTCTGACATGGTTATCTACACATGTACAAAAATATTGATATACGTAAGGTAAGAACGGTGTGGTACTAAAACTTCCGAAATAATTACAGTATTACATACATCTGTAAATAATTGATAGTCTCAGAAAGCCATCGCAATTCGAAAGCAGTCACAATAAAAAGCTACGAATATTTCGGCGTATTTGTATTTTACCGTGTGTTTGAATGCCTTTTGACTTACATACGTTTGATCTGCAGAAGCTTGCATTTCGTATTTATACTTATTGCGTAATCCTCCCTCTGCCCTTCTAGATTATGAAATATCTGGTGGAAAATGAAAAAGATCCTGACGTATTGATCGCCGGCGTCGATTTTGTGAAGAGCATTGTGCCACAAAGAAAGATCGGGATTGGTCTTTCGGAATATATTCGTAATTTTTTTTCGATGTTGTGCAGCCATCAAAACGCGTTGGTCAAGAGCTGTGCAGTGTCTGCTTTTTGTTGGATTGGGATGCACATACGATGCGAAAGGTTACTTTCATATCTGTCTGGTGGCGTCCGTGGGAACGAGAATGTCTTTACCTATTTATCCCTTGTAAGGATAGTTTCTCGTTTTTCTTTAACAAATAACTGACAAAAAATCCTAAGTCTGCTATATTATAGGGGCGAGTCGAAGATAAAACGCTCGCACGAATGTATGCCACCTTGCAGCGGCCGGTTGATTCGGAGCACCCAGTCGGAGCAACACGTAGTTTAGAAGACTGTGTTGACCATGCCGTGGATAAGTCGCGTAAGCGAAAGAAATCCGAGTGCGAGAGCGTGGCGTCCGGCGAGTTCGAACCTGATGCGAAGGATGCCGACCTGGATGGTGAGCTCTGAGTTTTCGGAAGTTGTGATAGATAACGAATACTAAGGAAGACAACGTATTGCGACGTTTATTGGACTTTTTCGGTCGTATTCTAGTTCCAGTGTTTAGAAGTAAAATCATACTTTTAACTACTGCGCCGATTTTTTTATGTTTCTTGTTTAATTTAGAACATCCCCAAATACTAAAGTTTTGTTTTTATAGATCTCATCTGACTGGCATCGCGAAAAAAATAACGGCAGCATGAATACGCACATTTTTTGTTCAGTATGTTGCTTTTTCTGTTTCCTGTAGCTTTGGAGAACGCAAAGTTAATGAGTCGTTTTGCTAATCCGGTTTCCAGTTTTTTTTATTTTGTTACTACCTAATTTAAACTGTGTCAATCTGTTTGATGTGTTCAATTTCGAAATCAAAATGTGAATTCCGTGTTCTGAGTTTTGTATAACGTATTTATACACATTTGCACTGGCAGTTTAGCACTAACAATGCGAAACTGTTATCCACTTGAACAAATTAATCGTTGACTAGTAATTTTCACCAATAGCCTGCATCTTATAGAAAAAAATGCGATGCGGTTTTAAAGATATCTACTATATTTACATCCGAAATCGACTGAAAGTTCCGTAACCAAATCGCGCGCTTTATTCATTAATCATATATGCATTACGTAACCACATGTACCACTAATCACAATGCCAGAACTTAGAACTGATCTGTATATTTGTAATACTGCATGGTTGACATAATAGAGAAAGCAAGGCTAAAACATAAAAGAAGGTAAATATCTCTTACTCAAAGCGGGAGCCTTTCATACAATCGAAGACGGCATATAAGCAATCGCGCTTAACAAAAACAACAAGCAAAAGAAATAATTAGAAAACGTAAAATCAATTTGCTACACAGACTTCAGGGCGATCCAAATTTCCATCAGCTGGCGGTACCGTAGCGCTCTTGAAGAAGCTTTCGATATTCCACAAGGGTATCAGAGATTCTGAAAATGCTGCTCAGAATACTTTCTCCAGCAGCGTCGTATTCGGTAACACGCCGCACCAGCTGGAAGTAGGCATATTCAAATGCATTCCGCACATCCATAATTCCGTACGACGACCGGCCAATATCGTGATCCGTCTGAATGGGATCCTCAATGCTCAGTAATCCCACACTCTCTCCATCGGATAAACGTTTCTTGAAAGACTTCTTGGGAACGTACGATCCGCTACCGGCTACGATGATGGTGGTCTCGGCGTAGTTGAAATGCCGACCGTATAATTCGAAGAACTCTATGAGTAGAACGCCAAGATTTTCCTCGCGATCACAGGGAAAATAACGAGGATGCAGTTGTAGGAAACTGATGACCATCATGACCAGGCAGTGGGAGCTAACGCCACCGGTGAATACTTCATTCAGTTCGCGGTACTGAAGGAACTGTTTGAGCACGAGGACTAATTTCGGCAGGCAAGGAAACTGAGCAATGTACGTGTTGAGCATCTTCGCGCTGTTGATACCATTGACCAAATTAAACTACAAAAGACAGCACTCGAAATTAAAGCTAGCTAAACATCTAGCTAAACACTACAGTAAAAAAACACTACAAACTTGAATCAAAATTGTCAAACTTATTTCGCAAGCAGATACAGAAATTTTCAGCTACAATGGCTGCTACATATATACAGAAGTAACAGAACTCTACTATTAAATCTACCTTCTCGTATGTACGAGTTAAACAAATTTTAAAATAAACGTAAATAATTATATTCTAAAATGCACAAATTCAGAGGATTAAATTAAATAACTGATTAAAAAAATTTTGAATTAAATCCACAAATCCGATGTTAAGAACTTAAGCAATTCAAAGAGCGTCAAAACGAGGAAACATGTAAAACCAAAATAAGGCCAGCGTTAATCAATGTCGACCACCAAGAGGGATGAATATATGTACCGAACGCACCGAGATATCTACTTTCACACCAGTTCGTTGGTCGGTGATCTTGAGAATGGGTACGGCAGCTTTATCCAGAATTTTCACATCATGAGGAAAACAGATCCCACTGCGAACAAATTCCTCCTGGAGAGTATATAAGGGGAACTGCTCCCATTTCCCGAATACCACCACATCGATGTCGCTGGTGGGGAGGAAGAGGCCTGTTGGAAAACTACCAAAACACTCCACAAGAGCATGCGGGTACTTGCGACGAACGGCCTCCGTAATCCGATCAATCACATTCTGCCGCATACGGTACTCGCATTCCCGAGGAGCAATCCAGGCATAAAAATCTTCGATCTCTTGATGCAGGCCAATAACACCAGCGCAGTACCGCTTCGTAGACGGGATGATCCATGGTGTAGCGTACGTCACATGTTTCTTGGAGTTGCCGCAGTTCCGAAGAGCTGATGATTCTGAAGATTCACCATTTTCAAACCTATCTGGATAATATTTCCCGAAACGAGGCATAGCACGAACAGATATCTAACAAGTTTTAAAAGTTCACAAGCGCTACGTTAAATTTTAAATCGCAGAAAATAATCATTTCCTGTACGTGACTGTACTGTCAGTGCTCAGAATTTTCAGTTGAAAGTTAAAAACTCGGATTTTGTAGTTTTGCACTTTTGCTTGTCGATTTTTCGATTTGCTAAATTTTTGCAGTTTCCGGTGCCTTGTGGCTTGTGTACCGCGCGGAAGCGCTTTGCAAAGCTAGAATCACAGAGCGGCACCCTGTGGCGCACACCCTGCGTTACAGGATGGCATGCACTCGAACCTCGCCTCGCTAATTCCAGTTTTGCCAGGTGGCGCTGTGCAAGATTTGCCGTGAAATACCGGTGCACTGAGCTGCTGCAAAAGCAAATTGTTTATCAAAGATTCCTGACGTTCCTTCTGATTGCAGCAGAACATCTAGAATTGGGAAGATTTTGAGATTTGCCAAGAATCATCCGCTATTTCGTGTTATTTTCCCATATAATCCTTAAGAACTAATCAGTTATGGCTCCCCGTAAAGGAAAAGTACAGAAGGAAGAGACCGTCACCACGTTGGGTCCCCAGGTCGCAGAAGGAGAGAATGTTTTCGGTGTGGCTCATATCTACGCTAGTTTTAACGATACCTTCGTCCATGTGACGGATCTGAGCGGCAGGTAAGCTGGCGAACGGAATTGGATCATGAATTTTGCTGTAGGTCGGGTGTCTGTGGCTCATACGAGTTTTTCGCGACAGGGAAACCATCGCGCGTGTAACTGGTGGTATGAAAGTCAAGGCCGATCGTGATGAGTCCTCTCCATATGCGGCTATGTTGGCCGCTCAGGATGTGGCGGAAAAGTGCAAATTAGTGGGCATTACGGCGGTGCATGTGAAGATCCGTGCCACCGGCGGCAACAAGACCAAAACACCCGGACCAGGTGCGCAGTCGGCGCTGCGAGCCATGGCTCGTGCTGGAATGAAGATCGGCCGTATTGGTAAGTGGAAAATGATCTCTGAGATTTCTTAAGGCACTTACGGCGCCGAAGGACCATCCAGCGAGAAGGATTTTAATGAATTTTTCTTAATATAATAAATTGTAATGGTAGTGTCTGCGTTCTTGAAGTTATTGTTATATTTCATAATATTTGTGAATAGATTTGGGTTCCAACGTAAAGTTTGGCTAGTATATTAAAAATAGCAGTTTGTTATTAACAACTGCATAAGGTTTTCTTTTATGTCTCTGGTTTGCGTTGCTTGAAAATTTAAAGATTTACGATTTTGGATTTCTTCTGGAATGAGTATACGAGTAATGAGGATTGAAAGTTACAGTAACTCAAACGTTGGACAATGTTGGTAATGTCGCATTGTTGTTTATTTGCAGAGGATGTAACTCCAGTACCAAGTGACTGCACACGAAGAAAGGGAGGTCGCCGTGGTCGTCGTCTGTGAGGAGTAATAAATTTATTATGTTTTGGTACGGAATTTCTGCTGTCTGTCGGATTGCGCATTTCCATCTAACGAGACTGTCGGTGAATAAAATTACCAGCAAGTACCGTAGTCGGTTTCCCAGCTGCTGCATTGCATTTAGTTCAAATGCGTACCATACCGCAAGTGTTTATGATCGCGGCCAATGCCTACCAAGGCTACCATTAATGAATCCGATCTATTGCAAATAAGGAAGCCATACATATCACAGAATATTTTATTCAGCAAAAGCGGGAAAAGCCATTGCAAACATTTATATTCCACCATGCATCATTATTCACGCTCTGCAGATATTCAGGGACGCACAATGATATTATGGCAGTTGGTATCTGACGTCTATTGTATTTGGTAGTACTAAAAAAGCGAAACCGGACAAAATAATTTTTATTAATGTTTGTAAATACACAAGCGAGTTGCTTTTATACTCGTAAACACTTGTTTAACTTGTGAGTTTTAAATTCCTGGTAACGTATAATAGTTCAAACCGCGGATTTGCGAACTGACAATATAGGTAAGTATTATTCCCGTGGGACGGCGATTTCCAACGCTGATTGCGAGTTTCAAAAGTGACGAGTCTGACGACAGACTGCTGCGGCACTACTAAACTGCGCACTGGACACCTGTTAAGGGTCCAGTATGCACTGCACTTTCTTCGATTCGGTTTCAGATGTAACCGCTTGTGTATGCATCCCAAGATAATACGGCCGCTTGCAGTTTCTCTTCAAACGAAACTTTTGTAACAAACACAGCAGCCCGTGAAAATCAGGGCAGCCGTCAAACCCGTCCATAACGTCATGAACCGACCGGTCTTCGCTTCCGGTATTTCTGCGCTCAGACACGACCATGCGCCGGCTATTTCTTTCCAGGCAGAACCGATGCCCATCCAACAGAGTACCAGCAGGCCGCAATTCAGCAGCGTCATGAAAAGCAGCGGCAAATAGGCTGTTTCCAAATCAGCGATGACCTCAGATTCTGGTACGTCGCCAGGACGCCATCGTTGAACTTCTCTCGATATTTGCAAGCAGCATAAAGACATAGATGCCATCGTGAACAGAAGGTACCAAGCAAATACCAAGAAAAACCAAGCCAAAAAATTATCCTTCGCCTGTAAAACGCGCAGTCAACCTTTAAGTATTTTATAAGTATTTTTTCTTATTTTATAAGTAAAAGTACGTTTAACTTTTTCAGTATTTCTTTAAAGTACGAGTACTTACGTAAATAAGGAAATAATTGTAACTGTATAATGTATAATCCTTACCGGACTTCTTTCTTTGGCGCAGACTGTCAGGCTATAAGCGGTCCACCCGAATAGACCGCATTCCAGGATGAATCGCAAAGCGGACAGTAGGAAGTTCGCCCACATATACTGGTAAATTGGCTGAATTTTACGACAAACAGTATGCCCGCGCGTCGGTTCGTTATCGTTATCATCCGCTGAAAACGCCCAAATTGACAGTTATTTGTACGGTACTCGTACTGCGTGCAGCCGGTAAAACAAATGATACTTTTTTGAATATGACCTTACATTTCTCAGTAGACGCGTCCATGTCAATTGTCTTCGGTCAGCGTAATGTTATTCGTTGTTACCCGTTTGTGTTTTGCGTACAATTTCCTGACGTGGAACTGAACCAGTAAAAAAGGAAACATGTAGTTACCTTATTAAAGATTATGATTTATGTCTAGCAGTGCCCTTTGCCCAATAATGAATATTCTAATAAAAGCACTTCATAAAACCTCAGAATTCGTAAATCCAGCAATTTGTATTAATCCCGGAAAAAATGTTGACGACATCTCGAAGATTGATAATCCTGCGCGAAATCCGCGAAATGCACTGTGAATGTGATCGATATAAATCGCCATCATGCGCCACGCATTCCTGACCAGCCTGACGTAAAATCAATAACTATATTATGATTTCTACGGAGTATGTATGGACTACGATCGCATTATGCGCTGGTCATCCTTGACTTGAGTGGCAGATGCAGTGCCGCGTTTGGAAACAGTTTCCACAGCAAAATTAAATAATGGATCTTTACTTTCCGGATGACATTATTTCGATGCCGACTGTAAGGTGTGCAACTAAATAAGCAACTGCTTGCGGTAATACATCTTCCGTAACAGCTGTGAACTGTATATTTATATTCCTTTTGCTAATGAAAGTAAGAAGGCATCAGCGAATAAAGCACCCATGCGACCAAACCGGCTTAGAAACAAAAGTTGCAAATGCATCCAAAGGAAATACATCTGCCGCTTTATTCAATATCGCTGTCCGAACAAATAATTTCACAATAACCACAACTAACAGGGGTAGTAAACAACATAATATATCAACGAGATCCAGACGCAGTGTAAAGGCTATTTTACATCAATAATCACAGCAAAATTCCAGCGTCCACATATAAAACTTTTCAAAAAAGCGACCTTCTGAAAATATTTCGCATGCCTAGCTGATGGATATTATGGTACAAAAAACCACTCAGACTCTCAGTAATTATTCTCTCGATTAGATGACGATGAGCTGGACTGTGAGCTAAATGTGCCAAAATCAGCTTGTCGACTAGCAGCATCGTGCATGTGGCCGCTCTGGCTGGGAATCATGCCACTCGAATACGATGAGGCAACCTATGAAACAATTAACATTTCAAATTCCAACGAATGACGCTCAGTTCGCACTAAGGCTGTATATAAAATTGTACAATAACGAAAAAACGATGGAGCAACGTACGGATCGATCTCCACGGTACTGTACACTGGGAGCACTTTGTGTAGCATCCAGTCGGAGTGGAGACGGCGGAACACGGAGATTACTGCCGGACACTCGGCGGTCAGTGTTCCTGTGATCCTGAAAATATTAAACAAATTATGCAGTTATAAAATTACTGAAATGGTTCCCGTATGTGTCGGCTTTTTGCAAATTCGGCCTTGCATAAAACATAATTTCTGCTTTATACCGTGCTTACCATTAGCTGTTGAATTTGAGTTCTATCAGCCGGGCCAACATGCGATACATGACTGAAGTCAGATGGACCGGAAATTAACCGGGACCTTCTCTCCACCGGTCTGTAATACATAATCAACGATGAAGCAGATAAAGATAACGTAAAAGTGGTGCACGAATGTGCCAAAGCTAGCAAAAGCTGTAGAAGTATTAGTAACAAGAATAAAATGCACTAGCACTCACAAACGACTGAGGTTCTGTCTGCCGGCGAACTCCCTGGACTTCACCGACCATCGGCGATGTTTGCGCTGAACACCGGCGCGGCTGGCCGATGTGGAGCGACGCCGATCGGGTGCCGGTTGATAAACAGGTACTTCACGGGGCATTATTAGATCAGCTGGCGCTTGCAGTTCGCGCAGGTAGACAATCAAGGGCGAATCACTGGGACAGACCAGGTTCAGGCTGCCATCGCGGGATAACGGTCGAGCCTGGAAAGAGCCATCACTAGTTAGCAAAAAAATCCACGATGTCAGCATATTAGTTAATTCGCACTTACGCGTTTCATGTTCAGTGTCTGCACCCAGTCCCCGCTGTTCACATCGTACACGGCGATGTGGTTCTCGGTGTACACAATGAGGTATGGACGGAAGAAGGCTACAAAACCTAAGGTAAAAAAAATGAAAAAGCTGTAAACATACTCAACGTTACCAATATGCAGCGGTGGGGCGGTGAACATAATTTCTTTTGTTCTGCAGTGCCTTCCACGTTCATCGAGGTAAAGACCGAGGCCTACAGCAAAACAAAACAAATATTAAAGCGATTAAAATTTTAGAATCAGAAACGCAAGTACAATTCAATAAAAATTTTAAGGTATTTTAGTAAAAGCGCCATTGTTTAACGGATATTTACCATCAAAAACGAAGAGGTATTCTTTTTCCGTTATATCAACAGCCATCAGTGCGTTCAAGCTAGACTGTAGAAGAAATCGCGGCACGGAGGATGCGTCGTCCCGGGTTCCATAGAAATCACGTGTCAGCAGATCTGATAACCAAATATCAACTTATCAGAGATCGAATGGAGCATATTTTGGTCTAAACCACTGCAACAAACCCCTATTCGCTTACAATTGGCCGTATCATCCTCTAAACTGAACACGCCGAAGGTAGACTGGAAGCCGACAAACAACTTATCCCTCCTGACATCCAAGCACTGCGGACTGTAATCCACCGAGATCTCCCGCAGTTTCCGATGTCGACCTTTATCCCGAGTGATTTCATAAACCAGGATGTGTCGTTTCATGGCCACACACAGGACATAACGATGCGTCCGGGTCAGACGTCCCACACAAAAACAATGGCACCCGCGGGTATCGGTTAATTTAACCCAGTCGACGCCATAACCATCCAGAGCGCCGGTAGGTATCAGGCGGATGCAATGTTGTTTGCCTGACGCGATGATCACCAATTGTTCTTCGTCGACATACTCCACTTGAGTGATCTTTCGAGTATCCCCAATTTTTAGCACTTCTGTTAACAAAAGATTTGTTTGAAATTCAGATTATGCAAACTCAGAAATGTCTACCAAGTACCAACCTTCTTTTTCCACGTCAATACAAAATAATCCCTCTTCGCCTCCAGCCACCAATCGACTTCGATCTGAGAAAAAAAGCACTTGTACCAACAACTCAAGTTATCATCGCGAAAAAATCTGATATACCAAGTATCGCGGCGGATGTGAAGGTTTTCACGATGTTCAAACTTTCATCCACAATTTCTTTCGGCCGGAAGATCTAAACAAACGAGGAAAAATTTGAAGGACACAAGTTCAAAGTTTCCGTAATTTTCCTTACTGTTTTAGTAGGGATGATGTTTTTGCGCAGTATCCGGTGTAATTCGGTCAACGCGATGATCCACTTGTCTTTATCGCCTTTATTGTCAGCCAGAAACAACATCTGATTGCTAAATCCAGGAGGATTCACCAACGTTGTGGTGACCTTCATAAGAACGGAAAACGGTTATTCAGCGACAATATTATTTATCACTGTTGAATATTTAAAACAGCGCATGTTCCCTTTTTACTCGCAAAGGCAATCAATTCACATTCGTACAAACCTTAAAAATATTGTTGACATCCTTCTTGTTAGCATGAATAACATCTTCATCCGAAACGCCGGACACAGTGAAGTCTTCATCTCTATACAAGACAAACTATCAAACCGAACTCAAAAGAAATTATCAGATATCCATTTCCCCACCTCATATCCAACACTTGCCATACAACAATATTTGGTTGGTCCTTCTTTTCCGGGATGACATCGTACAAAAACAGCTTAAAATCACAGATGACGACGAACTGCTTAACCCAGCCTTTTTTTACTCCACCGGCTTTCGGAACCTTAAGGATTACGAAGCAAATGAACAATCAGAAAGATGGACTAACATTTCGTTGTTGTTATGATACCCGTAAGTAGCCTTCGTAAGCCGTTCCTACACCGCGTTTAGGGTCGATTCCCAGTGGTCGTTTCGCTATAAAAAACGCAGATGTCCCAAACTGCCCAATCCTCTAACAAATTTTTTCATACCCTGATTTGGATGAGGCGGACACTGACCAGGAACCTGATTGAGGCAGTGCGTATGGCAAGATATACCACAAACTGCAAACGAGAAAAGTAATATTACGGTACATAAACGAATAAAACTCGCTTACGACAATTTCCTATTTGTTTCCTCTTAACAAGGAATCTAATCAATCTATTAAATTACTACGTAGTTGAACGCTTTTCTACATTTCCATTAGATTTCTATGTTCATCTGTCAGGCTCAGCTCAAAAGAATAAAATGCATTTACCTCCGCATGAGTATCCTTGACGCATAAGTCCAACCAGTAAGGATGAGCAAGCAATGCATTTGGTCGGTTGACTGAACGTTTCAACGGAGAATTTATGGACTTGAGAAGGCATGGAGAGTGGCGGAACATAAACCGGCACGTCATTATCGTTCGTATAGCTCGATAATGGACGAGTAGGCTCGGTTTCACATGAGGATTCGGTTTTCTGAGCATTAGCCGCAGCATCTTTTAGGAATCTATCCAGAATTGATGGCTGGCTTTCCGACAAATTTCCTGGAACAAAAAGCATCAAAACAAATTTCGGCATTTTTCAAACTGAAAAACTAACATACCGGCAACCTCGAAGTGATGGCGCATTTCGGAAATTTGAGCATCTTTATCCTGAATTTCGTGTCTGAGGTCCGATATTAATTGCTCTGAGTCCGTGAGTTTCCTGTGCACAAATCAAAACCCAATAAGTAGGCAAATTCCAATCATGCAGAATAACCTTCTTGCTAAATCTTACCGGTTAACGGAAGCTATCTCCGTCCTGACTTTGAGTAATTCCTGATGAATCTGTTCTTTGGCTTGGATTTCGCTTTGTAAATTGGACTGCAGACTGAGCAATTCAGATTTATTGAGCTTCTGCGATTTACGATTGCGCCAGGTGGAATCGGCCATCGGGATACCCAATCCGGCCGCCTTGACTGTATCCACTTCGTCGGACAGTTTGCTCATTAAAGCCTGGAGATAGCGGCGAGCATTCTTTTCGTCCGATAGCCTAAACAGCAAAAAATGCTGAAAACCACTCGCAACTTTTACGTAATGACAAACGTACAATACTTACATCTGATTTAATTCTGTCACACTCTGTAGTAGCTTCTTGGTGGTGTCGGCTTTGTTTTCTTTGATTGCAGATACTTCGTCTTGCAAACTCTGACAATCTTGTTCGAGCTAAAATTGATAAACAAAATTGCTAAAAATTTATTAAAACTGATTTAATTGCTTGTATAATAAAGCAACAGAAACTTAAATCCGAAAGCTTAAGACGCTCATTTTGAAATACCGGTGCAGAATCAAAGACCATGTACTTAATTACAAGAAATGTAATTACCCTTTCAATTTCTCGTTTTAAGCGGTGGTTGTCACCATCCAGTGCTTCGGCTTCGATGTCATAATCCCGCTTCATCAGTCTCGCACGTTCTTCAAACTGAATTTTCATGGCAGTCTTCACATGCTCCCCGTGCTCTTCCAGCTTCCGAATCTGCAAAACAAAATCATAGACTAAAAAGTCTAAAATACCAGGTAAGCAATATTTGTTGCGTCCGTTGTGATAATATGCACTCGTATAAATACACACCAAACAATTACAAAAATAGACACATCTGCTATTATTGTGTAATGGCCTTAATTTTCAGATTTTGTCCCAGTATATATATAAATTAATTTTTTATCTGTTAGTTTGACGCCAATTTCTGAAGGAGAATTCTATAATACAAGCGGATGTTTGTCGTCTCTCACGGCATAACAAAACACGGCGCCGTGTCAGCACCGTTGTACAAAATAAAATTTCTGCCCTGGAATGCAAAATAATGAACTCAGCACAGCATCTGCGCAATCTTTATGACTATCGACCCAATATGGACACTACGGTTTTGTCTCTGCGGTTAGTATGAGCAAGATCTGCCAAAACAATACTGCCAGCACAGTGAACGAAAAATTAGCACAAACTCTTCCGACTCTCAAATATATGGATTGTTTCGGCACGCACATAACTCAAAAGCAATCAAGCATTTAATTCATCCGCCACACCTACACACATACAAAACTCCACTAAATGCCGTCTAATAATGCTCATATTAGCCATTTAAATTCTTTATGTGATATCTAAGCTGTCAATTATTTCTAGCCTGACTAGGTCATCAGTTATACTTACAGCACATAAGCACATACGGAGGGAAAAAAGTCAGCAGCGATCGTGTCGCGCGCATATTAGTGATATTACCTCTTGCTGCAGTGCATTCCGCTGCTGTTCAACATTCGTCAGCTGCTCTCTCAGCCGCACATTCTCATCATCCACGTCAACTGGCCGTCGGGATGCATTGGCATCACTGTCAGATTGGCGTTGTAGTGCGGCCAGCTCATTTTTTAGTCTGTAAATCATATCGAATAAACCGATAAAAACATACACAAACACACATCACCGGCAACATGGCCAAGCTGCCGCGTATGACATCTTTCTTTAATACCAGCCGCGCCACATCCGTCCGTGCCATATGCGGCACCGGTCAGAATTGGTAATTTAGAAAAGCGCGAAAAAATGTCGCCTGCAATTATTACCGTGTAATCTCATCGTTTAGCCGGCGAGCCTCATTACCATCCACTTCACAACTGTTGGTGTGACCATTTACCCGCGGGCCCGACTGTGAATCCTGTCTGTCCACATTGGTGCGCTGGGCACTAATATCCACAGACAAAGCCTCATTGCGCATTTCCAGCTGAAAACAAACATGTCGAATGAATATAACAGGCTGTTACCCAATAACACAACAAATAATAATAACTACTATTATGTAGAATAAAACTTGTTAGTGTTGACTAAAAATTATTTCTAGGCTTTCTTGATCCAGTTTACCGACAAATAAAGTTATCCATGTAACAACAAAACCTTCATTGTCAACGAAAACGTAATTGCTGTTGTTAGCGTGTTATATTGTACAAAAATATTAAACATACGTCTTTTCGCAAAGCATCCGCCCGCTTAATATCCTGGCGTAAAGTTTCGACTTTGGCATTGCTTTTCTCCAGTTCATCGTCTTTCTCTCGGAGCTGTCGTATCAATTTTTGCTTAGCGCTGCGCAATTCCTCCAGTCTGAAAAAGAAAAGGTAATCACGGTCTGATTAAAATTCATTAACTACAAAAACCTACCGTTCATTTAACTCGGCAATTTCAGTAGACGAAGATTTCAGTTTATGCGTCGCATCCTTCAGTTCTTTGTTCTGAGACGCTAACTTATCTTCCAGTTCACCCAACTCCTGAAAACAGTGCAGCAAACTGGATACTATAACGCCAAATTTTAATCCCAGTTCATGAAGTGATTCAAAAACACAGATTTATGTAAATCAATGCGTAAAAAGATGCAATACAAAAAATACTGCGCAGTTATCGCCCTAGCGAATAACTAAGGCAAAAAACAAAATAAGGGTTGTCGCAAGAATGTTGAGCTGAACATTCCTAAATACATACCCGTCCTAGTTTATCCCGAACAGTTTTGAAGGCTTTCTGATCGCCTTCCGCCAATTCCAGCGACTGCTGCAGTTTTTCGTTATTGGCCACCATTCTCTCCAAGTGCCCATCCGTTTCCGTTTTGGCCTTCAACAGATCGTTCACTTGTGCTTCCAACACTGTCAATCAAAAAACAAAATCCACTCCCAACACTGACAAGACTGATAGCCATCGCTCTCTCTCTCATATTCTCTTACAGTATATCCTTTCATCCTTGACTCCGACCTCTTTTCGCAACTGGACTGCTTCATTATCGTCAGTTTGACGGTCGACGGGTTGTGAAGGGAGCTTGCCATGCACGACTTGCTGTAATGCTTGACTGGTTTCTGTTACGGGGATGAAAACCCAATTAAGTGACTTCTACACGTGTCGGCTATTCTCAAACAAAACAAACAACACTGTCCACATTTTACACACCAACAACTTTACGGGACAATTCCCGCTTATCGGCTTCCAGTCGTGCTATCCGCCTTTCATAAGCCTCAGCGCTCAGGCCTTGAACGGGTGATTCTTCGGTCACTATTTCGGCACCGGCCCCGAGATTTCCCGTATCAGAAAGACGGCTGTGTACAAAGTCAAATTTAAATTTCAAATCTTTTATCCATATATTTTCGAAAAATAACAGCAGGAATATGGGACCGATTTTAATCGACCGGCGCGATGATTTAATTAAAACTTTTTAAAAATAATTCCAGCAAAACATTTTAAAATAATCTATATGCCAGACAGTAGCACTGCTCACCTTCCACCGGTAAACGTAAAGCCAGCGAACGGCAAATGGAGACCAGAGAATACTGCATTAGCATTGGGCGGTTTAGCGGGCTGTAATACACATCGACCGTAAATTCGTTTCAACTGCATTATGCTCAATGACACTAATAGTCCACTTACAGCGTGTTTTACATCATTCTCCTCAATATCAAAATTCGATGTGTCTGTTGGACTAGAAACTTCCGGAATAAAAGGCGGAGTGCCTAAGAAAAGCCATCGGCGTGCATCGAATTAGTACGATTCAAATGCCCATGAAACTTACTTTCTCGCAAGGTTTTCCATTCGATGCCTTTAAAGAAAGGATGATCACAGAAATCCTGTAGACCGTTCTTTCCCAAACGGTGTTCGGCGTTACAAATCAATCGTTTCATCAGATCTTTGGCAGGATCACTAATTTCAACATCCTCAGGAAATTTCAAATGAACCTAAAAAACACGGCTTTTCGGTTGCTTCAACTACAAAAAGTTAAAACTGAACCAGACTAAAGAAACCATTAACACAAACACATCGTAAAAAGCACAAAGTGAACTTAAAAAATCTTACCGTGTGGTTCATAATTCGAGCGTAAGTTTCCAACAGAGATTCCGCATAAAAGGGAGTAACGCCAAACAGCATCTCGTACATGCAAATTCCTAAACTCCACCAATCACACTCTGGACCGTATCTTCCACGACCGTCCTCCATTGCCTGTGAGAATAAAAATTTTTTTACGTGAGATCTTAGTGTAAGCAAACATTTATTCGCATTACTAATTATCGAGTATATTTTACTGTATTCAAAATCAATTATTTACGTATCTGGCATCGACAGACATTTGGAGCAAAAAGACTGACCTGAAGGATTTCCGGGGAGATGTAATCAGGCGTACCAACTGTAGTTTTACACTGTACCTGCAGCAAGCACAATAACCTTATGTTCACCAACCAACACGGGGAAATCGTTAAAAAATTTACAGTTCCATCTGAGAGCATCTTAAGGCACGATCCAAAATCCGCCAGTCGGATATGTCCATTGGCATCTAAGACAATATTATCCGGCTTGATATCTCGATGTACATAACGCAGATAGTGCACCGACTCGATGGCCAGAATCATTTCTGCCACATAAAACCTCGCCTGTAATAGAAACACCCACGCGCTCAAACATACGACACTAATAATAATCTATATCTATCAAAGTAAAATTGATCAATAATCATTGTAATTTTCTAAACTATGCTCTTTCTTCTAATGATTAATCTGTGCTTAGTTTAGTGTAGCACATCTAGCCGCGGGACAGATCACTGCCGACGAACAAACTTACAGCTTAAACCGTTAACAAAAGCACACAGTACCATGTCTTCCGGCAATCGATCGTTGAATTTCATAAGTAATGTCAGCAGATCCCCTCCACAATAATAATCCATCACCAGATACTGCCCAACAAAAAGGACAATAGAGGAACAATCAGGTCAGTGAAGTACACGGATAATGACAGACGGAAAACGGGCAATGTCCTCCCAGATCATTTGCCCACTTACCAGATATTCGTCATCCTGGAACGCATAATGCAGATTGGTAATCCACTTCCCGTCCCCATTGACCAGCACATCCCGTTCCTCCTTGAAACAGGCCGTCTAAGGAGCACAGAGAAAGGGCATGACACACTCACATACACAGTGGGTGTTGCATTCGTTGTTAAGTGGGAAAATAGGCCAAACAAATCTCACAAACGGAACTGGCTAATTTCCCTCCTTTTTAACCAGCCACCTCACCTCGGCGCGTTTCAGCATTTCCCACTTGTGAAGAATCTTCATGGCGTAGATCCTATCAGTTGATTTCATTCGCACCACGGCCACCTATGTTGAAATGTTGATAGATTCACGCAGAAATGATCCTACTCCAGATTATGCAGATTAAATTTTATACTCACATCCCCAAACGCACCACGTCCAATGATCTTCAGGAATTCAAAGTCGTCTCTAACCAGACGTAATTGTCTAACTTTCGCCACCACGGGTTTGGCTGTAAAAATACAAAGCTTCCAGTTCGATAAAAGCCAAATAAGGATTTATGTAACATGCTCTAATAGTGGGAAAAAAAACCTGACTCTTTTTGACATTTACTTGGTGATTGCCAGCAGGTCTAGGCATCTACGGACTAGTATACACTCGTATGTACTCATACATTTGTTCATTTTGTTATCAGTACAGCTTATAAACGACTATGAATTTTATCGATAAAAATAAATTAAGGAGACACCATTTCACAAACTTATTCGGGCATCTATATTCCTGGTTTTACTCTGCAGATATTATACCCCCATTTTCAGTACGCGGCGTAATCAGTCAATCATTAACGCAGCAAAATCACAAATTAAAAGCAAATATATTAATAAGCATGTCAGATTATCATGTTAGCAATTCTTTTATTCGCTTACTGTCATACTACACAAAACAGTGCAATGCTGAAATGAATTTGTAGAACCAATATGCTAGTGTATTCCGATTAACCTGTGCGATAACGTCGAAACTTGTATTGCCAGTAATCATTAAAACAAGAATTCCACATTACGCAGCCGACCAGTTGTATCGGAATCGGAAAAAGCAGGTATAATTTATGATAGACACAGAATTCATTAATCAAACAGGTGTGGAAAAAATTGCCTTGGGTGTACAGCTAGCTAAATCATGTCAGCTTACGTTTAGCAAAATGGAAAACTCATAACTATATCAGTAAGCATCTATATCTCCGTAAGAACCATACTTCAACTTTTGTGACAGCCAAAGGAATAATACCGGTCGAAAAATAATTTCGCACTGTATGAAATTGACTGGCTCAATTAAATTAAACTTTGTTGGGCAAATTATTTCAAATTCTATTAAATAAAGTGAGAATACGTTCCACGTGTTTATCGACATGTTTTTTTCGGATCTGCCATAAGAAAGATCCCGATGCTCACTGGAAGCTTGCACGCGATGCATGCGCACTATCTATCCCCTATGGATGAATGGATCACGATCAATATCGATAGTCATCATACGTAAACTATAATTCAAATGGAAAACTAAACTAACCCCTTTTCATCATACATCGATTATCTTTAAAAAGATACTACTCATATGGTGCATTTAAAAACAAACCGCAGCTTCGCTTATTTTACAGCAGAAGCTTGTTTAGACTGATTGTGAGACCATTTTCTTTTCGCCAACTGTGCGATTTCTAACAATCAGTGAAGCCGAAGGGCCAAACAAAACGCTTTTAAGTGAACACTGCGAATCCAGAGCATTTAACAGGCACTTTACGGAATCTGCATCCCTGTGACACTTTTTGACATAATTTATGGTCGACGTTCACTGCGAATCACGTTAACGCAAACGCCCACACAACCCATCCTAATCATGCCGCCACACCGCCTAAAAGGAAGTGCATTCACGATACATTTTGCTATATATAGCAATTACGCTACATAATGAGCAAATCAATTCTCTTTCATTCACATCCATACAGAACAGAATAACAAATAAAACTGCTGAAAAACACCACTCAAATACAAGCCAAACAAACAGACAAACCCTCAATGAGCTTCTCACACAAAGAACGCACATGCCGAAATTCGAGAGGGAATCGGTCATTGCGCAATAATTCAAAAGTACATAACAGCGTAAAGCGGTATGAAAGGCGAGTATTGATAGGGGCTCCCGCGCCAGGCGCAATGTTATGTGACATTTATTCCTATGATTAATAAAAAGCTATATTTAACCTCGCAAACTCCGCTATCTTATCCGCGCCGTTCTGGCGATAACCACCTGGGCCACCATTTTTTATGACCGACATAAAAAATTTTATAACACTCTACATGCTCTCTCTACCGTCCTGGTATGTTCCGGCGGAAGACGTTTGCTAAGCCGAACTCTTGACAGCCTGTGTAAATCAAGCTAGACTTGCTGACAGTGAAGGATAGCCGAGTCTCAACATTGCCGGGAGAAACCTAAAGAGACGCTTCCCGTCTGTATACTGCCGCTGAAATATCTGCCTGGTTAATATTCGGCATTTGCATTCAGCCATATTCTATATTTAACATAATATCCAGCGATATTTCCTCTCTCCATCCCAGCTAAGGCAAACAGTTATTCTCTCCCAGCCACCAATCACCAATGTAATTTATGCGGTTTTGGCAGTCTTCAATGTCGGGGTCAGTCATCTTTTGCTCACCAAGTTGTTAGCTAATGCAGCTGACCGGCGGCCATGAGTTTTAATAAATAGTCTCACAAAGCTGATGGATGGATCCGCTCTTTTACTACCATAATCGCCACTGCGGCAGCACGAACAGCACGGGCGAAGCAAAGTATAAAAGTTATGTAAATGATCCTGATATGTTTAGCCAGAGGCTTATTACTCTTAAGCTTCTTGAAATTCCACCAGAAAAAACAACAATAAATCCATTACCAAATTAACATGTGAACATTTTACAGCCCATTACTCCAAACGCTGCCCCCAAGAAAAGCTCACCGCTAATGTTCGCAAAAATTTATGCTGTAAAATGTAGGTCACGTGATGGAAATCTGGAAAATGGCTAATACTTCGTATCGCTCGTGAGCGCTGGAAAATGCTGATGAAAAATGAGTGTGTCCGCAATATCCATCAGCAGTAGCGAATGAAAGAGACCATCGCACAAACATATGAAAGACGGTCAAAAATAATTGCGGATTCTCTCACCCGTGACCATAATTTTGTATCTTCCCAGCTAACGTGTTGACAAGTAACGAAAAATGCCAATAGCGCAACACAAATGCAAGCTAACCGCGTACAGATTCTCTTACCATGCTCAATAAATTCGGTAAACGTTCGCTCTTTCCGCAAGGTTGATCGTGTGCACTCATCGTAGAGAACAATGAGAACATCCAGCAGTGTCTCCGTGCTGACCGCCGCATCCGGATAGGTCTGCGGTCCTTTGAGGAACATCTGTTCCAGCTGTTTCAGTCGCACTTCGGCCGACATGATGTTCTCCTTTTCTGCCTCTTTCCCCCGTTTATAGAGCCCCCCAATTCACTTTCAATCAGGAATGCACTATCCCGTGGTTAAAATCCGTCACATTCCTTATTAGAAAAATTGGCATGATGGATGATAAAAATAAACCGCATCGCCAACTCGACAGCAGTTCCGCTCGCGTGTCCGCTGTGTATGCAGTCACTGCCGTGGTGAGAAATATCGCGCGCTAATCAAATGCAACGGATTCCGTTTATGGATCACGTAGGGGAAAATGGCGCACAATAAAATCCCATAAACTAACCGATAAATAAGATAAAAATACGCATTCTGGTAGAATGGGGCACTAAACGATTGGCTTCGGAAAACAGGGCAATTGCCTGACCATGAAACTACAAAATAGCAATATTTCAGGCCTTGAACTCACAAACAAAATTACAATAGAATTATTACCGACCTACCGCTATTAACAGCAAAGCATTATTGTGATTATCCCATACAACACGAGTACAATGTTACTGAACACAAGAAAAAATTTTAAAATAAAATTTGCAAAACTTCAAGGTGGCAACGTGATTATGGAATTAACTAGGGTACAAAATAAGAACCACTACTCCTACCGGGAAAAAATACGCATACGTAGAGGAATTTCAATGCATGTAACCAGCTGCGCAACTGTGCAGTGTATACTCTTCCAACCCAACACGACTGTAAAAGTCACTGAATAATAATATCTCTTAAACCTGTTTGACTACTTTGACGGCATGAACGATTTGACTGTGCACAGATGCCTTTGAAATGCATCGCGTTCTCATACTCGGAGTCTGCATAAAAAAATAAACGAACAAACAGAAATTTTGACCAATTCTGGCCTATTATTAAGCTGCACGCATTAAGCTCTAATGCTTCATAAAAAACTTTTGCCCTACAAACTCGCGCTTCAACCAAGCATCTTCCATAAACCGCACAATTAATCACAGTAAAAAGCTTGCAAAACACTACTTAACTTCTTCGTGCACTACTGCTGTAAAGTAAAACGGCTTTCTTCGAAATTCAATTTCTGATTACCAAAACCGCAAAACTGTTCGCTAGCTTGGTGGCTGGCTATTTTATTTTTGGATTGATCGGTAGCGCTTCCGCCGTTTCGGTAGCGACGTCGTGGTATAACTTTCTATTGACATTAATTATTGACGTCGAGTACGAGTCAGTGTACACAATCGAGCACTGTGGTAAAACACCAAATCAAGTAGCACAGTGTGGAAATTTTACAAAATTAGATCAATGCTCCCAATTCAAATGCACAAATGCTGTTGGCTGGGACAACACGAGGGGAAATGTGATAGCTCATATCCAGTATCAAACCACTGCTAAATTTGGAATAACTCCCAAATTAATATCCAGCAACAAATTATAATTTCCGTTTTAAACGCTACTACCTCCTTTTACGACTAATAGGAAACTGTAATTATTGCGTTCAATTTCGAGATAACCAACCGGCATTTTTACGAAAAAGACAGATAGCCAAAATAAAATTAACCGAAAGAAACTTTCAGGAATAAAAAATTCCGTAAAATATAACCTAAAAAACAGACATTCCTTATTGGCTGTCCTTGAAGCAAAGTTTTGTGGCTTCCTTTAAAGATCAACATAAGTGGTACTTTAACTGGTAAGATGTCGGACTACTGAAAAGAACCAAAGCGACTCTTGAAAAGAAGCTCGACATTTATTTTATCGACATTTTAAAGTTAGCTCAACAGTCACAGTTAAAGAAACCTCACCGCGGTAAATCAATCAATAAAGGCCATAAAAAATGCGGATCAGACAGCATCTAATTCATATCCATACAAAAACAGCAATATCTTATACAGTTATACTTTACCTATTCTCTTGTATCCTCCTAGATCGACTGACGTAAACGCTACAACTTTCACTAAAAACGTAATTCAAAATCATTATCACTATCATTACATATGCGCAGCTGCTTACAGCAGACCCACAGCAAAACAATATTTAAAAAGTAGATAAAAACTTATTTGTGTACTGTACACAGTGTACAGTACTCCTGTGTACAGTACTCTCAATTCAGACATTGTCACTGTAATAAGTCAGAGTGATCAGACTGACTCAGACATCTCACTCGAATAAAGCCTCTGCATCCAAGAAATTCAGTCCGCGCATTCCCGAATCACACCGTAGAATAAATAATTATCACGGTCCAACATCCAGCAAAAGCACTCCCGGGTTTCACGCCGTTCGTCACGGACAAAATGATTGAAACAATGAAACTAAAAACTTCCTAGTTTTGGACGTGCAGGGGAAATCTGTCCCGATACGGATTCCAGCCACACTGATCTTAACCATAGATTTCTGAAAACTTCACAAACTTGAGACCGTATCTCTTTACAGAACAGAAAGCTGATTCGTAAAATGATCATGAGATGCTCCAACTTTTAACGAATGTTTTTATTGATGTGGCGAAAACGACGACACACTCAAATCGAGTTTACGGTTGTCGTTCACACAAACAAATGAATGACTACGCAAGGCAAGTTCCGCTGCCAAACCGATTGCTACTGTCAAGTGTCAAGTGAGTAATGCGCATAGGCAGTTCGCGGGTAGCTAGCCATCCCTGCCAGACCGAATGCCAATTTTTCGTCTTTCGTAGGCCCGAGAACTCGTGAAATTTTGCGTAACTTTGTGTATTAGATGGTTTGTCAAATTGCACAAAATGTCTTTTGTCCCAAATAGAAACAGTTTCAGAATTTAGTCAAGCGAGCGAGCGAAGCGAGCGAAGCGTTTTTAATTTAAAATGTGTGACGTGACGAACCGGAGAGCCAAATTCCCGGGGTCCAGGGGCGAAGCCCCTGGCCGGGGTTTGGGGCGGAGCCCCAATAAGCAGGGGGTGCGGGGGCGCAGCCCCCCGCTGAAACAATTGAGAAGGTAGTTTAAAATTCAAAACCTAACCCGGTCATTATTGACGAACCCGCCGTAGTAATGTACGGGGGGGTCCGAAAATTTGGACCCAGGGCGGATTTTGTTCGCGACCCCCGGGTGGAGCGTTTTTGGGGAACCGTGACGTAAATTATAATCCGGTCATTATTGACGCACCCGCCGTAGTAGTGTACGGGGGGTCCGAAAATTTGGACCCGGGGCGGATTTTTTTCGCGACCCCCGGCTGGAGCGTTTTTGGGGAACCGTGACGTAAATTATAACCCGGTCATTATTGACGAACCCGCCGTAGTAGTGTACGGGGGGTCCGAAAATTTGGACCCGGGGCGGATATTTTTCGCGACCTTTGGGTGAAGCGTTTTTGGGGAACCGTGACGTAAATTAGAACCCGGTCATTATTGACGAACCCGCCGTAGTAATGTACGGGGGGTCCGAAAATTTGGACCCGGGGCGGATTTTTTTCGCGACCCCCGGGTGGAGCTTTTTTGGGGAATCGTGACGTAAATTATATCCCGGTCATTTTTGACGAACCCGCCGTAAGAATGTCTGAGGGGTCCGGAAATTTGGACCCGGGGCGGATTTTTTTAACGACCCCCGGGTGGAGCATTTTTGGGGAACCGTGACGTAAATTATAACCCGGTCATTATTGACGCACCCGCCGTAGTAGTGTACGGGGGGTCCGAAAATTTGGACCCGGGGCGCATATTTTTCGCGACCTTTGGGTGGAGCGTTTTTGGGGAACCGTGACGTAAATTAGAACCCGGTCATTATTGACGAACCCGCCGTAGTAATGTACGGGGGGTCCGAAAATTTGGACCCGGGGCGGATTTTTTTCGCGACCCCCGGGTGGAGCTTTTTTGGGGAATCGTGACGTAAATTATAACCCGGTCATTATTGACGCACCCGCCGTAGTAGTGTACGGGGGGTCCGAAAATTTGGACCCGGGGCGGATTTTTTTCGCGACCCCCGGCTGGAGCGTTTTTGGGGAACCGTGACGTAAATTATAACCCGGTCATTATTGACGAACCCGCCGTAGTAGTGTACGGGGGGTCCGAAAATTTGGACCCGGGGCGGATATTTTTCGCGACCTTTGGGTGGAGCGTTTTTGGGGAACCGTGACGTAAATTATAACCCGGTCATTATTGACGAACCCGCCGTAGTAATGTAGGGGGGGTCCGGAAATTTAAACCCGGGGCGGATTTTTTTAACGACCCCCGGGTGGAGCATTTTTGGGGAACCGTGACGTAAATTATAACCCGGTCATTATTGACGAACCCGCCGTAGTAATGTACGGGGGGTCCGAAAATTTGGACCCGGGGCGGATTTTTTCAGCGATTTCTGTGTGAAGTACTGGGGAACGGTAGCGTAAAATATAACCTGGTCATTATTGACGAACTCGCAGTGATATACGGGTTGTCGTAAAATCTGGACCCGGGAAGGTTTTTTAGCTACCTTTGGTTGGTGCCGTTTTTAGGGAATTGACGTTTGGGGAAATGCTTATACATTTTTCAACCTTACATACTTAAGCATTTTTATGAAGAGTCCGCTGTACAAGTGTAAAAGTAGGTCGTTTTATGGACCCGGTCCGAAAATTTTGCCCGGTGTAGGTGGTGGAGTGTCTTATGTTTACGGGTCCTGTAACAGGTAACTTTTACCGTGAAGAGCTCTCGCAAAGATTTCTAATTACTATCAGTAAAATTACCGTATTCGCAGTACGTTACCTTAGACGAGGATTACTGTTACCATAACAGATTACTTTTTATGCAACAGGTGATCATTACCGAATTTTTATAATAATTGATCCTTAGGGTAACGGGTTACCGTTACCGCAACCTGTTTTGTAATGGATTACTATGACGGGATACTGTCATTGTAACCGTTACCGTAATGGATTACCGTGCATGTTATTGTCACCGTTTTGGGTTTCCGCAACCGTTACGCTTTTACTTTATTAATTAACCGCTTTTATAAATGAGCTGAGGGCGCCGCCGAGCTGCAACGCGAACAATCATTTAATTGTTGCTTAAATAAACTTAATGTAAAAATCCTGAAAAAAGCTAACGCCGTTATTCATCTAAGATGAACTAAAGAAATTCGTGCTCACGAGGCTTGCAGGTTACAAATTTATTTGAAGGGGTACGCTTAGGAAGCGCACATTCGAGAAGTTGTAAAATAATAAACAAAATCAAAAGGATTCTAAGGCTTCTGAGCAATTTTTGGAAGTAGTTTTGAAACGTTGTCATAGCGAAACATCTATTCAAGAAACCCAGCGAAGTCAGGAGTCATTACTACCATTACTAAGGTTAACACTGTTACCTGCATTGCCGCTGTTGTTATTCGTATTCTGATGATTCATTGTTGCGCGTTACCGCTACCGGCGTTACCATTCAAACCAAGCGTTATCAGTAATAAGTGTTACGTTTGCCTAACTGTAACAAGGTACCGTAACTGTGTCTGTTTTTGATAGTGTATCATGTCTCTTTACTGTTGAAACTAAAGGCGTAGCCGAAGGCGACATCAAACGTGGCGCTGTGCGTAAGCATCAGTCTCAAAACAAGCGGAGCTGCAAGTAAACAAAAGGGTTCTATTGTTCTGTTAATCTGAACGTATGTGACTTTATTGGTCAAATCAAACTTAAGGCAAAATAAAGAAAGAAACAAAAATTACAACAAGAAAATTTCTTTTAGCCAGGCCTTCCATCGTGCCCAGTGCCCAGCACAGACGCCGCATTATCCCGTTGAACATCTATCGACAAACGCTGATGTACAAACTCATGCGAGCGTGCTTCGCCGGTTTGCTGCTGAAATCGTTTCCCCAATTCTTTGGCAATTACGATTGCTGACGGCCCCACGGGCCCAGGGTTTCAAAGGCGATTGAAGCGAACAGGTAGCGGCCAACCAGGTACAAATTAAATCTGGATTTTTTATCCTCTGCTTGCACGGCGGCCGCTCCCGCTTTGATCGAGGTGGCTTTGACATGTGACGGTGCAACCGTGTCTACACATGTCACCTCCCATGCTAGGCACAATCCACGTTTCCAGGCAAGTGCCGTGCAGCCGTCCGGACGGCGCTCCGTGGTGTGAGAAGTACCACGAAGCTCCAGTTTTGCAGGCACGCCGGCAGATACACATGCTCGACAAATGATGCTATTTAATCCGCCGTGGCGCGGGTGTCTTCCGGCGGAGAAGACACATGACAGCCCATGATGCCCGTAACCATCCACGCGTTTGAGACTTGACGCAATCATGAGGTTCGCAAATCGTGGCGCCAATGCAAAGACCAACACTGATCATGAGTTCGTCGTCTACCGGCAGGTTGCCGATGTGGGCGGAAGGTTGGGCGTTTAACCAGATGCCGGCTTCTGGCCAAGACTGGGTAAGCAGGCGTGCTGTATTGACTTCATCGCCCTCGAACACCTGCAACAGAGTATAAAGGGAAACGTTACATCAAGGCATGTCCCACGGCTTTTGAGACTTCCGGAAAGCGGGTTCCGGAATTTCAGCCTGACGGGCTTTCAGTTTCCAGGACTCCACTGCGCCGGCGACGTCGGTAATACCGTGGGTAGGGGGCAGCGCGGATAGCAAACCGGAAACAGAATGAATCGAAGTCAGGAAGGCTGGTAGGGATAATTCTTCTGACCGGCGGATACCAATTCCATCTCTGCTAACTGGGAGTGTTGCTTGACCTCAAGGCGGGAGTCGTTGTGGTTGGTCCGCACGTTCGAGATTCTTCTTGCAGTTTCACTTAAACTTTTTGTTACTGTAACGATACGGTCGCATGAACCGAAGGCGGAGCCAAAGGCGACGCCGAGCTGCGGCGCGAGCAAGCGCAGCGAGCGGAGCAGCAAGTAAAACGAGCGGATTCTGTTGTCCTGCTGTTCTGCAGAGATTCTTCTTACAGTTCAGCTTAAACTTTTTGTTACCGTGATGATACGGAAGTGGAAACCGAAGGCGGAGCTAAAGGCGACGTCGAGCTGCGGCGCGAGCAAGCGCAGCGCAGCGAGCGGAGCAGCAAGTAAAACAAGAGGATTCTTTTGTCCTGCTATTCCGAAGAGATTCTTCTTATAGTTCAGCTTAACCCTTTTGTTACATGATTTTACGGTAGCAAACTACCGTTTCCACCGACACCGAAGGCAAAGCCGATGGCGATGCCGAGCCTGCGGCGCGAGGGAGCGCAGCATAATGAGCGGAGCAGCAAATAAACGAAAGCATTCTATTGTCTTTTTATTCAAAAGAGATGCTTCTTACAGTTCGCTTGAACTTTTCGTTACCGTGATGATACGGAAGTGGAAACCGAAGGCGGAGAAAAAAGCTACGCCGAGCTGCGGCGCGAGGAAGCGCATCGCAGCGAGCGGCAAGTAAAACAAAAGCATTCCATTGTCCTTTTCATTAAAAAAATAGTTTTTACGGACAAAATTTCCGTTGCCATTTTGAATTCGCTAGCGAACTATCGTTTCGTTTCGAGGAAAACCGAAGGCAAAAATGAGCGGCGCCGCAACTGAAGCATCAAGTAGAACGAAAGATTTATTTTTCTATTTCACACTTTTGTTTCAATAAATGCAACAAAATTTAAATAAAATCTGCATGGAAATTTAGATTTCAATTTTGCAAATGAAGACGAATTATTTGATTGCTTGATTGAAGTTTGTTGCCTTGTGCAACAACATCCTATTTCAAACTTCAAAACAGTCTCATTCATAAAGGTTTGTATAAATCTGAATACATAAGTACAAATAAAATAAACCTAGCGATTAAAAGTTTTGATTCTTTTGCGGAGAAAAAGAGACGAGGTCAGCGTTAGAGGTCATTACTTTTAAATACACCGGTGTTCACAGAAATTTAATGACGTGGCCTTGCTCTCACCAGAATTGCGTGTAATAGGTAACTTTCAACACGGTAAGCAGAGTGGTGAAATTCCTCGTTTTTGAAACGACTCTTACCAAAATTCACAACTTTTTAAGACTTTCATAAATTATTGTCGACATATTTTTTAGAAAATTACGCGATTCATGAACTTATTGTAGACCAAAGATTCTGGCAAGCTTAGTCAAATCAACATCCAAGCACAAAAACATTTTTGCACCAGGTGGAGTTGAGCTAGTACGTCAAGACCAAAAACGACACCGGATTGCTAACCATTGTTTTTTGCCTGAAACGGTCACTAGGTTTTCAACACCATGATAAGTAAATAAGAGTTACTCGACCGTTTTGTTCCACAATAAAATCAACCGAATTCAACTGAAAGACATGAAAAAACATGGTACCCTTTACCCTAGAAAGCGATCCAGTTGGGAATCGTTACTGCGTTATTGTAACCTACGTTGCTACTGCCCCCAGACATCGAATAAGCCGTTGAAACGATAAATCGTTTGCGTAATAAATCAAGCCAAACCAAGCTTTACGAAAAACATTGTGGTCTCTAAAACAGAAATCTGCGCCGGCGCTTCTCAGATCCTGTGTGGTTACATCGGCATACGCGGTTTGTGTAAATAAACGTGCCAATTTATTCGCAGCGAAGACAGTCTTTCCGTAAATTTGAAAATACTGGGATTTAAACGGCTTCCAAGCGCCTAACAACTTGAAAGCAATACGGGCATCCTAAAGTAAAGAATTTGGTGCGAAATTGACGGCAATGTGCGGTATGGTTTTTATATTAGTAGTGCCGCGTCACAGTTGCTTGCGTGGTCACATCTGATCGTGTAGCAGTCCATTTGTATCACCCGCGGGGTCGTTATTGTCATTTATATCAGTATTATCATCCATGTCACGGAATGAGATGTCCCGAGGTGGCGGCATGCTCGTATCGCGTTGCGCCGCTTGCGGGAGTATGAAGAGACTACCGCTATCCACCAGTCTGCTAAAACTCATGCCAGTCAATCACGCCGACTTCCACTCAGCATTCAGCTATTTTAAGTAACCGCTTAAGCTGCTTATCGGCCGCAAAATCGGCTCTACAATGTCGAGCGTACCGCAAACAATATTTTGGCCAATACACAGATCAATAATTCCTTAGGCTTGGTTAGCTCAAGCGCCTCAAGACATCGTTTATTTTTTTTCACGCAATTTCCAGCCAACATTAAACCATTTCATCTTACGAAATTCTGAATATAGTTTTTGAAACGCATGCACCAGCACGAAGCTCAAATAATATACTTTTTTTAACGGAATCAAAAATAAAAAACATTCAAAAATAATATATTGCATCGGCATAATTCCGAAAAACGTAATAAAACTAATGATATCATATCGGCATCGTAGCGGTGGCAAAACTGACATTTGAGCAGCTCTGCTGATAAGCCTTCCACAGCATATGAAACAGCTACAAAAAGCGAGTAGACTCTCAACTACTACTGTTGCAGTCTTACCCAACCGCGTCTTTGCAAGAAAAAAGTTTACACGCTCGCTCGCTTGCACTAAGGGCGGTTACGACCTTTATACTAGTTTATAAAATTCACTTAGTTTGCTGCTTAAGCTTTGATGTATACTGGCCGGCGCCCGGCAGTCTGAGCAGGCTGAACCGACTGTCGAACGACTCCAGGTCGAGCCTAGCGAGGCCAGCTGCTAAAGAAAAAACAATTTATTTAACTTTCATGTTGTGTTTTTCCTTGCAGATGTAAAACTAAAAATGAAAAAAAATCTAAATTCGTGATTCTCGCCGGGACTGCAGACTGGCAGTGTGTCATTTTGACGTCACTAACAAACAGGGATTTCACGGTGCGCCAACAGGGGGTCTACGCATTCGCTCTGTTTCTGTTTGTGTGCTGTCTTATGGGAGGTGGTACAATACCGTGGCCAAAGCACTGGCGCTTAATTTAAGAAAACTGTTAATATTTTTATAACACATTTGTCGCCTTCTTTGCAGAGGATGGTTTTCTGTAAATTTTGATGTATCTGCGCAGTTAACAAACAGCACAGTTTGCGAACGCGCGCTGTTTAAAAAGTGCCGGGATGAGCACTTGTTGTTATGGGCCTACGATGACTTCCCGGCGTAGCTTAGGCGTACGGCTCCCAACCGCCACGGGGCGCCATCCGGGCGAGAATCATCAATAAGGAAGATCAGTATATGAAAGTATTTAAATTTATGAAAGATAACTCATGAAATTATAGCAGCTGTAGCCACTGTCCATCTATATACAACGTCCAACGATACCCATATGATTAAATCCCGAAATTTCCCGAATACGTACAGTACTATACAAAATGCGTCACCCCCCCTCCGACTTAATGGCTTCGGCACGGTAATGGATTTCCAGAATACAAAAAATCAAATACGATTATACGAGTACTTAAAGAACGGACGAACATTTTTGCCTTCGTTTCTGTGAATTCTGTCTTCTGCTTCTTTTGTCTGGGTTTATTACAACTTTACCTGCAACGTTATGAGGTAGTATATGTTTTGTGCCTTCTTTTCTGTTTGAAATTCGCCGCGCATGGGGATTGGGAACGATCTGCTTGATATTTGATGATATCAGTTATGGAATCTGCCACTTCGGATGCCAAGTCACTTGAGTGCGTAGCTTATTTTCTCCGACCATTAAGTTTCTTTCGATTTCGAAAATTGGATTTCCTCGCTGCCATATCCTTGCACAATGAATAACGGTGATCGTGACGAGCCTTCCAGCAGCGCAGCAGCTCGCGGAGGAGGGCGCGCGAGCAATATCCCCGTATCCGTGGAATGCCCATCGGAACCGCGGATCGCGGAAATCACTTTCGATGGCCGTGAAATCATGCAGTCGTACGTGTGTGATTGGCAATCCCGCGTTGAAGCTTTGCAGCCTTTGCTCTATGCTGCGGCGTCTTTTGCAGGCCCGTATCGAAAGGCGAAAAACTGTACCGAAATGCCTGCAAATTAGATTTTCGTAAAATTGCCACGAAAGCGGACAGCGGTACGGCAATGGAGATCTCCGTGAACGAAGACACAGCGGAAAAGGAATCGCGACCGCTGCGCAACAATCCCGACGCCAGCACGGTTGTCTGGGGTTTAGACGGAGTGCGGAATAAACTGAGGTGAAGAGCGGAGAAAATTGCATTTATTCGCGTCTAAAGACGCTGAATAGAATAAGCTGAAAGTTAATAAACGAAATAAACAAGAAAATAATATTAATGGAAAAATGGAAATAGTCAAATTTATTGAATTAAAATTAAAAAATTATAAATATCTGCAGAAATAAAATTGGTGTACTGAAGCATTTAAGCGAATTTACAGGACCGCCTATACGGAAATCTCTGTGCTTCACGATGTGCTCTCGTTGGCCAAAGAACGTAAATATCTGCGCTTGGAGCCATCGCTAAACGATCCCGTGGAAGCCCGTCCGCATTTTAGTATGCACTATAAAAAAAAGGTGAAAGTGATACTGTGACAGTGAAGCACGTATTTATAGTTCGTTTTGTTCGATGTTAACTTTTGGTGTGCAAATGTAGACGCTTCAAGGAGTCGCGGCCATCTTTTCCAACGCTGCTGATCGACTGAAGCGTTCAGCTAACGACGCGGCTGTGGTGCAAAAATCCGAAAATGATTATCACGCTGCTATTATTAAGATGCGGGAACACTGGAGACTGAAGAAGCAGGGACAGACAATTACGGGAGATCTCAGCTATCGAACAGGTTGGATTTGCTTTTTTTTTGCAAAATAACAAACTTGCCGTGCAGTTGAAACATTTATATCTGATACCTCATAAGATTTCAATTTTTTGTATTTTTCCTTTTAGTCGGATCGTCGGTGAAAGGGATGGGTCAGTTTGAAGTGCGTAAAAACGAAGAGGACAATGATAAAGCAGTCGATGTCGTCATTTCCGGTGATTTGGGTGGTGAAACGGTCATTCAGGTTGATTTGGTCACCTGTACGTATGTGACATTGTGGCGGGCTGATGGACACCTCGGAAAACTTTTCGGTTGTTTGCTTTAGCGGAATTCGGTAATAATCAACGCAGTCGAGTGGAGGAATTGAAGCAGCAGGACTCGTGGGGAAGAATTCTTACACTGGACACCTACTGGCATCGGAAGTTGATGTCTGCGCAAAACACCTTATTTTGTCGGGAATTGTTTGCCTTGGTATGCCTCAAAACGTCTAGTTAGCTGCATGTGATTTGTTAAGTACATTTTTTGCATTGTAGATGAGCGCAGAAGGTGTTAGCGGACTGGATGACATGATCGAACCCATAGTACTCTCTGATGAAATCCATTATTCGGTTAGTTATCTGGAAACGGTATTCGTTTATGGTGTACGATTTAGAACGCTTTTGTCTTGTGCTTAGAATTTTTTTGGTTTCTCCGTGCGGTTGAAATTGCTCCATGTTGCCGAGGCCGACACAAAATTTCGTAGCATCCCGGTGGTTCGGGATATGCATAAGACCCCTTTATTGACTGAATCCAGAATTCTTGAACATTCGCTTGCCCAGATGCTTCTAAACCGCATGCGCGATTTCGCTAATCCTGATCTACCGGTGCCTGCGTGTGGGCCGGTGGGACTGAAGATATTTAGGAGGAAAATGGCGATTCAGGCCAAAGATCGCCGGGTATGGAAACAAGGACTTGGCAGGTACTGATAACAAACTGTTAAAAATACTTTCGGTGTTTTTTTGGCAGTACCGATTTTTGAAAAAAACCTTTTTATTACTATAATTTTATTGTGTTTTTGCAGCCGCACATTAACAGCAGAATTGGTATCTAGAGCAACGGCATTGATCCTTCACAGACGGTACAGATCTTCGACAAAATTATCTTCCCTTGTACAAGTATAGCATTTTCATAGCCGATCTCAGCTTGTTGTTATGGTATTTTAGTTAATAACTGTAATATTTTTTAGACATCCGTGTTTTTTGGCAGGTGCTTAAAAGCAGCAGAATCCCTTAGCTGTCCGGATATTCAGCTTTCGGTGCATGACTGCTGCTTTACAACATCGTGGAGAAACATTACGATCAAGATCTCATTAACGACGCCGGGTTTTGATATGTACAACAGGTGAAGACAACTTTTTTTACTGTAGAGTCGCTACTGATAGGAACAAAATATTACTGTTTGTTGAAGATCAAATTGTTCCTTCAACGTATCCAATGGAAAAGTTACTTTTCTAACGAAAGATTTCGTGACGCCCGTGAATTGCGAGGTTGAATTGGACTGCCGGTTGTTGTACATGGAGGTATTTAGCCCTCATTTGCTGTTGTTTTATTGTTTATTCAAAGTGTTGTTGTATCGGGGGCAAGTTAACACTTCCAGCTTTTTGAATAGGTTGTACGACAACACGCTGTAGTCCTTCAGTATCTTTTGAAGAGCAATCGTTTCGAAGTTGTCCACTATGCTCCAGTGGCTCTTTACTACAATGCAGACGAGAATGTGAAATCGGAATCTGTTCGCGCCGGTCTTCGCTATGCAATCGTTTTGACAGCAAAATCATCTGACAATCGATGGTAAGGGTGCCTTTTTAAGTTCAGTCTCTGTAGACGACGCTTGGCTTATTGTTCATATTGTTTAAAAGTCTTTGATAACGAAATTTTTAAAAACGGGAGAAATATGTTGAAAGTTTTCTGATCGGCGCTTTGAAGGTTTCGGATTTTATACAGGTTACTGAATATCGTCTGCAGTGTGACCTTTGTGTGCCGCGTATACCTTGCTGATTTGTCCGTTAAACATGTCTGCACTACTGTGATAAGAGACGGAACATTTATGGAATCGGGACAAGAGTTTTCGGAGATCAATCTGAACAAAATCGTGGGTGGTCCGACCAGGATTAGGCGTGTCGCTTTGCTTCTGGGTGCCCTTGCGAGTTGGCCCAAAGACCATGGTTTTCCTAAAACAGTGTCAGCGCTATCAAGTGCACACACAGATATCCCTCGACGGAAGGATTCAGTTTGGACGAAATGGAGTGCTGCATAAACCAAAGGTGGATCCTTACCGCTGAATAAAGGCAGTATAAATCTCGTTTAAAATTTGTAGATTGCTCAGTGTTTTCGTCTTATTGAACATTTGCTGGTTGTTTTGATTTGTTCGCTTATGTTTGTGTGGTACCAGATGTTTCAGGGTAGTTTGAATTGTTGTGTTACCGCTAAACACGACATATTCTGAAAGATCTTTCCAGCCGGAACCGTTACACTCGAGCATTAGGTAGAATACGAGCATGAGGCAATTCAGTACCATCGTGCTAACCAGCGGTACATAGGCCATATCCAGACAAGCGACAACCTCAGACACTGGTTCGCTTTTTGTTCCAGGACGCCATTGTTGAACACTTCTCAATATCCTCAAGCTCATCAGAGACATGAATGCCTCCGTGACGAGAAAAAATCCAACCATGCCAAAGAAAAACCACGCCACAGCCGTCTGTACAGCGCTATCGCTAGCCTGTTAAATGTCAGTCGACAGGTAAATGTATGTTACGATGTGGTTATTGCGTCTAGTGCTTACCATGCTCCTACATACAACCAGGCTGTACGCCACCCACCCAAATGGGCCACATTCCAGAAAAACACGCAGAGCGGACAGTAGAAAATTTGCCCACATGTACTGGCAAATAGGCCCCATCTTAGAGGAAACGGCATGTCCGTACTGGAGATCATCTTCTTGCCCATGCGCTATCCACACACAGACAGGCAATTTGTTAAAGCTTTGCAAAATTCAAAGCGGTGATACAAATAAACAATGTTTTACAACTGTTAGGCATTGGCTTACATTTCACAGAGGTCGCGTCCAAGTATACGACAAGGGAAATGTGATTTTGCGATCCATTCATTTTTTACGTTTTACCCAGCGTGATGAATTGATTTACTTAAAGAGGACAGTACCGCTCGCCACCTATGTACATATGCATTATCAGTTTTATCACACATAATAATGCTATATTTTGCATTCCAAGTAATAATGTTTAAACATGATTTCACAAAACTTCTAAAATGATGTTTCTCCCAATATCCAGTGGTCTTGTTGATCATGAGAAATGCAGGCGCATTCAGATTCTGTGCAGAATTTGTGAATATATAGATATGTAAATACGATCGATACGAGATCGTTACTGACCATGAGAGCTGTGCGCCCATTCCAGCCTCATGTGACAGCTTATCTATGCAATTCTATGATATTCCAGAGGATCAAAACGCGGACATACATCGAGCAACAGCGACTTACATCGAAGCGAGAAATAGGCGTACCAAGTCCCAATTGGCTGGGCTTCGATGTAAGTCGGTTTTTGCTCGATGTCTGTCGGTGGGCGTCGACGAAAACCGTTACCAACATGGGCGTACCTTGTAACGGGTCTAAGCGACGCCCAGGTACTTACAAAACTTCGCTTTTCCGCGATTTTTATTGGTGGGTCAGCATTCTGAGTTTAGATCGAGGCTGCCCACCGCCAATAGCAAAATTCAAAACCACGTGATTGTTTTCCCATACTTCAACTTAGCATAGGAAATCATGGTAGTAGAACAACGGGTTCCTTCTTTTTTCAAGTTAAATTTTCAAACTTACTGGTCTAAATCATTACTGTGGAAAATAGAAAAGTTTTTATTCTGTACTGGGTCTATGCAGTAGGGAAGCCTGCGTCTTGGGATTACAGACTAGACTGCGCAATATTAGCGTTTGGCCAAGTGCGCCAGTGTTTACTGATTACTTGTTGCCTGATCATTGTTTAATTTGGTTTTGATATCCTATTGCAGCTGACCAGCGTATTACAAATTGATTCCGACTTGCCAAAAGGTTCACAGATCCTTGTGGCTGTCTCTAACGATTTGTAATATACTTGTCATGTATAGCTGCCGTCTTATCGCAGGGAACCCTGCGCGCTGGCTACCCAGCTGTTGGTGCTGCTTACTGCTTACAACACTCTCCGTTCTGTGCCTGAACTTTTAATCTGATTTAATACGCGAGTACGATTAATACTGCTGGACAGCCTTCCATCGTAAGTCAGAAATTATTATTAATATTGTTAATTTAGCGAAGTATGAGTTGGAATGAATTGGGTTGGTCGCATAACCGCATTTTTTTGATTTTCGGTCTGATTTTTGACAGAAAATTGTATACTCGAACCGTTTGGCGGGTTCCCGCTCTGATCTGGGTTCCCAGAAGTATTGTGAACCGTCTTTATTAAACTTTATTTTATCTAAAAATAATACTGCATAGCAATACCCAAGCGTACTTTGGTGCTCTTATATGGCATTATTTAAGTTTTAAAATTATGGTGATACAATCTGGATTCTGGAAGCATAATGTCAGCACCCATAATGTCAGTCTGTGTGTCATTACTGTTGTGCGCATGCGGTCGAGTTTAGCCCGTACATACCTACATGCAAGACGTGTAAACGGGCGCGGTTTTGCGTTCGATGTCTGTATGTCAAGGGTAAAAAACGTTGTAAGTAAGTCCGCGTTTTGACTCTGCGCATCCTATCTATTATTGTAGATTCCGGGCATTGCGTTGCTAACTTGCTACTTGTATTAAAGCCATACAAAAGCGAGCACAAAATATTACTTACATGCATACAGCATACAAACAAAAATGAATACACTCCTCTGTCGTGCATAACTTAGCCTCGCGAACGTGAATGCGTAACAGGCTACAATAATAACTTATAGTCTATCTAAAAAGTTTGAAAGCGATTGGTCTTTGCGATCGTCTACAATCCAGGTGACAGACAGACACACAAACAACGAGAGTTTCGGACCAACCTGAAGTAAAGAAATGCCTCGCTTCGCTCGGCAAAAAGAACATACATACATACATCCATACATACAAAATATTAGTATGTATTATTTAAATACACTATTACAGTATACAAACTTTGTATATCTGACATGACTTGTCCCATTTTCGTCTTTCCCACTTTTATCCCAACCCTACCTTCTCCGTTTAATTCCCAGCCTACCCCCGGCTACTTAAATTTTCAGCCCATCTGACTTTTTGGATCTCATCTCCATCCCCATTTTCTACAGGCTGAACACCGGTAATTTTGCAAATTTGTACAAAGTGCCTCGAGTAACCAAACTCCAAACGCGCAGTCTCAAACAAATCCCCGATGCCGTCCAACTCAACGCATCCGTTTTACAATACAGGATGACCCAGCCAAGATAAAATTCCTCCTGTCCTCCATAATAAATTCAATTTAAAATTGCTTTCTATAGTTTTCATCTTTCGCCTTCTATAAGCTTTACAATATCTTTCTACAGAGAATACAGCTGTTTTCGTTGGAAAACGTCAAAAAACTGTTTTTGAAACAAATTTTAAATTGAGGCGATATTGGTCGTGATTTTTCCACGTACCACCAGGTTTCCCGCTTCAAAATTTCTAGAAAGATCACCAGAAACAAGGACTACTCGTACTTGAAACTACCAAGGTTATTCATTAAGTTTTTGACATCGATATTACACTACAGTGACTAACAGTATACAAACAAGGTGGGTATACAATTTTATGTACCCACCTTCATACTAATAAAGTATGAACTAAATAATTATTATAAAAGGTGCAGCACAAGTAGCATTCATCACCGGATCAAAGTCAGTGACCTTAGCCGGTGTATGTGAGTTTTCCATAACTGTCCAGGCCTGGGGCCCGTCACTTGTGAGAATTGACCACTGACTGCCACTATTTTTTTCATAAAATGCCAGCCTAATTTATCATGGTGCTCTGGATCAGTGCAATGCTTGATTGACGTAATCTTAGTTTCATTCGAAAGAGCATATGTTTTTAAGTGTTAACATAAAATGTTAGCTCAAGCCACGATTATCCTGAGATTGAACTTTTTTATGAATTGTTTTGAAAAACTGGGTGAGTTTGGAGGATGTCCTATAAGCGAAAGTTTGAAATAACCAATTTCCAAACTAAAATTTCGCGGTTCAACTAAGGACACCAATGTATCTCACGTTGCTGTTTCGGGTAGAGGGGATGTTTTTCGTTTTTCTACTGTAACAAACACGTCTTTGGCTAACTTGTAAGGCCCGCCGTCAAGCTCTGACTCTCACTCTGCCTCTCGTACTCAAAGTCGGACTCTGACTGCTGTTGTTTCTTATGCTATCTTAAGTTTTCTTAGGTTTTCTTATGCTATCTTTTGTTTCTTATGTTTCTTTTGGTTTTCTTATGTTTCTTATGTTTTATCATGTTTTTTATCTTATGTTATCTTACGTTATCTTATGTTTTCTTATGTTTTCTTATAATATGTCATCTAATGTTTTTGTACCTATGCTATCTAATGTTTCCTTTTGTTCATAAGAAAACTTAGGAAAACTTAAGACAACATAAGGTAAAAACATAAGATAGCATAAGAAAACATAAGAAATATGAGATAACATAAGGTAAAAAACATAAGAAAACATAGCTAAAAAACATAACAAACAAAAGATAGCATAAGGCAAAAAACATAAGAAGAACATAAGATAAGATCAGAAAGCATCAGATAACATCAGATAACATAAGGCAAAAAACATAAGAAAATATAAGATAACATAATAAACATCAGATAACAAAAGATAACATAAGGTAAAAAACATAAGAAACATAAGGCAAAAAACATAAGATAACATAAGAGAACATAAGGCGAAAAACATAAGAAGAACATAAGATAAGATCAGAAAGCATCAGATAACATAAGATAACATCAGATAACATAAGGCAAAAAACATAAGAAAATATAAGATAGCATAATAAACATCAGATAACAAAAGATAACATAAGGTAAAAAACATAAGAAAACATAAGGCAAAAAACATAGGATAACATAAGAGAACATAAGGCGAAAAACATAAGATAACATAAGAAAACAATAAATAACATAAGAAACATAGAATCAGACTTTGAGTGGTCAGAGTCAGAACTTGAGCGCGGGCCCTGAAGATTTACAACAGCTTCGTCGCTACGACTGAACGACTCATAGGTAGGGTTCGTACTGTTTCCGTATTAATTTATACGAGTACCATAAGTTGAAACTATACTATTTACACAGTTTCTAAACAAATCACCTGAAAACTATTGTACCTGATAACTATCACAGTTCCCTTCGCACAGCTTGCTAAAAATTATTATTATCAAAGTTCGATACCATGAGGTTTAAAACTGTCTAATTACTGTAACTGAATATTTCTGAACATTAAGTATAATTATACATAAGGTTTTCAACTTGCATACGTACTCAGTTCTTGTCATTATTATATATACAAAGCTACTTCGCCGTTTTTTTTATCCAACATCTCCTCCTACAGCGTTCGACGGTAATTTTCGCACGATAGCTTAATAAACGTTTAAAATCATGTAGTTTGTCTCAACGCCTTTTGTTTTTCGATCTTTTCGTTGTCCGAATTACGAAAGAGGAACAAAACGAATTTCGCTGATTGGCTGATCATTAGAAATTAACATGGGATTGGCGGCGATGCGGAAGTTATCGAACCAAAACCGCTGACTAATAACACACAAGTAGTACAATACTTTATGTGCCATATGTACCAGTATGCGCATAATACCGCGCGGCTGAATTGTAAAATATTTTGGAAATGTAAAAAATCCGGAAAGGCGTAGTTTAACAGGGAACTTCTGATACAACTGCGAAGCAAAATTTTGTACAATGCTTAAAACAATCATGTAGTTTGTCTCATAGGGTTCGTTTTTCAGTTTTTTTCTTCTCCGCGTTACGATACGGGTTCGAAAGGAATTTTTGATTTCATTGGCGAAAAAAGAAAAGGATAACTGTACCTTAACGGGCAAGGTACATACAAAAACTAATATAAGTAAGTATTATTAAAAAGAAGGGAATTTGATGAGCACAATAAACGTTCCTGTAATCCGCAAATTCCCGACTGGAGGATATAATTTCCGATAGTGTTCTTGCCGGTGAGACAGAGGGTAAGGGATTTTCGCCGGTCAGATAGAAGTACAGGGATTTTCGCCGGCCAGATAGAAGTACAGGGATTTTCGCCTGTCTGATGGAAGTAAAGAGATTTTCGGCGGTCCGATAGAAGTACAGTGACTTTCGCCGGCTAGATAGAAGTACAGGGATTTTCGCCGGTCTGATGGAAGTACAGGAATTTCCGCCGGTCAGATAGAAGTACAGGGATCTTCGCCGGTTAGATAGAAGTACAGTGATTTTGCCGGTCAGATAGAACTACAGGGATTTTCGCCGGTCTGGTGGAAGTAAAGAGATTTTCGCCGGTCTGATGGAAGTACAGGAATTTCCGCCGGTCAGATAGAAGTACAGGGATTTTCGCCGGCCAGATAGAAGTACAGGGATTTTCGCCGGTCTGATGTAAGTACAGGGATCTTCGCCGGTTAGATAGAAGTACAGTGATTTTGCCGGTCAGATAGAACTACAGGGATTTTCGCCGGTCTGGTGGAAGTACAGGAATTTCCGCCGGTCAGATAGAAGTACAGGGATTTTCGCCGGCCAGATATAAGTACAGAAATTTTTTGCTAATAGATAGAAATTTTTTGCTAATATGTTATTTGGCTCAACCTTCTTTGTAGACGACGGTTTTAGCGATGGCACTTCCATAAACAGAAGTATATGTATACACGTTCCGTTATAATTAACGGAACGTGTATAATCCAAAACAAACCGCTTTTCCGATCAGTTAAATTCCGTTTCCTAAATCTTATAAAATCTTTTTTTTATCTTTATAAAACTACCACATTTCTTTCATCAGTACTAAATATTCTCAACCGAGGCAGGAGGCCGAGGTTGAGCTTGTTATTTATAATTTGAGTTGCACTTACGTACTTGTCAACTAAACGAATTTCGCTGATTGGCTGATCATTAGAAATTAACATAGGATTGGCGGCGATGCGGACGTTATCGAACCAAAACCGCTGACTAATAACACACATGTAGTACAATACTGTATGTGCCATATGTACCACTATGCGCATAATAGAAGCTTTGAGCAACTGCTCCACTTAACCATAGCCATACACTTAACCATACTATATGGTTAAGTGCGAGCGTATGGTAAGTGTGAATACCATACAAACGTGTCGTATGGTGATGGACTTTCAAAGGCTCCCCTTAACACCTGCCCAATTTAACTTCCCCAGATATACACATTTTGAATAGAGAAACATTTTTGAATGTAAATGTAATTTTTGAAAGAGATCGTTTCACGCAGTGCGAGAAAACAAATTAAATCTGAAGGGACCCAGAGTCAGCTATGCGCCTTCGCTGAGTACTTTGTACACTGCTACCTCGATGGCGGTCGTCCAACTACACGATAAGGGATGGTTAAGGTATGGTTATGGTGTTTTCTGCTCAAAGCCTCTAATACCGCGCGGCTGAATTGCATGATATTTTGGAATGTAAAAAATGCGGAAAGGCGTAATTTAACAGGGAACTTCTGATACAACTTCGAAGCAGAATTTGTACAATGCTTAAAACAATCATGTAGTTTGTCTCAAAGGGTGCGTTTTTCAGTTTTTTCCTCTCCGCGTTAACACACGGGTTCGAAATGAATTTCGCTGATTTACTGATTTTTTTTAATTTAGTTTGGTTGAACGACTTTAATTGTTCGATTTTTTCGTCCGCCGAATTACTAAATGTGTTCAAAGCGAATTTCGCTAATTGGCGTATCATCAGAAATTAAAAGAGGATTGGCGTAATGCGGAACTTTCGAACGCAAATCGCTGGCTGATGAATAACACTATCCCGTGTAGAGCGCAGCGTTATGCTAATTTGACTGAAATTGTGGAAATGCAGAAATGTGTATTACAGAAATGCAGAACTTATTACAATTACGAGTGTATTTATTGTGGAAATACAGAAATGCGGAAAAGCGTTACTTACAATTTTATTTAATTATAAAGTAATGCAAAGCTAGGACCTTTGCCGGTTAGACAGAACGTATGAGATTTTCGCCGGCTAGACACGGGTAGGGATTTTTAGCGGTTCGAAAGTGTGGAAAGGATTTTCACCGGTTGGACAGAAAGTTAAGGATTTTTGCCGGTTAGACAAAGGGTAGGAATTTTTGCCGGCCAGACAAAGGGGAAGGATTTTCGCCAGCCAGACAGAGGGGAAGGGAATTTTGCAGGTTATACAGAATCTAAAAGATTTTCGCCGGTTAGACATGGGCAGGGATTTTTGGCGGTTCGCAAGTGGGGAAAAGATTTTCACCGGTTGGACAGAAAGTTAGAGATTTTTGCCGGTTAGGCAAAAATGGGAGGGATTTTCGCCGGCCAGATAAAGGGAAAGGGTTTTGCCAGTTAAAAGTTGGGAAAGGAATTTCGTCGGTTAGACAGAAGGCTAGGGATTTTCGCTGGTTAGACAGCGGTGTAGAGATTTTTGCCGGTTAAACCAAGGGGTAGGAATTTTGCTGGTCAGACAAAAACGTCGAACAGAGGAAGAGCGATTTTCGACTCTTAGACAGAGAAAATTGGATTTTCGCTGGTTCAGTAGTACATATAAACCACTTTAAACCGACGGAATCCATCAAATAAATTTCCGTCATTTCATTCCGAACGATTGTTATCATTTTCGACTTACGGTGGTTCGTAGCAGTAGTTTATAGTGTAACAATAAAATTTGTAAATCAGTGATTCCGTAATAATTATTAATTATTATAATATTAAAACGATAATAAGAATTCAGTTATACTTTTTTCCAACCGAGGCCGAAGGCCGAGGTATATATATATACAAATATATATATACAAAGACAAACCGTAGGGAAGGAACGTTCGCCTGTAAGAATTTTACCTGTCAGAATGAGTGTTATGGGTTTTCGACAGCTAGAAAAAAAACAAGGGATTTTCGACAGCTAAAAAAAGAACAAGATCTTCGCCGGGAAAAAAAGGAAAGGATTTTCGCCGGTCAGGCAAAGAAGGAGGTATTTTCCCCGGCTAGAAAAAAGGTTATTGATTTTCGTTGGTCAGACAAAGAGGTATGAATTTTCGCCGGTTAGACAGAATTGTAAGGATTTTCGCCCACTGTCTAACTGGGAACAGTTCCGCCGCCCACTGTCTAACTGGGAACAGTTCCGAACAGAGAATTCCGCCTGTCAGACATTTCGCCGGTTAGACCGAAGGGCTGTGGTTTTCGCCCGTCGGACAGAGGGGAAGGGATCTTTATCAGTTCTATCTCCTATGATATAAACCAACTTCTGCTATTTCTTTTAGGCAATGAAACTTTCTTTTGCTTTGAATTGGCGGGATCCATTAAGCAAATTGCAGACACTTCCGTTCCAAATTAATTTTAATAATATCAGACAGTTTGGCATATGGACGTAAAACATGGATTGAGTAAATGCGGCATTTACTTGCAGCCACAGTTAAGAGCCAGCGTCACAAAAGTAAAATAAAATTTTTTCGTGACAAGAGATCACTGATGTTAAGTTTTTCTGCTACACGCGATGCGAAGTAGTTGATTACAAAAAACCGCTCAGACATTTTTCGCACTGCAGTAATCGTAGTAGTTTTTCCATCCATAATACAATACTTAATATTTGCAGATCAGTAATTCCATAATAATTATAATATTGAAACGTTATTCAAAATTCAATCCTATATTTTCCCGACCGAGGCCGGAGGCCGAGGTTGGGCTTGTAATAATAATTAACGTTTGTTTGCTTGCATAACGCTAGTTTGTAACAGCATTATAATGCAATTAGTACTTGTAAGTTGTACGTGATCTATCATTACAGTGAAACTCCTCTTAACATTCACCTTCCTATAACATTCACCCCTTTACTGCATACATGAGGCTGGGAACCAAACCGTCCGGTAGACTATAACACAGGGGCAGTTCTCTGTATAACATTCACCCCTTTACAGCTATAACATACACCTTTTATGGAACCGGTAACATTTTTACCAACTTATTCAACCCCTGCGTAACATACGGTTGGCTAGGCTGGGGAAAAAAACCATTTCGGTGTCTCTAAAAGGAAGTTCCGGCTTCTCTTTTTAATCTGTTTACTACCGGATATTCCAACTCCAACCGTACAAAAGGGCAGCAAAACCAACATTCAGACCGAATAATGTCCATACTCTGATATTTTGCTAATTTTTTTGTTAAGAAACACCCCCGGGGGCTGTGCCCCTGAGCCCCTGAGGGCAGTGCCCCTAGGGGCAGAGCTTCTGTATAACATACACCCCTCTGTAACATTCAGAAAGCCTGGAACGGAGGGTGTATGTTGTAGAGAAGTTTCACTGTATCATTATTCGTACTGCAATAATATGTAGCCAGTGTAGGCAGATCATTCGCATTTGTTTTGCATGTTTTTACATGCGATTTCCTGGGATCACATTACACCACCCGGGCACCACCTGGGATTTCAAAAACCAACGCGCTGCCACGCCATGTCCCATAGCCTTTGGACATTCTACTGCTGTATATTCCGGTTCCTACCATTCCGTGCAACCCTCCGCAATGCGAAAACCATTCCCTGTCGCCCATTCCTCACTGCCCCACATCAGCTGAAAATTTTCTGCACACTGTTTGTGCCCAACCTCTTTCCATTCCTTTCCACTGAGTTTTAGCCTCTTCATCTGTTTAATTTCGCAATTTCCTGTAACTTTTCGACTACATTCCTGTATGCCGTATTGCAGATCTGTTTCACTTTTCTTTCCCTGTTCTCTCTGTCTTCCGCGCGCGGTTGGGGGCTGCCTGTCGGTTTGGGGGTGTCCGGCGCGGCTCGTATCATACACCTGGTGACCGGCGACCGCCCTTCAGTGCGTCGTCCGGACATCACCCAGGCTGACCATGATCACTTGCCCCGGCATCCACAAGCGGCAACAAGCGATCGCGAGCGAGCTCGACAAGCGTTAATAGCATTTAACGCCCAAGCGTTAAATGAGATTAACGCAGAGCGAGCGAGTGTGTCTAGGCAACACGTTTCATTTCATTTCCTTTTCACATTTCACGCGAGGGTCCGCATGATCATGAAATGAAATGAAACATGAAATCATGATTTCAACCCTAGGTTACGTTACGCTTTGCATCAGATAGATCCAGGCTTAGAATAAATTAAATCGATATCAGCAATCATCATCACACTAAAACTTTATAAGATCGGCCCACAAACGATACTGCGTTCAAAATAATTATAAAAAGGATCACATACCACTACCATGATAGGATGAGAGCTAAAAAATCACAGCTAATAAGATCAAAAAATGAAATTACAAATTCAAAAATCAAGATGTCGGCTTCAAGTCTAGCCCTACAGTCATGGTGGCCAGTTTCCCTTCTGTAAAGAGGCCATTATGATTCCGGCCACGGTGGACTAGCTGTACTTTCCTTGATTAAGCGAAATCAAAGCTTCCCGCTGAATATGATCATCCAAGGGACCAAGAGCACACACTTTGTATCGTTCACCAGCTGATATCCACTCTGACAGACGCAATTGTAATACTGCGCTACACGAGCCAGGCATATTTGGTCGCAGAGACTAACAGCGGGTTCGCAAGGAGAATCGAAATAGGGCTGCCGCGATGGATGCACAGCCACTATTCCCAACGGACGCATCGACATGTCGTGCACTAGCTGGAAATCGCTCCCGTTGGTCAATACACTGTAAATGCCCCGGTGCGTCCACTCTGTCCAGTAGAGACGATTGCCGATCATTGTTAAGCCGAAAGGATGCGAGAATGCCATGCGGAAAACCGTGCGCCGGTCGTCCCCGCTGTATGATACACATTCAATCCAGTCCAACTGGGCATCAATAAAATATAAGCGATCCCAGATATAATCGATTACCAGAGCGTTCGGCCATAACACCTTCTGGGAAATGACAACAACCCCTAAACAATAAAATATATGCTTTGTTAGCAATTTATCAAGAAAACAGCACTGGAGCCTGAATTCGGCTTTCTAGTTGCGCGATAGTTATCAACCAACATTACAAGCACTATGTTATTTTCAACTTCCCGCAAAAAAAACCGACAAACTATATATAGTTTGTATATACCTATTCAAGGGCCAATCTCTGTTCCCAACTTTTTAGCTGTTTTTAGATAACTCACGTAATTGTTTCGATTCCCTGGACATTGTTACTTACTTGCACTGCCATCCAGCCATGGGCGCTCGATCTTCGGCCGTGATCCCCACTGAGCGAAGGACAGCAGACGTTTTCCTGGATGAACCGCCAGTCCGTGAGGATTATTAATTTCAGCGTCGATCACGGGAGCACAATGCACTGCTTTCCTGCTGACAGAACACACTCCAGTTTCCGGCTTCCCGGCATCCACGTAATACAGATTTTCGCTGACCCAGTCGAATGCGATGCTTTCCGGCATGACCATATTCTTGAGAATAACGCTCCGTTCGTGAGTAGATTCGTAGCGGATTGTATGTTTTCGGTCAGCATCGCTGTAGAAAATCTGGAAAATAGAAAAATCTCAAATATTAAGCATCTCGAAAGACTTGTATCTGCAAAGAGCAATGACTTGCATCTATACTAAAATATTTTCCTACCGTGCTGGATTCAAAGCTATTATTCTGCTTCCAATCAAGTCCTACAGTCATCGTGGTCAGTTTCCCTTCTGTAAAGAGATCATTATGCCGAAAACCTTCCGTTTCCATGTACCGAATCTCCCCGTCAGTGGAATACATGAGCAACGGAACGTGATTAGCCGATTTGCACGTGTGACCATCAAATTCCAGGAGGAAACCGGGAGCGCAGTGACATTTGTATGTGCCTTTCAGATTGATGCACAGTTGACTGCAAGGGCCTCCAAGTTGTGAGCTTGTTGCACATTCATCGACATCAGCGCAAGCCCTTCCGTTGGGAGACAGAACGTACCTACAAAAAGAATCTGCAACATAATTCAGCAGCAATGGTACTTCAAAATCATAGAATTTCAATTTCATTGTAAGAATATAAACAGTAACACGTCCCTGTGTCCCGTTATAATCACCAGGAACTTGACATTCTCGTTTCAAACACACAGAATGATTTTGCAGAGTCCAGTAGCAAAAATAAACTACTCGTATTTTAAAAACCTTATTGTTCAGACCAAAGCATATCGATTTCAGGATGGTTATACTGTAGTCTGTATATACCAATAATTCACAATTTACATTATACATACCCGTGAGGACAAGAACATTTCCGACCCGGCGGAGTAAGGTTACACTTATTGTCCGTTGTTCTTCTCGCACTCCTTTTCCGCCAGCTTGCAACCAAAGCCCTCGTCCGTTCCGTTTTTACAGTCATTACGATGATCGCAAACCTTACCCAACGGCAGGCACATTGCGGTCCCGTTTGGGGCATCACAATGGAACTGGTCGTGAGCGCATGTCAACGCCGACACGGCATGGAGAGCTGCGGGAGGCAGCGTCCACGCACCCGGACAGTTGTGTTCATCACTGCCATCAGCGCAATCAACGCCCTGATCACACCGCCACGACCTGGGGATGCACTCTCCATTGCTGCAAGCGAAATCGGTATTCGGACACTGCGCTGAGCTAGCAGTTGTAGAGATTTCTGCCGTCCCAGGCTCTGCATTACAAGCAAGAATCTGTATTACAAATCATGAACCATGCATCTTTATTACAAATTATGTTAACCAACTTGTGTCTTAGCAAACGATTTAAAAAATTAGTTTAAACAATTTATAAAGTACGATAATAAAATCTATAATATAATAAGATTTACATCAGAAAAAAATTGATCGAAGGTCTACGTACCGGCCATATAGCCACCTCCAGTTTTGTCGATTTTCTTGTTGACACACCAGTCCGCCAGGGTTTCAGCCGTACCATCGTCGCAGTCCTTGGTCCCGTCGCACACCCATGCTCCTGGTATACAACGCCCATTACCACAGCGAAATTCATTTCCGTGGCAAGGCGGAAGGGGCGTTGTCAAGCGACACTCATCGTTCTCCTCGTCGGACCTGTCTCTGCAGTCGTGTTTCCCGTCGCACCATTCTTTCTGCGGGATGCATTCCATCTTACTGGCGCACATTCGCTCACCCACGAAGCATGCGTTCGTCTTTACACATAATTCCACGTCTTCGTAACTATTTTTCACTAACAGAAGATGCTCGTTAACTTAATTTGCTCGTATTTCCCATGACTTCATTATTTGTACTTACTTGCACTGTCATCCAGCCATGAACGCTCGATCTTCGGCTGTGATCCCCATTGAGCGAAGAACAACAAAAGTTTCCCTGGATGCACCGCCAGTCCACGAGGATTATCAATTTCTGGGTCGATTAGAGGGGTCTCTGCAATCCCAAACTTTACATTCACTGAAGAATTACAGTAATGCAGTGCATACCGACGGTCCATTTCGTATTGCGCGCTCCTCCTGGCTGCAGCCGATATTGAGCGGTTATCATGCAACTGTTTGGCAATCCAAAATCCGCCGATCCCACAGGCTGGCAGCAGGAAGAGCCCGGCACCCCAAAACTCCACCCAACCACTGCGAATTGCATGTGGAAGTTTCCAAATTGTTTAGCGAAGCGTTAAGGTGGCATAGTTTCCGACAAGATATACATAATACCACGTACCACATGACCCGAGGTAGTGAACAGTAAAGCCAACCAAGACGGCGGCTCCGAGCAAAAACAGAGCTCCAACAACAACAGCGCCAATAACAAGATTCGAGCGGGTTCCATCTGGGATGGCCATATGCAGTAACTTAATTCGAAGCGAATCTCGTTGCAATACAACCAAAAAGGATGCCAAAATTTCAAAATGAGGTAAGCACTTACACGATTTGGGATAAAAATTCAAGTCCAAACGAAACCTAACACAGAAGTGCAGTGCCGACATTTGTTGATGTTTTAAAAACTTGCAACGAAAGTGCGCCGGCCCGAGAGGTCAGAGGACACTTGCTGTGCCATATGAGCCACTATTAGCGCCCTCTACTTGATAATCTTCATTATAAACGAAGACGGGGCGTGACCAGCGAGAGCAGGCAATATATAAGGGGAATTCAATGTCGCACAATACACTTTCCTTGTACTGCCCCAGCCATCCGTATGGACTTACACGTTGTGGCTGAACAGAGGTTTTTGAAGCACTTCATTTATGCCAGTACACTGATGCAGTACCTACATGTACCGTGTGAGCCTGAGGTGTCAGTGATTGACTGCAGTAAGAGAGAGTAGAAAGGCAAAGCAGGTACGGGAATTACGTAACACTCATACGTTTTACTGAGCCTCGCACAGGCAGAATCTTTGGAGTATTCTGGTTCAAAACGGCACATTAACCACTTGAAATGATTCCCGTAGTGTAATTTTCCTCTTCCGTCAGTTTGAAGTGCGTAAAAACGAAGAGGACAACGATAAAGCCGTTCGATGTCGTCATTGCCGGTGATCTGGGCGGTGAAACGGTCATTCAGGTTGATTTGGTCACCTGTACGTGTGTAATATTGTGGCGCATTAAAGGATACCTCGAAAAGCTTTCGCTTGTTTGCTTCAGCGAAATTCGGCAATAATCAACGCAGTCGAGTGGAGGAGTTGAAGCAGCAGGACTCGTGGGGAAGAATTCTGACGCTGGACACCTACTGGCATCGCAAGTTGATGTCTGCACAGAACACCTTATTTTGCCGGGAATTGTTTGCCTTGGTATATTTTAATACACGTCGATTTAGTAGCTTACTGTTTGTTTCACTCTTTTTGTGTGGCAGATGAGCGCAGAAGGTGTTAGTGGACTGGATGACATGATTGAACCCATAGTACTCTCCGATGAAATCCATTACTCGGTGAGCTATCTGGAAACGGTTTGTATATGCTGTATGATTTGGCAACGCTTTTGTCTTGTGTTTAGAATTTATTTGGTTTCTCCCTGCGGTTGAAATTGCTCCATGTTGCCGAGGCCGATACAAAATTCCGGAGCATCCCGGTGGTTCGGGATATGCAAAAGACTCCTTTATTGACTGAATCCAAAATTCTTGAACATTCGCTTGCTCAGATGCTTCTCAACCGCATGCGCGATTTCGCTAATCCTGATCTACCGGTGCCTGCGTGTGGGCCGGTGGGACTGAAGATATTTAGGAGGAAAATGGCGATTCAGGCCAAAGATCGCCGGGTATGGAAACAAGGACTTGGCAGGTACTAATAATAAATGGTTAAAAATACTTCCGTTGCTTTTTTCGGTACCGATTTTGAAGGACGTTTAATGTATTTTATTGTTTTTTGCAGCCGCACATTAACAGCAGAATTGGTATCTAGATCAACGGCATTGATCCTCCACAGACGGTACAGATCTTCGACTACTTTTATATTATTTTTCATGTATAGCCATTTTCATAGCCGATTTCAACTTGCTTGTAAGATATTTTAGGTGATTATTGAAATATTTTCCAGACATTCATGTTTTTTTGCAGGTGTTTAAAAGCAGCAGAATCCCTAAGTTGTCTGGATATTCAGCTTTCGGTGCATGACTGCTGCTTTACAACATCGTGGAGAAATATTACAATCAAGATCTCATTAACGACGCCGGGTTTTGATATGTACAACAGGTACAGACAGGTTTTTGGCTACTGTAGAGTCGCTACTGATAGTAACAAAATATTACTATTTGTGTCGCAGATCAAATTGTTCCTTCAACGTATCCAATGGAAAAGTCACTTTTCTGACGAAAGATTTTGTGACGCCCGCGAATTGCGAGGTTGAACTGGATTGCCGGTTATTGTACATGAAGGTATTTAGCCCGGATTTGCTGTTGTTTTATAGTTTATTCAAACTGTTGTTGTATCGGGCGCAAGATAACACTTCAAACTTTTTGAATAGGTTGTACGACAACACGCTGTAGTCCTTCAGTATCTTTTGAAGAGCAATCGTTTCGAAGTTGTCCACTATGCTCCAGTGGCTCTTTACTACAATGCAGACGAGAATGTGAAATCGGAATCATTTCGCGCCGGTCTTCGCTATGCAATCGCTTTGACTGAAAATCATCTGACAATCGATGGTAAGGGCGCCTTTTTAAGTGCAGTCTCTGTAGACGACGCTTGTCTTATTGTTCATATTGTTTAAAAGTCTTTGATAACGAAATTTTTAAAAACGGGAGAAATATGTTGAAAGTTTTCTGATCGGCGCTTTGAAGGTTTCGGATTTTATACAGGTTACTGAATATCGTCTGCAGTGTGACCTTTGTATGCCGCGTATACCTTGCTGATTTGTCCGTTAAACATGTCTGCACTACTGTGATAAGAGACGGAACATTTATGGAATCGGGACAAGAGTGTTCGGAGATCAGTTTGAACAAAATCGTGGGTGGTCCGACCAGGATTAGGCGTGTCGCTTTGCTTCTGGGTGCCCTTGCTGGTTGGCCTAAAGACCATAGTTTCCCTAAATCAACGACGGCCCTGTCAAGCGGACAGTCAGATATCCCTCGACGGAAGGATTCTGGCTGAACGAAATGGAGTGCTGCATAAACCGAACGTAAATGCTTACCGCTGAATGAAAGTCGTATAAATCTCTTTTATAATCTGGTGATTGCTTTGTTTGTTCTCGCTTGTTTTATTCCAGATGTTTATGATAATTTTGGAATTGTATGTCAAGCGTTGTACAAAACAGTGAAATGACCTATTACCGCTCAAATATATTTCTGAAGTTGTATTGAATATTGTAGTTGTCGATCATCCTAACACTGTAGTATGTACCAAAGAAAAGGTCATCAGTTTAATTTAAAAAATTATCTTTGGCAGACTAAAATATTGTGCAGCATTTCTTTTCCCAAACCGAAGAACTAACTAGAATCTATGCACAACAGACGCAAACTGCGAAGTTTTCGATTAACACAAACTCATAAAACGTTTATAAAACCGGGCGTAATTACTATCACACAGCTGCGAGAGTTCACCGTTAGGCGCCCGCTTTTCGGTCCCATGTGGAGAGCACACCTTCCATTTTCCTTCGGTCATCCTCTAACTCAGCGGTAGCACATGCGCTAGTTGCGCACTTCCTTTTTCTGTATCTTCTGTAGTAGTCCTGCATAATGGTCGCTGCATATAGTGTCCCCACGGTCATCGTATCCGCTAAAAAAACTTCGGTATTACTCGTAAGTGTCACCACACTGTTTCTGTGCTCGTTTAAATTTTGTTCATTGCTCTGGTTTAATAATAAACAATTTCCAGCTGTAGGGAAAAGCTAGAGTTAATAATTGTGCGAAAGCAAGCTGTTAACTTAGCGACTTGAGTCCTCCTGCTTTATCAAAGTCCTTCGCATAGCATACACAGTTGTGCATGGTTTAAGCGCGCCAACATCAGAGCCTATTTCAGCGACTGAGCAAACTTTAAAATAAAATAGCAGAACTTGTTCTTTCGTAAAAAGACCATTGATCAACCTGCAGTACTAAGTGGCATTATTTTGCAATTACCGCCTGGCTTCGGCAGGATTGTGTCCAGCTTGTATTCGGATGTCTTCCTCCAAATCTGCAGCACTACTTCGCGTAATTTGGCATTGGTTTCATCTATGGATCCTTCGGTATAAATATGCAATGCAGTACGTATTAATGCGAACAACGTGGCATTATATTGTACAGTTCCATCCGAATTCAGTGGCATATTCATCGCTAACAGTCTCTAAAAATTTTCAAATGCAAAAACAGATATGTACCAAATTACACCAAATGCCGTTATTGCAAGAAACAGTGAACACCCCGGAATACCTTTCGCGCTATACGTCGTGGACACAATCGTCCAATGCCCAGCGGAGGGTCGATACTTCTCAATAGGGAAATGACATCCATATGTTTGATATATCCAGTTGCTAATGGATCATATTCCGACCATAGCCGTACAAATTCGTCTAAATGCTGGGGACCCACAACTGACCAGTCCCTGGTTAGATAATCAAAATTATCCATGATAATCGCCACTAACACATTCAGAATCATGAAAGAACACAGAAAATGGAAGGATGTGAAATACACATAAGAAAAATCCGATCCACATAAACTGCCCGCTGGTAAACCGGTTCTCGCGTCACAAAAGACATCCTGACGGTTCGCACACGACATCATAATATCCTGCCAGCCTTCGCCAGTTGCGGAACGAAATAAGAGGAGTAATGCCCGGGGAAAGTTTTGGAAATGGTTATGCCGGTCAATGGAGCTATCTTTGTTAATCAAGGAAATTCTTCCAAACACCTAGCATAAATACACACATCAGAAATCGTGACCACCGGAACCGGTGCACATAATACGCTTTTTAATTAACCGCAGTTATTGTGACTGCATTTTCACAGCGTTTATTTAATGTCTATACAGTAGCTGGTGTGGAGTTTTAGGTTGCTTAATCAATTAACGCAAACTTTAATTGAACAACAACAAACGTTCGTTTCTTCAAAACGTTTCCTGCTTACGTGCATTCCAATCACGGCGTAGATAAAGTAGATAACTCCAATCAAAAGAATCACATAAGGGAGCGCTCTCATGGATTTTAGAAATGTCCAGAACAGGATCCTGGTGTTCCTGCTTTTTCCAAGAAGCTTTCCCAAACGTAAAACACGAAAAATCCTAAAGATGTTCACTTCCGTAACAGTCTGCCAATAGAAAAAACTCACTGACAAAACTCAAAAGAATCACACGTAATTTTATAACCGTGTGGGTATTTTTCGATACTGCGCAAGATCCTCATTGCAATATGACTGCACAAATACTGTACTAATAGCAATTAATAGTGTACATAATTTACCCCGGTATACAGGGAATAGCCAATATCGAACATGCTGATGAAAACCACAACAAAATCAAACACATTCCACACATCCTTGAAGTAATGCTAAAAAAGAGAACGCTGCAGATGGCAATAACAACTTTTCATGTAAACGACACCATAAAATGTTATACGTTAGTCACTGTGATACGGTAAAATCACATACAATGATGTTGAACGCAAATAACTTTAGTACACATTCCAGAACGAAAACTGCAGTGAACGTCATGTTGAGGTATTCCAGGGCTAGAATCTGACCTTTCGGCTGTCCGTCATACTGCAACAATAGATTAGGGCTAGCTGGATTGGGTTTATAATTTCATGGGTTATCTATGGGTGGTTCCAAAACAATTTCATTAAAAGCAATGTACCCGGACGGACATCGCTATCGTATTGAGGAAAATCAATCCGAAGATACAATTTTCAAAATGCTCACATCCCACCAGCCACCAAATCTTATACTGCAAACGTCGCTGCGGAATGTATTTCGGAATGGGTTTGGATGTTAGGGCGAATTCCATACATCTACGCTAAAATACCCACCGTTAACAAATATGAAAAACTACAATTTATCTGACATTCACCTGATTTTCATCTAACTGGCAGTCTGCATACTCTTGTTCACCTTCTTGCAGAAATGTGATGATAATAAACCCGATGAAGATGTTCATCATGAAAAATCCCACAACCGACAGATATGTGACGAAGTACAGTGCCGTGTAGGGACGATAATTAAATATGGGTCCATGACCTTCCGCATTGGAATCAACGCCTACGTATGCGTAACTAGAAAATCTACAAATTATTCTCTTTTCTGTTGTTATGCTTTTGTCAGATGGAAAAGGTTCGACTCACTTCGGCCATCCTTCCGTCGTAACGACAGCTACAAGGGTTAAGAATGCTTGGAAAATGTTGTCAAAATTGAATTCGTTGTCAATCCATTCGCGCTCAACTACATCATCTGCAGGATATCCGTTGACAAAGGGCACAAAATTCCCACTGCAATGCAAACAATGGTACCAAATATGCATTACAAATTCTTTAAATGTAAAAATAAAACAGTTGCATTATTTTACTTGTGCAAAGCACAAAAAAATTACCGGTAGCACTGATTACATTAGGTTTTTTTGCAAGAATAATCAAAGTTGTCCCCGTTAATTGTATAAAGGGAAAACCTGAATGGAGTACAGTGTGGAAGCGAATGGAAAACGGTCAAGAAGCCCCTATTTACAGTATACTAACCGGCATTCGTGTTCGGTGTGCTTTGACAAATCCGAACAGCGATAAAACCGGCCTTTGAAAATCTGCGAATAAAAAATATTCAGTCAAAAGCTAAACTACTACTGAGTAATATTTTAAGGATATGCTAACACAGCAATACAACATCAACGAAAACCGAACCTGTACACCCATAATGGCGAACATTATCATTGTCACCACGATAACCAGCACGACGTTCCATATACTTCGCAAGGCGACCGTAACACAATGGATAATGCGCTATCAACATAAACAATTTTTTAAAAATAATATACTTAACTGTAGTATACAATATACAAAGAGAATACCGTAATACCCTTAAACCTTCCGCACGATTTACAGCTATCAACGGCCGGAAAACTCGGAAAACACGCAGTGTCTTTATGGACGAAAATTCCGAATCACTGCAAAAAGGTGACGATAGTTTAGTAAAGTATCGAGCGTTCCAAACATATTTCCACAATGGATTACATACTCGAATGCATAAGACACCAACGACAAGATCACGACCAATAAATCCAGAATATTAAACCAGCTTCTACAAAACGATCCTGGATGGAGAATAAATCCGTACGCCACAATCTTCATTCCTAGTTCTATCGTGAACAAGCCCGTGAAAAAGTAATCGAGATAACTTATCACCTAAAAAAAGAATTCAAAAGATGTAATTTTAAATTGCTTTACTGGGTCGCGTAAACTGCTGAATATAACTAACCAGCTCGAATTCCGTTGGTGTTGCCGACACAGGATCCACAGCTGCCAACAACGCACTGCTCAGTATAATACACACCAGAATAAAAGATCGGCAAACCCGATCGGTAGCAATCAGGTAACACCATTTGCGCAACGGATGTTTTGATCCAAAGAGGAATAAACTGCGGTGCAATGGTAAGGGATCAGACGCGAAAACGGACTGATGCTCCTGTTTTTTCAGCATTTCCTGTTCTTCCTCTACAGTTTCCTCCGATTGTGCTTTCTTCATGTAATCAACAGGCGGAACGGGTAAAGCTGGCAAATTTCCAGAACTTTGGATATGAATAACGTCTGCCGATCTCATATGAACCGGCTGAGCTTCCTTGACCATAATGCGCGTAGACCTGCACGGACTGGACCAACATTGTCGATCTCTGACGACCAGCTGTTCACTCGGCTGCTCGCGCTCAGTGAGCAAAATCTGTACTTCCTCGACATTTTCTGGTGGATCATCAACTGCGTAGTGTATATTAGTTTCTTTGATTTCAGTAATTTCTCCAGGAATGTCCTCGACCGATAGGTTGGTGGCTTCGCTCATGTTATCCACAGCAATGGCCAAAAACACATTCAACAGAATATCTGAAAACGAGAAGATTTTCATATCGATCAGCAACATCTTTCGTGTACGTTCGGTTTACATCTTCCGCCAACGATGACTGCGACGAAGTAAAGGGACATAACAGCGCCGACAGAGTGGATGCCGTTATAAGCCTGGATTCCCCGGAACATAACCTTGTGCCAATCTTCTCCGGTCAACATCTGCAATAAATAAAACGCACTGCATGAAGTGACGGAATAAAAAGAATTCTTGCAAATCGACCTGAAAAACCGACAATCCTGCCTGCCAGAAACTGTCGAAACTCGGCCGGAAATCATCGTCTTCGCTCCAGCGAATGAATTTTCCACCAAAAAGCTGCATACCCAAAATGGCAAAAACAAAAAGGAATAAGAAGAGCAGGAACAGCAAACTAATAATCGATTTCAAGGAGTTCACAATGGAAAAGGTCACACTGCGTAGGCTGGACCAGTGCTGGGTGATCTGGAATATCCGAACAAGACGCGCTGCTCGCAAGACTGACAGTCCCAGCTCTGGAAGTAGTTCCAGCTGATTCAAGACGCATTCTATTACGCTGCAGCCAATGATAACAAATTCAAACCGATTCAGGAAAGATGCAAAATAGTGCTTGGTTCCCAGGGCAAACATTCTAATGAATAATTCACCGAGGAATAGTATCACAAACACGACATTTGCGCGATCTGTAAGAAAATTAAATAAGACCACACTTTTTTAATTGTCTTTCTAAGACCTTTCGAAGACCCCACTATCCTAATTGGGATTTATACTGTTATATTTATATTCCAACGTGTTAAAATAATTCAAATTACCTTGAAATACAGTCAACCAGTGCGGCTGACCATAATATTCGGTAGCCAGAACACACGTGTTAAGAAACACTAATACGATGATGAGCCAGAAAAAGAATCTGGATTTAATCAGGCGGAAGCAGGAAATTCTGGCGCGCTGCCATCCTTTCTGGATCTGGCAAAAGGTCATCGTATCCCGCCATCCAACAACAAAGATGTCATGCCGTAGCATCCGAATGTCTTCGTTAATCGGTCGCGGGCGATTGTGTGGTCGATTGCGTCGGCTGGCGATTCGTTGTAAATAATCCTGCATAAAACTGTCTAAGTTGCGGCCGCTCATGAATTTTTTCAGCGCACCGCTCTTCTCGGCCTTCTGCTTTTCCTTGGAGAACATGCTATAAAAAAGAAACAACAAACTTCACAAATTACAGTCATGAATTGTTAATACATTATACACAGTAATCATACCCACTGAGAACACCGAGAATCAAATTCAGAAGGAAATAAGATCCAAGTATCACCAAGGACACGAAGTAGATCCACGCCCAATTCTGGCCAACTATGTTTTCCACCTGTTGCACAGCGTATGATACGTAGAAAAAAGTAATTAAAATGGCAATTACTACAGATGCTACCAGGAAATCTTTACCGCGTAGAGAATCGAGCTCCATCCCTCCAAGGTCAAGCACTGAAAAACGGTCAGCATGGCCAAGCCAATATTATCGAAACTGGTTATCCCGTGCTCCGGACCCTCCCAGCCAGGCAGACAATGTTCACCGTTGGCGACATCACAAAACTCGTCCGTGGCACACGTTTCCGGATTTTTTACAATACGGAATTCCCCTTCAAACACAAAATGTGTCAAAAAAAAACTACGAAATGCCGAGTGAAATTAACTGCGTGATATTATCAAAAATTTAGACAAAGGCTGCTATCGCCAAGCGCTTTTACCACGGTCCCTCTATGTATACTTTTACTTTCTATGCTTTTACCATGTACACGGCACGAGCATAAACAGGCACTATTCGTATTACCATTTTGTGATAATTCTGTCCAATGGAAATCCGAAACCTTTCAGCGATTGGCAAACATTCGTACTATTCGTTCGCTTTAATAAAATTTACACAATAAAAACTGCCAGCTGGATTAAAAAACACTAGCCAATCTCTTTAGATAATTCAAAGGTGGCCACTATGAACCTTATAAAATAACTAAAATTAATTAAAAAATAAAGTAATAAAACCACAAATTTTAATTTATAAATGTACTAATAAATAAACTGTAAAAATACCTGTGCGATTTGTGAAGCATGTGCGATGCAGAATGCCCATAAATAATTCCACTCCCACGATGGCGTACGTCAGCATCATGAACAGTACCAACAAGGCAATGTGGAGCAACGGAAGCATGGCCTGTAGTACGGCATTAAGAACCACTTGTAGACTGGGCAGACCGGACACCAGCCGCAATGGACGCAGCACGCGGAACGCGCGCAGTGCATTGACGTCGAACGTCGCCGAGTGGTCAGCCACGGGCACACTGGCATGAATGGCCACACTGATTAATCCCACTACAACGATGATAAAATCCAAAACATTTAGCCCGTTCCGCATGTACGCTCCCGGGTGGCCGATGAAGCCGAATGCGGTGATTTTTAAGGCACATTCGAGGGTAAAAACAGCAATGAAGAAATATTCGAGTTTGTCCTGAAAGGACAAGCAGACTAGTACTTCCTGCCCTGTACACACCTCCGGAGAGATCATTCAAAATACATCTAATTGATTACTAACCAGGATATCATTGGTTTTGTCGGAATCTCCGTTTGGATAGGATCTATGAATGGCCAGTGCGATACAGTTCGCCAAAATAAGACACAGGATCATCACATCGAATGGCCTAAAATCAGCAAGATTTGTGTATAAATGTAAAACACCATTCAACTCGGATCAGAATAGTACGATATTACTACCATACTTCCAGCGGACAATCCATAGTGCAGCCCGTCGCACAGGATGATCTGCCGGAAGACAAAATAAGGATCTGGGAAGCGTTTTGGACGGCATCCTTGAACGTCGCGACTGACATTCAGGCCTCGCGCGGGATTAGATTCATGCGCTCGGACTTGTGACCGTTTACTGCACAATTTCACATCTTGAAACTTCTGAAGGGTTGGATCTCATAATTATAATCATTATAAAACGACAAAAGATTAAGTATTAATAATAATTATATGTCGTCTTCTATCAGAGCAGAAAGTTTACATCTTCCAGAAGACATACAAAAGATGCGAACGATTTTGTTGTCAAGCCTGAATGCTACAGAAACGTGAGCGAGTGAGTGAATGACCATAGGTCCACAGGTGCAGTGCAACCGTGCAATGGTATTGATACTTTTCTTATTCGTTAAATCCTACATCATGCTCGTGTTAACGATAAATAATTTAGTACAAATCTTGTACCATCTCGTACGATTTGCTTGTGTACTTATTTTAATGAAACCGGACAACTGCACGTAAACGTTAAGGATTAATAGTGTACAACAATTGTACTGACGATGAATTGTTACGAGTATTAGAACGTGAATGCCAGATGCAATAAAAATAATCATGTTCATTATAGCATTATCATTGTTAGTTGCATAAGATGCTAACCAGAAAGTAAAGAAACTTGAAATTGGTTTATTCTTTCGAGTGTGTTTTTGCAATTATCTTAGTGCTTAAAGTCTGATGCAAATCTCTTAATTCTTAGATAAAAACATTAATTTTAACCGAAACACAGCTTATGCGTAGTTGCCAGTTTGCAGCTGTAGCGCAGTGGTAAAACATAAACAAAACCAAAATACAGTAATAATTTCTAAACAGTAACAAACTATGAAAGTAGACTGAAGTAGTATTTACAACGAAGTAATTTCTATTATAGCGACATAATTTCTATTATAAAAGCTTTCACAGAACACCGTCACTGACAGAGCATTTACAACCAATAAAGGGAGATCAAAATCGTGGCTGTACAAAATGCACATGCCCCATTGAGCAACCGGAAGCGACAGTAATATTATCCGCTGGAGAGACGTCGCAGCACAACACATCGCTGCAATTTGGCAAATCCACCAAAGCAGCCACATGGAACTGCGAAGCATTCCTTCCCATTGGTGAGTAGGAGAACGGCACTGCCGCTGGACCGCTCGTTAAGATGCTAATTTTCGCCACTTGTGGACAAGCCACAAAACATCCGTTAGGTGAGAAAGCAGGTTCCTGGAAATAATCCTCCGAAACTTTATCCCGAATAAAGAACTTATTAACAGCGTTATCCGGAATTTCCGGAGAACACCGGGGATTAGACTCCAGTTTATAATAGGCCGTATAAGAGTATTCGTCACGGCAACGGCACAGTCTGTTTTTCCGCACCAGAATTCCCCCACCAAGAGGATCCACCTTCATGGAACGATACGAAGCAGGGACGAGCGGTCGATTGCCGTCTTCAAGGATCTTCGTTGAATTAATGGATGACCAAGCCGGAAGGTACCGTTGTTCTTTGGCCCTCAGAGCCGGCTTGACAAAACACGTAGTCATCGTCGAGGGACGTACAGAAGCAATGAGCAAGTTTCCGTCGTATCTGGAATTTTCCGGGAGATACGCCGATCTTAAAATGGGTTCACTCACTGAAGAAAGCGCTAACGGTGTCATCAGATCCGAATCATCCAGGCTAACTCGATAGATAAACTTGGAAAAGGCGGTAACCAGCAGTGTGCGCTGACCATTTCCGTTGCTGTGCTTCGGGATCAAATGCATGTCTTTGATCCACGGCTGGTCACCATCGAGAGAATGTTCTCCGATGAGTGATGTCGGGGTCAGATCGTTGATATGGAGGACTTGCATAGGTTTGTTGCACAGGCGAACATCCCAGGTGGCAATGCAACAGTCATCGGAGCAGCTGATGAAACGCTGTTCATCCAGCCACGAGAATGCGTTCACACCATCGGCATGTGCAAAACGGATGCGTGTCAGACGTTCAGTGGCGCTGTGCAGAATGTCAATAAATCCGTTTTCGTATGAAGCCAAGAGAATGGATCCATTCGGAGAGTAGCTGATATTAAAGCATGCTCCTGTCCCAAAACCGTAGTTCATCTACGAAAATGAATTAATATCAGCAAAAGAAAAAAGGGAAAAATTTCTTCTACATGTAACTAACTGATCACAATTAAGAATAAATTACCGTGTGGAAAAGGTCCATCTTGTGATAAGCCAGATTTCGCCAATAAGGATTCCACCGTTGCGCAGAATTACAGCTTAAAAGCTGCATTCGTGTACACTCGTCTACATCGGAGGCATAGAACATTCCACCGGTTTCCCGACCAAGAAGTAACCGTCCATAGTCTCTAACGACAGCACGTGTAGCGAATCTCTGCTCACGCTGGCTATCTGGAACAATACGAATTTTTAGTCAAAATGACTGCAATGGATGGGTAACAATAACATTATCAAAATTATCGTTACGAGGTTGATCGTTTTGTTTTCCTGTAACAAATCAATACATACACAGTAAGCGATATCACAAAGCAGAAGCATACCACGCAAACTATGTACCTTCTGTCGATATTTCATTCGTCGGGAAAAGTGACGGTCGGAAATGATCGCCGTGAGGGACGATGTAGGAAGGCCACGATTGAACTTGGCGAATTACGATAGGACTAGAGCCCCTTTGCAGAGCGTCATCTAGTACCACCGGCGTTCCTGTATGGGATTTCTCTGAAAGTGGCTGGGCTTGTTCAACGAAACTTGGGGCGGAAAGCGACCGAATACGTCTAGGTATTGATCTCGGCCTCATGGCTCCAGTCAACAAAACGCGGATCGTGAGTTATTCACCCGTGGTCTGCAATGATCGTGAATATTCAATCAGTAAACGGTTTTACTGGCACCAGTCGATACCACTACAAACGAGCAAACAGTCCACCAGAACGTAATAAGAAATCATAAAGGCAAAAAACCCCAAATTTTGGTTTACGAATGCGATAGTGCAAACGTTTTCTATTTTTATATTTCCATAAAATAAATAACATAAACAAACAGCCAAAATCTGAACCACAAGGAAGTTGAAGAAAACCCTAGAGTAGAGTAGATTCTCAAGCAAGTAAACGGACGCAGGTGGCTGCAACAGCGACTGAATCATCTGATCGCATGCATCTGAAAAGAAAACCGCTGCTGTAAGTGTAGGGCCCCTAAATGTATCAGAAAGTTGTGAAAATTAGAAAAACTTCACTCTGAAAGTTTCAGAAAGTTAATTATTACGAGCGTTCTTGCCTCTGCTTTGACAACGCTCTTCCTAATATCCAGTTTTTGTTCAAGATAAATGTCTCATGGTTGCTGCAGAACTGCAAAAGCTTATCTTCGTCAATCGTCATGGCTTAGAAGTATCCTCGTCCTCAGCTCGATTTGCGTGCAGCATTGCATGATGAGCTGCTAATTAATTAAAAACTTTGTACTGCTTGCTGTCTTTCAAGATTGTCAGGCTCTGGCTTCCCTGAGCAGTGACGTGTTCCGTTTATCAGTATCGGAAGTTCCGTCACAATGAAAGCCAAAGTTGACAAGCGCAGTCCATACCCGCATCTCAGAACCTATAACTACATCGTCTCCTTGCAGCTGCGTCTGCAGAAAGCACAGTCCGACGCCGTGAAGACGGTTCTCAAACTTCTCTTCCGGATACTGTTCAGCATTACGCTGGTGTTGTTCATATTTGGACTGGCGCTCTTCATCTTCTTCATTTTCCATTACCTAACATTACCCACCATCCTCCATGTCTTGCCCGTGCATTTGTCGTATGCAGACTGCAGTCGAGCGCAGTCCGAGTATTGCAAATATCCCACCGCCGTCGTACCGTTTATCCAACGGAAACGCATGGGCAAGGAGAGTCCGCTGCTCATGTCCGGACAGAAGTATGCTATGTGGGTGTCGGTTGATCTACCGGAATCCGAGGTAGCACAAGTAAGCTCATTAACGGGGTTGCATGTGCACTGCATGTTTTGCCACTAACAAAAAATACGGCTTGCTGCTTGGTGTTGCTTGCTTTTGTTGTCTGTACCGCATTTGAACGATCTAATCGTTAATTTACTTTAATTATGTTGGTATTCCTTCAAAGACCAGTCACCACACATGTTTAACCAGATTTTTTTTATATTAAAGTACATTCACTGTATCATTTTGTCAGTATGCACAGACAACAATAAATTTTTTCAGATGTCTTCAAATATTATGTTTAAAAAGAAAGCAGTTTTCCGTGTTCGCCTCCGTTTGTGTGTTGTTCGCACTTGAACCGTGCATGTGAAAATGTGCAGTATCATACTTTTAACACCAAACATTGAAATTGCTGCGTGGATTTGGTACATGGTTTACTGTGTTTAATTAAGGAATGTTTTACAGGAAAATGCTCAAGCCGGAATTTTTATGATCAACATCGCGCTACGTTCGTACGATGAAAATCTGTTAAAATCCGCATCTCGTCCTGCTCTTCTGCAGTATCGCTCCTACATCCACCATTTAGTACGCATCATTGTGCTCTCGCCGTTGTATTTGATGGGATTCCTTCAAGAACGGCAGCATTTGCGCGTAGATCTGATTGACCTATACCAAGAAGATCCCTATGCGCCGGTAATGGACGCTGTCATTGAAGTGCGCAAATCCACGGTGAATATCTACAGTATGGAGTTACACGTGGAAGCCCGGCTGGAGGGATTGCGGTACTGGATGCATCGGCATCCGGTGATTATCGGGGCGATTATCGTCGGCATTAATTTCTTTTGCGGATTGATTCTGGCGGGATTATCGCTGTCCAATCGTTTTGCACGCCAAAATATGAAGGAGTTACCAGCGTCTCAAAGTACGGAAGACTTCGGTTTTGATGAGACCGTTGATCCGCTGGAGACATCCGAAATGGAAGACGGCGGGGACGAAGTGTTTGTTGACTGGCCAGCAGATGCAAACGAAGGCCTGAGACACCGGAAGACGTAGATTTGAATTTTGCTCAGCAGTTATTGACGTTAAACTCATCTAACATAGTATTGGGTTCGATGGGAAAATTAGAGGTGTTTTATTCCATGACGTCGCACATGTGCGTTCTGCGTTGTGACAGTGGTGTTTCCTGTGATAATAAAGTTTTTTTGCGAAATACGAACATGCATTAGCCTACTGTTTTTACTTTAAAGTTTACAACGAGCGCCAGTCTAGTCTTGACGGATTGCTATTTTTTACTTTTTAGTGTGAGTTTTAGTGTGAGACATAATATCTATATTGTCATTTTCGTGCAACTGGTCTACTTTGTCTGTACAAAATTAATACCCCAGCTTTTGCAAAACTTTCTATCCGGTATTGGTTAAGCAGCACTTCTAGTATGTAATCTTAAAAAGTACGAACTGAAATTTGCAAACGTTAATACGAGTAAAATTATACTGCACAAAAATTATTCAGATCCTTAGTACTCGTATAAGGAAAAAATTTTTACACTTTTGTGCAGCGTGGTAACTAATGTTGTACGATTGTGTGCGCATGTATCTAGATTTTGTTTGATAATAGCTGAAGCAAACAACTTATAAGTAGACTGTAGACTGTGTAGAGCCGCTTGAAATTGTTATCCATTTAAAACGTCTGCCAAATCGAAAGTACCAAATACCGATACATGTGCATAGCTAATTGTTTACAGTATTATGCGTAAAATGGCTGCGTGACCTTAACTGACTTACAGTGGTTTTTTGGGTTTCTTAAGGTTAACAAAGATGTCGTGTCGGTATTCATACACCTCCTGTTTTTTTTTCGGCATCGCCACGACTAGTGCGAATGAAGGCAGTGGATTTTTTAATTTCAATCCTTTAGAAACACTTATATATACAGCTTTGAGTCAAGACCATGTGTTTAAGTGTCAAGTTATTGCTTGGGTGGTTGGCATTGTAATTCGTATAAAAAAAAACACAGCCTTTATTGCGTCTTTGTTTCCCTATTACATTTTATACTGAAGGTGCGGGCGCGCAGTCACTTACTTACAAGTCAGCGTTTAACCAAAACACAAGAATACCGTGCCAGTATTGCTGGTTATTGTATTGTAGGTAGACAAATTTGGCTGTGATAGCGCAATCAAGTCAGACCGCATTCAGGATCGCTTTCTATTTAACAGAAATTCAGCGCAAAGAGTCCGTCAAGGCGGTTCCGTTTATACGTATGTATGTATGCTCCTCTATTTAAACCGGTCGAAGTACAGTACACTGTACGAAGATATCGCATTTGCACATGCACTGTTGCACAAGCTAATAGAGGTAACGACACGCACCCATGTCCCATGGTAATGTCACCTATACCGTTCAGAAAATTTCAGACCGGCGGACAGAGCTAACGCATAGTCGCATACAAGTACAACAGACACACCCGCTGTACATGTCGCGTAATTTAGATATCTACACAGAGTTACCATGCGTTGCTATAAACATACGATCCATAAAATTAATACCATTTGCGAAGTGTAAAGGCTACGTTAACCGTTAAAATATTCCGTATAGAACTACTGTACAATACTGAATACAGATCAACATAACTAAATAGTATAACCTGTAAGCAGGTTTAATATAAACCATTGACCATGTACCGGGCATAATACAAGATCAAATGACGGCTGATGACGTCAGAAGTCGGCAGCCATATTGGTTCGTGGGTTCTCGTTTGCCGCAGATTTCGAGATTTTCGACACTGATGCTGGCATATCTTCAAAAATCTTAGCATATGACACCGGGAAACAGTGTGACAACCGTTGCGGCAGCGCTCGGTGGTACGAAATATCTCTATCATGCAATTCTTGAGATTCCGGGTTTAATTCACAGAGAACGAAATCATGGAAGCTAACCAAGAAAATCTGGTACATCGTTACATGTGCCATTTTGGTACATGTAATGCAAAACTTTCTGCTTTCTTGTCCATTTATCGATATCATACCGATTCAGTTTGCATCGTATTCCCCAAGCTTTCGGATTTGCATCTGCGGTAATACTTTATTCATCCATGTCATTGTACAAACGGCTAATAACTGAACTAACGCTTCTGTTTGCGAATGCGAGAAACAACCCGCATGACGAATACCTGCTACATAAATCCCATCGTCGACTACAATTACGCATTGAGATATATATACCGTATATTCAATGCAACGTATATACAGATCATTACAAGAGTAGTATTATAAGTTTCAAGTGGCCGTAATAAAGCTATAATAAACAAAAATTAGTATTGGACAGCCCCCCATAAATATTTGCTACAACAGGTACGTGCTTCTATATACAGACAGTATGCAGGTGTTATTGTATTTACGTAGGCGCTGCACGGTTGAAACGGGCAAGCCTAATATAACATATGGCAGACGTAGTCTGTCTATATATTATATTAGTATAGGATCCAACGTGTAACTGAAAGGTTACTGAAAGGTCAGGATGATTCTGTCTGTTCTGAGCTTTTGCGTCTGTCTATCCTCTAACGGGGAAAAGATGGAAAGTAAAGGACACTAAAGGTTAGCCTCAATCCTGTCTGTTCAGTTGCCGATTCTCTGTCGGATTCCCGTTCGAATAGTGAAGGGATGCTGTACATGTATCGCAAAGCTAGACGGTCGGTATTCAAAAGCAATCATACAATCGTTGGGCAGCAGCCTTGCATTCCTATTGTCCTACGACAGTATCAGTGGATGACTCACCTTACTCTCCATACTATCTGCGCTCAGAAAAAAATTATTGAACTGGAACACTTAATTGCTCGTTTCCCAGGACAAGAATGTTGTGTCCAAGATGAACAATGCATGTCAAAATAACGTATTGCTGCACATCAGAATAGTTCAGGCATTCCAAAATTCTAGAAAATCTACGTTAGAACTAGACAACTCGTACGCAGATGAACACATGGTTCCGATTTAACTGGCCTCAGTGAAACGCGTATTTTCACTATCAGTATCCAGTATCCACACCGAATTTCTTTTGCACGACTGCAGTGTTTTACAAAGGAATCCTAAATACATAGATCGGAAAACTGCACCCAAATCACCGGTGTAGCCATAATGAAAGGAACACTGGAAGCGATGGTCCGCTGGTATGGGTGCAGTTTTTCAATCCGTGAAGGTTTCCTTTGCAAACACTGCAGTCGTGCAAAAGAAATTCAGAGACGGTAAAATTTAACTTTTTTTCAAATTTTTCACTGCATATTTGTATTGTGTATTAATGATATAACCACCGCCTACGTATTCAATTCCTCTACGGGGGAATTGTCACGAATGTGTTTTCTAACTACGTAGTAGGCACCGGATATCTTTGTGGATGCACTGTTCCTCACTGGAGTATCGACAAAAGGTCAGTGTTTGTAGGCAAAGGAGATCATCTTTACTTTCACAATTACCATCCATGCAGTGGCCGCAAAGCTTTGAGAAAAAATCAAGAGAGCGCACAGTGCAGCTTAAGATCTGAACACAACGCAGTAAAAGCTACAAATAAATACCAACCAAAACGGTTCATTGCAGTTTTTTCGTAATTAACATCCAGCACACAAATCGAATTAGAAAAACAACAAACCATAACTGTGGACAACAAAAAACAGGACTGTATGATAAGTACTGCCTCTTATCAATTCTGCATCACAATATGAAAGCACATGAGTGTCCAATGTAATCCGGAAAAATAAATGCAGCTGCAGTTTTCTGGTTGGTGCGTGGAAAACTTCAGCGAAATGCCCCCCAATGTCAATCGAGAAAAAAATCCATGCGCACAAGGATAGATCGTCCACTGAACTGCGAGAGTAAAATTAGCGCTAAAAAATTAAAAGGACTAAGACAACAACGCAAGCATAACGAGGCATTTGCAGCTTTTCCTGCATGGAGCACACATGTGTTAATACTTCCTGGCAAAAATATCGTAACCAAAAACCATACATCCACGAAACCTATGATCCCTTGTAGAAAAAATGCAAACTGGCACAGTAGAAACATATTATCCCGATGATTTGATGAGACAACAGCAGCCTGTGGCTTCAGGCTGTCCGTAGCCATAGATCATAATTATACTGAAGAATTCCAGGCACAGACGACATTTGGGCCACAGGGTGCATGTGTGTAGGCAGTGATAGTTTGATAAGGTGAAAGTACATGTTGGGTATAATGATAACCATCAATTCTTTCCTCTATCCATTCATTCCATCCAAATTTTGCATTTGACTCTTGCTTTGTGATGGATCGCCTCCTCTCGATCCACATTCCAAGCGGCTACACGGACAGGGACACTTGCGACACACGCTGACCAATCAGGGGGACGGCCAATGTGTGTGAGTGTGATTAATCAAACGGTGACTGCAGTTGATCACACGTGTTTGTAACCGCATATGTGTGTCGTACGCATCCCAGTCCAAGCGCTTCACTCGCATTTCTTTCCCATTCCAGCTTCCAATAGAGAAGCGTGCTATCCACCAACTCATTAACCCCTCATGACCCAATACACAACGTGACAGATATAAAAAAGAGACACAAAGTCAGCAGAGAGAACTGTGCTGTAGTTGCTGACCGGACAACGACTGCTGGCGCGATGACACTATGCAGCAGCAGCTTACGCACGGCCTCGGTAATGGAGTTGTGGTTTAGCGGGTGAGCATGATGACCACACGAGCGGAACACCGGACACCAATAACAGGACAGTTCGTATAAAAGCTATCCAATAACTGGATCAGGAACTAGTTGACGGACCACCAAAACCGATGCCGGATCGCAGTTCTTCTCCGCTCTCTCGCACTTCCCGCATGTAATCGCTGATGGTGTCGCGAAGGCGGCCCCATGACCTTTCGGGTATGGTTATGGAGCTGCGAAAGTTTTGCTTGACCTACAGCAGAATCTTATCACTTTCAAACGCTAAAACTCTTACCATAAGACTGCTATTTATAACTTACCTCGGATATTTTCATGAAAACTCCACGGGTGTTTTGGCCAATATCAAAAAAGAATGTTTTGTTCTCCACTCGGATCGACCGACTCTCAGGGATATCACCCCGAAAGGGAACTACTGTAAAAGGTGAAAGTAAAATTAACTTCCTTGTTGGGTTATGCCTAAATAATATACACTTACTCCTTTCCTCTTGAGCATCCTCTTCTGATCCGAATTGGTCAATCAACTCCGTAAATGCGTCTCTGAGTCTGGTGATTCCTTGTGCGGGTATTCCGATCTGCGATCGATTTCCACGGCTTATGAGAGACAACTATAAAAACAAAACTCATTCATTGAACGAATAATACGTACTACTTTGTAGAATACATTTGCTTGTTTCTTATGTAGATAATGATACAATTATTATTATCTTATTCTTTTGTGTGTGGCCAATTACAACACATCAGTGTTTTGAAGTAAAAACATTCCGCAAGTGTTAGATGAGCTTGTGCTATTGCTGCTTACGTTTAATGGCAAACGCCTGATTATGCAGCGACGCATGGTTTTAGCAAAGCAATTATGCGACTAAATTAGACTATCTTAGCATAATCTTGCTGTTATAATCCGTTGGCATAATTTATGGACAAGTGCTTACGTTGATAGTTTGAAGCAGACTGTAGCCTACAGTTACGTAGCTTACGTGCAGTACAGGATTCAGTAGTACTACTCGAAACGCACTTTAAATGCGTTCTGCAAGATACAGAGCCGGGAGTTCTGTAAAACTGAATCTACCAATGGTACAGCGCTGAATCTTATAGAGCGTTACAGAGCAACGAGACCTCGGACTCTAAAAGCGCCCAGTTACCGTTGACCAATTTGGTCAACGATTTATTTACTATTCACAACAATTTTGTGGCCGTTTCCTTTCTGTTTTTCTGGCGATTTTAAGTTTTATTAAGCTGAAGAAATCAGACGACTGGTGAAAAAGCGAAACGCAATTGCACCTAAAGTATTTACGTCGAGGTGGTTTTACCATTCCTCGCGCTGACGACTATGGCGAAGTCGCCTGTTGCCATCGATATAAATTCAAACATGCACAGCCGGAGGCAGCATAAAAACAGTGAACAAAGCAGAACTGGAATGTTGATTCGATAGAAGCAATTAAATTCCCGTTACTTACACCCTCAAATCTTGAAAAATAGGACTTTAGACGAATTAAAAATAGGACTTTAGACGTACAGCGGACTGTGCATCCACATCAAAAAATAAATTTGACATAGCAAGAAATGCGAGTTCTGTATCGTAACGGAGCCAGGAGAGTTCCTTTTAGATACAGAACACTTTAACTCAGTCGTCCAATCAGCGGTAAGGGGGTGGTATCAAAAGTTACAGAACTTCCGGCTCTGTATCTTACAGAACACAATTTAAAGTGCGTTTCGAGTAGTACTAGTATTCATTAACATACTGTAACTTATGCTTATAGTGCCTCAACCCTTCTAATGCTACGCTAAATGCTCGTACATGGACTGCTTGTCATTCACGATCGATCGTGACCTTATAGTTTAATCGATCAAATCTGTTCCAGTTTTGCTTTTTTTTTGTTGAAGAAAAACAATTTGGAATTTTACTGCGTCATCTTATCTTAATTCCGCAACATAAGATTGGCAGGCGCAATGTGTCAAGAACAACGAACAGTATAATATTCACTATTCACGCACTGTGCTCAAATAAAGTTAATTATGGTCTGTGCGCCACGCTAATGACCTTTCGCCTATCGGCTGTCAGTCGTGCGTGGTATCTGTTGGACTCAACCAAGACTCAACTATCATGAAGTGAAATTGCAACAAGTCCGCTCTGCAGACTCATTTGTGGATGGGAAAGGTCAAACTAATTTTAAAACATTTGGAATTCATAAGAATTAAGATAGTAGGTAACAGCAATAGGGGTAACCTGTGCGATAACCCTCGCTGGCCAGTTCTGGTCTATGAAAACGCATGGTTTACTACCAGCAGCACACAGGCTTAGAGGTTTTGCGCATGTAGGCATCGATCGCTCTGTTCAAAATACTTTTAAAAGTTTAAGTTTTCTGCTTTTGTGTGAAACCTGATATCAGACAGCAAAACAACACAAAACCTTTTCAACACATTTTTAGCGCAGATTTAAGATCAAAGCCGAAAGCTTTTTCTGTAGCTTCCGGATAATCAGAGGCGTTATCTAGCTACACGCGCAAGAATTTACGGCGCACCCATATTTATGTCCGCAGGTTTCGGACCTCGCGGTACATCGTCGGTGAATGCAAAAACTACGAACGTTATACTGCTATCCTCTATCTCTACAGATACATTGTATAATGGTTGAAGATTAAAAACTTTGTTACAGTTATAGTACTTATCTAGCCACAAAATATCGGCAGTGTAGAGATCTCGCTTACAATCAGATTCCTTTAATAGTATTCTTTCAACTTGTAGAGATAAGTTGAGATAGGGATATGCATCTTTTTATATGCACGCTCAGACAATTAAGTCCGTTGACTGGCAAAATTATGAAAATTGTATACGCATGGTTTTTGGCGTTTATCTGCCAGGTTACTGCCAAGAAAAAAACGTTAGCTTGCAAGGTGTAGACATCTTGGATTAAGATCGCGTCATGCTTTAAATATTACTGTTTGCTTTTAAAAAAGTTACGCAATGCAGCTGCTGTTATCAGTCAGAAAGTTAAAGGTACACATATGCAATGCAATCTCGCAATTAATGCAGCGACGGCATGCGCTAATCCATTCGAAAAGTGTTCCTGATTAACGGCACAGTAATTGATCAATATGTTAAAATTAATTTGCGGTTTAAAAAAAATCCCAGCATTTTGAGATTGATCAAGATGAAGTAACACAAGTAACCACTTACACGAATAAATCTCCCTCGGTCGTTTTCCTTAAGGTCAATAAAATAGCGTCGGAAATCTTTGACAATCACCGCACTTTTTAGCTTTCCATCTTCCGGCAAGTGGGTAGGCGCAGTAGGACCTGCCGAGCGACAACAAAGATGATATTTTCTGAGGCTATTGACCGAACCCCCGTCAGAACGATCAATAATGCACTGTACCGAGCATTCTATATGAAGAACTGAAGAATTGAAAAACTATTAACACCACAACCGTAGTAAACGAACCTATTTGCAGGTTATAATCGTGGAATTCTGTTAAGCGATCACGGAATTCGGCGGAAATGGACATGGGAAGGATGATACGGTTCTTACGCCGACCCGTCGCCACTTCGGCCAGCTTAATGAAACGTCCGCGGCGATTTTCTTTGACATCCACGTAAAAACGTTTGGCTTGTATCTGCAGAGTACGACTCGCCAGTTCCTGCTCACCCTGCTGATCTCCGCTACTGCCACCATCTATTACACACGCAACACTTAATGCAGCGAATATTATCACCCGACAAAAATTAGCGAAAAATCGCACACTTATAATATGCGAAATATTGTATGTCTGTATGTATATATTATACCCTGTATATAGGTATATATATGGCGAAAAATATTACTTATATTACAATTATTACAATAAAATGTCCGTATAGTGAAAAAGTACTGCTCTTATTACAGAAAAATGTATGCCCAGTTCTGAATTACCGGATGGTTCCATTATTCCACCGAAAAAAGAAGAAGCACTGTGTAAATCCACAATTCATTTGCTGAAGGGAAACAAGAAAAAGCAATCAGCTGCAATTTTTTCCTTATGTATCAATGTCTCGGAGATAACCCGATATAAGAAAAAATTTCCCAAAATTTGCATAATATTAACGAGCAGGTAAATCATTGCTAGACAGACAATTTACCTTCCAGACAACGGTGGTAAAAACACATTCACAGCGAGATGGCAAATATATATCTTTTCACAGTATATAATTCAATGCATTGAACGCTGGTTGGTTCCCCTAATCAAGTTGCCCTAAATCGGTCCACAGTGTATATAAGCTGTAGTTCAGTGTTGGGTACGAAACAAAGCATCGTCAGCTGCATTGCATGGCCAAACAGTGTTGGCGGCGGCTGTATACTGTGTAATACCCAGACGCAGACAGACGTTACAGTTGTCTACCAACCGTTTCGTGTTTGGTGGCGAGGAGTAGAGAAAAATATGTAAGAGAGTACTGCGGAATCGCGAGTCTCCAGCAGCAACCTAAGCGCCAAGCCAACGACCTCTGTGGCCAACGTTAGGGTTTTTACTGTGGCTCTTATACCCAGGAAACGTCTGCTCTTCGTCAGTATATATGTGGTATATAACCGTCTGCGCATATGGACCGTCTATACGTGTATGGGTGCGTGTATATATAATGAAATAATTCCGGAAATAATTGTGTCCTCTACAACATACAGCGGTTAACCTTCATTACGTCATTGTCCTTGGAGTTTTTGCTGAACGGAAATGAATGCGGGAATCTTGGGATTTTGGGAGAATTTTGTGGACGGAAGTGCAATTTTGCTATTCCAGCGCAGAACTGCTGGTTGACCTTTGGATGCATTACGGCCGAAGGCTGCTAGAAAACTGATTCCCAGGTTTTCCCGATTTGGTTTTTGAATTTTGGTGTAATTCCATGAGTTCTACATACCGTTAGCCGAGACACTGTCGTTTCCTGGCGAACCGCGAACACCGTCGGGCGGCCCATTTCACGGCCTGACTGGCCGCTGCTTGGGTGCGCTGTTGCGTTATCGCATGTTTCTGCAGTTTATATGGCCATATAAAAATTGATCTAACCCGCCAACAAGCTGATTGTTGTACCGTGACCTTGATCTGGACCGTGTGGAGGACCGTTTGGATGTGGCTCGAGCTGTGTTTTCTATTCCGTCAATCCGCAAAACCGTTATTTTTAAGCTGCCTGTTGCAATATTCGCGGTATCGGTTGAATTCAGAAAAAAGTGGCCATATTAAATTTTTTTATAAACTACGAGAATTATAAGATTCGCCGAAATTTAAGATTTTAAGGTATCTGCATATGTAAAAAAGAGTTTTGCGTGTTAGAAGTTAGAACGAATATAAACAGTTGTATTTATTCGTTACAACTCTATTCCCTATTAAATAAATCACGGATGTTTTTCAGTTTTGGCGCACGAGGCCCATTTTAGGCTATTTAACTTTATTTCCGATACGGAAGATTTTATGTTGTATGCAAATCGATGCGTATATAGGATATTTTTTAGAGATTATCGCCTGTGTTTGCTGAAAAATAAAAACAACTGATGTCCGGTTTCGCGTTCGGCTCCGTCCACAATTTGTTGTAGCAACTGCCGTATGCAAAAATGTTTTGTTATTATTTATTTTTTGTATGGAATTTTTAGCACACGAAAATTTTAGGGTTATGAAATTCCAACGATTAAAGTTCATTATGCAACACCAGTCAGTCCACAATCACGCTACAAACCCGTACCGTTGAATTTAGCCGCAACGTCTGCAGTAGGTAGAGCAGAGTACAGCTCAACCGCAGTCCGCAGTACTAGCTGAAATGTAGGGCAACATTGGCTGCTTTTATGATCTGCATGGCCCCTAAAAGAGAGCTACAATTGCCGAGTGCGAGCACATGGATCTAAATAGGTCAACAATGGTTCGTGGTGTGGGTATTTCACTGGTACACAAATATGTCTCTGTTGTCACACCATCGAGGCACAATATAGGTCACCGCGTATATATAAACTGGGCTTCGTGCTATAAACGCGGTTGCTTTCTACATTTTGGGATGCATTTGGCGCCGCCTACCAGGTGTATAATATTCTTACCTACCAAAATACAAACAATTATCAGCGTGTTTCTTATAGCCGGTTTTGTGAGCCGACTAACAGAGATCCATTACACTTCACAAGACCTTTTAAAATGGAAATTACAATACTGCAACGTCGAAAAAATTTCGATGTTGGTAATATGGTATAACTGTTATTCAAAATGACGGTTGTTAATCGCGCGTTAACAGAATATAGCAGATGGCGCAACTGCACCGTCCCCAGTTAGCCGGCTGCTCTGCAGTGCAGTCTGTGACGTATGCGCGGGGATGAAGGTTCCACATGCAATACACAGGCGGCGCGACGGACGCCCTTGAATGCTAGTGTTGGGTTTGTGAATCGATACCAGACAGACGGCAGAGTGTAGACTTCGCGGTAGTCTACTACAGATCAGACAGCTCGGCGTACAACCGCATGAACAGGCGCTCATGTCAGGTATTATAACGTAGTACTGCAATTAAAACGCGAGACAAGGAAATACGAACGTTTGTGTTGTATTGACCATCAGCCGTCTACTGACAAAGCTCACCTACAGTATGTAATAAGGCTGAAATACAATGCTAATCCAATGTATTACAAGCGCCGCAACGCAGACTGTGCCGACTCCGGTTGTCGCTATTGTATTAATTTTTTGTTAATAAGTGAATACTATAATTATATACAATTAATAATAATATAAATATCTATTTAATTTTCTATAAATTTGCTGTGATATCAATGAACCATGGTACTCTGGAGTGAGTTTTTTTTTATAATACGGTTATGTCAGGCATCGCTCATCAGTCATCACTCATCAGTACATCGCAAATTTTAGATACGAATCATACGATACACCAGAACTATAGGTACTTATAATCCTACATGAAAAACATGATGGTGGTATTCATGAAAAACATGCCTTTGTGGCTTTGTTTGTGCCTTTGTGGTAAAACAGTTGACTACGGCGTCTATACTTATTTGCTAAATTTGCTGTCATTATAATAGTTACGGAATTTTTAAAAGACTACTTTATCCAAATTAAATGTGATATCTGGGGACTGGGATAGTGTGCACTTATGCTGCTTCAGCCTGTTTGTACAATACATATTGTACAGTAATACTTATGTTATACCATGATGCGCATTGAACTCGGCAAAGAAAAACTTTAAGTACTGCAAAAACAAACAAATGCTAACAACTGCACCCATTCGGCGCGCGGCTTCCTCAGTCCGTTAACGATAGCTTATCTGCCAGACGATAAACCGAAAATCCATTGATCAACCGCCATACAGATATTTGCATAAATTTTGCATATCGTCTGCCAATCAAATTATCTCATGCCATAATAAATGCTAACAAACAGGGTACAGGGTAAAAACGGAATCTAAAACAAGCAGTAACAATCAACGCTCCAGACAAACGGCGACTGCGACGTTCCCACCCAAAGACAGACATTAGTCATCCTTGTCGCCGTCGTCTTCCTCCTCAACCGTCACACCTTTGTCGCCACGGATCGGGAAGAAAGGCATGTCTTCCACAGGGAGGAAGTTGATTTTGGTCGGACCGGCTTTGACGGCAGTTTCTTCCGCCGGCTGTTGTGGCTCCTCTGTGGTGGGCGCCGTCTCCTCTTCCGGTTCGGAATCGCTACTGTCGGCCTGCGCAGCCATCTGTGCCTACGAAAAGCGATTATGAATTTCTAAAACAAACTCAACAACACATCGATATCTCACTTCGTAAACTGGTCGCAACGATTGCACCTTTTCCGCGTATAAATCATACACAAATTTCAGCATTTCCGGCATGGTTTTGATAATTACGGCCGGACTATCGGTTGGATCAGCCAGCATCTGCAAACAAGAAATAAGAATCCTAAAGTTTAAAACATACCACCCATTAATAAAAATGAACTGCTGCACATGGATGAAATTCGTTGGTTCCTTGAACAAAGAACATTCCTAATCAAAAGAATAAAATTTGCTGACGAACCTTTCTTTCCACTGGAAAGCGTTCAGTAGGGAACAGATGCAATTGTGACGGTCGTTCCATAAGTACAGCCATTGCTGGACTCAGCTCAAAACAGTTTCGGAACAGCGGAATCCGGGCAAAAACATACAACCCCAATCGAGCACGGGATAGCGCGACAACAACACGTCGTACATCCCTGCAATGGATAGCAGCTATTTAAAACAACAAACGCTCACATTTCAGACAATGAATACATCTTTGCTTCCACATACCTCAGATAACCGACTGTCTTTGTGCGTACCAGGGACAGGAGGACATAATCATTCTGTTGACCTTGATACTTATCAACTGTAGCGATTTTATGTGGCCAGCCCACCAATGGATTAGTACCGCATCGTTTTTCAATTACATCCCGGATAAGATGTTTCTGTCCGTTGTAAGCCGCCAGAATTGTTATTGAGGACGCAGGATATCCCAAGAGGCGCATGTACATAAAAGTGGCCACGACGTATTCCGCTTCTGCCAGATTCTACAAGAAATTGTATGAGATGCCAATTCCATTCATTTATCCACCAACGATTCGTTCGCATACCTGTATGAAATGGGCGCTTGGTTCGGATTCTCCCACACCATTGTAATCTTCCACATTGATCAGCTGGTAATCAAACGCGAAGCCGGTATTAGCGGTGAGAAAAGCCGGCATTCGCAATGTGTGCGGAAGGTTTCCGAGGCGCTTATACCGCCAGCTGAACAGGCGACATAAACTATAAAAAACCAAAAAGAACTTACTGTATTACAATTTTGTAAAACAATGAAGTGCCCACGAATAAGAAGCACACGATACTTTCAAAAGAATTTACTGAGATATAACAATAGTCAATAGCAAAAGCAGTAGCGATACCTTGGTCTCATACGGCCTTGCGCATCCAGATCTACCGTAGGAACGCCAAGGCGTACGAATCGGGTGAACAGTGACTGTTCCATGTTGCAGAATTTCTCAAACACCTTATTCTGCACAATGGGTGGTAGCTGATTGTGATCCCCGATCATAATCCATCTTTTCAACCGGTTATATCCATGTTCTGGCTTTTGCAGCAGTAGTGGAATAAAGGTCTCCACTTCCAAGATTTGTGCAGCTTCTTCCATAAGAATGTTGTCATACTGAAAGAAGGAATGTTTACCAATGAATTGGTTTTGCCACATGTCAAGGCTGCAAAAATCTGAACAAACGATGCCTTTACTTTAAATCCGAGATCCACCAGTTCCTGTCGCTTCATCCCAGCATGTGTACAAGTCATGGCAATGATCTTGGCCTCTTTGGTCAGCAGATACCGAGTCCGATCCAATCCACTGCGAAGCAGTTCAAACGGCCGAAATTCTTCCAGCTGAGTAAAGATATTCTCAACGTAACGGAAACACACTTCAGCCGTTTCCATGTCATCGTCAAACGTGTCATTTTTGAATAAAGGCTGCGGAGCATCGCCGAAGAAATTCGAAAACGGAAACGAATCCGACACCACGGACATGGCGGATGCTTCGCTTCCGGCGCTTTTGATTTTATTTTTATAGATCTGCCATCTGGGAAGCACCTGAACAACAAAATAAAAACCATAGAAAATAAAGCAATAGTACTACCAAACAAAACCTTAGCGAACAGAAAAAGACATAAATAAAATTATGCAGCCTTTTTTAAAACAGTACTGTACCTGGTATAAATAAAAATGTCCTGCTGTTTCACAGGTATACGCAACATCCCCGGGGACTCCTAAACTTGTTTGCAGCCGACCGACTTCACTGAGCAACTCTAGTCGCTTCGCAAGGACATAGTTCACTCGTCCATACCGACTGAAGTCTTTCTTGGTCTCCAGGGCTTCCTCACCGTGACCCAGACGTAACAGATGGCGCTCATCAATATCCAAATCCATAATTTTCTCAAAGAGCTGATTCAGTGCTTGGTTGGAATGCGTCACAATCAGCGTTCGCTGCTCCGGAAAATTGTGATAAATATTGGAAATTATCTGCACAGCCACGTCGGTTTTACCGGTTCCGGGTGGACCGACAATCAATGTCAGACCGTGCTGCATGCCGGAAATGATGGCTTGGGTCTGAGCCGGGGTGAAAGGTATGGCATTCCTATAAATTTCTTCTGTTACTCTATTCCACAATTGGGTTAACAGTGAGATGATCTGTACCTTTTCGGTTCAATTCGAGGATATGGAGAAGTGGATTTCTTCACGTAGGGTTCCACGGTCAATCGTTTCGGCAAAGTAATAATTTCCCCATCCACATCGCGTTTCGTGCCGTTCTCAGAGGTTTCCGGCATAGCAAATGTTATCCTGAAGATAATACATACGCATACTGTTAACAGTTATTCACATCAAGCAAATGAGAAACTGACGTGCACTTCCATATTTTAAACCATTAAAGTCATGAAGCAATAGTTACTCTTGAGGCAGCACGATAACATGACTTTGTTTCATGAATTGTTTGAATACAAAATACATAGACAAGCTTCCAAGTAAACATATTATGCCGCACCTAAACGGTGGTTGCATTGGCAAGCCTCTGGGATCACTAAATTCCACGACTTCATCCAGAAAACATGCCTTCACATGTTCCAAGCTAAGGAAGGTATCGTTGAAATCCAGCGTCACGTCTTTGTTGGATAGTTTAGTCCAATGGGCTGATGCGGGATCCCCATAACCAAGCAGGATGTCGTGCAGCCAATCGGGCACCACCCATTCGGAATTAATCAACGTTCGAATCGTTTCCAGTACCGCTTTGAAATTGTTCTCTTCCGGTTTGCGCCGCATAATAATATTAAAACCGCGATATATATCCTGCAATACAGATACATCAGTACAGCAATTGGCATTTGCATGGAAACAACAACACAATGAACTGCTGTGCAGCCAAGAAATATTAAAGTACGAACCGTGCCAGAAGCACTCTGGGAATCCAAATAATACTGGTTAGCATCCAGCCATACGCGGAACTGTCTGGTTTCTCCATGAAAGACAGGTTTATGTTCGGACACTGAAAAGCGAAACCAATACTAACAACACATACACGACAATACAAACGTTAATCCAGCCGTACTTTCATCAATCAGGTTTCCTTTATCATCGAGCATCCCCTCGATTTCACATCCTCTCACGTACATTAAGCCGCTGTAGTCCAAAAAGGAAGCCGTTCCATCGGCAGGAGATCCAACATTTTTGTTAGGTGGTTTGACAGTCAAAAGGAAGCAAATGTCATGCTTTCTCAAGCCTAAGAACGATGTTCATCCAGATTTATTGAACTTCGATACTACTTTTTCACTGACTTTCTTCAATAAAAGTTGAAAAACCCCGCCACATACCTTGCCATTCATCTTTGATTGCATGCCGGACATTAAGCGTCACGGTGATCGTGGCCCGAACTCGTGAGGGCTGCTTGCATCCAACATTAGGCTTGCCAACGTCAAAGACCTCAAACCGGTTGATGGGCAGAGCCATGCGCGCCCATCCACCAAAAACGACACCCCCGACTTCATTTGTCCTGCCAGAAAAAAAATTCTGGATTGAGTATCTTCAGTCCTTACTCGTAAATATAGTTTCTTCACAATAATTTCAAAATTCGTAGCGTTACGACTTACCAAGGCTTCATACGCGCTATCGCGTCTTCGATATCTGTGCGTATTTCATAGGCTGACTCCAGACGAAACAGCTGGAAGTTCCGCAGTAAATAATCGTGCAAGGAAAGGAATTGTAAGTGTAGTTTAGGAAGCGGCATCGTGTCTGTAAAACCAAATTACAGCATGGCTAACAAGCCAATTCGATTCTGATGAACGAACAAAACAAAAAATATTACGACATACTTGATGTTAACGTGAATTCATCCGGGACGAGCGCTTCATCCCAGATAATATCTTCTGTAGGATAAATCGGCATTGCATTAACCCGCTGCAGTTGTGAAACGCGACGCTCATGGTATGCGATAAGGACTTCCGTCAGAATGTGCTTCCTCAAGGCGTCTGTGTTCTTGTCAGACGGATCCAGTGAATCCGTACCCAAAACCCCAACGTAATCACCCAGTCGTTTAAGATCCTCGAAGCTGGCAAAGACAAAGGATTTTAAAAACTGAGTCAATGGTTCTCATCTAAGCCCATACCCAAGGGGATCCAGAAATGCCTTTAGCGCTTCCCGCGTATCGACTTTATAGATAGGAGCCGTCGCAAACTTGCGACCACCGTCGTTATCGGTGAACAATTTGAACACTGTCCGCTGTAAGGCGGAGACACGGTTGTAGTGTTCGGTATTACGTTCTTGCTCCGACACATCATTTCCGCTGAGAGTGATTTCATAGCTTGAATAAAATTCCAGAGCATCAATTAGCTGCGAAAACACCCTTCCTTCGGATCGACGATACAAACCGGACAGTTTGCATTTAACGAGAATATGAGCATCATCCATTAGAGCGTGAAAAAATCGCCGGGTATTCAGCGATGACTGACAATCGATCATCAAGTTCAAGAAGTGCTCGCAATAACCCAGGCATCCCGGCTCCAAATCCCCTAAAACAACGTAGTGTAAAATTAGCTTCCAACACAGCCGTGTTCCAAAAAAAAATTTTCAAAAAGTTGTACAAAATTTTCACAAGCAAAATCTACTGCAAAATACCACATAAACGTGTGTTAGGCACTGTGGTCTGCAAAATGCAAATACCTTCGGGTTGTATTGCGTTTAAAATCGTCAAAAACTGCTGCATAAGATTCCGCATGAAATTCCTGTACAAATCATCCAGAGATTTGGCGGCATCGTCTTTAATAAGATCCTTCTTTACTAGGCGATCCCAAGCCTTTTTCAGATTAGGAGCTTTTTTCAATTCGATTTCCAGACGTTTGGCAGAAAGGAAAACCAAATCGGTAAGCCGAAGATTTTTTGAACTTGTTCTCGCACGATGTCCTCTTCCTGTGCACACAACGTACTGTTCAATATACCAACGAAACAATCTAAAATACTGTTGTCTGCATTCCACTAACTTTACATTTTAGTAACTAAGTGAGTTTAACGCATTTTCAAAGGCAAAATTCACGATACAACTTTTACTGCTTTACATATTCTTACCAAACTGTTAACACAATGTGACAGGAAAATCAACAGTTGGCACTTTTCAGTCAGGGATAACGCCGGCTTCTGCTGATCTTCTTGGTTGCTTTCGGAGGTAAGGACCAGAACTTGTTTAAAAAATTCCGGAAAATGCGCTGGATATGCCGTGAACGCCTAAAATACCAGAAAAGTTATCGAAACAACAGAAAACTCTTGGACATACTGAGATGATTAAAATAATGAAAACAAACAAAAAACCATTAAAATTTCCGCTGCAAACGGTGTCACAAGTGACAAGTGACATTCTGGAAAATACTATGATGCAAAGTAAAACGTGTAGCCACTGTAGCGAGTAACACTTACATGCCATACAGGTGCTCGCTCGCGCTTTTTTTCGTTAATGAGTGCAACAATACTCATGACAAGTTGCCAGCATCTTGATGTCCGTGGAGAAAAATTTGGCCACAAAAATCTCTCCAAATATTGACTGAAGTCTAAGAGCATCAGGCGCCGACTGGAAAACCTACAACCAAAAAATAAGAATGTGCTCGCCTGTAAAACACCCATTCTCCGATAAAAGACCAAAATCGTGGTAGCGTGAATTATACGAAAAACCAAAACCTGCAGAATGCATTTTGTAGCACACCTAACGGCGTCCAGCTCTCGATAGATGCCAACTACCACATCAAGATCGAAGGGTTTGTGGGTAACGGATTCATCGCCCGGTGCCCAATAATCCACCGCCAGCTTTGTAATAACATCAGAATTTATCTGGTCAACAGTGGGATAAGCCGAACGAAATCGGCGCATTCTGCGTGCTGCCATCGTTACGATTTTGACAAATCGGCGCTGCTATGCCGCGAGTCTGCGCGTTGGTCGTATTCCTACGGCTGTCTTCCAAGCAAACGGCGAGAAAAGAGGTGTTTGTCAGCAGCAAGATGAATCCGTTGCAGTTACAAACACCTTGCCGATCCTTCTCCACACGTGAAACACAAGGAAACTAGAGATACCATCAAAAGCATGAATCAGAATGGAATCGAAAGAACTTGCATCTTGCTGGGAAGCTTCAGAATGTTTAGGTTTTTTAAATTTTATTGCAGGCCAAAAATATTCTCACAAGCCACAAAAGTAAAGCACGTGAACGTCTCTGTAGTTTTTAACGCTAAATGATTCACGTGGTATTCTCATGTAGGGCCACCACCACAGAGTCTGGCAGTTTGGTGCTCTTCGCCACTGCGATAAGGAAACGCAGCCGATCATAACTGCTTGTTCTGTTTCTGGTTATAAATTTTCAAACAAAATTAATTTTGAAATATTAAATAATCGAATTTTGGAAATGGAAACAGTTTTTATTTCGTTTCCACTCCTGTAAAATTAGATAAGCTATTTTAATACTTGCTTCACATTTACATTCATATAGTTTAAAAATACAATAGAGACGAATTTCACGCTTAACAATGACTACAGTACCAAGCGCACAGTTCTTGGCCAACAAGAAGAAAAAACAGTTTCTGGATCTGCCTGCTCCACCTGGATATGTCGCTGGTGTGGGTCGTGGTGCCACGGGCTTCACCACGCGTTCTGATATCGGTCCGGCTCGCGATGATACCGATATTACGGACGATCGTCATGCGCACCCTATGAAAAAGAAGAACAAAGATGACGACGCCGATGAGGAAGATGAGGATTTGAACGAGGCTAACTATGATGAATTCAGCGGGTACGGTGGCAGTTTGTTCTCCAAAGATCCATACGATAAGGATGATGCTGAAGCCGATGCGATTTATGCGGCTGTCGATAATCGTTTAGATGAGAAACGGAAAGATTATCGAGAGAATCGTCTGCGAAAGGAATTGGAGAAGTTTCGTCAAGAGCGACCTAAGATTCAGCAGCAGTTTTCTGACTTGAAACGAAAGTTAGATGTCGTCTCAGACATTGAGTGGAAAGCCATTCCCGATGTCGGCGACGCCAGAAATCGCAAGCAGCGCTTGGCGAAACAGGACCAGTACACTCCTGTTCCGGATAAAGTTCTTGTAAGTATCTGTTCGTAAGCAAACTTTCGAGCCCTTGATAGTTGAGGTGAAAGAATGGTTTTAGTACTCGGTAGTGTTTTTCAGTTTTTGCTACAGCAATAAGATTATGCTGTTAGCTAGTTAGCAGAGTGTTTGCTCGAATTTTTGAAGTTACAAAAATTGTTGCACTTGAATGTTTAAAATTTTTTTTCGGGCCACACAAGTTGAACGGATGTTTTATTGCGTTATTGATAATTATTTCTAAGCGGTTATCAACTAGAGTAGGTAAGTTAAACGAGAAATAAACTGCGTTATTGATGGAACGCTGTGAAAAACAGAGGAATAGCGTAATTTTTTAGGCGAGGGCCGCGGAACAATCTGGAATGGCCGCTGCTGTGGATGCTCGTGAACAGAAATTCGGTGGCTTGGAAACACCTCTAGGTCTAGCTACTCCGGACCTTGATTTGCGGAAAGTTGGTGAAGCCCGAAACACTCTCATGGGAATGCGTCTGAGCCAAGTTTCCGACAGCGTTTCCGGACAGACCGTTATTGATCCTAAAGGCTATTTGACTGATCTTCAGTCGATGATTCCAACATTTGGTGCTGATATTCAGGTAATTTTGTGAAGTAAAATAAAGACTGTTATTTATTACTCGAAAATTGTAATGCTGACTATTGTGTATATCTGTCGTTTCCTGACGAGTGAGCGTAAGACAAATTCTGTAATTATATTATTATGGCGTTGTATTTCTCTCGAAATTAACTAATTCGACTACTACTTTCGAAATTAAGATAAACAATTCTCTGTTGCAAATAGTTTAGCGCCCTCACTTAACTGGGTATTCATTTGCAGGACATAAAGAAGGCCCGATTGCTGCTAAAATCAGTACGAGAAACCAACCCGAATCACCCGCCGGCATGGATCGCGTCAGCACGATTGGAAGAGGTTACCGGAAAAGTCCAAGCTGCACGCAACATCATACAGAATGGTTGCGAAGTCTGCCCTAAAAGCGAAGATCTGTGGTTAGAAGCCTCTCGTCTACAGCCTCCTGAATTGGCAAAAAGTGTGATTGCACAAGCTGTTCAGAACATCCCGAATTCCGTAAGGATATGGGTGAAAGCTGCCGATCTGGAAACTGAGCCCAAAGCTAAGAAACGAGTGTACCGGAAAGCTTTGGAGCAGATTCCAAATTCCGTGCGCTTATGGAAAGAAGCGGTAGAGCTGGAAGATCCAGATGATGCACGGATTCTGCTGGCACGGGCTGTTGAATGTTGTCCGTCCAGTACAGAGCTTTGGTTAGCACTTGCCCGGTTGGAGACGTACGAGAATGCTAAGAAAGTTGTTAATAAAGCGCGTGAGAATATCCCTACTGATCGCCAGATTTGGATTGCTGCTGCTAAGTTGGAAGAGAGCCAAGGAAACGTGCACATGGTGGATAAAATTATTGATCGCTCCCTGCGATCGCTGCAGGCCAACATGGTAGAAATTAACAGGGAGCTGTGGCTGAAAGAGGCGGTGGAAGCCGAAAATTCCGGTTCTATTTTGACGGCTCAAGCCATTGTGCGAGCTGTCATTGGACATGGTGTCGAGGAGGAAGATCAGAAACACACGTGGAAAGCCGATGCCGAGTCGTTCACCGCTCAAGGGGCGTATGAATGTGCGAGAGCTGTATATGCTCATGCATTGTCCGTTATGCCTAATAAAAAATCTTTGTGGGAAGCGGCTGCGGATTTGGAGAGGAATCACGGTACCAGGGAAGCAGTGGAGACCATTCTCGAAAAGGCTGTTGCACACTGTCCAAGAGTGGAAAGGTTATGGCTTATGTTAGCTAAATCCAAGTGGCTAGCAGGAGATGTTTCCGCCTCGCGTTTAACCCTGTCCAGAGCTTTCCAGGTCGGTTGTTTTATCATATGCTGCAAGTTTTTACAGTTTATGTCAAAGAAAGTTACCTAGTTTGTGCTTATCCTACAGCATTTTTGGAATTACCGATAATTTTATTGACCTTGCCCGAAATATATTTGAAAAATCTGATTGAGGTTGGTTTATAGGCTAATCCGAACAGTGAAGAAATTTGGCTAGCCGCCGTGAAGCTGGAAAGCGAGAACAATGAAGATCAGCGAGCGAGAGTGCTACTACAAAAAGCACGCACCAGTGCTCCAACTCCACGGGTGGTAATGAAATCCGCTAAGTTGGAATGGGCATTAGGTGACTACAACCGCGCTTTGGAAATTATCGCTGAAGGTCTGAAGGCGTACGCCGATCTGACGAATGCCGACAGCACGGATCTTAAATCGCGCGCGAAGTTATGGATGATGAAAGGTCAGCTAATGGAGAGTTTAAAGAAAATACCGGAAGCTAGAGAGGCGTACTCTGAAGGAACAAAGAAATGCCCAAGTAAGATTCGTTTTTCATGTTCGTTTTTTGTTAAAACTGAAGTACAGATTAGTAGTAGAAGTTTTCTTTCAATTGTTGATTTTACTTTAAAATGTGCTTTGGAAGGTACTGAACAACTTTAAATATAACATTTTTTCAGCTTCTTTGGTGTTGTGGATGCTGTCCGCGCGACTCGAAGAAAAGCAAGGAAATCCAACGCGAGCCCGAGCCATTTTGGAAACTGCACGTTTACGCAATCCGAAGAAAGCCGAACTGTGGCTGGAAGCTATCCGAGCGGAATTACGGGCCGGTAACCGAGACATCGCTATGGTGCAGATGTCGAAAGCCCTGCAAGAGATCCCTGATTCTGGTATTTTATGGGCGGACGCTATTTTCATGGAAAACAGACCGCAGAGAAAAACCAAGAGCGTGGATGCCCTCAAACGATGCGAGCATGATCCGCATGTTTTGTTAGCGGTTTCTAAGTTGTTCTGGGCGGAACGACGCGTGGCAAAAGCCAGGGAGTGGTTCTCACGGACTGTCCGCTTGGATCCGGATCTCGGTGATGCATGGGCATATTTTTATAAATTTGAAGAACAATATGGCACCGAGGAAGAAAAAGCGCAGGTGATGCGGAAATGCGTGGAAACTGAACCTCGACATGGCGAGAAGTGGTGTGCCATCGCTAAAGATATGAAAAACTTTCGAAGAAAAACTAAAACGATTCTGGAAATGGTTGCGGATAGTTTAGAGACTCCTTCTTAGCGCTTGATACGAGTCCATGTATTTATTGTAAAAATTTCTTGATAGACCCTTTCATATGTAGCTGCATTCTTTTAGGCGTGGAAATGATTTCATTTTCTTCTTATTTTGTTTTGTTACTAGTAATCAAGTAAAATTGATTTTGACAACTGGTTTGGTGTGCCTGATGGGCGAAAGTGTGAACTGTGTTGATGCTTCGCTTTGGTTTCGTTTTCGACCAAAAAAATTTTTATGGATTGCCCGCTGCTCGGATCATGAGAGTATGTATACAGTATACTTCTACAGATAAGATAAAACGGATTCACATAAACTACCCAGTTCTCTCTGAAATATATGATATATGTATAAAAATCGCGAAAGCATTTGCAACCAAGATAAATTCACGAATTTATTTCTATTACCGATATTACAAAGATATCAGTAATGCAAGTACAGTACTTAAATAATCAGCTCACAACTCAGAAGCAAAGAAAAACAGCAAACAATGACCATTATCGTATCACATTGTCAAATCTGAAGAGGGGATCCAAATCTAAATCATCTTGAATGCAGCTTAACATTAGTCTCCAAGACATGATTAAAGAGCTGTTTCTTCGTATCCGCTAAGGAAACGGGATCACGTTTTGTCGTCGCTTCGTCCAGGAATCGTTCTTGGCGTTCCTCTCCAATAGACTGCCGGGCTGTGATATTCCTTCCTTTGAACCATCGATGCTCTACATTCCATCCAATTGCGCCAACAACAAGGGCAATCGGGAACACCGCATACGGAATATACTGACGAGCAGCAACACCCAGGATCTGAATCATGACGGCAATTGGCAACCGATATGATTGTGATTTTGTGAAACGAGTAGTCGTAATAATGGACTGGAGTCCCGTGATTTTCACACAAATCGACGGAACCCAAAACAACGGGCACAAATCAACACAATTTCTAAAAGTCAGAAAAGTTCACTAATCACAATTCAACAGGACAATAAAGGATAAAATCCCAAAAACTGAAAACAATGCGAAGAAAACGAAAAATCACGAAATTCCAAAGATGCTGATGAAACCGGAAAACGACAAACCAAAACTCGTCTGATATGTTCACCGCCCAGTGGTGGCGGCGCTGGTTCCAGAAAAGTGTATTCGCCGCTTGCAATTCCCATCTCCCGTTTCTTGATGACAGAAATTCTCCAGAATTTTCAGAATTTGTTGTTAGATCCCGCCAGTAGTCGCATCCGGATTTTACGTGGATGTTAAAAAATTGTTACTTTTGTTCCCGTGTAGTTTAGTTTCATTTTAGAGTAAAATGCATGGTCACTGCATCATTGATCACTGCGAAGTGCATACTTCATAGTTAGTAACTCTGTAACTGTATCATTATTTTTATGATTTTTATCATTAAATTTTATGGATTGATCCCAGATTCCAAGTTTGTTTGCTCGCCTTCAGGATCTGTGTTTCTGCTTTTGATCGTCATACATTTAAGATTTTGCATTGCAACTTCCTAGCTAATGTTTAGCCATGAATTCTGCCCCACAGGAACTGTATGGTCTCGCTGGCGTCTCGCACTACATGGTAAAGCAATCAAAATTCCCTCTTCTTGTTTTCATGCAGCAGCCCTGGTTAACCGGAAAGTGTTTTAGACGCGCATCGTCCTCCTCTGCAAGCCACAAAATCTGTCTAGCCCACTCTCCTCCGATAAGATCTCCACGCTAGAAAATGGCATTGCACAATTTATTACGGAATTTTCCGCGATTTCGGGTAGTATACGAGAAACTCATAAAACCTATCTGGAAACGGCCATCCGTGGATGCTTTTGGGATGAATTAGTGAGTGGCAATTTGCGTGCAGCGGCCCATGGTGGAAGGGATAGGTTTCGTATCTGAAAACATATGGTGTTCTCCGACAGAATCAGACGCGCAATTTCTTGGACATGGAATGGTTGATGCGCTGTACTGTCGATTTTGTGGATGCGGACATCCTGGATCCAGCGGTTCCCTTCATGCTGTTTCAGGAAGCCTGCGATTGGGGTGATAGCCGGGAGAAGGAACAGATTGCGAATTTATTTGTCGATCTGAAAAATAAATGGCGATCTCCGAAATTCGTCAGCTCATCCTGCAAAAATATGTTACTGCGCTTTGCCGTGGGTAAGCTAAACGTTTAGTTGTTGAGTTAATTAGTGAGGTTTTTTTTCAAATTTTCTTCTCTGCTCTTGAATTTGATCGCACTGTTTTATTAATTTTAGTGACAGCCTTTTTTATCTTGCAATACAAAAAGTTTCCAGGGTTTTGAAAAATTTTTGACATTTTTTAGAAGCTTTTTTCTACGGTTGTACTCAACTGATCAGCGAACTTATAATGATCAAGTTAATTGTAAACCATAAAAGTGGGTATCTAATATCTTTATCATGATTATCGAAGTTTAGTTTACGTGAGCTTCGATTATTTTTATAATTATTATCACCAGCGTAATAGTCATGGTTTCTTCAGAATTGTTGTCTCGCCTTCCCAAAACCACGTCCGGCAAGGCTCGGGGACGTTTACTGTGTTATGTTAGCGCACGGATTCCAATGTCGGATAAAGGAGCTGCTAACATTGCCGGGGAATTCAATACCGGAAAATGCGTAACTACCGAGGGCCTGACAACGGGAACGGCGAATAACCCCCACGCCACTGCGAAATTTGCTCAGCTTTGCAATTTATTGGATTGCCTGAAAAATCCCAACCTGGTCTTAACCGATAAAGGATTCGCTACGTTCAAACAGGATTATAGCGCTCGCTGATTAATAATTATTTTCCGGAATTTTTCGTCAGGGAATGGAAACTGTTCTTGAGATGATGACGCCAACCGATCTTAAAGAAGGAGAACAGGAAGAGGGAGAAGTGGAAGATGGACGCAGTAGAATTTTAACTCGAGCATCGCGGACAAATGCTGCCAGCGGCAGCGTTGAAGTTAACCTGAACAGTATTAGATTCAATCCCGATCCGAATGCCTTGGAAAGCGATATGAAACAGGACCGCGTGAAGCGGAATCTGCTGTCAGTGCTGTGCCGGTTCCTGTTTGTGGCACAGTACATCTGCCTGCCATCAAGACCAAAAGGGTAACAGAATTTTAATTGAGAAATGGGCATTAAAATAAGTGGTGTGCGACAAAAAGTCTGTTTTTAGACCGTTTGAGCCAACGGAAGAACAATTGGTATGGTGCGATAAAAAAGTGCAGACTGCACTTGAAATTTTATCTCGCACAAATCCGGATGGTCCACTCTATGTGCAGAGATTATTGGTAAGCAATGATCACACAGTTTGGCAAATGATGGTTTTTTGGTTTGCTTGGCTATGATAAATCTACTTACAGTGGCCGTTATTTGCATTTGCAGGACCATTTGGACAGCGAAGCGATACTGTCCATCTGGAAGGATAACCAGTGCCCGCCGTTGCAAACTGCACCTAAGGCTGATTTATCCAGCCTCTCACCGTTTCCTCCACGCGACGAACTGCCGTATCCGAAAGTCAGCCGTGTACAGTTTGGAAAAGAGAAACTGGTGAACAGGAAGTCAATACGGGATATGCCTTTGGCCGGTCCGGGTAAAGTGACTGGCAGGTAAGTTTATTTGTACTCACCGTACTATACGCATCTTTTAAAGTTCATTTTCTGAATCTGCTTTATATTATTAGTGTGGAAGTCACGCGATTGTTGAACAAAGGTCCAAATACTACGGAAGAATTCCAGAATTTGGGATATCAGCCGCCAGACTTGAGTTATTTTGCTCCGGTTGTGGAATAGGCGATAACGAAAAGAGACACCAAAGTAAGAAGAACTGCATAAACTGTACTACAAAAGTACTTTTGTGATAGTTTTGCGCGGACAATCAAGTTGAGATACTTACGGATATTGCGATGTCTAGAGTAAACTCTCAACAGTAAAGGTTGAACTTTTCAACAGGATTGTTAATGATGAAAAATTCCAGTGGCGCGCTTTACGAATTTTGGGTAAGCGAACGCACATTCACTTCCTGAATGAAGCGGCCGTGGAGAAAATGCCGACCAAAGATATGGGAACATTCCTGGAGAATTATGTCATGCAGTTAGCCGAGAAGAATCCCGATCTGCAGAGTATAAAGCAGACATGGCAGCCACTGCCACCTCACCCGTTGAATTGTCGCCGAATAATGCTGAGAAAAATGGCAATGTGGACATGGCAACGGATAACCTGGACGATCTAATTAATCCTGATCCCGATGAGGATTTACCGGCGGAGGAAGAACCCGAACCAGCTGGTCATCAGATGATGAATAAAGAAAGTACACTGGGCATAGCGAAATTGATCGTAGCTGACTGGGAGCGAACCGCTGGGATACTGCAGTTTGATTCGGATTCATTCTCCTACTGGAAGTCAACCAGTATATGATCCCGTGCAGCAGGCTGCGCTGATGCTGCAGGAATATGCCATCGTTTTATAGTGACGCTTTTAATAAGTTTTTATGTTCTATGCGTATTATTCTTTTAGAAGTGCTAAATGATTCTAACTTCATACTTGGAGATGCGGCGTAATGCCTAGTTGTCGGTAATTTCTGGTTTGTTTTCGCTTTTCTTCCTTCACTGTTGAATGGCATGTGAGGATAAGATTATGTGAGAAGCGGAATGTTGAGATGTAGGCAAAAAATTACCGGAAGTGCCTAATTTCTTTTATACTTTATTTTTGTGGCATGGTTAAAAACTGTAACTTGCTCGAACGGCAATTTTTCGAATAGATTCACCTTGCAGGCGAAAGTTCTTATAGTTACTTCGTACCTTCTTTACTGAGATGCTTACGATTTTTACTAATTGCGGTACACGCGGATTTCGTTGCAACACTGAAAGATTTATTTCTCACGTTTTTTGCTAGAAGAAACGCGAATACCTGCACATGCAAGTTCCTAAGGAGCTGCACGCACAATCTTGAAGATGTGCAATCGTATCTAAAATGGGCCGAAAGATCAAAACGAGCACGAGATATCTTGTTTTATTGTATTAACACAAACTTCGAGAGCGGCATTTGCAATACAAAGAGGACTAAATAAAAAATCAAAATGCCTTGAATAACCAGCACCAAAGGAAGCCATTAAAGCGCTAGAACATGCCGGAACGTTATGAACAGACGGTTACAGACCAGATCTAATCAACCACGATAACTTGCCCTCATTTCTTTCCGGCATCTGCAAAATGCTGGTCCCATCCGGACTTAACCCAATCGAAAAAATTTTCTATCGCAACCACAAACCGCTTCCTGTTTCCGTCCTTATCCTTGTACTCAAGTGTGACGCTAAACGGTTCCATATATAATTCCTCTCATCCACATGCCGAATTAATACCACCTCTACATCGAATATTCGCTCGATGTCGGCCAACGACATTGTTTTCGCATGGTCATTTGTGTACGGAATGTCATTTATGACGTGGTATTTTATACTTCCTTTCCCATCTGCGATGCCATCTTTGGCCATTCTACAACCAGGATTCCTGTGCGGAGTTTTCGATCGAGGGAATTCTTTACGCTTAAAAGCGTAGAATGTTGCAGAAAAGGGTTTCGGTTTCTTCAGTCCTTCGTAATGTATATCCACAAGAAAGCAATATATGGCGCCTGTTGTTGGTCCTAACCAGTCACAGCCCTCAATAAAGAGTTCAATTAAATCTTCATTACTAAAGGAGGCTTCGACGACAATCACCGGAGGTTTCGGCTTATTTCGATCTTCAAACCGGACCAACTTTAATTCGGCTCTTTTTGTGGTAATATCTACCGCAACCAAAACGATCCACAATTTCCTCCAGTCTTTCGCCCTCTTGTTCAAACACTTCTCCTTGTACATACAATTTCCGCATAAGTTCGCCCAATAATCCGAAAGCTGCTCTTGAATGCGGGGTACTTGTTAATGCAATAGCATATATCCAGTTACAATGCACAAACGTTCGGCAGGGAGGATGATAGTCGAACAGAGCGGAAAAATCGGCATCAGTGTAGGCATCGCACTCTCCAACCGAAAAAGTAACATCGGTGTCGAAAACCTCTGATTCCGTCAATACTATAACTTCGTGTAGCGCTTGTACCAACAGCGAGGACGCTTCTGCAAAACAACAAATCTTTAACTAATGATATTGTGCGACCCAGTATGGTCTCATCCAGTACTGTTAGTCACGGTGTATAAACAAAAGCAATTCTGACCTGTTTTTGCAAAGCTCGCATCCAGCGCAGATAAGAGCATCCGAGCTGAGGTTATCACTTTATCCAGGGCAGTTAGTAAGGCGGCAGCGTCCTAGATAACCGAATTAAGATATACACGTAAGCATGACGTAAGTCACATAACGCAAACGATTGTCATACCACAAACAACTACAATAACACAAAATGTGCTGCGCTAAATCTAACACATAACTCCGTTTCTGTCATACCTTATCGAAAGTAACAGCCAAAAATGCCTGAAATCCAATTTGCGCCCACGGAAGCGTAAGGTGGTGAAAGTCCTTCAAACAAGGCTCTGGCATGCAGTTCTGGAGAATTCGGAGTAAACACTGTCCAATATCCCGCGCCGCCCGTAAATTTTGACTGCGAAAGGCATTTAATTCCTTCCTGGATTTGTCAGACATGTCTCCAGGTGCTGCTAATGTTGAACATACGACTTGAAGACGCGAGCGTTGCTTTTGCAGCCCTTCCAGACAGGCTATCCCGAAGTGCAGCCGCAGTTCCATCGTCAAAGCATCCAACATCTCTTCTAGATGGCTCATTCCGACCCTAATCCCTTCATAATTTCCTTTTTTCAACCCAGTGATGACATTTTCCAGCAGGTCTTTGTCCTTGAAACTCACGGCAGTCGCTTCGTCTCCTCCTGCTTGCAACTGACACAATTCAGCCAGATGGAAGGCGAACTGCTGGACTTCCTGTAAACAATTCGCTGCTAAATACCACAATGTAGCCACAATTACCGGGTACTGTACCTCTGCGAAACCGATAGGAAATTCCGTTGGGAAACTAGCCACGCCACGCGCTGCCACAGATTTACCTTCGATAGTCGGAAATAAGCACCTTTCCAGAATCGGTCGACTCCTAGTTCCAAGCTGGAGCTGGGAAGTAAGTCCCTTCGAAACCAAGGCCAGGTTGTGAAGAGATGTGCTTTTGAAAAGACCACGGGATAGCAGTCTGAACAGATAAGTAGATGAGTGTGGATCACACCGCGAATACGCTGGTAACGCTGATTTGGATGGATACAGCCATGGAAATTGCGGACACAAAAACAGAATGGAGCGATTCATTGGTGATCAATGTGATGTAGAATCTAGAGAGAGAAAAACATTCAAATGCAAATAAATGAATACAATCGAAAAAACAGTTACACTTTCTCCGGTTTACAAATAAAATCAAAACAAGAACGGAGAAACTTTTGAGTGTTTTGACAAAAAACGAAAGCGGGTGATAGGAGAGCAGTCAGAGCACACTACGAGTATTTACACATATGCCCCTTACTATATGCCCCGACAGCTTTTCGGCTGCGGAAAATGTGTGTGCCAAATGTCCTGCGTACTGGGCAACCCCTGCAGGTTCGGTATTTTTTGAAAGCCCTTCAGTTTCATTCAATCTGTTCAACCTATAACTCAAAAAATGCAGAAAAAATTTTCATTATGAAAAATAAAAAGTTTGCAAGTAAAAAGTTTTCGGAGAAACGAGATATCGACGAGTTAAATAAATTTGACTTATCATATAAGTATATGGCAGACTGTGCTAAACGCAAAAAGTGTAAATCGTTGAAATCTCGTTTTTCCGAAAACTTTTTACTTACAAAACTTTTTATTTTCCATAATAAAAGTTTTTTCTGCATTTTTTGAGCTATCCTTTGAACAGATTGTATGTGACTGAAGACTTTTTAGAGGGGCATAACTATTAGCGATATTACAGTAAAGCCAGTGAAGCGAACAGCAAGTTTTTTGAATCTGGCGCAGCACCCGTGGGTGGCATGCGCTAGCGCCAACTTCGGCACGTAACGTTTGCTTGCACCTGCTTCGCACAACGATTTTCAAATGTTAAAAAGCTGTCGGGGCATAGGTAAGGGGCATACATATTTTACACTCTATACTTACAGTACGACATATGCTTTCGGGATAGATGGCTTTAGCTGAACTCTTCCATCAGGTGATAATTGACGATTCTTGCCCGGATGGCGCCCTGTGGCGGTTGAGAGCCGTATGCCTAAGCTACGCCGGGAAGTCATCGTAGGCCCGTAACGACAAGTGCTCATCCCGACACTTTTTAAACAGCGCGCGTTCGCAAATTATGTTCTTTGTTGATTGGGTAGATACACGAAAATTTACAGGAAATCATTCTTTGCAAACGAGGCGACAAATGTGTGATAAAAATATTTACAGTTTCCTTAATTTAAGCGGCAGTGCTATGGCCACGGTATTACACCACCGTCCATATGACAGCACACGAACAGAAACAGAGCGCATGCGTAATTCTCCTGTTGACGCACCGTAAAATTTCTGTTTGTTAGTGACGTCAAAATGACACACTGCCAGTCTGCAGTCCCGGCGAGAATCACGAATTCCAAAGATGCTGATGAAACCGGAAAACGACAAACCAAAACTTGCCTGATATGTTCACCGCCCAATGGCGGCGGCGCTAAGTTCCAGAAAGTGTCTATTCGACTGCTTGCAGTCTTTGATCTCCCGTTTCTTGATGGCAGAATTTTCAGAATTTGTTGTTACATCCCGCCGGCACTCGGCAGTCATATCCGGATTTTACGTGGATGTTAAAATTGTTACTTACTTTTGTTCCCGTGTAGTTAAGTTTCATTTTGGTGCAAAATGCATGGTCACTGCATCAAAGATCACCGCGAAGTGTGACTTCATAGTTTAGTAACTGTATAATTTTATGATTTTTATCATTAAATTTTATGGATTGATCCCAGATTCCAAGTTTGTTTGCTCGCCTTCAGGATCTGTGTTTCTGCTTTTGATCGTCATACATTTAAGATTTTGCATTGCAACTTCCTAGCTAATGTTTAGCCATGAATTCTGCCCCACAGGAACTGTATGGTCTCGCTGGCGTCTCGCACTACATGGTAAAGCAATCAAAATTCCCTCTTCTTGTTTTCATGCAGCAGCCCTGGTTAACCGGAAAGTGTTTTAGACGCGCATCGTCCTCCTCTGCAAGCCACAAAATCTGTCTAGCCCACTCTCCTCCGATAAGATCTCCACGCTAGAAAATGGCATTGCACAATTTATTACGGAATTTTCCGCGATTTCGGGTAGTATACGAGAAACTCATAAAACCTATCTGGAAACGGCCATCCGTGGATGCTTTTGGGATGAATTAGTGAGTGGCAATTTGCGTGCAGCGGCCCATGGTGGAAGGGATAGGTTTCGTATCTGAAAACATATGGTGTTCTCCGACAGAATCAGACGCGCAATTTCTTGGACATGGAATGGTTGATGCGCTGTACTGTCGATTTTGTGGATGCGGACATCCTGGATCCAGCGGTTCCCTTCATGCTGTTTCAGGAAGCCTGCGATTGGGGTGATAGCCGGGAGAAGGAACAGATTGCGAATTTATTTGTCGATCTGAAAAATAAATGGCGATCTCCGAAATTCGTCAGCTCATCCTGCAAAAATATGTTACTGCGCTTTGCCGTGGGTAAGCTAAACGTTTAGTTGTTGAATTAATTAGTGAGGTTTTTTTCAAATTTTCTTCTCTGCTCTTGAATTTGATCGCACTGTTTTATTAATTTTAGTGACAGCCTTTTTTATCTTGCAATACAAAAAGTTTCCAGGGTTTTGAAAAATTTTTGACATTTTTTAGAAGCTTTTTTCTACGGTTGTACTCAACTGATCAGCGAACTTATAATGATCAAGTTAATTGTAAACCATAAAAGTGGGTATCTAATATCTTTATCATGATTATCGAAGTTTAGTTTACGTGAGCTTCGATTATTTTTATAATTATTATCACCAGCGTAATAGTCATGGTTTCTTCAGAATTGTTGTCTCGCCTTCCCAAAACCACGTCCGGCAAGGCTCGGGGACGTTTACTGTGTTATGTTAGCGCACGGATTCCAATGTCGGATAAAGGAGCTGCTAACATTGCCGGGGAATTCAATACCGGAAAATGCGTAACTACCGAGGGCCTGACAACGGGAACGGCGAATAACCCCCACGCCAATGCGAAATTTGCTCAGCTTTGCAATTTATTGGATTGCCTGAAAAATCCCAACCTGGTCTTAACTGATAAAGGATTCGCTACGTTCAAACAAGTGATTATTAACATGAAAAACAGGATTATAGCGCTCGCTGATTAATAATTATTTTCCGGAATTTTTCGTCAGGGAATGGAAACTGTTCTTGAGATGATGACGCCAACCGATCTTAAAGAAGGAGAACAGGAAGAGGGAGAAGTGGAAGATGGACGCAGTAGAATTTTAACTCGAGCATCGCGGACAAATGCTGCCACCGGCAGCGTTGATGTTAACCTGAACAGTATCAGATTCAATCCCGATCCGAATGCCTTGGAAAGCGATATGAAACAGGATCGCGTGAAGCGGAATCTGCTATGTCGGTTCCTGTTTGTGGCACAGTACATCTGCCTGCCATCAAGACCAAAAGGGTAAAAAAATTTTAATTGAGAAATGAGCATTGAAAAATATCGTGTGCAACAAAAAGTCTGTTTTCAGGCCGGTTGAGCCTACGGAAGATCAGTTGGTATGGTGCGATAAAAAAGTGCAGACTGCACTTGAAATTTTATCTCGCACTAACCCGGATGGTCCACTCTATGTGCAGAGATTATTGGTAAGGAATGATCGCACAGTTTGGCAAACGATGGTTTTTTGGTTTGCTTGGCTATGATAAATCTACTTACAGTGGCCGTTATTTGCATTTGCAGGACCATTTGGACAGCGAAGCGACAGTGTCTATCTGGAAGGATAACCAGTGCCCGACGCTACAAACTGCACCCAAGGCTGATTTATCCAGCCTCTCACCGTATCCTCCACGCGACAAGCTCCCGTATCCGAAAGTCAGCCGTGTACAGTTTGGCAAAGAGAAACTGGTGAACAGGAAGTCAATACGGGATATGCCTTTGGCCGGTCCGGGTAAAGTGACTGGCAGGTAAGTTTGTTTGTACTTACCGTACCAATCTGTAAAGCAAATTTTTAGAATCTGTTTTTATGTTAGTGTGGAAGTCACGCGCTTATTGAATAAAGGCCCAAATACAATGGAAGAGTTCCAGAATTTGGGATACCAGCCGCCAGACTTGAGTTATTTTGCCCCGGTTGTGGAACAGGCGATAACGAAAGAGACACCAAAGTAAGCCAAGAAGAACTGCATAGCTGTATTTGAAAGTACTTTTGTGATAGTTTTGCGCGGACACCCAGTATGTATACTGCGATGTCTAGGGTAAACTCTCAGCAGTAAAGGTTGATTTTTAATTTTTTTCAACAGGATTGTTAATGATGAAAAGTTCCAGTGGCGGGCTTTACGAATTTTGGGTAAACGAACGCATATTCACTTCTCCAATGAAGCGGCCGTGGAGAAAATGCCGACCAAAGATATGGGAACATTCCTCGAGAATTATGTCATGCAGTTAGCCGAGAAGAATCCCGATCTGCAAAGTATAAAGCAGACATACTTGGCAGCCACTGCCACCTCACCCGTTGAAATGTCGCCGAATAATGCTGAGGAAAACGGAAATGTGGACATGGCTGCGGATAACCTGGACGATCTCATTAATCCTGTTCCCGATGAGGATTTACCGGCGGAGGAAGAACCCGAACCAGCTGGTCATCAAATAATGAATAAAGAGAGCATACTGGGCATAGCGAAATTGATCGGAGCTGACTGGGAGCGATTTGCTGGGATACTGCAGTTTGATCCGGATTCAATCTCTTACTGGAAGTCATCCAGTGATGATCCCGTGCAGCAGGCTGCGCTGATGCTGCAGGTTTACATGGAACAGCATTCTCAACCTGACAGTGATTCGAATGATGCACTGGAAAAGCTGTTAGGGGTTCTGAAAGATGAGTATGCCATCGTTTTGTAGTGACGCTTTTGTAAGTTTTTATGTTCCACGAGTATTATTCCTTTACAAGTGCTAAATGGTGCTATTTCAACCTTTGAGATGCGGCGTAATGCCAAGTTGTCATTGGTTTCTGGTTTTTTTCGATTTTTTCCCTTCACTGTTGAATGGCATGTGAGGATAAGATTCTATGAGAAGCGGAATGGTGAGATCTAGGCAAAAAATTACCGGAAATGTATAATTTCTTTTCTACCTTATTTTTGTGGCATGGTTACACTGTTACAGCTATAACGTGCTCGAACGGAAATTTTTCGAATAGATTCAACTAGCTGGCGGAAGTTTTTACAGTTATCTTTTTTACTGAGATTCTTACGAATGTTATTAATAACGGTACATGCGGATTTCGTTGAAACACTGAAAGATTTATTTACTAAAAAGTTTCTTACTAAAAAGAAACGCGAATACCTGCACATGTAGGTTATCAGAAATGGCCCGGAAGATAAAAACGAGCACGAGATATGCAGTGCTATTGCACTAACACAAATTTGGAGAGCGGCATTTACAGAACAGTGAGGATAGAATGAACTATCCAAATGCCTCGAATAACCAGCACCGAAGGAAGTCAAAGAAAGCGCGAGAACATGCCGGAACGATGAATAAAACAGATCGAATCAATGAGAAAATGCGAAAGCTGAGAACCGTCCGTTTGTAACGCGTAACTGATTTGCAGAAAACAACAAAAACACCAGTACACAAAAGGCGAACTACTTCATGGGCAGTCGGCTGAGTTCATCGCCTCTTGTGCGCTTCTCGATGTGGGCTTTCGTGATGTCGCGAAAGAAATCCCGCCCAAAGAGCTCATAACCCCGCTCCAAATGTGCCTTTGCATACTTATGCAGAATGGTGTTTCCGTAGCAAAAGATGTTAATACCAAGCTCCAAGGTTGTATCGTAAATGCCATCTTGGGCATCCTTCTCGGTCAATTTGCCAATGGCATCCAGCTTCTCCTCGGCCTTGGCTTTACGCTGCTTACCGACTTCCTCGTGAATGTCATCTTCTCTACAGACTTCCTCAAACAAATGCAGCAAATCTACAAAAAAATTGCAAATCCATGATATTATGCAATCCTGCAGACATTGTCCTTCGGTAATTTCCTTACCTTTATCGCTGAGATGGTGTCTTTTCGCCAGCGTATTGTCGCTCGAACTCTTCTCATTTCCCACAAAACCGGCGCCATGCCATGTTGAGGTCACCACGGCCTGACGATGGGCCCTAGTTTCGACGGACAGTGCCAACGAGTGGTTGAATTTCTCCGCATGCAGTTTTACCACTTCCTGCAGCTCAGCCAGTGGAGTCCGATCTTCGATTGACGGATCATCCCGCATCGTTTCAATGAGTTTACTACAAAATTACTCTTTCATTATTAGTTAACGGGGCCAAAAAAAAGTAAAATATCCCAACTCTGAATACAAAATTAATGTTATCCGAAACGAGAATACGCACAGAATACAAGGCGAACTTACTGAACAGCCGCGAACAGATTTCCTCCATGCTCGGTAATCTTGCAATCTTTGCCGGCATCGTTACTTGCGACAAAAACAGGCAAGTCATACGGATCGTCACTGAAAATTCATGAAACTTAACACGGATTCGCAACCATAATTTTCAGCGGTTTGGATAACAAGCGACACCGTGCGCTAGAGGCAATAAATACCGGAAATATCCATAGTGCAGCTGTGAACCCATTCCCGTCACTCTCAGACACGTCTGAAATTCGGGCACATCGTAATAGTATCGCCAGTGCGTGTTGGCCAAATCCTGCAGTTCCAGGAGATTCGACGGCTTGTAGTCGACATCACCCGCCAAAATGTCGAATGGTCCAACCAATTCAATGCCCGCTGCACTTAAGGCCACTGGATGCAATCACAACAACAGTTAATAAAAATGAATCGATGCAAAAAAATTAAAAATTTTTGAAAAATACATAACCAATTTAATATTTCTTTTATTTTTAAAAATAAACCAATGCAAAAAATAAACGAAAATAAAGTAAAATAAAAGTCAAAGTTAAAGTAAAAATAAAAAATGCGAAGTTAAAAAAACTATTTAACTATTATTGTTGTTTTTAAAACCAAACCAATGCAAACACTCTTCTGCCGACTTACTTCGCGGATTCATTGGATTCCTAAAATACATAATGATTGTTTACTTACGGACGTTCTTTGATTCTTATGTTAGCAAAAATGCAGCACCACGCGCTGCAGCAAGCAAGTAAAATACTTAATGAGATTTTGTATGCAAAACTGAACCAAAGAGCAAAAAATCTGCCAACTCACGTGCGGCAAGAAAAATTCCAAAAATCGAAGAAATCCTTTGGCATACGCAGACGATACACGTTTTCCACCACTTCTTGCATGTGTTCCTGCTCAATCCCTGCAAGCATAAAAGAGTTTTAATGGGGGTTTTCACAATGAAGAACTGCAAAGTTCATTTTCACACCATGAATAGCCTGCGATGAAGTCTCATTTCCAACGCTGTCGGACTGCGAACTAGCCACCGAAAAATGATGTTTGCCGTTTTTCTTGTGTGCGCTGCCATTTGTATGAACATCGTCCTCGCTGGTTTTCGCTCTTTTTGAATCGTGCTATGCACAAATAACAATTCTATACCGAATATTAGTAAATAACTAGCTACATGCAGGCATGCAGCTGTAGTTACGGATAAGTCACGACGCCATGAAATCAGAAATCGTTCTAAATTCCAACCTCTTCATCTTGGTGCACACTCGGCGAACGCTTGCGTTCTACAACATGATCTCCGGAGCTCATGGTTCGTATTGAAACTTGCTCAGAAAAAGCTAATCTGATAAAAAATGCGGGAATCACAGCTTGGCTCCCAACGACAACAATCGTAAAGATAATGCAGTTCCGAATCTCTCTTATGACAATATCACGACAAATGAGAATCCCAGATTTACAAAAACTCAAATTGTAAATAAAACTTCAAAAGCTTGAGTAGTGGAATACAATATGACGAGAAAGAATATGTAAATGGTACTGTAAAAAAGAAATAAACCACACAATTTGGAAAGTACAGTAAAATTTTCCTGAATTCTATGTCGCAAATTATAATGCATGGACTACGGCCTTTAATACTGAAAATAACAAAGAATTCGGGATAGTTTTTTCTTGATCCGATCACAGTATATGGGCACCGGAAACCACTACCAGGCAACGACACTGGAAAACGGGAGCAATCAACGGCTATACTACTGCCAACTCGAAGCGGTTGCAGCTGGGCAACCAGTTAAAAAAGAAACAATAAATGTAACATCCGGCCAGAGCGGGCTCTAGGGCGAAACATTGGTAAACAGACGTTAAAAAACAAAACAGCGTTTAGAGCATGGTTATACGGCCAAGGGTTGTGGTCAGCGATGTCCTTTACAGGATTTTTCGTGGCGGCTGCGGGTTCCACTATGTGTGAATCTATCACCGCACCTCCGACAGGAATGTGACTTAATTCCATTGTGGCTGTTCACATGGTCAGTCAACTGATGTCGGATTTTGAACGGCTTTACGGTACATCCCAGCCAGTGGCACATAAAAACACGATCGCCTAGGAAGATAACGAAGCGTCAATTCAAAAGTGACATTTCTCCACTCCGTGGAAAAAGTTTTGTATGGGCCTGAGTGCCGCGTGATGAGATTTATTTTAATCGGAAGATGTCGGTTTATCGCTAAAGCTGTGTACTTGTACAAGAATTGTGCACCATTTTGTTAAAAGAAAGCTTACTCTCTGCATCCGTCGGAGAATGGCAAATGCAGCAGTTACCAGCCTCTGCAGAGCACGATCTCGGACGGACTTCACCCAGGAGCAATTTCGCCAAATCCGCTGGAGTGCGCTGCACCGTTGCACCACTCTGGACAGGCTGAAAACAGAAGTTGTATCGCCGACGTACATAGGCATGGCACATTTTAAGTTTTCAGTGTTTACTGAACGATGTGCCTAAACAAGGTTGCAATTTCGAAAACGATTTGATTTATTAATAAGAATAAGCAGTTTTTTCTTACCATGCTCGATTCTGTGTTCAACTTCCTGGCTTTGCGGGGTTGCTTCGGCCGCTCCTGCTCGCTTGCGGATCTTTTAAGAAAAAGCTTCTTGGGCGGCAGAACAGAAAGCGAATCGCCCGCTGCTGGATCTGACGGCCGCGGTGGCAAGCTGCCCGGTGTGGATATAGGGATGTGCGACTGTGACATGGATTCCATTGCTCTTACGAAGGATTTGCAACGACAACCAGGAAAAAATTAAACAACCAACAAAATATACTTATTTCTTGACGAGCTAAGTGAAACTTTCAGAGTGCAAATAAACGAGCAGCAGCAACGTGCGTTCAGAACGTGGATATTCTGACTTTCTCGTGGTACTAATTTTAAAATGAAGCGCACGACTGAATACAGCTTCACCAGGCCGATTATATCACCACAATTATATTCATCCGGATGTAGGTTAATCGTGAGACATGAAAAATGGTCGACGGCCGACGCACGTGCAAAAGCTTTTGTTACAAAAGTCAGAAAATTCTATACAGTTCTTGGATTTATTCCTGATTGGTATCAGTGTCAGTCAAACAGTTCAAAGTCAGATGACAATCAAAGGTGGAAGCTTCCTTGTGCACAGACAATGACACCATCACGAGCGAACAATATCCCATAAAATAACCACGATGCTTTTTAAAAAAAACAATGTTATTGTAATATACTGCATCAAACAAGAATGAATTAAGCCCAAAAAAGTTGAGAAGAGTGAAAAGACAACGGGTACAGAATTCCGAGCACAAAAGCCAATACATTCATGATGCCACTAAATAACATCCCTACCAGGATTTTAATCTGGAGCATTGACATATGCATCGCCGGACTGGTTGTTTATACCATCAGAACTGTTTCGGCGACTGCGAACCTCGGGTCTCCATAACTGCACCTGGTTGGTTAACGCAACGGCAAGAGCACATCTATCCTCGGAGAAATCCATGGCAGAAATAGCTGAAAAGTCACAAAAAAATCATTTCAAGCAATATGCCGTTTTGTTTCCAAAAATCCGAAAAGTATCTTGATGCAACGCTATCAGGTGTGCAAAATGCAGATTTGGTTTCTGGTAAGCGATAACGTACATCCTGGAAATGCGGATATTTGGAATTCCCATAACAGGGGATAATTGTCCGCGAATTCGTGCACTACGGTTCTGTAGTACAAATCCGGGCGTGTGCGACCAGCTCGGGATACCGTTATAATTTGGCTTCCGGTGTAATGCAACCCGGCAATGTGCCGGCTATGTCCTAAAACTTCGGTCAACTCCTTTACGAGTTCCAGAGATTTAGCATCGTAATGGAACACCTACAAACAACAAAATCCATTTCAGTGTAAATGCTTTCATTAATTGATCCTATTCACACTATTCGTGATGAAGGCGCAAATTTAAGCGTGCTTATCACAAAGGTCAGTGCGCGTAGCGCCAGAACTACCTTGCCACTTTCCGCTCCCAAGAAAAACTGTCCTTCTTGCAAATGAGTGGCGGCTTTGTAACGTACTCGTTGACCCCAGTGACCCGCTGGGGGAGGCAAGACAATACCAGGAATCTGAATTGCAACAAAAACAAATATAAACAAACCATAGAAAATGAGTACAAATACAATATACAAACGAGTACCGATTTGCTTACCGTAGCCGTGTGCAGAACAGCTCCAAAGCGCAGATCGACAGATTTCAACGTGCGAGATTCGTTTTCCCACCCAGCAGCAAGGATACGTGTATCGTCCAGATGCACTTCAATGCCGTCAAATAATTCCACCGGATCCAGAATGGGCTGCGAGCTGATGACTGCTTGGTCACTGACTCTCTCGTCGAATACTTCATACTGCAAGAAATACATGTACAGGTTTACAACGAATACCTGCTTGAAAGCATGAATGAAAAGTGATATCTTGTCATTTCTTACCGAACCGTTGCCCAGTCCCGTAACTAGTGTGTAAGGTGACCAAGCCATGCTCAGTACCTTATCCTTGGATCTGCAAAAACGAATTCTGACACTCATAATCTTCAATGTCGTTACACTTTGCATACTTTAATCGCACGGGTTCGGCGTCCAGCGCATTGAAATCACTGATGGCAACAGTGCCATCATACGATCCGCTTGCGACCCGGTTGTCCAGCCCTTTCAGTGTGCAGATTACACTCTGTAACATGTAAACACACAATGTTATTCCGAATTTGCAGAATGCAGATTGCAGACATTTTGCTGATTAGTTCGCAATACACTCACACTGTAACGCAAATATTACCGCGCGACAGATAACTTATTGTTAGTAACATAACCAATTTGCAACAGACGTTAATTGCAATTGCTGTAACTATTTGAAAAAGGTTATGCGTACCTCGTGTATATGTCGTAACTTATCAGGCGCACCGCTGAAATGGAATCAGTTGTAAAACTGCAGGTTGCATGTTAAATCAGCCGGCAGTAATAAAAAACTTCACCTATAAGGTGGTCTACTTTGTCCCCGGGTGTTCCAGTATAAAACCTCGTAGCGGTCAGAATCGCCCACAACAAGAACATTGCCTGCAAAACTGGCACTGCATATCCCGAAGCCGACCAGCATAATTGCTCCATTGAGAAGAAGCCTTTGAAATACTATACCATGATCACAGAATGCAATGCAGCTGATATCAATCAATCCGGACAGCTCCTCATCGTCCCCTTCATCCGGCTCGTAATAACCATCCACGGTATGGCTGGCCCAGGTTGTCTGAACCATCCGGTCGGATTTGAAATTTTCCCGAATACTTTCACAGCGATAAGCAGCCTTGCGCCAAAACAATGGATCTCCCGAGGACGAAGAACTATGCCGCGCTGCAAATAAATGTCACGAAAATTTGGAATAAACAGGCAAAGATTGTACGCAGAATGCAAATTCAAATTTTCATAAAAAAAACCAATGCCAATCCAGTTGATTCAGATAAAATAGGTAAGCTGCAATGCTACGCGAGTTGTCGTGTTTTCAAAGTACGTATATATAAGTCTGCATCGTTGAAGGTAATTAATGCAATACCCGAAAGCCTGCCATAAACAGCAGGAAACTGAATTTTTATCCTCTGCTGCCAGTACTGCTCCGATTTAAAGGTTTCATGCAGCTGGCGGTTAGTTTCGTAGAGTCCATGCAAAATATCTGTAGGCTCCAGATGCAAACTCAGTGCTGTCAGTGCATCGTATGGTAAGTCCGACAGATGCACTTCTTCCTGAGCAGGAAGAGAAACGTCGGATTTATTGTTCTTCGCGTTGGGTTGATCAGACATATTGACTGCTCTTTTGTTCTCAAAACCAAAGGCGTCCAGGGATACAAACAAAGATGACGTCAAGTGACAAGTAAAAACAAGATACGTGTACGGTGTCTAGTGTCCACGCAGACTCAAGATTAACAAAAAATGCAACAACACCAACAATCAAAAAACGGCGAACATCTAGCGTTCCAATGAGCAGCGGAAACGTGGAATCACCTTGGAGAAGATAAACAAATATTGCTATTGCAGCAAGTTGTTTGCAACATGCAATGTTGCTGCAGAATTTATTAAAAATAGTAAGATTTCGTTTGTTTACTAGTTACTACATAGTACTGTAATAATTATGGGCTTTTAACAAAAATAGAAACTGAAAATTTTTGAGTTTACTGTATGCTAAACGTGACTGCCATTCCTCCCATGGTTGCCAATGCGGCTGTTACTAGTACAGTAACGTTTTCTCGACTTGCGCACACATTTCAATTTTGGCTTTTGTTTTATATTAAGTTTTGGTAACGTACTTATTTTTTTATATGTTTTGTGTTTTGAGCCTTCTCGAACGTGGTCATATGCTTTGAGAATCAGCTGAGATGACCCAGTAAAATTTCAGGAAAGTTGAAAATCTGTGTCCTTGGCTTTGCTGGAAAACATACCATTGCTGACTGCTGACCCTCCTCACTCGCCGTGGAGTGCTCACTGCTTACTGGGCAACTTTCGGAATAGAAACTTGAAATCGCACGGAATTCGCAGGACGGAAGAAGTGTAAATTAGACTATTCCTAAAGCAGTAATCGGTGAGCATTACGTTTGACTCAGTATACCCTATCATGTAGAGATCGAAGAAAGAGTTCGATACCGTAGATGCTATCTAGTATCTGCGCAGGACTTAAAAAATTAAAACCCCTTGTTCATGGTTTGCTTTTATAGACTAGAAATGTTTTCCCAAGACTACGACTTCATGAACGAAGGCAGCGATAATGAAGCCGAATATCCAAATGACAACGACAGGTCAGTTTAGAATATACGTGGACTGTAGAGAAATGGAACATCAGTTAGCACTTAGCAGTAACATTAATGGTTGGATTGCACTGCAAAACCGTATGCTTTGAAAAAGGCTTTTATAGGTGTAATAAGCCTTTAAGTTTATTTCGAAATACTTGATTGCCGTACTGCTACTCACCGACTCTTCGGAGTTTTTTAGGCAGTTTAGGCTTTTCATAGTTGCAGTTAATGCTGATTTGGTGATCATCTTAGCTATGACTTCTGATTATTGATAGCTGTTTGAAAATTGATTTTTGCGATGACGTTCTTCACGGTGTGCATTTTTTCCGCGCCCATTTCATACGTTACGATTAGATATTCATATTTTACTCACAATGAATCTATCTGCTTAGCTCGGATGATGATGATCTCAAGAGAGTGCTGCGGGATCTGGGCGATGTTCACGATGATATGGGATTCGAAGCTTCGATGGAGGAGGAATTAAACAAAACGGTGTCGTTTCTGGAGGCTGAACGCGAACGCGGTCGCAGCAATCCTGTCAATCGCCAGATGGATCTCGTACCTTCCGGTTCCACTTCAAACGCAGGTTGGTCGACTGCCGGCTTTTGAATTTCTATACTGCACACATAAATTAGGCATTTAAAGAAAACTGAAATTGTTTTGAATTTTTGCATTAAATTTGAGTGATGATTAACCGCTGGCGTGTTGTTGGTTAGGCCCTTCGGCGCCATCTGAAACTCTTAAGAAAAAAGATGCTTCAAAAGTGAAAAGTGTCTCCTTCGACGAGAAGAAATCTCCTGAATTTTACGACGATATTTACTTTGATTCCGACGAGGAAGATAATCGGGAAGCCACAGGAAACACCACCAAAAGTATGTTTTGACACTCGCGAATGTTAATCCGCATTTCCGAAACTGCAAAACTGGTGAAAACGGTGGATTTGTGAGAAGCCTTAAAAATATATATTCCTTATATGATTCCGTAAAACATATACTCGTGTTTCAAGCAAAACCCTGACGCTCTTTCCGCTATTGTCTTCCAAATATGTACCGCAGTATATTATTGTTTTTTATGCTGATTAATTTTTTCTAGAATCGAAAAAGCATCCGGTAATAAGTGATGATAACCTATTCTATGATCCTAAAATGGATGATGATGATCAGGACTGGGTGGATGAAGAACGGGAGAAATACCAGTCACCTGGAAAAACAACCAAGAAGTCGCGTGGTAAAAAACGCGAGCGTGGCATGCCGCAGTCGGATGCTGTTTTGGACTGTCCTGCCTGTATGACGACATTATGTCTCGACTGCCAACGGTAACATTACGGCAGTGATTTACATGTTGGGTTGTTTTAGCGTCGTATTAAGCTATCTTTTTTGAATAAAACTGCCAGTGTAGTTGCTTTACTGTTTTGCAGGCATGAAATCTATCATCAGCAGTACCGGGCCATGTTTGTTAGAAACTGTCGAGTGGACGCTACACAAACATTACGCTATAAAGAAAAGAAACATGGTCGTAAGCGGCGACCGGCTGATTCAGGAGTTGAGAATCCGGAGGGCGATGTTTACCATCCAGTCAGGTGTACGGAATGCGGGACCGAAGTGGGCGTCATTGATGCCGATGAAGTGTATCACTTTTTCAATGTTCTGGCCAGTCACGCATAGATTTTCCAAGTTAGTTTATGTTTTTTTGTTATTAAATTTTTAATGTCGTCTCATCAGTTACTAAAAAAATTCGATCTGTTTAATTTTTATTCCGCAAAATTATTGCTGTACTGAAATAGTGTGATTTGTCACTTATTTTGCTTTTCGTTTGTGAAGTAAAATATAATAGCGTTTATGTAGCTCTCTGATTGTGAAGAGAAAATAAATTCAGTAATGTGTAGCTTTTTTTAAATCTCTCGCAGATTGATGCCCACAGCGATGCGGTTGAGTGAAAACGAACCAACACCGATGTACATGTTGCTCAACGCAAACAAAAATGCAACAAGAATTAGAATCTTTGTGCAAATGGCGCAAGTTATGCAAGGTAAATTTGGGTACTTTATTTGATGAAAAGCTGACATAGAACCGGCTGTTCCGCATTACTCATTCAAATGCGAAAACCGGCTGCTATCTGTCGGCTTTTGCGGTGGATGCTGTGAGATCATCCTCGCACGGGTGAAGATATCATCAAGTGATTAGCGTAATCTGTTTGGATTCTGTGCTCAAGTACCGGGCCCCGGTTTTGATAGTTTGGATGAAAATTTTGTTATGAAAGAATTCAAGTGTTCAAGTGTTCAGTGTTCAAGTGTTCAGTAGGCCCATCTTCTGAATATGTGCCGGTAGATGAGTATTTTGCTCCCGCTGCCGTGCGTTGGTATGCAATGCCAGTTACGTATGTTTGTCTAAATTACCGCATTTTATTTAAATTCAGAATTAAATCACGCCCGTGTTTTTGCTGTTAACAGTCGCTGAAAAATCACACTGATCGAATGAGCCTTCTTTGTATGAAAAAAATATCTCCGATTGAAATTAGTGGTTGCTATGATTTAGTAATTACGCAAATGCTGTAAATTTTTAATTTTACTAACTGGAATTAAGAACTTTCATGAAACATTTTGCAGTGTAACAACAGCATAATACAACTGATTAATATACAAAGGACGCTCCAAAAGTAAGTTTCCCTATTTTGTATCTCCCGGCTTGAACGCTTTTATTTCTTATGAACCATATTTTTAGAAACGTCCTTCATTAACGAGCCAAAATAAAATATAACTCTACCTAACTAACAATCAAGTGGAGAAGAACTGCCGAGAAAGCCGTTCAAGGTTTTCGGCACTTTGCCACGGGTTTTACGCAGACAGTTTTTGTTATTTTTTCAGTCTTCCTGCTCAATTTTTGGAAAGCGCCAAATATCATCAGATTAGGAATTCTTTTCTGTCCTAATTCCAAGTACGAAAAAAAATAACTTCTTTGCGATTCTTTTCCAGAAAAGTAAAAACTCTCGGTGACTAGGTGGAAAAACCACAGAGCTGCTCAAGGTGCCAGACGGTAAAAAATCGAAAATTTCTTGTAAAACATTATTGTTGTCGGTACAATTTGAAGTTATTTGTGTCCAAGAGGCGCATGACTGCGCATGAAATTTTCTTTTTATTGATGCCAAGAACTTTTAGATTCATATCAGCAAGAAGGCTGAAAAGGGGGATTCCGGCGTCGTGGACAAAAAAAAAGTTTGCTCTCCTCCGGAAATTTTTCAAACCATTCTGTTATTGCAGTAATAATAAGAACAGTATTTGTAGCTGGTACTTTAAATTTGCTGTCGAGATTATAACAGGGACGGAAGTGGTAATAAAAAGAACGAGCTTCAAAAAAACTCGTGGAAATTAGTGTTTAAGTAGTATTGCTATTCTGTTTTTCGTTTTCCCAGTTCTTCATTGAATCTTTTGATTCTTATTTCTCTAATTGGTTTACATAATTGCTTATACAACAAAAAATAAATCACATGACTATTACTTCAAATGGCAGGGAGGCAAAATAGGGAAACTTACTTTTGGAGCGTCCTTTGTATTATGCTTTGGATAAATTTAACAATTTAAGGATTACCGGATGGTTACCTGTTTGAATTGAAGAAGCCATTGCTGCTGAATGTAGTGAAAGTTTTATAATTCAGTTCGTTAAGCCTGATGTTTTATGTGAAATTACATAGTACTTTTATTACTGCTGTCGGTTTAAGAATCTAGCCGGTTAAGAAAAAATTAGTGCACAACGTACATACTATCCGCAACAGGTGGAATACAGTAGAAGTGCTTCTCAACTACATAAGCAAGGATCCTTATGGGAAGAGTATTTGCTCTTTATTGCGCACACGTGCGGCTCGTTACGTTATCATTGTTGGATTATGTGTTGCAACCGCATCTGTCTGGGTGGCAGAATTTGTACTCTTCAATGTTATTAATAGGATTTCAAGTGTGTGATCCAATAATAAGGGGGCATAAAAAATGACGAAGTGCAAGCCACCCACCGTACAGGTAATTGACTGACCATACGCAGCTGTACACTGCTGGTACAGCCGCACTAGATGTTGTAATCACTTTCCATATGAGATCCAGTATAAGCTGCACATCACTATGTTACCATTTGCATTTTTATTCGCGGCACAGAGAGTGTGAGTGGGTCTGGGATTTTTGAAATTTGTTTTGCTTTCTATAAGTAATCGCATTGAACCAACCATCTCAACCAATCACCGCCGGTCGCATAATTTTTTGGAGGGTGGAGTCACGGAGCTTAGATTGCGACGCTTAATTTGTCGTCACCTGTTAATCGCCGGGGATTATTATTTCTTAGGCTTGATCCGGCGCTGCCATCATTTTGTTTTTGAAAATTAATTAAGAAGGGTGATTTGAAAGGGTCTGTGGTTGGGTGTCCCGAGACTCAGTTTGTCATTCCGGTTCACCACTTCCGGTCAGGATGCACCTGACAAGAAGGTTTGCCGGAACCTGTTGTACTGTATTCTGTTGTTGTTCTGAACCGCTGCCTGGTCAAAACAGTGTATTTGTATGACCTGTTGTGATTGGTTAAACTGAGGTAAGACTATAACTCGCTATATTACAATACTTCTCCAAATCTTACAATGGTATCCGTACTTGTCATATGACAGTACTTTTATAAATGAAATTATTAGAATTTACCGATATATGTTCGGATATCGCTAGATCTGGAAATATAACTTTAGACATTTACATTTTATCCACTCTTCACATTCTGTTGCTACAACTGGTACGCAAATTTTTGCCTTTTAGTATCGTGCCTGTTTGTATCGTTCTCTGTCCCAAAATATCTAATTTTCATCTGGTCAGTGGCTTACTTACCGGCCACGAATTGTCTAACAGAATAGTCTTGCTGAGATAAAAAAAATTATTATGTGATTTGTGTAATTAACGTGTACGAGAGATTTTAAAGAAATTCTAATAAAATGTGAATTTCCGGCAGGATTTAATTCTATGACCGGAGAACAACGCAAGTTTAAAGTTTTCTTTTAAATTTTCAGTTAATTTGCACTGGCAATTTGAAAGATTGTTCCATTGAAAGTGAGCAGTTCAAGAAATATGTCGCAGACGTGCTTTTTCATCAGTTTCGAAAACTTTTTAACCATTTTGGGCATTTTGGGCACTCGTCTTTTCCTATGGCGTTTCAGCTTACCGCTTCAAATAAATTTCCGCCATTCTGTCATTTTACAGTTAATACTGCTGCTAATTGTCGCATCTTGGCTGTCCGCTTTCGGTACCCTTGGATAAAACTTTTGCGGTTTATGCAGCAGAATTCACAATTTGACGCAATAAAAATTTTGAGCAGAGGTGCTTCTGTAAGCTCTGTTATATAGTTTTCGTTAAAAATTAAAGGAAGAGTTTTTTGTGCAATTTGCATTGCCGGTGTGTCAATATTACTCATTGCCGTAATACCGTTGATTTCAAATAATGTATTAGCTTAAAATCTAATACTTTTTGGAACGGTGAAGTCGTGAATCGAGCAAACATTCTGTTGCAAATTATGTTTTGAGTGTTGAGTTGATCGGCATGCTGTTCACGGCTTGCCAAGCAATTGACCATGGTGTGCCCATTGTGACGGTCAATCAATATCCAAGTGATCAAGCCAGAATGAAAGAATGTTCGGTCCGAGCATTGTGTTCGGTATTGTTGTCGACATTTTTCCTTTAAATTGAGCACTACGCCGGCCAGTATTGGAACAATCTGGTTAATTTTGTTGACCGCTGTTTCTTTCATCAACGACACAGTAGCCGCGGCGCGTACTGGCAACCAGCGCGATGGAAATATTTATGCTGATAAAGAATCGGATGACATAATGCATTTATATTTTGTTAAATGGTGGATGCAGTCAGTTATACTTATAACTCGGTAGATGTCGGCGCGCAATAGAAGAATACTGTTGACAGTGTAAATAAGCATCTGGATGCGAAACACCGTTTCATCACCAGCCAACACAAGCAATGAGAAAACTTTTTGAATTTTTCCATTGCTGTACAGAAAAAAGCTGGCCGCTGTTAAAATATCGGCGCGCGCGCGTGGGATTAGAAAAATTTGCACTACTTATGAGAATTTGTAATTAATGTCCACTTGTTGCACTTTGAGGGATTTTCGATAGCTCCGCCGGTTGTTATGTAGTTATTTGTCACTGCAGTGCAGCTTAAGCGGATGATTAAGAGGCGTAAGATGAGAGCGTATAATTCGCTTATACGTATCGTCTACGTTGTGTATCTATATGGAGGCACTTGACGTTGATGGTGGAAAATTTTTCTATCATTTTATTATATCACTAATTTTTTTTCGGTGTGCATTTGCAAAGACATGAATCCATTGCGCGAAGACGTTCGGACAAACTGGATGGGCCAGGTGATAAGTGCGCGTTGTTTGAGATGTGATTTTTTATATATATCAAATATTCTGACAGCTGCAAGAGCAATTCATAAGTTTTTCATTCTGTACCGCACACGCATTACCATTACAGATGCCCTACTGTTCAGTGCGACCGCTTGGTATAGAACTAGACAGTACATGCAAATAAAGGCGGATTAGCATACCTATTTTTTGGTAGATCTTTTCATTGGAACTTATATAGGATACTACCTGTAAAAATTATTTGACATTTAGGAAGCGATATGCTTATCATACATATTGCGTTTGTTCTCTAATTAATTGCATATAAGTGTTTTATCAGGAATAGTATTCATCACTCGTAATTAATTAATGTAACTTCCTGCCGTTTAATCGTAAAGAAACCCAAATAGCGTGATAATGGTGATGGCGATTTGTTAAGCTTGATCTTTTAATCGGTGTCTGCATGAATATGAAAAAGTGTACCGTACATTTGGATTGTCATAGGTTTTCCGGTTGGTCAATATTGTTCTTGCCGTTGAGCTAGTTTAATCGTTATTGTTTAATCCGGTTTCCGCGGGGATCCGTCGCATCAGACCACTGGACATACTGAAGAAATACGTGTGGCCTTGATATAGGGCGAAAGCATGCATATAATAACGTAATATCTAACAAATGCTGAATTCCATGTGACCGGAAATAATAATTGCTGAAATATTTTTGATTGCATAATATGACGCCAATTTTATAAGCTGTGTAATCAATAAAATTCAGAATCTTTTACCGCCAACAGCTTCTCGCAGTTGCGCCAGATAGTGATATATTCTTCGTTTTAGAAACATAGTTTTATGCAGGAAACGTTAATTAAGTTCATATAGTTTAGTTTAGTTTTAAGTTTTTAGTTTTAGGTTTATATAGTTTGGTTTAGTTTTTAGTTTATTTTTTAGTTTAGTTTGTATAGTTTAGTTCTAAGCAGGAAACGTTTTTATATAGGAAACGTTAATAATACTGAGCAAACCAACGTTATTTTCAAAAATTTTGAAAAGCTCATTGATATTAATTTTGTCAGTGCCTTGAACGGCAGTTTTCCGGTGTTTTGCGGTGAAACGCGCGATGATGTGCAGCGGTCGACGGTGCGCGGTGATTTGCTAGAAGGCGGGCTTTAACTGTGGTCCGCTCAGTTACTTAAAACGATTTACTCGCTCGGCGAACCGACCTGCAAGAGGGATTGCTTGACTTTCCTCGGTCTTTTCTGTTCGGTGGGGTTTTAGTTTAGCGGCTGGCAGAGTAGTAGACCGTCGTCGTTGGCTGCAATATTAACAACATGAAAAGCTTGTTTCCTCGCAAGTTGTTGCCCGAGTGGGCAGTTTGATTTGTCGTTAGTATTATGAAAATCAATTCATAATGGCCAACAGGTCATCGGATTATAACCGTGGCTATCTCCATCCGCTTCCCGATTGAATCTCTTTGCTAAACAAAAATTGTAATACTTTTCATCTTATTTGTGACACAGCAAATTATGGATGAAATATCTCCAACCGGAATATACTATTTTCAAAGATTGTCAATATGATTTATTGCCGGCATATGCCGGCACTCGGGAAAATTTTTTTATCCGTTTTTATTAATTTCATCATTCGCATTTTTATTTTCTTTTTGTGTAATATGTGGATTTATTTGCAGGGAAATATGACTTTATCCCCATATTGTTGAGACATTGTGACAAACTAATTTTGTTGGATTAGAACATTGTCGCTCATTTTTCTGTGGAGTTTGTATATACCGACAGACGGAAATGGATACCGGCTTTCGGATAGATTTATCCTTATTGAGGACATCACGTTTGTTATGGATAATTATTATTGTCCAGCTGCTGAATCTCCCCTTGAGCAGTTTAGTTACGGCTCAGCGTAAGTTACTGTATGCAATATTCCTAGATATACATACATATATGTACGAGCAAATATGAGTTATTCGGTGTTGACTGTTGTTGTCCACTGATGGAAACATTTTGAAATGTTCGTTGTTGAGTTTGTTGTAATACTGTGCCTTTTTTGTTCTGCATGCTTTGATTAGTCTGTACGGTGCGCAACGGAGCGACACATCTGACGGCCGATGTACAAACACAGCCGAATTCCGATTCGAGTACAGTTACGGTGTTCCTGAATAATATTATTGGTAGTCCGGACGAGATTGAGTTATCTGTGATGAAAGATGGCCCGTTTTCTGACTGGTTCATGATCAACGGGAAACAATTGCTCCTGACGCGATCTCTTACGCAGCAGCATCAGCTGCCAGAGCATATTACACTGCGGTTGAAGTGCGCACGGAGAAGACTGATACCGTCCATACCGGTAGGATTAGCCTACACGCTGTTTGTTTGTTAAATTATAGTCAACCGAAAAAATTGTAAATTAATAATTTTCTTCTTTAAAAACGTTTGCGTAAGCATATACATGATCGTTAACGCTCTTAATGTTTGTTAACGTTAACGCTCTTAATTAACGCTTAACAACTGTGATTATCCGTGAGTGATTGTTAATACTAGTACCGGTGAAGCACGATTTAAGACATTTATTACGGCTCTATTAAATATTAATACGGAATATTCGAAAATAATTTTTTTTACAACATACAGTAGCTTGTATTATTTTGTGTAAACTGCAGTGCTAAAAGTTTTCTTGTATCCCACTTTAGATAGTAGTTTTAACATAATCGTACAATGCCCGGTAAGGGCGACATGCACAACTGTCTGGCATTTGCATAATAAACGGTTGCACTGTATTCAACATTTTACTGCCACTACGGTATCATGCTTTTGAAAAGATTATCAACTGATCCTGAACGAAAATTGCTGCGGTTGTAAACATTTTCCATGGCATCATCTTACTGATCTCGTTATCATCAATTATAGACTTATATCACCGTACACGTGCGGATCGTGCAGCTGCTCCAGCAGATCATTATGCCGCGCGTGGTCACCATATCCGAGGTGCGTCTCAAAATTCTTATTCTAAGTGTGTCGAGGAAAAAAATGTAAATTACCGTAATTTTTGTGAATGAATGAATGGATGTTGACATTACAGTTGACTCCTGTTGGTACGACCATCTACCAAGCCAATCCGCGGGAGTTTGGTCGGACAGGATACACATACAGTATCGTGGTACGTGAGTGTATGGTCAAGTAGTGACTTCCCGTTTGTGCTGCGCTTGCCGGTTGTAGAATAATTGTTGTAGTTGATGTGTGCGTGTGGTTTATAATGAGCGGCACTTGTCTATTGTTTATCGGTTCTGCATTGTTTGTTTTATATATGCTAATGGTTAATTTGGTGGCACTTTTGTGTGTTGTCCGAACAGAATGAGGATGCCAAGGAATACTTTGTCGTCACGGATCCCCTGCAGGGCTGGATCGCTGTGCGGCGCCCGTTGGATTATGAGCGTGTACAGGAGTACAATGTCAAGATACGCGCCACCGATGGGATTAACACCGATGATTTCGTTGTAACTGTCCGCATACAGGACGCCAATGATCTCGATCCGGCATTCGAGTATGCCGGCTGTCAGCGGATAAATAATGTCTGTATTAATCCGCGCTATACTGCAACGTGTTTCCTGCGGCAATCTGGTGGAACGCTGAAGATTGTTCCGGAACCGATACGCGCTTATGATCGCGATACATTGCGCTATAATATCCACTACAGTTTCTTACCGGAAGGTAATCAAGCGAATAATAACTTTTTAGAATGCGATCTTTGTACTAAAATATTGCATATTAGTATTACTATATGGCAAAATATTGTAATTAGATTTTTTTATGTCACGATTTACACGTTTTGCGGTTCTGTTTTATATAGGTCAACCACCGACGTTTGCCCAGTATTTCCGTATCAATCCCGAAACGGGGGAAGTCCGACAAATTCGACCACTTGAGTCATTGGATGTGAAAGAGTTTGTTATTTACGTCAAGGTAAATATCCTGCTTGTTAGGCTAACCGATCATTTATTGTCAAAAACGCTTGCATACGTCGGCTAACTATGGAGTCTGCATTACATAAGTGTACGTGCTTTGACTCGGGCACCATTTAACCTTCTTTATGCTTGATCAGAAAATCTTTCCGTTCAACGAATGTTTGAATTATTCGCTATATGCCAAAAATTAATGTTACTCACAAATGGTGCCGACATGACTCACTTTTAACCTAGATATTATCTTAAATTTTCTCCTAATTTTCGGTTAATTTCTATAACGGTTACGGTTTCCCGAATGAAAGAGAAAGAGTGTGTAAAATATCTGTCGGCACTTGAAGACTGATGTGCCGGCAAATTCAAAAAAATTACATTTCATAATTTATTTGCGGAGGATGCGTTGTGGAGATGGTTTTATATAAAACGCTAATCGAGTGTATTGTGTAATAGCGGGTGAAATTTAACGTAAGCTAAACAGTTGTGGATTTAATATTGGAAAGCGAGAGAGACAGAGAGAGAAAGAGTTGAAGAGGATTTGATCTGTTGAATGATCTATTTGCATTACTTAATGTCCATTTACACAGGCCGAAGAAGTGGCTCCACCCGGTGGTCTGGCGCGTTCATCCGTTGCACAGCTAGTCATCGACGTCCGTTCACAGAACGCTCACCGGCCCATTATCCGTGCCCCCAGCACCACCTGCTTCATCCCGGAGAATGCTCCCGTTGGATACCGAGCCACCATCTCGTCCGGCAGTCAATCACCCTTCCAGCTGAATACCTACGATGCCGATCTGGTATGACAAGTAAAGCGTGGAAATCGTACTGATTAACAATGTCTTTCACACAAATCGATTAGGTTAAATTAATTGAATTTAAATTAAAAAATTTTTGAAATATTCCCTTAAGTTGTGGTTAGATTTTGCAGCAATTGACCTTTCATGTACCAATAAGTTGTGTATACTCTATTATTAGTGATTTCGTAGTGTAGTGGAATAAGGGCTAGGTTTTCTAGGCATGCGTCTAACAGTCTCTGTTAAGAAAATTATGTACTATACTTACTGTGTTTTATAACGATGTGAATTTTTAAATTTATTGTGGCCTGTAGATTGAATGAGTTTTTTCTGAAATCGAAATGATCATGCCCGAGTTCCAAAAAACAGAAACGCTAGCACTAAAGTTGCATTGGTGCTTTTTTATAAAATAATATCGGCTACTTTGCGCTGCAGCCACTTTCTTCGATAAAGTCATTTAAGTTTCAGTACAGCAAAAGTTTACGGTTTATTCAAGTATTTGAGAGCATGCGTATACAATAGCTGGATCTCTTCACTCTTCAGCTGCAAGTAAAGTGTTGTTGTTTTTTGTCATCAGAGCGGTCAAAATGGCCGGTTTAGCTACACCATCAGCGGGGACTACGCTAATTATTTCCAAGTCACACCGGACGGCTACATCCAGTGCATACGACCGGGTTTCGCCTCGCAGATCACCGAGCGGGAAAGCATCAAAATCACCATTACCTGCACGGAACAGGATACCAATGAGATCTACACCAGCGATCCGATGGATGTTACCATCGTGGTGGTCAAAGTCAATGAACACACGCCGAAACTGCAACAGTACAATCCTGTGGAATTGAAGGCCGGACCACCGGATCCCAGTAAAATTGTGGTTACGGTAAGTGTAAACTGGCTTCAGTGTTTCAGTTTTATAACGGGCTGTACAGACTGTACGCTTTTTACTGGCAGTATTATTTTTGGATTTTTTATATACAGTAATTTCAAAAATGAATTATTGGTTTAAGAAAGGTGCGACGAGTACACTGGTAGTCTAGCTGTAGATTGCATAACTTTCATGAAAAATTCTTCGATTTTCTTAGTTTTTTTGTATTTTTGAATTTTGAATTTCGATTTCTTAAAATCAAGTTACCGATTTTGTATTCTTATCATATGTGTGCTTATCATCATTTCGTTGGCTTTTTTTTACATAACGAATAAATCAGATTTGCAAAAGCCATTAGACTACGAAACCGTATAATCCATACGTTATACCCAGGTGAACGCAGTGGATGGTGACCAAGGAAAAGATGGACAAATCACTTATGCCATTGTTTACATCCAGCGCCTTAGCGTGTCGACAGATAATCCCTCGCCGGATGATGCACGGACTATTTTTGCCATCAATGTTGATACGGGTGTTGTTGTCCAGCGAGGTACCGTCTATAAGGGCGAAGTGTACGAGATCAAGGTGCGCGCAACGGACGGCGGTGGCAAGTAAGTAAATTACAGCGGGATAAATTGGCTGTGTGAAAAATCACACCAGAAGACATCGTTATAGCAGATTGGATTACTACAGGTTCGATGAGACGGTGATTCGTGTCAAGATCATCGATGATGGACGCAATGAGTCGCCGTTTTTCGTCAATCCATCCTATGTGGCCTCCATACCGGAAGGTGTACCGCTGCATTATCCTGTTATTGTCGTTACGGTAATTTGGAGTTTTATTAAGTCATAATTCGAGAAACTGATGAATTTATTGGCTTTGTTTGAATAAATAGGCGCGGGATCCGGATAACGAACCCCTACTGTACAGTATCGTTTCCGGCAACGAGGACGGACGGTTCACGATCGATGCAAATACAGGAAGCATCCATACTATGGCGGCCATTGACTATGAAGAAAAGCGGCAGTATGCGCTGGTTGTCCAGGCACGGGATCCGGCCAACGCGGTATGAAGACCGTTCAGGGCTGTTTGTTATACTTTGCGCTTCAGCCTTATACTGTAATTTGGGCAAAAAAAACTGGCTGTTGGTTTTAATTACTTAAAGAAAAGTTTTATCAATATTTTTAAAAAGTTATTTTATTTTTGGAGTTACCGGAAGTGACTAATATCTGATGCACCGTTGTTAAGTTTTTTAATTAATACTAATTAATATTTTACGCAGTTACATCAGCGAATCGTGATAGGAAATGATTGTAATTCAGCGGCTTTATAGTCGTTCGGAAACAGTTGTAGAGTGCGCGTAAATCAAGTTCCTAAGCAAAGACCGTAAATGAAAAAGCGTTGTACACATTTTCTTATATATTTTGTATTATTTTTACAGCGTAAATAGAAATGTGAACGATAAATTTTTTAGGTGGCTACCGCGACAGTGTCCATTCTGATAAACGATATCAACGACAACGATCCGGTCTTCACCACACCCAGTCCCATCGTGTTCAACGTGCCGGAAAACCAGGCACCCATCCGCGTGGGCAGCGTCACCGCGACCGACAAGGACTCCGGTCCCAACGGGGACATAACGTATTCCATCCCTCCCAATCCGTACGTAACACCAATGCCGATCTCAACAGCCTCTTATTGTAACGCTCTTAATTCGGCGAATAAGTGTATACTGTGCTGAAGAGCGCCGGCGTATGACGGCGTTGTTACATCTGCATCTCTTCCGCACAGCCGGCTGGTACATAATGTCCGTTGTTCTGCAGATACTTTACCATCAACGCCAAAACCGGCGAGATTAACTGCGTGCAGCCACTCGACTTTGAACGACAGCAGCAGCATACACTCATTGTAACGGCCAAAGATAATGGCATTTCTTACAGGTATTTGTTTGCAATTTTCCTTGGAGCGCGAGCGACTGGTCAGCGACTCAGCTGTGTATTAGATGGCACTCTGACCCAGTAGCTGAAATCGAATTATCTTTTTCTTGTTGCAGCGCTGACCGTGGGATCAGCATACCGAGCAGTCGATCCGCAACGGCCGTTGTCACCATCAATGTTATCGATTCCGAAGACGAAGATCCTACTGTACGTTGTTGTGCTGATTTTTAGCTAATTTGTGGATTAATTGTATCTGTAGCTTGCCTTGTACAAATTGCGAGTCGTTTTTTGTAGCGCTATAATAAATTTTTCTACGTATGGTGGTAGTCTGCTAGTCAACGTCAAGATAATGATAACAAGCATTTTGTAGTGTAGTGGCGCAGTTGACGCACGCATCAGAGGGCACTCTGTATATGTAAATTCACCGATACCATATCTTGGCGTGGCAGGAAGTAATTAAAAAGTTAATGCTTTAAGTTTTTAATTCGATGTATGTATTTTGTTTCAAATGTAATTGTGGTAGTTTTCATGCAGTTTTTAAATATAGAAAAACTGCATTTGTAGTTCATTGATCGGATCTATTACGCGGAGGTGTTTGAGAATCGACCGGCCGGACTGGAAGTCGTACAAGTATCCGCCACCGATCCGGACAGTGTGAAAAGGATAACATATCAGATTGTTAAAGGCGACACGAACGCCTTCGCCATCAATCCGCAAACGGGCGTCATCGCCACGAAGATTCCACTTGATTATGAGACGACCAATCGCTATCAGCTGATTGTCGGCACGGCCGAGAATCGCAAGAACGCTCCATCCAGTTCCGCCACGGTCTACATTAATGTCTTGGTAGGTGTGCGCCTTAGACTGTTGTTTGACCGGATGTTGACTGTTGATGGGGAAAGTGTGTGCGTGTGCGCGCGAGATGCATTCCGTCTTTTACCTCCGTTGTAGAATGAAAACGATGTTGGACCACGGTTTGTTGGAGGACCTTACGTGGCCAGTATCGGACGACAAGCACCACTCAACACCGTTATTCAGACAATTCTGGCCCGCGACGGCGACACAGTAAGACAATGATTTGTGATTAGTTAAAGAATGTAACCTATGCAGAACTAAATTCCGTATTATAATTATGGCGTTACGTTTATTAATTGTAAAACGCTTTTAAAATGATATAACAAATAAAAGTATAAAATGCAAAAGTAATGTGGAAAATCGAAAATTTACCGGCACGTGCCATAAAATGTTTGTGTTCGTTTTTAAATATACTTAAGATGTATTCTCATAAACTTACGTTGTTTAATTCAAAATAGCTAATTTGAATTAGAAAATTACCAAGACATTGAATTGGGCGCCGCACTTTAGATTGAGCAGAGCGTTTTTTTGTAGATTGACTATTTCTGTTTTGCAGTCCACGAAAATTACATATGCCATCGAAGGCGAACCGAAAGCGCAACAATTTTTCTCGGTCAATCCGGATACGGGAGAGATTCGCGTGTCCGGTGATTTGACCGGGGATCGCGATCCGCAGTATACCCTTATTGTAACGGCGCACGATAATGGCCAACCACCGCAAACAGCGACATCCACGGTCATCGTCAATGTAGTCGATCCGTCCCAAGCACGCCCGGCTCAGCTGATAGACGCGCCACAACCTCCCGTTCAGTTCGCTCTACCGCAATATCAGTAAGCAGGGTGGATCAAATAATAAAATAAATAACGCAATAGAAATTGTTTTTGTATTGTAGTGTCCGCATTCGGGAAGGATCAAACGCTAATACTTTGGTGGAAGAACTGCGCATCATCAACAAGCCGACTTCCGGCATTCAGAACCTGCGATGCGAAATCGTTTCCGGTAACACCCCGGTGACCTTTTCCACGGCGCCCACTTTGAACCAGGACTGCAATCTGCTGACGGCGGTGGCGAACATTGATTTTGAGACCAAACCCGAGTATGAAATTGTTGTACAAGCCACTGGACAATCGGAAAACGAGCCAAACTTCCGCAGTAAGCGTAGAAACGTGTTGTCCCAGACTGCAAGTAATAATTAATTTGTCGATGTACAAGGGAAAATGCCTTGTGTTTGTAGTTGACACACGCGTGGCCGTCAGTGTTGTTAATATGAACGACAACTCACCGCAGTTTATTATTCCGTATCCTGGTTTGACCGGTGGCCGGTATTTCGGCGCGATCGATGTTAATTCTAACGTGGGAACACCAGTTCTGAAAGTTTCGGTAATCATCTGTTTTGATTCGCTAAAAACTATGTAATTGTGCAGCTGATAATTTCGCGTTGGCGCGCTTTGCATAAATACTTTACAATGTTAATCAAAATTATAACTACAGAAAAGCAGCTTTGTTTAGATTCTTTTTTGCAATGTTTACGCAACCAAATTGATAGAAAGTAATGGCAGTGCATACGTAAAACCGTTTTTTTTTAGGCGACGGATGCGGATAAGGGTGATTTCGGTATTGTGCGCTATTCCCTCATTCCTAGTGTGCCGGCACAGCGCTTTGAGATCAACGACGAAAGCGGCCTGATACGGACGCGTGTAACATTTATTGACTCAACTCCCGACAATGAACCGTTCGAGTTCACAGTCCAGGCTCGCGACACACCTGGTCAACCAAACTTCAAGGCTGCTGCGGCAACAGTTATCGTACGTGTTGGCTCACGTCGTTTGTAATACGCCACATTTTTTCTTTCTTTAAATGAATGTCGCGCATGTTTGCTCATTCCGGTTATTAACACGCCACACATACACGGCGTACCAGGTGTTTTTTAACACCGTCCTACACCTGTACAGTGAAGTCATATGTGTGTTTAGATCAATCTTATCCGCGACCAGAACCGCTTCATTCTCGTCATTGAGGGCGCCAATGCGGCTAAGACGCGCGAAAGCTATCAGGATGCCATTCTCAAGTATGGCAAAATAAGCATTCTTGACACCCGCGTTATCCAGTCCAACCGCCCGGTTGGTCAATATTATGAATATCTCTCATTTTTGCCCTTTCGATGATAGGATTCTTCAGGATCGAACCGGTAAAGTTATCGGTGTGGAGAAGATCACCCACCGGGAAATTCTGGATGGCAATCGTACCCGACCGGATGTTGATTCGTATGTTTTCCAGTGTACACAGCCTTCATTACAAATTTTTACAACATCATTTCTGTAGAACGGACATGTGGATGTACGCCATTGATCCGGATACCAAGCGCATTCTGACATTCCTCGATCTGCAATCGTATGACCATCCTTGTTCTATAATCCTTTATACAGTCATTCAGGTCAGTTTTTTTGCAGGATTTTAATATCCAGAGAAGTCCAGGAAAAGCGCTTATCCGACGTACAAACCGTATTGACCAGCACGGACCGCGCTGTAGAATTCCGGGCGCCGTATGTTTTGCCGGGTTACGTCCAGCCTTTAGTGTACAAGACGTGGTCAGTGTGGGGCTTTGAGGCGGGATTAATAGCTTTAGCCGCGCTCATCATCCTCTTCTGTATCATCGCCATCATTCTTCTGTGCTACTTGTGGTCAAGGTTAGCAATAGAAAACATAGAAGTTGGTAGTAGCAATTTTTTGGGATTTTATTATCTAAGAATACTTGAAGTATAAAAGTACTCAATAATACTCGTATATAAAAAATTATAAGTACCTGTCCGTAATTTTGTTTCGGTAAAAATCGTATAACGGTAGGAAATAAACAAATGTAGATATATATAGTTTTAACATTTATTCTTTATTCATGGTAGATATCGTGAGTATCTCAAGCGAGCCAGATTCCAGCCTCGAATGGAGCCTGTGATGTTCGAACCGGTCGCTCCTGAATACGAGACACAGGTACAGTACTTCTATAGATATGCAAAACACAGTATTTTATTAGAGGGTGCAATATTATAATCGTTGTAACGTAACGCTTCCTCTTGGGTACAGATTCTGCAAATGAACGTCAACGAAGACGACAACGCCGATCTGGGTGAGGTCAACGTAGGCTTTACCCCCCGCAGCGGCATCGAGAGCGTTACCTACATCAAAAACCAGCAGGAACGCGAACGCCAAATGCGGGAAAGCCGCGAAGCACGCGCAGCCTCCGGCTACCGGACCGCCACCGCCTCCGGCAACCCCATCTACGACAATCCGGATTCCAGCAATGTCGGCAACATGCAGCAGGAGCGCGTTATCACCGGCGGCTACTCGGCCACCTCCCGGGCCTCCCGCTACGCGGCCACCTCCAGCAACGGACAGCGGATTGTGACGGGAAGCGAAGGTATTAACCTGCCGGTTGATGATGATGAAGAGCGCCTAATGGCCCGCAGCACCATGACCTCTGACCAAAGCCGCATGGTTTCCCAGCGTAATCTGCACGATAATTACGAAGCACCCCGCTCCTATTCCTACTCCTACGCTTATTCCAGGGAATTTGCCGCTAATAGGGATCTACAGCAGGCGCCGGCCAGTACGGCATCACATTTGTAGACAGAGAGAAAATGAATGAAAAAGTCTGATTTTTTTGAATGGTTTGTTTCGTTATATCCCGTTGTTGTGTCCGCGTTGGGCTTCCTGATGGTCGGTTAAATGTTCCTTCCCCGCCTATTTTTTTGATAATGATTTCCCCCGCTCAGCTGTGCCCCGTTAACCCTGCCGCATCCACGTAGCCGCCCTCCTGCAGATTGTGTATTTTTTTCCTTGTATAAAAATGGTATAATGTTTCTTCTTTTTGTTTTTTTACAGCACATGTAAATCATGGATTTACTGGTTAGAAATTTACTACTGCCTGATCTGTCAAAATCTGGATTCTGGACTTCCGTGTTTTTTTCATTTGTCCAGATCAGTCTGGGCCAAAGGTCGCATTGGGTCGGCATGAGGGAAATCTATTCGATGGCTTTGCTGTCTTGAGAAATGCTTTTTTATATGCAATGCACGCGCTAAAGAGTTAACGCTTTCATTTCCGCTTTCTCTGTTGGCTACAGGCGATGGATTTGAGAATGGTTGTTATAATATTTTAGCCTTTGCTTTTTTCTACGTATAGATTTTGGGTTAATAATAATCCTGGTTTCTGTTGACAGTGTTCCTGTAATCAAATTTGAAGTTTACAAAACCCAGTCATTTTGTGCGCCATTTCTTTGTTTTATAGCACATGTTCACGTTCTACCACAAATTTGAAAGAAAGGACTTGCACACGCAGCAAACCAATAAAATTCGCAAGTAAAAATACTCTTTGTCTAACCAACCACATCTTACGATTAAAACCGGTTTCTCATCTCGACTAACCTTTAGTTTACCACTAAACACACTGTATTATTGCTTTCGCTTATACAGTTATGAAAATGTGATTATTAAATAGGCAAAATTCGGGCACAACGACAACAATCATATAAAATACCTCGTAAAATTTTTAGCCTAGTTTTTTTGGATAGTTTTGATGAGAAACGAATCCACAGACCACAGCACTGCTTTTCACAAGCTCATGTGAACAAAACATGCGTTGCTAACGGATGCCAACAAGTTCGTTCCGTTGATGCCATATCCGCGAAACGGTAAACCTCCGTGATTAAAGATCCGACACCAGCATGCTTCCTCGATTGCCACCACCCCACTGCGACGGTCCCGGTGAGGCACGAGGCAGGGTACCGTACTGCTGCTGCTGCGGCGCCGGCTGAGCACCGTATCGTCCAGCCGCTGCCGGCGCGAAAGACGGCCGTGCCGGTTGTCCGCCACCCGCCCAGGGCGGCGTCGGCGTGTACGACGGCTGCGGCTGTGACGGAAATCGTGGCGCCTGCTGGCGCGCGTTCCAGTTATGCATATCCGGGCCCCAGGAGCCGGGACGTTGCTGCTGCTGGGGGCGCCGCACCGGCTGCGGTGAGGGAGGCTGGGGGCGTGGTGTCCAGCCGTGCATGTCCGAACCCCAGGAACCGGGTCGCGATGGGGATGCCGGTTTCGGTTGGGGACGATTGAATGACTGCTGCTGCTGTTGCTGCTGCTGGGAGGCGAAGCGCGGCTTCCAGCTGTTCATGTCGGAGCCCCATCCACCCTTTGCTTGGGGTGATACCGGTGATTGTGGACGGAAACTCGGGGTCATGCCCGGCACGGCCTGTGGCGGTGGGCGCCAGTTGGACATATCTTCACCCCATTTTTTAGCTGGTTGGGCGTTGTATGTATTGTAGGACGGTTGGTAACCGCGTTGCTGACCCGGGCTGTAATGCACGGGAGGCTGACTGCGACTGCGTGAATGGGTCGAACGGTACGATACCGGTTCTGGTGGGCGTTCCCACATGCTGTGTTTCTCATTATACATTCTGTGAGCACCAAAAACGGTCAGTTCAAACGTGAAAATACAGAAATGATAGATATTTACCGTCTGAATTCGTCAGTAGACTGCGGTGACCAGTGGTCAACATTCTTTAACTGCGGATGCCAGCTGACATGCCGCTCGCCCGCCGGTGACGGTTGCTTGTAGAAGTTCTGCTTGGGCTGATTGAGCCAGGGCGGTTGCTGTGGCACCGGTGAGGAAGGATAGTAATTAACGTTGGCCAGTTCCACGGCCGGTTGGCTAAAGCGGCGCACAACCGACTGCGGCGCTTGCTGGTAGTTCGGGATATCGGCGTCCATGGCAGCGTTATCGTTCATCACTTGGAAATCAGCGACCGGAGGCGCCGCACGGTACACACTATGAACTGGGGCCGGGGTGGGTGGCGGTGGAGTGAACTGTGGCCGGAAGGATGGTACGGGTTCGGGGGTCGGTGGTTTAAACATGGGCGGCGTCGGTTTCGGACTTGGCGACGGCGGATGGAAGGCGGGCGCGGGTTCTGTATAGTATATCGTAAAGTAATTTCCGGGAGATGGTCGACAAGTTAGTCATTTCAAAGCAAGTATCAATCCGATACATTTGGCTATATCAAACTGATCAAACTGATAATTGTAACAAAACTGCAAAATGCTGACAAAACGCCAAGCATTATGTATACTTGAAGTATACATGATGACCTTTTTACGTAAAATAGGTATAAATGTTTTATTACCGAACATAGGTGCAGGTGATGCGGACGGTGGTGCCCACCCGCGTGGCAGCCGAGAGAAACTGTCGTTGGGTGGCGGCGCAGGCGACGCCGGCTTGTGAAATGCGGGAGCCCCGACATTGGGCGACGGTGTTCGTTGCGTCAAAACTGGATTAGCATTCCCTATAAAAATAGTGCTTAACATGTATAATTATTGCGTTTCATATTCGCACATTCAAGTAAGCACTAAAATGTGTTTAGCTCCCAATGCGATTACCTCGATCGCCCATGCGGACATTTTGAAATGCATTTTCGCAGCTGCCGATGGGGGATTCCAGTGCAGCTTCCCATGGCGATTTGACATACAACACTGACTGACTGTTCAGAAGTGATTGCAGTTTATTGGGACCACTGTTGTCCACTGCGGGCATGGGAGCCACTTTCTTTACATTCGTCTCATCCACGACCCATTCCTCAGATTTTTGTTTGCGCTTCTGAAAAAGATCGACGCCACGGCCGGCACTGCTCTCTAGGCCCTGGGAGACGGCAGCCAAACTGATGGGACTAATCTAAACAAGAATTAACAGTTTATACGAAGGTTTGGGAAATAATTTTCTGTAGATAGAACATTTTATTAAATATTCCTGTACCGGTATTTAACCGTGAATCGGTTCTTAAAATTCTCCATACTTTACTATTGCATAGCAGATTAGTATTACTACAGTACTTATTGGATAAGTTTTTCGGCCGATGTTGTGGTTTATTCCGCATATACAGCATAATTATTGCCATAATTACCGAATCATATATCTTCGCATCGGGGTCCTTTTGCATCAGTGACTGTGCGTCATCCACGCCTTTGGGACTCATGTAATACTTGAGTGGAGGTGGACCGGCGGGTTTCGGCGGCTCATTCTCCATGTCACTTTCACCGCCTGATTCCCACTGTTCACCGTTGACGCCATGGTGTGTCGCTGCAAAGTTAATGCCACAAAACGATATCAGTCTACTCTTCGTCTCAACATGTTTTGGTGGCAGCTGTAACAACGAGCTAGATCTATTTTTTGCCGGTTGCTTACGTATTGCTGTAGCGGTTAGTTAGCGCTTACGTCGTTACTAAGCCATTCATTAATTTATGCTGACGCCGCCGAGTTGTTAAATTTGTATGTACCGTCAGTAGTCCACTTTTTAGATGTCATTTTGCGCCTGGTAAACATACGGGCCCCCAGCGACTGCTTATTGTCCTCCGATGTAAGGGAGGAGCTGATATCCCGACACAATTTAACCTGCTCTTCGAATGTCGGATACAGTTCATGTTTCTCCGAGTAGAAGCTTGAATCGACAAAAGTTTTCTCTGTAAACAAATACAAAATTTTAACCACGTTATTTACATTATCAATTACGATTTGCAAAGAAAAAAATCGAGAAAATCAAACGGTTACTTTTTTTGCGAAACGGTGTGGGTCCAAGATTACTAATCGCACTAAAACTCGGAAGAGCAAATGCAGCGGCAAGCGTTTTATCCGACAGACCAGGTAGTGCTACAGCGAACTTATTAAGCTTGGGTCGGGATGCATTCGTGCGCTGCTCAGAAAACGACGACGATTCACTTAAAAAACTGGAAAAATTCGACTGGGATTTGCGCGCACGAATGTGGGCCTCGTAGGCGGCCGCCATTTTCGACCCAAATGGGCGGGGTTAGATAGGTGTCAAGCAGCCAATCATACTGGTCCGATTACATTCGCCACACGGTTAGGTGTATATTATCAATCACGGTATCGCGTAACTCAAAAAAATCAGATCAATATCGGAGACAAGCAATGATCTGATATGCCGTGCACAGCCCACAAGCGGAGAGAATAAACGGGAGCGCGCATTTCAACAGCGGCAGCGCGCGGGCGCACTATCGAACCACAGCTGTTTTTGGATATTCTGTACCGCTGCGCGGCTACCGCCAGTGTGTTTTGGCAGCTGTAGCCGGTTGACTAAGCCAGCGTTCTGATTGGTTACGTCACTCTCAGCGTCTCGCTAGCACAACGAACGCTCGTCTCCACAGCGGATGGAGGAATCTCTGGGTTGCAATTTAAATTAAGAATCAAGTTTATGCTCCAACGTATTTTTGGTATGTTTAAGGGCACACAGACGAGATTAGAGTCACTGTCGGTAGTTTATCATGACTGCAGTAAGTTCTGAACGATCGCGCGCCCGCTTGCAGGGTGTAAGCCGGCAACTGTCGTCTGCCATAAAACCTAAACCTTGGCCAACTTCGAAAACGCTTATTGGGGATGTTGGGAAACATTGCTTTTCCGTGTTGACTACATCTGGAAAACCGGCAATCACTGCTTATGCACACATGTTCAGACTGTAGCGGTGCACAACGGTTTACCACTAAGCAAACATATTCCAGATGCTCAGTGCCAAACAACTTTTCATGTTCAACAGAAAAATATTGCAACGCAGCATCTAATTGCATGCTGTTACGAGTGTAATAAAAAAATTAGCAGTGACTGCTTTTCGGCGCGTTATGAAGAAAGCCGATCTGCCAATTCGAAGCTGTCTACCCATACTGCCATACAGTATCAAAGTCAAAGAATATTTAATACGTAGACAATATGTAGGGCGGCTCTTGAAATTTTACAGGATTGCAACAAAGGATTGTAATTTTTATGCAATCAGCCGCATGGGTCATTAGGCCCGCACTACCGGCAAAAAACCGAAATGGTTTACAGTAACTGGATCAATTAATACATCTTAAGAGGACCACTGCAAATTTTGCCGATTCATGCTTCTCTGATTACAGGGTCTAATAAGTGCAACTGTACAAGTATGTAAGAATTTGTATTATTTTGAAGGTAGCACTACTACCCTAGGTACTAGGCAGTCATTTTGCATGGGGGGAAAATGATCAACATTATGTCTGCGCAGACCAACAAAAATTGTACGCAGGGACATCAGCAGGGACAATCAGGCAGATTGCAGCCAGAAAGCAAGCAGAAGGAATTATAATTATTACTGTGCATGTGGAACTTTAAACTCGTTACCTAATTAAATTAATTAACTTATCACGCGCAAAACGTTTAGAGGAGAAAGGCTTCATTCTGCATTTAACTTCGAACTTACTTTTATTCATGGGCGTCATTCCGATAAGGTCCGTCAAATCCGGTAACGGAGCCATCGAGCTGGGCGGTGGTACATTTCCCATATGGGGCAATGGCGCAGCATTGAGCATACCGGCAGGCTGTGGTGCATAGCCCGGAGGCGTATAACTGCCGATGCCCGCCTGTGGCGAGGAAAACTGATTATGAGGAATCGAGGATGTAGGATGCTGTCCTTGCTGTTGCATATTAAAAGTGGGTGACGGGGTCCGGATCGTTGGCGATTGTTGAGCAAACGGTGGCTTCTGCTGACCAAACGGAACCGGCTTACTTGGCTGATCCAGAGCCGCATTGCCCGGCGCCCACTGATTAATTTTGCGGGGCGCTTCGAAACTCGGCAGAGTCTGACCTACCCCCGGACTCATCTGGGCACCGCTCTGCGAGGGCACAGAAATGGGGCCTTGTGGCGGCGACCACATAGGGGGCGCTTCGGGTGACGCGGGAGTGTGAAACGGTGTCGGCACCGTTAGATCGGTGTAGGGCGTTTGTCCTGGTGGGAAATCGGACTGCTGCCCAAATGGCTGTTGCTTCGGCTGTACGGGGGGAGGTACCGGTGACCTTTCGGGTGCGGTGGCCTGCGCTTCTTTTTCCGCCGCCGCCATGGCGGCTGGCGAGTATGGACTGTTAGTCGGGCGCAACACACCGGTTCCGGGCGACGCGTCCTTCTCTGATTCAATAGGCAGACGCAGCGCTTCCGGGACCTTAGGCTGCGACAGCACCACTGGAACGGTCGGTTCGGGGGGCACCACGGGGGCCTGCTGCTTGAATGCGGCCGGCGGTGGCGCCACCTTGATGGGCAAGGTATCCTGCTGCTCCAGCTGCTGTTTGAAAAACTTTTTACGTTCACTAAACTGTTTGCGGTACTCTTCGCTGGACTCGGCAATCTGGTCGGGTGCCTCTTCATGCGAGCCCACCATCTGTACGGGCCCTTTGGGTAGCGTCTCGGTTTTAGGCAGATTCGCCCACGGGGTGGCACTGCCCTTGAGGGCGGACGGAGCACTCTGTAAAAAAGGCGGGGTTTGTCCTGTCGGTGCGGGTTTGGGGTAGGGACCGGCGGCGGTGGGCGGGGCGGAGGACTTAACACCGGGTTGGGATGCGGGTTGAGAGGGGGTGGACTGGGAGGGGGATGGGGCAGTTGCAACACGGGTGGGGGATGGTACCTGTGGTTCTTGCACTTTGTTGGCGGTGGGCGGTGCTGGGGCTGATTGGTCGGTTTTGGCCGGTGGGGAAGCGGTTGCGGCTTCATCGGTTTTAGCGGCTGCAGCTGCTGATTGGTCAGCCTGAACCGGTTCAGCTGGCGACTCAGCAGCAGGCGCTTGAGACGCATTTTCGGCCGGTGCATTATCAGCGGCTTTTTCCGACGGTGATTCCATATTTTCTTTATCCGCTGGTTTTACGACGGTTTCACTTTCCGGTACCGTTGGCTCTGGTTTCGATTCCTGTGATTGTTCCGAAGGCTTTGACTCGTCTTCCGCTGGTTTTGCAGGCGCTTCGGTAGGGCTTGAATCTTGCACGACGGTATCCGCGGATTTCGGTACTTCCGGTGGTGCGTTGGCTGTGGACGCTTCGACTGCCAGTTGCGCTTCCTGCGCGTCTTGCTCCACCGCATCGGAAACTTGAGTAGGTGTAGTAATGGTCTCCGACGGCTGCGGCTCAGTCTGGTTGACGGGCTCCGATTTTGCCGGTTCCGCGGTTGCGGGTGACTCAGTTGGTACGGCATCCTGTGGCTGGGCGCTTTCTTCCGTATTCCTGCAAAATTCGCTCTCGATCAGTTCAGATTAATGTTTGTGACTTTACGATCATGTATACAAGTGTCTGGTGTGAGTGTATGCGCGGGTTTTTCGTAATTTTGGCCGGACAGCGTGTCTCCGATCAAATTACCCTGACGCGAACGGTGAAAGGTCAAACTGTGTTCCGTATGCTACGCTAAATTCATCTTGTTTATAGTCGTCAGATTTTGCGGGTTTTCTAATGCGCTAACTATTTCAGTCTCGATAAATCGATTCTTGAACATTAGTAACTTTTGATAACAGCTTCGCAACATTCGCAAGATTTTCGCGCAACGCTCGGGCTAACAGATACAGTAATATGTGTGGCTGAAAAGTTCAAACGAATGCTTCGCGTTGAAGCGGAAGTTTGAGATTCCTCAAGACCCGAACATGTATTGATTCCATCAATTACTGCACGGATAATTTCGAATCCCAGAATTTGTAAAAAATTAGTACGTACTGTGTAATGTGTCATACACGATAGTACAATTATAAAACAAATTCTCATCTTCTCACCGTTTAATGGAGTTTTATATCGTAAGCTAAACTGCTATCCTGAAGTTCTGCTAATTTTGGATAGGTCGGTTAGTAAGTACAAAAAAACTTCACAAAACCTTTCCCAGCATATTCGTGCTAATCGCAGCATGGCTTACTTTGTAGGGACTTCCGCAGCCGGCAACTCTTCTTTCGGCTTCTCAGTGCCCTCAGCATCTTTCACCTTGGTGGGCTCCTGTAAAATCAGAACAATGGCAATCGCTTTACATTCTTAAAGTTTTGTACGTCAGTATCTGAACATTTTACTATAATATAATATTTCTTGCTTGCGTCGTATTACTAGACTGTACAGGCTGCATAAATTAAATTTTTAAAGTGCTTCACTATTCATGCACAGCAGAGGGTAACAGACTATGCCGACTCTGCGCAGTACAAGTAATCCTAATGTGCAGACGCATCGACAGATTATAAATTTTTAATGTTCTATGTGCGATGTTTTCAAATAGCGATTGGGTCTGCTAAGCATATTTTGCCCTTGTATCAGATTTAAATAAAAGCTCTTTCTTTTATAGCTAAGTTTTGTACGTTACCCAACAGCAGCCAAATGAACCCTATCGAGCTGCTCAATAGTAGGTACTCCTTTCGCGTACTGCACATTCACATTTTTACATTACTCAGTCCATAAATAATGTGGTCTATAAATACTCTCTACATGCCAAGGCAATTAAAGACTGCACGATATTTTTGCGCTTTGTGATCATACTTCATTATAATTTTGTCAGTTACGTTTTCTAATATTACTACTTACACTCTTACAGCTAGCTGTTGTGTGAACGCTATTCCTACAGGATAACCGATTAACAAAATTCATCCTGCATCAACATTCGCGTCAAAGGTTATGTCAGCGCCATTCTGCATCAGACAAACAGCTAACGCATACGTACAATATCTAAAATTTCTACAAGTACTGTAATACAATTTCTGTAATTACGAAACCCTCTATGCACTGCGCTCTATACTTGCAAAATCCAATTCCGCTCGACAGATGCAGCTTTGTAGGTATTTCTTTTCAGTTTTTTTCATCAAGTAAAATAATTTATCTACAACTAATTGTCTCCGAAATTCTACTGCTTTAGGTTTTACTAACAATCGCGAACTGAGTTAAGTAAGTTTTTCGCTCTGTATAATGCTAAATTTTATACAACTTCATAAGTTCATACGAGGCCTACATTAATGTTAGGATCAGGATCAGCGCAGATCTGTTACTGCATAACCATCAGCAAAACTGCACACTACATAGCCAATATATGATCTGCAGTAGATTATTGCTGTATTAAAAATTCCTAGTAAAACAGTTGAAATCTGAATTTTTTTGGAAAATGATCAGACTCAAGGAACCACAGAAAGTAGAGGAAACAACGCTCGAAAGATGCAGGCTGATATACACAAGGCTGCCTAGCGCATATCTACGTATCCAGCATCGATTTTCACCTGTCGGCACTATGTAATTGTGAAACTTGGCAGTTTGCGCTACAATTGTAAGTAATATATTAACTAGTGTGCCCGCGCTTGCACTTTTTGTTGCTTTGGCGGCTATTGCCCAATAAACATTAATATATTAACTAACCAATTATAGTTTAATCAAAAAATTAATACAAACGGGTTTCGAAATATAATAGGTAAATGTGGTTATGTGGACATGCATCTCTTTGCACGCTTAACGTAGGAAGTGTGGTTTTAGCGTGCTGATAATGCCAAATAACGGCCTGGTACCTCTTGGGGCTTGGTTTCCTCAACGACTGTAGTTGTTTCAGGTTTTGCATCCTGAGCTTCAGGTTTCGCATCCTGAACTTCGGCTTTCGCGTCCTGCGTTACAATGGTAGCCGCTTCCGGTTGCGGGGTGTCGGTAGCTGCGGCTGGCTTTTCTTCAGCTGCAACCGCTGCTGCTGCAGGAACATCTGCAGTGGCTGCCGCAACACCGGCATCAGCAGCAGGTTTGTCACCCATTTCTCACACTTATACCAGGAGATAAAAGATAAATATGTCACAGTGCCAACATAAACCGAAATCCTAATGAAGCGTGATTATACTATCCCACCGATATATATATACACGAAAGGTCAATGTTGTCGGTAACGTTAAGGTATACTGGAGGAAAAGCGCCCTTCTAAAAAGTTTACATGTTATGTAGCCACAAATACCCAGCTACACCCCGGCAAATCAATAAGGACGTTTTGGAAAAAATAAGATGCCAAACGGCATCGAACGACGGAATAGTTTCACTATTATGGGACGACGAAGATGATCCGCAGAAGATAGAAGGGTACGACGCGCGGCGGTGCTCTGAAGGAGAGAGAGAGAGCATGCCGTCAAAAATGCAGCTGTTAAAAAAAGCAACAGTACTGTCTCGTAATTCGAAAAGTCGTGATCTTCTTGCCGGACCGAACCGGAGATACGATCGAACGGAAGGGCGAATGTAGACGTCGTCGGAAGAAACGGTCGTTTAATTCCACATAAGTCTTGTTATTCCAGCTGATACTTGCCAGGGTTATCTTCAGCATTAACGAGAGATACACAGATCCTGTCGAGTTGAGTACAACTGAAGTGAGTCTAGAAGTTACTTTTCACTTTGTATGTCTAAAAAGCCTCTAAGGTTTCAAAGATTTGTGTTCGCTGGACATATACATACTGTACATACGCATACGTGTGTCATCGTACGTTGATGGTGGGTTATATTGGTGCGTAATAACAGTACTAAATTATGTGACGGTGTCCTAGTTATGTCCCATTCCGGTATCATTTACAGGTTACAAATATATCAGCTGCAGCATTATTTTGATCTGCACAATCCCACGGTTTCATATTGTGGGCTAATTTTGCTACACCCTATAGGGCCTACCCAGTATACTGTGCATGAAACAACCCGTTTAAAATGTATTTTGCGCGACGTTATCTGTTGCCAGCAGACAAACTGTTGCAACTTTGACTTTAGCACGGGTCGGTGGCATCCTGCATAATATTATACACTGACTTGGGATTTAAGTGTTTAGTGAGAAAAGGGTAAAAACGAATCTGTAGCAAAATCTTATGTAAGAAAATCCGCTGCAATTACGCCAGTCGTACCAATCTGAATCATCGTTACCTGTTTCGAAACAAAGTAACAATGGCCCATAACGATGCTGAAATACTTAATTTTGACAAAATAAAATCATTATCTGGAGTATCGTGCAACAGCTTAAAAAAATAAACGGAGGCTGTATCTGTACTTGTGTGGAAGTGGTATGTGACGATCTGTAGCTAGAATGACCAAAAATTACCGGTAAACTAGCTAAATGCTAAGCAGCTAGAAATATTTAGTAACTATTTTAAAATATGCCTTGTTGAAAGTGTTAACACTTGTATTTTGTTAACCGACTTCATTCGAAACTGGACCCTTCAGCAAATGGTATGTAAGGCTTTTCGTGACAGAAGGATGACCTAAATTTTACAGATCAAATACGTAAATTTAAGAAAAGAAGAGAAAAAAACCCGATTGTTCTCACAATGTTATCTTTACTGGATTAATAGTTATTAGTCATATCTGACAGAAATAATATGCGCACCTAGTCCTCTTGCTTTTATCATATACTGTTTGTTTTAGCCAATGGAAAGGGAAAACTAAGCAATGTAAGCGAGAAAATTTTTCTTATGCGCAGCTATGTAACTGTAGTTTAAGTGTGTAACTAACTAACTATGTATATTGACGTATGGAAATATTGGGAACTTACGAAACGTGACAGCGCACGCGAAGGAGGGATTCCAGTGTATTGTTGTGAAGATCTAGTGGCACTTGTCTTGGCCACGGAACGCTTCCGACCTCCGTTTCCTGTGGTTTGCGCCGGTAGTGGTAGATACTGTCTGAAAAAGACAGTGGGACATAGAAAGAGAAAAATGGCCAAAAGAATATATTCGATCATAATTCCGGCACTGCTGATAATGCTTTATACTATTATCCAACATCGTCTAGCCATGTCTTACTAATCGGCCCTCGATTTCCCGGGCCCATAATTGAGTGAGTAGGGCTGAAAATAAACAGCAAAAAGCCCCCACAGATCAGCCGGTGCTGCCAGGATCGGATCATGCCGGTCTGTTGTGGAATGACATAGTGCAGCAGACGGAAATGTTAATGGGTGAACCGACGGGAGAAAATAGGCAAACAACACAAAGGATTACTTTATGGAAATAAAATATGTATTTATAGTCCAATGAAAAAACATTAGTGACTCATAAAAACCATATCTTTATGATTTATTTATAGAGTCCTCAAAATTTTACCAACTCGCATTCTCTTCATTCATCGCCGTCTACAGTGCTGTTTATATCGCTTATACACGAAGACAAAGAATTATAGCGCATTGTTAATTATTATTATGTAAGAATCATTTAGGAAGTTTAAAACATTTTAATAAATTGTCTTAATTAAATGTTTAATACGTCACGTAAAACTTAAAAGTAAGCCATCTTGGGCGTACCATAAGACGGTTTGGTAATGTTGTTATTAATTAATATTATTATTAAAGATTAGGTTAGCATTAAAAACATTAGGTTTTTTTATATGCTCATTGATCAAATTAAGCGCCACAACTATATGTACACAATTATTTTGTTGAAGTTGAAAAGGTAGGCAGTAAGAAGTTAGTTTCCTGGCCGGTGCCTTATCAATCATTCTTTTTTATGGCAGGTATTTCCCCAGCTACAAAACGTTTGAGTATCGCTAGAAATATCGGACTGTTCCCAAGAACACATTTTAATTTTGGTATTGCCAACTCCAGTTATAAAATGTCGGCAAAAAATGTTTACTGTATACATTCTGAACTTCATCATCACTTTCAGTATCCAAATCCCATTTCGGCCCCGAAGCACTGGACCCGGGAACGGGCACCGGAAGTCCCTGACTGCCCGGTTGCAACAAATTCGTATCCTCAAAATAGATCAAACGGCTTTTCAGTGTCATTTTTATTACCCTTTTTTACACTAAGATCCAACGGTTCATCTTCAAACGTCCATCGTTGACCGGGCTCTGTGTCCGACCGGAAGTGCTTAGATGAATCACCGTCCTGACCGGCACTGGTAGTCGCACTGTGCTTCCCGCGATTATGCCACGTTTTCCAAGTGGACGGCGCCAAACTTTTATACCAGCCACTGTTTCCGCTGACCGTACTGCGGCTGCCGTGCTTATTATTATCGATGGCCGCGTGCACGACCTCACTGACCGTGCTGGTCGGCTTGCGGGCAATAAATGCCGGTTTGGACCTAATGGCCTGCTGTAGACTGGACGGCTCACCACGGATGACTGAGACGGCATTTTTCGTATGGGCGCTGTCCGGCCAGAAATGCACGGATTTGCCAGGCGATTCTGGATTTACTGGGGCATTTTTCGTGTTCACCAGACAACTACCGGCTTTCGTGACCTTTGGCGCAGACCACCCGCCGGTGGTTGAGGCATAGCCTAACGGTCGTCCAGTGACATTGCCCATGGATCCCGATCGGAATTGAAAAGAGGGAAACAGCGAATGGCTGCTGCGATAACTCCCTGTCGCCCGCAGTGATTCGTCGCCCTGTTCGTTGCTCTTCACGGTATACATATCCGAACTACCGCCCCGAAAATCCGGTATCATCTGGTTATCACGCATTACCATCTCGGCTAGGGTCTTTAAAATCTGCTGGTCTAATCCGAGCTGGCGATAGCGCGAGATAATTGACGCCACGCCGTAACTTCCCAGTTGGAGGAATTCACGTGCAGCGCGCTGGAAGACGGTGCGCTTTTGGAGGAAATGCTGATAGGCCGCTGATGAGTGACTGTTCTCGATGCTGGACTGTTTGATTTCCGTGAGCAGATGGGCGATGAAATATTTGTCGTCTTCGGTGAAGTATGAGTGCGACAGGAGATGGTCTGCCGGGTGACGGATCAGTGGATCCGGTTCTAAGCACAGTTTGATGAGCTCGGTTAGCCGTCCCGGGTGCTGACACAGCAGCGTGTCCAGACCGGTAAATGGTGCACCGTCATTGGTCTGGTCGGCGCAGTTGCTGTACATTTTCGTGGCGCGTTCCCACATGTATTTCGGGATACGGCCGACAATTTGCAGTGTTTTCACCATTTGATCCGCATCCTCTACGGAAGCCACAGCTAATTATACAAGTGTCAACAATAGATGGTTTCGTAAATTTAGATGTTTACCTCATTAACATTAGTACTTATGTTTAGCAGCTGAATGTACAAACGCGTCATTTACATGTGCAGTAATTTATCAAAATACTTGTAAGTAACATTTATATAAAGTGTTAAAATAATATACAATACACACAAAAAGCTATATACAGCATATTGTACATATATGCACCAACCCGTGCCTAACAAACTGACCAGTGCCGGCAGCCATCGGTTGACCTTTGATCATTTCCACTGCGACGGCTCCAATTGCCCACACATCAACAGCCCTAAAAAATAGCTAAATAACAACGCATTTCGAAATTTTGTAAGTAATCACATTAGCAGCTGTGTGCTACCAACAGGTTTTCATATTAATTTACATTACAGTTAAATAAAGTTTGATAGGTACTGCATCTTGTTTTTACTTTAAGTACAAGATTTGTAATCGAAATACTATGCGCAGCACGATCCATTTCCGACCGAATTCTCGTTGGCGCACAAAACTGACTTTTCACCTTTCGTTGTTCATACGTACTTTCCATAGCAATAGTCTCCTGTCAAAAGTTCAGGCGCGCGATACCATCTTGTGGCGATGTAGGAGGAATACCGCTGTCCATTGTACGCATGTTTAGTGGCGAAACCGAAATCCGCAACGCGTAAAATGTCGTCTTTGGTGATCAGCACGTTCTCTGGTTTTACATCACGATGGAAGATACTGTAAGAACATTGTTTTAGAATTAATTTATAAAAACCATAATTTTTTATACGACCATTTATGTTGTACGTTCTGTGGTTCTTACTTACATTCCTGGAATGGATATATGATACAGCGCGCAGGAGCTGGAACAGGAAAGATTTGGTGCGCGGACCCGCCCCCAGACATTTTTTCGGAGCTTCGTGGATCACGTCCAACAGTGTTTTACTGACATATTCAAAAACCATATAAAACACGGAATTTTCCATAAAAACATGGAATAACTTGACGACATTGTCGTGGCACACATCGCGCAATGCGCTGACTTCCACCTAACGAGTGCACAGCGATGTAGATAGTGCAGGCTGAAGAGGTCACACATGCGGCGACATGCCAAAGTGAGCTTTACGAGTACGTTTATGCATAGCGTAATCATGTGTGTTAACTTACCAAAACACTTTTTTTGACGACAGCGTAATCCTTGTCGTCAGCAAGGAAAGCATTTAATGGCAACCACATCGCCTGCAACAATGCATGAATAATTTTTTAAATAAGATTTCTTTTCTAGCATTTAATATGCAGCTGCTATGTGCTGATCATGAGGACGCTGATGGGCTGCAGTTGGTAAGCGCGTTTACCAGTCAAAATATGGCGATTCTTTGTAACGGCTCCTAAGTAAAGGATAAAAAATTAGATTGTTAGATGCCCGCTAGATGATCAATAAATCACAGATTTGGTGCGCTCAAAATTCAGTTGTATGCTGAAAATTCAGATGGACAATGTGTATAAAACATACTATACCGTACTAAAAAAGGTCTCACAAAAGAAAGGTATACCATAAGATCCTTTTCCAAGCTTGCCCAAATTTTCATACGCTTTGGAGCTTGACATTCAGCATCATATGCATTTATCAAGTTATTTACATCAACTCGCACGGTATTTATTATCGTAAATAATGATATCATGTAGCTTCTCTCAACTTCGATACAAATAAGCATGAAACATTTGAATGTAAATTTTATGCCCGGTGTCAAAAAGTCAAAAATTAATGCTGTCGTTTGTACATCTTATGTTGTGTACCATAACTACGTACTTATTTAAATTACCTGCATACTTTACACTAACACTGGGGTAAGTAACAAAAAATGTTCCTTTAAGTCTGGTCAATTGAAAATTTATAATAATACCTGCGTCTCGATTTATACTGTGCACGAAAACACGAATCGGTGCTGTCTCCAGGAAACAGTACTTCGGGAACCGTATTTGCCGTAGACGAAAGCAAACGAAATTTCGATTTGAACTTGACTGCACAGATTTATTACTTTTGCAGCTTACTTGCACTTTGCAACAGTCAAAAAAATGGCGTCTACTCGCCTACGCTCAACAAAGTACCAAGGAGTTTTTCTTCAACAGTAGCGAATACCGGAATACGTTATTATTACCCTGGTTCAGGATTGGTGCTTTTTTCTGAGTCGACCGACCGGAACTAATTATTTATCTTAACTAGTACTTTTAACAGTATTATGGTTTTATACGTTATGATCATTAGAATGCAGCTTTTTCGAACTGATGATGAGTTTTACTCAGCCATCAATAATTTTATCCATTCCAAGATAACTGCACATAAAATTTGAAAATAATCAACTCACTAAAGTTATGCATAACTACCATAGCATCAGTAGGCAACATCCGCTCATTAAACCCAAATAAAAGAAAAACTAATAGATTCAGAAGAACCGCGGTTAGGAAAAAGAGCGCGACCAATGCAACACAGGATTAAACCACTTTATAACGACCACGGTTAACCGGCGCATTGGCAATCTTCAGAAGTTCTTCCTTAATAATCCTGGTCACCTCCGCCTTCGCTTTGGACAACGACAGCTCCGTGGTGGCTTCGATACCAATATACAACTTCCTCTCGCCTTCCGTCGGTTCTTTGCCGGTGGGAATGTACGAACCGCGTACCGACAGGAAAGCATCGGCATATTCACCAATCTGCGCGAGTGTCTCCTTTCCGGTTATCCTCCAGCGCGCCTGCTGCGGGAAATCATTGATTTCCAGTTCCTCTTCAAACGTCTTATACTGTTCAACTGGATTCTCCTCCGCTGGCTTCTCCTCCGGAACATAGTTCAGTTTAGCATTCAGTTTCTCTGCTAATTGTTCGGCAATGGTCTTCTTGGACACGGCCGGCGCTTCCGAGTGGAACCCGCGCATAATCGCTTCCGCGGCCTGCTGTGTGGAATTCTTGGTCGGATCAACCGCTTTGGCTGCCTGCAATTTCATGGCCAAGCGCTTCGCCAGTTCCAAATTTTTTCCGGCATCTTTCGATACTTTATACACTGGTGCTGCCACAGGAATGAACGCTCCGTGGCCGGTGTATGTTTCCTGCGGTTGAACCGGTGCAGCTGCACCTTGCTGCACTGTAACTGCGGGTTGTTGCTGCACGATGACAACCGGAGGAGCCGGAGCATTAGCGTCCTTAACGCGTCGCGTACTCTTGAATAAATCCTCAATGTGTTGATCCAAGTCGGCTTCTCCTTCATCAGAATCCGAATCCTGTTAAAAAAAGGTAACCAATGTTAATTCTATAAATTTTTCCATCGTTAGTTAAGTTAAAGCCAGATTTACCTGTAATCCAAGAACAGCTTTCTGCATTTTCTTCGAATCTTTCGCAGCCTGCGCTTCGTTCTCATCGAACTGAAATCCCTTCCCACCAAATCCACTAAAGCCCTTAACTTTTTTCCCTTCAGCCGCCAATCTGCCCTTGTACGTTTCAAAAATGAGTTTGAGATCCTGAGGAACTTCAGCACCAGACAATTCTAGTGCTTTAAGGATATCCGGAGAGTAACGTTCCTGCAACGGCGTAATAAACGTGTACGCATATCCTTTATTCCCCGCACGCCCGGTTCGGCCGCACCGGTGCACGTAATCTTCGTAGTGATTTGGGCAATCATAATTGACCACCAGCACCAAATTCTTGACATCAAGACCACGTGCGGCCACTGAGGTGGCCACCAGCACTTGAATATTGCCTTTTTTGAAATCATTAATGGTACTGTCGCGGTCAAACTGGTCAATACCACCATGCAGGGCCATTGCGGAATATGAAGCTTTCATAAGATCTTTCAGAAGTTGATCAGCTTTTTCCTGCTTTTCCACGAAGATCAAACAGCTTCCTTGCGCACCATAATGACCCAGCAATTCCAACACTTTCAAAAATTTCTGATCTTCGTCAATGATCATCACGTGTTGTTCGACGTCTTTGCACACGACGCTGCGTCCACCAACTTGAATTTCGATTGGTTTTGCGAGGATTCGGCGCGCCAACGCCTCCATCTGTCGGGGAAATGTGGCAGAAAACAACACCGTCTGCCGATCCGGTCGAATATTATCCACAATCAACATCACCTGGGGTTCGAATCCCATGTCGAACATGCGATCAGCCTCATCCAGAACGACATATGTCACTCTACGAAAAGACAAATTTATTAAAGTATGAAGAACGAGGAACGGATAAAAATAAATACGTAAAAAAACGAAACTTTCCAAGTTAATCAACAGAAACCGATACAAGGCTCAGTTAATGTCGGTCAGTTCTCTTAAGAATTTAATTTACCTTCGAAGGTTCGTTACTCGTCCATTATTAGCAGCCAGCATGTCAATCATCCGACCAGGAGTGCAAACAATGATCTCCGCTCCTTTTTTCAATTCTGCGATCTGCTCCGATATGCCGGTTCCTCCGTACACGCACACACAGCGCAGCCCCATGGACTTCCCAAATTTCTTCGCTTCCTTCCAAATCTGCAGCGCTAATTCACGAGTCGGTGTCAGAATCAACGCCACGGGCCCTTCTCCTTCTTCCAAATGAGGCTGATCCAGCACATGACGAAACATGGGCAACAAAAACGCTAACGTCTTCCCGGAACCGGTTTTTGCAATCCCAATCACATCACGTCCGGACATGATGCAGGGAACGGCCTGCGCTTGGATGGGAGTAGGTTTCGTGTAGCCGCTCTTTTTCAGTACATCCAATTCTTTCTTACTAACACCACACTGCGCCCAATTCTTAATGGGTTTGGGACAATCCTTTCCCCGTACTTTGATATCCTCCAGCTCTTCCCGATACGCCTGTACCTCCACCTCCGACATGTTCGTGATTTCCGGAACTTCATTATAGAAACTCCTTCGAAAAGTTGGATAATCAATGGCTTGATGATCCACCGCTTGAATCAGCTTCTTCTGTTTATTCTGTACATTACTCATCGTTGTCTTCAAATCCTCTTCCTCCTCTTCGGAGCTCCATTCCAACGCATCCTGATCCTGCTCCATAATTTCGCCCCGTTTGCTTTTATGATCATTCTTATTTTTATTGGCCACCGTATTGACGAACGTCACGCCGCTCGCGGCTTCGTTGCGTGCCGCTGACTTTTTCTTCCCTGGTGCATCCTGCATATTCTCCAAGTCCCGCTTGCGGATCTCCTTGACTTCTTCCTGCACACCCTGCATAAACGCATCCAAGGGATCCACTTCGTCTTCCACGGGTTTGGCTTTGACATCAGCCAACGGCTCCTCCGCATCTTCCCCTTCATCCTCCAGCGACCAGCCAGGTCCGTTGGCGGAATTCTGTTTGGCCGCCTCCACAGCAGCAGCCGCCGCTGCTTTATCATCCTCGCGTTTCTTCTGCTTTCTCCACAGCTCAATCCGTTCTTTACGCTTCTGGTATTCCTGTTCCAGGCGTTTCACTTCGGCTTCCTTGTCAAATGTGTCGCCGAATGTCAACGGTGTACTGTCAACTGTGGCCGCGACGGGGACGACGGCGGGTTGGGCTTCCGCGGAACGAGAGCGGCTGCGTCGCCGTCGGGAATAAGGAGAACGCGAGCGCGAACGACGTCGGTTGCGATCGTTGTATGGATAGTTGTTGTAGCGGTCCCGCGACCGACTGCGCCGTCGCCGATCATCGTAACGTCCATTCCGCTCTTCGCGTAGACGATCCTCTCGCCGGCTATCACTGTAAATAAAAATCATAATAACTGCATGGTGAAACTCTGATAAAGTTAAAACTACCATATCAGTACATTTTCACTACTGGCTTCGTAATTATCAAAAGTAATAGTCCTAAGTCGACTTAAATCAGCGAGATGGCGCTCTATATATCAGTTTCCAAATTCCCATGTCAACTTGGATCGTAGATTAACGTACCACACTCCGAGAGTTCTTCCGATAGCCAATATCCAGCAATAGGCACATCATGGCACACAGCTCGTAAACCCAGCCTATCCAATGTTTGTGTTTAGTTTTTTGGAATCTGATGTGTTACGACTACGCTTACGGCTTACCAAGTTAGTTTTAGTATTGTATCATATTACTGATTTAATTATAATGTGTACTCGTAATACTGCAATGCATTACTTACAAGTTACAGCGATTAATAGTAAGTAATCTGAACAATTTTACGGAGCCGCCATCTTCAAGGATTTAACAACGACAACGGTATCCTTAAAAAGGAACAATTATATTTTCTAAATTAGAACGCACTAAACAGTAACTGAGCACTCATCACAGTTTGCTACAGTGTCAAAAGTACTGTAAGCTGTTAGACGAGGATCGTTACAAGCCAATCAACAAAATCAAAACTCATATTTGTCACTGCACCCCATTGTTCTCTGAAGATAATCTGGAGCTGGACCTTCGGTATATACTGTACTGTATTACGAGAAGGCTTACTGGCTTACCGTAAAGAAGTTGAGGAGACAAGTCGGGGCATTCTGTAAGGGAATTCGGGAGTGTATGACGCAGCACGAAACACTCTAGTGCCACAGCGGTTCTTGGGCCAATCTGAGCGAGTACCACCAACTTCTTAATGTCCGCTATCTCTGGTCCAGATGACTACTCCAATCAGAATAAAAAATTTCTACAAAGCGATAAGGAAAACCTTCGTTAACGAATTATGAATGGTTATTATTCGCAAAATCGCGCATCAATAATAAATTAAAGATGAATTTTGATAACATAAAATTTTTATTGGGTCAGCTTGCTATGGGTGGCGAATGTGCACTGTGCGAGTGCAGAGCTGCGTGCCCATATCGCACCGGAAATGGGTTGGCTTTGCTGCTGTTGGCCTCTATGCGCATCGTGCCGCTCTGCCACCATTCGCTCTCGCTAACCACACAACCACAGCTGTATCGTAGTGAACTGGCGCACCAGTGGTTGTTTGTTTTCTTTTTCGCATCATAAGTACTTACGCTCACATATATTGGGACGTGATTAAAATCATTAAAGGTAAATTTTGTTGGTTTGTGGTTTGCCAGTTATTAGTGTCTGTTCGGTGCGCACACGGTAGGTTTTCCGGTGACGATACCGGTAGCTATCGTGATGGTTTCCGTCATCGTTAGAAGTTTGTGTGTTCGCTAAGCACAACGATAACGCTCGATACAGAGTTCGGCTTGGGCTCGGTCCGGTCTCACTGAATTAAAAAATGTAAAGTAAATTTTGCAAGAGCGTGACCAACCGCTTGTGGGGAGGCAGTTTGAGTGAACATACGACTTCCGGTTTGTTAGTCCCTCACAAAACAAATTGTTTCTAAATGTTATTTCTATTTTATTGTTTGGCAAAATATTTTATTAAATAGAGTGATGTTTTAAGTGCTTATTTCTTTCGACAAAACGGTAATCCAATAATTCCACGGCTCACAAGATTCTACCGGAGATGCCCAACGATACCAACGCTTTCTATCGTTATCTACGATACGGTACAGGCAGAAAAACGGTAAATTTGTGGTGAGTCATACCGCTATCGTTACCGTAAAACCTACCGTGTGTGCCCCGAACAGAGACTATTATCACTTTGCCCTCGATTTGGAATTAAATGATAATGTGCACGAAATAACGGTAATCTTCCGTCTTCTTTAGCATGCTGCACGTCTTGAACGATCTCTAAAAACGTTGTTTGGAACTTTGAAGATACCGTAAAGATGCCTAATCAGGCTAACCATAAGAAATAACGGGATAATTATTAAGTATAGAATTATTTCGGCGTGATCGCACCATCATCGCATTCATCTCCGCTGACATCGTGCTAAACGCAATTAACGTGAATATTTACGCAACTGTGGCTTTTTAGATTTCCTCGATCGTCTGTGAGTTACACTTTTTTTAAAAGGAAACGACGCCTGCAAAATGTGTGCTTATTGATTCGTGCGATGACGTTTCCTCTCCTTGGACGTAGCCGTTTGTGGACAGACGGACTAGCAATAATCAGTGAATGGTGAAAGCGGAAAAGCCCAGCAGAGCGTTTGAAAAGCTAGATCAGGTTTGTGTGATCACTCTTTCACATCATTCTTTTTTTGCCGCGTTGTATTATCTGTACCGAGTACAGTCCGTTTGTATAACTTGTGCGCTGCCTCCGTAACACACATTTTGCCGTTATGTTTGCCAGAATGTTACAGACATTCCGACAGAATGCAGAATAGAGCGCGCATAAGAAGCTATAATGCCTCTCCAGATTTAAGTTGGTCAAATAACTTTTAACGCTTCAGGGGTGGACTTGATGATTGGGAATGACCAGTAGTCCGGAGGGAGATCGGAAAATGGGAACACCAGTGTCGGAGCATACGTACGATAAGGCGCACAAAGCCAAAATGACGCTGCAGACTTATTACAGTAATCTCATCGAGCAGCATGTGGATCGCCAGAACAGGTGGGCTTTTGCAATTTGCTACACAGTGAGTCTAAGCACTTGTTTGTTTTTGTTTTCGAGCTTTTCTTAACAACAGCAAAACAATTAGCAATAAACTACGCTGAACTAAACCCCTTGGAATGTCGATTTAGTTGATTTATTTAATATTTCGCTTATAGTTGAGTTATGCTGCAAAAGTAAAACTGTTGGCATCGTCTTCGCAGTTTCTTGTCTGAAAGCTTGATGTTTAGAATTTTTTTGACTATCTGCATTTTGAATTGCTACGTAAATAACTTTCCAAGCATGTTAGAACCGGATTTTCACCCTTGGTTTCGGGAATGACATAGAGGATGCACGTGACGCGACATTTTGATAAATTTGTTAACACAACTAGCAAAGATTGCAATAAATAACTCATGAAATTTTCTTAAGTTCCACTCTGTGTCTCTCTCTATCCGGACAGATTTACGAGATTGTATGCATTTCGAAAGATATCTCGATGGATATGCAGTTTGATTGCTATCTCTAACATAAATCTTTTGAGTAAAATATGTCTCTACAGAATTAACGCGACTGGGATTGATTTCAAATGAGCAGTGCGGTTATGCTGGTATAAACTACACTGTAACTGTTACTGCAGTACTTGTATAAACGTTAATTCTACCAAGCATTTTTTAACCCGTTACAAATGCATTATGCACTTTACCAGGGTTAGTGCATGCTGGATAAACTGTGTTGTGTTATTATTTTGCTCAAGCATGGCTTGTTGCAGGACAATGCCACATCGCTTTAATTGTTTGATCTGCAAAATCTTTCGAAATGCTTGTTTTACATTGTAGATATCGCCTTCTGGAGAAATCAATGGAACAGGAGGGATTAACCGAGAATCAGGTGGAATTTGTGAACTGAAAAGTGTCTGCAATTTGTACAGTTTACCGTTTACGTTTATCATCTCAGAAAACCGAAAAGCGATCGCAACATGCCATTAAAGAGACGGAATACTTGCGCTTGAAGCGATGCCGGCTGGGAGTTGAGGATTTTGAACCGCTGAAGGTTATTGGAAAAGGCGCGTTTGGTGAGGTAAGATGAATCGCTAGATTGTCGAAGGACAGGTAAATAAGTGATTGGTGATGGGTAGACATACAAATCTGCGTGTTTTCTTTAGTTGATTTACATGATTGTATCTGTTTATTGTCACGCGCAGGTTCGTCTCGTACAGAAAAAAGACACCGGTCACATGTACGCGATGAAGGTCCTTCGCAAGGCCGATATGCTCGAACGCGAACAGATTGCGCACGTTCGCGCCGAGCGGGATGTTTTAGTCGAAGCCGACCATCAGTGGGTCGTTAAAATGTACTATTCCTTTCAAGATCCCGTGAATTTGTATCTGGTGATGGAATTCTTGCCAGGAGGTAAATACAAATAATTGGGTAGTGAAGCTGTGAACTGCGTTAGCAGTGTGGTTTAGCAAATTTGCATCGTGTTATTTTATTTTAAGGAGACCTTATGACATTGTTGATGAAGAAGGATATTCTCAGTGAAGAAGTGACACAGTTTTATATGGCCGAAGCGGCGCTGGCCATTGATTCTATCCATAAATTGGGCTTCATTCACCGCGACGTTAAGCCGGATAATCTCTTACTTGATTCTAAAGTACGGTAAATTGCTTCTCAAGTGCTTGATGTGTTTGTACTGTGTGTGTTTTATTGTTGCTGAAGTTTGCACTGCTTTGATAGGGCCACATTAAATTATCGGATTTCGGTCTGTGCACGGGTCTAAAGAAGTCCCATCAAACGGCTTATTATCGTGATCTTCTAAACACTCGTTTCGGTAAACGCGATGACAGAATACGCTACTACAAATTCATTTGCGGTGAGTTGTTTGCATACATTGGGAAAGCGTGTTTGCGCTCTTGTAGCTAATGATTTATCTCCGCTGGACTCAAAACGCCGAGCCGAGAGCTGGAAGCGCAACCGGCGCGCAATCGCTCACTCAACCGTGGGCACTCCCGATTATATTGCACCGGAAATGTTTGGCGATAGCGGCTATACAGCGGCCTGTGACTGGTGGTCATTAGGGGTCATCATGTTTGAAATGCTCATTGGTATGCTGAAGAATGCCGGTTATGTCAACCTTTCCCCGGAGATTAACTGTTGGATTTGAATTTGTTTTCATTGATCTACAGGCTATCCTCCCTTTTGCTCTGATAGTCCAAATGAAACATACCATAAAGTCTTGCATTGGCGAGAATCGCTGCTCTTTCCGCCTGACGTGCCTATTTCTGATACAGCCAAAGACCTTATTAAAAGGTAATGCGCTTAGTTAAGTAGTATAACGGCTTAATTTAATCAGATTTACCGTACAGTTATGAAATATGATATTTTTTCTCTTGTAAAGTTTTCCTCACTTCCATTATCGGCATTGTGTATTTAACATGTCAGTGTTATAATTTATGAGTGCGATGCATTTAGGTATTTAACATAGTGCGGAAAAATGTGCATGTAATGGAGTTCCTTCCATATAATTATTCAGTGGCTTATTTTCTACAGGTTTGTGTGCGATCAGAAGAGCCGAATTGGAGCTCAGCGGGGAATTGAGGAAATTCGAGAACACAAATTTTTTCACGCCTTTGACTGGGACCATGTCCGGGATCGACCGGCTGCCGTTACTGTCGATGTTAAAAGTATCGATGATACTTCCAATTTTGATGAATTTCCAGATGTGGATTTGCCCATTCGTAAGTACTTGAATTTCATGCATCTGCATTTGGTTCTTTTCAACATGAAATATTTTTATTCGCAGCGGCGGCTCCATCGAGCACTGGAGAAATGGGATACAAGGACTGGGTGTTTTTGAATTACACTTTCAAGAGGTTCGAAGGCCTTACTCAGCGCGGCACCCCGAATTTCGACAACCATGTCCGAATAACAGCAACCCAGGATGTTTGAAATCGTTTGCATGGTCTGTGTTAGTTGTAGCTGACTAAGGTTTTCCTTGTTACGGTGTATCTGGGTTTGTAAAACGTTTATTGTTAATTTTAATCTTTCCGGCATGACAGTAAACGGGTTTTGTTAGATCCGCAGCGAAGAAATGGGAACTAATGGGTTTATCAAGTGCGCAAAAGCTTTCATATTCGCATAAGTTTGTTTAAAATGCTATCACCAGTGTTAACATTAATATGCATGCAAAAAAAAACAAACTTTCAATCGCAGGTGATTCTAGCAATATGAATACGTGACGTTGCGGTCCTTGTGAAACCTTACAACAAATCCGGGATGAGAAAGGTTCTCGCAGCTCGGATTGGTCTGGCTACCGGTGATACATGAGGGTTGCTAGCGTGTTTTTGGTCGCGGTGATCCACTTCGTAATCGAGAAGCACGCTCCTCTCTTCTCCGTATTCCGCTCGGCGAAAGTGTTTCCGGTAGATAATAACAGCCAAAGCGATTACCATTCCGCACAAAGTGCCCGCCCTTGTGATTCCGGCCACGGTCGACGAGCTGTATATCCCCTAATTACTGATTAGGCGCAACCAATGGTTCCCCGTTGAATGTGGTCGTCCAAGAGCATACGCTTGGTATCGCTTTTTAGCTGAGAGCCACTCAGACAGCCGCAACTGTACATCCGTGCGACACCGGTCAGTTACGGTATATTTGGCCGCAGGAGCTACAGCGTTACAGCCGGTCGCAAGGAGAATCGAAATAGGTCTGACGCGATGGACACAAGATCCGATATGGAATATTCCGAGAATGCACTGGTAATACAGTGCACTCAGCAAGCTTCGCCTAAATTATAACAATGAACGCTACTTGCGGAAAGATCAGAACTTATGGAGATACTGCAACAAGGCTGCCCCGAGCTCAAAACGACCTGATAAAAAAAGCTGCTGATGCTGCTTCGGCAGATCGTGACAAATTAGTGAAAAAAAAACCAAAAGGAAAGGTCAACGGCAAAAAGTAGAATGCGCCAGCCGCTGCGGACGTTGTACCTAGATTATCCGGTGTAGAACTCGGTAAACGCAAAACAGATGTTACGTAAAAGTGAGCAAACGCTTTAATACTCCCATAACTTGGTTCTAAATATTAGCACCAGTGCCAATACCCAAGAGAAAAAATTACAAAAGCTACAAGGTGCACAGACTTTCATATGTATTGTGTAAAAAACTAGTAAATATGATAAACAACATTCATCCAAAGAAGAAAAATCTTACTACACCAGAAAAAAGATACCAACAGAATACCAATAGAAAAAGTATAAAAATCTTCCAGCAGAAGCAAATGTCACGGATCGAATATGCCGGGAACAATCCAGAATATCACAAAAACCATTCACAATACAGAAACCGTACTCTGGAAGTAGACAAGAAGGGAGACCGCAGGTGATTCCAACGCATGCGGATATGTAACGTTGCGGTCCTTGTGAAACTTTACAACATATCCCGGATGAGGAATGTTCTCGTAGCACGGATTGGTCTGGCTACCGGTGATACAAGAGGGTTGCCGGCGTGCTTTTGGTCGCAGTGATTCCACGTCGTAATCGAAAAGAAGGCTTTTCTCATCACCGTATTCCGCTCGGCGAAGGTGTTTTCGGGAGATAATTACAGCCACGGCGATTACTATTCCGCACAAAATACACGCACAAATGATTTCGGCCACGGTGGACGAGCTGTACTTTCCCTGATTAGGCGCAACCAAAGCTTCCCGCTGAATATGATCATCCAAGAGCACACATTTGGTATCGTTCACCAGCCGATAGCCCCTCTGACAGACGCAAGTGTAATAGTGAGCGACACGAGCCAGGCATATTTGGTCGCAGAGACTAACAGCGGGTTCGCAAGGAGAATCGAAATGGGGCTGCCGCAATGGATGCACAGCCACTATTCCCAGCGGACGCATCGACATGTCGTATACTAGCTGGAAATTGCTCCCGTTGGTCAGTACGCTGTAGATGCCCCGGTGCGTCCACTCCGTCCAGTAGAGACGATTACCGATCATTGTTAAGCCGAACGGATGCGAGGATGCCATGCGGAAAACAGTGCGCCGGTCGTCCCCGCTGTATGATACAGATTCAGTCCAGTCCAACTGAGCATCAATAAAATACAAGCGATCCCAGATATAATCGATTACCAGAGCGTTCGGCCATAGCACTTTATGGGAAACGACAACAACTCCTAAACAATAAAATATGTGCTCAGTTAGAAATTAACCAAAAAACAGCACTGCAGCCTGAATTAGTCTTCTAATTATGCGAGCTATTAACCAACATTACAAGAACTAGGGTACGCCATTTTCAACTTGTTTATAGGCTTTTTTTGCAAGTACATCTATTCCCAACGTTTTGGCTGTTTAGCATTAGCAACCAACATTACAAGCACTACGTCTTTTCCAACTTCTTGAAAAAAACCGACAGACTACATCTATTCGCAAGCTCTTTTCCCAACTTTTTAGCTGTTTTAGCATTAACAGAAGATTATAATTAACATAATTTTTTCGTATTTCCCATGACTTCGTTACTTACTTGCACTGCCGTCCAGCCATGAACGCTCAATCTTCGGCTGTGAACCCCACTGAGCGAAGGACAACAAACGTTTTCCTGGATGAACCGCCAATCCGCGAGGATTATCAATTTCAGCATCGATCACGGGAGCACAATGCGCTGCTTTCCTGCTGACAGAACACACTCCAATTTCCGGCTTGCCGGCATCCACGTAATACAGATTTTCGCTGACCCAGTCGGATGCGATGCTTTCCGGCATGACCATATTCTTGAGAACAACGCTCCGTTCGTGGGTAGATTCGTAGCGGATTATGTGTTTCCGGTCAGCATCGCTGTAGAACATCTGGAAAATAATGTCATCTCAAATAGCAAGCATCTCCTAAGACTTGCATCTGCACTAAATATCTCCCTACCGTGCTGGATTCAAAGCCATTATTCTGCTTCCAGTCTAGTCCTACAGTCATAGAGGTCAGTTTCCCTCCTGTAAAGCGATCATTATGCCGAAAACCCTCCGTTTCCATGTACCGAATCTCCCCGTCAGTGGAATACATGAGCAACGGAACGTGATGGACCGATTTGCACGTATGACCATCAAATTCCAGGAGGAAACCGGGAGCGCAGTGACATTTATACGTGCCTTTCAGATTGATGCACAACTGACTGCAAGTGCCTCCAAGTTGTGAGCCGCTTGTTGCACATTCATCGATATCAGCGCAGGCCCTTCCGTCGGGATACAGAACATACCTACAAAAGGAATTTGCAACATAATTCAGCAGCAATAGTACTTCATAGTCGTAGTATTTCAGCTTTATAGTAAGAATATAAAAACAATAACACGTCACCGTTATAATCACCATGGCTTTAAATTCTCTCTGAAAAGGCAGAGAATGTTTTTGCACTCAGGTTTAAACAATTTAAAGTTACAGTCGAGTAGTAAATAAACAATTGTAAAAACTTTGTTGGTTAGATCAAATGCAGATTAATTTTTGTTATGGTTATACTGTATTTACCAATAATTTACATCATACATACCCGTGAGGACAAGAACATTTCCGACCCGCCGGAGTAAGGTTACACTTATGACTGCATTGTCCGTTGTTCTTCTCGCACTCCTTCTCCGCCAGTTTGCAACCAAAGCCCTCGTCCGTTCCGTTTTTACAGTCATTATGATGATCGCAAACCTTACTCAACGGCAGACACACTGCGGTCCCGTTTGGGGCATCACAATGGAACTGATCGTGAGCGCAGGTCAACGCCGACACGGCATGGAGAGCTGCGGAATTGGGAGGCAGCGTCCATGCGCCCGGACAGTTGTGTTCATCGCTGCCATCAGCATAATCAGCGCCCTGATCACACCGCCACGACCTGGGGATGCACTCTCCATTTGCGCAAGCGAAATCAGTACTCGGACACTGCGCTGAGCTAGCAGTTGTGGAGATTTCTACCGTTCCAAGCTCTGCATTAAAATCATGAATCTGTATACAAATCATTAACCATGAATCTTTATCATCTTAATCAACTCATATCTTGGCAAATGATTTTATGAAAATGAAAATAGTTCTATCAATTACAATAATATAAATCTATAATAAGATATATATCTGAAAAAAATGATCCAAGCGCACCCTACCGGCCATATATCCGCCTCCAGTTTTGTCGATTTTCTTGCTGACACTGCAGTCCGCCAGGGTTTCGTTCGTACCATCGTCGCAATCCTTAATCCCGTCGCACACCCACGCTCCTGGTATGCAACGCCCATTTCCACAGCGAAATTCATTTCCGTGACAAGGCAGAAGGTGTGTTGCCGAGCGGCACTCATCGTTCCCCTCGTCGGACCTGTCTTTGCAGTCGCGTTTCCCGTCGCGCCTTTCTTTGTGCGCGGTGTATTCCATGTGGTTGGCACATATTCGCTTATTTCTTATATAACCTGCTCCAGGTCGGAACGTTTCTGAGCCTCCTGAGGCAGTGTTTTCGGCGTCGCACCAGCCAAGTGCCCACGCTGGATGGCCACCCTGTATCAAAGAAGTTTTTAATCGAAAACTTATATTTTTTGAGAAAATATCCAGACCAATATCCAGCTCGTCCACGATGATGAAGGCGAAGATAGCCAAACCAAATGCAGCTGCGAAAAATACCAGGCCCCCAACGAAATATAAAAAAGCTTCCTAAAACGACCTAAAACGATCAGCAACATATTAACGCATTTCTTCCATACGTATGGATCTTCCTAGTATGGATCTTCCTAGTGGAACATTTCAGTCTGCAGTATTGCTTTAAGTAACTGAGTTTTGATTTTGCTGTTCGCAAAGCTGGTTTAACGGTTACAACAAAAACAGCTTTAAAAAACGTCAAACAATCTCGGCGACATTCAACAGTACATCCTGTCTTACGCTTCTTAAGGACATTATTCGCCGCTTCCAAGTAAATATAAGCCAGAAGAGCAATAAAAAGTGCCACAGCAAGTGCCACGTAAAAGCAGACTTTTCGAAATTCCACTTCATTCCGCGTTAGGGATCTCCGCGCCATTAAAAGAGAACTTTTTCAGATTGACACTTCTCGGCTTTGACTGTCAGATAAAAAACATAAGGAAAGGTTGTGTACGGAATGGTCACTAACCCAAAGTAAAAGCGAATTCCAGAAATCAGACAGGGAAATGAACAAATATAGCCTGTAGCCCTGGACAGTGTATACAAATCTCAATGACCACAGAGGTAGGTAGGTCAAGTTGGTCAACAACCCAACAATCAACAATTGATTGAATGGGTATTCGAGTCGAAATCCCAATGAGATGAAGTCAAATACCGTCTCGGACTCGAGTAGGCTCGGACTCGAGTAGTAAAGCAAGGCAGGAGTACCAGTTGAACTGAACAACGTATTACCACTTTACCAGTGCTAGTAATACTAGTACAAATAGTCTGTATTGTATCTCGTCAGCACAAGCACCAAAATGACCAAATCTATTTCCTATGCACATACTACATTCTCGATGAAGTTTGCCTGGTAAACCCCCGCCAGATTGCTTTATTCTAGCCGATTAAAAAAATCTGTGGTACTCTTTCTTTGTAATGCTCAGAGTTTACGGACTAAAGCGCTCGTTGCATTTTTTTTACCTTTTGTTTACAGTACATTTATGAACTTCGCTTGAATGGATTGATGTAACACTTATTTTTTATTGTCTAACATTTTTGTGGCAATAATCAAACTGGCGAGTGTTAAAGAATCTGCGTTTGTTGCAAAGAATTGGTTGGCACTTAAAAGTATTCGATGATGAAGTGGTCAGTAAGGTAAGCCTTCTGTGGTATAATGTATCCAGGATTATGCTGCATCTTCTTCGTAATGAGTACGTACCCACCTTCACGTTCGTCTACATGTCCTGCGATTTCTTTCAGTTCTTCTATATGCTGATCGTCGGTATGGAGCAGTGGCCGAAATATTTTTTGGCCGTTAACTGATCTCTGGTTTGTCTATAGATTATGATAATCGTCTCCTTACCGCGTAACATTTAAATATTGTGCTAAAACTATCGTTTATTATGTGCATGATAAACATTTGTAACACTTCAAGTACGGCGGTTTCTACGTTTTATATGACAGGTTCGAGCAGAGTGTATTTTACTATATTTGTCTCGATGAAAAATGAAAATGTGACATTGGGTAAGTGTCACAAATTCCAGTACATTTATGAATACTTGCTGCAATACAGAATAATAAAATGTTTGAAATCGTCGCACGAATTCTTGGGACTGAAACTGAATACGTTCGTTGAAGACAGAATAGTGAATACTTACAGTACTTGTCACGAAGTAGGGTAGGTACTCCAACACACTGGGAAGCTATTTAATGATAGGTACTTCTGCTAATTTTTCCACACCGGTTCAATTAATTCTAATTTCAGGACTGTGTATGCTTATTCAAGCCAGCTGATTACGCTTATTGATCTATCCATAACTCTTTTCGTACAGATCTCCGAATAGCTGGCTATTGGCTACGCATAAAGATTGTGCCTTATTGAACGGGCAGCCAAGTGATTAGAATTGGCAGCCAAGTGACCTTTCGGGCTAATCATCGCTTCAGCCGCGTTGTACCACTATCCACAAAGATTCTGCTGGCTACTTGTGCAAATTTTGCCGGACCGATGCGGCCGTGTATGCAGGAAGATGTGGGAGGAAATGGCGGCGGCTGAAGCACGAAAAAGAAACGGTAGTTCGATCGACGGCCATGGTTTAGGTTAGATAATCGTCAAATTAAATTCATGCACAGTAATATGTTTTGCCAGTTTTGATAAAATATAAGGCTGTAATAAGCGTTATACATACAGAAATTGTTAAGGTATTTTGTTGTGGTTGTGAAACGTTTCCTCGGGGTGCAAGTGAAATTGTGAATGATGTGATGAGGCGTAGATGAACAGAACCGGGGTTTCTTTTCAAAATGTTTAGTAATACAAACAAACAAAGTATTTCCCGTGCGGTTTCTCATGGAAGCAATTAGCTTTCGGATGCGCTGCATTGTCTCGGTGAGCGGTTGGTTGTGGGCCTATGGCCATCATCCTGGTCGTTAATTCTTAGGACCTTACCAGGGAACATTTTCCGCCTCCAACCAAAAAAAGTCCTATGTTTTGTAAATGGTGTACGTACCATTGTAGTACATATGCTTAAAAAAATATTTCTAGATGCCATCGTCAAGGGGGCGTGGCCAGACACAATTAAAGGTTTCCATAAGTACTATCATATACAGTACTGTAATGCAGTGCAGTGCAAGTTATTCGTAATATTATGTTAACTTTTCCTGCAGCACCGTGGTTGCAGCTGTCCGCTGTCGTGAAATTATGTAAGTAAAAGAGGCCCACGTGCGCCGGCTTGGGCCATTGCTGCCTGAATACACATTTTCGGAAAATTTTTATCGATTTGTGTTGTAAACAATAAGTTGTGCAAAAACTTTGTTCTGCTAATAAGTTCATCATTTCACGACAGCGGACAGCTGCAAAAGTCCACGGTGCTGCAGGAAAAAGTTCACATAATAATTACGAATAACTTGAACTGCACTGCATTTCCAGTATATGATAGTAGAGTCCGTAAATCGTCATTTTGACGAAGCTTAACGAACGTTAACGAAACGAATCGTCAAGCCCCGCGCATGTTTTACGGACTTCTGAGCACCGCTTCGTTAAGTTTCGTTATAAGAAAATGTATCTCGCTTCGCGAAGTTATATTGAAATTTCGAGCCGCTTTCTTCGTCAAAAAAGATACCGATGTGGAATTTAGAAAATAAAATAAATTATTTTCCAATTATACGCCAAAGCCGCACTCGTGCGTGCGTCTCTTGCGCCTAAGACAAATAATTCAGTGTTTTGGGCGCCCGGAACAGGGTCTCCTTCATAAGCGCACACTGAAGCTGCAACCTATTGTACAATAGTGAATCTGACGCTTATGAAACTCCCAGTTCTAGACACTGCACTAGTGTTTCGTAAGCACATGTTGTTTATAGCTTCAGCAAATTATAACGGCACTAGTGAACTGCAAAAGTGCAAGCTGCAATTTCATAGAAGCTTGATGATCTGATCTACTATTTTGATGTGGAACGACATAGAAAATTCAGATAAATAAAATTAATCCCAGGAACGCTTACTACTGTGATTTGTATTTTTGCGATTTCGTTGAGTTCAGTTTTTTACGGAAAATATCGAAAGTTATCGTTAAGTTGCGCCAAACATTTTATAAATCTGTCAAGGTTCGTTATTTTATGGGACAGGAAGCGTGCAGTTAGTTTCGTTACGTTTGCTCAGTACGACAAAATTTTTCGTTTCGCTGCCAAAATTGTGACGATTTACGGGCTCTATATGATAGTATGCAAACTTTTAATTGTTGTCTGGCCACGCCCCTTGACGATGGCAGCTAAAAATATTTTTTAAGCTTTCTACAATAGTACACTACCATTTTACAAAACATGAGAATTTTTTTAATTTGGAGGCGGAAAATGTTCCCTGGTTAGTGGGCGCAGCTCCAATAACTAATGGTCGCTTATATAATTACTCGTATTACAACAAGTTGTTATAATACGAGTATAATTAACAAGCGCTGTGCTGACATCATACACGACATAGATAATACTGTAATATTAACTGCGTCATAAAGGGCTATATATGAGTGGCCTTCTCCTTCTCCTTCCGCCTTCTCCGGTTTCCGCCTTCAGCCAATAACCTTCTCCTTCGCCTTCTCCTTACAAGTTTTACGCCTATTCCTTCTCCTCCTTCGCCTTTCTGTTTTTACGCCTCGCCTTCTGATTGTGTTTAATGTGATTTGTAAAAAATGTCGCAAAATACCATTTTTTGCACATGCATCATTGGATAGAACTGTAGCATTATCATTTTTTTATTAGTTAAACAGAAAAACCATACACATTGTCAAAAAGCGCACAAAGCTCACATATATTTCAAGTCTGTTAGTGGTCAAGAAACAAAAAACCTTGAAAATTTAACACGGTTTTTATTCAGTGTAACAACCTGTATCGCCTGCGAAACCTGTTAGATGTCTACTTAAACAATACTGGCAACCTTAACGTTGCCGATTAGGTAGGTCAGAACGTTTTGTTGGTCTTGAATACAGCAACTGCAAGCAAATCAACTTCCGGAAACTCTTTTACGACTGGGTCCAGACGTGCTACGCTAGGATCAAAATTAAAAGCGTTTCCGGATGTGCAGTTCACTTTCATGCAGTATCGTCTCGGTTTTGCTTCGGAAATTACGTCCACATTGCTTCCCTGCTTATAGTCTAGTTCCGAACGCTTAACAATCACGCTGACATCCGCATACTTAAAAGCTGCTTGCAACCTGCACACACAGCTAACGCTGGAATACTCTGTTTTCGTGATGAGGAAGGGCGCTTTGCCACGGTTCCATGGCTTGATACGGGTCAAATTGGTACAGCATCTGCAAACATCTAATATTTACCAATGGATTATTGCCTGAATTACCACTTATATATACGTTTATATATGAAATAAATATATACGCGTATAAATATATGAAATATATACTGTACCGGGCGAAGCAGCTCGAGCTCTTTGCAGCGCCAATAACTTTGGGCTTGTGGGTGCCTGTTGTAGTGACCTTTGAAGTAGACGGCCATCAAACTGCAGGTTTGATCGATTCGTATAACCAGTGGTTTTCAGATCCCCGGTGTCCGGTTTTCTTCCCACCACCCTGGAAGGAAAGTTCAAAAACGCGGTGGAAGAGTCACCTTCCTTTAGAAAGCTTAAAACAGCTGGAAGCAGCTCCGCGCTATGAGCAGATGCAATCAATCACATGTTTACAAATACGCCCTTTGAACGTTTTTGACTATTCGCACTTTGCAGGTGAACTTTCCGGAAACCACCGAAATGGATACGATACGCTTTTTCTTCGTCTTTTTCCGAAACCACAGCACGATAACGAATGTGTTTTTCAGTTCTCTCCTGATCGTTATCAAAGCCATGGTGAGGTACGGTTTGGTTTTGACGGTTATACACCTTTGCTTTCTCCCAACTAACTCCACACCCGTTCCAGTAGGCGAATAAATAATGAAATAACTCGTTAGGATTCAGGTCTGAATTATTGCGGCGTTTAGCGGATGGCCTTCTTCCTACACGTTATAAATAAAGCTAACATCTTAATGCATAATGCAAACTGCAAAGTAATCCTAAAGTGCATATGCGTGATTTATCCGTGTACAAATTATGCATACATACTGTGTACATCTATTCGTAAACGCCTAAATAGCATGTGAGGTTCTCCTGTTAAAATGCAGTGCCAGTACTGTATTCTAAGCCCAATATTGTTCCCACAGCAAGTAAGGGTTAGTTGTCAAATTGCCTGAAGGCGAATGCCTAAAAAATGGAAGGGGAAAGAGAAGGAAAAGGCGTAAACTTAAAAGGAGAAGGCGAAGGAGAAGGTTACTGCTAGAAGGCGGAGGCAAAGGAGAAGGCGGAAGGAGAAGGAGAAGGCTACTCATATATAGCCGTCAAAAGGGTGTCTATAAAATACCTGTCCGGGTGTCTTGAAACGAATACACTACGTAGTTAAAAAAAAACGCCCTTTAAATTGACGGAGTGCGGAAAGGGGGTGGATACAAAAAACGAAGTTTTTAGGGATGGCTATAGAGCCATTCATACCGCTATGTAAAATACAATTTGTAGCGATATACAGTAGTTTATCACAAAACTTTTCTAGGTTTAACGGTGTTAACTGATGATGAACTCGACTGGTGTAGCAATCTGCATATCCGATTACAGTACTAGTTCAGAAAGGAAAGCTTCCGTACATTTTTACGTACTTACAGTATTTCTTCTTTACCGTATGGCTTACGCGTCTGACCAGTGAGAAATTGGCGTCGATATAAATTGTAAATGGAGTTGGTAATGTATCGCAGCTCAACTGCATGATAAAAAACAATGTAATTGTGCTCTTGTTCATAACAGCGCGAAAATACATTGAACAGTTCACTTCTTTGCAATTTGTTATGAACAATATCAACAGCCAAAGGTTTTTGAATACAATTTTTAACAATTACCAGCGAAAAAGCTTAAAGTGTTACAACCACTGGCAAGATTATAAGGGAACAAAAAAATTCACACTTCCGTCTAAAAAACCCGTAAAACCATCAGATTTTAGTACAGCTTCCAATAGTATTCATAAACAGGCTTCAGTTACTGCCATCCCGAGACTACTTCATCATCATGCTCCACAAACACACACTGGAATGACTGGATTTCGTAAATATGACTGGCCGTACTATTCCTCCGCGTAAGAAAGAAGAAAGAAATAAGAAATTGCTGTTCGTCCACCAGAAAGAAACTTATGCGTCCAGAGCAATCCAGTAGCTGATCCCCAAAAGGCACCTGCTGTAAATCAGCAAAGAATTTCCACACAAATACGAACGAATGAGATTCAGTCGCAGATAGCCCTAAACAATCAAAATCTCTCCATTGCAGCAAACAGTATTTCTGGAGGTAAGTAGAACTGCGCGATCCATTTGCAATGATAATCTAGTTTCCAGTTGATCTGCAAACCACGCAAATACACGCATATGTAGACATTATTTATTTTACAGATTCAATAAGGTAAGAAATCCCTACTTAAATCGAATAAGCACTCGCACAAGCTGCGTAAGCGAGAACTGAAACCGAAGATTATAAAAGCCCCATACAAAAACTCGACTGGAGTGAGAACATGCAAACAAAACAAACATGGCTCCAAAACAAGTTCGAAAAGCGAATGCACACAGTGCCCCTTCAAATCAGGCGCGGTGCCCGTGATCTAGATGGAACGTTGAATGGCGATGGTTTGTAGAGCACGGTCGGCGCAGGTTCGCACCTCCAACGGCTCGAACATATGATCACATATCCAACTTTGCCCACAAAAAAAACAGAATTCAACAAATGAGATTTCAATTTTAAACTAGGCATCATAAACTTAGATCACGGCAGCCACGGGCAACAAGATGAGGACACCTTTAACCTTGGATCCGCATTTTGCAGAAGCGTACCACAAACTAACCGGTTGAAGGAGCTTTCCGTAATTAGTATACACTGATCAAGTAAGTTTCCATGTATGGTGGTGTCCGGTATAACAACAATGTTGTTGTCAGTATAACTTGAAGATATTGGTGTCCAAGACCCGCATGGCTGCGCATGAAATTTCCTTTTTACTGATGCGAAGAACATATTGTAGCGATAGTATTTGTAGTAATTTTGTACGAACGATAAGACCGCCCAGTTATGATGAATCATTCCATCGCGTTATGAATTTGTCCACTTTACCGGCTAGTTTCCCTTCTCATGAATTTCTAGAATTCAGTCTTGTGCTCAGCTTGCTACAGCTTGCATCTACTTGATTGTTCCTCTTGCTGAAACCCTTGCTTACAACCTTGCTGCGTTCTTGATTCCCTTGTCATTAAACATGCCTTGAGTTACGTTGTTGTGTTTGACCGCTTGGGATGAACCTGTGTCATCCCAATCGGAGCCACCTGTGTAATTGCGTTACATCAGTTAAGCGCGTCCTCGGCCAGCATCGTTGCCGGCCGTGCCACCTTTCACACCAACAGCCGTTTAATCGTGGTAAAGGCTGATCGCCACCCCACTAGAACAGTAGCCAGATAGGCCACTGTTACATGGCGCTCCTGTAAAGAACCATTCCACCTGGACGCCTGCCGTCTATACCAGCGATTTTCATAACATCGCCACTTCCCACGCCAACCAGCGGAAGTCCCGGAACGGATCGCCATCGCCGTTTCGTGAGTGTTCGTCGCTGTTCGAGCAGTGAAATTGCATTTCTCAGCATTGATATATTAATTACGTTAAAAGGTTTTACAGTAGAAACTAACGCTAACTTAACTGTTACTCGTACCATCGCTCCTGTTTTACTGGCATCAATTTTTCGTGTGAAATATTAACATACGGTACATACTACACAATAACGTTGTCAGTTTATTCCTATACACATTTCCTTCGTTGGCTTTACATTAACGCTGTTCACCCGGCACCGCTGTGCCGCCGTGCTGTTGTTCGCGCCAAAACTTCCTTGTGTCGCAGTCAATCTGATTGCTGAGAAAGAAAACATTAACCGTCATGGTCCAACAGATAAATGGAATCTCAGAAGATAACTCTGCAGTCTGAACTTGATGAACTCACCAAAGCGCAGTTGCAGGACATCAGCAATAGTCTTAACGTTTACATTAACCGGAAAGTGTCTAGGTCAGGCTATGTTGAAAAATTATCTTCCTACATGGTAAAGCACAACATCACCTTGCCGAATGAATATGTGAAGAATGACAACACTGAAAATCTCCGCGCGCCTTCAGTGCCGAGTGCGCCGACATTACACACAGACAGCACAACATCAACGTCTGCTGTCCAGCGTGTGTCTCCTGCCCTGCTGGCCTGCAACATTACAGATGCACGCGCACATACACGGAAAGACACTGAACAGACCACAGCGCGTGGGAACACAGAACGCACCGATGCCGGTCAGACAGAACCGATGCTTTTACACAACAGACTGGAGAAACGTTATAAACAGGAAGAAACATTAATTTCATTTTCAGATGATGAGCCTTCCGATGAGTCACTCACACCCACTGCTTTGCAAAGCGCTCAGTTAGCAACCGCCCAGAGAGAGTCTGCCGTACACACAGCTGCGCAGCGCACCGCACCTGCTCATACCGCGAAGATTACAAATGAGCAAGGACAGTTTGATTTTAACTGCGTGTTGCAAGCGCTTGCTTTACAGTCGCAGAAAAGATTATGTGGGAAGGATTTCAAAATCAAAGTTTTCAACGATCAACCTGATTATAGTATAACAGCTTTCTTTTAACAATTCGAGAGAGCTGCCGATGCAATCGGATGGAGTTCAGTCCAGAAAATTTGCATATTACCTACCTACCTTGGTGATGCAGCACGTCAATACTTTGAGTGCAATTGGCCTACATGCTCAAAATTAAGTTACGAAGAGTGGAAAAGTGAATTAATTGATCGTTTTCTTCCTTTTGATTATGTCGTCAAGAAACGCCTTAAATTATCCAAAATGATGTACCAAAAAGGAACAGACATTAACGATTTTCTCGATGAATTACAGATACTTTTTAACGAAATCGATCCTAACATGCCCGATTCCTATAAAATTGCTGAAGTTCACCGCACGCTTTTTGATGTACCAGAATACCGGAAGTATCTGGCATTGTCAAAGGCAGTTACCTTACCTGAGATTCGTTCTGTGCTCGTAAAATTATATAATGCTGACAAAGCAGAATGCTCAGTTCTACAGTCAAGAAATGTAGAAATTAATCGCCCTGCTGATCGTGACCTGTACTCGTACAGTAACAACAGAGACGACGCCGTGCACCGACATTGCGCTCGTCATGAAAATTATAGTGGCTTTAGCGGTTCAGATGACCACCGGTCACCGGTCCCACGCCGGCGCCGCGCACATAATGAATATTACAGAGATCGCCGCAGTTATGATGGCAATCGGTCACCCAGTGCGCATCGTGACCGCTCACGTTCGCAGCATTCCCGTGAACATTACCGTCGCTACTCGCCCGACAGTCAAGACAATAAAAGACATTATCGTTCAAGTCACTGGAAAAGCCAAAATTATTATCGCGAACGAAACCGTTGTTACGAGTATCGTCGTGAGTCGCACCGCAGTTACTCGCGCGAACGTGTTCACAGTCAAAAATATTATCCTCCACGACTTCGCAAGAATTCCCTTAAACGAGATCGCTCAAAATATTATAATCGGAAACACTGTAACGCGGACAAAATTGTACATCCAAAATTCATCGATTTTGACAGCTATCGACTACACAATGGGAAATTATTTTGTCCTAAATGTAAAGATTTTTTCCATTCGTATGGTGAATGCACAAATTTCAGCCTTAACGACAAACAAACATTACCGCGCATATGCCCCGATGACATTAAAGCCAAAGTGCAGTCACAGTACGACAACTTTATAAAATACATGTTACGCCGAAGAGGAGATTCCTTTGGTACAGTGAACAAGGAAAACGGTTGAGATCTTATAATAAAGGAGGGCCTTATGGACATGCCTATGTACCCCTAAATTCTACGATACTGAAGAAATTAACTTTTACAGTAATCGTTTGGATAAATCGGCATCTCGTTGCAGACTGATATTAACTGAACAACGAGAAAATATGCAAACATCTGATTTTCTCAGACCGCGAACACCTTACATTCAGTCATCTGTCGTTAAAAGCTTAAATAATAATTGTTCGAATTGTCGGACTGTTTCTAGTAAAAACATAACGATTCCACAAAAATTGAAAATGTGCGAAAAATTAATAACTGAAATCTCCGCATTGGTATCGCCAAAATTAAAATCAGTTGCCGAAAGCGAAGAAATTCCGCATACAAAACAGACTTTCTTAGCACAAGTGCCGAAAGCTACATTGCCGTCACAGATATCAAAAAGAAAATCAAAACCGGCAACATTAAAATCTAAAGTAAAACCAATGGTCTCCATCATACAGAGTATTCGTCAGTCCCCATTCTACCGGCAGTTAATAAGACAACCGCTTAAGATTATTCACCGAAACGCCGGTACATTGCCATTACATGAAAGTTCCACTACTTCCCCATCTCGCCGGAAGGACGCGGAAAGCTTCCGGATACCGTGAGGGACCCCTTCCCATTCCCGGACATGCCCAGCGGAACCTGACTGTAGGATCCTTCCGATCGCCGGATGGATTCTCGTGGTAGTTCAACGTGAGGGACCACCACGCCGTACGTTAAGGATCATCCCGGACCATTGTGTTGTACTGTTTACTAATTCCTAACGCTTAATTTTCCTGTTTTCTTATGTCACTTGTTTTGTTGTCTTGATGAGACAAGTATATCTCATCGCTACCGTGAGGGATGTAGCGATAGTATTTGTACGAACGATAAGACCGCCCAGTTATGATGAATCATTCCATCGCGTTATGAATTTGTCCACTTTACCGGCTAGTTTCCCTTCTCATGAATTTCTAGAATTCAGTCTTGTGCTCAGCTTGCTACAGCTTGCATCTACTTGATTGTTCCTCTTGCTGAAACCCTTGCTTACAACCTTGCTGCGTTCTTGATTCCCTTGTCATTAAACATGCCTTGAGTTACGTTGTTGTGTTTGACCGCTTGGGATGAACCTGTGTCATCCCAATCGGAGCCACCTGTGTAATTGCGTTACATCAGTTAAGCGCGTCCTCGGCCAGCATCGTTGCCGGCCGTGCCACCTTTCACACCAACAGCCGTTTAATCGTGGTAAAGGCTGATCGCCATCCCACTAGAACAGTAGCCAGATAGGCCACTGTTACAATATCAGCAAGAAGGCCAAAAAGGGGGATTCTGGCGTCGTGGAGAAAAACTATGTTTGTTCTACTTTGTGAATTTTTCAAACCATACTGTCATCGTAGTAATTTTGATCGTCGTATTTGTGGCTGATACTTTAAATTTACCGCCGAAATTATAACAAGGACGGAATCGGCAATAAAAAGAACAAGCGTCGAAAAACCCGTGGAGAGAAATGCATAAGTAGCACTCGCTATTTTTCGTTTTCCCAGTTGTTCATTGTTATTTCTCTAGTTACTGTACTTACATAATTGCTTATACAACAAAAATATACTGTATCACATGTCTATTACTTCAAATTGCATGGCAGGGAGACAAAATAGGAAACTTTGGAGCATCCTTGACTCCTTTGTAATATTGAGGGGTAAATAAAGATTATACAGGATGCCTGAAAATGAATAACTTGAATATGTCGTAGGAAAACAGTTGAAGTAATAGTAATACTGCAGCAGAAATCTAACTACAAATTGGCAAAAGTTAAGCGAGTTTGGAATTTGGATTAACACACCTGAGATCCGCCGTGCAGTCGAATCTAGCACCACGACAGGTACGCACTACAGCCCATGCTGTCGGGAATCTTTCGCACGCTCGAATGGCTAACGATGTCAAATTCGCCCCGGGTTTCGGAACACAGCGTTGTCCTTAATTACTGATGCAAACTCAAAAACATCCCCGTAGGATGAAACAATGTAAATACTGGCGGCATTACTCTGCGCAGCGCTCTGAAATCGATAACTGTAAGCGGTTCCGAATATTGTTAACCTCTAGTCTAACAATACTTTCATATATTACTGTACTGCATCTGATTCGTCAATCGATAGTGCGGAATCGACAGACTCAGACAGAGTACAACATACCTTATTGTTAGAATGCATCATTGTTCCCGGGCTGACAGATCGCGAAACTTGATCACATAATTTGCTGCGGCTACTGGCCAGGACACCCAGATCATTGAGTGAGCTGAATTCAAAAAGATTTCTTATATAACTTAGATCTTCCATAGTTGGCGGGACAACGAGAACAGATCCCGGCGATACTGGAGAATGGTGAATAAAGGTTCAGATGCCCTTTAATTTCCGCTCCACCGTATCGATATGACAACCGGAACTCTCAATTTCTAAATAAACCACGAAGACCTTAACTAAATCATATTCTATACTGGAGAATTAAAAGTTCAAAACCGCTTGGAGCGAGGTAGCTTTAAAAATACACAATTTTTCCAAGCTCACGGGAATACACTGCAACAATACAATTTACAAGCTACCTGGATTCAATGCGTCATCGGGGCGCCATGCGTCATCAGTCACTCGTCACTCGTCAGACTGTATCACCAGAAACAGCCACCGGATTGCTAATTTCACCTAAAAATGCAAACAAATCTTGCACAGAATTTTTCAAGCGCTCATACTGCTTACTGTGTTCAGCGACGGAAGTCAGCTGAGATAAACTGTCGCTCTCCATAGCTGGCGTCCCGGTAGTCGGGACATTTGCAAGGTGCGCATAATCCAAGCTAAGTGTTCGATCACCAGGCAGAACAGCAACGGTTTCCGTACAAACAGACGGAGATACGGTCGTATGATCCTACAAATCAAAACCAAATCAAACGAGGAAGTTTTTAGCGAACTGTTAGGAAACTAGATACCTACTTGGCCGGAAACACCATCGACCATCATACCATGTAGAGCGGCTCATTAACTTCATCCAGAGTAACTTATAACAAAAGCAAGGAAGAAAACGGAGTTCCAATAAGCAGAAAGAAAGCATACCTGCGTGACTATCGTCAACGATTCCTTGAAGACTTCTGTTACCAATTATATGTTCCAGTTCCAGTGGAAAACATGTCACATCGGAGACGTCGTTGAAATCATGTCGATCTTTATTGTTCTGCCGTACACAAGACAACCGTAAAAGCGTTATTTCATCCGCGGAACGGACAACAGTATACATACATATGCCTTCCCGACAACCATAAATAATCCATGGGCAAATTAGGATGCGAGAACAACTTCCTCGACTGTTTTTCAGAAGATTCCAAACCATAAAGCACAGTTTCCTCCTAAAAAAGCCCTCAATTTGTTTACTTCAATTGCCCCGTACATAAATCCGAAGTTTACATGCGATTGCTCACCTTTCCAACGGCCGCAATAATTAAACTGCATCCGCAATCGCGAGATAAAAAAACGATATCTGCTGCTCCTTGCACTTGGGATCGGGCGATATAATACAGACTATCAGAAAACCGGATGAGTTCGGATTACAGGAAACATCTATCAAGACACAAAACCCATGATACAGGATACACTCACTATCTAGTACCTACACACAGTGCGAAAGAAGTACAGATGTCTGTACATACATAAGTACAGATGTACTGTACGAGCTGGTACCTATGAAGCAGCTGGATGCAACACGTTACATATAATTATATCTTTACATAATTTTTATTTATTGTATTATGTAGCGGGACAGATGTCCCCTCTATGCACTTGACAGTTTTTTGCACAGTCTACGATACCAACAAAGAACCACAAATAGCAAACTGCGAAAAGGTAGACATGCTGATGCTGTATCACGTGGAACGATATGGAAGGATGCCGTTAAGTTTCTTCACATGTACGATCATAGCTTTGTGTACAAATTACAGATCCCAGTGATCCCAGTCCCATCATCCCACTGGGAGAACGATTTTCCGTACCGTACGAACAAACTGCTGCTGCCGTGTCTTGTGTTTCAGGTAATACACGATCTGCGAGACCGACTGTGCTTTCCCATTCTGGCGGTACCACCAACATTGTCCGGGGCGACTCCATCTCCTTCCCAGGAATCTCTCTCAAGTCGCTTGTCGCTCTTATGGAATGAAATTGTTCTTGTAGACAAGGAAAGTTATGCCTCTCTCAGCGTGTTTACAAGTGCGTTGGATACCATTAACCAGACCAAGTTAAACTTGTTAAACGTTTTTGTAACATTAACTTACTCAAGGAATGATTCGGCTAAAATCACTTGCAGTGTGTTCTTTTTGTAGTGTGACCTTTTTTGCTTTAAAGTTTAGGTTTGTCCTTTGCTGATACTTCGATCGGCATCGCTCCAAGTCTTTAACAGGGACGCCACACTTCGGCAACACCATGCAGAAATCGTGTCCATTTGAATGCAGAATAAGTTCCACGAGCATCGCATTGCCCACCTGCGCAACGCTGAATACTTCATTTCAGCCTTCCCGTTAACACAAATTCGATATAACCTGTAGTACAGAAAACTACGCTATAATGCCGCGGACTTCCTAGACTACACAAGAAAAATTTCCACGATAATCGCGGTACAAAATTAAGATAGGTAAAACCCGTTAAATTGATAAAAAATAAATTTTCTCTTACACTCAATCAGCATTCGGAAACAAAATCATCACTGCATTGCACAGCGCGCTGAGTCGTGGTGGCCATGGGAATAATGGCCATCGTTTCCGAGGACGCTTTCACGGCGGTAACCACGCTTCCATTCCGATGCGGGAGAATACAATAACAAGTACTCGTACGCATTGCGCCTTGGTATAGCGTACACCAGAACGACACTGCGGAAGGATACCGACGGCCGACGGGAGTGCTTCATGCGGGGCGACGGCCACATGAGTGGTCTCCTGCGTCGCCACACTGTGTGAACCAACAGCGACCGCTTCCGCGTCGGAGGTGGAAGTGTGCTGGACAACGCCGCTCATGGTAAAGGATTTCACGAATTTGCCATTAAAATGCTTGGTGTTTTCGTGTGGAAAACGTGAATCAACTGCGATGGTTCTGTTGGGGAGGATGCTTTACCGAGTTTACTTTTATAATCATGCAGAATACTTTGCAGATCTTTGACTTTTAAACCCGTCCTTCTCCAGATGCCGCCTATGCACCGCCAAATAAAATCAGGAAGAGTGTTCCGAAAAGATAACTTTAATTTTACAATTGTTGTCCCGAAAACTGCCGAATTATTATAATCTGGAGGCAATTGTATGTGGCAAAATAGTACGTAATCATCTGTGCCAACATTTTTGTTTTGATGGGCTAATTTTTAGCTTCGATATTTAATAACACACTGAATTCCACTACTGGATCCATACTGCCTTCTTTTTCAAAAAGCGCTGTCTCTTGGTAACTGTGTTGTTGGCAAAATAAAGATACAGAGTAAATACAGTGTCATACACTGCCCGGTGGGCCGGTACAGTATGCACAAACCGTAACGCCAAACGTAACAAGAGAGTAAACACTCGCTCCAGTATTAATAAGAATGACGAGAAGGATCAGGTAAAGTGTCTCAACGTTACAGAACTTCTACACGTACGTAACCCTAGAAAAACTGAGCCTTTATTGCATATTTTGCGACTATCTTTACCATAATTTTGCGGCGCATAGCCCTGCGGTTGCCAACGTACAGTGCTTAAAAGGAAGTGACCGAGTAAATCAAAATGGTACAGTACCAAATTCATGTACTTGCACACGGTACACACACGGGAACTCTTGCTTTCGCTCCCAAACGCTTTTTTTCCATGGATTTTTGACGTAGTGTAAGCTAAATGATTTTTTGACGTAGTTTAAGCTATATTGGTACCCATTGGCCTGAAAACCGTTTAAGCGCAACTTGGATAGGGAAATTGTCGGTACGGTGACGTAAGATTCCCTTGACAATAAGACATTCAGAAAATACTGTACGGGGTGTCGGTAACTTTGGAACTTAAAAACCCTAAATATTTTACTAAGTAAAATAATGACCTCGACATTTACGCGTGTAAAACGGTCACCACCCAGGCAACGTTTTGGTGCCGGCTAGGGGGCGGTCCTCCTCGCGCACAATGGGCCATACGACGGACATTCGGAGCAACCGACGTGTCATCTGGATCTCCGTGCAACTGCGGAACCGAAGCCGCTGCCGATGGCTTGTCAAAAGATATATTTTTGAGCAGCATAAACGTGCATTGAACACGATCGCAGCGGCTAAAACGATCCATGGCGTGATAAACAGACCAATGATCGGATCGATGTTCAGATTTGTCGTGGTCGGACACTCATGTGAATACCAGGTTGAAATGATCCAACACAAGGACATTAGCAATCCGAGGCAGCTAGTCGTTACCGTTATGCCCTCAAGCATTTGCTTGACTGCCACCAAGGAGAAGATAATCTCGCGAAACTGAGGTTTTCCCGCCCCCGGACGCCACTGTCCAGTCTTTACTAACATATATATTCTATTTAAAACCACCACAGAGAGCAGCCAAATCAGGGTGATCAGCGCACCGGTGTTGGCCCACAAAAGCCAGAATTTCCAGTTGGAGTCCACTATGTTCGTACTGTTGCAATCTTCGTTCTGCAGCACGATAAATATATGTTCAACTTTGTTAGGTAGTGAAGTCTTTGCATTTAAAAATAACATGGTACAATTTAAAATGCTTACTGTTTTATTGGCGTAAGCAATCGGAGTGCCATAATCGGTTACCAAAACTTTGTGAGCCGCCCATAACAAAACAATGCCTTCCAAGACGAATCGCAAAGTGGAAAGAATGAAATTCATCCACAATTGCTGATATATAGGCTGAATTGTACGATAAACAATTTTCTCGTGATGCGGATGCGGACAGTCGTCGTAAATGTCAGCTACAAAGGCACAATGCAAACAGGCAGGCGCTAATTAAAACGAGGATATGGCTAATGTGAGAAATTTACTTACATTTGACACAGAGTGAGATCCTTTTTCTGTGTTTCCTGTTCAGCCATGGAACGATAGTACAAAGCTTTGCTACTGGCACTTTACGCCTACCCGAGCAACACATCGCAAAAAGTCAAAAGGTCGTGTGGTTTCACTAAACATGTACAGTTTATATGTACAATTCAAAAATTGTTACCGTAACTTAAAATTCGAATGGTCTTTGTAGTATAAAAGCGCTTTGTTAGACTTCAAAATAACTTAAATTTGCTGCATCTGATAAGAACGCCTGCTGGGTTTGCATAGAAGTATATACAAAATTACACCGCTGAAACGAACCAATGACTGGCAGTGGTCGCGCTGCGTGTGCGCCGTGCGGATCTGCTTTGGATGCAAATCGTGATCGATAAAAATAGATCTTATAATATGAGAACTGAAAGTACAACACAGTGTATTTGTATGGCACTCGTCTTTTCTGTGATATGTACGGTACAACTGACCGTGAGTAGCAAGCGGATAACCTAGAATAGTTATTTGTAAACCAACCACATAGACCAATTTGACTATACTAGCGGTGGTTGTTAACCACATTATTGCACGAGCGCGAGCGCTAATACCACTGGGAAATGGTATTGGGATTGTGGAATTGGAAAAGTGTTACGTACGCTCTTCGTGGCGTCAGACAAATTTATGCTCTTGACGATCAGTTAATTGCAGCACCTCGCGCTTCGCGCTCGGTGCAAATTATGAGTGGCGAAATTGGTTAAACGTGGTGTGCGGAGCCTTCCCAAAATTAATATGCACATACCGCCGGTAGCATGCTTTCGTCGAGGGTTAGGGTCACAGATGTGATGATTATTATGTTCTGTCCTCCGGCAGTCAAAACGCTCGGGAGTCGGGACATTTGGTAATTGGTACCGCTTTTGCTGAGGTAATCTGATTCGTCAGCCGGAAGATTCGTGAAGTTACTGGGGAACCTTGCTCTCGTAAAAAGTCTTTGTTTTCAAAAGCTGTTTGGCCAGCACAAACTCTAGCAACTCAACTTACATATAACCATTTTACGCAAGACAGCTTTCAAATCTGTCAACCATTTAAACGAAAATGAAAACCATAAAAGTGACTAAACCACAAGTGTAACTGTACTTGTAAGTACTGTACTTGCACGAATACTGTTAACGTTATTCCTAAAAATCTCTCCCTACTGCTTTTCAAAACAAACCTCAATACTTGAAAGTTGAAACGTCGAAATATTTGTCTCCTAAAATTTTAACGCAATCAAAATTAATATTTTCTAGGCGAATACAAGAATTTTTATGAATTCATAATTCCCTATCTAGACATCCTTCGAAAAGGCGTCATTAATATTCATATTCTTTTATGAACTCAAACCAAAGAAAGTATAAAATTTTCTAAATGGACCACAAAAATTTCCCATCCGTTAATGGTAGTATACTGTAGAATGATACTGATTATAACAAGCACAGCGCGCGGCGCTTACGCGTCGCGCTGCAGTGCAAAGGCGGTTCCTGTTTTTTTGCTAAACGAATTTCTTTGAAGTGAAACGATTTTATATGTGAAGTAGGTCTTATTCAAAGGGGAATACAAATCTAAATCTTCATATCTAAATATTGAAATACTAATATAAATAAATCTAAATACAAATCTAAATATTTATATAGCGTGGGCTTCGGTGACCACAGGTTCAAAAAGGCGTGTACCGCACGCGTGGCCTTCGGTGACCAAATGCTTAAAAGGGCAGTACAGCACGCAGGGCTTTCGGTTACTAAAGGCTAAAAAAAGCAGGTACCGCACGCGAGGCTCGGTTACTAAAGGCTTGAAAGGTTTTGCCGCAAGGTTCGTTAAGGTAATTAAGATTATCAGGTTTATTAAAGAACTAAGCTTAGTAAGGAGTAAAGCTGAAGGTGGGATTTGGTTTATCAGGTGATGGTTTTCACAGGTAGAGGTACTAAGTTTCGGAAACTTAGTAAGGGCAATGGCGTGCAAGCACAGGTTTAAGGGGCTGCAAAAGCTTAAAAGCCGCTAGGCGGGTTCTGGCAATCAGAAACATAAGGCTGTTTCTGGCCAATCAGAACGTTCTGGAGGCAGGAGCGTTCCGGAATCACGGTTCTGCTTTAGTATACTAAACAAGCACAGCGCGCGGCGCTTACGCGCCGCGCTGCAGTTCAAAGGCTGTTCCTGTCAGCTGCGTCTTTTAGCTGAACAATTCGTAGTAAACAGGTTTTCTAAATTTTAGAGGAACCGGAAGGATGTTAGCCGGGGCCAGGTGTACACAGAAAGGCTTCAGCTGTGTGAGAATAAAAAATAGATTCCGCAAATGCACTATTAAGTTGCAAAAGCCAAAAAGGTTTCATCCGGCACACACACCTTTCTGTTACAAAGCCTAAAGGGCAAACAAAACAAAGCAAAGTTTTACTAAGCTTCGGAATCTTAGCTTATAGTAGCTCAAGGTTTAACAGGCTTTACACGCTCAAAAGTATTCCTGGCTTAGTACTTTTTTTAAGAGCTCAGTGGGTCTGGACATGGCATATCGAGAAGCTTGTGGATGATCTGTTAGTTCAGGCTGGTCTGACAACTTCGGGACTACTGGCTGATGTAGTCGTTATGACCGATCTGAGAGATCTGGTAGTTCTGGCTGATCTGGTTGCGCTGGGTATTCAAGTCAAAGTTCGTACAGGCACTAAGGTTTTGGAACCTTAGTTCAGTCGGTTCAATTAGGTTTTTGTTTGGTTCAGTCGGTTCACTAAGGATTTGGTTGGGTTCAGTCGGTTCGGTAACTTTTCGGTTCGGTTCAGCTGGTTCAATTAGGTTTTGGTTAGGTTCAGTCGGTTCACCAAGGATGAGGTTGGGTTCAGCTGGTTCATTTTGTTTAGTAAGTGTTTTCAGCAGGTTCACTATAGTTTGTAAGTTTGTTAAGTAGGTTCACTTCATTTAGTAAGTTTTTCGGTTCTGACCAATGAGAGCGATTTTGAGGCGGGAGCGTTACGCACAGAGAGTTCTGTCTTAATAGTTAAGAAGACTAGCAACGACCGCGAAACGAAGGTGGATTAATTTGTAGTTTGTATCTATCAAAACGGTAGCATTTCAAAGCTTAGCGGACGTCCTTAAATGGATCACGTTAATCTTTTAAACTAAAAAACTAACTCAACTGTATAGTGTGTTTAGTTTTTACGCAAAATATTTAACACATACACATTCATGTACCTAACCGCTAGCATAGCCGTGAACTCTCGCGTTGTGAGGATACGCCGTTTACCCTAGCGCGATCACGTTATGCCGCTATCTCTCGCTAGTAATGTTACGCCGCTAAACTATCACGCGGTAACGTTACGCTGGTTACCCTCTGCAATAAAGTTTCGTAGCATACCGTAGTAGTTACGTAGATCTCGTGTGGCAACGTTACGCTGCCTGCTTTCGCGTGGTAACGTAACGCTGCCTGCTTTCGCGTGGGTAACGTTACGCTGTTAAATCTTGCGTGGTAAAATCATGCATCTTGCTTTCGCGCGGTAACGTTAATCTGCTACATCTCGCGTGCTTACGTTACGCTGCTTCGTCTCGTGTGCTTTCTTCATGTCACCTGCTATCGCGTTTTTACGTTACTCCACTTACTTTCGCAAGATAACGCTACGCTGCTTTAAGCGGTTAAGATACGTCCTTTACTTCCGGTGGTAACGTTACGCCGCTTACTTTCACGTTTTAAGCTTACGCTGCTTACTCTCGCGTGGTAACGTTATTACCTTACTCTGGAGTGGTAGCGTTAAGCCGCTTACTTTCGCGCAGTAAGACTACACTGATTACTCTCAGTAACAGATTTACGTAACTTTATCTACTTAACGCTACTTCACTGGCAAACCTTACGCTGCTTACTCTCGAGTGGTTACTTTACGCTGCTTACTCTCCCGTGGTAACGTGGGAACGTTACGTTGCTAACTCGCGTGGTATCGTCACGTTACTAACTCGCGTGGTAGCGTAACGTGGTAACTCGCGTGGTAACGTTGTTGCTTACTCTCGCGTGGTAAGATTACGCTGATTGCTCTCTGCAATAGGGTTACGTAGCTTTCTCTCGCGTGCTTACGTTCCGTTGGTTGCCCTCGAGTGGTAGCGTCACTGCGCGAACTTTCGTGGGGTAACGGTTCGTTGCTTACTCTCGCGTGGCAATGTTATTGCGCTTACTCTAGCGTGGTAACGTTACGTCGCTAAGCGGATCAGTAAGGATTAGGTTAGGTTTATTTTATTTAATAATGTTTAGGTTGGGTTCAGTCGCTTTGCTAGGATTAGGTTCGGTTTTTTTGGTTCAAAGGTTTTTCGGTTGGGTTTAGGGGTTCACTAATGTTTTGAATGGGTTTATTGACGTTTAGGTTTGGGTTCAGCTGGTTCACTAAAGATTCGGTAGTGTTCAGTGGTTCAATAAGAGATTTGGTTTAGTTCAGTCGGTTCGCTAACTTCTCGGTTGGGTTCAGTCGGTTCACTGAAGATTAAGTTGGGTTCGGCTGGTTCAGCAAGGTTTTTTGGTTGGGTTCAGTCGGTTCCCTAACTTTTTGGTTTGTTTCAGCTGGTTCAATCAGGTTTTGGTTGGGTTCAGCTGCTTTACCAAGGTTTTGGTTGGATTCAGTCGGTTCGCAAACTTTTCGGGTGAATTCAGTTGGTTCAATCAGGTTTTGGTTGGGTTCAGCTGCTTTACCAAGGTTTTGGTTGGATTCAGTCGGTTCGCAAACTTTTCGGGTGAATTCAGTTGGTTCAATCAGGTTTTGGTTGGGTGCAGTCGGTTCACTAAGGATTAGGTTGGGTTCAGCTGGTTCACTAAGGATTAGGTTGGGTTCGGCTGGTTTACTAAGGTTTTGGTTGGGTTCAGTCGGTTCGCAAACTTTTCGGGTGAATTCAGTTGGTTCAATCAGGTTTTGGTTGGGTGCAGTCGGTTCACTAAGGATTAGGTTGGGTTCAGCTGGTTCACTAAGGATTAGGTTGGGTTCAGCTGGTTCAGTAAGGCTTTGGTTAGGTTCAATCGGTTCACTGAAAATTAGGTTCGGTTCGGCTGGTTCAGTAAGGTTTGGTTGGGTTCGGTCGGTTCACTAACTTTTCGGTTGGGTTCAGTTGGTTCGGTATGGTTTTGGTTGGGTTCAGTTGGTTCAGTGGTTTTGGTTGGGTTCAGTTGGTTCAGTAAGGTTTTGGTTGGGTTCAGTTGGTTCGCTAACTTCTCAATTGGGTTCAGTCGGTTCACTGAGATTAAGTTGGGTTCGGCTGGTTCAGCAAGGTTTTGGTTGGGTTCAGTCGGTTCCCTAACTTTTCGGTTTGTTTCAGCTGGTTCAATCAGGTTTTGGTTGGGTTCAGCTGCTTTACCAAGGTTTTGGTTGGATTCAGTCGGTTCGCAAACTTTTCGGGTGAATTCAGTTGGTTCAATCAGGTTTTGGTTGGGTGCAGTCGGTTCACTAAGGATTAGGTTGGGTTCCTTTGGTGCACTAAGAGTTAGGATTTAGGTTCAGCTTTGGTTTACTAAGGTTTTGGTTGGGTGCAGTCGGTTCACCAAACTTTTCAGGTGAATTCAGTTGGTTCAATCAGGTTTTGGTTGGGTGCGGTCGGTTCACTAAGGATTAGGTTGGGTTCAGCTGGTTCACTGAGATTGATTTGGGATTCCTTTGGTTCAGTAAAACTTTAGAGGATTCAATCAGTTCACTGAAAATTAGGATTTCGGTTCGGCTGGTTCAGTAAGGTTTGGTTGAGTTCGGTCGGTTCACTAACTTTTCGGTTGGGTTCAGTTGGTTCGGTATGGTTTTGGTTGGGTTCAGTTGGTTCAGTGGTTTTGGTTGGGTTCAGTTGGTTCAGTAAGGTTTTGGTTGGGTTCAGTTGGTTCATTCTGTTTAGTGCGTTTGTTCAACAGGTTCACTGTAGTTTGCGAGTTTGTTCAGTAGGTTCAGTTCGTTTAGTAAGTGTTTCGGTTCTGACCAATGAGAACGATTTGGAGGCGGGAACGTCACGGACAGACAGCTCTGTCTTAATAGTTAAGAAGATTTAATATGGTAAAATTATAACAGCAAGTACGAATAAATACTTTCACGAATGTGAAAGCGTCGTTTCACAATATTTTCATAGATTTTCACAGTGGTAAGACAACGTTTAAGTTTAGCGGTAGTAAGAGGAAATGCAGCGGTTGTTTTGGGTACACTTAACCTGCGTCCTAAAATTACGAAAAACAGTACGTAATAATTTTGGTTGTTTTTTCAATAAGTGTTTAAATTTGATCATTTTTAATTAAATTCGCGCAGGCGTATTGTTATTTGTTAAAACTGTTAACCATAATAATCGCCATGAAGATCAAAGTATCGCACTAATTCATAAGCTCGAAATTCTTTTACGAGCGTGACGCAAATTACCGTAAATCCCCGGTAAATCCTCTTCAATACATTCATACTTCTTTAGGCAGCGTTCAAATATTACGTAACGCAATTTTTCCGTTTTCACCCCCTACCCCTTGTAACAACGCGTAACAAATTTTGTACCCCTAAAGCCGTACGTAACGGGTTCGGTACCCCCACCCCCCATAATTCAGAAAAATTTTCCTAAAATTTTAATAGAAAAATCATGAACAGTAGCTTTTGCATGACTTCATCGTCATTTGGTAGTCATCGTCATTTCACTTTAAATACAGTTCAGTGGGCAAGATACTCATAAGAAAATATTGCTTTAACATATCGGGAACGTGTGGGAAGAATACACTTGGTAAATTTGCGTGTTTTGTACGCTCGAGTAATAAGATAAAACATTTCAGCTTTATCTTTAGTGGTGCCCAAATGTAACGTAACATGCTCGTCACCCACCCCCTACCTATGTAACAAAGCCGTAACGCTTCGGCCAGACCACCCCCCCACCCATGGCCGTTACGTAATATTTGAACGCTGCCTTACCGTACGAGCGTACAAGTATACAGTCTACACATTACAGACAATATGATACAGATTACTACGAAATAATAAAAAACAATGGAAAATTACTATTACAATGAAAATTACAAAGTAATATTATATGAACATTCATTCTAAACGGAACTTCTTATGAGCAGATCCCCCGCCACCTCCGCCACCGAAATTACTTCCACCTCCACGATTGCCGAATCCGCCACCTCCTCGTCCGCCACCTCTCTCAAAGCCACCGCGACCACCGCGATCAAAACCTCCACCGCCGCGTCCACCGCCGCGATCGAAACCTCCACGTCCACCGCGCGGCGTAAATCCACCACGGCCCCGGTCACCGAATCCTCCCCGTCCTCCACCCCGACCACCACCGCGGCCTCCCGGTCCCCCACGACCGCCCCGTGCGCCGCGACCACCACCACCTCGGGGGGCACCTGGGAGAAATCTTTCCAGAGGCAGCAATTTCGCAGGATCAATAAAAAACTATAAGAAAGTAATGTATTTAGGCAGATTTTGTGATTGATGTCACTGGAAACTACGACACAACTTTTTTCTATCGGAAACTTATTTTCACCAATAAAACAAAATATCGCAGCAAGCTGTCGTACCTTATCGTTCGTTTTGAACGATGCAGCTTTCATATTTTCGCCCAGTTTGACGGAAACTGACTGAAAAAGAAAAGCAATAATAACTCCAAAAAATACTTCGTTGAAAGCAATTCAAGGGCATACATATTCGCGAATAGGTCCAAATATTTCATCGACTTTGCCGATGGATTCCTTGTTTTCCAAATACAAATTGGCATTAAAGTACGGAACTTTTTCCATCGAAGATTTCACCACTAAGTCATTTTCGCAAGTATGCGTGAGGTATCCAAAGGCTGCAAACCACGAATATTAACGATTTATCGTTCACATTTGCTAGGGCTACAGTTTCAAATCAGCAGAGCAAGTTAATGTAATGATAAAAAGTTCTCCCGGGATTAACCAATAATAAAACTTACGAATGACGCTTTCCGGGGGTCCCTGATCAAAATTCCCGCGACCTCCGAATCCTCCTCGACCGCCACCGCGGCCACGGTCTCCGCCGCGAAATCCACCGCCGCCACGAAAACCTCCGCCGCGTCCACCGCCGCCGCCGCGTCCGCCTCCACGAAAAGACATTACAGGTACAGCAGTTACTGTACGCAAAGAATAAGATACCGCTCCGTCGTAAACAAGTGGCGATAACAATCACACGCGTTTTACTACGCAATCCTGCGCATTTCCCGCGCCCAATCGGTATGCAGATAATCAAGCCCGGATGGGATTTTCAGTCCACCTCGAAAATTCCCATTATGTGCAATGTCAAACGTCACAAAGCTAGGACACTGGTGGAAGATCTAGCGAATACTGTGCGGTCGTAACAATAACATGGAATCTTCAGATGTTGCAAGACGGTCTTGCAACATCTGAAGATTCCATGTTATTGTTACGACCGCACAGTATTCGCTATGCCAAGACCGATATCTCTCAAACCAAAATCTGCTAAATAAGCAATATTTTATCTTATGAGCCTATGGTCAATTCTAAGGCAAGTATAAATGACAATTCAAAACTCGGGAAAATTATTACCGTATTAATTGGGGAGATCCACGAAAACTTCCAGATTTTCAAGACTCAAGAGAAGTTAAAACTTAAAAGCAGTCTAAAATTTAAAAAACCTGAAAAAAATCCCATAAAGAGTGGTGGAGTAACGAAGCTATCTGTAAATACCCCCACTATGCCTCGCAACGTGCACCTCTTGAAAAACAATGGTTACGGTACTTACGCCACAGACCCACAGCCCAGTCCCAGATATCGACTAAACGGCGCAGTCGCACCCAGCCCAGACTGGGTATCAACCATAAGGTGCGCATTTAGTTTGTTTTGCTGGCTGCTGCCAAGCTGCGCGGAATTTCGAAGTATTGGGATTGCTTTAGGATCTGCCTTTTGAAACCTCGATCAAAAAATTAAAAAAGGGAAAGTTGTGAAACTCTGTTATTGTAAATTAATTGTATCAATGGTTCTTTACCTCACTTTGGAACCTCCGGTATTATTGATACATGTTTCACTTGGATAGAGTGAGTTTTTCAGGAAAGACAGTGGAACGATAAGTACCTAACTATGGGCTACTGATTCTGAAGTGGTTTTACACGCAGTGGAACTCGCGTTCCGTCTCTAAGTTTCCAAGAATTTCTTATGCAACGTTGATAATTTCTAGTCCGCAGTAATTCTGATTTGATCATTCTTCTGTAATCTGGATCCAGAGAACAAGCAGTCCACAACTGCGAAGCCGCCGTTTTGCATTCTGCTATTGTTCTTCATCGTCTTAATGTTATTCGCTTAATTACGTACGAATCCCCTACGGCAGCTATATTCTGCAAGCTATCGCTGACAAGAATCGAAACAAGTAGGTAAGTGTTTTGTAACAATTAACGTCTGATTTCCATTCGCATTACCTCTTCAAACATTGCTAGTTTTGGCATTTCTAAAAAAACCGAATTTTTTCCGTGGATTCTTCATGCTGTTTAACATAATACTATCATTCTAATAAGTAATTGACTACTCGTACTTTCCGAATTCAGACGGTGGGGAAAGGAAATAGAATGAATGCTCCACGGCGCTTTACATCTCGAAGAGTGCACAACCTGAGGGATTTGACATCGGCTTCGGGTTTGTCCTCCTTGAAATCTGGAAATTCTTATGTATGTGGCGATCGGCGATTTTCATATGTGACTTGCGTGCTTAATGGTAACTGATGTCGCCATTTTCTTTTGTTTCTAGAAAAGGAAACTGGTGGATAATAATCGTGATTTTATTGACGATGAAGCCGAAAGCGATCCGGAATTACAAACCTTACGCCTGGCTGTTTTTGCGTCGAAAAGACAGGAACCATCGCATCCAGCTGGCTCCAGTCGTAGTCGCGACCATCCCGATAGTTCTTCCTTAAAAAACACGAGAGACTCTTCCTCAGACCACAGAGCGTATTCGGATAGAAAGCACTCGGATTCCCTGGCATCTCCTGATAAGGGCTACAGTAAATCTCCAAAACTGGAAGATCTTGATATAGAAGATCTGAAACGGAGGATCCGGACGAAAAAACGTAAGCCTTCCTTGTATGGTATAGACATGTTTTACGATCGCGGTTAACTATTTGTTTCTTTAAAAAAATGAAAATGAGCCACTGCTATGCTTTTAGCACCATTTCTTCATTTTTATCGAATTTTGTCTGTTTCTGACGCATTGATGGTTTACAGGATCCCGTTATGGGCGGAGGAACGATTCGGATTCGGACCAGAGTTCAAGTGAAGACGACTACTACGATTACGCGAAGTCAAGGCGCACTGAATCGTCTGATCTGCCCACTGGCCGAGCAAAACCCAACTTCAGTCCTCCGAAAAATGGCAACGACACCAGTATTCTCTCGCTGCAGCGCCAGACGAGCAATAACAGTATTCATGGCCGTGTCTCACGGGCGGAACGCCAGAATTCATCTTCCTCATCATCCAAACCCTCCGCTGGGTCAACCAACAACACGACCATTGTAACGAAGCCCATGGAAGAAGAACCGCCCGCCCCGACCGTCAACGACACCGCCATGATGGAACGCCGTCGCCAGAAATTCCAATCCGGAGTCGGGCCCGTCAATCCGGAAGAGAAATCCAAAGTCTCCTTAGCCAGCCTGAAATCGAATCCTTCGTCGTCGTTGTCGTCAGCAAAGGAAGCCGAAAGTATGCCTAGTGAGTTTGTATTCCGTAGTGCAGTGGCTGTATATTTAGCTGGTATAGTGTGTACTTTCTGGTGGTTGTCGTCGTCCGGTGCGAACGGCCGTGGTAGTCAGCAGAAGTGCGGGTTAGGTCAGTGTGTTACATGGTATTCCCTTTTCATTTGCAGAGACTGCTTCAGATTGAAGATGGGGCCTAATAGTGGCTGCCGTAGTTTGTTGCATGTAGTGAATGCAACAGCATCGCTCATAAGTATGACATGTACCATGTTATTCAGCGGGATACGGATGAGATTGCTACTCAGTTGTTCACTAACTGAGCGAGATGACAGAAAAGTCAGAAAAGAAATAAATTTTATTCCTACTCTCGGCGCCGCATGTTTTGTGTTTACGTATCTGTACGACATAGCAACATCACAGGTAATAGATTTGCTTACATAATGGTCTGAACAAATTTGACACAGTAACACACGCGATTAAATTGTTCTTTCAAACCGCATTCTGATTTGGGACGTTGCAGTACTCAGTGATATCGAGAAATACCGGAGCTTTTTTTACTGGTTCGCTTTTGCAGCACATAAGCTAAAAAATCCAGCAAGTGAATTGTATATTGCGCCGTTGATACGGAATTCTTTAATTAACAAATTCATCAAAATCGAGTAAAAGGTTTGATCACTTCGAGTAACCAATGGTGACGGAAAATGCGTGACGAGGAGACATGTCGAAAACTGAATTGCCAACCAAAATTCTACCGAAAACAAAGGTTTCAAGATGTTTTGACGAAATACTGCGCCATACGAGATTTTCAGGACAAAAAGAAATTTGGATTAATTTGTACTGTTCCTCCTAAAGAAGCGTGCCGGCGAGCTGCATTTGGAAATTCGCAAAAGTGTGAGCGAATCCATTCTCGTGCGAAGAATGAATGCTGCAGTGGAAAGTATCCCGTTGCCGCGTGGAATGCTCCTTTACATCCGCAAACACATCTCTCACCTACCCGACTAAAGCACGTCCTGGGAACGGCTGTTAACGAAAAAGAAAAAATATGGCCAGGCCTGACTGAACTTCAGAAAAATGCTTTGGACTTCCGGAGTATGACACGCTGCGACGGCTGGCTAAATCGACAATCAAAACATGCTGGGGTACATAATCCCATGGACACCGGAAAATATCTGAAGAAAAAAGGTCAAGAATGGAACCGTCTCCCAAGCAGCAAACAATTACACTGAAAATCCAAAAATCGTACATCCGGTTGACTACGCACCACATGTACTGCATGAATACGCCAAAAATCCATCACCGTCCCTTCTTGGATCACGACGCTTATACGAGGTTAACAGCTTAATACTTGATAACATAACAATATTATATTATTGTTTTTACAACGGCAGTTGTAATATCTTAGAACGACCTCTTATACAATACGTTTTCTGTTATTTATGTTGCAGCAAGTTTTTCATCGCAGTTTCAAACGCCGTTCTAGTTCACTGCGGAGATCGGCTTTCGGCCCAAGGAGTTCGCAAATTTAGTGTTTTTCATTTCGTCCCAACCGAAACAGCCCGTGAAAGGCAACATTGTGCGTCCGCGTCACGTTGATGTAATGGAATATGCGTTCAGCAAAACCGCTGGTACATCAAAACCAAATCTAACAAATCTAATTTCCAAAATTATAAGTTTATCTAACATGTTGCAGAAGAGAAACGAGCGAAAGGTCACCTTCCAGGGAACGGTGAAATGGCCAACATTTCTACGGGAGAGGACGATGTTCATGAAAAAAACACAGAAGAGCGTTTACCTCTCAAAGAACCATTGGAGAAATTCGACCAAACAGTTACCGGATCAAAAATCACAAGTGATAACCAAAAACCACGCAAAAGTTAGCAACAATAGGAAAGCAAGTGATGCATTCATTTGCTATGAAAAGCCGGTTTCTAACGAAGCGCGCATGATTTAATCATTTTTAAAACTTTAAAGAAATCGATGTCATAAACAACAACTTTCGAGCAGATTTTCTAAATCACATCCGAGATCACGCATAAAACATAGTAAAAGGCGCAAGATTGTCAAACGGGTAAGCTGCTCATTACATAATCAAAGGGGAAGGCGGTGCGAAATATTTCAAATACAACTGGTAACAACGGATCCGACAAAGCGTAAAAATCATCTGCACACCGGCAGACAGATACTCCCACCACGAACGGGACTGTTTCAGTTTCTGTTTGAAGACAACTTTGCTGCAAGCCAGCGATGTGTTGGTAAAGGAACACGGGCTGTTCGATACCTGCAGTTTGTAAGCCAATCCGCGCAACAGATCATTGGTTTTCAATATGAGCAACACTTCTCGTGGCACTTTGTTGAGCACATCGCTGATGCCGAATAATATAGTCCCAGCTTTCACCTTTATAGCCTCCAACTGCAATTTAAAAGTGACCAGTTTACTAACATATATATTCTCCGTGGGAAATCTGAATTTCTTCGACGATAGGGTAAACAGAAACTCAAAATTAAATACTCACCTCATCCGGACTAATACTTGATGCCTGAACACCAGTGGACACACCTTTCCAACTTCTCGCCGTCAGCATACAGGCTAAAAGGTCGAACCATTCCTCCACACCCAGTTCTTTCGCGTGCACACGCATGTTTGCAATATCGGCATTTAGAATCGCTATCCACATCTTAGCGTACGCCAGCCGAATATGTTCGGGAATAGTCTACAAAAAGGGGTTTGCAATGCAACGTAATATTCACACCAACGAACGTTTTTTACCAGGTGAACGCCGTGGTCAAGTAAACTTATTATCGGCCTTCCCGAAGCAGTCTTGTTAACTAGCATATTTCCTGCAAACAAAATATATATAACTTCACACTTCATTGCCTACATAAAAGTATTGCCGATATCCGTGGAAACCATGGCAGGCACTAGGCAGGAATAAGAATTACAGCAGTTTTACCTGGATGGGGATCGCAATGGACGTATCCAAGTTTAAAAATCATTTCGCTGAACAACCGGCTAATATCACAGTATACCTACGAACATAAAAATGGTTAAAACGCTACCACTGCATCCAGCACTACGAAGAAACGGACCTCTGTCGGTGAGATACCATTACGTTGATAGTAGTGTTGTGCTACTAAATAATATTAAATAACGGCCATTTACTTAGTAAAAGTCCGCCTAATATTAAAAGTCTAGTAAATAGTAAGGTTTTGGAAACAAAATAAGTAAAAGTAAGTAAATGTGCTGCCGGAATAGTAAAAAAGTAAGTAAATATTAAGGTTTAGCGTTGACTAAATAAAAAATCATTTACTAAATTATTTACTAATTCGTTTTATCGGGCGTTATGTAAAATTGGCGTGTTAGCCGCCGCCACTCGCAGGTAAAGTGAATGCGCAGTAGTTATTGACAGCCAACCGCCCTAAAAGCAGCAGTATTTACTTTTCAGTATGCGCCTGCATGGCTGTATAGCTCTATTAATGCAGAAAATTTTCTGCGCCATTTTCAGTACTTTTCAGCGCTTTGAAACTAACGCACCTTCGACACTTTCAGTCCCATCATTTATTTAGTAAATTTACTTTAATTTAGTAAGTAAATGTCCTTGGAAAAATTGAAATAGTAAGTAAAAGTAAGTAAAAGTCCCGAGAAATTTTAAATACTAAGTAAAAATAAGTAAACTTCCAAAAGCAGATAGTAAAAATAAGTATATTGGCAAGGACTTTTACTACCCAACACTAGTTGATAGTACGCCAAATCATCAACACGGCCACCCTCACAAAACTCCATGGTCAGCACGCGCGTCGTCGAGTATTTCCATATAATATACGGAACCTAATAAAGATATTTAAAAATTAAACAATACAAAATCACGTCAAATAATCCAAACCATACCTTAACAAAAGAAAATTTCCTTAATTTCGCGCCCATCTTTTCACAATTACGGCCTTCATTCAGGAAATCTAGCTCCAGCGGCAAAATCTTCTTGGTTTCTTCGGCTAACCAGACAAACTGGAATTCGGGGAATAATTTCGCCGCAGCTTTTACCAATACCTACCAAACACAGAAATATCCAAAAAATTTATGATTGTGGTAAATTGCGAATTATCCTTCACCAGCGGCGTAACGAGCTCAAAGGTTTGGGGTGGGCCAGAAGTATTGGCTTTGGGGTAGGCCGTTCCCATAGACTCTATGTTATAATTTTTCGTTTGGGGTGGGCCGTGGTCCCCAAATTATTAGGCTCGTTACGCCACTGTCCTTCACCGATTGCAATCATATAAATTACGCACTTCCATAGCAGCGATGTCCATATAAGCCTGTTTTTGCACTTTGGGATGTTGCACTTTAACAGCGACAACTGAACCATCCTCTTTCAGAACCGCCCGGTGAACCTGGGCCAAAGATGCCGCTCCTAAAGGATTCTCATCAATTTCTCGAAATATTTCCCATGGCTGCAAAAATAAAATTTAAATTCCGGTTGCTTCCAAAGCAAACCGTATGCAACCAGCGAAACTTATTTGCACGCATTACAGTGAATGAGCAACGACATCACTCCTGCTAGTACATTTTCTTGCAGATCCTCCTGCAGGACTTTTAACACGTCACTGAAAGGAGATTGCGGCGCATCGCGGAATAAACTCCGCATCGTCTCGACATATTCGGGCGGAAGCAGATAATCAAGTGATCCCACGTGTTGTCCGACTTTGATGAATGCGCCTTTGTTGATGCAACAAAGTTCTTTCAGCCGTAGCGCCGAACGTAGATGAATCTGTCAAAAATTGCACAGCATTTTGTACACCAAGTCTGCCAAAATTTAAAAAAGAAACACCGTTTCAGGCCGTTATTTCAAAGTTTCGAGTTATCAAAACATATTACGGAGCTACCAAAACTATTCGAAAGCGAACCATAAGTGTTGGTAAATAAATAGATAAATAAATACATGATTCAGTTTTCTAGCTCATCAAAATCTAACCTCGTTCATCAATTCGCGATATCCCGGAGCTTCGGTAGTCAATCCAAAGAGGGACCATTTGTAATCAATGGCAATTCGGGCTGCCTGTAAATAATTCGATGGTAAGTCCGAAATTAAGTACGCAAAACGAACAGTGCGCGAAACAGCGATCATCAAGTTATCAACCGAGACGATGTAAGTACCGTTGCGCCCGCTCTTCCAATCCGAACAACACCAATTTCATTAGCATCGACGCCACTCGCAAGGGACAATGAGCCAGCCGCAGTACCAAGTCCGATCAAAACGGGAACAATTTTTCGGCCTCCTAACGCCCACATTCTGACATGTAATTCAAGTACAACGCATCACGGATGGCTTCCGTTATATTATTCGCTGCCCACAACGAAGAAGCGCTGATGTTGTTGTCGAGTATCCAAGATTGAGGTCTACGTCGATAATTCTTAATCGCAAATAATTCATCTGCAGTCAGTTCTCGAAGTCCAGAATAAACGACAGTTTAGAAGACCACAACTGATTCTGAACGAACAATCCGAACATATCGCTTACTGATCCACTTTGCGCGGACAAGTGAGCCTCACCTAAGAATTCAAGGGAAACCTACAAAATTAATTGATATGAAAAGCCGTATACCACTTCACCACGGATTTTTCCTAAAGATGCGTTACTCATGGGAAATTTTTTACGATTTGTGTAATGTCTGTTTACGCAGTGATGGCATCATCACCGCTCGCTCGCCTAATGCCTGCCACCGGAAGTCTAAATTGTCACGTAGCCGCCCGCTGAGGTGACTTTCGCAGATTTTTTTCCGTCAGGCCTGCACACTGTTGCAGGACCTATACACTATAATAAAAACAGATACACTACGTGGACAATCTCTCGATTGTGTAGCGGCAGGTACGGGATAACAAAGAGGAATACTGGGATTTAAAATAATTTCGGATTTGTGTATATAAAAGGAATAATAATAGTAGGGGAAAGAATTTTGCGAGTGTATGAAGGACATGAGAGGTTGTGGGTGTTTCTTTACTACAGTTGAGACCTTGAAATTGCGCGTTTAATCTGTAAATTTCCATAGGTTTACACAGTCATTTTTGTGGTAGTAATTTGTGTAGTAGTAATTAGTGTAGTTAAGAAAGTTGATTGCTTAATGGAGCGAACTATTATGTTTTGCACTGATAGTCTTGGATGTGTAGTAACAGGTGGTTTGTATATGGGATGTAGGCTGGAACGTACATTAAAAGGTTGTTCGAGAGAATGTTTGGTTTAATTGGTTTGTTGACTGGATTTTTTTAGTTCGGTGGGTATACTAGAAGTTGAGGAACGTTGTGTTTGAGTTATTATGGATTTGACGAAGTATATGCAGTGAGGAGAATGTTTTTCTTGTTGGTTATTTTCTGGTGGCCGGTTTAGATTTTCGGAAGCGTACATACTGATTCAGGTTGTTATGTTTTGTTTGGCTTTGGTCTTTTTATGTTGAGTATAGTTTATTAAGTTTGCTTTCATAGATAGTTTCTTTTAAGTATTGTTTTTTTTTAATAAAATAATGGAAACTGGTTGTGATCGCAAGAAATACATGCGTGAGTATGTGCGTGATTATAGAGAAAAACCGCAAAACGGAAACTGATGGTAATTGTAGCAAGGAAGATAATGAAGTAGTGATGATGTTACACATGAAAATGTGAAGTTAAAAAACGAAAATGTAAAACTTAACACGGTCAACAAAACAAAACAATTCAGGACAAAATCGTAAAATAATGCTTAAGAAAAGATCCGGACAACCATTACACATTACCATACTCCGCAAATGTCGTTTAGAACGTTCCTTTTACAAAAATTGTCCAATAAGTTTTTCCAAACATACCAGAAAACGCACCATCTTTACTATTCCGATCACATTCTTGTTTTTAACTTTAACATTCGCATATCTAACATCATCACCACTTCCCACATTATCCTTCCTGCTACAATTACCATCATTTTCGATTTTGCATTTCTTTCTATAATCACGCATATACTCACGCATGTATTTCTTACAATCACAATCACCTTCCATTATTTTATTAAAAAAAGAATTCTTAAACAAAAAAAATGTATGAAAGGAAACTTACTAAACTATACTCAACCTAAAAAGACTTGCTAGAGCCAAAAAAAAGACAGCAACCTGAATCAGTGAGTATTCACAAATCCACACCGGCCACCAAATAATAACCAACAAGAAAAACATTTTGCTCACCCTATATACTTCGTCCACTCCATAATAACTCAAACACAAGATTTCTCAACTGCTTATGTATCCACCGAACTCAAAAAATCCCGTCAATAAACCAATTAAACTATACATTTTCTCGAACAACCTTTTATTGTACCTACCAACCTACTTCTCATATACAAACCACCTGTTCCTACACATCCAAGACTATCAGAGCAAAACATAATAGTCTGTTCCATTAAGCAATCAACTTTCTCGAAATTTCTTGAATTTTCTACAATAATCCATCACTATCTACAACCCGCAACACACTCCACTTCCTGTTATACTTCATTAAAAACTCAAATACGAACAACCAGAAAGTCGAACATATTTACACCATACTGCAGTAAAAATCCCTTTATCTTCACCCAAATTCAATGTAGACCCTTTCTTCGCTACAGTGGATTAGTACACCCTTTCTTCATTATCACTTTTCGTCAAACATATCACCTTTAATATCATTTACTATATTATTAAATTCTCTATTCAACACTTTATATTCGTACCCCTTATAATCTCCACATACAATTTGCTCCTGCAATGTACTCCTACATTATGTAGGAGCACATATATATAGGAGCACTTTGCAATGTGCTCCTACATATGTAGGAGCACATTGCAGGAGCATATTGGATTACGTTTGTTTGGGTACTACAATTCCGTTTTTCTCCTCCAAGAACCGATGAAACCGAGAACCGATGCAATGTGCTACTGCATAAAGGGCACTGTGCCCACATAATGTAGGAGCACATAATGTAACCTTAAAAAGATGCCGAGCTAACAACGCCATCTACAAGTTTCACGCATCGTTCCTCGACGCATGTCACATGACTCATGTCACATGACTGTTAGGCCCCACCGCTTCCTTCAACCGGCCGGACCCTTCCGTACTCTACGGGCGCCAAAAATTACTTTTGTTTACACACGGATATCGAAGACCAAAAACCGAAACTACAGTTTCATATATGCTACGACTGATTCTAGTCGTATACCGCATATCAGAACCTGTCACGGTTCAATGAACCTGCCGCAAAAGTGAGACTTTCTGTATAAGAGTGTATACGGATTATTACGGCTTGTTTCTTGCACGGTCTATGGGGAAATCTGTAACCAAAATGTTACACCCCTGTGATTGGCACAAGTTAGGGGTGGGGTTTACGGTATGCCAGTTAATACGGGCATACTGCATAGTCAGCATAGCTGTCGCTAGAATGTGGTTGGGCTAATAGCCTAATAATTATAGAAGTATTCCATGTGGTTTGTATCCAGTTCCCGTTTATCCCGAATATTTCCCTTTCCCATCCAGGCCTGACGGAGCTATTTCCGTAGGAAATGTCACTTTAGTGTTTTAATTTTTGGGCCTGAATTTTCGTCCTGAAGTCAGTGAAGTGGCATAATTATTTTGAACAGCAACAGCAGCTGTAGTTCTATCTGCTTTACCATGGTTGCGGTGATTCGATAACGGATGTTCTTGTTTTGCTTGGGAAGATTTTTCATTTTGCCGGTCGCAATGGCGCGAAGTAACAGCATCAGTTCTTTTTCCACTGAGGCGGGGCAAAGTATTAACCGTAAGTACTGGTCCCATTCATTTGTGGTTATCGTAAATTTTCCCTGTAATAATGCACAATATAGATATACTGTTTATAACTACACAATTATGCATTGTATCAAAAGGACACTTGGTTAAACAAATTTACATAATATCACGATTAGACTATTCATTTATCGAATAGGGAAAGGATCAAGCTTATAATGAAGAATTATTTCGTGTTTACCATTTGCCGGCCTTTTGATATGGCAGCCTTTAGTGTTGCTATTAAATTAATGAGTATTAATCTCTTCTTTCGCGGTTTATCAATGGATACCCCGTAGCGAACTGTTTTTGCTCCCTTTGGATACCGGTGTCCTAACTCCTGATCCCGATGAAACGATACGTTATCGTGCCTGAGAATGCGACGGGTCACAGCGCGGCCGAAACCGATAAACAGGTCACGGTCGCGCACTTGGGCGAAACGCTGGACATCTTCCCGACTGGCCCTCAGGAAGCTAATCTGGGTTACCGTCAATGGAGCGTAGATTTTCACCTAAATATATTGAATATTTTTTACAATAATTTTCATGTCATGTGTATTAATTAAGTAAATCAGTGGCAATGTATCGACCAAGTCTGCGATTGTTGCTGCACAATATACTGTAGCATAATATTTATCGTACAGAAGCAGGCAGTTGCTGACTGAAACCGGTGTCTGGATCCACAGGCTGACGAAGGACGGCTTAAAATGTATGCCGATTCGTTAATAACAGTAACGGCTTGTCATCCGGATCGTGAGTCATTAGCAACTCTTGCAAGTGTTCCAGCGTTGTCACGTGATTGTATCGCGGTGCCACCATCACAATCATCTGACCACTGTACAGATGCTGATAATGGGCAAAGGTGGTCATGTGTTCAGATAGGGTTCTGATGCGTGTCCGGTCCAGCTCGCGCAGACAAGTGAGGGTGGTTGCACTAGCGACGCTACGGCGCAGGTCAATCTCCACAATTGGTGCTATTAAAATTATTGCGTTTATGCCATACGTATAAAACCATAATATGATGCACAGTAACGCAGGATATATGTCATAAACACTCTTCTACTGCTTTTGTAATTATAACATATAAATACAAATGCAGGCCTTTGCAATCATCGTGTGAGTAGGAGGATGTGCATAATGCTCGTTAATTTAAAATCTTACGCACTATATCAAGAAAGATACTCACCCAGTAGTCGGTTATTCAGTAGTCGGTCGTTCAGTTCGTCCAGAACTAGTTTAATCTCTGTATCATCAGGAGGGGTCCGAGAAATAAACGTTGTAGCGTTGTCAGTTTCTTCTGCGTATTGTCGGCGGCTCCCTGTGTCGAAGGAGGAACGGCCGAGGCAGACACACTTGGGGGACCGTTCGAAGAGGATACACTGTCGCTATAACAGCTCTCGTGCAAGGAACGACCGTCATCTTCACCTGCAGACACATTGGGGATGAAAAAAAATAATATTGCCACGTTAATTTCACAAACGCATCTACCCTGATGACATTAGTGTGTGTAAAATTAAGGAAAATTTTAATCTTACCACATTCCATGCGACTGTCTTGGGACGCATGGGATGACGATTGCCCTGATGCGGTTATAGATGGAGGCATTGCTAGTGATAGAAGGTTTGAAAGTATTGCTGGTCAACAAAAATAACTGCATAATAAATAGTAACAAAATATTGGACATTTGCCTATATTTGCCATCGCTTGGCTATTTCTCTTGGTTTTTTACCTAAGCTGGCATGTTTAGGAAGTCCGCGAACGAAAAGCAAGTGATTTCAGAATTAACCGACTGCGCAATGTATAGCACACATCCATTACATTACATCATTTGCGCTTAATTACCGATTCATTAAAGTATATTTAACAAGGAATACAATCAACAGCAATATAATGACTGTGGCGAAGGCAGACGTTTTTCCGTTTCCTTAATATGCTACAGTAACCGTCAACAATTCACTCTATTTTGCAGAGATTTACTTACTTTACTGGACACGGCAGTGAGCTGTTTAATATGCTACATCGCTAGTGTCCTTTGTTAGATTTAGTATGCACAGTTGATACATGCGCCTATATGTACAGTAACTGTATTACGCATGTGAAGTGAAAGAGCATGTAAATTAGAGAAAGATCTTTCATCAAGATTATGAAAAAATAATTATTAAACTTTTAATCTAGTGCCTGGATGCGTACGCGACGACGGATATGCGCTTTTTACAACTCATAAGCACTCATAAGCACTCTACTTAGTTAGTCGCAGCAATGAATGGACAGCAAAGGGCACATATAGACTGCACACAGTATAGCCGATGCAGATGGCAGTTACGATAGCGATAAAAGGTCTTTGCGTTGAGCGGGAACGGTCAGAAACAGACAAAGTAACCTCGTACATACAGTTGACCATTGCCTATCGGGAGCTTCACTAAGCAGCATTAATAATGCAGTTTGTAGTGGTAAAGTAGAAGTATCATTTATAAAGTGAATGCGATAATATTTTCCTTCAGTGTCTTTTATTCCTACCAAATTGACGTTTCACATTAGTCTATAGATAGTATGTTCAAATTATGTTCAATCTACTTCTTTTTTCTTCTATTCTTAATTTGACATCGGTGGTTATGAAGGACGTTTTGTATTGAATCTGATATTCTGTCGCATTTCAATATGCCCAGGAAAAAATACCATCTGCTGCCGTTGCTTATGCTAAAGATGCGACAGCATTTGTGCGTCTGTGTTCCGTTGTGAAATCTGTATCTATGTCAGAAGCCAACCGCCGCCGGGGAGGTCTGGCAAAGGACTCTCGCGGACGGTTCGTAAAGAATGCCGATGCACAAGCGGCATCTGAACGAGTTATGATAGGTCAATCTGCCAGAAGTGCATATGATGATGGGGAAAAAGGACAGTTCAAAGATGATGATGTAGCAGTTGCTGGTGATGCCGTTGAAATTCCGTCAGACGACCAGGATGCAGATGAATATGATAGCGATGAATCTGATGTCGATCCTGCTGGATTCCAAAATCCTAGCCAAGCTAACTCTCAATTATTCGCGGGTTGGATGAAAACGTTCATGCAGGCTGTTCTAGCGGTACGAAAAACAATCTCAGGTATCGTATGGGCGACCGCCCTTACAGTTGATTTTAGGGGGAAAGCAAATTTCAAAATCTGTCTCAACCATTTTGTTCACAATTTTACGGTGAACCCAACTGTGTATTCAGAAAAAATTTCCAATGGAAAGTGTGGGAGGAGCTCTTTGAAAATTAAACGGGGGTCTCGCTACGGGTCTGCAGTGCCCTGCAGACTTGGCCCATCTTTTGGGTGAGGTGAAAATTCTCCCCATTTTTTCCAGCCCATCTCATTTTTTAGGTGAAAAATGAGGATGAGGTGGGATAGAGCCGCAGATGGGGTGAGATGGGCGGTGATTGTTGAAAGATGGGATGGGACCAAAAAACAAATAAAAAACTTTGATATTTTCATCTGTTTTCCAGCTAGGAGCATGTAAAACTGCACCAATCGAGTTCCCAAAACAAAAAATTTTCCGCGCTACGCGCGGATTTCATCCGCGTCCGATCACTTCGGCCGCGCTACATTTCGGCCTCTCAGGTTCACTTCGGCCAACGTTCATTTCGGCCGTGGCTCACTTCGGCCGACTCTCAATTCGGCCAACGCTCATTTCGGCAACTGGACATTTCGGCCATCATAGGTTTCCGTTTCCCACATTTTTTGGGTTATCTATTTTTAGGTATATTATGGTTTCATTGGTTTCTTGGGTTTCTTAGGTTTCTAGGTTTATTACGTTTTTAGGTTTCTTAGGTTTCTTAAGTTTCTTAGGTTTCTTAGGTTTCTTAGATTTTCTTAGATTTTCTTAGGTTTCTCAGAAACCTAAGAAAATCTAAGAAACCTAAGAAACCTAAGAAAACCTAAGAAAACCTAAGAATAACCTAAGAATAACCTAAGAAACCTAAGAAACTTAAGAAACTTAAGAAACCTAAGAAACCTAAAAACGTAATAAACCTAGAAACCTAAGAAACCCAAGAAACCAATGAAACCATAATATACCTAAAAATAGATAACCCAAAAAATGTGGGAAACGGAAACCTATGATGGCCGAAATGTCCAGTTGCCGAAATGAGCGTTGGCCGAATTGAGAGTCGGCCGAAGTGAGCCACGGCCGAAATGAACTTTGGCCGAAGTGAACCTGAGCGGCCGAAATGTAACGCGGCCGAAGTGATCGGACGCGCTCTGCATTTACCATACTCCTCTATGGCAAACCCGGTGCTGGCTTTAATCCATTTTCTCATAGAAACTATGTTAAATGCAGAGAGTCCTATCATTACGTTGCAATCGAAATAAAAAATTTCATTTATACTATCAACAAATATATATTATTATGTATTTTTCAAGCCTATGGATACAATTTTTTCTAAAGAATACATAAAGTTACAAATTTTCGAATATTTTAAATTTGCATGTAATTTGGCAGCAGTCACGTTGAGCAAAGCACTGCCAGACTGCCCGTCGCCTGCTCACCGCCTCGGTGTTTTGATCCGGTCGTGCAGCTCACGCAAATTTGAGATAAAAATTGCAATAAACGATCTTCTGCACTATAATATGTCTGCTCTCGTCTCACTTCTGTATGTATTTTGCAAAACGTTTTCCAGAAGCAGACGTTTTCATTTTCATATCTTTTCATTGTATTCTTCTGGATTTTGTTGGTGAGCGTCGTGGCCGGATGTTAGATTTGGTTGGTTTGCACAAGAATGTCTTCGAGCAAGGACAAGTATGTTACAATTAGATTTATTAGCATTTTCAACAGTAAGAAGAGTTAGCTGTTAGCAGATTGACTTTCTTCTTATTTTGATATTTTTTATGGTAGAACTTGCAAGTTTTCCGGAATTCTTTTTTGATAAGTGAACTCGACTCGTTGTATTGTAGGAAATCGCGGAGCCTGTTTATTCCATCTGCGACCAAAAAGGAAGATAACTACCGATCCGAGAGCAGATTTTCATCGAGTAAAAAAGATTCGCGGCCGTGGGACTCAGCCGGTTCATCGCGAAAAACAGTCGATCTCTCAGGAGAAGAACAGTTGGCTCGTGTGAATGCCATAGCAGACATCGAAAATCCTGGATTTGCACCGCAAAATTTCCAGTCCAAGCGTTTGTTTGACAAGGTGAGCGCCTGCGGGCATTAGGGCTTGCATCTGCTATCTATAATGATCGTTGTTCAGTTCCTGCTTAAAAATAGGTTACATGCAAATTGTTTAACCATTGATCTGTAGCTTTCTTTAGGCATAAAATATATTTTAAGTTTCCCATTTACATTTACTGCGTTGATCGTATGCGTATTTTATTTCGCTGGTATAATGTGGTTTTGACCGTATGTTGCAGATTTTGCACCTTTACTCTGCATGGTTTTACACTTTAACCACATTTACCTTAAACTTGCAACATAGACATTAGACATCAACCATAACAATAAACATTAATAATTTTTTTTCGCTTTGTTGATCTACTACATGTGTGTACTTTTACTACTTTTTCACCCTGCACTGGTATGAGTGAGCAGGGGATTTAATCCTCCACTATGGGCTACAATGACAAGCAATAACATCTCCAGGTTTCGGTGATATTTACGTATGATTGATACTTAATTTGCTTTTTCAAGGAGAAGGACAAGATCGGGGAGAAAAAGGATAGTGTCAGCAAAGGCAGCAGCAGCAAATTATTAACCGGACCCATTGAAGATCTGATTAGCCCGGATCTGCTACCAGGCACCGAAGAGGAACGGCTTGAGCGTCAAGCCAAAAGCATTACTGCACTGAGAAAAGAGCTGCTGCGAAAACGACCGGATTTATCCGCGGGATGAACTCCCAGTTTTTGGTTGGCTGTGCTTCGGGTGGCATTGGCGTTTTGATTTGGTTTCGACCCCTTTTGCCTTGGTAAAATCCCAAGAGTCTTAATGGAGTCTTCAGCTTCAGAATGTCTTTCAACTCACAACGGGAAAGGTATTATGCGTTGTGCTACGGTCGACTTATGGAATATGCATCTTCCCGTTTTTGCGTGCGTATTCAGTGTTTAATGTATGCGTATACGGTATTTGTAAATAAATTTCATAGTAATTGTGTCGTTCTGTTTTTTGCACAGAATATCGGAAATTGTTTTATAAAACGTCTTATTCGCTGGTTTGGTATCTCGTGTATATCAGCGTTTAACTATAATTGTGCGTGCCGACAATGTTGTTGTTTTTTCTTTTCTTGGTGAAAATTTTCGGTTACTGTAATCGTTTTGTATTGACTTGCCCTCGCCGTACTGTGAAATGCAAGCGGGAAAATTAAATGACAGATGCAGTATTCTTTTCGTAATAATTTTGTACTTTTCAAGCGTACTAGCTATACCGGAATGCGCGCGTTTGTGTGTACTGTGTACATATATAGATATATACGGTACTGTTTGATATTCTTGCAACATGGACATTGAAACCATAGAGCACATTGTGAGAAACTGCAAGTATGACCTTGTTTTCGGGTCCCTATCAGTTATCATGTTAACGCACTTCTTGAACCGCTGCCGAGTGTACTGTCTACAGACCTACCGAGTAGACGAAGTAGACGGTATTTCTCACAAAACTACTCGCATTTTAGTAAAATTGTATACTAACTCTGCCTGAACGACATCGCTCTTTTTTGTTGACAATAGAGTTAATGATTTTATAACCGTTTTTTTAATTTCACAATGCCTAGTTTATGAAGATCTTGTTGGGAAAATGTACAGCAGAACTACGTGATTTTATTGCAGAAGCGTTATTACTGAATGACATTGGTTGCAGAGATTGTACTTAGCATTCCGAAATAATTTCCTTCGGTACCCAAAAATGCATTCCAGATTACGAAACGGACTAATTTTGGCGAAGAGAGTGTCATCCATGCATAAGGACAAATATGGCAGTTCGTTTACCGCTCATCAACACGGATCGAGATAGTAAGATCAAGACAAAATGTGGGCGAATTACAGTATATAAACTTCCGCTTGCAATAAGTTATTCGTATATAGATATAACATAGTCTTGTACATAGGTAGATTAAGCGAGTGCAGAATTAGTGATTTTGCAGTTCTAGTCAAGCTGAGAACAAAGCCGCAAAACACCGACAACAAGAAGTACAGTTGCCAACACCGGACAGTGCCGGTAGCGTGAAGACCGGAATATTGATGCTTAACTTGGGAGGACCGGAAACGACAAGCGATGTTCATGACTTTTTACTGCGATTATTTTCCGATAAGGATCTCATTCCTCTTCCTGCTCAAAGGTATTTTATTATTGAAATTTCTCCATTTGCCGCAGTTATTGCTCTAGTAGTGCAGTTGTAAAATAGGGAGATTACCCGCATGTACTTTGTGGAATATAATTATCGCAGTTGTTGTTTTTTGATATCGGTAAAGATAACTTTTACTTGGCTTACGGTTTTGTTTTTGTGGATGCGGCTAGCATATTGGCACCGGTTATCGCAAAAAGACGAACGCCAAAAATTGTCGAACAGTACAACCGGATCGGCGGTGGCTCGCCTATCAAGAAATGGACGGAAACACAAGGAGATGCTATGGTTAAACGCTTAAACGAAACCGCTCAAGAGTATGGTAAAGAGTACCTGTTCGGCCGTTCTCTAGCTGTTTCGATTACGTCTTGCTATCATACGCGATTACACAAATTGAAATAGCCATAGAATCGCCATTTTATAATTATATCGAATACCGCCTGTACGATAATAAATAGCATCACGAGATATGTAATGTTGATCTGTATTAATAATATTACTCTTAGTTAGTATCTATATTCGGTTCTGTGAATGAAGACAAGTTTTCTGTAGGTCCATTTAAGCGATACATTGGGTTTCGTTACGCACATCCTTTGACCGAAGACGCTCTCGACCAAATGGAGAAAGACGGCGTAACACACGGTGTTGCATTTACTCAATATCCCCAGTACTCCTGTTCAACCACCGGAAGCAGTCTGAATGCAATCTACCGGCATTATCGCAAGAATCCTAACAGCAAGATCCAGTGGTCGACCATTGACCGTTGGCACTTACACGACGGTCTTGTCGATGCATTTGCACAGCATATACGAGAGGAGCTGCTACAGTTTCCCGAGGCTGTCCGGAAAGACATAGTTTTACTGTTTTCTGCGCATTCGTTACCGTTACAGGTAGAATATCAACAACAGTACTTAATGCAGCCGTAATGTTGTTTATATTGTATAAGCTATTAAGTTTTCTTATGCGGTAGTATTAATTTACAGTTCTGACATGTCTTGACCGTCCTTTTTCATCTTTGCACTCTTCGAAGTACCTATATCGTATTTCTCTTGAAATTTTTGACGAATGCTCACTTAAAAAGCCGTATTTATGTTCGCAATTTAAATAAATGCAATTGTACGAGGCGCAGGTAAAATTTTGTTGTCTTTTGGTGTGCTTGCTGTGCATACTCCTGTGTCCCGTACGCTTTGTGATCCATCCGCCGTAAAAATATTTCTATGCTGCGCTTTTCTGGTACCGGTAGTTTCGCTGCTTTTCCATGTGACAGACGAACTTAAAACCCAGTAAACGCAGAATGTGATGCTCTATGTACTCTTATTTCTGTTTTCCAGGTGGTCAATCGCGGTGATCCTTATCCGACCGAAGTCGCCGGCACAGTCACCCGCGTTATGGAGAAGCTGGGCTTTTCTCATCCATACCGCTTATGCTGGCAGTCTAAAGTGCGTGTTTTTGTGTATTGACTGGCACATTCGTCAATTGGACTTTCCAGTTAATTCTCCCCGTGACCTTTGCCTTCCAGGTTGGACCGTTACCGTGGCTGGCACCACAAACCGATGACGTGATTAAAGGTCTGGCAGAACGCGGACGGCGCAATGCATTACTGGTGCCCATCGCCTTCACGAGCGATCATATTGAGACATTACACGAGCTGGACCTTGAATATGCCACGCATCTGGCCAAGGAAGTCGGCATGGAACAAGTGCGCCGGGCAAAGTCCCTTAACGACAATCCGGTATTCTTGAAGGTGGGTGAAGTGAACTTGGTGTTCGGAAAAACTAACGCATCACACGTCGGCGTTTACATCACCGTGTTTGGTTGTTTTTGGATAGGCGCTGGGTGATATTGTGGCCGAACACCTCCGCTCGGGAGCGAAAGCAACGACGCAGTTACAACTGCGCTGTCCGATGTGCGTTAATCCTGTCTGCAAGGAAATGCGCCATTTTTTCTTGAAAAAGAATGGCGGTGAAACGGTTAACTGATGCTTTATTTTTGTTCTTATTTTGAATATTCACGGATGCCGGTTTGTGCGACGAATGGGGTTTTTATTTTTTATTTTCAATATACACTTGCGCACAGTACGAGTAATGATGTAGTACTCTTAAGGTGGAGTAAGCAACAGACATTAAAAAACCACATTACTTGATTTCCAGGTTTGCCCAAAAGGAAAATTTTTATTAAGGCTCATAAAATGCATGAATCGAATATAAACCGATGAACAGTCGTGAAGATTGAAGTGGTCATCGTATTAATATCGAGTTGCATTCCAAGTTCAAACAGACGAGAGACGATACACTAATGTGTAGTATGTATAATACAAGGTATTACGCAGTAAAATTCATAAAAATTAAAAACTTAAACAAACCTTCAGGCGGTTTGGACCTTGTTATCACGACAGTTTGGTGTTGTGGTGTAACAATGCAACGCCAACTCAGATTTATTATAGACTTTAAAACGGATCCATCGTAGTTTATACGCTTCTCAAATTTTTTTATATCTATTAATTTGCTGGGATTTTTCTATACTTACTTCTATGAAACATGACGAAAGCGCATATTAAAGCGAAAACGGAAATTGCGGATTACGGAAACTCAGTTATAAATAAGCTGTAGTACACATTAATATTGAGTTTTACCAAGTAATTATTAACAGCCAGATTCGGCTTCGTACAGTACTTCTATCTGCATGTGTTGATTCTATCTTACAATTAGCGAGCATATCGATAATTGTAGACGGCAATCACGGCATTAAAATTGCCGAGCAGAAAATTATTATGAGATCAAAGTTCCGCCGTACGTGTTCGCACTTTGCCCTATTGAGCTAATACGATTTCAGACTTCGGCCTTGTTTACAATTTACCCGACCACTTCCAACGGGCTCATTCTGTTGTAACTTGTAAGTACAGAATCGTAGATTCGTAATTAATCGTAATGCTTAGTGGATGTGAATTCATTATAATTCCTAAGTTCCAACTTTATTTGTGATCGTGAGAATTTAGCATACAATACGTTACAGAAACATTGGCTGTTTTCATCGTTTGCATCAGTGACTGAGATTTGCATTTGCACTGCATCAACACATGCAGCCTGAATAGCCTGTTGCTGACTCTTGAGTCTTGTTGTTCATTGGATTCCTCTATATGGTAGCTGTATGTTGAAAACCTCCACATCATAACGATATGGCTTTCGCAGCCGTGGAACCTTTCCTAACAGCATCCGCTCGGGAATGCAAGAAATCCCTGACGCTGATCAATTTCAAGCGCTTCCAAGCGTGTTTTGGTTGGGCCAAGACGGGCTCTTCAGTCGGGTATGGCGCCTGGCTGAAGTACACCCGCATCGGCGGGAAAACCATCAAAGTCAGCATGCTACTGGGGATCCTCCCGGTGCACACCAGCTCCCGCTTATCCGCCGTCTCTTCCCTCGATTCCCTCCCCGATGCGGTGGGGAAATCGCGCGTCCGCCCTGAACCCTTGCCCGCTGCGTCCACGAGCAGCCATCGCAGTAATCTGTACATTTTCCTCCGTCAGCCGTGGTTGTTTATCTTCCTCTTCTTCCGCTGCCTGAAGTTGGGATTATTATTCGGTCCGATGCTGATTTTGTATGTGTTCATGCACGATGTACCCCAGTTGAAATTGGTGTGGCTGCACCTGCTGCTCAAAGCCTTTCAGACGTCCGGACCGACGTTTATGAAGTTTGGTCAGTGGATGAGCACACGACGGGATATATTTTCTCCCGAGTTGTGTGCTGTTTTTTCCACGCTGCACCGGCGGACGCCGCCGCATTCCTTCCATCACACCGAACGCGAATTGAATAGGTAAAAATTACTTATGGTTTTTATTTAAAAGTTACTTGTTTTCATAAATTTTGAATTGCCCGATGAAGTAGAAGTAGCTTCAAATGAGGTAAATTCGGTTATGTTTTATACGGTATTTACATATACATTTTTTAGCAACTGTGAAATGTTATCGCCAAAAAAAGTCAATTTGTAAAATGGCTTATTTCAGGCTACGCTTACTTACCGTAATAACCGTATTGTTCTTAAATTGTGCTGTTGTTTATCTTTATATTTTTCTGGTTGTAATTTCCCGCCAAAGCGTTTATTTTTCGCCTTTTGATGTACTTATGGATAGAATGGATTACGGTTTATGGATTTCAGTTAAAAAACAAACTGTAAAAAATTAATATTTCGACGATGGTATTAGACAGAGGTCTAAAAATTTCTAAATAGACATGAAAATGTAGACATAAAAATGGACATAAAAGACATAAAAATGTCTATGAACACAGATTTAATAGCTGATTTGTTTGCAAAAGTTATCGAAAAGTAATTCGTTATTTGCAGAGCGTTTGGAAAGAGCTGGAAGCGAAATATCATATTCTACAGCAAACTTCCTGTGGGATCGGGTTGTGTTGGTCAGGTGTATAAAGTGAAAGTGGCGGCCAACAGTATCAATGTCCAAGGTCCTCCTGACAGTCTGGATGATTCCCTGGGACCTTTTGATATTACTCCGGTGCGCACACCGCAGCCTGAAATCAAACCAGCACCTAAAGCTCAGTACGTTGACGCCGCATTAAAAGTCTTGCATCCCCACATCGAAGATCGTGTCAACCGGGATTTGGTGATCATGGAAATCGGCGCCAATATTCTGGAGTTTATGTTTAAGGATTTTCGATGGCTTCGTCTCCGCGATAGTGTGTTGGCGTTCAGTAGTCTGATGCAGAAACAGTTGGATTTGCGCGTGGAGGCCAAGAATCTGGAGATATTTCGACAGAATTTCGCCAATTTCGAGGCGGTCACCTTCCCGGCGCCACATTATCCGTTTGTTACGAAACACGTTTTGATGGAGAGTTGGGAAGACGGCGTATCGATTAGTAATTACCTCGATAATAAAGTTCCTCATCAAACCAAGCAGAAATTAGCATCCCTGGGCGCTGATGCGTTGCTCAAGATGACGTTCGTGGATAACTTCGTCCATGCGGATATGCATCCGGGGAATTTGTTTGTTAAGAGCCCGGTTTCTCCCAGTGATCGGCCCGACCGACCCAAAATGGTGTTGGAGGATATTGGCGATCTGGTGGTAGTCGGGATGCGGAAGCGAGCTTTGCCTTTGCAACTGGTTATTATTGATGCCGGCCTGACAGCATCATTATCGCAATATGATTTCGATAGTTTTCGCGGTGTTTTTGCCGCTGTCGTCAAAGGCGATGGAGATTTGGTGGCGGATAAATTTTTGTTCCACGCCGCGGCGGACGCCTGCTCCGATCGTGTGGGCTTCCGGAGGGATATGTCCAAACTCGTACACGAAGCACGCAGTCGCGAGCTGTCTTTGTCGGAGGTCGACGTCGGGCAGTTGTTATCTGACTTGTTTAGCATACTTGTAAAATATCACGTCAAATTGGAAAGCAATTTCGTTTCAATAATGCTGTCGATAATGGTCTGTGAAGGGCTGGCACGGTCACTCGATCCCAATTTGGACCTGCTAGAGAAAGCCCGACCTGTGCTTCTACGCAAGCTCATTTTCTGAGGAGGCCTTTCTGTGTGAATTTTACTTTTTGTATGTTTTTATTGTTACTATGTAATGCAGTATTTATTAAACAAAATAAAACGGTATTACTGAAAATTTGATCACACAGAGAACTAGTCGTACATCACGGTGGGACATAGTTCAAAACGGATAACAGGTCAAACGATAACAGATCGGGCAGTGATAAGCTGCCATGCATTCATATCGTGATCCATTTCAACGAGCCATACAATGCCCGATTACTATCTAGTTGACTTCGGAACACTTTGTCCGTGCTGGGCTCCTGATTGAGCAAAGTTCGCTTTGCCGACGCGAAAGCCATTCCGGGATCAACTGCCCAATGCAGAAACACATTTCCGCATTCGGTTTATCGATTTTCCTTTATCGACTTCCGCGACGCTATTTCCGCCAAGACCGGTGTAAACCGGCTGTCACGTCGAACAGTGCAGGATTATGGAACGTCCCGGACATATCCATTAGAAAATATAACGGACGACCACGGATCTTCAAGGACAGAAAGGCTCGCACTCCTTGGCGGCCCTGTTTGGCCGTCATATTGTCGATGGGCACCGTAAAACTACGGGTAAACCCAAACGGTGCATAGGTCATAACGGTCACTTGCTGGCCTCCTTTCCGTAATACTAACATTGCTACGGATCGCAGTGCATACAGGAAGCCCAGATGTGCTAAAACGACGCCTGCAGGACAACACAACATTTTACGGAACACAGAATAGAACAACATTCAACGTTTGCGAATAAGTTGAAATCACTAGAGTAGTTCGTATCTGCTAGGTTGCAATAATTTCTAAAAAAACTATTTCAACATCAGTTGAAATTTAATGATAAAAAATACTAAATACATGCACAGTAGTAAAAAAAACCATTCTGGGATAAAGTATTCAGTATCGGACATTAGAGTTTAGACATTCTTGTGACGAAACTAAATGCGACTGACCGATGAAATTTTTTCTACAATCGCAAACAAATTGTGTGAAATTTAAACTGCACATTCAGCTAACATATCATAATTTATTTTTCTAAAAATATCCCAGAAATAGCTGTAACAGTCAATGTAAGAACAAGTCTGCAAGAACGTGCTAACGGTTTTCACAATCCGGTAGATGCATCATGCAGATGGCACTACGTATTACTACTACTTCATACAAAGGAAGTTTTAAAAAAACGATTAAAAATGTATTAATTTTAGTTAAAAAAAATTGTTCCTTTTAGCTTACCAGTGAATAAATACAATATCCCCATAGTCAGCGAATAGTACGGGCGATCTTCATCCATTTGTCCCATGATGTATTTGACGTACCATCGATTTAATGAGCCTTGCACCCTCGGAGGAGAGTTGTTGGTACTATTTTCTAGATCACCCGTGACATGGGAAACGGTTGATCTACTGCTTCCCCCTTCGGCATCCTTCATCCCGGTCGAGGCATCCGTCAATGCGGGTAAGTCTGCAGCATCGTCTGTGCCGCCATTTGCAGCAGCGGCTTTGGCTTGCCTGCGGTTTTCCATGATACGGGCATAGTTCTGCAGGGAAAAATGGGCCAGCTGCGCCCACAAGAAAAACTGCGCAGCCGCAAACATGGTCATGTATCGATACCAGCGGACACTTTTGAAGGTGTACAGAACGACATCCTTGGCGACATTCGTGTAGCGTTCTGAGGACTGATACGGAGAAGGTGCTTCGGCCGTGTGCACGCGCCGTGCGAGTACCTGGCGGCCAGCGAGAAGCACGCTGCCCGGTGAGCTGAACTTCAGGATACTTCGGCGTAGCTCTCCGAGGCACAGGGAGACTAAACGCGCCCCAAGTACCATGGCTGCATGGATCCCAAAGTGGAATGCAAGAATCACACTAAACTTGGCCAAGCCAAGCCTGCAGAGTGTCTAAAGGCAAAGGCTCAGGCTTCTTAGACAAGGTTTCCGATTCAGGATTCCATAACGGCTAAAGATTCAAGCCAGGAACAGGTTTACACCCACTTAGAAAGTTTGAAGACATATATTACATTTCAAAACTTTTCAAGTATCGAATTTGTGATCAATTTGCCAATTGATGGCCCAATTCCATGCCATGAACACAGAAAAACAACATTCTTCGCTCTCATACCAACCCCCAAGGGCGCAGTTACATTGCCAACTTCCCACACAACGCCTCCGACAGCGGCATCGACCGGGCGCCGGGCGGCCTCTAACAGCCCATCTGATATTTCCGACTCTGCCAGCTCAGCCTCGACCCTACTTCCCTCAGCGCTTCCCCCGACAGCCCGCGACCGGCGCCGCCCGCTCTCCGCTCACCTTCCGCCACGCGAAACCCTTCGTGGACATTGAACCGCCCAATAGCGCCCATGTACTTTTCTCCATGGAGACTGCACGGCGGCCGATCGCAGGTAATGTCCGAGGCGCCATTTAACGGGTCGATTGGGATCGACCAGTTTTCGGCACCTAGTCGATCCGCTAGATGGCCACTAAGTGGTCCATCAACACAGTAACAATCACAGTAGTTACTGTGTCGATAGATCGTTTCTGTCTGCCGGTGAGTTATCGCGACGCGAGACACTCGGGACACCAGTAATGGCAGTAAATCACTGCGTCGTTAGCGTTCCACCACTTCCCCTTCCCATGCAACAGCCTTTTCTCACCTACTATCTTCACCGACAAGCTTCGAGCTACAGGACTAAAAAACTTCCCTTGCGATTTACTTTTTAACTCATTTTTATATAAAGCAGGTTATTAATAGTGTTGCGATACAGTATACTTATACCTAGTCGAAGAATGTATGTAGAATATAAAAATCCCCAAAACATTTGTAATGTTACTTAATCAACAGTTAACCTTTTGTTTATTGTTAGTCTCTTATAATAAAAATATCAAATATTATTATATATACACTTATAGGCGATTCTTAATACTTACAATAATGAAACCGATACGAGAATAAATATGCGAGTATAGTGCTGTCCTGTACAGTGCATTGATGTGTTCCTAGTTTGCCTTTAGTGCCTGGCAGATTTGCAAATGTACTGTAAATTTGTAATTGTAACGCACACGTGCACATGGATGTCCGATCATTTCGGCGTAAGGGCATTTCGGCATGAGGATATAATAATTATAGTTAATATCCAGTTTTGCAACTTATTTTACAGAACGGCTGAACGAACAAGGAACAAATGGTGAATATACAATGTACAAATAAGTATTGAACATTGTGGTCCTGCGGACCATGGCTAGCTGTGCTTATGGTTAGTACAGCAGCTTAGCAGGCTTTATTTTCAAATCCGCAAATTTCTGTAATCTTGGGGTATAATACAGAAAGTGCTATATCCGTAAAGTGCTATATCCAGCTTCAACGACGGTTCGAATTTCGCGCACACCACTGACAGCTGGATGCCTGCTATTTCCAGCTTCAATGACGGTTCGAATTTCTCTTAATTTAATAATATAAAATTGTATACAGATATAACTGCTTACTTGTTAGGGGCATTATTACTGTACTACACGACCTTTAATTCTTGCAATGTCTCGTTCCGGAAAGCGTAAAGTACCAGTCGCGAAACTTTGTAAAATTCTTCCATGGTTCATCAGGAAACACAGACAAAAGATCACAGCCTCCAAGAAGTGTAAGCACATGATATCTAGTAGTAAATAGTTCTGAACTAGGTATCTTCACTCATTAATTACTACTGTAACTGTTGTCTGCCGGTTTCCATGAAGTGCCTTTGCAGCTAATTGTAAGATTGTCTACTTCGTCATCCATCCAGACCTCGAAAAACATGTTTACTGTAAACTGCAACGCATATTATATACCATCCAGTGTGGGTGAATTTCGTCATTTCCACTTTGCGATTCATCTTGGAATGCGTTTCTAGGGTATGGATACTGGATAGCCTACAAAAATTTATAACAGATCGTGGAACGGTGACCGCTTACAGCAGCAGTACAGTGGTAAGAAATAATAAACTGTACCGAATTATTTTTAAGCTCATCTGCTTTAAACAGTCTGACGAAGTAGTAAATTACGCACTCTTATAATTTGTAGAAATTTGACAGCCATACTGCGCACACCACTGACAGCTGGATGCCCTGGTTTGTCTGGGCAAACACCTGGATTTTGTTGGCAAGCATCTGGATGTTATTCACTATACTTTGGCGGAGTTCTGTAAATCAGTTGTGTACTATATTAGCAAAGATGCGACAATGGCGCCCGGGCGCGGATAAAGATCAGTTCTGCGAGATCCTCTTGCCGCTCTTCGATGTCAAAGACAGGCTTCAGACCATAGCGGTAAGCATTAATTGCGGTGGGCTGCTATTGTCCCTGCTATGGCATTTCCGGTGCTATTTCGACGAGAGTCCACGCCTGGACATCGAACTGGTCATTGATCTGGTGTATACTCCATGGACCGTCTTAACCGTTGCGATCATCGTCAATGGACACTCATGTTGCTCAAAATTTTCTCATTGACAGATCTTCAGCAGCGATATCGGTTCCGCTCCGGCTCTGAGGCGTATCTGGCGCGGATGTTCTAAATGTTTGTCGAATGACCCATTGTTCAAGCGGGAGCCTCCTACTATACGGGGCGGCAAAATGTTTTATATGATATGTGGTCAGTTGTTCAACTTGTTTTGCATGTGCAAAATTAATGGCAAGGTCTTCGTTTCACTATGGTTTATATTGAAGGAATTTCCACAGTAGCCGTACGCGCGTATAATATTGTGTTAGCCTGTTCGCTGTAATAAAACAGTCAATTTTTAATTAAACAGATGGTTGTCTTTTTACCACCTGGTCTGGCCGGTGCGGTGCAAAATCATTACCTTTAATAATTAATATGTATCACATGTAAGTGCAGACTGAGTTCTAAAACATATACAAAATTATAACAAAAACACTTGCTCTATGCTATCCTGTAAATTGCTTTTCGCATTCAAACCTAATATTTTTTAAAGCAACAAAAATAGTTCCACTTCTTTGGAAATCAGTCACCATTAAATAGAATTACAATATTATATGGATGATAGCGTCAGATTATCATTTATCTGATTATTTATTTAGGTGTGAAGTTAGTGCAGTAAGCAGCGCATTTTTATACTTGTAGACTCAGTTGATGACTGATGTATATATAGAAGTAGAACTGAAACCAGTTCTTAGTATACTTCCATAGATATTCATTGGTTAGTGGCAATTTTTCTACATAATGTGCTGTCTTAGTTTGGGAAGTTCTGGGAAGATACAGTGCATGGAATGCAAAGTTGTACACTCCAGCTGCTTTTTTGTTTGTACGATATTGTCACGTATTGGAAATTTCGTCCCATATTAGAATTTTCGTGTCCGACCATTTCGCCATGACATTATTTTGCAAAACGCTTTGTAGAAATGCATAAGATATTAATCGCAAATTTAATTGCTCGCGCTAGTGCAATGATGTGGTTCATCACCACCATTAGTCGTTAATTTATTACTCGTAAACTTCGCTGTCAAATTATTAACTCACCATCAGTAACAACACCGATATGACGTACTTACTTCAATACCAAAAAGTTTTGTGCCATTAACACGTCCGACATAATATGTCGAAATAAGGCGCAGGGCACCCGGTATTGCAGTGGGTTGCATTGTACTCGAGCTTGCGCTGTTACATACATAAAAAATTTTTTTTAATATTTTTTTGCATTAGCATTGTACAGCATATGTAGTGCCATCACGCAGACCCTTGAATTACAGCTATGTGTCTGACGGCAATTAAGGAAAAAGAGTTATCAAAATCATGATCGCACCAGACCATAAAGATTTCACGATTATATACTCGTAAGTAGCTGGAGCAAGTTTTTCGGGGAATTATGCATGGGAAAAACCCTATCAATCGCATCAGATTAGAACTAACAGGATGAAACACGTTTATTATTCACGCACTCAGTACCGTTATTCGTCGAATTTGCTGTTTTTGGCTTTTCATGGGGCCTATGAAACAAATGCTCGAGTAATGAAATAATTATATCGTCTTTCTGATCTTCACCGGCACTGGCAGTGTGAACTTTGGTAACGTGCCGTAAACAAACAACAACAACCGTGCGTCGAGCTTCGGTGAATTTTTGTCTGGTCGCTTCCCTTACCTAGATGATAAAAACTCTGCGAAGGTCGTCACTGGTTTATAAATAGTCCAGTCAGTTAATTAAAACTTTCATTATCGCAAATTTTTTCATACATTTATCTTGCGAGAGCAAGGTTGTACCGTTGTAGCATATTGTATAACAGTTTCGAGAATGACCTTTTTGAAACTTCTTTCTCTATCGTTATTAATCTCGTATTGTGCGGCTGCCAAGAATAAATGTGACAGCGTATCCGATGAATGGCGACAAGTTGACCAGCTGGACAATTCCGGTTCATCGCAGACCAACACCCTAAAGGTCACGACGAAAACCGGAATCACCGGCACCACGACCAAGGGGGAGGGCGGCAGCGCGGGAAACAAAATTACCGAAGAATTAGGAGGAGAAGCTGGTATCAATTTATTCGAAGTATTCAAACTCGGAATGAATGCCAAAGGGAGCAGTGAACAGTCCAAGAGTGAGTACATTGTCTTATTTTTGCTAAACTAAAAAAATTCTATACGTTTGTTTTGTTATATCTTCGTAAAACAAGAGATAGAATACATTGAACACATTTTATTTGCGACAATCGTGCATAGGATTATTAGGTGAATTTCTTATGCCATTAAACAAATGCCCAACTTACATTATGTACTACAACTTACATACTACACACAATACATATAAGTACTGTACTTCCTTGTAGAATCATCGCTTATACTTACTCAAATTATTGTATCAATTCATTGCACATAACTGACATAAGCAAATGCTTAATTCGTCGCTTATTCTTACACAAGATTCCTTGCATATTAACTTGTTATAGTTGTTATATATCGTGTAACTGTATTTACAGCTGCAACGCATGTTGTGTGCATGAGCATTATAATCTTTCTCTATTTAAAATCCTAAGGCACACTGTGTTTTTCTTTGCAAAGGTCACGATTGGTCACAAACTCACGCTGATGCTGTGACCAACGAGCGCACAGTGGAAAAGACCTTCAACGTCCCAGGTGGGAAAAAGCTAAAGGTCATGCAGCTGATTGGCAAATGTGACGACGTGCTGTTCAATACGGAGGAGCTGAAACCGATAGAGGAAGGTGAAGGCCAAGGTCCGGAACAAGCAAGCCATCCAGGACGCCGCCGTCGTCGCAGTCCGGATGCCGCCACCCCCGCGCCTGAATGCCGACATAAAAACAATTACTGCTGGGTAGATAAAGACTGCTGCAGCAAAGTGTGCCAGGTTGACGTTAACGGCCAGCACGGTGTATGCGTTTAAATTTTCAAAAATCTATTGCCGTTATGGCTGTTCTGATGATGAGCTGCGCGAACGTATTGACAATTAAAAAATTGACAATTTAAAAAAATGCTTCCATGTCCCTATAGATTGCTGCTGTTTTTGGAACGTAATATTATTATTATGTGGATTCAGCTTGAGCAAGTGAACTAACTATGCATACTAAATACTATACTAATTAGTACTGTCTTGCAGATTTGCATTTGTTAGCCCTTACTCAAATACTGTTTGTAAGTGTTATTAATAAAGTAACGCTTAGTTGGGACTTTGGTAGCGGCGATTAACGAGTATCGTACCTCTTTTATTCCTTCGCATTCGAAAATCGCACCCGCATTGTCGCAGCAAACACATCAGATTATTATTATTTTGTAAACCGAAGTTAGACGCTGCCAGGGTCCCGACTACACAATCCAGAATGAGTTTTGGGAACATGAGTTCACGATTGTTCGACAGTCCGACGGTCACTCCGACCTACCTTCGAGCTGCCGTTACTTCGTCCGCACGCGGGTTGATGTTAGGCCGTGATCGCTGAGAAGCTGAACCAGGAGATTTTGAATCTCGTAGAATCCAGCGGATAAATATCTTTTCGTTTCGGTTGCATGAGAAAATTGTAGAATTAATAAAGCTTCAGAACCGTGATGCAAATTACTCTAATGCAATTGCTTTGCTGCCGGAGTTGATAATTAATTTGATTTGGTCTTGACTCGTTTTCAGAGGCCACCTGGAACCTGGATGTTTCTAAATTTCCATAACCAAATTATGATACAGTACGTAACTGACGGTTAATAATCGCTCCCTAATCGGCTGTAATGGGACATTGGACTATTGGAGCTATTTATATTGAAATTTTTCTTGTCGACATATGATGAAGCGTTCTCTGCGGCCTGGAACTAAGAAACCTGCGGTTCCTCCGGAATCTGGGTGCGATTCATAATAATTTATAATAAGCAGGACAAATTAGGACATGAAGTTATAATTTTTGATTTTCACGGATCTCATTTTCCAACTAATTAAATGAATTACGAGAAATTGCATTTTTGCGCAGATTACCACATTTTACAAGTGGTGAAGACAGTGATGAAACCTGGCAGGAACAGGCATCGCAGGACGATGCTGCACAGGATCCAGACGAATACCCATTAGCAATGCCCAGCAAGAGCTCCACGGAGGAAGCTCCTAGTAAAACGTGAGTCGGGCGTCTTACGGCGCTGAAATTACTGTATTGTCGCGAAATTAATAAACAAATTTTAAACCGTACCAAAAATTCTTGTATTATAAACAATCACAGATAAAAATTATAAGATATTCCATAGTATGTTTAACATTTAAAGTTGACTGATATTAATAGTACGTAATTTTAACTCAACCGATTTTTGTAATTTGTGATTATTTTTAACCCGTTTGCGCTCGTTGTAGACATTTATGTGTCTGAAATTTGACTTAACGCACAACAAAATGTGTGACAAAATTTTAGACTTTTATTTCTTTCTTACAAAATTTTAGATTCTAATTAGAAAGAAAAAGTTGCATTAAGCCTTTAGGGAAATGATTGTTTTCAAGACTAAAATAATCTTTGCAGTGTATTCTAAATTATAAGGAACAGTTGTTGTTTTTTGCTTTTATAATTTTATTATGACTGAATATTTTCATTTTTTTCACATTTTGCCTATCAGCGTTATTAACGTTTTTTCTGGTTCTATGATCCATTACCAGAGGGTTGAACAGTTTATACGTACGTGGTGCATCTGGTGCGGCCGGGAGTTTGGAAGTCATCACACAGCTGTTAAACACTACGCCATACGACCCCATCGTCCAACTACAAGTCCCACAGCGCACAATGGCCAACACCGCCTTCCTTATCCTGGTGCCGGCGGAAGTGTCATGGAAGACCCTGACCGATGACGGACTGGGACAGTGGCAGGCCACCAAAGGTGCCATATCGTTTTTCATCAAAGCCACCGTCATTAACGGGCGCTTTCAACCGGTCTGTATCACCCAGGATCAGTATGGTGATGACAGCAGTACATACTGTTTCCAACGGCGCTTGTACAGCAACACCTCCTATCCACGGTATCGCCGCCTGCTGATGACCAGTGCCGATCAGCGGTGCCCGTTAGCGTTTCTGCAGTATTCTTTTCAGGATGGTGTTGAACAGGATTTTGAAGTCATCCACAAGGCTAGCGCCAGGACGGGACGCTGGCGATTCGCTGAACCTGTGAAGCGGCAGAAAACGGACAGTGAAATAATCGATTCGCCGGCTCTAAGCACGCCAGTGAAACGGGCGGCCGAGTTAAATGGTCATTCGTTTGCTGTGAGTTTGAATGAAGAACCTGCGGATATGGACGCTCCGCCTCTTTTCCCGGCGTTGTCGACGTCGATTGCATTACCAGCTGGATTGGAAGATGTTCTGAGCCAGTGCCTACAAGACGCGACGGCCACCGATCGGTTTATTTTGGACGTGATGGCGGCACCGTCCACCAGAGTGTTTCTCTCCAATCACCGGCAGCTCCACGATGTGCAGCGTTTCTGCACCAATCTCCACACGTATTCCTTGTTCTGCAAAGATGTGATTCCAAATATTGGTGATTCAGGCTTTTCGTTGCTGTTTACTCTCTATGAGCATTTATTGGTGCGTGGAAAAGACGGACGGCATCCGTATGTGATTGGGCCGATGTACTTGTGCCAGACCGCAGAATTGCCGATATTTTTTGAATTTGCTGGGTTGTTGTTAAAACATAACTTCGCTCTACAGAGTCTGATTGCACTTGGTCCGTCGACGGATAGCAACATGGATAAAGCCTTCGAGATGGTGTTTACGCATGCCAAACGGTATGTGCAGCAATCGGAACTGGAAGTATTGGGCATTAAAAAACTGACAGATATGGAAATTAACGGCGAGGAAAAGACGAATATCCTGCAGAGTATTACGCTGCTCTTCGCGAATCCAGACTTGGATAAGGAAATGGAAAGCCAAGTGTATCGTCTGATGGATGAATGGCAGTCAATGCACCAAAATGGGACCGATTTCGGGCAGTTTTTTCTCAGCACTGTAGTAACGCAGATGCGGCAGAATCTCGAACTGAAGAAACGCAGCAATGGATCATCGCCGGATGTGTACGCACAACAAGCATGCGGTTTTGTCAAAGCGCATATCAAGAAAAACTTGCCTGATAAATGTAGTCTGGCGGAGTTGGTGCGAAAACTGCGAGAGATTATATGGAAGCAAGAAAAAGACCTGGAGGCAGCGATTATTGGGAAGTCTGAACTGAAACTGATTCCTCAATATGGTTCATTGTTTTGCAATGAGAAGGATTTGTACAGCTCCGGAATGCCGGTATCGGAAAGGCGTGCGGTATTGAATAGAATTCACACACAAAATCTGTTGTAGGTTTGTTGTTTTTTCTTTGTTGTAGTAGATTCGATTTTAATCGTTGTTGTTTTCTGGCACTCAAGGTTTTGTTTAAGAGTGGTTTCTGGTAGAAACTGTGGCAAGAAACGTTTTAAAGATTTTTGCACTTGAGAATCAATTGACAGTTTGTTCGATTTATTGATCAGAAGGTATCAGACTGTTTTGATCAGTAAATTTGTGGTGAAAAACTGAATGCTACGAGCTCCACACACGGCTTTAGCTGTGTGCATAAGATAAAGTAATTGCAATTTTTTTTCTGAAAACCAAGATTTAGCAAGCCGAGAATGGAACAGATAATCCGTAAATCTAGTCGAACGAGACAGAATTGTTACCATAACACAGGTCAGTTAAGGATCAATTCAATAAACAACAGCAAACAAAAAACTTCGAAGCCGTATTGTGAAAACACGAAGATGGTTATCAACGAAACGTGATCACACGCTCATATATACCGCATTCATCGCCAGTGGTGCCAATCATTTATGATGGTGCGTTTTAGTTTTCTCCCTATGCGATTTCCCATCACTGCTGCTCTCGGCTACCTTCTTAACTTTCTTGGCATCTCCCTCATTTTCACTCTTCCTCTTCTTGCTTCCTTCGCTCCCGTTATGGACGGATTTCGGTGTGGCTGACTGCAGATTCGGCATTAATTTCCGTCCACGAGCCGCCTGCGTCTCCTTCTCGCCCATCATCTCTTTTTCAATGAGACCCGTCAGCGTCTGACACCTCCGCTGTAGTTCCGCTGGTGTGCGGGACCGCAGCCACCAATCAAACCGAAACTGTGGACTCCGACATGCCAAATCCAACAATTCTTCGTACAAATTCTGCCGGTCAATGCCCAGCTGGTGTAACTGACACACCAGGAACCGGTCCTCCTCTTCACTCCACTGACCCCGTTTCTGTACGCCGTAGTTGATCTTCAACTGGAACGAGGGGATTTTATATGTAGCTATTTTCGCGTCGATGGCGCTTTGTATGTCCACTTTCCTCTGAATACGCTGCTCGCCCTTTTCAATCGCGGCAATGTATTTGTCATAATCCGGTAGCTCTTTGCACCGTTCCCAAAAGATTTTGTGATAGGCTTTGACTTCTTCCGGTGATTTATCGGCCACCGAGCGACTGATATTCTCCACGTCGTTCCGGCCGTATGTTTCGTTAGCCAGAAGGAAATTCTTAAAATGCTTTTTGCTCCAGTCAAAACTCTTGTCCAGCAGCCGATCTTTCTCTTCCATTTCTTGCTCTGTCAATGCTTCGGCTGTGTCTATCTTTTCCTGTTGTTCCACTCGTTTGGCTTCCGCCACATCTTCATCCCGATCTGGATCGAGAGGGGTACGGTAGTTGATAGCTCGTTGGTAGGCTAACCTTTCCCGTTCTAATAAATCCAACAGACGTTTTGGAGGGAAAAGAAAGGCGTGAATGTTGGGCTGCTTGGGAGGTCTGGGTGGTTTAGCTTTCTTTGGCTCCTCGCGACGAAGGGCATCCTGCAACCGTACCAGCCAAAAACGTATAAAAACACTATAAATTTTACAACTCAACTTAAACTATTTCTGTCTTCTCATAATGCCGTTGTCCTGCAAGAAAATTGCAGAGCACACTTCTGAGATATGCAGAAATTACATACCCGGTAATACTGGTCAACAGCGTAATTGACTTTTCGTTCTCGTTTCGGCGGTTCGATCCATGTCGCTGGTAAAATCGGATCCTGCCGTTTGCCACGGTAATCTTGTCCTTCGAACTGATACACGGACGGCCCGGCGTCATAGTCCAGAGTGAAAGTTTTCAAGGTGTCTTCTCCCACAGTTTCCAGCTTCTTATTTAATGCTTCCGTCTAGTAGCAGACACAACTAGTATAGACAATCCGCTACTGCAAGTTCCGTAGTAGAATTCATATTAGCCGAGTTCCGTAGTAGTTCCGAACTTCCTTCCGATTCCGAGTATCGCAGATATCATATTTTAGTATAATTAAGGAAAGGGTAAGTCATACTCTTTTAAAGTTCTCAAATTAGTTAAAGATTTAATACCTTAGCTTCCCCTTTGGCCAATAACGCGTCAATGTCTTCATCAGAAATATCGCTATCCCGACTAGAGAAAATGTACTGCGCTCCGTGACGGATCATAGACAACATATCATTGTTAGCCAGTTTATTGGCTGCTGGATCAACGAGTCGGCCTTGTTGAATGACGATACGATCCTAGAATGGCAGAAACCAACCACGAATTAGAGATTTCAACATGTGCATAGGGAATCACATCAGATTTACCAAACGCAATTTTATTTCAGCACGTTCGACGATACGTTCTTCAACGGTGTTGTCCGTTATCAAGCGGAAAACGCGGACTTGTTTCTGCTGACCGATACGATGCGCTCGATCCATTGCTTGGAGATCCACCTGCAAAATAAATAATTTATCATAAAAAACCGGCAAGAGTGATGTGTCTTTACCTGGGGATTCCAGTCGGAGTCATAGAGAACAACAACATCGGCTGTAGCCAAATTAATACCTAATCCACCGGCTCTGGTGCTTAACATAAAAATGAATTTAGAACTTCCAGGAGCGTTAAATTCGGCGATTTGGCTCTGAAATAATCATCAACACGCCATATATTTGCTCAGTAATAATGGTGCACAGACAGCCCAAACAACAGATTACTCACTTCGCGCAATTCGTAAGCAGTGTCTCCATCCAGCCGGCAATAATTGTATTCTGCCCACAGAAAGTAATCCTCGAGGATATCTAACATTCTGGTCATTTGACTAAAATCAAAGTGCGACACAATTCATATGTATGAAGGTTAGGCTTCCATTAAAAAGCATAACGATTGAAACAATTATTACGTAGCGAAGCATACGTATTTATTTACCAGAAGATCAGTACACGTGATCCTTGCTCTTTCAGTTTTGGCAATAGTTTATGCAGAACCACCATTTTGCCACAGTTATCCACCAAGTGTTTATCCGTTGTATAGGGTGGTCCTTCTTCAATCCCATCAAACAGATATGGATGGTTGCAGCATTTTCGCAACTGCATGAGAATATTCAGTAACTGTTTCTTCTGGCCTTTGCCACTGTTGAGAACATCCAGATCTTTCATAAGCAATCTTGTATACAGTTCGCGTTGTACTGCACTCAATCCCACATAAATTTTCACTTCTTTCTTAGGCAGGAGCTTCTTCTCGACATCCGATTTTATGCGGCGGAGAAGAAAGGGTCGAAGAACCATATGTAACCGTTTGACCAGTGAATCATCACCGAAACAGTTGTTTGTGTTAAACCACGCATCAAAGTCTTCCGACGATGCAAAGAGATCGGGTAGAAGGAAGTTCAGAAGCGCCCATAATTCGTGGAGATTGTTTTGAAGTGGAGTGCCGGTCAGAAGAAGTCGGTTGGTGCATTTCATTTCCCGTACAAAATCTGATAACTAAAAAATTAAAAAAAAACCATAAAAAAATACTCCTGCTAATAAAATGTTTTCTGTGCAAAAAAAGTGTCAACGATAATTTAAGACCATTCACCTTGGAATTTTCATTTTTGATGCGATGTGCTTCATCGATAATTAAATACCGGAAGTGTATCTTTTTCAGTGCGGTTTTCTCTCGGAGAATCATTTCGTACGACGTAACACAGACGTCAAATTTACCGGGCTGCAGGGGTCCTTTTATGGTGGCTTCCTGTATACATAAAAACATTGTACTTAGCTACACAAATTTTTTTTTAAAATGCCAAAATTATACCCGTTCAGCCTGAGTGCCGATGAGCTGCACTGCTCGTATACTCGGGCACCAGCGTTTGAATTCGTTCATCCAATTACTGAGTGTCGATTTGGGCGCGACGACTAGATGAGGCCTCTCATTTTTCATTGTGACCATATAGCCAAGGACGGAGATAGTTTGCAGGGTCTTTCCCAAACCCTACATCAACAAAATCAGTTTCTAATACGAAATCCAATAAGAAAGTATAACGGAACTGACCATTTCATCCGCCAGAATCCCGTTAATGCCATGTTCGTAAAGTCCAAGCATCCAGTTCAATCCGCGAATCTGGTAGTCTCGCATTTCGCCGTTCTTTATGTCTGCAATGCAGCCAAAGTCAGAGAAGACGAATGCGATATGCAGCGGATGTTTTTAATTACATGGCGGTGTGGTGACAAAACTGGTGCCGGGCTTCTCTGATTCTTCCGAATCCTGCACTAACTCCTGATCTTCTTCTTCCTCCGTCATTCGGTGACGATGACTACAGCAGCGAGAATGACAAATTAGTGATCAACTTCGAACAACATCACTTCCGGTTGCATTCACGACAAGTCTGTAACTCACTCTCCAGCTGCGGCAACTCCGCTGCCGCTGCCCGTGGAGGTTGACGCGGTGACAGGAGCGCTTTCTGCACTCTTCGGTTTCCGACCGCGTCTACCATGGGTTTTCTCACCCTGCCCGTCAGCAGACGACATCTTGGCTCTTTTTGACATGAAATGCGCGAAGAGATCGGCTTGTTTCAAAAGGAAATCAAAGCGCTTCGTCCGATCCTTCAGGGTCTGACTTTCGTGTTCGGCCTCCGCATCCAATCTCTCCGCTTTCACTCTCGCGCGCTATTCAAGCATTTCAGCTGTCACTGCACTTTCAACATTTGGCAGGAATATTGCGCAGATTTCCAAATTTCAAACACCAGCATGCGCGAATATGAAATACTAATGGTGTAGCAAAATGATTGTAATATTCGCAAAACACTGTTAAAAACTGGTGATTCAGATTCACGTACTGATTTATGAACAATAATTAAACTGTACAATCAAATAAAAACTTACTTCAGCTTTTCTGTCAACAGCTGCACTTTTAATTTTGAAGTCTTCTGGCGCAAACTCTAGATCGGATGCTTTTTCGGACGATGCTGATCTCCGAGATGATACAGATTTATGGGAAGCAGCATTCGACGCCACGGATTCGGACTGATTTGCTGGAGAACTTCGGCTGCTGCTTTCAGCATCATTGTCTTGGCTGTCCTCGTCCATTTGCACAGGTTTTGGAGGTGATGGGCCTGCTGACGGAGATAAGATTTCGTCGGACTCGGCAGAGCTAAAAGCAAGGAAACTGCTAAATGGAGACCTCTCTGTGATGAATTCTTCGAAGCACAGCAAATGTATCATATATTCACGGGCCGATACCTTGCGCGTGAGCTCATTCTCGGAATCTAAAGTCACTACTAAAAAGCTCTGAAAAGTAAAACGCGATCATTCAGGTTCCAGCTCAGCAGATGGTTAACACTTAACAGTGCAACACCGTTAGCATTGTTTTCACTTAGGGTAACAAGAAATCATGTACCACGAAAAAAATAACGTCTTAAATTAGCCAGTACAGTGGTCAAAAGCAGGATACAGTTGCAAATCCACAAAGTTTTTAGAAAATTGCAAAAGAAGTGAAGACTTAGTGAAGTCTGACAAACTTACGATATGCAAGAAAGTTCGCGTACATAGTCACATTGTCATAGTGTCGTTGTTCGGCACGCCACCGCCCAAGGCTACCGAGCCAAAAAATCTCTCATGCGCAGCGCAACATTCGTCATGCAGTGGCACTGACGACGCGCTCGACTTCTTTTTATTCCTCTCGGCGTGTGCGATCGCACGGCGGAAATAGGTATCATGATTATTGCTGGGATCCTGGTGCTCTTGAGACATATCTCACATGCGAACGCGGAATTGAAATATAAGATAAAATAACCTCAAAGCGCAGTCAAGAAGACTAAACTCATTTGAAATAAAATATGAATTTTCTGGCTCCGGTGGTCCGATTCCACACAATTACCACGGAAACGTCTGGATTCTGAACCAGGAAGCGCGATCGATCAATGCTCAATATCGAAATATTTTAAACTGGAAACTTGCTCGCTCCAGTATCAACAGACTCGGCATTCCGTAATATCCTGTTCAATATCTGCAGATTTAGGCTGCAAACTTTTTTCGTTACACGGTACACCTGTTTTTTCTCAACAATACCATTCCCCGACTGCAACAAGGAGCCAGCCCCCCGCAGCTGGACAGTAGGCGAGATTTTTTACTGCATTGGACGAAAAGTGATTTACGAGGGCCATTCAATATATTCGTAGCATTGCCGCGCCATCCCTTTCTGCATTATTTTTTCTTTTTATTTTTCTCAAAATACATTCCTTTAGACTTAATGCAACGCACACATCTATCTTTCCATTCCTCGTACATGCTAGGAAAGAAATTACTAGGTAATTTAGAGATGACACTGTCGATAACCTTTTCTAGTTCTTCATCATTTCTGAACTTTTTACCACGCAACAATTTCTTCATTGTTGGAAATATTTTAAAATCGCAAGGGGCCAAATCAGGGGAATACGGAGGGTGCGGGAGGATTTCCATTCCAGCAGCGGAGATAAAATTAGAAGTTACACGGGAAGTATGCGGTCTTGCGTTATCATGGTGCCATAAGACGTTCATCAAGCGCCTTCGAGGCCTCTTTTCTTCGATTTCATCAACGAAAGGTTGGAGGACATTTGAACAGTACCAATCAGAATTTAACGTAGTTCCGCGACGTAGAGCTTGTCTGAGGAAAACGCCTTTCTTGTTGGCAACAGAAGCGTACATTACCTTGCGTACGCTCCGAGAACGCTTCACGCAGGTCGGTGTCTGCTCACTTTCAGAAATCCACACTTAATTCTGTTGCTTCGTCAGTGGGTCGTAGTATGAGAACCAGGATTCATCCTCAGTATACACTTCATATTTGCTGTCCTCCGATAATTTCTCTAGGATCTTCCGGGCCAATTTCACGCGAGTCTTCATCTGGTCCTTAGTTAGCAAATGGGGAACCCAACGCTGACATAGCTTGCGCACACGCAGATGTTCGCGGATAATCGTCCAAACCACACCTTCAGAAATCTTCACTGATTCAGCTATCTCTTTGACTGTAACATGAGGATCGGTCTTGATCATGGCATCCACTGCATCGATATTTTTCGCAGTAGTCACAGATTTCGGGCGTCCAATTCGAGCATCGTCATCGAGGTCCAAATGTCCGGTGGTGAATCGACGAAACCACTTGGTAACCGTAGGGTATGACGGTGGTGCATCAGGAAAATGTTCACACAATTCAGCATGAGCAACAACAGCAGTCTTATTTTCCAAAAATTTTTCATAGATAAGGGCGCGATAATCGCGCTTGCTTAAGTTAGCCATCTTTAATGACTGTTCAAGTAAATAAGCACACCCAGCCGTGTACAGATGCATGCCAACCGCCAACCCTAGGCGGTATCAGCCCGGCCATTGCCCTATGATCTAGTTATGAATGATACAGTTTTTAAAAAAATAGATCATAATTCTGAAAATTATTTTCAACCACAGTGCTACGAATATATTGAATGGCCCTCGTAATATGCGACTGGCAGCAAAATAAAACTATTAAACAATACTTTGCAAGTTATGACTATTCTGTAGAATTATTACGAGTATAATTTGTATAGTTTTGTGCAATGTTATATTTATACTCGTACTGTAAGTTTGTTTTAGTTTTGCAAGCGAGTCACTGGTCACCGTGGGTAGACGATAAGAACGGGTAAAAACAATATGTACTGCACATATAATAACATAAACTGCCATAATTGTTATGTATTGCTTACTGCTACTACAATGTACTTTCAATTTCTGCATCTATCGATTTATAAACAGATCATTTAATTTCGCAAATTCGACACAGATTTATACAGACTTTGCATGTTCTAAACTGTACAACGAAAAGCTCTAGCATTAATTAATGCTAGAGCTTTATCTACACTTTTATCTGGCTTACAAGCCAGATAAAAGTCATGATTACCAAATACAAACTACTCCCTAATTAAACTACATTTTACTTATACAACCAAAACTAAATTTCTCATTTTCGGTTTATCTGGAATATTCGGGTTTCGTGAGGGAAAAAATCTTTTTGCGTTGAGTTGAACATCCAAGGGTGCAACTATACATCAGATACACATTGATCCTTGATCCGGATATCTATCCCGGTTACTAGCATTCTAGCAGCTAATCTTCTTCGGATGGTACAAATATATCGTTTTCTTCCAGGAACGCTGCCGAGTACTGACTAAGCAGGGATCCCAAGGTGATACCACCGGTTGCCACGATCGTTGCCAATATCACCCGTAAGAATGTCGATGGAGCCGGATGATCGGGAACATGCTCCAATGTAGATGAGTATCTCTTTGCAACGACTTCCGGGGGATAGATGGTTCTTGTCTCCAGAATTACCCTGCGGTAGCTTTTCCTTGTACAGTCGCGCGATGCTCCCTTAAGGTGGAATGATAAAAAATGCCGAAGAGATCTTTGGAAGATCAGTGACATTTCCGGTCAAAGCAATTTTACGTTAACGTTCCAATTCTTCCAATTATTATTTTTTCACGGCTCTTGATCAGTGTTGTGATTTTGATGTCAGTGGTGTAGCATGACGATCAATCCAAACAACATTAACCGCCGGGCAACTGTTAACTGAAACGCTTAAAATAATATAAACAAAGTTGCTTTCGTTGATAACAATAATAATATTGTGCAGAATTTTATAAACGCCTGGAAACCTGCAAATAAACAATCCGTATTGTGTACAAATCTTCGGGATGGTACGGCCGTAGCGCAGAATCGAAGTGCTGTCTGCTCTTTACTCGCTGCACAAATCCACGCTGCAAAATCAATAAGTCGATCAAATGCGCCTTGAGAGGAAATCGCCGGAAAGCATTTTCGTTGCCGGTTCAACATTTAAGCAGCGGAAGTTGTGGTCTTAAAATGTAATGCTGGAGTGCCTGCAAAGTAAAATTCTACCGCACACAAACTACCTATATAGATATAGATATAGATTATGCTGTTAAACCTGTACGATACGTACTGTATTGTACATACGACTTTACACTGCGGTAAACTGTCCAAGTAAGATTTGCGCGCACCCAGTTTTGTGCAAACTTGCGCATTCTGTTTTTCATGGCCACAAGATCTGCATTTTGTTAAGTCCAGTACACTTCTGCCTTCACTTATTTATGTCTACTGGAATTCATTGTTCCGACCTACAAAAATACCGACAAGCCACAAAAGCTTGCAAAATACGATGATCTTAACAATATATCCAGACCAACAAAATTATATTAATAAGACTTAAATTAATATGATAATGCTACATAGTTTTATAATAGATTTAAGTAAGGTATGCTCATATGGCATTGTGCTGCTGCGATATATGTGCCCGAGTACCGTTATATGCTCCTGTGGGTGACCTTTAGAGCATTCATTCCAAGTGCTGTAATTAAATACTGTTAATACAATAAGCACAATTTTTTTAGCGATTTTAACCGAAAATAAGACGAATTACTGAATTAAGAAGATAATCGATTTAAGATTAGTTATGCATTGATGCTACTGCGATTAAGTACAAGTATGAAGTAGGTATACACAATCAAACATTATAACCCAGAAATCTGTCGTTCAGTAAGTGCAGAGATGATGTGGCGTAAAACTCGGTCTCATTAGTTTTCAATTAAAAACACACAATCCAGTAATTCTCATTAAAACTTATTATTTTAAAACTCATTAATTTTCATTTAAAAACACAAAACTGACTGTATACGTAGGTAAGCGATGCACTTCACTTTGTACTACTTACTTCACTTTGTAAATATAATTAATATAAAACGTGCATTAATTTTGGAGACCAGCACAGATGCCTATTCTGTAATATGTACCGGCAAAGAGGGTTAGCCTAATCCGAAATTTTATTAAGCATACATAAACTTGTGGACAAACAGGCCTTTCAGATGGCTGGTTTGTGTAACTATCGATAAAACTCGTCGGCAGTGTTGACTCTGCACACGTCATGTAGTGTGAAATAAACAAATGGCCAGGCAATCGCAACGCATTATTCACACAAATTTACTGCAGCGGTCAAATGATACGGATTTTGCAACATACATAATTATCGTGTCGACCAAATGCTGTGCTGAACTGGCATACGGAAAAACTATCGAGCAAATTTTTTATAGGTAAACAACAAAACATTGCATAAACGGTCAACGACGCATATATTTTGCTTTTTCGAAAAAAGGACGGATCGCAAATGCTGGACAGAAAAAAGTAAGTCACATCAATTCACTGAACCATGAGTTCATAAATATAAACATAAGGTCAAATATGCAACGATCGATTGCGTAAAAAGTGAGCATTACAAAGAAAGAGCGGCACAAATTTTTGCAATCAGCTAATATAAACCAATTTGGCGTAGGTTTTCCCGACGAATTTCATCGCGTACGTAGGAGAAGATTTGGTGTGTGTGCTGAGTATCAATAACACTGGTCCAGTGATGATACAGGCTTTTACTGCGATCTTTCCGGCATCGATCGAAGATGCCCAACAAAAAATCCTTTACTTGCTTAATATCGCGCGGATTACCCAGGAATTCCGGTAAAAAATCGGAGATCAAACAGCGCTGATATTTCTCCTCCAACAGATCGGTCTTATTCAGAAACAGTATTATAGCCACCTCCACAAAGACCAGATTGTTGACGATGGTTTCGAATATCGCACACGCTTCCATTATTCTGCTGGTCTGCCGATCTTCAAGTAGTACTTGGTCGTATTCATTGGCAGCGGCCAGAAAGAGGATAGCATTAACCGATTCAAAGCACTGGAACCATTTCTGACGCTGCGAACGTTGTCCACCTGCGGACGACAACAAACAACATATTTTGTCATAAATATTCGGTGGCACTGCACTTCAAAGTGGTAATAACAATCATGCGTATGGAACACTTCAAAGAAAGTACCGAGGTGTGACATTCATTCATATTAAACCTGAGTGTAAATGATTTTTTTACCGACGTCAACGAAGAGGAACGGAACATTCTGTATGGCTACTGTGTACTCGGTGATGCCTTTGGTCGCTTTGCGAGCGTGTAAAATATCCAGATTCGTGGGTTTATAGTCCTGCAGAAATAATTGCTTACAAGCACGAAGTAAACATTTGACAAATATTTACAATATTTGTATACAATGAATCTGCAAGTTGGAGAAAAAAATAACACAAAATTAGTGCAGTAAAAATTGTTCGTTGTTGGTGCTTCAAGTAAACAATATATGCCAACAGGAAGAAAGTTTATTACCGTATCCAGTCAGTAACGATTAGCACCGGTTTGCTGACCATCCAGAAAATTTTTTCACGAAATGCAGTTTCACGATACCAAACAAGCATTTACACTGACATATTATGCGACCACAATTAGGGTCATTTTGGCTAGAAATTATTATTAAAAAGTAAATTAGACAAATCAGTTTTTATATACGCATATTATGTATTATGATAGAAATATTTATGCTCTCGAGCAAGAATTGTTATTTAACCACTTTCTCCGCATCAGCAAATTCTTCTTAAAAAATAAGTATTAACTAGACTAAGCACAAAATTTAGGACGTACACGTAATCCGATCCTGGGCAGCTCCACCAGGAAGTACTTAATGGAATCTCCCAGCTGATATTCCCGGCGCCGTTCAAACGCTAATTTCACCGCGGAATCTGCCCATAGCGCGCATATGGCCGGAACAAAATTCTGGCAGAAATTATTCGGTTCCACCGCCAACTGGACATCACAGTTGAAAACCCTCTTAGACGGTGCCTCATTCAGCGGATCCTTCCAGGGAATACCCAGTTTCCGGCGGGCATCCAACAGCACTTTCATGCCCATAATAACGTTCTGTCGAATAGTCAGGATAAACTCCTGTATCGCATAATCACTGAAACTGTCTCCATGCATAATACGAATCTGCTTGAGAAAAGTGGATTTGCCGGATTCACCGGCGCCCAATAAGAGAATTTTCATCTGCCGGCGTAGTTGGCGTTTCTGTTTGTGAAGTTCTTTATCAATAATACGACTCTGACGCTGTTTGGTGTCTTCCAGATTCAGGCAAGATAACAAAAAATCACACGGCATTTTTGGAGAGATTTTGTCGCAAAAAAAGCGATCGGATTTCAGTCAGTGAATACAACAGATTTAATAAGGATAAGTCCACGTGTAAATAGTTAATCCACTTTGTTTACCATTGCAGCATGGCCGTGAAATACTTTAGTACAATCCTTGGCATTCCCACATTTTTGGCTGCACGATGAAGCCGGTGGACGGATTTAACTGTCAACGGAATATAAGGACAACCATCGTTATATTATGCAAATAATCCGAGCAGCACATCAATCCGTCCATATAAAATTATCCGAACCGATATTGTTGAAATAAAGTCAACTGAGGTTTTCGTTTGCCTGAAAATACAATCGTACAACGAGTGTAACTAGCGAAGTGCGAGAGATTACGCATGTGTACACAGAAAACGTCTGCACTCGGGGAAAAATTAAACAAGTGCCATGTTGTCGGTCGGAGGTGTGTAGAATGTCATAACATCTGTCCGGTGAAGATTTTTAAGATATGTAATAAAATGAAGTGCCGAATGTCAATTGCTATACGCAGTCACGTACTGGACATCGTGGGAGGAAGAAAAAGCAAATACACCAAAATGTGTAAACCAACCGGTTTCAAGAGGCTGCCAGATTATGCAGATGTGTCGTACATATTCAACAGCTAGAGCGCAGCACAATACTTACAGTACTCGTATTGTACATACGGGTGCGATGATAATGCAGATCGTACAAGTTATTAAGTTATTTAACTTACCTGTTGGTTGATTGCGAAAAATACACCAATCAGTTTCAAATTTCCCGTTGATCACAGAAAATGGCATTCAACCTGCTCCACAATCCACATATTCGATGCAATGATACACACTAGATAATTAGAGGTGGCCGAAGACCACCAACCTCACATCTTCCAGGAAAGTCCACATACGTTAAGATTTGCTGAAGGAAAAAGCACGCACACTGGCTGTGACAGTTTTAACAAAATAATACGAGAACGTATGCTGAACAATGGAAGCGCGCTTCAGTGACACTCCCATCGCCGGTTTTGCAGTCTTGTACAGTACTGCAGGTTGTACGTCTGATTTGTTAAAAATATGACTCGTTAAGGTTTGCGTAATGCGATGTTTACAATCTTGTAATTATGAATACCGCATTGTATTACAAACGCATCTAAAATCTATCATTCTGTAAATTGACCGATACATCATCTACGCACTATATAGAGCCACAGCACTGCAATGGGATGACTAAGTCGTAGTGTCTTGCACTATGGACTCCTGCATTGTTGAGTAGAGTGTCAATTTCTAAGAAATCTGACCGTGTAGAAACAACCGGATATAATTGTATGAGCTTGTATCATGACGATTAGAATAATTAGATAACAATAAGACCTTGATGTACGAAAACATAAACCGTCGAACAGTAAAACTGCAGTGCTCGCAGTCGTGTTCTGGCTTAAATTATTCTGTGTTTACTGTAGCCGCGCGATAAGTTTGCACCACAGAGTCTGGTATACGGAAATCAACACACACGCTGCAGCACGCCCGGATCTAAAAGTGGTGCAAACTTATCGCGCGGCTACAGTACATAATTACCGCTGCGTATGACTGACGCAGACTGTGTGCCTGCTACCGCATATCTTTTACTTAACTTTTTGAAAGTTTCAGTGGGACAAGAATCTATGGCTATTGAGCGGCAAAGGGCAAACAAATAACTTGTGACTGATTTCGAAATGTTAAAATAGGAGTACAGGGCGAATGTTGTGCACAATTACTTACTATCCGATTTTGACCTTTCTGTAGTCGATAGAATTACAGAAAGGTCGCGATGCCGGGGCGAACACAAACCAACTGCACATTCTTCAAATACAAGCAACTGGAGATTCAGTAATTGGTTTCCATAAGCGTTTCGTAAATTTTACAACTTATTAGGCAGGGTTCGATAGGCCGAGTGTGTCTATTATATTTTAACCCGTAACGAAGTAAATTTCGGTCACGTAGACTTCAAATGCTAAAAATCACAGCTTCCAGAAATCATGCATCAATCAATACAAGCTTTTCGTATGCAGTATTACTGTACGTTAAGTCCCGGTGGTTTCTAAGTATTTTTATAACTGTAATTGTTATTCCGTATCTTCCTTCAATGCCCCAGGGTTTTTGTCCATTTGAATTCGGTTTGCTCGACGGTCTGTGTCCAGGATCCGGTAGTCATTATGGGTGAGTACGTGATCATAGTGACTGTAACCGGGAAATCGGCTCTGGATGTCGTATATGAGCTCTGGGTGGCGATGACACGGGCAGTGTTCTTCATTGTGGGCGCTAACCCAATGAGACCGCCGAGATCGTCATTTCCGGTCAAGTGAGCTAAAGAAAAATTCAAAGGTCACGTTGCGATAATTTCACGCTAAGCAATTACGTACGTACCGTTCGTCGTCTACTTCGTAGTGAATGATACGATGCCGTAGTAAAGTTAATATTATAGCGACAAAAATATTCGAGACAATTTTTTTGTCCACAACGATATCAATGTTATTAAGTACGTCCTTTACAAAACATAATTTTGTGAGTGAGATTCAATTTTAATCAGCTTACGGTCATCGGTTGCTGTGTAGTATGTAGTGGTCGTCTGTGTCACCACCCGGGTGCGGACACTGGACACACCGCTTTCGGGATCGTTCGACGAATCAATCGTAGAGAACAATCGTACGGTAAAAGCATTTATTTTATTTTTCCGCGTGGCGGACGGCGCAATGCTGATGGCTTTATTAACAATTTTATCCAGTATGGAGTTGTCCACTTGCATATTGACTTGATCACTTCCGCCGGTCTTGGGTAAAGCTTGCAGGGATTGCGTGGCTGTGGCGCTCACCACCGCCGGCGTGTTGTTCACGGATGGAACCGGGTTCGATTGCATTATGGGAGCCGGTGTATTCTGTACTGGCAGCCTTTTGGTTGGTTTGGGCAGATTGAAATCATCGGGATTATCATCGTCATCATCCTGGGCAGCGGTGAAGGATGCTGAATCACACAATGCCGAGGGTTACTATTCATTCATGGAATTTAATTTTGCAAGCAATTTAATATCTGTGTATATCTATATAAGCATTTGGTGATGCCAAAAAAGTATTCTAAAGCATTACTCTGAAATGATACTGCAACCAGCGCGGTTCTTCTATCTTCTTTAATTTCAGTATACGTAACTGCAATAGGCCAGTTAATTAAGCTAGCATGTTGGCTTACTTTATTTTGTACGAGTATTATAATGTTTTTGTACTTGATTTACTTGTCGTAGTTTTAGAAACGATATACAAATAACGCGGTCTATGGACAAAAGCTCGAAAATTTAGTCGATTTCCAGGCCCGATTTCTTTTGCCACTCCGCTTTTCGCATTGACATGATTTTAATGTGATTAAGTTGCACTGTTACTGTATTCACAACGCGCATGCTTAATTATATTCGGGTATTTTAAAATAAAAAAGGTGACCCAATAATGCGAAAACGCTATAGACGATAACTTCATAAACGTTAATGGTTTTACATTATTGTTTAGAGTTTCGGCATTTCCATATCAAGAAATCCAGAACTGAACTCAAACATACGCAGTAACGCTAAACGATCGGTCGGCAATTGAATGTTAGTGTAAAACTTGAACTCAACGTGTTAGCTGTTTGGTACTCACCGTACATTAAGGCTGTAATACTGATAAGCCAAAAAACGGGCTTCTGTTGCCTGTACATGGTTTAGGGATTTGGAAGAATAATTTCCGGAACAGTTTCCTCTTACGGCACGGAATAAAACTAATGCCGAATCATCAATTATCAAGTGTTTCCAACCAGAAACACCTTTGTGCCCAAGCTGCGCTAATTTTCTGAATTGAGAAGCTGTTTTTCCGCGTTGGTTGCTTTGGAATTTGTTACTGTTATTCTTTTCAGCCTGCGGCTTCCAGAAGAACAGAATTATATTGCAAGTGTAATGGAGGTATTAAGCTCTTACCCCATATTAATGTATTGTATGTACTATGTACAAGTACCAATGTCATGTATATCTATATTGTAGTGCAAGGGTATAGAGACATCGAGTCGTGGATTGAAAACTGACGGTAGTACAAACTGCAATTATTATTTATATTCTGCGCAAAAATCTAATTACGCAATTTATTCCCTTAAGGTAAAAGTAGTTTAATTTTGTCCGCAGGTATTTGTTAACTTACCTTTCCTAATGGCATCTCAAGTCCACGTGCAATGCGGCAGGCGGTGAATTTTCCAAATGTTCTGATTGAGCTTTAAGCTATTGTATAGCACACATGAGGATACACACACATTTATTTTAAAGGCTCACTCACTACACTAGCAGACAAAATAGGAGTTATAACAAATTTACACACTGTTAGCAAAAATATATCATTACATCCACTAATACCCCAACACCCAGACGCCTGACCGATTTCAACCAATTTTCATAAACCGTAACCAGTCTCTACGAAAATACACAGGCACTGCATGTGCGAAATGGGTTCAACAAAGTCTTCCGGAGCGTGATAAATGGGAACCGATTGAAGATATCAAGTACCGTTGATCTGGTATCAGTGTGATCGAGCAGTCGCTTGACCGACTTCAGCCAAAATTCATCAACGGTAACATCTTTGTATCCAGTTTCTACTAAGATGCCACTCAATTTGTGAAGAACATCCAACATTTCCACAGCATTTCCCATATCTGGAATACAAACTCATGACGGTCCATCATTCCAAAATAAATATATGAAAAATAAAAGTTAATGTCGACATATTGACTAGACTAATGGTACGATCAGCTTAAATAGCTAACAAAATAGGAGCAAATGAAATGGTGCGCCGAAAGAACGCAAGCAAGGTAACAATTACCTCGTCCACGAATCACCTCTTGGTTGTTAACGAAATCATTCAACCTGGCCATGAGGTTTTTTAGATTTCCGGCATCCCGATCGCCGAACCCGGCTTGAATACTGTCAACCGATGTTTTCAGCTTCAAGAGTGGAATGGACGCACAGTCGTCGAACACCGGTGGCATCCAGTGGCCGCTCGAGTAATGACGTCGGGCTGTTCCCTGCATGCTGTCTGGACAGTTTTGCTCGTTATCGGCGCCGGCTCCCGTCATAGTCCACTCATTTCTCCCGTAGCGCTCCGGTTGGCAGACTGTGTCATTGGCGTCCAGAACTCTGATGCGAACAGTCTGCTCCTTACTGCCAGCCCCATTCGAGGCTACGCAAGTAAAGTCAGAGCTTTCGGAGATACCCGAGACCACCAAATGTTGACCCCGGCTGGGCGTATCCGGTTGGATATTGTACGCTTTGTACGAATGATCACCCATGATACTGCAAACATGCCTGTATGTAAATGTGGTAAACGTACACGAGTTAAAGCCATCTGAATTCATATCCGGATGTCATCCAAAATGACCATACAACTGGCATTTTGGCAATTTACTCAAACAATTTTCTTGTTATAAAACGGTTTTTCCAGCTCCATGCCTTACGTGACATCTTCGCCTTTCCTAAACCATTTGAAATCTGCTTTCTGGACAGTCATACATGTTACAGCGGCAATGCTTCCTTTTAACACAAATGGGGAAGCCGGATAAATCTCCATTTCCGGTGCCCGGAGCACCTCGACATAGATTGATTGCTTCACCGTCACTCCAAAATCTTCCACTTCACACGAGTACACACCCTGATGCACCCTTCGTACATTCTCAATATTCAGCTGCACACTGGCTTGTCCCTTCGCCGCGAGCGGAATTCTGGTCAACCACATATCTCGCAATCGAGATGGATCAAAACAATGTAATCTTTCCGCCAAGTAACCGTCATCCATGGACTGCCTTCAACTAGGCATACAATGGCCAGTTCCGATTTTTTCCGGTGTAGGAAGATGCGAATAAACCGATAAATTAATATCTCTGACGCTGAGAAATCTTGTTATAGTAAAGTTACTTAGATGATATGCTCCCAGGAATCCAGCACTGGTGCGTGTAAAGTATTTCAATTGCTGCCGCAAATTGTTCTCCACAAGCGAATTGGGTGACTGACAGCGGAACAACAGTGTGGTGTCGTTGAAGACACTCTGGCGCCGGCAGTTATCCAGTCCAGGAACCAAATTCCGTAGCACATTGATGGCATTCGGAACCGATACAGCGGATACAGCCGTGGTTTCTTTGAAGGTAAAATTCAACAGCAGTTGTCGCCCACCTAAATCTTTGCACGTCCGTCCATCACGCTCTAACTGGAACCCGTACCGGCATTCGCAATAACGGTTCATGCCTCTGTGGCTACAATGATGACTGCAGTTGGGTTTCTTGCATTTTTCGTCGACATCTGTCTTCTTTTCACAGAGCGCCCCAGTATACCCCGGCGGACAAACACACTCAACTCTGTCTGTTCCAAAGTAGTACCTGCAAGGAAACATGCCCTGGTTAGACAACCGTTTTACTACTCTGTGCCTCAAAAAATATAGTTTCGAAATTGCTCTAATATTTATTGCTTTTTCTTCTACTCACTAAAGCCTACACATTTTTACGATCATATCTACTAATCCAATCCCTCTCTAATATCTGTTACAAGTGATACAGGTAACCTCGCAAATTCTTACTTGCATGTTCCATTATTAAGGCAGGGATTTTCCGAGAGACCGCACCTTGGTCCATATTCACAATGGGGACAAAAAATCCTTCGAAGCATTCACAATAGAAGCTTTCGAAATCACTGGCGGTTTTACACAGTCCTGCAAAACTGCATTCAAAAGGATGGCATGAATTCCTGTGAACCACCAGGCTGTTAGAAGGGTAACTGATGTAAGTGACGTTGAAGCCAAAAATATCCAACAAAAATTGGCGCACACGTGGGAAAGGATAATTTCGGGCGAAATCTTCTCGGCGTATTGTCATCCGCAGAACGACATATGGCTTTGTTATTGTCAAACTGCAAACAACTAACATATAGTTCGGGCACCGATTTCGGATATAAGCTGCTAAAAAAATCAGCGAGAAAAACTAAAGCGAATAATCTGCTAAATTTCACCACATGGCATCATGCTGCTACACCAGACCTACTTATCAGGATAGTCCTCAAACGTAAACACATGCGCGTCCTCATTTCTTGTCTCTCCGTTAATATCGTAATAGTCGTACGCCGAAACCCTCAATGATACCGGATCTTTAAGGTAGATTTCGTTGAAGTAGAGCACTGTTTGGCGATTTGCGCCCGCTTCGATGATCCATTCGCACTGGATGGGTATTGGGAACGCATGCGGATAATTCGGCGACGAAACCACACCGCGCTCTTGTGTAAGTATAGTCCGACAAGACTGAGGTGATCGGGTGGATGTGGCTGCTATGGCACGAGGGACAGGATTCGTACGACTGGTACATGTTCGACCATCCGGTCCCAATATCCCATCGGAGAGGCAACCACAACTCGCTATCATAGTCTGGGGTCCACATTGCACATTTCTTGGCAGTGCAATTTTTCACAGTCCGGTAAAACATTGACTTTCCACGTGTCGCAGTGATCACCCGTGAAATTTTCTTTACAGTTGCATATCACATGATCGGGTGCGCGGTATCTGGAGCAAAATTCATAAGACTGACGAATGAACTGCTACCGCAAAACTTGCTCAAGAAATTTTAAAAGCTAGCACTAACATTTACGATATGAAGTTTAAAATGAAGGAACGACATGAATTTTAAAATTAGATGCGTACCGACATGATCCTCGATTCCCACATGGGGAATGCAACTGAAAACCAGACCGGTCCGGCTCGGAACACAGCGGTCCGTACTGACACTTCGCACCTTTGGATCCCTCGTTACAACTGCAGACTGTCGACGTGAACGCTGAACTGACCAGGCATCTTCCCAGATGCGAACATGAACGATATGAACACACGCTTTCTGGGACTTGTGCGGATAAGGACGGTTTTTCGTTAATCGGTGTTACAAGATAGGTAAGGTTCAACCCATGCAGATCAACAAATCCCGTAAACCGTGAAGTATCTTTCAGAGTGAGTTTAATCACCATAACTGGCTTAATAGTTTCAATCCTACAAAAAAGCAGCATTATCATGGGGTCGTTAACGAGAATCTCCGAGACTTACACAGATAATTTTGGAAAATTATCCAAATTAATATCGACCCAATCTTTCTCTACATGGGCGTTTGGAGTCTCCGCTTCAATGTCGGCTTCAGGCAATAAATTAAGAGAAGCAGATAACGCCCATGAGAACTCGTCATAAACGGCCACCGAAATGCTGTCTGGTGTTCGGACATACACTTCCGTTAATAATAAACTGATGCGGTTTCTGGACCGCCTATAATCCGCCAAATCAGGTAATTAAACCGGCGAGATGCGGAACATCGGGGAAATTGGGTGTGGTCAATGCCTTGGGGCGCCACTAAGAGGCCTCCACAAGGCTCTGCTGGAAGGGTTCCGCCACTGTCTGCATGAATGGCAGGATTTTTTGTGCATTTCCCCGGAATAACATTTGCAGTAGCACCAATCTGTAACAAAAAAGCCAAATCTGTTACGCAAAAAGCCACAACACCGCAGCATCTCATCGAAATTACTCCCTCCCTGGGATAATACCCACACACACAGGGACAGCTCTCAACTCACAAAGATAAGGAATAAATATATCCGGGTTAATCAGTAAAATGCATTTATCCAGCTTCTTATATTTTCTTTATAAAAACATTGTTGCATCGCTTCAGAATAGATCAAAAAACACATACCCCCGCCATTACTAACCTTCGAAGCCAAGACATAACTAACTTTTCATTACCTGATTCGCAGTCATCCATGTTGCCACCTTTCCCACAATTAGCACTAACGCATTCAGCCTGAAAAGGAAAATGGGAGAACCATGCCCACATATTGTGCACCATCGACATGGCCACACGATCCAACAGACGATCTTGGGAAAAATCCTGTCATCTTACCGGCTTCCCTGCCGTGCTTCATCCGTCTTCGTTTTATCGTCCGCATTGTTAGTAATAGCAAAGTTAGTAACATTCTGGAAGAACAATGCATCGTCAGAGAATTCACTTTCACTCAACTCAGCCAACTTCATACCTGCCAGGTAGCGAGCGCCATGTTTCCGCAAGTTACTGTGCGCCGCCAGCAGGAGCCGGCTGCAGAACCAAACCACCCACAACACGATCCGGGCGAACATTTAACCACTCTTCATCTCTGTAAAAGATTGATAGCAAGACTTTACCACATACGCGCTACCGCAGAAAAAGCTACTCAGTGAGTACTCACACGTATTCCTCTAACGCTTGTCGGACATGTGCCCGGTTCCCTTCCACAGTGTGCGCACTCACAGTTAGCTCCAGCGGAGTAAAGTCCAAGTGCGGATGCACTTGGACGTCAACGAACGGAAGTTCATCATGAACCGCCCCGATCAGCTCATTCTGGATCCGAACCCGCTCATCATTATCCAGCCACAACTCCAAAGCTTCAGGCTGGCCTGATAGTCGCACCTTTAGAATCATATATGCGGGAAAGGGCGCCAGCTCAAGACTGCACCCGAACTGCTTACTTAGAATAATACGAAACTTCAGCTGGTCCGGATCTGGCCCATGCCAGCCATTGGCATCTGGTGCGTGCTCAGGCGGATGATACGGCGAATCGTCCGTTAGGCGATCAATGAATCGATCCCATCGTGCTCCTCTGAAAAATGTAATTACGAGCATGGTTAGAAACGGTGAATGACGATTATTAGGTTCCTTTGTTCACTGTTGATCTTATGTGACTGTCTAAACATGAACTAAACGCTTACACTACGGCGTCAACTCTGGCCTTCACGGCCGCCGCAAAGTTTCCAGCCGCTGGAACCGATACATCAATCCCCCGGCTAACACCGTGAAGAGAGAAACGGACCGTGGCCAAATTGGTCTCCACTGGCAAGACCATTGCTATTACTTCGCGCAAATTATCATGGATGACGTCTCTTGTATCTTTGTCCGCTTGCAGAGTATGAGCTTCTCCTTCCGCTAAAAAAATCCAATAATGAAATCCAGTTTTACCCATGTCGTTTGAATTTTCGTTGTAGATTGCGATCCTAGCCCTTAATAATCTAGCTGCCGATCTTTGCAATTACACAAGCCAAGCAGTAAATTACTAACAACAAGCGATTTGACTGCGAAACTTCATATACGAACGAGTCACGAGAAACTCAAGAACCGCAGTAACTCAGCGAACTTCGTTTACGGCTCGATCCTATAATGCATTGATACTTGATATAATCCACTCGAAGTTCGCCCAGAGACTTACTCAGGCGAATCTGGAACGACAATGTCCCCATTCTTTCGCGATAATTCGAAGGATCGAATACGAACAAATAATGAAGCTGTGAATCCTCAGTTTCAGAGTCGTAAATTTGTAAAATCACAGCTAAGACAAAGTGAAGACAGCATTGCATTGCACTGCATTGTGATTACTGACAATTCCCATCTGACTCGGACAATTCCCATCTTTCCAATTCTTTCTAAGTGACTGCGAGCCCAGGGTGGTAGCACGTTGCGTTAGCCGTTAGGGGTACGTAGCGTCAGTCACAGACTGATCACGTCTTTATCTTTTCGATTCATTCGCGTGGTTCCTAACCGTTTCTAACTTTCTTGGCTGTTTTTCTTCACAGTTCTTCTGATTTTCCCTTTGATTGGCATCGATGTCATGATTTATTCCGGGCTGCAAAGTGCCGTTGTGACCGGGCCATTTAAATTTGTCCTATTGATCTTATAGCTTCGTCGAAAACTTGTGAGCGATAACAAACTGTCATCAATCAGTCTGCTTTCATCTGGCGGATTCTAACGTTGCTTTCAGTTGTTGACTCCATCTTCCCTGACTTCCGGACGAAGTCAGGGCTCCCGTTTCGATTATGGCTGGCGAACCAGGAAGGCGTAAAAGACACCATTCAGCTACTAGCAGTGATGATATTATTTTCGACGCAGCTTCACTAAAAAAGCCTGCACATGCCTTCTCACCCACGTCGAAGTCGTCACGCATAAACTCGAAATCTGGATCTGGTTACGGTCGACAGAAGTTATCACGCACGCTGTTCGATCTGGAAGAAGACTTAGCCATTATCAAATTTGTGGCCACCAATGATAATGTGGGTGGAGAGAAACATACCGGCGTGAATTTTGCTCGCGAGTTGTGTAGGAAGTATCCAAAGGTATGTTTAGAAAGACTTCTACCGTCAAAATTTTGACGTTCGAACGGCCCTGTGCATGATAAATCAGTGAATTTATCAGTTAATATTGGATATTATTATTGGTATTTAAAACCGTATTGTTATGAATTTTGTTAATTATTTTTGTCCATAACAAATAAATTAAGCCACCATAACGACTAAAGAGTACGAGTATTGTAGTGAACTTATAATAGAGACGAACCTGGTACTAATAGGAGTTAAATTAGTAAATTTGCAAAGCGAACACTGTTATTGGGAAATGGCAGTACTAGTACAGCTTAGGACAAAACGGTCGCATACCCAACATCTCCACATTCAGTACGAATGCAGCGCAGGGTACTGTACGACTGAGTTCAAAATATCCGTTTCGTACAAGTGCACTACACCGCTTGCGTACAGAATGCTGGGTATGGGGCTATGCGACCATTTTGTCCTACATTGTAATGTAGCGTTTGTTTCTCTTGCTTTGTACCATACAGTCCTTTAAATACCTTCGGTGCTTTGCAGATTGGAAAACGTCACACACTCACCAGTATCACATCGCGGCTGGTGTTGATAAGAAAGAATATCAATAATTATGACGTGCCGACAGAATATAAATACGCCCTGACCAAAGACGCGGTTTACGAAGTGATGCAGAAGGACAAGAACAAAAGAAATAACAAAGCTGGTATGTAAAAGCATGTCCATACCTTTCCTGGGCACCTTATATTATGGGATTTGATTGGACTTGTACGGGTACTGGGTAGTTTTGACTCGGATCCGTGTACGTTATGTATACATACTGTATCCAGGAAAAATACAACAGAAAAACACTCAACCGACGACATATCGGCGCCCGACAGGAAGTGATGCCGAGGAAACACAGACACTGCGAAAGAAACCGGGTAATGTTTATCCGTGGCTTTGTGAACAGTATTTAATTGATTTATGAGAATGTGTGTGTAGTTTCATTCCGAATGAATTGTTTTGTTTTTTTCACATAACAACGAAATATACTTTTTCAGATGACAGTAAGTCGAAGCGCAGACGCATTTACGAATTTGCCAGCGATAGCGACGATGAAGATACAGGTTACTGATAAATTCCCTTTCCGTTACTCAGAATGCTGTGATCGATGTCGAGTCGAATGTGTGTTGATATCGAATATCTTTGAAGTACTTACTAATTTTGGCGTTGGTTTAGCTACCGTAATCCGTGAGGACGACTGTGCTTCCGAAAACAAAAACCGGCGACCCGATACGGCTGCATCAGTAATCCAAATTTCCCAAGTTTCGGAATCTAGACTCTCCGTGCTTCACAAAACTTTATCCCGTAAGTGGACTGTACAACCGGTGCCGTTAAATCAGTAAAGAAACTATGCTTCTAGCTGGAAACCGTAAAACCTCCGCGGAACAAATACGGGATAAGGTTGATACTCACAAAGCTAGACACAGTCGGCGGAGGTTATCCAGCTCCGAAACGGACAGCACGGGTGAAGCAGCTGCGGGTAAGTGACACTTAATTCGCAATATTCACAAAATTGAGGTAGGGTGTTTGTTGGGTATCATCCAAACGACGAAATTTCTCCCCGGAAACCGTGTACGCCCACCGAAAGGCGGGAGAAACATATAAAATGTACACAATCTGCGCAGTATCAACCCACGAGTATTTTTTTTGTATTCACAGCTCTTGGCTAGAGTAGTGCGTAAACCTCAGCGGATAGATTTGTTCTGATAATTTTAATTCGTCCCACGCAGATTCATCATCAGTGTTTGATCGAAAATCTCCCGAAAATGTGCCGGATGCTGTAGCTGTCAATCGTCAAGCAAATTACTACGTTTCCCGCAACGGCAGGAATAACGTTGTTAGCCGTGCATCATCCGAAGAAATTCCCGAAACTCCTTGTAGAATCAATAACATTGGTATATCTATCCTGATATTCATAAATGGACATCACTATCAGTAATATTTTTAAATATTTTAATTTTTCGAATGTTGCAGAAACAGATCCGGAAGCGCAGACTTTCAGCAGCGTGGAGTCGCAAAGTAATCGGTCTTCTGAGCACCGTTCCCCTTCTTCGTTGGAAATCCCTTTGCAGCCGCCTTCGTTGGAAATTCCGGTGCTTCAGCAGTTTCCGGCCGAAACTGATGCATCACCTGAGCACCGTTCCCCTTCTTCGTTGGAAATTGCGGTGCTTCTGCCGTTCCCGGCCGAAACTGATGCAGGTTGTCGGGCCGTTGAACCTAAGGTTATTCGGCACGACAAGGGATGCCAAACTGCTGCGATCAAAGTGGCACAATCGGATCAAGCCTCACAGGCCACGTATATTTATTTCCTTCAGCCGCAACCAGGCGTTTGCGCGACGAATGTTCCCACCACAGATCGAGCATGTCAAACTGTACAGTCTTACTATTTTATGCGTGAAAACTGCTGCCAGACTATGACACTGATGGATGATGGCTACGTTCAAAAAGTGATCGAACGCGTTGATCGCGGCTCGTCGCCTGTTCGTTTTCCCGAAGACGAGGAAGAAGAATCTTCCGCAATCAGGACGACCGTACTTTATCAAATTTTTTCCGAGCGCGGATTAAATGGTTAGGCAGGCATTGTTGCTCTCACCAAGATTTATTTTATGCCTCATTATGAGTGTTATAGAGAAGTCAGTTATCATGTTTTATGCAGATTGCCCGGATACCAGCACACCAGTTTTCCCGATACGCACGAAAAAGGCAACACTGAAAAGGAATCGATCAGAATATCTAGAACTCTCAGGTATTATTGAAATTTCATAAATCTGGTGATTCTTCGTGAGCTTTTAATCGGCATATAGTTAATATGCATTATGCTAGTATAAACTGATCGATTGGTTCGTCGACGTTTATGTTTTTGGCTTATTAGTTTTGTCTTACTTTAATGAAAAACTGTTAGGATTTTATTTTGCTGAAAAGAGGTATTATTACGATTATTTATGGATTGCCATTATGCTTAGATGGTTTTCAATCGAATGCCGGCGTGATGTCGCACGCATTGCTTTCAGTTGGGAGGTCGCCAATAAATCCGAAACCTTCGGTTGTTGGGGACGTTTTACAACCCAGTCCTGAAGAGCGTAAGGAATCGGAACGGTTTCTCCAGATTTATCGCGGTCATATATTCAAATGCTTTTATAGCTTTTCGTCCTGCTCGTCGTATCCGTTTAACATCGCCTGAACCGGATCCGGAGCTGTATGACCTGCATGTTGATAAACCTCCGTCCGTTGACAATTCACCCAGGATTCAAACTCCAGAAACACCAAACTTTGCGTTCCAGCTTCTTCCGTCCCGGGAGGAGTTTAACAGAGCGCCATTGTCGCCAACGCACGCCCAAATGGAGGTTGATGACGGCATACTTGACGGTGCGGAGGATTTCGAAGTCCAAGTTGATGACGCTTCCGGAAATGACCTTGCAGAGGAAATTCCAATAGTGAATACAACGCCGGATGTCCACATGGAGGTTGACAGCAGACCTGACAGTGTGGAGCCTTTTCACATGCAGGCCGACGACGCTGCAGAAAAGGATGTTGCGGGGCAGGTTTCAGCGGTAAATATATCAAGGGATAGCGACGTTCCAGTGAGAGTTAAAACAAGAAACGAATGTGTGGAAGATGTTGGCGACGATGTGGAGTTTTTCAGTGCGAAGAGCACGCAGTCAACCGGTGCAACGGTATTCGAATCAATACCGGCCACGCAGGAATCGGCTTCATCAGCCAGAACACTGTTCCTGGGAAGTGAATCTTCTACACCGCCTGAAGATGGGCTAGGATCGAATAAACTGGAAGGGGATGCGAGGATGATTGCGCAACTAGCGGAACAGCATGGTGTTACTCCTAAAGAACTGCTCTACGCGGTGATGACCGCTAATGGATCTCTCACCAATGCGGTATGACATTCCTGTGTAGTACAGAAATAATGTCCGGATACTGTTTATACTTTTTGTGCATCTTTTTTTTTCTTGTCCTTACCTTTTAAGCGCCTGCGCAGGTTTACACTATTTAGAATATATTAGATTTTATACATTTAAAACATTTTCCAGATCATGTTTTGCTTTTTCCGCATGTTGTTTACCTGTTGTGTGGCCGTTCTCCGGTATTATTTATTAGCGACCGCAGGAGATTGTTGTTTATTATTCATCGGCTTCATTTGTAGATGGCATGGATTGTCCAAAAGTGCGCTGCGGGATCTTCTGCCGACTCCGTGTCATCGGCTAGTTTCGTGCTGGATCGAGCATTGCTGGAAGACCATGTGGAGAACGTGATGGATGGGCCGATGGGGCGTGCTCGCAGTCCGGAAACACTGAAACGGCGGGCGTCCTTCTTAAACGGCAACCGGGAAACCATCGAAACCGACCTGAGTAAAGAGGGCACAACGATGGTGGATGCATTGAAAGCCTTACATGCATGCCGGCCAGATTTTTCTCCGCAGGATTAATGTTTCTTTTGCGTTCGAGATTCGGGAATGTCCCGAGTAAATGGACAGGTTCATAAAAACTAATCGTTCCTCATTTGCTGTAGTATGTGTATGTTAAATTGTTTACTGGGTAAATGTGGTTGTGAATTCTCTTGAATTTGGTTGTGAATTGCTCACGTGCCTTTTTTGCTTTCTCGGTTATCTGTAGCTGCGTATGCAGTAGCAGCGTATGTTTATGCGAACGTTTTGTTCCTTTGCTGATTTGCTCGCTGGAAACAAGGAGATACAGCAGTTTTGCATTAACTAGCTCTAATTTGCATTTCGCAACTTTCTTCAGATTCAGTTAAGACTTCCGTGATTGACTCCACTAGCGTTATAACTTATACCGATTTTAAAATTTTTATGTTTTCATTGACAAAAAAAAGACAGACTCCATTCTAGCCATTTCGAGTTTGGCGCTCGTACTTAGTTAGCTTTTTGGAAGGAGGGCGGGGCGTAGGGAGCATGATACCGCGCCAGTTGAAAAATGGCCTAAAATTTAGGCAAAAAGTGTAAAAGTGGCTCAAAATACTGAAAATAGTCACTATGCTACAGTTTATATGAAAATTTTGGCGCGCCCGCCCGCGGCAGTTGTATTTTCTCGCGTCACTCGCTAGCTCCAGGCACGCCGGTTCTTTCCTCTCCTCCCTCCGGAAGTGGTGGCGCGGGCTGGATCTCTTAATAATAAGATTGTTGTTGTTTTAATAAATTTATTATACGCTGTTCAGCTAGGGAAACAGAGAAGGCTGGAAATTCGTCGCATTCTATCGACTTATGTCCAGACACAAAATTTCAACCATTCAAATAACCGATGTTCTCCCAATTCTCTTTGCGGCTAATGATCTTTTTCGTTAGGCTGACTGCTGGCTGGTAACAGCAGCTGATCGTTAGAGATATCTGTCGAACGATGTAAGTGCTTATGTGGAACCATGTCATTTGTCATTCCTTTTATCGACAGTCCACGCGCTTTTAGCATCGAAGTTCGAACGGATAAGGTCACATTAAGGTGCATAATAAAACTGCATATATGCAGTAAAAGTCTTCGAAATCATGGTCGGCTTTGCGCATAGAGGTAGTTGTCCAGCTGATTGAGTTAATTTAACAAGAAAAAATGAAAGATACAACATCTTAAAAAATGAGTTTAAAAATGGGATTTAGGCGGAGTTGCAAAGGAAAAAGAACAGATACAAAGTAGAAGGCAACGGGAATTCGCTGTACTGGCTACTCAAGTAGATGTAAAATACAGGTACGATACACTGAACATAGAACAAAGTTAATCACAGTAACAAAATCTCGTTTAACGCTGTCGCTCCCTCCATTGTACCGAGTACGGAAGCGGCGCTACCCCGCTGAAACTCCAGCGACAGCCGTTGACGAAGGAACTCATGAGAGCGAGGTTCACCTGTATGAAGTTGCAGTCGCTTGCCGATTCCTTTCACCAATAGGATAGCTGGCTTTCCCCATGGGCCAAGTGTTTCGAAGGCTAGTGGTACGAAAACGTATCTGCCATTTAGATATGCATACAAGCGCACTTTTTTGTCTTCGGCTTGCGCGGCAGCGGAGGCTGCGGTGGCCGACGTGAATTTTCGGTGGGATAAAGCAACAGTGCATCTGGTGCAGTAGATGTACAATACAGCACCGGAAGAGATGTACAATACAGCACCGGAAGTGTCGTCCTCGCCCTCTTGAACTGCACCCCCGCAAGCGGCTGTCATGCCCCTGCAGATTAAGACTTTACTAAGTAGTACTTATTACGCACTCTTACGTAACTGAACGAGCAGGACCGAACCCGAGCCGCACGATCGGTGTAGCGTAGCAGAGCATAGTGTCTCCAGTACCATTGGAGAATGGTGTTGGAAAAACGTGGCACCACGCTCTTCGAAGCGACAGATATAGGATGACTCATAACTGCTATCGATGACGCGTGTCTGTGCTCTGATCCAATCCTGCTGGAGGGTTGGGATCTGAGTTATTCACCTAATTCGGTTCATTCTGTGCACTTAACGTCTCGTGCTCAGTACAGCAATTACAATTCCACTCTCGCATGAAATCCATTGGAAATTGTAGCTGTGCCGCGTCTATGTTAGTGATGCAACAAGGTAAAATCAAAGTTTTTTATTTCGGATCTCAACAAATAATATCATCGCCGACTGCTTAATCAAATTTTGAATTATAATTGTAAATGCGCATTTTCAGATTAGTTCTTATTTAAGTGTGAGGAACCTTCATGTGTACAGCGAAACTTATACACTGATCCACAAATTTGCATTCACTGTTGCACTACTTCATATAAATGTTTATTGAATGTTTATTTTACCATTACTGTGCTATAATATTTCACGAGTAAACAATTTATACAAGGCAACCATTATATTTATACATTAACGCACAGTATTTATAAAAGTTATGCTACGCAATCAAAATTTATCCCTGACGGTTCTTTTCCAAACCAATTAAACGGACATTGCAAATCGCGCCCGCACAAAATAAAAGTCAGAAATTCCAAAATGAGCTTGAAAACCCAAATCTAACTTACAACCTCCAGTCAAGTAAAACTTTTGACGATACTAATGTGTGCACTCGGGTTAAGACTTTGATCTGGACTAACAAGATTACTAAGGTTTATACTCGGTTATAAACTAAAAACAGCACTCTGGTTAAGACTCTGGTTAAAAATACGGTCAACAGACGAATCAACTGTTTTGTTCGGCTTTAGCTTAACCCTTTCGACAAACTGACTCTCGATCTTTTCTGCAAATCTTCTTCGGAACTATAACTCAAATAAACTTTCGCATTGAAAATGTCTTCATTTCTTTTTTATCTTCGTTTTTTTTTTCATTAAGAATACTGAAATCAACCTTTTCGTTGAAAATGCTTTTAGTAACATCTACGCAGGAAGCCGCATGATATACGTACATTTCGGAATAAGAACATAAGGGCATAAAACTCTTCCGCATATACCAATTTTAGCATAGCACAATTTGGCTTAAAAAACAATTTTAACAAAGCTTGAAAAGTTAAAAAACATACTGGATTAAAAAAAAACTAAAGCCAGCCAAAAAAGCTAATAATCTTATGAACACCACGAAAATATATTCAGAAAACACAAGAAAAGCTAACAAAAACAAGTAAAATATAAAAAAACTTAGGAAAACATTCTAATGAGATTATAGATTAGAGCGTAAACAAAAAAGACAGTAGCATGCCGAATGTCTGTGTAGCGATTCAGCAAAATGTTTTTGTACCAAATTTTTCTCATGCCAAAGCGTCCGCGAAAAATTGTTTTTTCATAAGCATTTTGCAAAAAATAATTATGTGTAGCGAAACAGTTACGATTCCTGAATTATTGAATGATATTTGGTGTACAAATAAAGATGTTCGTGTTAGCTTTAACGAGAGTGTTAACCCGAGTACTAATGCTAGTTTTGATCAACGTATAAACTTGAGTGGTGATACTAGTTCAAAGCATGGTCTTAACCCGAGTGCTCATAGTAGTGTTGGCAAAAGTTTCAGACCAACGGAATAATTGCGTATAATACCTATAATGCGTTCTAAAACAATTTTGCAACAATTTCCATTACATTTGAAACGCTCTGCTACTCGGCAGTGGAAGTATATAGTAGCGTAGCGCTAGCCTCTTTTATTTCCAACATCAGCTAAAAACAAAAATATACATTTTTTTCGAAATATTTAACCAGAAAAATGGTATGCTAAGATAACTTTTTATTTTCTGCTTTTTTTCTCTAATAATCTTTCTCAATTGAAATATAACTGTTTGGTCAACGCATATTTAGTGTTTCAAGACAACAGATTTAGCAAACGTGCAGGATGAAAATTGTTGTGAAAAATGACGGCGCAAAATTAAATGTGCAAACAATTCAAAACTCAGGCTTTAAATCCTCGTCATTAGTAATGTCGTATATTTTTTGCAATTACGTCATTTTGTCATTTTCAGTTTCTAGTATTCCTTTGGTTTGCCAAAAACAGATATTACAAAATAAAATGTATAATACCATTAAATTTTCTTTGAATTTTTTAAATTTGAAGTTCTGTTATAGTGCCTAACTTCTGTTATAGTGTATTTCTGGCTGAATAAACTTCACTGGTGAACATAATAATAAATTCAATTAGGTTTAAAACATTTTGTGGACGGAGGAATTTTGAGTTTTTGGGAGAAATAACCAGAGTTCGCAAACACTAAGCTTTCTGAGGTTTGAAAACCTGAGTATAAATATTAGTTTTATCAGAGTATTATCAGAATTACTGATCTTAGTTTTAAGCGTAGTCTTAACCCGAGTGTTCATCTTAGTTCTGTCAAAAGTTTCTGCTGACAAAAAAATATGTTTTTTAACAGTGTTTTATGCTTAAAATTTTAGCTATTTGCAAACGTGTCCTGGCAAGCCGAAGCATATTACAAATGGAATGAGGTGTGCTTTATCATCTTGATTTCACTACCGCTCTTGTAGGACTGGGGAGCATCATAATGAGCCTTTCCAGCAATATGTCCAACAATATTCCTTATGTAGTTTTCAGCAAAGAAATACAAAACTACGAAACCTTGTGGCTCAAGATCCACAAGCTACTGTTTCCATGTCGCTGAATTTTCATAAGGAACTTGTTTTTACGATATTGCTGCAGGTGCCAGTATTTCATATTATATTTTAGTTTTCCCTGGTAAATTGGAACCTTTCGGATATCAGTGGATGTAAACATAAATTTTATCAAAAAAAGAACATTGTGATAACTTGGATGACTTTTGTAAAACATTGATTACCTGATTGCGAAAACCGAATGCAACACACACCAAGAAACCACAAATTCCAATGGATGTCGAGACCTGTACAGCTGTAAACACTGCTACTGAGCGCGAGACGCAAAGTGCGTAAAATGAACCGAATTAAGTGAATAACTCAGATCCCAACCCTCCAGCAGGATTGGATCAGAGCACAGGCACGCGTCTATCGATGTTCGATATCGCCATGGTCTGTATACAGTCCCTGCAGCAGACCGAAATTTACCGAAAGCAAGCGTAACTGAGTTTCTGCTCGGTGGTCGGGGAGCGCTCTGATTTCACCCGATGCTTCAACATAGAGAGAGTATATCGGAAGAAGTTGGTACACACGCTCTGTATGCTGCAGCTCCTATCCGTCCCCGTCCCCCTATCAAAAACTCGGTTACGCTTGGTTTTACAGCATTGCAGTGACTGTATATGTACAGACCATGATATCGCTGCGCACTGCGCAGAACCAACATCGCTAAACTCAGTGAAAATAAAACTACTGTAATGTCCTACTTCACAGCATGCCGTACATTGGAATTCCTGACGACATTGAAAGTTAAACTCTTGAACTTAAACATAAGTTTAGTCATCTTATAAGTGGAAAATCAAAAATGGATGAGATTTCCGATTTATTTGGTTTCCTCCGACGGAACGGCGACGCTTGGGCCACAGTGTAGCCTGTGGAAATACGGTCATGGTCCCCTTGAAACTGGCTGAGAGCGATGCCAGTAAGGTGTGGTGTTTGGGATTTATCGAAGATATATCTGTAGCGGCCGACGAGATGTACATCAACTTCCACTGCACTACGCTGGGGCCACTATGGTTCCCGTCCCACACGGTGTTTTCCCACGCCGTCTGCCCGTATTATCCACCAGACAAGCTGGTTCTGGTGGCGCTGCGGACCAGCGTGGCCGATCCGCTGGTCTTTGAAGAAGCTCTCATATTGGCGGGGTATCCCGCGACCCCGCGACTGCACAGCGAAGGACGCGTGTATTACGTGCATACTACCGGTGACGGCCGCCGGCATCTGGTGCATGAGCTGCAGATTGCTAAACAGCGGCCGCAGCGGTCGCTAGCGGGCGCATGTGTGCGAGAGGGATGCTATGCAAAATACTGCCTTACCCTACCCGCTGTTATAACCGTTGAGGGTGGCGTTACACGGGGCGGTGGAGATGGCGTCTCATCGGGCTGCAGTATTGATGAAAACCGCGTAGCTTACGAACTGCAACGCTCACGCCACGATCTGCAGTGCAGAAATCACAAACAGACCATGGCCAGCGGCTATGGTAATCGCTTCTACTTTCATGTGCAGAATAACGCCGCGGTAAGGATTATATGCTGGGAACAGGGCGATGGTTTCTGGACCGCAGAGCTGCTGGCACACGCCGTTCAGCGATGCTTAAAGAGTGGAGCGTTACTACTGGCAGCAACATCAGCGCCAGTAACGAATCCAGTAATTCAACGACCACAGTGTAAGCAGACACAAACACAAACTTCAAAAGCGTAAACAGAGGTTTACTTATTTTACTTTGTTGATTTACAATCAGTTTTAGTTTTACCTGGTTTCGTGTTGTACACCGTACAAACTTTCTGACGAACCACTGACATTGTATTAGTGCAGCCTAGCGCAGCAGCAGTACAGTACCTACAGCATAGTACCTTCAGTCACTACAGTGTGCAGTTGAATAAGCACTTAGCACGACTAATAATATAGTATTATGAACTAATAATATAGTATTATTATATTATGATATAGTATTATTGTCATGTTTCTTTTGTGGATGTTACATGTTAGAGGTATTAAATCGATTTTCTCTGAAAAAAAAATATAATGAACGAGGTATACTTTATTACAAGTTGTACAAGTCAAATTCCATTTGTACTTGAACTTGAAAATCCGCTATTGAAAATTTAATATTATTATTAGTAATAATCATTAATACTCATATACGGGGCTTTACATAGTTATTCGTACGCATGTGGCGCGGTGCACTGGTACGATAGGCAGATAACTATGTAAGTACAATTTTGTCCTAAGTTGTGATAACGTCGTCAATTTCAAGGCAGCCTTGCGTAAATGCGAATTGGCGCCGGCTGTCGGCAGGTTTGTCTTGCAAATGAGAACTGTCCAAATCTCATATACTGTAGATAAGTAAAACGTGCGTCGGCTTCGCGGCTCGTTCGCGCTTCGCACGAAACTCACCTTATCTGTCAATTCAACTTCGATCTTAGCATAGTATTTCGTCAAACTTTCGTTAGGTTCAAAAAATTGGTCACGAGCGTACTAATTTGCTATTTCTATTCGAAACTCCCGCAGTTTCCGCAGTAAAAATGGTCTCTGATTTCGCGCTTCGCGCCGGAAGTGGACATTCACTTCAGTTTTTAACACTGCAGTTTTTAGCACTTAATTCGTATTATGCGTGTAGCAGGGTGTACTTTCTTTAAAAAAATAATACAAAATTTTTGTTGTTTTTGTCAAAATTTGTTGCAGTCACTTTCCTCCTTGGGCTATCCTCCAGGGGCACCCAGGGAAAGCGTGTAGTGATATAATTTATATATTTTAGCCTCTGATGTTTACCGGTGCGCTACCATTTTACCACCACACAATTACGCCGGAGTACACATTCAAACTGACTCATGTTTAATTTGTTCATTTGATTAGTGTTTATTTTTTAAAAAAACTGGAAGCCAGGTTATAATTTATTGGATTCAGTGTCATGGCGTACATATGTCACTTACACATCGACAAATGAATCGGTGTCGATTAACCACGTTAGACGAGCCACTAGTATTGATACTTCAGTATAAGTTCAATATATTGGCAATTTTGATATTAAGTACAAATATTGTTGCTGCAGCTACAGATAAATTAGGTGTGCTCCTGTATTACTGTAATAAAAAATCTTTGTCAAATTTTGTTTTTAACTCTTTTTCAAACGTAGAAATGCTGAAATATAGAGGTACTGGCCTCTCGCATGCGCGGGGCCAGCGTAGTGGGGCCAGCTCTGAAATCATTTTGAAATTTTTAGAAAATTAAAAATTTTTTTTAAAAATTCAGATTTCCAAAGCTTTTAAGTATTTCAGTAAATATTTCCGAACTGCGCTTTGCAAATATGATATTCCAAAATGTTTAGAAATATTTAAAAATTTTAAAATATGGGTGTGATGCCTTCGCGATTAATGAGGTCCCGTACTTATTATGAACGTCAGTACTTAAGAATTATCATTACATTATGGCTGCGTGCACGGGTAGACAGTGAGACACGGGCGTGGCTGTGTGCACGGGCGACCTTTCTGGGTACGAACGGGTACTGGCTGCGTGCACAGAATTGCATATTTACATTTAAATACTTTCGAATTTTACTTTCTGAATTATCGTTTTACAGCTTTTACTGCCTTTTTCATCGATTTTTCATGTTCAGTCGCCTTTGGGACGTACTGTAATCTGTGGTAAGCCACATTCTAGGTTGCCACACTCTAGGTAGCAAATAAAGAATTTTTTTCTTCTTGGTCAGGCTTTTGTCAACCTTGCCGGTATGTTGATGGCGTCAATTAAATGCGGCCTTCAGAATTCAGATAACCAGCTCGCATCATTTCCGGTTCGAATTTTGCCGTTCCGGGGCGAATCCGTTTATAAACCATCGCTCCCTTACCACATCCACCTCTTTTGTCCCTGGTCTAATTTTATTAGATGGTGATTTGGCGCTTCGTTTCCGCCGTCACATTCCAACTCAAAAATTGGGTTAAAAGTCTTAAAATCTTTGAAACACTTTAGCCGTGCACACAGCCAAAACCCGTTCCAGACTCCCCTGCACGATCGAACCCCGAAAAAACACCCGTGCACGCAGCCAACGCCCGTGTTTTCCCGTGCCCGCAGCATTGACTTTATCATTATCCTCTTTCGTGTTGCTAAGTACTTTGAATTCGTAACGCATATAGAGAAAGAACTTGCTGCTATTGTTGACCTTTCCAGAACTTTCAGACATTCTTCAATGTCACAGTACTAAATTTCCAAACCTTTTTCTGAATCTCAGACGATTCAAAATTTTTTTAAAACCACTTATGGCGTGCCTACAGTCTACAGATATCATGTTGTAAACTATTTTTTACATGTTGTAAACTCGTAAAAATGATAACCGCTTATACCGATGAATCTTGAATTAAGAGTTAATGGTCTTGGAATAAAAACGTATCGATTTATAAATTAACAGATAATTTATTATGAGTGCCTCGCGCTCGGCAGTCGGCACTACCCTCTTGGACGGATACGAAGTAATATTTGACCACTCTACGACCGATTTTTGTTGATTTGTTTCTCTCTTCCTGTGACCACTTGCTAGTTTCTCACTTTCATTATTAAGTAAAATAAATTTTTGGCGTTTATACCGTATAATTGTGTATGCGTGTTGTACCAGCTGCATTACGATTGTTTCTGATCGTAGGTTTCGACCAGGAACCGACAGCCGGGATGTCTTGCTTGCCTTTGGAAATTATCGCGCAAGTCGTTGAGCTGACCGATGTCATAACCCAAACCCGGCTGAAAAGGTCACTTGTTGAGGGTTTAAACTATTCGAAATTCTATTGCCTCACTATAATGTCGTCGTGTTTTGATCCAGCAATGATTACAACGCGGTAACTTGGACGCAGGCTGCTTCAGTGCCAAGTGCCGACACGACAAAAAGCATAGATCTTTCGTTTTAGCGCATGTTGCGCAAACAGGCGCTTCTAGTTCGCATCCAGTGCTGGCGATTTATGCTCACTGGACGCTTTCTTCTTGCATTCTGTTTGTTGATTTGACTTTTAAATCATTTACCCCGCCGACCAACTAGGTGATTTCCAGTTCTGTTTTCATTTTGTCCACATTGTAATTGAACGTTTTGTAAAGAAATAACTTGACGGTGGGTCGTTCTCGTTTGCAGGGTGAGCCCCGCGTGGAACGCCGTGCTGGCCGGCGCCACCCAGGAACGGCTGCTCGTTGACTTCAGCATGCGCGTGGACAGCGTAGACTGCAGCAGCGAGATGCTGCGTCTGGGCCAACTGCTGCACAACACCTTGACCACCCGTGTGCGCACCCTGGTCTTGACGCAATGGACGCCGGGCTTGCGTGTGCATGGCAAAGGATGGAGCAGTGTGAGGAACGACCTTGCAATTGTGTGCGGTCTGCTGCGCATCACCAGCACCGCTCCCCTCCGCCGCATCGTCCTGCACCGCTGCATCGTGGACTATGAACTGGGCGCATATGTGGGGCGCAAGTTGCGCAGTTTAGCGCTCCCCATGGAGGTATGCAGACATCTGCTCCTGGTCGACTACACCATGAATAACGCGCTGCAGCCCTTTTCCCACGTGCCGTTCTTTTGCTCGCCTCTGGATCGCAGCCAACGGCGTCAAGCACAGCCTGCGCTCTCCATCACCTTGCCCTTTTTACGCTTGGATACTGCACAGAGCTCGTTGTCCTATTACAATACACTGTTGGTGGCGGTAGTACAGCGGTTACCGGCGCCATCCCCTGACATTCTCCGCACGGTGACCGCTTTGTACACATACTGGTACGCGGTGGCGCCGGAAGTGCACGGCCGTTACTGGAACTTTCTCCGTCGATTGCTTCATCTGTAAGTCCGTCCCTAACGACCTATACAGTATCTTGGTAATTTCAGCTTGGCGTCTAGAACAATCAGGCAAAACGTGTACCAGGTTGTAAACGAAATAAGTAAACTAGTCGTCCCAATAATGGACAGCCACCTTCAGCAGTTCCTCGAGGTATAATAATCACAAAACGTCATACATATGCCGGGTAATCGAACAAAATGGCCCTCTGGTTTACTAAGGTAAGGTGTGCTGGGCGTGTCCAGTGTTTGATTGAGATAATGTTAGTTTTGTGCAGAAGAGCTACTCGAGGTCTACTTCTATAGCACACAAATCAATACTGTGAAAAAGTTTCCTTTTTTTGCATTATTTTCAAAAAATAAATAGGAGTCGGAGGTAATAGTAAAGTTTCTTATTTTCAAGTTAAGTTGTAGGTCTTCGACCACCTTAATTATCGAATTATAAGCCCTGGGCTACAAATGCTGGAACTCCCTGCGGAGGGGCTTCAGTTACGCGGAGAATCGCAAACCCGTTTCTGAAAGGGCAACCACTTATTGTTAGCTACAATTGCCAGTTGAACCGGCGTTCTTTGTTGCAGCCGGTCATGGACAAAAAAATGTAACCGAAATACTCGTACTTATCCAAAATTCTATCCAAACGCAACGGGGGACGCGATCCGTGTTATGGGTGCAATCCCCGAGCAGGATAGCATTGAAGAAGTGTTTTTGGTTTTTGCTATAAATCTCGTTTTTTTGGTACTCCCAAGTCAGTTTGCATTCATGTGATACCCATTAAAGGTCGGCTTGTTTGTAGTCAAAAAAAAATCAGATAACGGCTTCAAAGGATACAAAATAACGGCTTCAGAGTTTGCTTAGTGCATAGACATGGGTATCCAGCGCATCCCCATGCCAACAATTGTTTTCAGATTGAAAAAAGAAGCTTTCTTCAGATAAAACAATTAAAACAAATCAAAATTTGACGCACGGAAAAAAAGTGAGAAACTTTTGAACTTTGCGAGCTGGGACAATTTACTTTTCAAGTGTGTGCATTCGAATCCGTATACCCGGTGGGACTGGGCTCGTTGCTTTGCTTAAACAGCATTTTCAGTCAATGCCCGGATCATGAGAAATTAGAGGAAATTTTCTTGTTATAGCCTCTTAAGACTGCATTTTTGTTGTTGTTTTATATTATTTGTGTTACTTAATTAAGGATTAAGTCAAACAATAAAACTGAAATTTCCCAAAAATCGGCTCTGTCTCTCCCAGATGATTATCGACACGTCAGTAAACCAACGCCAACCGCCCCGTGGTAGCAGTTGCAATATTAATTTTAATTACTCCGATTCGAAAGCATCTGTTTTGGGTAAGTACGAGGGCCATTCAATATATTCGTAGCATTGCCGCGCCATCCCTTTCTGCATTATTTTTTCTTTTTATTTTTCTTAAAATACATTCCTTTAGACTTAATGCAACGCACACATCTATCTTTCCATTCCTCGTACATGCTAGGAAAGAAATTACTAGGTAATTTAGAGATGACACTGTCGATAACCTTTTCTAGTTCTTCATCATTTCTGAACTTTTACCACGCAACAATTTCTTCATTGTTGGAAATATTTTAAAAATCGCAAGGGGGCCAAATCAGGGAATACGGAGGGTGGGAGGATTTCCATTCCAGCAGCGGAGATAAAATTAGAAGTTACACGGGAAGTATGCGGTCTTGCGTTATCATGGTGCCATAAGACGTTCATCAAGCGCCTTCGAGGCCTCTTTTCTTCGATTTCATCAACGAAAGGTTGGAGGACATTTGAACAGTACCAATCAGAATTTAACGTAGTTCCGCGACGCAGAGCTTGTCTGAGGAAAACGCCTTTCTTGTTGGCAACAAAAGCGTACATTACCTTGCGTACGCTCCGAGAACGCTTCACGCAGGTCGGTGTCTGCTCACTTTCAGAAATCCACACTTTATTCTGTTGCTTCGTCAGTGGGTCGTAGTATGAGAACCAGGATTCATCCTCAGTATACACTTCATATTTGCTGTCCTCCGATAATTTCTGTAGGATCTTCCGCCAATTTCACGCGAGTCTTCATCTGGTCCTTAGTTAGCAAATGGGAACCCAACGCTGACATAGCTTGCGCACACGCAGATGTTCGCGGATAATCGTCCAAACCACACCTTCAGAAATCTTCACTGATTCAGCTATCTCTTTGACTGTAACATGAGGATCGGTCTTAATCATGGCATCCACTGCATCGATATTTTTTCGCAGTAGTCACAGATTTCGGCGTCCAATTCGACCATCGTCATCGAGGTCCAAATGTCCGGTGGTGAATCGACGAAACCACTTGGTAACCGTAGGGTATGACGGTGGTGCATCAGGAAAATGTTCACAATTCAGCATGAGCAACAACAGCAGTCTTATTTTCCAAAAATTTTTCATAGATAAGGGCGCGATAATCGCGCTTGCTTAAATTAGCCATCTTTGATGACTGTTCAAGTAAATAAGCACACCCAGCCATGTACAGATGCCTGCCAACCGCCAACCCTAGGCGGTATCAGCCCGGCCATTGCCCTATGATCTCGTTATGAATGATACAGTTTTTAAAAAAATAGATCATAATTCTGAAAATTATTTTCAACCATAGTGCTACGAATATATTGAATGGCCCTCGTACGTAAAAGCAATTACTTCATTAAATACCCCCAAAAAAGTACTTCAAAACGGTAGTACAGAATTGGTTAACAAATTGACCACTGGTCAGCAAAAAATAAAAAACTACTAAAACCCTTTTCCCTGCATTTTGACCACTACTGTATATATAAAACAGAAAACAAGCGATGCTGACAATGTTCCTTCGCAAACTTTCATCACTCTCTCATATGGCATTTCACGAAGCAGCCTTTCTGCAATTTAACAATGCAGTGAATGCACTTGCTGCCCTGATGAACACGCCGAGCCGTCCTTACACTGCGTGCATATTCGGACTTGTACGTTTCCTGGTGTGGCGGGAGCGGTGGGTATGGGGAAAGATGATCCAGGTGCAAAAGCGATTAGCGCCGAACCAAATATTAGTGGTCACTTGCACTTTTTCTAACACATTATCGGCCGGATGTAACCAACATAAGGCTGTCGCAAAGGTCAACATCACCAATCTGGTCATTACAGTTTGCAATCGCTTGAGACTGGTCAAAATTCAAAATTCGAAAGTTTCTTTAAAGCTGCGCGGCTCCATAGCTTTGCTTGCCCAAGCGGTATTCGGTATCGAAGGTAGAGAGCAGCAGAGTGCAGGGTTGTGGTGCCATTTCACAGTGCTACGTACACAGGCGTTATAATTATAATTATAACTAACGCATCAAGACTGCCATGCCGACCGCCCGGGGTGCCATTCTAGAACCCCATTTTCTGTCAGCTTTTAACAACCAGAACCACATGGCGCATGTTTTGCGTCCGAACCGACAGTAACTTATTCCGTTTACGTAATGAAAAGAATCTGTCGAAAGTGCACCCGCCCGTATATTCACAACCCTTCATGGGCAATAGCGTTTAGAGGCGACACGTTTTTTGACGGACTGTGGTCATCTATGGTTCAACCTACAGAACCCATGTTGACCGTTTCTAGATTCAGCTTACTCAGTTGTACTTTGTTGATTTATCTCCGGTTTAATTAATCATTCACTAATTAGTTAATTAGCAAGACCTACGGCAGCTAGGAAAGTCCAAAATTAGCGATTTTCGCGGACCTGTCGTTCGTAATTACCTTGAGACAAAAGTTTCAATTATGTTTTTACTGTTGCTTTAAAGTCCCATGTTGCTTACTACATTAAAGGATAACGATTAACTGTTGCCGATTCGCAGGGGAAAAAATCTCGAACACCTTGTCGCCTCCTGAACGCCAATGCCCGTCAACGGGTTAAGTTATATACATTATTACGTCTTAAAAACTTTGCAATTCAAGAAGTAATTCAGTATTCATAGGATAAGTTAAATTTTTTTAGAAAAATCAAGCACAATGCTTTTGAAAAAAATGATTGCATTTCCAAAAAGCTTTGGAAAATCTTCTTAAGATCTAACAGTACTTAAACACATATTACAAGCTAATAAAACTTCATATAATAATATTTCACTTCACATTTACCGAATACGTACCTAGCTTACAAGTTAGCAACAGATACAAGGTGCAAACCGTGCAATACGTACTTCTATTTGATAATAAAATAGTGAAAGCTGCAAAAACAGAAACATGTTCGTTCCGGTATTACTCTGCAGCAAGTTTTACTGACCTTGCAATGCAGCAATAAGTTTAGCACGTCTCACGCGTCAAATCAAACGTTTCCTGATCCAATAGCATCTCGTACTTATAATTTTAAATTACTTTTAGCACTAAAAGTTGTGGACGACCAAAGGTCATCTCTTCAAAAACTTTAAAATGTTTGCCCTGTAAATTTGTACAATTTCGATTTTTTTGTAATTTTATGTATTTTGTTGTCTTAACGTTATCTCGGTAATCTGGATCTTTATTTTAAAACTGGAACTTCATTTTAAATACCTTTTGAAACATTTTGAAACTGGCGCCGCATAGCAAGGCCAAAGTATATTTCGACACTTCCACGCCTGAATAAATATGAAACAAAATTTCAATAAGTTCCAGTTAATACGTCTTCACATCACGATTTGTAGTTTCGCAAACTTAATTCCATACCTTAAGAGCAACTGGTCGAACCATTCGTAAACTGCCGAACCATTCGCAAATTTTTATTTAATTTTCTGATCACATTCGTTTCGCAGTTCTGGTGTTTTTCAACATCTTTGACCAACAAAAATCGCGCCATGAGAATTATGAGGAAAACATTAACTGAGGGAAATAAAGAAGTAAAATCGATAAACACCATCGGCTTCGCCTCCGCGTCCCTTGTGGTTGACGGCCACTGTACATAATTGATTTCGAATGACTTACTTATCAGTATAACAACTATACTCGTATTAACTTTGGCGAGATTATCAGAATAACAACTATAATTATTTCGGCGAGACACGATCGGTACATTGCAAGTTGCAACAGCGTAAAAGCTATTTCACAGCAAATTATTTTATGATTCTCTCATAAAATGGTTTGCTTGACCGCATTCCCATTGGCTGTGCAGATAATTTTGTTCATCCTGTCAAATAATCCGAAATGTCTATAACTTATAAGCATAAGGCAATAATTTTGAACTCATAGTGTGACTGCAATCGACCCTATCAGTTTCTAGTTAACTTTCTACGCTATCACTACTTCTGTAGCGTAGTTCAATGAGGAAGTTCAATGAAGTAGGGTTGTTCAATGACATAATTACTTAGCAGGCTCTTTTCACTGGAGAATGTCGGGTGTCCGGTGGTGTATGTCCGGTCAGTATCGGTAGGAACAATTAGAATACGTGAATAATAGGATAATAATAAATAGGAAATATAAAAATAAATAATACGTTACATACAAATAATATTATAAACTGGGGAATATTTATAAATTGAGATTTGAGAATAAATAGAGTAAAATAATAAATTGAGAAAAATTTAAATTAAAATAGATAAATTTAAATTAAAATAAATTAATTTAAATCGATTAACAATGCAAACTCGAAACGATTCCAGAGATTCAAGACAATAAGCAGGTTGCGGTATCAACGAAGGGGTACGATTGACGATAGAATTAACGACGGGGTACAATTAACGAACGTTTAAACGGCAGTACCCGTCGTTATTAACGAAACGAAGGGGGTATCGTTTCGTTAATAACGACGTTGAAATTCAGTAATGAACGACTGGGCCCAAATGGACCATTGAGCACGAAGACTGCATAAGCGAGACAGTCTACCCAGTGAATTTCTGCCTGGGCATTCAATCCTGAGTTGCCCACTCGACTCGAAATTTCGAAAATTGTACCAGTCTTGACAGTTGAACTTCTGTCAGTGATTTTTTTGCCAGCTATTTAGAAAGCAAAATAATTTACTTTGTCATAAATGTGAAAATTATTGTAAAAACTAAAACACAGTTATACGAATACTTTGCTGATTCAGCAACCAAAATGTTCTAACTTCTGTAGCAACTTTGTAGTCTGTACTGTGCATCACTGCATACAGAGTACTCACCAGTTTTCAAGAAATTCACGCATTCCCGAATGAAAAGACTAATCTTTATAACGTCTGTGCGGAAACTTAAATCGCAGTTCTCTTCAACGTATTTACATCATATGAAAAATCTGCATTTTGTTATCTTTACGCTGATAAACGAAATGATGAATGGAGACTGGTTGATAGCAGTTCCTCCCGTTAATTTCAGGGGCAGTAAATTGTTTAGTGTATAACGCAACCTCTTATTCGAATCAACGGAACATTGAATTAACAACGTTAAAACCGTCGTTAATTTTGCCGTTAATCGTATGGCCGTGCAAAACGCAACCTACTTAATATTATTCAGCACCCCCCGTTACCTTAAACACAACTGGTCGCGCCCTAGGCCCCTAGCGCAACCGATGCCTTGTACGTATGAATCTAATACCGTCACAAATCAATTTAGTGGCCGCCCGGGGGCTGTCGAGCGTGTCAGATTCACCGGGCGGCGGACTGATTTTGGACCGTCCGCCGGCGTACGGAATTAAGTATAATTTTTAAAAATTCAAATGAAAACTTTAAACAACCTCAAAAGAGTGAAAAATGCAGAAAATTTAGGAAAGAATTTTCTAAAAAATTTAAGAAATCCGAAAAAAATCAGAATTTATTCCGCCCCTCTGGCGGCTCACCTTCAGTCAGCCGCCGTCGCCTTCTTGCTCACTCCCCGCAGGCAGTCAAAATTCCAAAACCAGGGGGTCGGAACGAACCGCCGCCCCCCCCCCCTTTTTATCGGCCCTGTTAGGGGCTGGCTATACGTCGTAAATGAGGAACGACTGTAAAGTATACACTATGTAGTTTTCAAGTTTTGTTTGCACTGCAGCACGGAACCTGTGGATCCTTCCCATCCTGACTCGTCGCCGTGGGCGGTCGAACCGTTTACACCAACGACGCTTCTGGGCTTCAACGCATTGACCCTTGTTACTCTCTCGTCATTGTGGTACATGGATGCGGACGCATGAGTCGCTGCGCAACGACTTCCGAAACCATCTGCTGTCCTCTGCCGGCTGTGTGTGCACAAAAGTGCAGGGTCGCACTTTAAAAAGCAGATGCTCGATTATGCGTGTTGCTTAAAAATGAACGCTTCTCTGTTAGAAGCAAATGCTTGCTTACTCAAACAGCTCGGCGAGCAGATCCCGGTAGGTACCGGCTGCGCCAGCAGGACGCTGGGGATTCCTATACACTGACTTGCCAAGCCCGATAATGCCCCTAACTCCGCCCGCTGTCGACCCGCCGCGATGAGAGCAACTAAAGACCTGTACCGGCAGCTGGGCAGTCTGCGAATCTTGTTCGAATTGTTTGGGTGTGGTTGCTTTCATACTTGAATTGTTGCTGTATCATGAGATGACTAGTGACTGCCTCATGGTTTGTTTCCTCGGAAATAGTCTAAATTAGTTTATGGATGTGTCCCGGCGGTCTGCTGCTCTGATTTAAGTAAGACTATCGCCGGGCGTTTATGAAAAACCCAGCTGTAATGTAGTACCATTTAGTGTCCCGGGGTACCGTTTGGCGATTTTTCTGAAGCCCTCTGGAAAATAATTTTTATTTTGTAAAAGGTGGGGTGCCAGTGAAAATGCGTTTTTACGCAGGCGGGGACTGCATTCGGGGGTCTAGCTGATAAAATACGATAATCGTATCCGTATGTTATGCCGGTCTTAGATGCGCGGAAGCGCTTACATACAGTCTCGGCATCATACCGAAATGTAGGTACTCGTATCTACAGACTACAGTGACCCCTCTTTACTTCGGGAATTTGTATAGATCGAATTTGGCACTGGGATACGTAATTTTTATTTTTCAGTCATTTCTCAAAAAAATTTTTGGTAGGACAGGTTTCTGACTGCCGGCCCGCCTGACACCCGGCAGGCCGATAAATCGATTTTGCACTTCGTCGTCATTTTCCTCGTTTCCAGTACCATGGCTTCGAAGTGGATGGGCTATATTATTGGCTGCTCTTCGAAAGGTAGCGCTTTCGTCATTGCAAATCCCGCTCAGAGTGGGGTTGCCTAATGTGATTCCAAGTATTGGTGATTCCGGCCTTCGTAGTTGTTTAACCTGTATGAGCAGTTATTGGTGCGTGGAAAAGATGGTCGGCATCCGTATGTGATTGGGCGGATGTACTTGTGCCAGACCGCGGAAATGCCGATTAGCTAACAACGATATGCTATCTACAGATATGATCCGCCACGGCGCGCAGTGCATTTTCTCCAGCCGGGATAGTGATATTACTGACGAAGATATTGATGCATTGTTGGCCAAAGGAGAAGCCAAGGTGAGTTCCCACAATTGATCAATTTAAAAATATGATGAGGAGCAATGGAACTCGGCCACCTTGTTTTACCGCAACGCATTGTCTAACCCAGTAGCTGTGTGATTCTAGACGGAAGCGTTAAATAAGAAGCTGGAGACTGTGGGAGAAGACACCTTGAAAACTTTCCCTCTGGACTATGACGCCGGGCCGTCTGTGTATCAGTTTGAAGGACAAAATTACCGTGGCAAACGGCAGGATCTCATCTTACCAGCCACATGGATCGAACCGCCAAAACGAGAACAAAAGTTAATTATGCTGTTGACCAGTATTAACGGGTATGTCAGTACATAGTATGATTGTGTACAATACATGTTTACTTAATTTAACCCTGCATTTTGCATAATTCGTGTTAAGGTAGTTTTTTTTAGTATACACTTTTATTGCAGGATGCCCTTCGCCGCGAAGAGCCTAAAAACCCAAGATTCACGCCTTCTCCCTCCAAAACGTTTGTTGGATTTATTAGAACGGGAAAGATTAGCCTACCAACGAGCTATAAACTACCGTACTCCTCTCGATCCAGATCCAGATGAAGATGTGGCGGAAGTCAAACGAGTGGAACAACAGGACAAAATAGGCACAGCCGAAGCCGTGACAGAGCAAGGAATGGAGGAGAAGGATCGGCTGCTGGACAAGAGTTTTGACTGGAGCAAAAAGCATTTTAAGAATTTCCTTTTTGGCTAATGAAACATACGGCGGGAACGACGTTGAGAAAATCGGTCGCTCGGTTGCCGATAAATCACCGGAAGAAGTCAAAGCCTATCGCAAAATCTTTTGAGAGCGGTGCAAAGAGCTACCGGATTACGACAAATACATTGCGGCAATTGAAAAGGGCGAGCAGCGTATTCAGAGGAAAGTGGACATAAAAAAGCGCCCTTGACGCAAAGATCGCTACGTAAAAGATTCCTTTGTTAAAGTTAAAGATCAACTACGGTGTACGGAAACGTGGTCAGTGGAGCGAAGATCAGTTACACCAACTGGGCATTGACCGGGAGAATTTGTACGAAGAGTTGTTGGATTTGGCATGCCGCAGTCCGTAGTTTCGGTTTGATTGGTGGCTGCGGTCCCGCACGCCAGCGGAAGTTCGGAACTACAGCGTAGGTGTCAGACGCTGACGGGACTGATTGAAAAAGAGATGCTGGGCGAGAAGGAGACGCAGCGGCTCGTGGACGGAAATTAATGCCGAATCTGCAGTCAGCCACACCGAAATCCGTCCATAACGGGAGCGAAGGAAGCAAGAAGAGGAAGATCTAAAATGAGGGAAATGCCAAGAAAGATGTTAAGAAGGTGGCCGAGAGCAGAAGTGAGGGGAAATCGCATAGTGAAAAAGCTAAAACGCACCATCATAAACGATTGGCACCACTGACGATGAGAGCGATTTACATGAGCGCATGATCACGTTTCGTTGATAAACGTCTTATGTTGTGACAATACGGCTTTGAAGTTTTGAGTTTTTTGTTTGCAGTTGTTTATTGAATTGAACCTTAACTGACCTGTGTTTGGTAACAATCGTACGGGTAGATTTACATCTGATTATCTGGTCCATTTTCGGCTTGTTTAATTTTAGTTTTCAGAAAAAAAATGGGTACATATCTCACGACTCATATTACCGCGATTTTTGGAGTAGTCTATTGCAGTTAATTTATCTTATGTGACGTGTGGGAGTAGGATCACACGCCGGAATGTACGTACGGATGCTGACTGTCCGCCTTCCACCTGCAACATAACAGATAATCTAGTCAATCTATGCTGTGATTTGCTGTTCTCTTTACTAGCGGTGTATATGATGTGATAACGCGAAGTCTATATAAGTCTTGGTTGTCACTAATATCAGCAGCAGTCACTAGGTAGTCGCTGACTTGACTTCTGAGACTGTTTTCTAATTACGATTTCCTTGCGTTGTGAACTGTGGTGTGAATTGGATTAAAGAGGCAGCAATACTTGTTCCTTCTGATGTACGTAATCGCTCCCGGATTATTGCATAGAATACAGGTTTGCTCGTGACACAATTGTCCTAGCTCTTGCCGATCCTCACAGGACTTACGACCGGAAGTTGTAGTTGGAGTGTTCCTGCTTAGGGATTCCTGATTCGTGTTCCTGACTCGCTCGTTGTTTCCACCGTAAGGATCTGTTACAGTTTGAGATGAGAGTTGCCTACCGATTGAGCATTACAGGCGTGGAAGAGTAAAGATTGTTCATGGAGCTCTAACCAGCGTGAACGCTTATACACGACATATGCACGAATGCAGCTAAGGCCGTGTTGAGCCTGTAGCATTTAATTTTCACACAACATTTACTGATCAAAACAGTGTGAAATCTTCTGATCAATAAATCGAACAAACTGCCAACGGTTCTGAAGTATAGTACAAAAATCTTTTCAACTTTGCTTGCTACAGTTTCTGGTAGAAACCACCCTTAAACAATACCATGAGTTTCAGAAAACAACAACGATTAAAATCGAATCTACTGCAACAAAAAACAATCCTACAAAGTTTGCGTGTGAATTGAGAATTCCCTTCAATACCGCACGCCTCTCCGATACCGGCATTCCGGATCTGTACAAAATTACAAATCCTTCTCATTGCAAAACAGTGAACCATACTGAGGAATCAGTTTCAGTTCGAAATTCCCAATAATCGCTGCCTCCAAAGTCTTTTTCTTGCTTCTATACGATCTCTCGCAGTTTTCGCACCAAATCCGCCAGACTACATTTGTCATGCAAGTTTTTCTTGATATGCGCTTTGACAAAACCGCAGGCTTGTTGTGCGTACACATCTGGTGATGATGCATTGCTGCGTTTTTTTAGTTCGAGATTTTGCCGCATCTGCGTTACCACTGTGCTGAGAAATGCGATGCGATGTGCTTCATCGATAATTAAATAGCGGAAGTGTATCTTTTTCAATGCGGTTTTCTCTCGGAGAATCATTTCGTACGACGTAACACAGATTTACCGGGCTGCAGGGGTCCTTTGATGGTGGCTTCCTGTACACATAAAACCACGATAGCTGCATAAGAATTTACAATTTCTTAAAAACGAAGAAATGTACAGTACCCGTTCAGCATGAGTGCCGATGAGCTGCAGTGCTCGGATATACGGGCACCAGCGTTTGAATTCGTTCATCCAATTACTAAGTGTCGATTATGTCAAAATCAGCTGAAAGCAGAAAGCACAAAGAATAACAACATTCATTCTTGCATTCCTCGTTCGCTCCTCTTCTAACTGATTTTCGAAGGAGAATTGGAAGATTTTAAATTAATACTTTCTGGGTATCCATATTAAATTTGTAATTTTATTGTTGGCCCAAAGTATGTATATGTGAAGGCGCATCTGCAATGTTTTCCTGCGCTGTTTTGGGATTGTAAAATTCATAATTGCATGGAGTGGATGCCAATACTGACGACCAGCAACCTCAGATTTCCTTTCTAACTATCCACCATCGATTCCCTAATATGTCCGACAGCGAAGATGACCAGCCCGCGATTCCCCGTGCTGCCTTGAATAAGCTGATCAAAGAGGTGCTGCCTAATCTGCGCGTATCCGCGGAAACCCGTGAGCTCATCTCCGCATGCTGCACGGAATTCATCCATCTGGTGGCGTCGGAGGCCAACGAGATCTGCGAAAAACAGCAGCGCAAGACCATCACCCCCGAGCACGTGATGGAAGCCCTGGATTCCCTGGGCTTCCCTGAGTACCGTCAGGATGCCGAGTCCGTGATGCAGGACTGCAAGAAGTGCAGGCCAAACGGCGTAAATGCAGTACGAAACTGGAGAAGCTGGGCATTCCGGAGGATGAACTGCTGCGCATGCAGCAGGCCTTATTCGCCAAAGCACGACAGGAACAGCAGGAGGCCGATCATCAGGAATGGCTGAAGATTCAGGAACAAATGTCCATGTCCGGGCCGAGTCTTTCTACCGCGCAGGCAGATAGTGATAGCGATTATTAGTGCTTGAGAATTATGTAACACGACTGTGGAAGCAAGTCCAAGCAACGGGAAACGGTGCAGCGGAAGTCGTTTTTTAGAGTTTGTGTGGTGTACTGAATAATTTTCGATTTTGAAATTTTTTTAGCTGTTGGGATAGATAAATTTGGATCCTTGATTTTTGGCTTCTGCAGCAGTAATGGGTGAATGCTAATTGGCTACCGTCCATCGTTAAGTGCATGTTGTTGTTTTCATGCACTTTCGAAAAGTTTGAGTTCTCAGTTATGGTTTAAATTGTCGCTTTTTTATTCTGCATGCATTAGTTATAACTATGACATATGTTTCGTCTTGTGTCAAATCTAGTGCCCAATTCGCATCCATAAACGAGATCAAAGCGATGTGTTTCATAGGGTTGAAAGCCAAAACGAAAGTTTAGTAAAATTCAGTTTAGTTTTGTGTGTTTGATAATTATCATGTTTTGTTTTCATCAACCGTAAACGTGGCGAGTATTTCTCTTATTTATTTTGATTGCCGAACTTCCCCGCTCAGTTACACAACACACGAACATGGACACCTCATAAATTAATTAATCATAACAACTGTTTCGGTAATTTTCGGGTGTGACAGTATTCATGATTTCGTAATTATTCTTCACCCGTGGTAATAAAACAGGAGAAAAGGTGGTTCCGAGCGCTTTACTTTCCACATATGATGTCTACGAGTAGAATAAAAATCAGTGAGAAAGTTGACCGTGGTTGTCTGTTTGAGAAATATTACTTTCTTCCCATCCCACGAAAACGTTGTGCTGTGTGTTGTCCCTTTCCAGCCATTCGTGTAACCGTTGGAAATAATCAAGAAGCGGTGCTGCGTCCAGCTTTACTGTTCCGGTTAACTTTTGCATTACCGTCTGCCATGGCGTTGAAGATCCGAGCGACATCGTTTCTCTGTTGAAAAATTGGTTTTAAATAGAAGTAATAGTGATAATAATATGTAGGTCTATTTCCGGTATTCAATTATTATTTTCGGTATGCACTTGTTTATTAAACCAAATTTTTAAGGCTGTCAATACTGATAAACATAAACACATACGCATTATATATAGATACAGACTCGACTGTAAGACAAACATGCATAAACTTACTGCAGAATTTTTCCAGCTTCTTTTGATCCGTCGATATCACACTCGTAAGGATTTTTTGTTTGACCAGCAATTCCGCACAACGCTTTTGAATTTGGAATTGCAGGATAGTGCTAACGAAATTTCTGCAGGAAACAGTACTTGATGCAGCAAGTGTTATGCGCCTACAATCCCAGTCATGAGCATTCATACATCATACAATATACATTAGTCTTATTTTTAACATAAAAAGCAAAACTGTTAACACTCTGTTTGTAGTTTGCACAGCATCATAACGAAATAATTTTAGTAATTTATTGATATTTTGGAAAGTCTTCGTAGACCGGGAGTGTCAGCTAGAGAAGCGGATCGGAGCATCCGAGTTGTTTTACCGAATGTATGGAGTATCGGAGTTGATTTCATAAAGCGCCCCGGGATCAAAATCGTCTTCCGTTCTGGGCTCGGTCGAACATAATCCTTGAAATTTTATTCTAACAAAAAAGTAACATTCGATAGGGAAGATATTTTGCTTATTTATTGTCGCACTCACACATTGCTCCACCACTTGGTATTTAAATCATTCATCGTAATCCTTCCGTCAAAAACATCGTAACGGTATTTGTCGACTACGTAGGCGAACGGCAAATAGGCAATGGTGTCCAGTGCCGTAGAAAACAGAAAGTTCAGAAGTCCCACTGAAATAAGCTTCTTGGTTAACTTATATTCGGGATGAAATACGAATACAACTCACATTTTAGTAAATTTTCTATCGTATTCGAGCTAGTTCGTTTATTTCATTTTTTATAATTAACAAATTTTCGTTACTCGTATTAGTCGTATACACTCACGCGGATCACTAAGCCTGCCGGCTTGTTCCTCGCTCAGCAGACCGATTTTCACTAAATGTTTTGGCGTCCTGGCATTCAACGAAATTGATGCGCCAACTGTAGATTTGCAAATTTAATTCAAATGCAACACACGCCTGTGAAAGAGTATATTTTACCGGCTTCGAAAAGTCCTGTATGTGCTCCGCTACGGAACGGTACGTGTTGGTTTCGGTAGGCCAAAGCGTAACTGTCGTTAAAATGTTTTAAGTTATAAAATTCATGCATGCCACATTAATATTAATGCCGCAAATTGTTAAAGCGGCTAGCTCTGTGGGGGTGAACTAATATTAATGACATCAGTTAGCAATTAACGTGCTCAGGAGTAATGCACTTACTATACGCGTATAAGGCAAGCATGATTTTTTAATGCTTACGGTTAGGTATGCATTCTTAAAAATTGTGACTTGAACTAATTTTATACTGGCTTTCGTAAATGACCAGTAAAAAACAAGAGCAAAACTGAAGAATTCCCGTGGAATATCGGATAAACTTCGTCGAATTAGAATACCTACTTTGAAATTAAAAACTTGTATATTTGGATATTCGCAATCTCTTACTGAAGGCGTCCCATTTCACTGAAACAGGAAACATGCAGTAAATTCTGTGCAAATTTTACTGAAAACATTTTATTAATAACACACGGGGATTGAAACTCACCGATGAATAGCCACCAGGTCTTTCAGCGTTGTGTTGGCGCACGCTTTGACACTACGATAAATGAGCGGAAAAATAATAATTCAGTTGATCCCATTCATTCACTGTATACGAATATTTTTGCAAAGGTTTTACCGAAACGTAGATTTGTCGTGGAAATCAAACGAAGAATAATCACAGACCATTTCCTTATCGGTTGATTTAACAAACACGGAATCTTTCCATAACGACTCGGGTAGCGGTTCCAAACCCAGATCGGTGTAAAATTTCTCAGCGGTTTTGTACATCTTCTCCGTGGACCATTGTTTTCCTGTAAACTGCGCATCAATGTTCAGTTCGTCAGTCGGAAGCTTTTGGGGATACGGTTTAGCGAAGTCATTCAGTGCAGACCAATCGAATCCATGGATGTGTCCTAAAAGTCACCGGTATATTACGGCATATATACTGTACGCTCTGCCGCTCAAATTATAGTAAGCAGTCAAAACACATAACCACCAAGTAGCAAGTAGCACCTTGCTGCATACACAATGAATTAAATTACCGAGTAAGTGTGCAGGAATTGGACCGTTTGCTTTCGATTCCGCTTTCTGGATATTTGTTAATAAGTTTTCGGCGAACATACGCATGCAATTGCTGGTACAGTGGGAATACTTCTTTAAGAAGATCACGGATGTCTTCCAGAAAATTTTTATCCGTATAATTATTTTCGACGTCCGCAAATGTTTCACGCCATGATGCTCCCACTGATTTGTAACCTAGAAGCAGCATACACAAGATTGCAGGCTGCACGACTTTTTTGTAAATAAATGGTAAAAAATTATGCGCATCGCTAAAGAGACAGATGCTAATTTTAGCTAGTTTTGTAATACTGCGATACAGACAGAGATAGCAGTTATGCAGTTTATACCTCGAAACGTAAAGGTTAAACCGGTACTGTGTGTTTCTGTCGTTTTGAGCCTTCTCGAGTTACCGTCAAGTTTCGCCGCTTCGCTTTTTTAGTTGGACATATCGTATAAACGAATTTCTGTTAGTTTTCCCGGTAGCGTCTCTCCAGGATTTCCATAAATGGGATAACACGGTGGAATTTCGCGATGCCGCCATTGTGTTAGACAGATCCAAATGCAACGACAACTGATTTTCTTTGGGACATCCATCAAGATTATCCGCCGCCACGCACGTGTCGGCACACACTTTGGCTGTTGCATACGTTTTAGTCATATCCGCTTTAAAAATTTGTAGTTGACGATATTTCACACTATCCAAGAGAGAGTCCCCACTTTTGCTCAGTTTTCGATGTAGACGATTTAACATCGGATCCTTGACTGAATCTACGGGGAATCGTAAAAGGGCACCGGTGACCGTCTTTTGGAATTTTGCCACAGACATTGTGGAGTTGACCTTTAGAAAACGTGAACAATAACATCAGTAAGTTTAGGGCATTATTGTACAAATACACATTTTTTAAAGTTTCCAGTTTTAATTACACACATTTTGCAATCAGTTGCATTAAGGCACAAAATAATATTCAATACAGAAAATGTGTATAGAAAATTTCGATTTGGTATTATGGTCGTACATGATTTTTTTAGCCTACCAGTGCTGCTTTTGTCTGATCCGATAAGTTGGTTTCGAAATTCCATTTTGCTTGATGGTACTGCGATAATGCGGCTTCTGCTGACGGAGTGTACTCAGTGTCCACCCACTGTTTGAATGCTTTTTCCACCTCTCTAATGCAGTTGAAGTATTAAATTGAATTGATAGAAAGCTGAAAACATAGCACTGACTAAATTTTCGGTAATGGTTATAATTGTTTACTCGGGCGGTAGCGGTAACAAAGTCGTTACGGGGGACGTCGATGCTGTCGGTTCCTCTCTTGGCCTACGAGAAAGCAACATACAAGTATATAATTAACTTTGTACTAGAAAGCATACTTCCATAATTGTACTGTAGCTGCAAGTTGTTTTCCGAGTTTCTCTAGAACAGAAACTTGAGCTGCTAATGCATGTGTGCATCGTTAAACATTACATCGGTGTAGTGGGTGCCGGTGGCGGTACGGTTGGTCCATCGTTGACGGTGGCACTTGTGACAATGGTTGCAGAAGTAGGAGTTGTTTGCGATGCTGCCATGGAAAGTCGGTAATTACTGAACGCAGATATAATAAATTTAAATAACTTTTAAGTACGAAAATCTCACAGTCTGGCCTCTGGACCTTTGTATCCAAAAATTCGGTGCACAAATTTATTTTGAAATTATGTAACGATCTTATACAGTATGATTCTAGAAATGTTAATCTAATTGTACCGGCAGTTGATGCGACCGTTGTGGCTAATGGCGGTAACACATTAGGCGGTATATCGGGTAGGCTGCTGACCGGATGCGGTATGAATACTCCCGCTGGTATCCTGAGGATAGTCAACGGTGTAATCCCAGCAAAAGGATGCAGACTCGGTGGTAACACCGTCGACCCGGTAGTCCCGGGGATCTTCGACAGCGGGATGAGATGCCCTTTGGGGATATAAACCGCTTTCAACGGCGTCAGGGTCTCGAACACTTCACCGAATCGAAACAGCTTATGGCCATCCGCTTTTCGGTAGACTTTCAAAGACGAGAAGATTTTCTGGAATTTCGCAAACATCCTTCGCCGGAGATCCGTTCTCTGTCGGGTTGGGGAGGTGGGCTGGGCGTCAGCGATAAATATCCCCATGGGCGTGGTGACGGCGGTCAGCGGCTTAATACCGTACAGCGCTAGCACGTTACCAGCATCCACGGGTGGTGGCGGTGGCGGTGTAGTCGCTGTACTGGTGGTGCTTGGTTCCGTGGCTTGCCTTTTTCTGCGCATTTCATGCCCATCGTGCAGCGCCTGACCCAGCGCTTCCGCTAATAATGCTGCAATGTCGTTGGTTTGATCGGCTTCCGTGGCGTTCGGGTCCAGAAAGGACTGAGCGATAAAAGTACCTGGCGGAAGGAGCACTGGTTCCAGTGGTGGCGTGGTGACATCGGTTGGCAGATGGGGCTGGTTATCGCCATGCGGAGCGTCCTCTCTGGTTAATTTTATAAATTTTATAATAGAGCAGGAAGAGAAATTACTAACGATTAAGTGTAGGATAACCACAAAATGTGTTATATGCATCATAATGGCAACCTACTATGGGAGGCTGTCTGTAATCTGCGCTCATTAACTGGTGGTCATGTTTGTTTTGCTCGCGATTTTGGGTACGTGCAATACTCTACTCGAGTAGGATTTGGTGTTGAACGGAAGTTAACGGTAACAGCAGTCACCTTTACCCGTGCTTCAGCAGTTTTTAATTTTTTTTGGGTGATCATCGAAATCTAAGCATGGCTTTCGTATCGTCACCGTAAGCAGTTTAACTGTTCTCAAAAACTGCTGACAAGTGATCGACAGTTTAGAGTGTTGTGCATTAATTATTCATATAAATTAACCATAAGAGTGAAACGACCTTCCCGATCGATGTCCTACTCGAAACTCCCTGACAAAACAGTAAATAGCGTTTGTCTTTATTTTTGTTCGCGCAAACGCATCTCTCAAAATTTCTTATTTTCTAATTTTGTACATCTCCGTCGATTCTGTACTTTCTTTAATTTTTTTATAGACAAGATCGCGCGTTGCGTATGGAGCAACACCTCTGCAATCTGTTTACAGATACAGTAGTCACTTTGTTGAGCATGGTCTTAATCGATGCACTATAACTGGGACTGCTCATGCACATAATTATGACATTGTTTTTATTCCCCAGCTATCAAAGTAGCAGTTGTAAAAAGATTCTGGACAGTTATTGTGCCCGAGTGTCCGTGGTCTAATAACCGGCAAGAAACGTGTTAATTGTGACGAATCCAATCCAAAACGAAAAACATGTTCACTCAATATACATAAAATTAAAACAGTACATAAAATGTACATAAAATTAAAACAGTGTCTACGTGCTCCTGTAGAAAAAAAAACTAGGGCGTCCGATCGCAAATTACAGTTGCAGCTTTACAAAATTATCCACAGATTTAGGCGTCAGCAACCGCTTCTTTCGGTGGGATTTGTAAATAGACAACACCGGATCGTGTGCGTGTCTGCAGTCCTGGCGGCAACAGAACGCTTAAATTAACCGACTCCGCCGGTGTTATTGTTGTACTCTGCGATAAATCGTCGGGGTCAGGCGGTGGTGGTGGTGTGTCCTCGGTCGTGCCACTTGTTGTCGACTGCGCATGTTGTGGATCAAAATCGAGGATGTCGTCGGCGCTAGTGTCATCCGGCTGACTGGGCGTAGTACTGGAAGTTTTCTGTGTATTCTGCGACTGTGATGCTTTACTGTTCGTTGTGCTCAGTGACGAGGGACTCTTAGAAGATGCCCATGTCAGGGATGCTCTGGTAGTTCGTAATGTGGACGTTGTGACAACTGTTTCCTGTTTAGAAAAAGTTGATTTTACGGTTGTTCTCCTGGTCGACGTTGTTGTCTCGTCGAGGTCATCGAAAGGGGCAGTGTCGGTACAGGTTCATCGATATTTTCGGCCGAATGGCCACCTAATTCGTAACAAATTCTGCGCAACCTATATATGTCGATTGGCTATTCGAATTAACTTTTAACTTAACTGTTAATTAGTTACTGCATCATTTGTTTAAATGTGGTTTCGTGCCTTTGTTTACTTTTGTGTACTATCATTCTAATAATTATGATCATGACAGTACTTGTTGTAACTGTAAACGCTCCCCACGTTTTACAATTAACTGTTAGAGCAACGCGTGTTAGTTGATCGATATTTCTAATTGTTTCTTACACAGAATAACTTTACAGCAAATACAGAGTGTCTACGCTTAAAGTACAGTACAAAAAACTAGAATAATTTTATTTTAGTTATTTTTAATTAAGTAACCTTCTGCAAACTGCGTGTATTGCGCATTTTCAGCTCGTACAAATGTTTTACAAATACAGTGTGTGGAAACATACTGATAGCTTTTGGACAAAAATTAAAATTCATTAATACTGGCTCAGTAGGAGCTCGGTGTACTTGTACTAGTTATTACCATTGTTAAGTAGATGCTCTATATCCTCCTCTCCGAACAGATCACCGGCATCGGCTGGAAATTCTGGAAAGACTTCCGAGCCTAGTGAACGCAGCATCGCAACCATAAAATATTACATTAGTTTAATCTGTACTGTATACGAGTGTATTTGTAATAATTAAGATAATTAAAACAGACAACAAGCGAAGCAGAAGCATAGCAGAAAAAGCGAAATTGAGCAAAGCAAAGTCAAATCGAAACCAGTAACAATGTTCAAGGTAAAATCTTAAAAAAGAACATCAGCCGGGAGGCCATTAGATGGTGGTTTTGCCACTATACTGGGTGGAGGGGTTGGTGGGCCATTGAACACGGGCGGCAGTGATGCCATGGTCGATGAATTCGAGCTTGTGGTAGGAACAGTAGGCGTGGCAGTGGTAACTATACTGGTAGCGCTGGTAACTGTGGCAACCGGGGTTGTGCCGGCAGTAACAGTACTTGTCGTGACCGTGGTACTGATCGTCGTGGAATCGGTCAACAAGGTAACCGCTGATGGGGACGTTTGAACAACCGTCGAAGTGGCATTGGTAACCATTACGGTAGTTGTGGGACTGGTGATGAGACTGCTGATGGGAACGTTGGTGGGAGTGGTGACGACGGTGGTGATAAGCGGGGTTGCCGTTGCCGGTACTTCCGGCGGTATAGTCGTCTGCGTTTCCCAGAATTTATCGGCTTGGGTGGCGGAAGAATAATCGGTGCGTCGGTTTGCGTAGACGGCCAACTCGGCTGAGAAATGTTTGTCCCTGGTTTGCTTTCTACAAAGTATTATTTTTAACTAATTATCTGTTGATTTTTTATCTGCGTGGTAAAAACATTAATAGCAGTTTGTTTAAAAGAGTGCCAGCAAGCGCAAGCAAGCTAGACTATTATGCATAAATTCAGTAAGACGAAGTACCTGGCGGAACAATTTGTGAAGGAATATCATTGGGTAGTGCCGGCATCCTATGCGGAATAAAAATCCCACCGGCTAACTGCGTGAGAGTCAGCGGCTGAATCCCAGCGAAGGGCCGTGATGCTTCCGTGGGCGGCAATTCCTGCTTGCCGGACAGCAGGGGGGTCAGTGGGATAAAATAGCCACGGGGGATGTACACCGGCTCAACGGGCGCCAGTCCGTTGAATGTGCGGGCATAATTAAATGTGCCGCGCTGTCGACCGCCACTATCGGCTGACTGGCGCAGCCGCTGTATCACCCTGCTCAGTCCGCTGGTGAGACGCGCCTTACTCGCACCCGGCTGCTGCAACAACGCATCGTGCTGTACATCGCTTGATTGGTCGGAGATGAAAATTCCCATGGGGATGCGGATCGTGGTTAGCGGGCGAATGCCGCTGCTGCTGCTGGGAATTATGCCGGCGGCGCGACGACGACGACGACGCCGTGCACTGATTGGTTTACTGCTGGATGCGGGGCTCGTTAGCAGGCCATCCAGCACGTTTAGGATGGTGGTAATCAGCTCATCCTGTGCGGGGCTGTTGGGTAATGACGATGTACTATTGGATACGATGGACGGCATAATGCCTGATAGGGAAATATAATTCCCCGTGGGGATCAGCGCGGGCTCCAGGAACTGGAAACCGTCGTAGGGGCGGGCGTTTATCCGGCCATTTAGCGCAATTGCGGCAAAAGTAAAGTGGCTGATGTTTGAGATAATCAGCAGGAGACACAGAAATGTTTTTATATAGTGAAAAATATGTAAGGGAATTATTGATGAGTCCATCTTGCAGCTGGGGTTGTCAACAAATGATCGAGTTCGAAATTCACACCATTCGCTCAGCAACTGCGAGGCGCTTCCTTCTTAATAAGCCACGCCGCGAGTGGCGGAATAATTTTATGAATGGGAATGCTCACTTACTCCCATAGACTAGAGTGTTTTTCAAAATATAAAAATTAAATAATGGAATAATAAGTGAAATTATAAAAAAATTGAAATAATAAGCTAAAATACCGTAATTTAATATAAGTGCATTAATCATGGGCGAAGTTTATCAGTCTGGCCGATACACCGTACGTAATGTTAAAATGCATATGCGAAAAGTTAGCCAGCTGTACGTACAGTAGCTAAATATAATGGCTGATATCGATAACTGAAAATTAATGGCAAAGATTTGTCGGCAGCGATTTTTAATTGCCTGAATGTGTACGCGATAGTCCACTTCCGGTCATATGACAACCACAAACGACACGAACCGATCACACAGCGAAAACGGTGCTGTCGCAAGCTCTGAATTGCAATTTTTAAACGCTGTGGTAATGATTTTTTGGAGGTCTTAGCAGAATTTTACACGAATCAATTATATGCACGTTGCACTACAGATAGTCTCTGTTATTTTTACTGCTAATTAAGAGTAATAGCGTAGTTTTCATATTGTCACAATTTTATTTCACAAAAGCTTATACATATATGTAGACCGCATCCAAATAAATCTCTGGCTAACAGTTGTACTTTAATTTCGGATAAGTTATTTACTGCTTTTCGATTTACCCACTGGAATCAAGAATATTAAAAACAGTAAACTTTACACTTCTGTGACCATAATTTTATAAACCGATAGGATCGTTATGACATTGTATGTAATCGTACAGCAGCTGTATCAAGCAATTCATACGCACCACTATGCGCGTAGCAGAACGCGGTGCTTTTGATTATTCGCGTAACGTTCGTTTACGGCTGGTTAGCGCTGCTTTTATCGGTCGCATTTGCTCTTCAAATTCGACTTATTGAAATCACACCGTTTTGCATAATTGACTTGTAATCGATCCCGAAATTAGAAGGATTTCTGGCTGATGATACCACTGATCCGGCACTGGCCTCTTGAACAGGCGCAAATGAATACAGCTGAAAGATCACTAATTTGCACATTTCAGCGTCAGTCTCTAATGGTCAAAACGAAACAATTACCAACATCCTTCGGGCATTAGAGAGTGAAAATGTAAAAGAAGCATTTATAAGAAACAAACCAGTATGGGAGCAACCAAGAGATCGCTGGGTATACATGCGTACATTTGCGTGTAATTCGTGGTGACCTTTTAACAATGGCGGATTTTAACTGTAGTAAGAAGTCCTTTATGATACGCGATTTACTTGAATTGTCTGAGCAGCCAGTAGAAGGTGTTACAGAACGAGATGATCCTGCCCAGTCGGTGCAGGAACTGAAGAAAGGTCATCCCAGAAAGCGTAAAATGCGGCTGCAGCGGAGACGACGCACAGCGTTTTCTCGATCCCAGTTGACATATCTGGAATCCAAATTTCGCTGCCAGAAGTATCTGACCTTATCGGATCGCAGTCAGGTGGCGGAAATTTTGTGTCTTTCTGAAGCTCAGGTTAAATGCTGGTAAGTGCATCTTCTGGTGCAGCGTCTTTATTGTTGATATGCACACACCATAAATCTTAATTTCTGCAGCTGTACACGTTTGTCGCATGTATGCAATATCTATAACAGATCTTACTGACAGATACAGTTGTACATATCTGCACAGTACTCTACATGACTTTTTCTTTTCAAAGTGCTTTTCAAAGTATTAAATATTTTGCTTAAAGTGCAAATAAAAATACGCGCACGTTCCCTGAATAAATATACGCAAAATTTGAAAACATTGTATTAAAACTGGCATTTCCAGGCATATTTTTTGAGTTTGATTAAACAGAAAATTGTAATTACTACGCAAATTTGCAGTTAACACATACAGGGACCTTAATCTAATGATGTCTTATAAGAAAACCTTATGGCATGTATAGAAAACATGAAAATATCATAAATTACTGTCTGAGATGGTATTTTATTTAACCCGTTCCACACTATGCGTGTCAGGCCGACTGTTTTTCTCCTTTTCGCTTTCATGCTTTTGAAGGTTTCAAAACCGCCGGACAAAATGGAAGCGCCAGACGACATTCGCTAGTCGGGCTGAGCAGCTGCGTGAACACGCGGTCCATCACCAGAACGGCTGTCCGGCTGTGCCGCTTTTCCAATCAGGATCCAGTGGAAGCGAGTCCGACATCGGAAACTCCACGAAGATCGATGCCAGCCGCACCACGTCTAACTGCGGCAGCGATGTCGCTCTTCCGGCTCCAGCTCTCCAAGTCGTACAACGCTCGTCGGAAATCAGTGCTATTATGAATGGCATCGCTTTTCGCATTAATCCACGGGTCTTGGCTAATTTTCCACCGTACTTTTACTGTTAACTATGGCCGATGGGAGCTTGAAATGCAACAGAACCTGTAAAATTACACGATTTAGGCCTAAAATAATTGGGGCGCTAAATAAATATACTGAGTCAAAAATTTCATGGCCAGGCAGGCCAGCACATAATTGTACTTGTTTTACACTGCAGTTAAAGAATACATACGTACAATATATAGTATCTATATTTCATATACCTGTAGTTGTGCCCATACTGTAATATTGTACCTGTACTTACTTGTGCATTAATGATGGAAAATAGGCGCAACGGCATTGCTGCAGAATTTTTTTTTCGGCCAGATAAGTAACTATTTAATTAAATTAACTATTGTATTAAATCGTAAATAAAATTACAAAATGGAAGCAGCATTCTGAAGTGCAGATTTGTGGTTTCCTGTACTGCACGTGCATGTTGTCGTCGTATGCATGCCCGATAGTCGCGTACACCACGTGCATGCAAACAGCAACCTCGGCCATTTACTTAACACCCAAATCCTCAAGTGTGTCTGTTGATATACATTTGCAGCTTTCCTTCCGTTTGACCCACAGGTTAGGCGGGAGATTGATGAGCCATCGTATATTATACGATTTCCTATGCAAATATGTGAATAGCATTTTTTTCTGTGTCACACTCGTACAGTACTAGTTGTTGGTACTGCTACAGCAAGCCGTTTAGTTAGTACATTAATAATACCATAATGAAACGTATATTTGATTATGTACTGCATCCTGTACATAATCTGCGATATGTTTGCGGTATTTGGAAGTATCATATCACAGTAAACGCTGACGAAAACATACGTATGAATCGCATGTGCAAGTACCTGGGTTGTTAGTACAATACGTACGGTTGAGTTGTTAGTACAAAATTGTATACGTCACTATTAGTCAATTTATGCAAGGTCTTTATACCTGAACAGGGATGATTTTTCCGCAAAACACTGCCGAGTTTGCGGATGTTAGACCGTCGCCCAATGTGCTCGCTATCGTCGCGGTTGTGCCGCTGTGTGGTCAATAAGGAAGCTCTTAATATTCCTCTCGATTGTTTACGGAAAACGCCGCCGCTAACTCGCAAAATTTAACCCATATAAAAGATCGCCAGGTAATGGTTTGTTTTCATTATCTGTTCATTTCTATATTTTTTTCTGCGAATGAGAAACTACATTTGAAAATGTTTCACTTTGTAGCTGTTTCGTCTTGTGCGTTGGTTGTCGGTGTGATAACACTAGCTGGTGCACAGTATACGGCGGATTTCGTCTGTCCTACGGCGAAAGGTCAATTTGCCAATCCGGATAATTGTTCCGCGTTTTATAAGTAAGTATTCAAATTTTATGTGTTTTAGTAATAATAAATTTATATATAATCTTTTTTAGTAATCTTCGGCATGCTTTGTGCCGAACATGTGCGTAATTTTAAGTTTATTCTTATGTTTTTAATTTAATTACATTTACTGATTTACACTAGAATAATAATTATCACACAATTTTTCAGCTGCTGGGATTACGCATGGACAATTCAGTACTGTAACGAAGGACTGTATTTTGATGACAAAATCAAGGCATGCAACTGGGCCAGCGCGGTACCGTGTCCCAATGGTAATCCACAGAATCCCACGTATGGCCAATACAAAAAGGGTGCACCCGTGTCGCCGGCTAAGTTGTTTGACCGCAAATGGCCACGCTTGAAGTTCCAATCGTACACATCCACGGATAATAATGGGAATAGCGGTGCCGCATGCCCTTCCTCACCTCAGTATCCAAATCCGTGTTTGCGACCAGATGGACCATCCCCCGATCCGCAGAACTGCAGCGCTTATTACGAGTACGTACCAATTGCAAGAATTTGTGAAATCTAATTAAATTTGCAAATTTTTTGTACTAATACAAATTCAAACAACATTTTACAATATTACAGATGCTGGAAATGCGATTACACACACATGCAGGTAAACTATCATTGCAAAGTGCGGCTTGATTTACCGATTGCTCATTTATCCGTCTTCTTTTACATGCTTTAGTGTTGGCAAGGATTGGTTTATGATGACACTAAGAAATACTGCGCATATCCCACGGAGTCCACGTGCAAAACAACTGGAGGTACTTACATTATGTTTAATATTTAAAACCTTGAAAATCAATATTTTAATAGTGCATACTGATTTATTTTGATTGCACAATTTTTGTTTTTTTTCAGGAAATCCCAACCCAGGGGCCACAAACGGTGCGGCTGTACCTGGAAGCGCTGCCGTTAATCCTGCAGTACCTGGTTACAATGCCGGTAACCCCGCACCAGTACCTGGTTACAATGCCGGTAACCCAGCACCCGTACCTGGTTACAATGCCGGTAACCCCGCACCAGTACCTGGTTACAATTCCGGTAACCCCGCACCAGTACCTGGTTACGACGCCGGTAACCCCGCACCAGTACCTGGTTACAATGCCGGTAACCCCGCACCAGTACCTGGTTACGACGCCGCCAATCCCACGCAACCCACAACTGCTATACCGCAGCCGTACGGGCCGGTGACGGTGACCTCGGCTCCGAATCCATATCCTGCACCCGGAACTAACAATCTCTACCCAGTTAACCAATACGGTGCCCCTGGTGATAATACCGGCATCCTGAACCCAGGCGTGTATGGAGGAGTATCGGGAACGACCAGTGTACCAGTGCCTACTCCAAGTGCTGGAACTGGAGCGGGAAATCCCGGTTATCCAGGAGGAGCGGTCGATGGCGCTTACAATCCCACGGTCGCAGCAACCACGGTAACACCGAGTGGATACGGTAACGGCGCAGCACCTGGTCAAAACGGTTACCCTCCAGTAAATCCGGTTTATGACGGCAATCTAGTTACTACAGTTACGCCAGTGTACGGTAACCCAGTCGCCACCACCGGAAGTTATGGTGGCGGCCCCGCGCCAGGCGGATATGGAGACCAAGCGACACCATCACCTACTGTAGCATACAGTCCGACTCCTGCTCCAAATGAATATGGCGGGAACGCATTACCTGGACAAAACGGATATCCTCCAGCTAATCCAGACTACAATAACAATGCCAACCCGACGGTTAATCCGGGGTATGGTAACCCGGCCGCGACACCGGCTGCACCTGTTTATGGAGGCAATGTACCGGCACAGAACGGTTACGGCGATCCCACGGCATCGACATCCGGTCCGACGTCTGTTCCTCAAAATGGTTATGGAGGAAGCGCACCCGGAAACGCTGCATACCCGGCAAACAATCCTTCTTATGCCAGTGAAACCACCGTGACCCCGGCTTATAATGCACCACCGGCTAGTAATACATATGGCGAGACTTCAGTTGCACCCACCTATCCGGCGAATGGAGGAAGTAACCCGCAACCACAACCTTCGTATGGCGGAAGCAATGTCCCAGTCAACTCCATGCCCGCTAACCAGTATCCCCGTGACAATAATGGTCCATCTTTTGAGACCGGTGGTAACCAGACACCGACGCCGGCTGCATCCTACCCTAATGGTCAACCAGGTTATGATAGCGCTGTTGTTACTACTGCACAACCGGTTTATAACGATCACACGACAGTGACCTCTGGAGCCGGAAGTGGTTACGACGCCACCACCGTTGCTCCGGGTGGGTCGACATTCAGCCCGTACAATACCTATGGAACGTTCAGCCCGTATAACACATTCGCGACGTATCCTACCATTCCCACAATGTTCCCGTGGTCTGGATCCAGTGAGACTACTTCTGCCTATAATAATGGGGAGCAACAACCGCGGCACCGGTAGCCAGTACATACGCACCTGGGGACAATAGTTACGGAGCACCGTCCAATGTTCCTCCCGCAAATTACGTTCCTCCTGCTGCAGCCTATCCCGCGGACACCACGGTCATTCAACACCCGGACTCGGGGACGACAGTGTACGTAACCAATAACATTATGACCACGATTGTCGTAACCAACCGGTCTCACAACAGTACCGCAGCGCCACCGGTGGGATATCTGAAATCGGAGCAGCTCCGCCAGCCAGTATCCTTCCGCTGTCCCAAAGGGTCACAAGGAGTTTATGCCGATCCTAATGACTGCAGTGCTTACATTACGTAAGTAATTACAAATACGTATTTTAAAAAAAATTCAACATAATCTTTGGTTCCACATAATTTTATCCACTGTTTTCGATTACTCTAGTTGTATGCCCGGCGGCGGCTGGTATCGTACACACTGCCCATCCGGCTCCGTATTCGATGAAACGAAGAAAGAATGTTCCGCCAGCTGGGATACAGGCGTGGGATGTCGTATGATTATGCGTAAGTGATTTGATGCTAATACTGTAATTACCATCAAAGCACGAATTACAACAAAATACAAATAACTGCATTTCTTAACAAAAACACATTTTCACAGCATGTACGTGTTTTCAGTTCTGAGTTACTTACATTTAAAGCGAAGTTTTTTATCATTAGCGAGCTCGCAAGTCGGAAACAGTGCTGACGAGGTAGAACGCGAGGTCATCACCCGTCCACGTGCACCGACCAATCCCCAGATGTTTTCTCCACAGAAAGAGGCTCGACCTGGACACGGCCAACTGACCGCTGGTCAACAAGTTCAGTATCCCTGGGCACCAGTTGTGAATAACCAGTTGTTGCGCCCCAAACGATCCCTCCACAACGAGATTGACGATAAGGATTTTGTATGCCCAGAAGCGCAGGGATTATATGCACACGAAAGCGACTGTACGTTGTTCTGGAGTTGCGGTGATGGACAAATCGCCTTCTTGCAATCGTGCCCCAAGCCGCTTTTCTTCAACTTCACTGAACAGGTGTGCTTATATTATAAAAAAATGTTATGTGTTTGTAGTTTTACTTTCGAGAATGATTTATTGCTGTGGAACAGAGTACTGTATATATTTTTTGCTGGTTAAATGTTAAACTTGTACGAAAAATTTATTCTGTTATAGCGTTGTGAATGGGCTCGTGGTGGCAAGTGCGTGGACGGAAAGGTCATTCTTCCCGCTAATCACCATGATGATCCAGTTCCGCCTTTGGTGGCGACTACCGATGCACCCGCCCGTCGGGATCCGGATTTTAAGTGCCCAACAGAAAACGGCATTTTTGGGCATCCCTTTGATTGCTCCAAGTTCTATCACTGCGAGAACTGGCATCCGCGTCTGCGAACCTGTGGTCAAGGAACACTCTACGATAAGGAAAAGCGAAAATGCGAAAACGAACAACACGTCAATTGCCAAGGTCAGTAATTACAATCGATCTTAATATCTATTAACTGTTTATTTATTATTAATTATCAATAAACACACAGCAAATGAAAATAATAATAATGCATTTTAAAATACCCGATAAGTAAAATAAATATATATAGCAAATTAGCATTCAATAAGTAACACATATATAACGAAAATTAATACTACACAAAATAATAATGTAAAATAATATTATTATATTAAGCGAAATATGAATAGGTAATTATTAGGTATACTTTAAACATATAGTATACATTTTATGCTTGACCCTTGACAAAATAGCATGAAAAACTGTTGCGGAAGCGATGATGCTGCTTCCGGGTCATGTCATAGTTATGTCAGTGTGATAGGTCAGATGGCCAGTGTCAACATGAATGAGTTTGTCTTACAGGAAGCCATCAGCCCCGATCACGCAAATTTATTTGTCCTCGCCGGCATGGCTACTTCCCGGATCCACAGAGCTGCCGGCGCTTCTACCAGTGCGTCAATTTCCGCTCCTATCACTTACTATGTCCCGGTAATCTGCTGTGGAGTGAGGCGAAGAAGGTCTGCGATTGGCCGCAAGATGTGCCATGCGGTGCCGGTTTCGGCCATAAGCCCCATTTTAAGTGCCCCAGACCCAATGGAAAGTTCAACCATCCCGTTGCGGACGGAGAGTAAGTCAATCGTACTATGAATATTTATATTATATTTTCCGCAAAATTTCTCCCAGCCTGTTGCTGTTATATCCCTGTGGCCTTAACTAACTGCATGATATCCTCTGCACTATGTTTTGCTTAAGCATTGAGGATCTGGATATTTTCTTCTTAGATGAAAACTAAAAAACATGTTTAATTTGATAGTTATTACGAATGCATAAATGGGACTTCACACCTGAAACACTGCCCACCAAACCACACATTTGTGGCGAATTTGCGAATGTGTATGCCGAATGATATACTGCATCCAGTGGCCTCGACAAAACCCACGACTACCGCCGTGCCAGTTTCCGACCCCACTACCGTCACGCACACTTCCCCAGCCAGCACCAAACCAACGACTACCGGCACAGATGTTACCGATCCGGCTAGCACCGAAGCACCGACTACGGAACCGGCAATTACCGAGGCACCAACTACAGCTGCAAACGTTACCGAACCGGCTAGCACCGAATTGCCAACTACTGAACCAGCTACTACCGCAGCACCCACTACAGTTGCAAACGTCACCGAACCAACAAGTACCGAAGCACCAACCACGGAACCGGCTACCACTGAAGCACCAACTACAGCTGCAAACGTTACCGAACCGGCTAGCACCGAATTACCAACTACTGAACCGGCTACTACCGAGGCACTCACTACCGAACCGGCTAGTACCGAAGCCCCAACTACCGAGCCGGCTACCACCAAAGCACCATCCACGGAACCGGCTACCACCGAAGCAACCACTACAGTTGCAAACGTTACCGAACCGGCTAGCACCGAATTACCAACTACTGAACCAGCTACTACCGAAGCGCCATCTACAGCTGCTGCACATGTTACCGAACCGGCTACTACCGAACTGCCAATTACAGTTGCAAACGTTACCGAACCGGCTAGTACCGACGCCCCAACTACCGAATCTTCTACAACAGAATCCCCAACTACCGAATCACCTACCACCGAGACACCCACTACCGAATCGGCTACCACCGAAGCACCAATTTCAGTTGCAAACGTTACCGAACCGGCTAGTACCGACGCCCCAACTACCGAATCTTCTACAACAGAATCCCCAACTACCGAATCACCTACCACCGAGGCACCCACTACCGAACCGGCTACCACCGAAGCGCAATCTACAACTGCAAATGTGACCGAGCCGGCAACCACCGAATTACCAACTACCGAATCACCTACCACCGAATCGCCAACGACCGAACAGGCTAGCACCGAAGCGCCATCTACAGCTGCAAATGTGACCGAGCCGGCATCCACCGAAGTACCGACTACCGCTGCACCTGTTACCGAACCTGCCACCACCGTTGCAACAAGCACCGAAGGTATTTCAATATGACTTACTATCCATAACGTTTTGTGCAGGTTTTTCTATAAAAAAAATTGTATAACAGGAAGCACACCCGTAGTTTCGGGAAGTTCCGATTCAACCACCACGGCAACTACTACGGACGCGTTCACATTTACACTCCCATCCGAAGAAACCTCATCGACTGAAGCGGTTACTACTACTGCTGGTCCTGTGAGTACTGATTCCTCCACTGCAGTGCAGCCAAGTTCAACAGAAATTCCCGTCTCGGAAACAGCAGCCCCCGTTACCGAGGCCACCTCCAGTGTATCGAATTCGGATACGACGAATTCCGGTACCTCCACTGAAGGGAATCCACCGATAACCGAAGATTCGACCCCAACTTCTGGTTCGTCTCAAGATACTACCGTTGCTCCTACCACTGTGGAAGTTACCACTTCTTCACCGGTCGACGACTTGTCGACAACCAGTTCGCCTGTCGAGGTGACGACCCTAGTAGTTGAAGAGGTCACCTCTTCCGGAACAACCATCGCTCCGGAAGTGACAACCGAAGCTGCAGTAACCGCATCGGAGGCCGCAACTGTTACGACTACTTCAGGCGTGACCGAAGGTGACACCACAAGCAACCCGGTTACCGAAGGCACATCTACTGCATTACCGGTCGAAGAAACCACCCTTGCAAGCACAGCAACGGAAGTTCCTCAAACTACGTCAGTTTCCGATGTCGCCACCAGTGAAGTTACCGTTACGAGCACAGCACCTGTAGAGGTCACGACAACGGACGCGGCGGCTAGCACAACTTCCGGTTCAGTCGTTGAAGTCACCACGACCAGCGCGGCTACCGATAGTACGTTTTCAACAACATCGGCAGTTCAGGATTCTACGAGCACGGAATCTCCCTCCACCTCCACCGCCGCTCAAGACAGCTCCTCTCCAGTGACCACAACTAATGCAGAAGTAACAACCATACCTGACGCAGCCACATCTGAGGCGGTGACGTTTACGTCGCTACCAGTTCAGGATGAGACAACCGTTGCAACAGCCGCTGTTACCACCGAAACACCAACTGCTGAAACAACAGCTGTCTATACTACGACCCAGGTTTCCAGCACAGATCACTCAGTTAACCCCGAAGTGCCGACAGGTGCACCAACCGACCCCACCTCCACGAGTGGGACGGAAACCCCGGTACCAGTAACCATGTCGTCAACCGAGGTTTCAGCCACCGTTTTCCTGGAGCCCACCTCCACAACACCGACCAGCGAAAGTACAACGGCCGCAGAGAGTGCATCGACTATTGGCGGTACCGATTCCACGACGCCGGTATCTGAGGTCACCACTTCCCAAGTGACTAGTGGATCCGAAGGCGGCGTGACCGGCGAGACCACCACCGTGGTCGTTACCTCTTCGACTGGGGCAGTCAACTTGCCAGATAGTCCATCCAACGGTAGCGTACCGATCACGCCGATATCCGGCAGCGGCGATGATGCCGACGGGGTCATGGAGCGCGTCGATGGTCCTTCCATAATTCACATGTCCATTCCAAAGAAGTTGAATTAACGTATACTTCACACAGTCCAAACAGCTTTCCTTGTTAAAGAAATTTTCCGTTTCGTGGATGAAGAGTTTATGGCAGAGAGTTTTATGTACTTAGAGTTTGTTACAGTTTATACCGTAGTAACTGTTTGTTGTTGGATATTAATAAAGTTTCAGCATGATGATCACGACGGTGGACGTCACACAAAAAAATTTCAGTAAATAATCGGTTTTACTATAATTTGTAAGCCAAAACTGTTGGGAGCACTTATGCCTTCGAGATAGAATGTCAAAACCCAAACTACTCGTACAAGCAAGGTACTTACATAAATACTCTGTACAAGATGCCTATGAACAGTACATAGATGTATACTGCTAAAAGTTATTACTACATAATTACATAAAATTTTATAAATATTACTGCACAACACATTGAACACATAGATTTTAATTTGGGCAGGGTCGTGATTAAATGTGATATGTCAAAGATTTTAAATAATTATTAGATGCAAAAATTAACGAGATAGCAAAATACTGGGCAAGCATTACGAGCAGCAAAAAATAATAATTATTATGCGCAAATACGGCATTTACTTACCAACTACTGCTATTATCACACCTCAGATTATACAGTACTCGTAGTTTTTCTAATTCTGTTCCTAATTCTTAAAAAAAATCTGTGTTGCACCAGCTTCAAAAACTCAAAGTGAAAAATTGGTAGTATTAGAGAGCAATGTCAATAACAGGCATTAAAACACACGCATGTGGAAAATCCACACACAGTGGACTTTTGTGGGAAGACGCACCGGAGTGCAGAGGATCAAGGAGCTATGAGTCAAGCCGCTACAAAGTTTGCTGGTTTGCGTATAATTGGTTGAGCCTTAAATTCGAAGCTTTTGGAAATACGGTGATGCACCCACTATTTCCTGTACACGGTGTGCACCGCTAACGAGTTATCAGGCGCTGCGCATTTTCCAGTGGTGAGGATTTACAGCGCCTTGCACCACTTGCCAAAGATCGCGGCGGATAAATCATAATCCAACTTGCCTTATCACGGATTGAACGATGTATCATTTCGTTAGACATTTTTGACTTCCTGGTGCGGGCAGCGTTTGTTTTTTTTTCTCTCGTGGAAATCATTTTCATAATGTACATAGTTTAACCATGTGTATTTAGTTTCTATTATGGTTTCCATATCTTAATGCCTAAGTTAAGAAAGATCTGAATGCTCCGCGATCCAGCGCTAGTCGATCCTGTCTTGATGCACGCGCTGGATCTCTCCTCACGCCCGCTGCCGTTTTGCTGCCATATCTCCATGAAGTAAGTATAATTAATTCATCCCACTGATAACACGACGTGGCCCCGTGCCCATCAGGGCCAAAAAACGGTGGCAATCTGGGATGACGTCAGACATGTGCCTACGCCATCTTTCAGGCATCTGCTGGGTTCGCCAGCGTCAGTAATCGGTGTCTGATGATATCATCTGTCTCTCCCACAGTTAGCTCGATGCAACCGGAAGGATACCATAAGAAATTCAACATGCACGGTCACGGACAGGCGTACATCGCGCAGCATCAGGCGCTGGCCGCCCATCCGCAGCGTCCCGTCCATGTGGGCGTCCCGGCCATGCCCAGCCCCGGCCAGGTCCCCGTCGCCCCATTCGGCCAGGCCCAGCTGATCGGCCTGCCGCCCCCCGGCAATCAGCCCTTCCTCTTCCCCACTCCCATGCATTCGCAGTTCGTTCAGGCTGGACAGCTGCCCCAGGTCCCTGGCAACGTGCTGCTGACGGAGCAGCCCGTTCTCTTCTGCATTCCTATGATCTTCAATACTCGCGAGATGACTTGGAGCTGTCAGTCGGGATTCTACGTTCATCCGTAAGTATGGCGACTGTTGTTATTATACCAGTATTAAAACAGTTTCAAATAAAATTATAAAACATTCAATCAGGGCTGGCACTCAAATTTTTAACTCGGTAAATGTTAAATGAGCCGTAAAATCGGTCCTTAGAAGGTTCTAGAGTAAAGCCTAACAGTTTTGTGATTTATGCTCGATTATTTGGTTTAGCAGTTTTTTAAAACAAAAATTGGTCTTTTTGAATGTTGCTGTTTTTTTAATTTGATACAGATTTTGCTACAGTATGGCGGTAATATACATACGATGGGTAGATTCTGTGACAGTGTTATAAAGGCATGAATTGGAAAATTATATTGGGTATATACGTAAATGAACTTCGAATAGTTCTGGGGAGCACCTGTTCTGTCTCACCTCTTCCTTATCGTTGCCATTGCATTTTTCGTATTGTGTGCGGATTAGACGCTAGACACCCCGCTGATTGTTATGATCGATGAATGGTGCGACAGCGATAAGAGATCGTTACATAATGGAGGCATCGTAAAGATGTGTATGCAGCATGTAGGAGAGCCTAACGGCGTGGTATTATGTAACATGTCTTGAAATTCCGTTTTGAAAGGAGATGAGCACTCACCCTAGTCAGCAAAAAAATGATGTGAAAAGCATAACAAAGGGGATTAGCATTACTAGTACAACCGTTTCGATAGTGAGGATAATGGAGGAGGAAGTAGATGTACGCTTGCACAATTGATTCCGTAGTATTAAAAATGGGGTTGTTTTCGATTTTCTGGGATGTCTGGTAATTTGTTGCACATAGACTGCAGATTTTTATTAATATTGGAGACTATTAGACTCGTTAACGTTGAAAATTATGAATCTGTTTTTCTGGTAGAAATACTTCAACATTCGTCGCTGGCTACCACATTATGCATCATGGCATGCAGCTGCCGAACGGATTTGGCGGTCCTAACCCGAATATTGCTCACTCGCAGCCACAGACGGGATCTCCGAGCGGATCTAATTATACCGACAGCAGCAGTTCTGGTTCGCGAGATAACTTGGTCGCTCATGAGCCGCATGCGCGCTCTCCGGGCAGTCATGGCGCTGTTCCTCCAGTCAGTGGGGCCATGGTTAATGGTATGTTTAGTCTCCCGACAATGTCATTATGGTGCTACTGCCGGCAGTAGACTCACAAAATTCACAATCTCCAGTCATTATTAAATCTTATTTTCTTCTACAAGGTGGCATCATGTATGGGTATCCGCAACATCATATGGGGCATATCGGTGTGCAGCAGCAGAATGTCAGCGGAGCGGGATTTCAATCGGGTTTGCCAACTTCTTACGCACAAGGGGGACGTAATATTCAAGGAGTGCAAGGAGGCCAGTCTGATAATGGTATGTGGAATCTGTAAGGAATCATAATGGGAAAATTCATAAAAAGATTTGTACATTGTTATTTTGGTGGCACCGTGGCAGTCATACATAACATAACATATTCGCTTTTGCAGCAAACAATGCAAGCCGGATGCAGGCAGACGGACAGGTCTTGGTGGGTTCGGCGGAAGGGGATGAGCGTAAACCGGCTGAACAGGGGAATCGTGATATCCAGGACGGATCGTCGACGGTCCAGTCGCGCTCAAGTTCACTGGGTTCTGCTTTTGAATCTGAGCGTATGTCTGCTGTTTAATTTTTGTTTTCTGCTGTTTAATTATTTGTTTTGGGGTGGTATGGTATCAGGGTTTATGTTTTACAGAGCCTCATGAAGGGGATGGTGATGCTGCGGATGGTGGTCACAAAATGGGTATGTCTTGAATATATTTATTTTCGTACTGGAGATTTTAAAGTCTTTAGCGTATGTCGTTACTATGGCGTAGAATTTTGTAGATTGGCTTTCTATATCAGTTGCGTGCTGATGTTATCCGTTTATTCGTGTGCATAATTTGCAGATGGTCATGAGGGCGGTGATTATTCTCGCTCATCGTCGTCGGATGACGCAGAACTGCCAGTTGGGGGCGATGACCACACAGTAGAGGAGCTGGAAGCCATTTCTCGCGGACAATCAGGTACAGTGGGGTTTATCTGATCAATCTGCGCAGCAGTTGTGCCATGGTGACGTTAATAGCGTCTCTGTATTTATCAGGAATGAAATCAGCGGTGTCGGAACAGGCCGAACCGAAGTCCGTTGCGTCGCAAGTGTATCAGCGCAGCGGACAAAATAGTCCAGCTGTGGAAGTGATGGGACGCAGTGGATCGGCGGTAGAGGGGGCTCTGCTGCACGATGCGGACAAGGATCTCTCGCGTACATCTTCAATGAGTTCGCAGACGAAAACATTCACCGCGGAAGGCAATGGAGGAGATGCGGCACGCGGTAGTGACTCTCCTTTTGTGGACCAAGCTCGTCTGTCTAGTCACACTCCCGATCGGGTAATTAAATGCTAACAGTAGGAATGATCTATGGCTATAGGTTTTTCGTTGTTCATTTAGGCTACGGGAAAAGAATCTGACCAGAATATTTCACCAAGTGCGATTCAGCAAGATGGGGTTCCTGCTGCAGTTGCGGATGGTATGTCAGTTTCGAATAATGTTCCATTTCAAGTAGTTAGGGAGCATCTGTACTCTGTAGTAATACATTGTCAGATTTAGAATGATTTTTAATATTTTTACAGCACCCCAATCGTCAACTCCCAAATCCTGGGCGGATTTGGCTGCACGCAACGTGTCGAAGCCGGCGGCCGCGGCTGGTAATAAGGCTTCAGCGCGTCCTACCATTACTCCGCGATCTGAATCAGCTAGCGAGCGCAAATTGCTGGATAAGACCGTTGTGGTTAAACAGCCGGAGAAGGTGATGCCGGTTATGATTCAGGCCCCGAGTCGTCCGGGTATGACTTACGGTGGTAGCCAGTATCGTCCGACAAACTCGGTATGTTGTCTTTTTATTGAAATAGCTGTACTACAGTTCACGGTATTGATTCGCGCCTAAATATTGTGAGGCTTATCTTGTTGCTTGGGTGGGTTTAGGGTGGTGGTTATATGAACAACGGAGCATCGCGCTCATTCTATCAGCAACGCCAGCCTGGTACGCCTCGCGATTACGAATTTCCTCGGCTGGCTCGTGAGGATGCTGAAAAGTTCCCGAAGATCAGCAGATCTACATGCAAAACCTACCTCGTCAGGTGTCCACTACAATGATTGCCGAAACCATGCGACGTATGCAGTTACTGCTGTCTTGCTCAATTGCCCAGATTTTAAACTGTGTTTTAACAATTTTTAGGCTTTGGGGAAGTTGAGGATGTTCGTCTGCGTTACCATTATAACACCCAGGATATGGTAAGCTTTTAAACGTTCAATCATGAAGGATTTTCAAAATTATATGCCAGTCAAAAGTGGACTGGAACCTGGTATATGAATTTGTATATTAAACTCTTATTGAAAATTGCAGCGATTTTGCTTTGTCCTGTTCAAATCCCGTGAACCCGTGGAACAGTTGTTGAGCATGCAAGAAATCCAGCTTGGAGATCATACTGCCAAAATTCAGCGAAAGCCGCAGACTACCAACACCAATACGACTCGATACTATCACCAACAGCAGCCTCAGGATTATAACAAGCGAGAGTGAGGAAGGGCGCGAACAGTCAATAACGGCACCAAAAAAGTAGTAATTTGCCTTAAGATATTTTCTTGCTAAAGTTGAGCTGAATTATGCTACGTCTGATTCTGATAATGTTTTTTTTGTATTCTTCTTTTTAGCAATTTCGTATTGGTTATTTTCGTTTTGCTTTTAATACTTCTATTTGATGAGCGCTTTGCGTCTAACTTTCTCAGCCTGTTTACTTGAAAAAGTTCTAACGAATTCTTTCAAAAGAGTTTAACGCTGTGGTACCGGACGAGTGAGCTGCAACAGGTTTCCCGTGGCTGAGCAAATGCCACAATATTATTGACGGATATTTAATGGAACGACCGCTGACCGTTGATGAGAGTTGTCTTTCCCGCTGAAATAGATTTTGTTCCTTTTTTTGGCTCTCGACCGCATTGAGCTAGCTATTCCGTCATCGACTGTGCTCTTATATATTTTAGTTTAGTTTCTTGGGGTTTTCTGGTATTAGCGGGAATTTGCTGGAAGTTTACTGTGAGAGAATGAAATCTCGTCTTTTTTACTTGGAATGTTGATTTGACATCTGCTGTTTGAAAGCTCTTCCGAATTTTGTGACTGTTTTGACTCCCTTCCTTCTTTCTCCATCATTTTCTGTGCTTGGTTATTATTATTTCCTGCAATAAAATTGAAAAAAACCGAGACCCTTAGCTGGTTTTTGTTGGTCATTTTATTTTTTTTATCTTTTAAAGTTCAGACATACATATATATACGGACGGAGCTTTTATCCTGATAAGTGACCTTTAATACAGATTCTGCTGTAGAGGCAAACACCTAGGAGTTTTAAGGTATTACGAATAATATAATTATGATTTATTCATATAATCATATTTACAGCACGACACATGAGTGCTTAACTGACTTTTCCGTTTATGTACAGTAATTCCCAATTTACAACGAGTACGAAGAGAAGTTCTGTATTAAAACATAGTAAAATACCTAATACGGTAATGCCTGTTTACCTGAAGTTTTAAATTATTTTTCATTAACAAATACAGGTACAGTAACTCTGTGAAGATCAATGTGTTTTCCTCTGACTATCGCGAAATACTTAAACGAAGATGAAAGAATGTAGAAAGAATTCTACATTTCTGTTGATAAAAATTAGTACAGTGCAATAATCATCATGAATCATGTTGTGTTCATTCACTTTCATAATCGATTGATGCTTGATGAGTGATAGTTTCCGAAGCTTTTGTTAAAAGTGCTCGTGTTGTAATTTGTAATAGTATACGAGTACTTGTAAAACTTTAAATACCAGTTGAAACTTTCATAATAGAGTACTTCATATTATCTACAGTTTTATATTTAATATACCTGTTTGCCGTTATGTACAACTTTAAATACGCAGTGGTAGTACTACGATAGTAACGATTTCACTATAGTGCTACTACCACCAGTCTACTATGTACTACCGTACTACTACTAGACGCTACTACGACTACTATGCTACTACGACACTGTAGCAAAGTGACGGCAAACTGGCAAAGTCAACCCCGACGCCCTACCGCGATTCACCCACGAGTCAACACAAGTGCTGTACGATACTGTACGAGTATCTGGAGTTGTATTTGAGTTACAGTTGAGTCGTTGACTGTTGAGTGACAAAATTTTTTTTGCTTCTGTGGAATATCAAGAACGGAATAAGTACCAGGTTATGTAATCGAAAAACATTTGAATTTTGGAAAAATTCCCCTTAATTCTGCTGCCCATATGCTATTGGTTTGTGAATGATTCAAAAGCTAACGTCAGAAAACTAGGAAAAATGCCCCTCCCGGGTAAAGCGAAAGATACTCAGCCAGCGAAAAAGACTGGAATCATTTCTGGCGTACTGAAGAAATTCCACGCTACCAAGAACTCCAGCTCAAAATCCTCCAAGAAAAAAGCGAAATCATCCGACCGACCGCCATCCAATCCGAAATTGGATAGCCAGTTGAATCCCGCCGCCGAAGAAATCATCACACTGTCGTCGGGCAGCGAGGACTCCGGCGTACGTCGCAGTTCGTCGCCCGAAGACAGCCAGTGTCTCGATCGCATCAGTGATGTACAGGCGCCTTATTTCGCCCGGAAAAAACCCTTGGCTAAAAAGGAGCTCAACAGCCAGGGCCAGTCGGATTCGGATTTATCCGAAGGGGAGATACGGGATGGAGACTCGGGGAGGCTGGCGGTGGAGGATGAAAAGCCAAAGAAGCAAAAACCATTGGCGAAACGGCCCGTTAACGCAACCAAGGCAGATGCACCACGCAAGACGGAGAAATCCAGAGCCGACACCGATACTGGTAAAACCAAAGCGGGCGAGAAAGGAACAAGTGGTAGCCAAGTGGCCAAGGTGTCTTCTAAGCCAAAGTTGGAGTCGAAAAACAAATCACTTGGTGAGAACAACGGGCAGCGTGATCAAGAAAGTTCTTCCGTTTCTGTTAGCCCTGGTAAGTTATAAAATCAGGTAAATTTTTAGCGCGTTTTCATCGGGTGCTAGTCAGTTAGGACTCCAACTTTAGCTTCACATTTTTGTTTAAGTGAGATTATAAAATTGTAAATTAACAGTTGAAGTGATTTGGTAATGTCGTGATTTTTTTATAAAAGCTTATGATGCTTATCCTACAATTTAAGAGCGGTAAAAATAACGTGAGTTTTTATTTGCCTTTGATAACTTGGCGCACCATGTTTCTTTAATTTTATGAATCAGTTGAATAGCGCATATGACACAGAAGTTCCCTGTGCTGATGTTTATTTAGGAAAATTAACGTGAAGTTTGCAGAATTGATTTTGTTTTCTAGGTCCTTCGAAAACGGGTGGGAATTTTGTGAATGGAATTACCACGAAAGACGATATATCTCAGAAAAAGAACGGGTACAACGTTTTCTCGATCATTCAGTAAATTTTTCCAGATTTTTTTCGTATTTTCTTCTGTCGCATTCTAGTTTAAACTTTAAAGAACAAACTAGTACCACGAAAAAAGTCAGCTGTAGAATTTAGCACAAATCACATGCGCAATGATATATCGTGGTACGTAAGTACAGGGAGCAAATAAATAAGTAATTTGCTTCATTAGCGTTTGGTTTTGATATTGTTGCAGACCAGCGACTGCCGAATCGGTTCCCTTAATCCAAGTGTCATTTCTGAATTCCTACCTGAAAACGTAAGATGATACCCGCAAAACTAAAAATGCTGATTTCTGCTAAAATTATCTGTTATCTAGGAAATACGATTCTACATTTCGCAAGCTTATTGAAGGAATTATCGCGCGCGAGCAAGCTAATTTGACGGAGATTTATGCTGCTGGGGCCGAGAATGAGGCAGTAAGTCCCAGTTCACAAATCACAACCGTATTAGTCCTAAATGTGTTAAAATAAGATGTGTTGTCTTTCATTTGCACTTGCTCATTAGGTGGATGTTGTTTACCATGATTGTTTCGAAATCGACACGAATCTTGCCGGCAGTGACGATGAATCGTCCGACGAAGAAGGCGACCCATTCGGTCTTGATATGGCAAAGTGTGTTCGATTAATACTCGGGTTGAACGATTAGCAAGATCAACGCTGTTTGTGTGTTTTAGCATGGTTTCGCTCGCTTTACCGGAGGTTGCTAATGCGGAAGTGCCTACCGCCCAGGAACTAGCCGTTACCAAGTTAGTATTCACAACAATAACCCTTGCGGATTTTAAATTTTGTTGATTTGATAAATTATTCTTTATATAGAAAAAAGTCAGGTTGCTTTAACTGCGGTGGAAACCACAACCTGTATGATTGCACGGAGCCGCTTGATCATGCTCAGATCAACAAGCGCAAACAGGAATTCTTCAACTCTGCCCCCATGGCCGGATCGTACGTGCAATGCAAGCGTTTGTGTATGTCGAATTGTGTTTCAGCTCGAATTATTTTGCAGAAATCGCTATCATGAGAATGTTCCGGATGAAGATCGTGTTCGCCCCAGCGATTTCCCCGACTGTGGGCCGGGTAAAATAAGGTAGATACGCCCTGATACGGTGCTGCTTGTAGGCCGGTACTTTGACGCGGATGTTGCCGTTTTTCGTGCTCTCTGGTGGGTCTGCAGTGCGGATTTGCAGAGTGCTCTAGGTTTAGACCGGAAAGAAGTGCCGCCGTGGATTCTGCGGATGCGCAGCTGTGGTTTTCCGCCCGGATACATCCGCAGTTGTGTCGTCGAGAAATCGGGCTTGGATTTCATTCATGAAGTCGGTAAGAGGCTGTCATTTTAAATAGGTAGAAATCCAGGTACTCTATTCCCTTATTCATTCCCTTACCCGTAGTATCCATTCCCTGGTTTAGACGGTAATTATTAAGTTATTGTTTAAAGTGATTACGTTGATGCAGTGTTGTCTTATCGTTAAGTTGCTGGTTTAATAATTATAGTTAAGTAGCTTACGTCAGGTATTTGTTTTGTAGATGACGTTGCCGCTGAAGAAGAAGGAGGTAAATAAAAGTGCAATATGAATAAAAGAAATTCCGTTTCATTAAGTATTTGGTAATAAATTTAGTCAGCTGCTGACTTGTGTATGCTTGTAGTTAAGTTCGATTTCTCGAAATTGCCATCTTATCCCGGATTTTCCGCACCTTTTACCCGGGAAGTACAAAGAGTAAGTTATGAATTTATGCAGCTTTGTATCATCTGCTTGACGGGTTTTGTTTGAAGGGACCTTTCTTTCGCCACTACGAAGAACCGTTGCTCCTACAGTCCAATGACACCGTGATCCGTCTCCTGCAGAGCGTGGTAAGTGTCTGGATAGAAGTTCCGTGCAGTCGCAATGGTTTTTGTCACCAGGCACCCGCACCATCCGGCCAGCCACGCTCCCCGTCCCCGGAGGTGGCGGATATGGACATGTCCGACGAGGAAACCAGCACCCGTCACCAGCCGACCTTCGTCTGCCCCTCGGTTATCCCCGCATCACCGGACGCATCTCCCAGCAAAGAGATCGTCAGTCTGGGCAGTGGTGACAGCAGTCGTTACGCGTCCCAGGAGAGTCTATCATCCATTCAGGGTTTGGAAGTGTACGATGTGGCCCGCAACGGCGGCATGGTGGGTGTCAGTCAGCAGGTGTCTTTTGAAATTGTGGAAACACTGACACCGGTGACGACGCACCAGCCCCATGAAGCCCGTGTCCTTAAGTCGACATCGATGATGTTCCTGAACAGTGTGGTCAAATCAGCCGATCTGCCGCATTTGGATAGTTTTGCCGCCGGTGTACCGTTGTTTGTGCACGATGAAAGTCCGAGCACGGGGCGGTATCATAATATCCGCAATACACTGGCGGAAACCAGGAAGCGTAAACGCGACACGAATAAGTTTGAATGAGTATAATTTGTCATGTCCTCACTGTACTGCAGGTAAGTGGAGGAGCAGCCAGGCATCAGATTTTGTGGCACAACTTGTAAATGAATTGTTGTAATACGGTCGACACTTTTCGTCCACTTGGTAAATGGTTTTGGCGGGGAACCTAATCTTTAACTGACCTAATAATGGGTATTTGCTATTTGGTGAGCCTTTAAATGTATTTGGAGCAAATTCTTTTGTTTTATCCGAAAGATTTAATAACATTGGTTTTGAAATGGTTTTCATACTAAATATTGTATTGATGTCATGATTGTGCCACAAAAGCTTGGAACTGAAATAAAAAGTGATTTCCAGGGAATTTGGATTGTTGTGCGTTTGATTTCATCCATACCTCTTCGTAACAGTGACGAAATCACACAGAGCAGTTCAAACGTGAATTTTTATTAAGCAACTTTTAAAATAAAATCAACTATTAGCTGCGCGCCGTTCATGTCTTCCTCATAATCCAAAAAAAGCAGACAACTGATACACCAGTATGATTGCGACTAGTGCCGACTTCCATCGTTCCCACCAACACCATATTGACAGGATTGCCAACAAATTGTCAAAATAAAAAAAACCACTTAACTGCAAAAAAGCCGTTTCTAATTTTTACCGTAGCCCCAACCGAAAAACACCGAACTTGCATGATTCACAAAAAGAGAAATAGAGAGCGCACCAACAAAGCAGCGATAAAGCAATAAACTGCAAAAAGCAAAAGCTACAACTACGTGAATTAACGATGTCGCTTGAAGTTGAATGTGTGTCCGGAGATAATCCACATTCACAGAAAAAAAGAACAGGTCCGCTATTCTTCCTCCTGAAGTGGCTCCGGCAGAGAGAAAAAACGCAGTGCACTGCCACCGCGGCGTGTTGTTGGGGCGGCGAATGAGCGGCGGTGTTGGGATGTATCGGTCGCCGACTCGTCAACGTGAAGCGATGCATGTTGAGCTATGACACACGCGGGATAATAAGGGATGCGACAATGAAGGTGCTGGCGTGGCGCGCAGTGACATATGCGCAACTGCACTACGTTTTCGCTTTGTAATTGTGTGTGATAAACGCATCAAAAACCCAGGATAACGTCGGAATGCATGAACGAAATATCTACTATCAAAGCCAAATATAATGGGGATACAGTCCACGAGACAAGTGTTTGACAAGTGCAGGCATGAGCTCGTCAAGCCTTGGAACCTGCAAAACAGTCGCTGCATTAGAACGCCACAAGATCACATTTTAATCAAGCCTTTTTTGATTTCAAATCTTGCCATCTGTAACAATGTTTGTTTGTGCATCATGCGACATCACAAAAATTATTACCAGATTCTTCATCCGGCATGCAGTATAGTGTAAGAACGTGCTGAAAGGTCACCGATGCACATGCATGCGCCGATGACAGAATGCGCACATTGCAAGACAGTAGTAGAAGTACGAGTACAGTATATGTGACTTATGTGTTATCTGCTGTTAATGAGCAACTGGTTTGCGTTTACACAAAGGTCAACATAAACTGTCAGTTTTGTTACTGTTATTGGGGAGGCAATAAAAGCGTCACGACCCAAAGCCCATTGTTATCCTAAATTGATAGGTATATCGGCAAAAATTTACAAATCTGTTATTCTACAGTTATCTGTCCTCGAGCAGTAGTAAAAGTGAAAGATATCATCGTAATTCCCACAAAAATATTCGTACCTTTCAGAACTTTCTGCTGTTCTTCAGTGCTGTGTTCCGTTAGATCGATTTCCGGTCGACCTTCCTCTTCGATTGATTCTACCGGTGATTCTTCGGTCGTTACCGCTGCAGCAAATACCAACGTCAGCAAAACGAATTCATTACTACGTGACGTATCGGTGCCATTAATACTATTTATCTTTATTATACCAACGTACTTGTAACGGTTTCGTGCAAAACCTCGGTTTCCTTATCTCCCGATGTGTCCACTCGTACGGATGTCGTGTAGTCGGTATCTACGAATAATGTCCACAAATTAATTACAATACAATTGCTGAAACTATCGATAATAAATTCCATAATTATAAGAAGCACCAGAACAAAGTAGAAGAACGGGTTAGTGCGCAAAGTAGAAGACGTGAGTGGCTTGATTATGGTGCTGTAAATCTGTAATCGATCGGTGCACGTGTGCAGTGTCATAGTAGTGTAAAGTGAGTGGCATGCAAAACACAACAGTTGTGACAGAAAATAACATGCGGTGAAATTGTCATAGCACATGGTAAGTACAACTGTACAACCTTATATAACTACATAAAAATACAGTCAGCATGTGCAGCGTGCAGAATATAATTAAAAATTTCCAAACGAAAATTCCAGAGTGTGCTTGCGACTAAAAACATCCAGCAACAGCGATTGCAAGACAGAGTACGCATTGTGCAACAACATAATAAACAACCAAAAAACGGCAGCATTAAAAGAGAGCGTCAATGCTAACTGCGTGTGCCTGTGCGTGCTGTGTGTTCTACCTGGCTGCTGACGACTACTTCCGCTGATCCGAGCAGATTGCTGAGCAGTGTCGGAGCTGCGGCTACCGCCCTGCTCCGACGTCGGTGAGCCTTCAAGAATATCATCCACACCGGCGGCTGTCAAGGACGACACCGATCCCAACCGGCCGTGGGTGGCGGCGTCCACATCGACACGCGACAACCGCCGTGTCATCAGCCGTGTTATATCACCCGATTCATCACGTGTTTCACACTCTATGGTCTCCGTTTCATCGTAGCGCAGTGGCATGGTGTGGGAGAGGAAGCGCGCCATCTCGTGCTCGGAATCAGTTCCGGTAAAGGTCACGGTCTCCACACTGTCCTTGAGATCACTGCGCCGGCGTTTGACGATGCGCGTGGTGGTGCGGGAGCGGGCCGCGTTGGCGGCGGATTCGGTACCTTTGGTTTGATGCTCTTCCGTGGCTTCGTAGATCTGCAGGTTAGGATACAAACTCTGATTGTCCATGAGGAACTGTTGCATAAGGAGTTCGGCCTGGTTGCCGGCAAATGATACGGTCTCCAGAGTCGGATGTCCGGTAATTAAATAACGACGCACGGTAATCTTTTCACCGGTCTGTTCCGTTTCCAGCGGCGGTATGACGATTTCGGAATTAGACAGCGCTTGCTGCAGCGCCTCTCGGTCCATAGACGCTTCCAAGGAATCCATACCAGGAACTAAGCGATCACCACGAAGATGCCGTAAGAGGTCATCCTGTGTTAAGGAATCTTTTTGCTCGAGGATATCGTGTAGACGGTCGCTGTCCAAAGAGTCTGCCATGCGGACACGCCTAACGGTTTCTTGAGGAACTGTCACCATCGTCGCCAAGCGGGATTCATCCAATGAATCCGACATCAGCTGATCTCCCGCCAGTCGCTGCTGTAGTTCAGGTTCGTCCAATGATTCCATCATAACATCACGATCCGTCTGCTGGCTCTGGATATCGTCATCCCCGATGTCTACTACTCGTTCGACGACAGTGCTGGCGGTGTCACTCGACATGGTCTCCGAATGCGACATACTCTCTGTTTCCGGCGAACAGAACGACGTGCCTAAGTGCTCAACTGTCGGCGAGCTGTCCTTCTCCTCGGTAGCGACCTTTTGCTCTAATTGTTCGAATTCTGCCAGACTACTCAACGACTCGGTGTCGTGAGCCGACTGCGGTTTAGTACGGTGCGCAAACTGCCCATTTAGCCGATTCCTAGTGACTCCGTACTGCCGTGTGTCTGCCGACGAACTTCCGCCTCGAGGCGTTCGAACTCATGAAGCGAACCGGAAGCGGATGACGTGCTGTCGCGTTCCGCGGGACCACCTCGCAGATCAGCGCTGTGCCGGGGAAAGCGTTCCGACTCACCGCTGGACGACTCTTTCTCCTCTTGTATGTCCTCCAACGGTTGGAGGTACACATCAGTAGGTAGCTCAGTAGCGCTAGTGTCTTCCAGTAACTCACCCTCATCCGGACTGGCCCGGACACTGATCACCTCTTCCTGGTCGCGGTTGGACGCCGACGCCGAGGCGGGCGATGAACCCGGTGGCTCTGGGCTTTCCGGTCGCCGGAAGATATCCTGCACACTGACATCGGACGGCCGACGGGCCAGCTCTCGCAGTTCGGCCTCAGAGAATTCGCTCTCAGAATACTGACGCATGCCCATCCCGAAGGGCGGGGCGCGGAAATCCGCGCGTGTCCATAAGCGTTCTTCTGGTAATTCCGGTGTCGGATCGGGGTGCGTTCCCGGCGGGTGGGTGGAAGATTCTCATCGAAGGTATCAGCGACTTCGTGCAGGCTCTCTTGGAGATAGCCCCCGGAGATGGTCGACGCGGTGCGGATGTCCGACACCGTCAGACCGGAATCAGCGGCACTGGCTGTTAGGCGTTCGCGGTCATCGTCCGTGCGGACGACCGTGGGTGTCTCGATAGGTTCTGCAAATAAATATGACTGCTCTATGGGTGAAATGGTTGTGGGATATTCTATGTGTGGTTCTGATTGTGCTTGGCTGGGTGTGTCTTGCGGTAGTTCAATGATGTCGGTGTCGTCTAATTCTACATCTTCGTTACCGGCTGTGTATGATTTTTCTGTTTCTGGTTCAGAGACAACCCCAGCATCGTCGCCGGTGTGCGACGTGGTTATGTGGTGCATTTCGCGAATCTCTTCAACATTAATGTGCTCGTAGCTGTCATCCGAGCTGGACACTTCGCGCTCATGGGACTGTCGCACAGTGTTGATGTCGTCCGGCCCGATCATTTCCCAGGATTCTTGCCGCGGCGGCTTCCTGCTGTGACTAGCAATGGATTCTTCAATATCACTGCTTCCTTGACCGGCACCAAATTCCGCCACCACCGAGCGTGGAAAGTGCTCGAATCTCTTCCTGATGTTTGCGGTTATCTTCGGCCACCGGCGTGATGTCATCTTCCTCTCGAATGACCTCCTTATCGGAAGAATACAATGGTGAAGCGAAGCCGCTGACTACTCGTGAACCGGGTGAACTCAGTCCTTCCGTTGCCGTGTGATAAGTGCCGGAAGCGCCAGAGAATTCTGTAGCGGCGGTGTCGTATTCGCTACTAGAACGTTTAATGTCATCTGTTGCGGTATGATAAGAATCACCGCTTGTTGATACTGGACTAGCGACTTCTTCCGCATGCAGTGTCGACCCGGAAAACTCCTTCCGGACCGTTGACCCGGTGGCGCTCTTCCCACTGCGCAAAGTGATGTCGCTGCCAGCCGGTGACCCGGTGCTCTCCGGGCGGCTGCTTTCACTTGTTCGCCGTCCGGAACTGATGGAGATTTCGCTGAGGTCCGACACCGGTCGTTCGCTTTCCGGTGTCTGGACGATGGCAATTTTGCTGATTTCCGGCAGAGATATGGATGTGGTCGGTAGCTGCATACGTGTACGATCGGACTCTATCACAAAGCTTTTAGCGGATTCCAGTCGCTGGTGGGCGGGTGAATCGTGCACGCTGTCGCGCGCTTCCAGCGCGACGAGTTCGTGGTCATCTTCCGGTTCGGATTCGACCTCGGGAAGCGGAGTGGCGACATCTTCCACTTCGATTTCGTCTGCCGTTCGGACCTGTGTGTCACCAGTGGTCTTTGCTGTGTCACTGAAATATTCTTCGGATGTGTCTGATGAAGCACTGGATGTCGATCGGGAGCGGTGTTCGTACGACATTTGTCGGCTGCCCGGTTCTAGTGGGCTCTGGGACGGGGAGATTGGCTGACTGGATACAACGCTCTCGCCTGTACGCGGTGTTTCCGGTTCGGCGATGGTGCGTTCCCATGGCGGACTGGCCATCGAAAGATTACGAACTTCCATGGACGCGCCTTCATAAGAGTCGCTGGTCGTAATCGATGTACTGTGCGTCGACGCCGATTCTGACAAATCTTTAAGCGCTTCGTCTATTACGTCATCAACGAGGTGAGAAGCCACTTCTTCAGTGGGCGACAGTTCTTCTTCAGCGGCTTGCTCATCGGAGATAGTGTGGTACGGCACCTGCAACGGCTCGGGCGAAAATGTCCGCATATGGGCTTCGGATCGAACCGGCGCCAGTGACCCCTGAATTTGTCTCTCTACTGGCGACTTGGGTGGTGAGGGAATTATCTCCTCAGTGATGTATGGAGAGGATTCCACCGCCGGATGCTCGATGGATTCTTCAAATTCCCGTACATTGTCGGCCAGAATCGCCTGTGCTATCAGTCGTGGTGAGTCACCGGGTTCGGTCTTGTTCACCACCACTGTTGTGGTGGTCACCGTGGTAGTGACGGTGCGTTCTGCATGGGTATCACTGTCCGCCAGAGCGGTCAGTGTGTGACTTTCTTTCCGAATCACAGCGCTGGAGCCCCGGCTCTCCTTGTGACCCTTTTGTCTGTGGCTTTGGGAATGGGGAGCTTCAGCCACCGCCGGATGCTCGATGGATTCTTCAAATTCCCGTACATTGTCGGCCAGAATCGCCTGTGCTATCAGTCGTGGTGAGTCACCGGGTTCGGTCTTGTTCACCACCACTGTTGTGGTGGTCACCGTGGTAGTGACGGTGCGTTCTGCATGGGTATCACTGTCCGCCAGAGCGGTCAGTGTGTGACTTTCTTTCCGAATCACAGCGCTGGAGCCCCGGCTCTCGCTGCGTGTGACTTCCAGTTCCGCCGGAATGTGCTCATGCTCGGGTTTCACCAGGCCAGAGCTTCGGCGGCACTGGGTCCGAGTGATTGACTGACAAAATCAGCGAACTGCTGATGCTGCAATGGACTCTTTGGACTGCGCTGTTCTTGCAGTGCCAGAGCCGTGTCATCGGAAAAACCAGGCAGCGGACTCGGCGGATGGGAGACGACGGTGTGGTGGTCGACCTTTGTGATGATTGTTCGATCGTTTTCGTCCTGAACGATCTCGGGACCGACGCTGGTGTACGTTGTAGTAGAAGCTGGAGGTGCGCTGCTGTCAGCAATCGCCCCTTGGCTGAAAAAATCTTCAGCATTCAGGTCGGTTGACATGCGCAGAGGTCGTAACATCGTCTGGATTTCGACATCCGTTGGTTCTGTAAAATTTCGGATGACGGCGTGCCAGCTGCCCGCACGACTGTTTGTCTGGTAACGCGCGTGATGATTTGCTCTTCAGGGATTCCACCGCGCCACCGTCAGTGGTGGATGTGAATGTTCGAATTTCGCGTCGAATTACAGTGCGCGAAGGACCCGTTTCTTGCGCAAATGATGTCACATGTTCCGCTTCTGTTGGCTGCGACTCGCGGAAGTGCAGCTCCAACGGTCCCTCAGGATGTTCGCCTGGGGTACTGGCCACGGATGACCGAGTGCTTCGGATGGTTACCACTTCCGTAACCTGTGGACTTTCTTTGCCGGTTGGTGATTCCGAGCGGAAAACAGCGGCGGAAACGGCCGGCTCCGTTGTAACCATTGTCCGAGTAATCCTGGTCACTGTGCGAATTCCTTCCGGGAGGTCATGCGTACCCGAAGTAGCAGTTTCGGCTACCGCTCTCAAACCGTGCCCGGCTTCTTCAGTTGAAAACTCAGTCTGCTCGGTTGTGACCTCCTTGATAGCTTTTGAATAATTCGCTCGGCTTCGACCTCAGCTAAAGATTTCAATTCTTCCATCTCGGCTGGACTAAGGCTGACGTTTTCCATTGCAGTATTTACTGAATCTTCCATCTGGACCTGTTCTCGTAGAACTTCTTCGATCAGCTCATCGGTATCATGTGAGGCAAAATCTTCTAGTTCTTTCAGCTCGCCTTCCGAAAGATCGACACCGGCTTCATGAAGCACTGAATGGACCGTTTCCGCTTGCGGGGAGTGCTCTGTATGCATTTCAAATTCCGATGAGCGTCGTTCTTCCTCAGCGGAAACAAACGTTCTTGTTTGCCTGTCTTTCGGCGACTGCGTCATTTCTTCAGTAGTTTCTTCATCGTGATGTGTGACGGTATGGTGCACTAGCTGGTCCAGTTCTTCTACCGGCAGATCAACACCGGCAAACTCGAACACTTGACGCGCAGTGTCGTGGTGCGGCGATGCCGGTCGCCAAGGTTCTGCTTCCTCTATGATTGCGGCCGAGACTTCCTGGTCTTTACGCTCCATTGGTGTCACCCGCACGACATCCGGCAGGGATGGCGTAACCGGGCTCGGTACGCGATATTCGAAGTTGCGTTCTTCCATTGGAGAGTCTCGTAAAATATGGTGTTCCATCTCCACCGGCTCATTGTACCCCTGGGTGCGCACAATGGTCTCGGTCCAGTAGTTGTCACTAGGTGGCACCACTCGCGTGACATGGTAGTCGCTGCGCGAGCGAGTCATACCGAGGGGTGCGGCTTCCGGCTGTGAATGATATGCACCTTGGTTGACCTCTTCATTGTCGACATGCCCAGCCAGGTGTTCTTCCTCTTGGTGGATCAGTTCTTCTAGTTCTTCCCGGGGAAGATCAATGCCGGCATATTCGAGCAGATTCCGTGCTTGCCGGTGTTCGGGAGACTCGTGCACTGTCTGGCTTGAGAGAACGGGTGATGCTGACACCACCGTTGCGCTTTCTTTACGCGGAGGAAGCCAGCTGTCATCGCTCTCATGTGCGTGTTCAGCCGCCAGTGTCTGAATGATTTCCGCCTTGATTTCTTCCGCTAGTTGGCGTTCATCCGCGGTTTCGATGGTAGCGGCGAGTGCGCCTTCCGGCGTGCGACTGACACGTTCAACCGACTGGAATGGTTCCAGTTCGCTTTCTTCGACGCGTACACTTTCTCGGACAACAGTGGGAGTAATCTCCGTCACCTCCTCAGTTAGGCCGGTATCGTGCAATTCCGGTACAGAAGGTTCACGTTCAATTGGCTCACGATCTTCCACAGTTACTGACTTAGTCGATATTTCTTCGGCTTCCGTCTGCACATCCTCTGGTGCCGCAACCGATGACTCCCGGCGGCTTTCTGCTAAGTATTCCACGGTAACCGGTGAGCTTTCGCGCACCGGAACGTGTCGGATTTCCACGTGTTCGTCCAGCACTTCCACCAATTCAGCCTGTTCACGCGGCACCTGCTCATCGGGGATCTCCACAATTTCCCCAACCGACTCCCGACGCGATGACAGGCGCGGACGCGGAATGCGGAAATGGTCTTGCTCGAATTCCGAGATGACTTCATCAGAAGATTCCTGTATATCAACATGGGTTGCCGTTTCGAAACGTGGTGAATGAACCGGAGAAACAGTGTCTTCTAGAGTCTCTTCTCCGGAGCAGACGGCTGGCGCTGGAAGTGTTGGTATGCTTCCCGAATTTCTGATACTTCGTCAGCACTGACTGCTCGAGCTTCCGGCGCACTCTCAGCATCGTGTACAAACACGGTTTCGTGGCCAGCAATGGTTACCGGCACTTTGTAATCGTCGGGGTGCTCAGTTAACGTAGATGGTTCCAAATGACCGACCGAAGAATAGACCTGAAAATAAATGGATATTATATAAGTCAAAAAAATATTATTTTCGTATCTAGTTTCTAATAAACTGGAATAATTTAAAAAAATTACTGAAACACTATTTACTGTAGTTTTCAAGTACTGCTTACTTGCTGTTCTTCGTCGTCTCGGATAAACGTTTCCGGCAAGCTCTGAGTTTCAGCGGTTTCTCTTTCTTGGAAAGAACTCTCGCTGACGCGGTCCACATCAAGCGTATCGCTTTCTTTCTCGTCAGAAAAACTCTTCTCTGTGCTCCAGCGCACATGCCTTCCTTCTCGCAGTTTCTCCTCATCGCGCATGCCGATTTCCGTTTCCCGTGCACCCTCGGACGACAGATCGTACGGCTCCGCTTCCATGGAGGAGGCAGTGGTGACCCCACTGCGCGGTGTGGCCGGCGGCGAGCTGGACGCCTCACTAACACTGGCAGACATTAGCATGTCGTGTGGATGTGGCAACGATTTTAACAGACTGTCCGATGCCGCCGCGCCGACTGGTGGCGTCTCAAAGGACACTGATTTATGAAATGAATGGGCCAATGCCGTAATGCGCCGATGCTCCTTCTCTGTCGGAAGTTCTTCGCCAACCGGCTCGTAGTCTGCCGGACTAACTGTGCCGGTTTCACTAGCGATCTCGGCCGTTGTTGAGGCAACGTCGATGTCGGTTGTACCGGTAGACAGAGTTTCGGACTCTCGGTTGAGTAAGTTATCGTCTACAACAACCGAGGCTTCTGGCGCGACTTCTGCTTTTTCACGAGATACCTAAAGCCAAATGGAAAACGTACATATTTATTTAACAATTTAATTCTCAGCGGAACCTGATTAGTAACCCATAATTATCATTAAATTCAATTATTAATATTAGAACTCGAATTTGGCAATAAAATTATATATCCGGTGGCCTGCAACTGGCACTGACGTGTGCTGTACTCTGTAGTAAGCTTACCTCTTCCGTTTCGACTTTCCTCCTTGGGCTTGGTACGGGTGAAAGGACAGCAGCCGATTCCGCTAAGTCGGACCCGGAGGGAGAGCGAGCAATGCGATCTAATCGTTCTTGCAAATACAACTGTCGCTTCTCAGAATGACCAGCTGTGGGGAAGGTCATGCCGCCCATGATCGGACGATTGTCGAAGCTCGCATACCGCACGGTATCCGAACGGGGTGACAGGGGCGAACGGGGTGACAGTGCTTTCATATCTAGCTGCTCATATTCTTCCGGCTCCGTCTCGCGCACAACAGTCTCGGTTGTGGAGATGGATTCCGCAGTGTCACTTGGATGTTCTTCCGCGCTAATGCGAGGCGTTGAGGGTAACTGCTCCGATGCCGACACATCACGCACAAACGTAGCAGTTGCTTTGCTAGTGTCTCTCCTAGGTGAGGTTGGACGGACTTTCACTTCTTCGTGCACAGGCGACGTTCGACTGGCGCCGGTAACAATGTCCTCGTCCACTGGCGGCGGTTCACGAAGAGGTTGCGTTTTGTGAAGCGGTGTTGGTTCGGTGTACGCTTCGTCCGTTACCGTTGATTCCAGCAAGACAACTCTTCCGGATTCCGTGGAATGTGCATGCATAGTGCGTTCTTCTGTGATATGAACAACCCTGTGGATATGCGTCACCTCAGAGACGTCCGCCTGTTCAGTCGGTTCGGCCTCGTGGGCAAACTGATGTGGCGCCGACTCCAGATGTTCAGTTGACTCTCTCACTTGTGTTTCGGTGATCCGATGTTTATCAGATTCGTGAGAGTGCGGCCGAACAAACGTTACATCTTCCTCTACCGTTGTTTCGATAACACGACTCACGATCTGTGCCGGTGGTGATGCGGGACGGTGGATTTCTTCGGGTGCCGCCCGCTCAACTGGCGATTCTGATCTAACCGCAATATCTTCGTGGACGTATGTATCGTGCTGGTTCGGTTGTGGCGACTCCGTCCGCACCATTTCTGTCTCGTGCGAATGTGCCGATACCACGCGCTCTTCCGTCACATGTACCACTTTATGGATATGTGAGGTCTTTATTACTTCCGACTCCGATACCGGTTCGGCTTCGTGTATGTGCGTTTCTGTAATGCCAAATTCGGAAGTCTCTTCCGCCGGTGCATGTTCGACTGTGTGTTCGCTTGGGTGTTCTGAATGAACTGCATGCGGTCGGGCAATTCGCACTTCTTCGTGTACGGTTGTTTCAGTTACACGTGAAACAATTTCTGTAACAGGAGGAGACAAAGGACGCGCTACGTCGTCGTGTACATGCGTTTCGGTCACTGGAGAAACAGCATGCTCTGCAAGAGGTGATTCTGAGCGCACAACCGTTTCGGTATCGGAGGAGGGCGATCTTGGGTGCACCGGATGTTCTTGTACTTGCATCTCAGTTTCGCTCTCCATAGAGGACAACGGTGATTTCTCACGTTGAGTCGACTCTTCTTCATCATGCACGGGAGTTTCTGAAGTTGACAATGGAGACACCGTGCGAACTGGCACTACTTCTTCGGCGTGAATCTCGGCCGATGGTGATTCTGCGCGAACAGCCTCGCGGACATATGTTTCATTTGCCGGCGAAAAGGGTCGTTCTGCGAGCGGCGACTCCAACCGGGCTGGAACTTCGTGTTCAGAAACATATTCCACGAGGGAGGGAGCACGTTCGCTTTTTGATGACGTAGATGTGTCGGCCTCTCGGACGAAAGTTTGTTCGGTAGGCGATGGTGTCCGTGACCTTTCATGACGTGTGACATCCTTAATATCGAAGTGGCTTTCGGAAACCTCTGAGGTTACGCTTTCTGCAGGGGTTTCCGGTCGCGCGATATCTTCACGCACGACTGTTTCCGTCGCAGGAGATGGGTGCGGTTCAGGCAACGGCGACTCTGTCCGCACTCGTTCCTCTTGTTCATCACGCACAACAGTTCCTGCTGTTGGTGAAACCGAGTGCTGCCGTTCGGGTGACTCCGGCCGGGTGACAATGTTCTCGGTGCGGATTTCGGGTTCACTTAAAGGCGAGACCACGCGCTCGACTGGTGACGACGGTAACTCAAAGGATTTGGCATCCGTTGCATGGGTAGTCTCTGACCGGATCACCTCGGTTACAACCGCGGTGACAACCGTTTCACGGTAAGTCACGCTTTCGTTCGTCCCTTCAACGGTTTCAAGGTCGGTGACTACTTCTTCACCAGGTGACCTTCTGGCAACCAATTCATCTCCATGCGAATGGACATCTTGACCAGTTGAGACTTCGCGTTCAGTAAAAGGAGATTCCCCCTGGGTGATGTCTTTCCTAACATGGGTTTCGGTTTCCGGCTGTGGCTCTTCTGCCGCCGTAAACTGCTCTTCATCCCCAAGATCATGCACTTCCGTGATCTTCACTGTCGGTGTCTCACTTCTGTGTTCTAACTCCGGCTGATGTGATCGAATAATCGTGACTTCTTCAACGGTGGTTTCGACAATTCGAGACACAATATGTGGGGAGGCCAGCGACTCGGCGCGTTCAGCAGTTTCTTCGTATACCTGAGTTACAGGTGAAACCGATATGTCTCTCACTGGAGACTCCAACTGAACCGGAGATTCTTCGCCACGAACGTATGTATCGGTGGTTGATGGTGTTGCTGGTTCTGATAGTGGCGATTCAACTGCTGTTCGGTCCTCATGGACATACGCCGTCGCTTCAACAGGAGAAACATGCTCTTCGATTCGTTCACCATGCAGAGCTTTCTCATGGCGCTCGGTTTCCGTGACCACTGGAGAAACTTGTTCTGACAAAGACGTCTCTCGAATAGGCGATTCCGGTTTATGTGTCTCTGTCACCAAGGAGCTTGCGTGCTCATCGAAGTCCGGACTTTGTTCACGCACTTGCGTTTCCGATTTTACTTCATCCGAAGGCGACTGTGACCTTTCATACACCTGCACTTCCGTGTCAAATGAGACATGTCTGACATGTTCCGACGGCAACTGTTCCGATTGCGGTGTGATTTCCGCGTCGTGCACATATGTCTCCGTGGTAGGAGACGGAGTTCGCCTGACCGTTGGTGATTCGGTACGAACTACATGCTCTTCAAAACTTTCCTCAATGACCGACGGCGCTCGGTCTTCGGGAGATAATTCGCGTTTTACAACCGTTTCTCCGTATGTCACCACTTCCGCCTCTTCCTCTTCTCCCGTTGTCAGTGTAACGTGACTTACGGGTTCAGTTCGATCCTCGGTCTCAGGAGGTTCACGCACTGGCTGCGTCATAAGACTTGTTGCTCTAGTAGGCGAATGCTGGGTGACCTCAAAGGTAGACGGTGACTCGGCCCGCGGTGCCGGTGAACCACTCACTTCCTCGTCACGCACAAACGTTTCAGTAACCGGAGATGCTGTGCGCTCCATGATCGGAGTTTCCGGTCGCGCAACAGTTTCATCGCGCATTTCGGTTTCAGCATAGTGGTCATGTTCACCCGCAGGTGATTCAGTTCGGCCGCTCTCGCTTAATCGCGATTCGTCTTCGGTGACGTATGTCTCCGTGATGGGCAATGTCACGCGCCTGACACTGGTGACGCTGTCTCCCGTTGTGATTCAGCATGACCTTCCGGCTCAGGCGGTTCCCGTAATGGTTGCGTCTTAAAACTAGTTGCACGGGTTTCGTCAAGTGGAGATTGCGTATCCATTGTTGTTGCACTCGTAGATGATTCCGACCAGGTGGTGGTTTCGACGCGGTGCGTTCGGATTACTGTTGCGTTTGCTTCGTGGCTCTCGGTTACAGTTTCTTCCACTCGATGGACATACGGCAAAGCCGGTTCCCCGCTCGACCCAGAATCGACATCATGAACATAGGTCTCAGTCATTTCTGGCACTGCTTCCGGTGACTTCGCTCGAGGCGTCGTTTGTTCCTTACTTGTGTCCGGTGATTCGCGCCGAATCACCGGAAGATCGTCCTGGACGTGCGTCTCCGTTTCCTGCGCATATTCGGCAGTGGGAGACATGTTCGGAGTTTCGCTATCCGATGGGTGTTTAGTTATATGAGTCTCTTCGCGAACCACTGTTTCCGTTGTAGTTACATGAACCGCCACATCTCCGACATCCACTCGCCTGATTATCGGTAAAGTTTCTTCTTCTTCCGTCGTTACCATCCCGACATGGTGTTGAGGTGCGCCGTGACCTTCTGCTTCTGGAGGTTCACGTATGGGCTGGGTCATGAAACTTGTTGCCTTAGTTGGCGAATGTAACGTAACTTCGCTGCTCGTTCGTGACTCGGCTGGAGACGATGGTGCACCGGAAGTTATTTCCCCGTGTAAAATTGTTTCTGTCGGCGTTGCTCGCTCATGCACAGGGCTTTCCAGTCGCACTTGGGTTTCAGTCTCAGAGATTGCTTCCGACACGGGCGATTCAGTGCGGACAATTTCACCTGGTCGTCGCTGATCTTCGATAACATACGTTGCGGTAGTGGGAGATGAAATACGTTCGACCGGTGACGATGGTGACTCAGTTTTCCGTGCGTGTTTTGATCCAGGAAGATCTTCCATCTCAGGCGGTTCGCGTATTGGTTGCGACGCAAAACTTGTTTCTCGGGTTGTTTCATGTGAAGATTGTGCCTCGGCAATTGTTTCACTCGTAGATGACTCCGACCAGACGGTGGTCTCGACGCGATGTGTCTCGATGACGGTTTCCGTTGCATTATGACTTTCGATGACAGTTTCTTCGATGCGGTGTACATGTGGAAATTCCCGTTCCACTGCATGCAAGTCCGATCTGTCATCGGCTTCGTGAACGTATGTCTCCGTTGTCTGTGGCACGACTTCCGGTGATTCCGCTCTATATGCCGGGTGTTCATGAACCGGCACACCAGTGACTTCTGACTCCGGTAATTCTTCGCGCACGCGCGTTTCGGTTTCATGCGCATGTTCTTCAGTCGGTGATAGTCTGGCTTTCTCAGTATCCAATGGGCGCTTAGTAATTAAAGTCTCCTCTCGGACCACCGTTTCTGTTGTGATAACAGAAACTGGCACATCTTCGACATTGACTCGTCTAGTAACCGGTAAAGCTTCTTCCTCTTCCGCTGTAACTAATTCGACGTGGCGTTTTGGCTCATCGTGACCTTCAACTACAGGAAGCTCGCGCACCGGTTGCGTCATGAAGCTGGTCGCTCGGGTAGGCGAATGCAGCTGCTCGGTCGATGGAGTATGCGGTAGCGTATCGCGATGGCTGGACTCTTGTTCGGATTCCTGCGGCGATGATGTCAGCGTAACTGTCTCGCTGGAGAACGAAGATGAAAGGAGCCGGTGCTGCAGATCTCTTTCCGCTCGTTCTTCTCTCACAGCCGCAGCCACTTCATCGAAATCACGGGATATATCCGATTCGATGTGACCCGAATCCGATTCGGAAGTTTCCGTGACCGTTATGATTTTCATGGTCTTCGCCACGTCTTCCGGTCCTTCTGGTGTTTCGCGTTTTACATGGACAATGGGCTCCTCTGATGAGCTGGCCGACACCGTACCGTGCAAGTGTCCAACCGTCGTCAGGACGGCAGCCGCTGGCGCCGTTACCTCGACAACGGTTTTGACGGTTTTCACCTTGCGAGATTTCGCCGCGGCACGTTTTTCTTTCTGGGCCGTCGTCGAGGCAATCAGCGATTCCATGCGCTGAATCACATCACGCACGTGACCTTCTTTAGGGCTCTCGGGTGAGCCGGCCCGGGAGTCTGTGGATTCTGCGGGACTCGAGTGGGGCGTTTCCGGCGTTTTGGTTTCCATGGATCGCACAAAAGTCTCGGTCTCGAACGAAGGCTCACGGTGTTCAGCCATCAAGACCGGCGATATTGAACCCGTTGTAATGCCCTTTTCACGTTGTTGTTGTTCTAAGATGGACGTCTCGGTGTCCAATGACGGCAGGTCTTCGGTAATCGAGGTAACCTCTTTCATTTCCTCTTCCGAATCAATTCCGGACACGGATATCTGCCGGGCAGGGGCAGGTGGCGACGCCGGAGTTACGCGCTCCTTGGAGCTGGTCGAGGCATCTGAAGGTTGTCGCCTGAAACTGCGTTTTCGCTCAAGCTCGGTCGGACTGGTTTTATCCCGTGCACTTGATGTCGACGACGCATCCGACGGTGTGCGGCGTAAACTGGGTCTGCGGTGAAGCTCTAACGGTGGTGACACTGTCTCTCGAGATTTTCTGGCTTCTTCCTCGAAAAATTTTACCGCGTCCCGAATGGAACCGCGTTTGACTCCTTCCAACTCAGCACGCTGCTGCGTCTCGGCCACTTCGGAAAACCGGCGTAATTGTGTCGCAGATAATTCTAATTTTTCATGCACTTCCGGTTCTTCTAGATCTAATGACCCGGCCGGTGTCGCCGGTGCATGCTCGGATGGTGCTTCGGGTGGAGAGGGCGGTGGTGTCTTAGTGGCTGCCGGAATGTGTTTTTCCGGTAATTTCTTCACTACGCTGAGTACGCTCTGTGCTTGTGCCGAACGGAGCGACCACATGTTCAACCGTGAACTCCTCAACCTGTTCAGCCATAGATGTTTGCCGCTCAAACGAAATTCGCCGTTCAGTCACCGTGTGTTTAACGTAATGTGTTTCCACCGTATGCGACTCATGCTCCATTTCCTGCGATGACGATGATGACGTCGTACGAAAGAATTCATCAGCTTCCACCGTGGGCCGACTGCCGCCGGTGATAAACTGTTGACGCCGCTGCCGCTGTTGTTCCACCATCCGGCGATGCGTTTCCGCTTCGTCCACCGCGTGTGCGCTAATGTCTTCATCGCGTGCCGATGATGTGCCGTGAGTCGTTACTGCAGGGAAAGGAGAGATTATTGACAAAGTGATCGAACACACGGTTGAGGCTGGCGAGATGTAAATACGCACACGCAGCGGCAGATATAAGCAGCATAAATCCATGCGAACAAAATATATGCCCGGGCAAATTGTATACGAAATCCAACGCAGGAAAACATATTTGTGTAGCAGGCAGCAGCAGCGGCGGAAGAAGCAAGGGAGTGCGTGCTCTTACCCCTTTTTTGTTCAACACGTTTTATGCAACGGAGCCAAGATAAACGAAAAATAAAATGATAACGCGCGCGTACGTGATAATCCAGTAAAAATCCGTTCGGAGGCCCAACCGGTTGCAGCGTATCCAAGCGTCGAGTAATCGTTGAAATAAATCAACCAAAGATATCAAGTAACCAGTGCTAGAAATCAACTCAAAACCATTGAAACAGCAATCCGTCATAATCCGTACCGGGATGCATTCGCATAAGCATCTTGGTCAAGAACATCGAATGGTTATGTAATATAAATGACACCGCTGGGATGTTGGGATGTTGTGTTTATATTGTGACTATCGATTTTTTATATGACAGTGTATGTGTTTTGGGGTTGTCTCTCGTCATTGCATGTTCATTCTTAATTCATGTGGTAAACGCTTTGTTATTAACGTATATGTGATGTGTATGAAATTAGGTAGCGTTAGTAATGGTTAAGTATAGGACCCATCACCCGCTGATCCAAAGGTCAGTGCACCAAGGTACCTGATTTGACTGAACTACCCGATTCTCTACGCTCCCGCCCAGGTAGCTCTTCTGGCTCTTGAACTATCGGAGTAGCGGCGCCGCTTTCAGTGGCAACTGTTTCTGTGATCTCCGTTACTTCCACCGGTGACGGGCTGCGATGGATGTGTTCGGGCGTGCGTGGAAAGTGCGGATGCTGGGAGGATGGAGTTTCTATAATTGGTATTGTTCCGGTAAATGTTACATGGGGTTGCTGTGCGGCTGCGAACAAATGAGTCGGACGTTGTTGTTTGATAATTTCTTCTTCTTGTGATGCTGATGACCCAGAATCTATATGGTTGTCCAGAAAAAATGAGAAAAACCAAAATAAGGCCACAAAATGTACAGATAACAAAATTAAAAACATAACAACCAAAAATGTAATAAGGACACAAATGACCAAGGGAATAATAATATACGAATTCCCATTTTCACGGGGGCACAAATCAGATTATTTCTAGCACCATAACTGCGCAACAGACAGCAGGAAAAATATATATACCAGCAGACATCGCATAGTTGTGAATGTGCTGCTGTATCCAGTAAAAGAATATTTTCTAATAAAATGTCATTCAACATAAATGCGATCATTTCCGTTTGAAAAGAATAGAACTTGACTCATATACTAAATATTTCACGCGCATGATACCGGTAAAATTAACCCGCGAATGCATTGTCAAAAATCGATTACAAACAATTATTTCGTGCGTGCACACAACTGATCAACGCAGTGTTAATCAGCATGTTTTTTTCTGAATACAACGCCTTTTGCTCATAACAATTCCAGATGAGAGCCTGAACCAGTGGAAAACAAGGGATAAAGCTTGCATTGGAGAACCAAAAGGATACACGCGCGCGCGCTTTTCTCGGCCATAATGCACAATCACTCACTAGACAGGTTTCTAACGGTTGTCTGGGATCCGGTCGTGTCGGCAGCTGATAACTCATCAAGAGCGGCAGTGACGGCTTCTTGTACGAGTTCGTCGGCAGTGTGAGTAATACTGTCAGCAAGTAAATCTGTATCTCCCTGGATATGCGCCAAAGCTGACTGCACTGCAGGAAGACCACTTCCTTCGGAAAGGTCACGCACAAACGTCTGCTCAAAAAGCCTCTCCTACCGCAAAAGCTTCCGATCAGATTGATGTTACGCATACATGCATACTTTCATTATTAATGAGTAACCAAAGTAGATGTAAACCTTAAACTTTAAAAAGTTTACCAGCCAATTGAACATTGTCTATTAGCAGTACTGTACAGTTATTATTAAGAATACACATAAAATCAACGTTTAGCCAGAAACATACAAAATTAATTACGTTGTATGAATGCTTGTGGCGTTCGACGCTCAAATGTTGAACTATTTTTAAAACATGTGCCAGTTTCAAACTAAAATTGCTAAGGTATTTTCAGTAAACGTTTAAACTTAATGATTTTGATTAAAAGGTAACATAAAAAAATAGCCGGTACACAATTGTGAAATTCTCATCCTAGGAGATCCTACTGAGCAACGGACGCACTGCGCATGCTGCTTACTTGTGCGCTTTCAAGACCGGATGTGGAAGTAGCAGAAATATGCTGGGACACATTCTCGCCCTCAGCCATAGTGCGGGTCTGCACCGTGACTTTCTCCTCCTCGACAGTAAAGACAGTGGTACCTTTGCGATCGGAAAACAAACGTGATCAGCATAAGGTTTATTTCGTCTTCGGATTACGTAATGGCACAGCATGAGACAACGTGCACAGCCGACGCAGTCAAGAAACATTCAGTCACAAAAATGTCGCGCGCCAATCGACAAAAATAAAGTCATAGAAGGTCATGACCATGCGGCACACGTGCAAGAACAAGCAAAGCGACGGTGTATAACGTTTCCAGACAAAACGAGGATGGCACGTGATTAGCGGTACGTTTTGCGCGTTAATTCTGCGTAAGTAGTAGAAGTAACTTAGATGAGCTTGAGCAAAAACACCGCGCGAATTCTGGTCGCATTCCGTTAGATATATGTGGTCAAGTGGTCAGTTTCTACCGCGTACGCGTCAGAAATCATTTACCGGCGCTAGCGTAAGCCTCGCTTTCAAAGTCTTTATACGATTTTTTAAGCTCATGGGCTCCGGTATATTCGTACTGGTACTGTGGAAGACTTTCGTAGTGGTACATTTCCGGTGTTATTGACTCATCCGATGGATAGGGAAATGGTGGGATTTCGCCGCTCTCATCACCAAAATACTTTTGCTGGTACGAATAAGTCTCGCGCATAGTTGAAGATCCTTGTGCCGTTGTATCGGAATAAAATGGCGCTCTCCTCGACAGGAACTCCGAATCGGAAGTGCTTTCCAATCGAGATTGCTGCGCTCGATTTTCTTCTTCGATAACCGCGGCCATCTGCTTAACAAACTCCGGACTATCGGGATTAATGACCACGCCCAACGGCCGTTTCATCCAGTGCGGCCGCGCCCGGTCGCGCTCGGCGATAAACCGGCGCAGAAATTCCCCGGGATACGGGGACTCGGCGGGTGGACTGGATGACGACACCGTCTGCTCAATGTCCGTATGAATGATCATTTCGGATGCCGTTGTCTGTTCGGTATGTGAGCGCTGGTTGGAGCTTCGCCGCGTAGTTTTCGGAGACGTATAATAATCCAACAGTTGCTCGACGGTCGCCCGGTCCACTTGCTGGGACATTGAAAAATCTTCCAGATTACTGTTGGACATGCGAAAGCGCACTTCCGTTGGGGAGGACACTCGCGGCGGTAACTCACTCAATCCGGCTTCGCCTCGTATGGTCTGCAGATTGCGTATCATGTCTTGCATGGTGGATTCAATTGTCTCGCTATATGTTGAGATATCCGGGTGGATGGACAAACCACCCGGAGGAACATCCGGCAAAGTCTGCGCGAATTCCTTTCGCGTCGGGCTCACGGAGACACTCTCTCGCAGCACATCCACGTTGAATGTACGCGGAGTTTGTACAGCAGAAACAAACGTGTGCTCTTCACGCGGCTGTATTGTCACTTCTATCGTTTCCCGTTCATTGCGGAGTGTTTCGCTTGACGGCGTCGGGACGGGAGAACTGGGAATAGTTGGTTTGATTTCGGTGACAAACGTGGTGGTAACGGTTTGTTGCTTGACTTCTTGACCGTGTTCGATATTCGACGTGGTCTGTTGTTGTAACGATGCACGTCGTACTGCCGCATATGGGCTGATCCGCTCCTTGGTTTCTTCCACAGTAGTTGCAGTTTCTTCCTGTCGTTCCGCGGTACTGCGATACACCACACTTCCGGCGCGTTTAGGAAAATCGGTGTCATCGGCATAAAACGGGTTGATAGGGCTTTTCGGCGGACTGGTCGGTTCTTCTTCCGGAAAGAGACTCATTGTTTCCTGAATTATACTTCGCGTTGGACTGCTTGGGCTAACGTATGCAACCGTCTGATTGAGGCGCTCGAGGGAAGCGGAAATATTCGTTGGCGTGCTTTCCCGTTCCGCATGATACACATGGCTTTCTGGCGGCTCGGAATATTCCCGGTCGGTCATCGCGGAAAACACCGATTCGGCGTCGCTCTCCAGCTGTTTGAGCTCTTGATCAGAAATCAAGGTAGAGACACTGTCACCGCTAATCGACTCCCGTGCCGTATAGTACAGCGATGATTCGCTGAGGCTTTCCCGTGCTGTCGCGTATGACATATTGTCGTCAAAGGTTTTCGCTGACTCCGCATCGGATTCGACCTTGCGGCTGATATGACTCACAACGGATGAGGAGGAGCTTTCCAGGCGTACTCGTTCTAGATCTTCAAAGGCGTTACGTTGACCTTTTGGTCGCCGAGGGGGCGCCGTCGGCAGAGATTCAATGCGCTCGCGGTCGGCTAAGCTAGTGCTTTGATTAACTTCGTACAATATCGATGAAGTCACATCCAGAGGGGTCTGGGAGGCGGATGGGGTGATCGCGGGAGATGGATGCGGTGCCACCAGGACGCTGTCGAGATGCCGGCCGTAGTCCGTTTCACTTACGGCTACAATGCCTTTCAAAAAGAGGCAATACACTTCAGCAGATAATCCGCGTGTACAGTGTACATGCCGGTTAGATCGGTGTCAGTGTGCATTCCGTAGGTCATCCACGCGAGCAGGCGATCAACCAGAAAACTAACGATATATGTACGGATGCGGCGATCATAAAGTGCGGTTAAAATTGGCAGATATGTTAAATGCGGGTTCCTGCAGTTAGACGTGGGGAAGTCCGAAACGGGCCAAGTAAAAGTACGCAACGATATAAGAAATTAATCAAATATACTTCACGCGCAAGAGAAGTGGATATACGGAACGAGCACTAAATAAGACAAACTGACCGGTTACCTTTGCCTGATACCTGCATCAAACTGCCGTAGAAAACTTTCACCGTCAGCTAATTCGGTGAGGATTACTGACGATTGCATTTTGATTGACTATATCGTGTGTTTACTCAGCCGAGCTTGGCTGTTTTTTCAAGAAGTGCTGATTATACGCTGTGTACTTAACGCACATACAATAGGAAAATACTTGAAATCACACCAGCGTATTGGCTGCGATCGTATTTGTATCTGTATCAGAAGCGCGCGTTCTTGCAGTGGGCAAAGAAATAATCTGAGTGCCGCGTGAAATGAGAGTGAAGTACCCGGTGTAACACATACTGCATTGAAACGGAAGAAAACAACACAACAACCCAAACCATGCACAACTAAAACGACGTATACGTGAATACGTTTTGTAACGTAAAACCACTGCACATCAGCAAACCCAACAATCAACCAATACGAAACTAGCAAACAGGCCATTCAGTGCTTACCTCGGGTATGTGGCTCTTCGGCTTCCTTCACAAATGTCTCCGTGACGTCGGTAATCTGTGTAACAACATTAATGTGGATTAGGTAAACATTATATTCACACTGCGTCTTCCAACACGCTTGACCGTTCACGGAAAGGTCATACCTCTGGACCACTGGTATCTGTTGAAACACGGGTGACTGTTTCTTGCAGATTTTCCTAAATAAACGTCCATGATATTAGGATGGCACTTTTCGTGCAGTTCAAACAATAACTTACTCCTTCTTGCGATGCACGACGTCCAGGAACATTGCGCATAAATTCACCCTCGGTGGCCTTTTTCACTATCTCATCTTGATCTTAATAAAAACGACATATTTGTTAATATAAAACACAATGTAATGCATGCCAAATGCTAGAAGTACCGGTAACGCCATACAATGACAATAAGTACAAAACTGGCGCATTTGCGGCTATTACATACCGCCAATAATTGTCCGTGTAGTACGTGATGTCTTGACGGTGGTCACGGTCTTCTTGGTAACTAGGTTGCCGTCATCATCATACTCGCTTTCCACCGTTTCATAGCTCTGCTGCGAGCTGGTCTTCTGAGCGTCATCATCGCCCACCGGCTCATTGGAGAGCTGCGGTCGCTCGTGCTCCAACTCCTCACCGCGCATCTGCTCGATAGAATCCGCCGCTTTGTTCAGGAATCCGGGGCCAACGTGTCGCACCGTCTTGGTAACTGTTTCGTGCACACGCGTTACAGGCTCGGTTGTGCCAATCACCCGCTCTTCCGTATGCACCACCGTGGGTGTCGGTTCGTGGCGTTCCGGTGGACTGGGAGGTTCCTTGCGGGTAGGTGGCACAGGCGGTTCCATGCGTCGAGGAGGACTGGGTGGCTGCTTGCGTGCCGGCGGGCTGGGCGGTGCTTCACGGACCTGGGTGGTTTCGTGAAGGACCTCCTGTGTGGGCTGTGACACGTCTCGGCGGCTGGGGGGACTGGGTGGAGCTTCACGGACGCGGGTGCTTTCGTGGAGGACTTCCTCGGTCGGCTGGCTGACCTGGCGACGGGGCGGGCTGGGTGGTGCTTCCCGCACACGGGTGGTCTCATGCAGAACTTCCTGCTCGGGTTCACGGCGCATTTGGCTCAAAGAATCAGCAGCTTTGTTCAAGAAACCGGGTCCAACGTGTCGGGTCTCCGATACTTCTTTGTGGGTGACCCGAACGTTCTCCGTTGGTAACTGGTGGCCGTCCGTGGTGCGGACGGACTCGACAAGTTCTTCGCGAACCGGCACTTCTTCCGCACCTGATTAAAATGTATGTATGAATTATTTATCGAATTATTAATTAAGTGTAAAGTTTACGATCCAAATTAAATCCCTTCTCGGAACCATGGAAGGGGTAGCAGCGTTAAATGAACTGTTTTTGTTGGGATAAGCACTGTTTTTGATTTGATTATACCCGAATTTGGTGAAATAATAAAAACTGACGGTGAATTATTATTAACTTACTTCGAACATAGGTTTTCGTTTCGGCCGGATGCCGTTCGTCCAGTTCGCGCAGTCGAGTGCCTAGTTTGTCCACCAGCTCCTCCTTGTGGCCCACATGGTGCTCCTACCACTTCCTCATGCAGAGATGTTGTCTCGCTTGCCGATTCGGATTCCGCTTTCTTGGGCGGGTAACCCGGTGCATAATCCCGCACAAACGTCCGGTCGAGTGTTCCTTCATGACTCGGTCCCAGTTCCTCATGCAAAGCATCGAACCCTAAACGACAAAAGGTTTAGTCAACCCGACCTTGTTATTGATCAGCGTCAAATATGTTACCAATTTGGTCTCGGTCCACACTGAATCTTTGCATGCTGCGGTCCACATCGTCCGTCAAGAGTTTGACATTGAACATGCTCTTGTTAACAATGTCATCCCGATTGATGCGCTTGAGCCCTTGTTCGAGATCGCTTCCGGCTTGTCGCGACTGATCGCGTCGTTCCACCCAGCGGCGTAGCATAATCAGCGCCTGCTTCTGGACTTTTGGCTCCTCGTTCTTAATCGCCTGGATTTCCGGATCACGGAAACCCAGCTGCAGCGCCAGAGCCGGCCAGTCGTCGCCGAGGAGATCAGCCACATCGTGTAAGCGGAGATCAGCACGGTGCACTGATCCAGCTTTACCGATCTCTTTCATGTAGACTGGTCGTCGGACAATGGTGACAATGTCTTTGGCTGATGTCGGTTCCATCGGCTACAAAGAAACGGTGTATTCAACCAAGATTCGATATTGCAAAATTTTAAAAGCTTATATACTGCAGGTGTCAGAGCTCATAAAGGTCGCACGCAAACAAGCATATATTTCGCACAGCTTTGTAAGCTCATACACTTAATTAAAAAGCAGTCTTTATAAAGGTCAGAATAATGTCTACATACGCTCAGTTCATCGGGCAGGCGGACGTTAAGGTTGCAAATGGGGATCTGCGGCATCTCATTGCGTCCGGACTTGGAATCCTTCATAAATGCAAGTCGGCCTTGAGCATCTTCATTGGGATCCTTGACCTTTACCAAGAAGGGCAGACGGTTCTCTTGGAAAGGATAGAAGCGTAAATGCAGCTGTTCGCCCGATTTGGTCACTGGGATGAGATTGCCGGCCATTTCGATGTAGAGATTCTTCCCCTCCAGTACTTCCACGTCACGACTCTTGGCCACTTCCACAAAGTCGTTCCTGGTGCTCCAGGGTCTTGTCCTCCTTGTCGTCGGTCATGCAAAAGACCCGCAACCGGGCTTCTTCGTTGTCAAAGCGCCGTGCGTACACGACGAATTTGGCCATGAAGGGCACCACGCAACCATCGGCGTAGATGGTGTGGCCGAGTTTCACCGCCTCATTGATGTTATGCCCGCAGTCCATCAGCCAGAACCGCGCTGAGACGGTCGTGGTGAATTGGATGCAGTCGTTAACGATCACCAAGGGCGTCGAGCCGGTAATGTCTTCCCATTGTGCTGGATTGGTGCCACCTGGAAGCATAAAATTAATTATTTCTTAGGAACATTGATGTGCTTTAATAATATATGTATGTAGTACAAACGCCATGGCAGGAAAAAGCTGATGGATTATAAATTTATAACGTTCGTAGTGCAGTGGCTTTGTTATCGGAATCCCGAGGTATTGTTAAGGCAAACTTTCCCGTTTGCATGATTTATAATTCCGTTTATAATTTATGTCGTTGCTGTTACTGTTGATCGATCACTTTTTTCGCCTTTGAGGGTTTAAGCTGCAGTAACACTTTTTGATAGCCATAATTACCTGTAATGCTACACAGGAGCCGCAGATTGGGCGAATCACTGGTATACTGGTTCACCATGCCCTTTCCAGCAGCACGAGGAAGGGGGATTGTAAGCGTTATCGGCTTGTGGAATTTACGACGGCGTGGCTCGACCGTGACGATCGGGCTGACGGCGATGCGGTTGCCCAGTAATCGCGATACTAAGTCTTGCGGGACGACATGAGCCTGAGTGGAAATAAAGAAACAATTTTATGCAACGCTGTTGTCCTTGTTAACACTTTTCCACATGTACCTGCACTCCGACTTTAATCTTCTTTGTTAAAGCACCTTCCGGGAAGAGCGCCTGCACTTTGTTTTCGACGGTGGATACGATAACCCCACCATCGGGACCGACAGCGTGGACTTCCTGTTTGATGCGGGAAATGATTGCGAAATATAACGGGAAGTCCGTTGTGAGAATGCGCACGATGCGGTTGGTCTGCAGGTCTTCTATTGCGCTCAGTTCTACAAAATAATTTAATTTTTGTACACTGGTTCTCTTATAGATCGCATGCCGGTAACTTACCATTCGGGTCAAAGCTTTCATTGAGAACTTTCTGCACCGCTTCCTCGGTAGCTTCCAGCGTATGCTCGCGCCAGGTTTGTCCGTTCTCACTTCGTAATATGGTGATTTCGCGTTCTCCATCTCGAAGCGATGCAAAATGTGGAATTTCGACAATCACGGGTCTGTTTAAAAATTTATGGTTTAAATTTTAAAAAATAAATTATTAGAATGTGTCATTTTTTCATTCACAAATTTACTTCCGTATTGATTTATGTACTTCCTGGTTGGCCTTACCCCAAAAATTTCGCTGACGACGGGCCCATCTCCAGAATTCGGCAGGCCAGTCCTTCACCTTCCATCAGCGGCGGTGGATTGGCCACTTTGTCTTTGGTCAGATATTTGCAGGTGATGCGCATGGGGCATGGCGCTTTCCGCGGCGGAATGATGACGCGAATTCCCGAGTGCCGGCATCCGCGCATGGCACCACCGCGGGCATCCACCAGGAAACTCACCAAAAAGCTGCCACGCACAAAAGAGCTGTGTCAGAAAAGACGAAAGAAACCCAGTGAACAATGGCGGTAAGTGACCGAATCATGGAAAATGAAAGGAAAAATGATGAATAAAAAAACCAAAATCACAATACGGCAAAATAAGTTCAGTTCAGTGCTGAGTGCAGAGCGGATAATATTCGAGCAGTCGAGGCATAGAGCAATTGTTTCACCATCACGTTGGCGCGGGAAAACACGTCGTGTTGTACTGTAGAGTGCGGCAGAGCTGCTGTGCAGTGTCAGAGTGTGCAGTCTGAATATCTTTCGTTCCTGTCACCTTTTTTTCAGGTGCATTCGCTGTTACGGTTTATCAGTCTAGCAAAAACTTGACTAACAACAGACAGGACAATGGATAAAACATGAAAATTAATTAAAAAAAGTTGCCACACAAAAAATTATCTGTTATGCAGAGTAATTCTGGAAACACGCTTGACTTACAAATACAACAGAAGAGGAAAAAAAGTGGTGCGAAAAAAACTTGAACAAAAGTTCACACTCTTGACCTTTTCGCATTCCGACGGAAAAACAAGAACAAATACTTACGAATGTGTAGTAGCGAACCATGCCTAATGGCAACCTTTACATACAGATAGTGAAATTTACGCATTCTACAATCGAACAGTTTTAAATTAACTTGGTACATCTATGAAACGTTAGATTTCTTGGGTGTCACGTACCAGCGCAAATAAGCACAGAGAAGAAGCAGACCATTACATAAGAAAAAGCGAAAAGCCGTGATGATGACCTTTACTGTTGTATTAAACACACACACTGTACTTACGTTTTCCATCTCAGCTTCCTGGAGAATATCGGAAGGACGAAGGCACAAAAAAGGAAAACAACCGTTAAATACCACTTTGTCTGAATTAAAGGCTACCATACACAGCAAAATCAAGCGCAACGCCGGACACACAGACACCAAGAGTTAATAAGGGTACACAAGGACACGCTTAAGGCCGGTACGTGCAAACCCGACTACTTGCAAGGGGTCATGGAGGCTTTAATTTTCGGGGTTAGAAATGGGGGTTAATTTTCAAAAAAGTGATTCAGTCACGTAACAAGCCATTCATTCGGGTGTTCAGGGAGTGTATACATACCCGCCGTGGATGGGGGCTTGGCCGCGAATCAGGTCGACATTGTCGGGCACAAAGGTGCCCTCCAGTTCATGAAGATCTTCGCGCACTTCCGGTTCGTAACCGTGAACGGCGGACTGGTAGCCTGGCTCGTGTTTGCGGCGTTCGACATCGCGCATGCTAAATTGCAATATATCAATTACCAAATGGACTCGTTACAATGCAGCGCAGTACTCACATTTGTTCATAGGTCTCTCCGCGCTGCGGTAGATGTCCCGGCTTTTTCGGTCCCGGCTCCGGATAGACTTCTTCCCGGCGCACATGTTCGGATATTTCTACGCGTGTCGGCATTTCCGGGACACGCGTGCTCTCGACGCGGGTTCCCTCGTGGACACGAATGCCATCGGTGACGCGGGAACCATCGATAACGTGGGTCGCATCGATGACGCGGGTGGGGGTGGTTTCATGGGGACTGATTTTACCTTCCACATGGGGACTCATTTTTCCTTCGGAATAGCCGGATATGTAGACGTTGCCGGTAGTGTCGATGGGATGCTGCTGAAAATGGCGGTCATCCTGCATGTAATTCAGTGTCATGTCCGGTGGCGAAACAGCTGGTTCTTCTGCAAACATATTCCCAACATTTAGCCTAAATACAACCTGCAACTTTCTACAAACAAAACAAAAAAGGTCAACGGTCCTCCCAAGGAGTCAGTGTGGGGTGCGTGCAGTAGATGGGCACTGTTATGTCATCTGAAACCGCTACACATCCCAACTTACGGCTCCGGTCAGTGCGTCCAAATGTCTCAGGGGGATAATCTTCATCCCGGTTCAACGGCAACCATGGCGTTTCATACAGCTGCACGGCATCCTCGGACGCTGGTTTACGCGGCAGTGTGCCGGTGTCGCCTTTGGTCACTCTTTCACGTAGCTCCACAACGGCTTTACCGGGCGACTTGGAACGACTGACACCGGATGGTGACCTTTCCACTGAAGCTTCATGCTGGGCTCGCAGAAGTGTCGGTGTCTGACTGCGACGCAGTGTTTCATCATCCCGAATCAAAGTAGGCGTGGTCTTGGAAACTGGGGAAAACGGTTGCGACGACTGACTGCGTGACGGAGCCCGTGAGCTCTCGGTGCTGGAATCGGCGGAACGAATGTGGTCGACGCGCTCAGCCAGATTAATATGGCCCAGTGGCTTGGGTGACTTGTCATCTTGTCGCTCATCGAGCTCGCGCTGTGTCACCCCTTCAGCAATCACCACTTCCACCTTATCCTTTCCAGCCTTAGCGTTCTTCGCTTTCTCCTTGTTTCGCTTCTTTTCCTCTTTTTCCAGTCGCTCCCGTTCTTCCTTCTCCAGCTTTTCACGTTTCTTGGCAGCACTACGCTGCTCTTTCTCCAGCCGCTCGCGTTCTTGCTGTTCCTTACGTTCGCGTTTTTTGCGTTCTTTTTCGTTCTTTTTTCGGGCTTTCTCGTCTTCTTCCAGTTCTTTTGGAGTCTTTGTAACTTTGTCGCGAGTCGGTTCGTCGTGTTCATGTGTAAATGATTTTTCGTGTAATGTGATAGATGTGGGAGTTGCGAGCGGCCGCTCGGGATGACCGTTTTTATACGATGTGGAATACTCCATTGTTTCACTATCCAGTCTGCCTTCCGCTGACCTTACGTACGTTTCCGTTACCGGTTGGCGACCACTTAGAGCCATTTCATGTAGCCTCTCACGAGCCGAACCGCCGTTTTCATACACCCTCGGCCTCCTCTGTCGCGTTCTAGCGAAGGTTCTTCGTACGTTCTGACCATAGTGCTTTCTTCTAGATTTTCGCGACCTTCATCGTCGAACGGCGTCGTTTTGATAACGCCATGCTTATGTTTGTCTTTCTTGTGGCTTTTGTCTTTTTATGACTTTTGTCTTTTGGCTTTTTGACCTTTTCCGACTTTGTGACAACCACTCCTTCCACCAACTGCTCGTCCGTTGGAACGGCTTCGTATGCAATTTTCTCCTTCTTCGGCTTCCTGATTTTCTTAACCGGCGACCGTGATGGTGATTTGCGTTTCAATTTACCATCTGCATCCAACACTTCGGACTCCGATGAGCTGGAAGTGGATGATTCGCTGGATGATGATGACGTGGAAGACGTCGATGCTGAGCGGCGCGTGTCGCCAGCAAACCAGAGCTGTTTCTTCTGCTTGCGCGGTGTATTCTCCCCAGACGAATCGTGGGTTGCCTCACGAAGCGATTCAATCGTTCTATCTTTGGGTTTCGGAGGCTTCGTGGCACCGGGACCGGTGGTGACCAAAACCGCTTCATCGAGAATCTCCCGACCGGCATTATCATACGCACCCAACGGTCGCTCGCGGACTTTTTTCGGTGTACCCGAAGACGTGACCGCTTCGTCGACGTATTCACGTTCCGCGCCATCATGGGGTCCGTGCGGTCGTTCACGTATCCTTTTCGGCGAACCCGAGGTCACGACCGTTTCGCCCACATATTCACGCTCGGCACCGTCGTACGGTTCGTGCAGCGGGCGTTCGCGGATTTTTTTCGGAGTACTTGACGACGTGACCGATTCATCCACATATTCCCGCTCAGCGCCGTCGTAAGGCGCACGCGGTCGGTCGCCCACTGTTTTTTGGTGTTCCTGAAGATACGACCGATTCATCCATGTATTCGCGCTCTGTCCCCTCGTACGGTCCATGCGGGCGTTTGTCACGGGAATCGCGGTGACCGCTTTCCACCAGCAATAGTGGTAGACATGACCGCCTCATCGACAATTTCTCGATCGGCACTGTCATGCGTTCCGTGGGGCGTTTCCCGTATTTTCGTCTTCAGTTTCTCCGAGTCAGGTGTTACTGACCTTTCGTACTCTGACTCAGTGAGACTTTGGAGTCACCCTTTACTTTGGAAGTTTTTTCCTTGGACTTGGATTTGGTTTTGGATTTTTTGCTGGTGTTGCCGTCATCGATGGTGGTCTCGTACACATCCTCTTGTAACCGTTCCACACTGTGATCATGCTCGCGTATATGCATCGGTCGCGCCACTGTCACATCACGCGAGCTACGCCCTTCACTATCTTTGTCAAAATTTTCCAGAATTTCCTTGTGTCCCGACCAGTGTTTAGTTATCCTGGTCGGCCGCCCTTCGATGGTCTCCGTCGTTTCCACCAAATGCTCTCCCGTGGTGGTGCCGACTTGCGGAGACTTTGTCACGCGTACACCACTGGTCTCGGCCAGTGACTCGGCGCCAACCTCCGTGGTTACTTGAACACCCTTGGGCGGTCTTTCTTTGGACTTATCCTTTCTTGGGCTTTTTGCTCTCTTTGGGACTGGGCAAAGGTGAACTCTCTCGCGGCACGACCAGGCGGTAACGTTCGATAATTTCCGGTTGCGGCGACTCGGTGCGTATGCGATTTTCTTCCAGGCGCTCGACTTCCTCCGGTTTTTTAGCGCGATGTGCATGCAGCCATGTCTCGGGTCGTTCATTGAAATTGTCGCCATCCCCACCACGCACCGGAGCCGGTGATTCCGTGCGAACATGAGATTCTTCCAGATGTTCCACATCTTCCGGTTTTTTATTGCGGTGTGCATGCAGCCAAGTTGCCGATTTCTCAATGAAATGTTCGTCGCGGTCAGTCGGGAGGTTATCATCCCTGACTTGGGTCGAGTGAACTCCTTCCCGGATAACCTCCACCGTCTGCTGTCCCGGGAGTGGTCTCCCAGACGCATCCGGAACCATTCGATGTGCGGAACTTTCGGAGACATGGACAATGGTGTCATCATGCGGCTTCGGCGTTGACATGCCCCGGCCTCGTCGATCGGCCTCCAGTGTCGCCTCCTGAATGGCTTCGTCCAAGATCTCTCTGGTCCGGTTGCGTGGTGTCCCTTCCCGGTCGAAAGCCGCTTGTCGCAGTACTTCTTCCTCACGATTCGGCTGCTCATACCGCACATTCCGTTCCAGTGTCTTGGATTTTTCTTCCAGTTTTTCCGCTTCTTTATCTTTCTTGTTCTTCTTTTTGTCTTTCTTTTCCGAAGCCGGTTTGTCTTTATCACCGCTACCGAATGAGAACCACTTGCGTTTTTTGTGCTTTTCTACCGGTTCTTCGATGGGCGGCGGGCTGACCAGTTTATACCGTTCAACAATATCCCCTTGCGGCACATTCCGATCGTATTCCACGACAATTTCACCGGGAGAATCAACGCGTAACGGAATGTGCGTGGGCGATACGGACGCCGCCCGGGTCTCATGCCGCTCGTTCAGCACCACCACATCCGGGACGTGGGCGCGGGGAATGGCCGACGACGTTATGTGCTCAGTCTCGGTAACGGTTGTCTCGTACTGCCGATAATCACTATTGGGACGCTCGCGTAATCCCTCATGCCGAATAACGGTTTCCATGTACTGTTCATCGCTCTGATCGTGCAGCGGTTGGGATGTCGGTAGACCGGCATGATCATGGAAACCTTGCTCATGTATGGCATGGGTGGCCGGTAAACCCGGAGCCTTCGTACAAAAATTCCTTATGATAATCCGGACTTCTTGACCGCTTGATATCCTTGGTGACCTTTTTATCACGGCGTGTCTCGCGCACTGACGTCGACGGTGGGAGATTTTCGGTTGTTTCATGGACGCGGCGGCGTGTCGCACGCTCAGTGTCGTCGTCATCACTGGGCACATCGCGCACGTATACATGCTCTTCCACATGAACAGTGGTGGGCGGTGGCCGTGACCGGTGCCGTGATGAACTGCGACTGCGGGGCGGTGACACGGACGCATCACCGTGCCGCTCGATGGTCTCTTCCTCTTCATCCAGATGGCGGTCTGTTATAAAGAGGGTGTATGGGTTGATGCATCAGGCAGAGAGCAGAGAAAGGGAGTTGCATGAGTTTTTCATGACGCCGGAGAAGCCCCTCACCGTTATTGTTTGCAAATGCGGCGCGCGCGCTGCCGATGCGGTTAGATGTAGTAAGCAGGTTTGTTGCGGGAGTTGGAAAAATTGTGTGTGCCCATCACCAACAGAGCCGAGCGCTGGAGTCATGTTACGGGTACAAAGGACACCACCATACGGGACAAGAACACGATCGACATACACACACATATACGCTTTGCCACTGACACCATTGGGAGATTACGTAACCGAGAAATACGGGAAACGGTTTTGTCTAGCGCCAAATTGATTGTGACGGATATGCGAGTTGCTTGTCTTAAAGGATCAAATTTAAGCGGCACTGTGTACCAAGGGCTTACAAATGAAATCGAGTAACGGAATTAAACATACAATCATGTCATGGATGGATGGGTCGAAAATGTCGGGAAAATCTTACGTGCCGGTAAAAGCTGATCAATATATTGTGTAAATCAAATAACGTTCTCGAACAAAACCGTTTCCGCCAAAAGCACAGCACACCAAACAAAAGCACCACGCCAACGGCCAACACAAAAGAACCATAATCCCATACCTGCTTCATCCTCACTATCACTAATAAACGCCTCCTGCATGGTCTCCGGGGCCAACACCTTAAACTTCTCCTCCGTTACCGTGGTGGTGGTTGTGGTGACAATGGTCTCCGTGACGACTTTCAGCGTCTCCACTACCGACACATAGCCAAGCTTCTCAGCGATAGATAACGCAGTTTGTCCTTGCTGCAGTGAAAAATCAATAAAACATTTTTAATCGACCATTCCAGTACAGCCGGCAAAACAAGAACCCATGCAAAAATGGTAGACAACCGACGTGGACGTACGTTGTTGATTTCATTGGGCTGTGCTTGGTGCTGAAGCAGCACATTGATGACCTGGGTGTGTCCTTGTTGTGCGGCTTGATGGAGCGGTGTATAGCCGTACTACAATAAAAATGGCAATGTTTTCCCAAGTTAATGGTGTGCCAGACGCCGGGTGGTGTACATAAGAATGCTGATGTCGCCGTCGTTAAATTTTACGGGTATGTAATAAGATTACAAACACATACAGTTTGGAAACTCCCACTTACCGATGTTTTTACGTTAACGTCAGCACCTTGGTCCAGCAGGTAGCGCACCATATTCAGTTGACCAAAATGGCTGGCCACATGGAGTGGAGTGTATCCGGCCTGCAAGAGTACAAACGCCGTTATGTAATATTGATCGTATGGTTCTTTTCACGATTTGCCAGATAAATTCCTTACCTTTGTTTCGGGATTAATCTCTGCGCCGTGCTGGACCAGCACTTCCGCCACGGGGACGTGGTCTTCCTGGGCCGCCAAATGCATCGGTGTGAGGCCATTCTACAATAATAAAAGGCTTTATGTTCACCACTCTATTGCATAATCCACTTGCTTTTAACAAGATTTGACAATCCTATGGCCTGTGCCAACTCATTGATACAAGAAAACTGCTGATTGTTAATTTCTCCAATGCAAATTAGCAATTTTGGCATTCTTTCGCTGCAGTGCGGTTACCTTAGCACGTTGGTTGACAGCGCCACCGTTGGCCAACAACAGCTGTAGCATTTCAGCATGACCTTCCTGGGCGGCCAGATGAACCGGTGTAAAGCCAGCCTTCGATTCCGCATTGGGATCCGATTTGAATTTCAGCAGATTGTGGGCAATGTCCAGTTGATTCTTTTTCGCCGAGATATGCAGTGGTGTATATCCATTCTGTAATGCAAATAGAACTCGTATTATTGTTATTTAATTTTGTTATCATCTTTATACATAATTTATCCGGCTATCTTTGCTTTTGGCGGAGCGGCTTCTTTTTATTAGTATTACTTATTTGTACACTTCTTGGTTTTGCTGTTTAGCAGTTCACGTTGGTGGTATTTCGAAAATTCGAGTTGTTTTGCTTTTAACGTATATGGGATCAAAATATCTGAAGCATTAAAGTCATCACTAACAAAAAAATTCAGGTATGCTTTTTAGCACAAAAGAGCCATTAACTTTGACTTCCACTTGACACTTTATCCACCCATTTAATGAGCTTACTCGCGCCCCTTGATTGACATTACAATTGTACAAAATTAATGGTTACTTCACGGCATAAAGTTATGAAAGTGCAACTTAATCTAGCTATACATAGCTGCATCACTTGGTTATAATTCTTAGCCAGCGACAAAATAAAGTGCTTCACTTATTTGTTTCTTGAATGCGGTCAAAAAAAGCTAAGCCTACCTTGGCCGTCGCCAACGGCGATGCTCCACGTTGCAGCAGCAGATGCGCCACTTGTACGTTATCATAGTGAGCAGCCACATGCAGCGGCGTAACACCGTTCTTCCCAGGCGAATCCACCGGTGACCCTTTGTCCAGGAGGAGACGTACCACGCCAATATGCCCGTATTTGGCTGCCAGATGTAAAGGCGTGAACCCCTTGCGTGTCACGGCATTGATGTTGGCACCCTGCTCGATGAGCGCCGCCGCGCACTCCTCCTGACCTTCCTTAGCGGCAATGTGCAGGGGCGTGTACAGATCCTTGGTCTGGGTGTCCACCACGGCGCCGTGCTGCAGCAGCAGGGCCATGTTGTCCATGTGGCCCAGCCGGACAGCGATGTGCAGGGGTGTTTGATTTTCCTGTTAGACAAATTCCCAACATCATTAGTCAAACTGCATATATATAATGCGTGCCATTCATGGCCGCTGACAGTCAGATGTGCAGCTTGGGGTAATGCGTGTAATAAAATTTTGGCCTGGTAATAAGATATCATCAAGTTTGACCATTAATTCAATCGAAGACAGGCAAACATAGTGTTCCCCTGGTATATAAAGTTCGACCAGCGTGCAGACAAACATTCTTTAGTTCGCTAACGAGATGCCTTCTTATTTGCGTGTTTTCAAATTCTTGCAAATATTCAAAACGATGTGCAATAACAGAAATTATCGCGGTTAATGTGAAAACTTATTAGACAGCAGCATATCCAATTAGATTTAAAGATCACTGTTAATAGATTTTCCAAACGTTTTAATTATCGAAAACATTATTTTTAAAAATTAATTATACTTCCACCACTTGTACTTGTTAATAATAATTATGTATAGTTTTCTATGTGATTAATGTGACGCTAGGCGGAAGGAGCTAATCATCAGCAGTTGGCATAAATGAGCCCATTTGTTTCCGGTGAATGGGAAGCACACCAATTACGCCGTATTTGTTAATTACACATAATCCAATATTGACTAATTGCTCGCCCATTGAGCCCATTGCGTCTTACCCGGGCCCGTGCGTCCACTTTCGCTCCATTACGCAGTAGAATGCGGATAATATCGGTCTGATTGGATCGCACGGCCAGATGCAGCGGCGTCTCACCGCGTACGGTGGTCACATCGGGATTACTGCCGTGCTGGATCAGATACAGCACAATGTTCATACAGCCCATAAAGCTGGCCACGTGCAGCGGCGTTAATCCCGACTCGGTGGTGTACTCAATGGAGGCGTTGTGCTTGAGGAGCAGTTCCACGACTTTAATACGGTTCTTCTTGCAGGCGATGTGCAGCGGGGTGAAGCCGTTGAGTGCGCGTGCGTTGGGGTCAGCGCGGCGATCAAGGAGAAGTTTGGCCACGCGCACATGCCCACAGTGAGCTGCGACCTAGAAATACAATACATTGTATTGTTGCGGGAATGACCATTGTTGCCGGTGACGTACATGAAGTGGTGTTAAGTAATCCACAGTGACATCGTCCACCGGGGCTTTGTAGTATAACAGGGCGCGGGCGCTGTCCACGTGGTCGCCCTGGGCGGCCATGTGCAGTGGAGCCAGTCCATTCTACAAGGCGGAAGATTGGTATTCAATGACCAGATGCACACAACGATACATATCTAAATGTCCGGCGCAAATGTGATTATGTTTACAGAATATTAATTAAGCGCGACCGCAAATACTCGTATATAACATGTATCCACATATATAGAGATACGTTATACATAATTCAGCAAATGAAAGGGCATCTACATCTGCCGGTGATAGAAAATACCGGTGCAAAATAAAGCCTGCTTTTGTCACCTTGGTTTTGGGATTATTGGGTGATCCTTTCTGTAGGAGAATATCCACTACACGATCATGACCGCTGCGTGCACCGCAGTGCAGGGGCGTCAATCCGTCCTAGTGGACAAGATGAAACTCGTTAACCTTTGACATGGAAAAATGTGCCGCACACAACAACAAGCTAAATCCAGATCCGCGTGGTGCATACGTATGGTAGCTCTTACTCTGGTTTTTGCATCAATTTGCGCTCCGCGATCCAGCAGCAGCTGCACCATGGCTGGTCGTCCCCATTTGGCAGCCACATGCAACGGCGTAATCATGTGTTTACTAGCCGCGTAATTCACATCGGCTTTTTTATCCAGTAGCAAATTAGCAATGTTTGCATTCCCGTAGTGAGCGGCGATGTGCAGAGGAGTGAATCCGCTCTAAAACGAAAATATACATATTAGAATTAAATTTTATTTTTAAAGCCAAAACAGCGTCTGAGCTTATATCCAGCGCATGAATATTTAGCAAATTCCAGCGCGATAAGGGTTTGCTGCATGCTGTTTCCCATATCCACCATCGTTGCGCGCAAATAATACTAGGATAATTTGCAATTAAATACAAGACAGATGGATGCGAATGCATGCATCGCATTAACAAATCATCGCGTGCAGATTAATGATTTTATGCAGATTATGCAAACTTTAGGTGCTAATTTACCGCTTTACAACAATATTAATAATCATCTGACAATACGCTACGCAGCAGTACGTTGTTGTTTAGTGCAATAATTCTAAAGCCTGTGAAAACGGATGCCCATATTTCCATATGTAGAAAAAAGTAGTTTGTTAAAAGTAGTTTGATTTAAAGTATTAAACTTTTTCGCTATGTTCAAGGAATAGTAAATCTTTTTCCTTCACAATCAAGCCTTCTTTTCCGTATATAATTTTGTTTATTTTTATTATCCTAGCGCCTGAATTTTCAAGCAGTTTTAATAGGTACAGTTCACTTGGTGCTGGGATAGTATGTACAGTGTACACTATTCATCTTCTCAACGGAAATGGATTTCTTATGCTTTGCTAGTGTGAATCAAATAACCGGTTTACGCGCCATCACCGTTTTGCGGGGCAGTTTTGGCCTAAATTGTGAAAAATCGATTAATGCACCTAAGATTTTATATAATAGCTCCTTTTGAAATCATCCGTCTATGGCATTTCCGCTCTGTCAGCTCGACCACGATGCAACAGCGGTACCCCAGCAGTAAAACGCAAATACTGTGCAAATAACCGGCATTATGACTGTGTTACCTTTGATGTGACATCGGCGTTGGGATCGGCGTCTAAGAGTAGTGTAGCGGCTTTCACGTCATCCTTCTTGGCGGCGATATGGAGTGCTGGCAAGCGGACCTTGCTGCGTGTATCGTTTTCCAAGAGGATGCTAACCACCTTATCATGGCCTTGTTGGAGGGCCACTGCCAAGGGTGTAAAGCCGTCTTCGGTGGCCAGACTCTGGTTGGCGTTGTTCTCGAGCAGGTGTTTAACAATATCGAAGTGGTTCTCCTGTGTAGGCAACATTTCACAATTCACACCACTATATATTTGCTAACCGGCATATGGTATAAGAGTGCTGAAGTGCAGCATATTGAACTCCACAACAGATCCTCTAATGTATTCCATGTCCCGTACCTGTGCGGCCATATAAAGAGGTGTAAAACCGTTCTGCGATTGCACGTTGACGGCGGCACCATGTTCGATCAGAATACGAACGATCTCGTATTGTCCAGCCAAGCATGCAATATGCAGCGCGGTATTCCCCTTCTGCAAAATATTATTTCAATTTATAACAAGATTTTGGTATCAGTAAAATAATAATAATAATATCTTGCTTATTTTTTGAAATCTTTCACATCGCTTTACTATTTTTACATGTACGAGTATTATTCTATTTTGCAAGTTGTTCCGTAGATTAGTAAAATTAAACACTATGAAAAAAAATTTCATCCCAGTGATTATTTACAGACTGCGTATTTGCCGACTCGAATATTTTACAGCGACAAAATCTAATTGAAAAATTTGAAATGATGACAGATCGCAACAAAGATCATAGCCTCAAAATAATTATCATAATTAGAAATTATATAACGAAGTGTACATAAACAGATCTAAGTTTTGGCGTGGGGATCGCAACATCACGCACATGGACCACTGCGGCATAAACTGGCGCAGTACTAGTATTTTACGCAGTGTTTTTGTATTGTGTAGTCTAGACTGAGTGGTACATATTTATCCGTTGGTGATTTCCTCTGTGCATGCCGAATAATCCCGCTGCACTGGTGGGGAGACCGGAAGCAACTTACTTTAGTGGCTGCATCAACGGAGGCACCGTGCTTCAGCAGGAGTCTGACAAGCTCGACATGGCCTTCTTTTGATGCAAGATGGAGCGCATTGAGACCATTCTACAAATACCATAGTGGATCGTAAATTGATCAGCAAGAGTTTCATCATCACGAGCACTGCATCATGCGCCCAGAATCCAACATCTCCGTAACGTGTATATAGGGACGAGCACAGAAGAGCACGCGGCAACACATATATCATTCTTACTGCGTTGGCGGTGTTGATGTCGGTACCCTGCCGTAGATATTCCTGCACCTTCTCGATATTGCCGGCACGGGCTGCCCGAAGAAAACTGGCATTCCCTTCCGTCTGCCAAAAATACAAAACAATACTGTCAATCAAATTTTATCTGAACCAATTTTTGAGTACGCTTCTGTTTACAATTCCGCCATGTTACTACTACAAGCCGGCAGTTTATGCCTTTATGACGTGTACTATACGCTATGATTTTTTTACCATTTGGGGTAAATTTTTGAACGATTAGGTTTCATGTAAATAATGGCACCACAAATGACCGGTTGAAGAGATGCGCGCATTGGGTGGTTCACATGTACCCGCCACAAGCGCATTAAAAGTCAGCGACGATTAAGGTCTAAGACCGACGACATATGATCTGGTCAGTTGGGTAAATCAAAACCGCAAAACCGACCATCCTACTTCCAAACTAATTCAAAACCACTTGGAAAATATGTCAGTTTAAAAATCAATTATAAGAGTGCCGTCGGACGAACGGTGATTATTAAGTCCATAACGTCGGAAAATCATACACTCACTGATAACTGATGTCTTAGTCGCCGATTCAACTCACAGTTCTATAAGCGCGTACGGTGATTAAATCGTTCGGAAAATTTACTACGTGACACCGGTGTTTAACAGGTTGACCATCGCTAAGCTGTGAAAAGAAAACTTCCACTGTGCGATAATATTATGCTATCGCTTATGTTTGGCAGAAGACATCGTAAGTTGTACAATGTAAGCAAGGTATTTTCCCAAAATCACTAATTTACCTGTACAAAATATAATAAAAGTTTGTATGTAAACTGGATCTTCACGCAAAAAGTTATTTTTAGCTAATTTTAAAAAAAATTGAATAGTTTTCATAAAATTTATCTGATTAGAAATTCACGTTTTGTGCGCCTTAATTCATGCACTTTGTTACCGCGCACCAGTGTTCGCACATATGTAATCCACATCTCAAGCATGATTGCACAGCACACAAAGACGCTGTAAACAAGCATGCGGTTTATGAATTCCAATCATTCAATTTTACGTAAGGAATCTCAGAGGATAACTTCGCACCGCTGTTTACAGTTGTAAGAAATCCATTACATTCTATTCTGTACAGTAATTCGACCAGAACGTGACTGCACCAGATGCTTTGCATGGAAAAATGCGATTCGGAATTATATACCAAACACACCAGTAATAAATCCTATAGTGAGATAACTATTTGTTTTCTGGGATACAATATGACCACAAATATGGATAGAAATATTTAGATTGATAACAATTTTGCGCAATATTATATTCATGTGTTCTGCATTCGTTATTTGTATGTATGTGTATCAGAAAATACTACGGTTGCCTGGTTTGTATTGAACGCACGTTAAATTTGCTGTTTTATTTCTGTAAAGCCGCGCAGTAGCAAATCTACAATTTAAGTGATCGGCTACCTTACTTATCTGAGCAAATTTTACCTATATGACAATACAGACAAGGTAATTTGATACCATTCGCAAAGCCAGAAATGCATCAACATACTGAAAAGGCTTTCTCAGACAGAATTGTTCTAGACCGGTCAAGCAACATTTGCAACTCCAAAAGTTTACCGCAAGCGAGTTTTTTCTAATTATACATACGATACAGTACATCTACCCAAATGGAAAACATTGTGCGACTACCGAGCAAATTCAATTCTGCACTGCTAGAAGTGCACCAAGATCACAAGTCTTTTGATATACGTGGGAGAAAAATCACAGTGCGCGGCGAATACACACCATCACTCAATTGCAATTCATCTTATCAGTTTTTCTGGTAAATACACCATTGCCAAGCCCCTTATCGTTTCTCTTCTTCACCAAACTGTAAAGATATTGGAAAAGTAAATATTGCTTTTTCCGTGTGTACACCACAAAATATAATGCAGGCTCACTGTCGTGGACAGCTTAATTTGGCCATTTCTCGGCGCACAGGGTGTGCTACATACAAGATATATCGTGGAGACTGCCGAATTCAATGTCCCTATCGATCTGGCAATTAAACATGCGACGACTGACGTGGTTGTATGTGCGGCAACATAGATATACAATTGTATATATAACGCGCAGGAACTCCCGCTTTTGAAATTCAATGTGTTTCCTGCTTTAACTCAATCGTCTCTGGCAGTGTGCAGCTATACGCTTCCAGCTGCAGCCCCCCAATCTCCAGACAAATGCTGGCAAACTACGCATACACACAGCCAGCAGCTCGATAAATGTCGACGCGATATAGCGGCAGTACCAGCGCTCCCGGGTGCAATTGTACATCAAAACCGGGACAAGCCAGCGCGTCAACGGGACTGCATTGGATATTTTTCTCAATGCGTATATGCCGTCGGAGTATATTCTCTACAGTGATCCCTGCACATTGGGAACACCGGTCTGCAGTGGGGAAATGTAGACAGTTTCTAAGCCACTGCCGGTTTCTCCCGTCCCATGCCTGCACATCACTCGACGTCTTCAGCGCAAGATTAAACAAACCATAAAGCAGTGTAATTTTTTAGGCACCCACCAAATTACCAGTCTGGTGGGTAAAAGATTGCAGCTGCGCTAGCGGCATTCAGTTAGTAGCGTATTATCGATTATATAATACCATAATGAAATGACAGACGCGATCCGGCCAAGTAAAATCATGGTAAATTAAGCGCAGACACAAAACCAAACACTCGCTTTAATCAAACAAATCGCGGCACAGAAAAAAGCTGGATGGCCCTCATCTAATGCAATTGCACCCATGTAAAAACATATTTCAGCAAAAATGTGGATATAATTATGCGATTGCGCAGAGCCGATGTAGAACTACGCACGTTTACGTAATCTGGATAAATTCTATTCATGGATGGTTCTGTTATGCCGTCATATATCATACATATGAGTAGTTACATAAAGCGGTTATAATAATGCTGCTTAGATTCTGATATTCTGCAAATCGAACGAACGAGCCGAGTAGGACTGCAATATAACCGGAAGCACACAGCGTCAGTATGCTTAATAAATGCCGGCACATGATAGACACTCTACATTTTATAGTCCGGATAGGAAAAAGGGCGCCGCATTGGCATAACTGTGGTTTTTTCTAATAGTGTTTGTCTAAGCACGCCATCCCTCCTTCTATCCGACACGAAACGATTTTCACCGATACGTCTCTTGGGGCGAACCTTTCACAATAAACTTCCTATCAAAAATGCCATGACAGATGCTGAATTTGCATGAGGACAACTCGAGAGTTTTCTTCACAACAAACCTATTTAAATAAACACCCTACACTTGCTGGCTTGATAAGTCATAGACCGGCGACACACACACTGTATATGCGTAATACTTAAGAGGCTGACTAAGGGAAACATAAGCAAAAATGTTTTCCATCTGCTAATGATGTGTGTAACATGCTCGTAAGGATTCGGTTGTTAAAAGAATTGTTCAAACGGCACTTATCACATTATATTGATCAGCACCCCCATCCAACTTGAAAAATATATTTCAAATGAGGCATATGGTCCCGGTTTGGATAGGCTGTGGCGCTGGTTGGTTATGAAACTTATCTTGACCTATTTACATTCGGTACAGTTTTTGGATGTGCATAGTCGTCGCTCCGTACAACTTGGCGGAAAAGGCAAACACACTAAACTTTTCGGCTTGGGATGACATATACGAGTGCAGTGCGTTCTTATTCAATTTAGCACTACAAGACTGGGGCACACAAACGGAAATTTTTCGAATACCTGTTTTCCGTCTCTCTCCCTCTCTCGTTAATCTAACAACCTTTTTTTCAAAAAGCAATTGCCACACAAAAGAGCTGAATGCTAGGTATACAACCGGTAACACTTACGAGAATTGCCCGATTCGTCTCAACAGCCGTTGTTGGCGGATGGTCAGAGACCGCCGGTCTAACATATGTTACAGTGTCTTCACCCTCCTCAACAATACCCATGGCGGTCTTATATGCGGCGCTGGGCGGATGGAAATAGGAGGATGTATATATATGTGTTAGTTCCGATGCGATTTAATTTTGCTGAATAAGTCACACGATAATAATCCGCACTATCGATTCACACTGTCGAATGATATTTCACCGGTAGATGATTTTTCTGTGATGGCTACGCTGCATGCAAAAATAGGAAGAAGTATTTGCCAAGAACTTGGCCTTCCTGACTTGTAACGCGAACGGAAATAACTACAGCGTCCGCACTGGGTGTATGTATAAGGGCGATGCTGTTGTCATCTACACAGTACACATATACACATTACACACCATCACAGCCGTGCAATATTGCAGCGCCGGCTTGCGTTTGGAATGGCGAGCGCCGCTGCCGTACTGTATTATTCACCACATTTCTAGTCAATCGGCTGTCTGAGTTGGTTTACTTTGTAAAGATCCTTAACATGGGGCACCCACCAATACTCACCCACGGCGGCAAGTGGAAAAACTGCTTGCGCACGCGATGCTGACGGCGATGACTCGGACGACTGTTTACAGGGAATTAACCATGCGGAACGGTTTTATCTATACGACATGTTACATATAAAGCATGTCTGCATGTACTCCCGCGTATTGCAGATTGTGGCGCTGCACTGTCCTGGGCGGCCTTGAATAAATAATTCTGCAGAGATATTGTATGAAAAATAATCCATTTTCCCATAGCAGCTGCTTCGTGATATTTTATTGAAAACTCCTTCATTCACTTCACCGGATATGGAGATCAACACACTTTGCCTGATGAACGGTTTTTTAACCATGAACATTTTTAATGAATTATTTTTTCAAACATAGAATATATGGAACATCTGTCACATTAGCTTATATTTGGTGTGCACAGTTTTGCTTCCCGGTGCCAGTGCCGAATGGCGCTATGCGCATTCGGCCAAAATAATCAACACAGACGAATAGCAGCCGCGGCTTCATTTCGTACTGCCTGCTTAACAATCAAAATCAATATTTGAATAATAATAACTTTTTACATTAGGAAATGTTTTCATATTAATTAATGTCACTACCAAAAAAAGATTTGTTGAAATAAACATTCCATAATTATTTCGAAATTTTCTCTTTTG